ACTGATATACCGAAAGCACACTTAGTCGGGTTCATTTTCAATTTGTACTTCATCCGACTGAAAGCATCTTTAAGATCCCTCAAATGTTCCTCAAAACTAGAAGATTTGACAATGACATCATCAATATACACTTCCATAGACTTACCAATGAGATCATGAAAAATTGAGTTTATGGCTCTCTGATAAGTCGCCCCAGCATTCTTCAAACCAAAAGACATAACTGTCCACTCATAAATACCTAATGCTCCTGGACATCTAAATATTGTCTTGTGAATGTCTTCCTCGGCCAAAAAGATTTGGTTATATACTCAATAACCATCCATCAAACTGAGAATTCTGTGCCCTGCTGCTGAGTCAATTAACATGTCGGCCATAGGCATCACGTATTCATCTTTAGGAGTGGCCATATTAAGGTCTCTAAACTCGATGCATATCCTCATCTTACCATTCTTTTTAACCACTGGCACGATATTGGCCAACCAATCCGCATAACGGCAAGGTCGGATGAAACCTACTTTAAGAAGCTTCTGAATCTCTTCCTTGATTTGAGGCATCAAGTCAGAACTCATACGTCTTGGGGATTGCTTACAAGGCTTGAAATCCTTCTTAATGGGCAAACGATGTTCTATCAAACTTCGCTCTAAACCAGGCATTTCTGAATAGTCCCAAGCTAAACAATCAATATTGTTTCTTATAACCTCGAGCATCAATGTTTGTTGCTCTTTAGACAAATAACCACTCATCCTGATTATTTTTGGAACCAGGTCGGTTCCTAAGTTAAATTCCAGCAAAGGATCTTGTGCTGAAAAAGTTGGCTCTTTTTTATTTTTTCTACTTTTTTTCAAAAGCTGATCTAAATAATATTGATTAATAAATAAACTACAATCTTGTAAATTTGCACCCTCCATAAGAAATGTATTATACAAAGTAGGTCTGGCTTACTCAAGAGCCATATAGTACAACAGTTCTTTTAAAAGAACATTGAATTCTGGCCAATGAATTTAAAACCCTTCTTTGCGTAGTCATTAGCCATAAAAAACTGATACATTAGAGGTACATGACCAGAATAAAAAAATGATTCTTCAACTTGTTCTGATGCTCCAAAAGGATTGTCATTTGCCTCTATTTTGAAGACATGGTTGCCTTCCCAGAACATCAATTGTTGATGCAGTGTTGATGGTACACATTTAGATGCATGAATCCAATCTCGTCCAAGCAGGATTGAATATGTGGTATCTGCATCCACCACGAAGAAGACAAAAGAAATCTTCTTTGGACCGACTTCAATTGAGGCGACCAACATGCCTTCTGGTCTGGTCGGCTGCCCTGTGCTAGTCATCTCAAAATCCACAGGAGATAGATCGTGAATTCCCTTTCCTAACTTCTTGAGAGTCTTTAATAGCATTACATTGAAAACGGCCCCATTATCTATGAAAACCTTTGTGATTGGTTTCCCACAAATATGAGCATTAACATACAAAGGCTTCAAATGAGACGCCATGCCTTCTGGAATGGGAGGGAAGACTATTGGAGGGACCTCTGATTGAAAATCAGGATCCGCAATTTTTGCCCATTCTGGCCCTTCTATAGACATATCCACCAGACTTGCCCACAAAGGCTCTTCCTCAACCCAATTAATTTATGTCATTCGGTAGGGGATACGTGGCTCTAGTCGAGATTTGACAGACCTTGAACCCTTCTCTGGAATTTCATCTCCGACTTCAATTTCGGGTTGAACAGAGAGAGATTCCAAACGAAATTCCTCCAAAGATAGGTTAATGTTAATCTTCTCGCAATACTGACATCTTAAACCCTTAACTCTTTCATCAGACAAGCCTTTACCCTTTTTTTGCATGGAACGACCTCCCTTATTGTAATTAGCAGTGTCTTGTTTGCTGGTCGGCTGCTTTGACGAGGCGACCCCAATGAGCCGACCTTCCTCTGCCTCATTCGGTTGCTCAAACGACAGACCCTGATGGACGGACCTCTTTCAGTATACTTAGCAGTTCCTCGGCTGTTGTTCGGTTGCTTTGATGAGGCGACCTTGTCTTAGTATCTCGCAGCGTACCTGCGCTTGGCATTCCGAATCTGAGTACGATTCATGCCTGGGAAGCGAGGATTCACATCAATTGGTAAAGGTTTCTTATTTCGAGTCCATTTGCTTCCGACCGAACCTGTCATCTTGGTCGGGTGCTCCCGAACCAAAACTTGCTCCTTCAATTCCACATTAAAAGAACCATCTTGGTTATCCCATTTTTCAGCCACTGTTTTTTCACAGACCATGAGTTTCTCCTCTGGTCGGCCACTGTTTGATGAATTCCCTTTTTCTGTTCTGGAAGTTACTTGTATATTAACCATTGCTGTGGTTACTTTTGGAAACGGTTGTTGCTCAACTCCCAAGGTAATATACTTGAGCCGACCTGCCTTAATAGCCTTTTGGATCTCATTTCGAAAATGAGTGCATTGACTTATATTATGTGTGAAGGAGTTATGCCACTTACAGTATGGCCTCCCTTTGATTTATTCCTTAGTAGCCAACCTCTGCCCCTTTGGAATTCGGATTTGACCATCAGTTAGCAGGATATCAAATATCTCATCGGCCTTTGAATTGTCAAAGGTCGGTTGCCCTTTAGCTTCAGTTCCTGGTGCTGGCTTTAACTTAGAGCATACATAAGGCTTCCCAGAAATTATTTCGGCTACCATCTCTTATGTTTGATCATAATCGAAGTCGTATGCCTCTATTTCCATACTAGCCATATGTTGACCTTTGTTACGCTTGAAATTCTTATCCCTTTCCCTAAAAAAGAGATTCTAAACGTCCAGCCTTGGATGCGAGACTTGCCAAGTCCTCGACATCATGTGCAGTGAGCGCATCTCTTAGGCGACCATGCATATTTCGGACCACTAAGTTGGTCATCTCTTTTTCATTGATTATTGTAGGACACCGTCCTTTCATCAATCGCACCCTTTCAATAAACTGTGAAGCTGACTCTTCTTGATATTGTTTCGTTTCTAATAAATCAGTCAAAGAAACCGTTGGCAAGGGATTGAAAAATCTGGCATGAAATGCCATCTCTAAACCTTCCCAAGTTTGTATTTGCCCAGGTGGCAGACTTACAAACCATGAAAAAGTTGTCCTAGTCAGAGACAATCCAAACAGTTGTAACTTATAAAAAGGATTGTTACCAATTTTTCATAACTGTGCTGTGAAACGTCCCACATGCTCTATAGTAGAGGATCCATCTCTCCAGAAAAAGCATGAAAATCTGGTGGCCTGTAATTCCTTGGGAGAGGATATTCATTAATAATCATTTCTGGAAAAGGTCTTTGATAAGCAGGTCGGTTGGCCATATGAGGATTTAGGCCAAACTGAACCCTCAATACGTGAGCAATTTCATCACCCAAACGAAAATGTTGATGATCAGGAATATCAATGGGATTTTGCATAGGAATAAGAATAGGATTCTGCATATGTCCCCCTGGCCTTTCCTCCCTTGTAGTGTTCGGTTGCACATTCTCCACCCGTCCCAAAGGAATATTATTTGGAAAAGTCAGAGGAGTCTTTCCCCTATCTGTTCGGTTGAACGTTGTGGCGCTTGGGAGTGTGCTGTCCACATATGATTGCCCTGCAAAATTTGCTTGCATTCTCGATGGTGACACCCCTGGCGGCGTCTGGGTGGGTTGAAGAGTAACCCTTGATAATGCTTGATCTAACATGTTCTGCATAAGATTTTGTTGCTCGGCAACATGTTTTGCATCGCCGAAGTATGCTGATTGTTCAATTGTTGAACATACAACAACCAATCGGTAGGTGGTTGGGGAATCTCCCCTGGATTTGGCATGACGGGTGGTGAAACATTTTCTCCCGCCGGTGCTGATGATGATTGAGGTTGTGAGCCTGCCATATCGATCTTTCTGATGATTCGGCCAGACATCAGTCGTATTAAATTCTCTGATAATGTAGGATCAGCAATCTTGCCTTTCTCCCATTGTGGTCGCCAATTTGTTGATGTATTTTTTCAACAAACAAAAAGTAAAATTCAAAGATATGGAAATATCCTTAAATTTGATTAATTAGTGCCTGAGATTAGGAATCTCTAAACAATGTAGGGTACATAAAAAAATTAACTGGAAATTAAAATGCTGGAAATTTAAAGCGATGATCCCCGAATCTAACTTTGCTTTTGTTGAAGTTGATTGAAGATCCCTTGCCAGTTGCAAATTTTAATACTTAAATACTCTTCAGAAACGGTACTGGAAACCGTTGCCCGAACGGTTATCTTTTCAACCGTCTGCTAACCCCTCTCCTGCTGACACGTGCTCTCAGCCGACTGAAATTATCACTCTCAACAGTATCCGACTCTTTGGACCGACCGCGGACCTTCCGCCCTTTTGGCCCGAACGCAACTCTTCCGCCATGTTGGTCCGACCGCAAATCTTCCGCCTTACTGGTCCGACTGCCAACCTCCCGACTTACAGACCACCCGACTTGTTTGGTCCAGCCGCAAACCTCCCGACTTATAGACCATCCGATTTGTTTGGTCCAGCCGCAAACCTCCCGACTTATAGACCAACCGACTTGTTTGGTCCAGCCGCAAACCTCCCGACTTATAGACCATCCGACTTGTTTGGTCCAGCCGCAAACCTCCCGACCTACGGACCTTCCGACCTGCGGACTTTCCGACCCGCGGACTTTCCGAACCACGAATCTTCCGACCTGCGGACCTCCCGACCTCCGGACCTTCCGACCCGCTATTTCCTTAGAAATGCATTTATTTTACTTGAGTTCCCCGCAATGCCCCTCGACCAGCTCGATCATCTCGACTGTTAGGCCCATTTTTCTTTTTTCCTTGAGCTTTTTAACCTAATTCTAAATTTAATGCGCAACACTCTTAGATAATATATTGCTTTTAAATATAATATATTATTCCAATAGATCGGAACTAGTTAATTCATTCATTTCTTTCTTTCTTTCATTGTTCTGGTTGTTGGTTGTAAAGTTCCCCCTCGTAGCTCGAAGTGGAAAGATCCGAAAGCTAGTTGTGGACGCCAAAAATACACATCTTTCGAAGCTTCAACTTACTGGTTTTCCAGGAGGACCAGAAACATTTGAACTTGCTGCCAAATTTTGCTATGGGGTGAATTTTGAGATCACACCAACAAACTTGGCTCCCTTGCGTTGTGCTGCAGAGTACTTGGAAATGACTGAAGACTATCATGAACAGAGCCTTGTGCAGCGCACAGAAACCTATCTTTCGGAAGTTGTGTCTCCAAGTCTTGAAAAATCAATTGAGGTTCTATCTGTATGCGAGAAATTACAGCCTCTTGCTGATGATATAGGAATTCCTGATGCATGTATCGCATCCATAGCCAGAAATGCCTTCCAGGAACAGCTGGTATCCAGTCAATCTGGATTGGGCTGTAATCTTAAGGATAGGTGTCTCGAGTGGTGGATTGAAGATCTATCGGTGCTGGGGATCGAATTTTATTATCGAGTAATTCGTGCCATGGAACATAGTGCTGTTAGGACAGATAGCATAGTTGTCTCATTGATGCATTATGCGCAAACATCACTGAAGGGTGTTGGGAATCCTCAAATATGGAATCCAGCAAGAACAGATTCTAGCTCATTGGACGATGGCCAGAAGGTGATTATGGAATCTCTAGTGACTCTGCTACCTGCAGAGAATAGCTCATCCATTCCATTGAGTTTCTTGTTTGGGATGCTGAGGGTAGCTATCATGGTGGATGCTAGCTATGCTTGTAGGCTTGAGCTGGAGAAGAGGATTGCTTATAGATTAGAAACGGCACTGCTGGATGATCTTCTTATACCATCCGCCCAGACAGGTGGTTCCTTGTTTGATGTGGGTACCATTCACCGGATTATGGTACATTTCTTGCAAAGGATTGAAGAAGAAGAAGTAGAAGAAGAAGAAGGCAGCGAAGAATGTGGATATGAATCCGAAGAAATAGAGTTGGGATGTCCAGGCCATGGATCAGTGCTTAAAGTTGGAAGGCTGATGGATTCATATTTAGCTGAAATTGCTCCAGACCCCTACTTGAGCCTGGCCAAGTTCACAGCAATAATCGAGGTCCTACCTGATTATGCCCGTGTCATTGATGATGGACTCTACAGGGCCATTGACATCTACTTGAAGGTATTTGAAAAGTAATACTAGCATACTAACTTATTACTTCTTGTTGGTTGTTCTCGGGTGTTCCTTCCTTCATTCGTGTCATGAGGATCTGTTAAACACGTATATAATACATGCAGGCACATCCTATGCTGAATGAAGAGGAATGCAAGAAACTGTGCAAGCTCATAGACTGTCAGAAACTATCTCAAGAAGCCTCCAACCATGCAGCCCAAAATGATCGCCTCCCTGTCCAGATGGTGGTTCAAGTGCTCTATGTTGAGCAGCTGCGATTGAAGAGCGCGTTGTCCAGTCCAGATGGATTGGTGTCGCAGTCACAGAGGATGATGACAGGCAGCGGGGTTCCGAGCACGGGGATGTCTCCACGGGATACATATGCGTGTATGAGGAGGGAGAATCGGGAGCTGAAGCTGGAGATATCGAGAATGAGGGTAAGACTGAGCGAGCTGGAGAGAGAACAGGCGGCGATGAAGAAGGGACAGGGGGTGACGGCGGGAGGAGGCAGCAAGTCCAGGCTGCAGGGGAGAACTTTGTTGAGCTCCATATCTACAGGGATAGGGAGGGGGATTGGCATATTCATCAATCATAGTAATAATAATAATACTAAGAAGGAAGATGGAAGCACCAGGGCAACACGTCCAAGGAAGGCAGGCAAGAGCTAGAGGATTTGATTGATTGATTATTCCAATTAGTAATCGACGTAAGAGTGTAGAAGAACAAGAACAAGGAGAGTAGGCGACTGCCATTAGTAAGGTGGTGCGGCACAGTAGTGTCTGTGTGTATGAACTATTATTACACGTAATAGTATATCTGTGATGTCGCTGCGGATGATGAATTGCATTGTCAGTGCGTGTGAGTGACTTGAATCGAATCGAATCAATTGATGAAGGAAGCCCATATACATACATACATGTATATATGTGTGTATATCATGATTTAGGGGACAAAGTAGATGGGGTTGGGGAGCTTGAAGGTGCGGTTGCCAGGGCAGTCCCCTTGAAGGTCGCTCCACTGATCCCCGACGTTCCCCCATATTCGGTACCCTTCTCCTACCAGTTGCTTCCGCATCTCCGACTTGTAAGCTGCGGCGCCTAGCCCCTTGTACGCGCTACTCCTACAAGTACAAAGTTTATATATCCATCTGGCTGGCATTCTGGCTACTGGCTAGCAAGCTTGTAGTAGCACACACAGCACAGTTAAATTAACTAACTGACGAACTAGTAGTGTAGAGTTAGTTACCTGAGGATGAGACGGTGGTAGCCAAGGAAGCCTTGATCGTGCAGGTTGCGCAGGGTGGCCTCCCCCAGCGTCTCCTCGTCTCTGCCCGTGACCAGGAAGACCTTGAACCCGGCCCGGACCAGCTCGTAGAACAGGCGGAGGACATCCGGGATGGCCGGGCAGCCTGCCCTGGATGCCCAGGCCTTGAACCCCTGCGGGTCGAACGGGTCGCACCCGTAGCGCTTCCCCCGGTAGTAGCGGAGGTTGGAAATGCAGGTGTCGTCGACGTCGAGGATCCAGGCGTCGAAGCCATCCCGCGGCAGGGAGGGGGCGATGGCGTCCACGTAGGCAAGGATGACCTGGCCGACCGTGAGGGCGAGGTCCTGCTGGTATTGCCCCGCAGCAATGTAGGCCTCCACGTGGCGCTGGCACTCATCGGGCACCGTGCGCCATGCTCGGATGTTGTTGGCCTCCACCCCCATCCGCCAGCTCAAGCAGTAGGAGGAGGAGGAGGACTCACCCCCCCACCGCCACCAGCTCCCCCCCGCCCCCGTCCCCGTGCCCGACGTCAAGACGACCGCCAGTACCAATAACAACATTGATTGCCTCATCATGATATATGAGATGGATCCGCCACCCATCATCTCATCAATACACAACAACACACATACATATACCCGAATTATTAACCCTCCCTGTCTTATCCTTGTATTCTGTTCTAGGAGATTGCGCCTGCTGCAAAGCAGGATTAATAATGGTGTGAGGGAGTGATCTGAACTTTGACTTATTTAATATTTACATTTATAGAAAGGGGTTGGGGGCCAGGGAAGTGGAAGTGTAAACATGGAAGGGAATTTAGAGTGGACTGAGGATATTATATATATCTGGGTGGTCGCTGACAATTGACATCCATAGCTGCCCGTGAACACACACACACACATATAATATATATATATATAATTAATATAGAGAGAGAGAGAGAGAGAGAGAGAGAGAGAGTTTATTAATGAATTGACAACGTTGTATGTATGTATGATAGTTGTTGGCTACGGAATGTGGAACGGGAATGAGTAAAAAGTGGACTCCTCGATCCGCACTCATGACCTTCAGCCGAGCTAAGCTAAGGTAAAAAGCTAGAATATTATTTACGCAACGAAGCATGGGGCGGGCATCTGAGAGATGGATCTGCCAACAAATGACTGGGAACAATGTACCATCATCCATTGGCTATGACCCAACCAAGTGACCAACCACCTCAGCCATAACATATCCATATCATCCACAAATATATAATAATAATAATAGATGCATGTATGCATCAATGTTGTGTCACATTGGGAGTGGGATAGGCGTCACGGTGCATGTATATGTATGTATGTATGCATGCATATATAAATATATTTATATGGTGACACCACACCACTGACCACACCGACTGCCATATGAAGTGGAAATGAAAGTGGAAGTTGAAGTGGAAATGGAAAGTCAAATCGGCCACCCTTGCCTGCCTTTACCTATTTTCATTCCACTTTCTCTCATCTCATCTGATTTCTACTTCAATTAATTACCTACTATTACACTGCACTACACACATTCCTACCCTTTTCAAATTACGTGGCCATTCAAATCTCTTATAAACAGTAAAGATGACGCTACGCTGCGCATTAACTTTCCGCCGTTGAAGTCTCCTCGTCTCACGGGAGAGAGAAGGAAAATATGTATATGTATAATGGCCCATTAATCAAGCTGAATCCGTGTTTATTGTCATTACTATTATATTATCAGTTATCACTTGCTGCTTATACAGTGCCTCTTTCAGCATATATAGTCATCTAATTCTTATTTGGTTAAATTACTGATATGTTTAAATATAATTGGACTGCTTGTACTTATTATCAGTGCAGCGAGCCCAATCACGACTCACGGCACGGCAATCCATAACACAGATCAGATGAACTGAACTAAACTAAACTAAAATAAAATGTAATGTGTGGGGATTGGGATTGGGATTGGGATTGGGATTGGGATTAAAATTGGAATTGATGGAGCTGCCTGCAAGTGTACGTCGTAGAGCTCGCTTATTTAGCTGCCTTCACCTGCATATCCATGATCCATCTATCCATCCATCCATCCATCCTTCCTCTTCTACACATAATCGAGGATTGCACTGCACACTCAGATCCATGATTTTGCATTTGGTATTTATTTGATATACATGTAACACTCACTTGATTGGATTGGAATGAAATCAATTAAGGCGGTGAGAAATTAATAATTAAGACGACTTCCTTTCTGTATATGTTTACGCTAGATCTCACTGTCCATGTCCTATCTTTCTTTCTTTCTAATTTGTAGTACTACTTCATGTAGATCATATATCTAGATCTCGACGTGTCTGTCGTGTTGTGTTGTTACATATGTATGTGGTTGTTATCACTAATCAGCAGCCAACCGGCCCCCTACCTAAGTAACTAGTTATTGACTAAGCGAACAAGCAGGTCGTTGTTTTCTTAGTTAGAAACGAGATCTAGTTAGTAAGTTACTAGAGAAAAAGGAGTAGGCGGCAGCTGTTTCAACCATTTAAGTATGCAAAGCAATGCATTCATTATAATATAATACTAGTATTAATTAGTTATAATATGCACTCACCCACTCAAACTAGTATTACTAATTGAGTGGTTGGTTATTGGCCATTGGGGGGGTGCTTAATTCGCAGCGTCGTTCCACTTTTGGCTTTGAGTTTCATCAATGAAGTAACATACATACATCAGAGATGGTAGTAGGAGGTTGGGTTGGGACTTGGAGGGAGGAGGGAGGAGGCCGATATAGCAGATCCTTTTGGGGAGATGAGATGAGATATAGCGGGCCGGGAGGGAGCGGCAGCAGAAAGGAGGAGCGGCAGTTAAGTTGTCGCTATAAGTAAGTATAACAAAACAATACAAAGAGGAGGTGGTGTGGTGAGATGAAATCTTAGTCTCTGTCTCACTCTCAGGCTGACTGCTTTGCTACTTTTTAGTTTTAGTTTTAGTTTGAGGCATAGACTCTCCTCCACTAGGCTAAACTAAACTAGTAAGAGTGGTGAGTCAGTCAGTGAGCCAGCAAATTGTAGAGAGAGAGAGAGAGAGAGAGAGGAAGGAATAAACTGGTTTGCATTTCGTTTTGTTCTCTTCCACATTGAAAGTATCGTTGGACTCTCCTATTCTATGTAGTCACACACTTATTAAGGTGAAGGAGCTACTTCATTTAAGAATTAAGAATCAATTGGTTTTACTATTTAAATTGAAATGTGAGTACGGTCTCATCCAACAGACATATGCCCGTGTATCGGCATTGCATCTCCACTGCATGACACGATTCGATCAGATGGGGTGGGGTGGGATGGCCAGAGTCAGACCAGACCAGATCTAATATCCAGCCAGCCCAGCCCAGCCATCATAGATGAGAGATGAGATGACGCACACTCACAGCACAAGCACATGACTCCTGACTCCCTGCCCCCTCCACCTTCTTCTCCTCCTCCACCTTCTCACCATCAGATCGATCCCCTTCCCGCTCCTGCTGCTCTTCTCCGCCTCCCTCTCCCTCCGAGACATCATGAGTCGCACCTTCAGGGATCAACAACCTTCTCTCGTCGGCGCCGCTGCCCACCGCCGACGCCTCAGCCTCAGCCTCAATGCTCTTCCCAACTCCCCCGCCGATGACAATCTAGATCTCTTCTCCAAAACCCGCCGCCATTCCTCTCATGACTCCGACGGTATGCCCCTCCCCTCCCCTCCCCCCAATCTTCTCTATTATGGAGTAATCTATTTTAAGCGCCAACACATCTTCGTATTCTTTCTTTTCTTTTCTTTTCTGCATTTGCTTTTCTCTCTTAATCAATCACCCCCGCCACCATCATCTACTTATTGATGATTATTGTCTCCAAACGATGTCGCTTGCTCGAGTTCCTGTGCTCGCTGATTCTGCATCTCTATCTTCCTCGCACATCATTCGTGATTGTAACTTGTTAACTACTACTTCCCCTTTTCTACATGTTTTTTTATACTCTTAAATTCCGCTTCTTCGCTTGCTTGTTTAGCATCGGTGAACATGGGAAGGCTCTCAATGGGATCGCTTAAATCGGGGAAGACTGGATTGGATGATTTATTGTCATCCGCGGAGGGAGGAAAAAACGACTACGATTGGTAATTGTGATGCTCCTTCAGTTTATCTTTCTGTTTTTATATGATGATTGGATCTTGGTTAATGTCTATAAAATAATTCCCTCGATATCACTTGTTACACAATCACGAATCGTGGAGTTTGGATGGAACTTATCCAACAAGTTCATGTTACTTTTAGTTGGTTTATGATGAATCTCATCGTTTTTATGATTGGAAGTTTTTATCAAATGATATTCTACGATCAGATTTATTTATGGACTTTTTTCTTTTAAAATTTTTTAAATAGACTTTACCCGAAAAAAATATCCTGTCATTTTAATCTCAGACTTATTCAATGTCATTGAGCTCCTTGATCTGACGGGTACTGGATGGCCTTGATATACATTATTCCAATGAGTTGTCTATGGTTGTTGTCAAGCATTTCTCGGGAGAATTGACTTTTAAGATGGCATGTGGATCACATTACTTGCACTTGCTGAAGTGTTCCATGATTATACAATCATATATATTTTGCAGATACCTCTTTTGCATCCAGTGTTGCCATTGTGTTGCAAGAATCTGAATGCGTGTGAACCACTGTTATATTGTAATTAAGAATCTTGCAATAGATTCTGTGTTGAGTCTGGATTCATCCTGGTTGGAACATAGGACTTCAATATACACTGATATTGATCAGACTCCCCCTATCACTTTTAGATGACACTTGGCATTGAACGTGAGATAAGGAGAATCTGCTCCGTAGCATGTTAGATTAAGAATAATTATGGTTGTTTGGTATTATAAGAACTCCTGGCGTTCACCAAAGATTGGCTTGATGATTAAATCTTTTAATTAACCCTACTTTCTTTATCCAATAGGCTTCTTACACCTCCTGGAACTCCTTTGGCACCCTCTTCAGATGGTATTGATTCTCAAACCAGTCATATGGCTTCAAGAAGGGGTTCATTGGCCAGGTCAATATCGACTACTAAAGCTTCGCGGGTATGCCAATCTCTCTACTCTAGCAAATGCTCATGTACTTTTGTTCCTATTAGTTGTATATAGATTAAAGAACAATGTCACGTATCAAATTATATGTTCGATCAAGTGAGAAATGATATACTACTGCTGACTGTCATATGCTTATGTGAGTGGTCTTATGCCGCTTACTGTCTCCCTGCTGAATATTTCATGCACAATTTTTAGTTACAAAAGTGTTTTCTTTTTCAGTTATCGGTGACTCCTTCAGAGAAAAACCATGCTGCAAAACCTATGCGGAGCAGTTCTGTTACTCGATCATCTGTTTCTGGTGCCCAGTATACTACCTATTCCAATAAATCAACCTCTATTCTTAACACAAGTTCTGCTTCTGTTTCATCCTATATTCGGTCATCCACCCCTACAAATCGCTCTTCAGCAATTACAAAATCTTCAACCACTACATCCCATTCAACAGTATCCAGATCTACAACTCCATCGAAACCCCGACCTAGTCTCAGCATGCCTTCCGTAGACAAACCTAGACAATCCCAAAACTCAAGACCCTCTACTCCTACGTCTAGATCACAAATGTCTGCCTGCTTGAACCCTCCTTCCCCTCGAACTACATCAAGACCATCCACACCTGTACGTCGAAATCCCACGCCATCTTTATCTCCTGCATCTGGTCCCTCAATCCCAGGTGCACGCGTTCTTACTAACGGACGCAGTCTTGCTTCAGTTTCTCGGCCAAGCTCACCTGGACCGCGAGTCCGGACACTGCCACAGCCAGTACCGCTTCCTGATTTTCCTCTTGAAACGCCACCAAACCTTCGAACCACCTTACCAGATCGACCCCTATCTGCTGGTAGGTCCCGACCTGGTGTGGCACATACAGCAAAAGGGAATGTAGAAACAGCATCAAATATTTCTACTGTTCTTAAAAGATCATCATCACCAGTAATCGCCAGGGGTAGACTTTCAGAACACAATGGAAGGCGAATACTGACCAATGGGCAATTAAGTGATAACATGGATTCTCGAAGAGAAATGCGGAAACCTGTAAAGGCATCTACAGATAACACAGGATTTGGCCGAACAATTTCAAAGAAATCCCTTGACATGGCTATAAGGCATATGGTAATTACCTCTAACCTCTTGAATAATGTAAGTAGGTTTTGAATGAAGTTTATCTATTTCATATATGTGATCAGTGCAAAATGGATTGCGTATTTTTTTTTTTTAGCTTTAAACTGGTTGAATTTCCTCACATGTTGAACTATATGGTGTAAAGAACTTTATAGCATCATCACGGCCATTGTAATTAGTTTCGAACATCATTACTTCTTGGTGCCATCACGACGCATACAGGATAATATCATAGTAGATAATTTGCCAATTCTTCATGTTGCCTTATCCTAAGTGGCCAGGTTGGACAGGATCGTTACTCAGAGCCCGTGTCAATCAATTCATGCGTTTCACAAGAACGAGTAGTATTACTGGGGTCTTGCTTCATAATCCATTTTCATGCTAAACTAGTTCTTGAATGTGAAATGCCCCCCACTAGGCTTGATTTGATATTATTATTTTGGGCTAATTATGTTGCATTTATTTTGCTTCAGCTGCGGCACTCTTACAGGGAAACAGGAATTTTAGGTTCCCCATGTTTATAACATTCTTAAAAGTGCGTTATCTTATTCTACTGCAGGATATAAGAAACGGAAGTAATGCGTTTCGCCCTCTGACTGGCTCAAATCTTTTCCCTCAGAGCATTCGACCCAGCAACCAGAGAATTCAGGCAGGCGCTCGAAGTACCTGTAATGTCGGCGCTGCACCTGCAGTTGAGAATGGGCATCGAGTTTCTGGAAGTGACAGCGAGGAGGACAGGCGTCAGTCTTCAGCTAGATTGAACAACAACATTGATATCTATGAGAGTACCCGCTACGACATGATTCTATTGAAAGAGGACCTGAAGAACACGAATTGGCTTCACAGTGTTGATGACAAGTCTGACCAGGGATCCATCTTTGATAATGGATTTGAGACTCTCCCAGAACCATTTGCTCCTTTATGAGCAAGCCTCATAGAGTAGAGGAGTTGAGATTATTGCATTGGATGGGTCATATTCTTCTGTCCGGTTTCGGTTTCGGTTTCATTTCATTTCATTATTATGTTTTATTTCTGTTGGAAAGGCTTGGCTTATATATTACTTACTATACTAACTAGAAGAGGAGGCAAAAGTGAAAACAAGCAATCGATGCGATGCGATGCGATGATTATTATGTGTTGATTTTTGTACAAGAGTGAACAAGGGATTAATAAGTCCATGGGTATTTTATTTTTGATTGAGTAGGTAAAGCAAAGCAAGTTAAAGCCAAGCCAAGCCAAGCCAAGCCAAGCCAGCACAGCAAAGCAAAGCAACGGTGTTGAGAGTTAGTAGAGAGTATGATAAAGTTAGTTGCCAACCGAAACGAAACAAAACAAAAAAACCTTGATGATGTGTTTTGTCTCTCTCCGTCCTCCCACTTTCCTAGTCGTGAGTGCGGTGTGTGAGACTTTCTGGTACGCATCCTGAAATACCACCATCCTCCTCCTCCTTGACGTGACCTGTAAACAACAAACTATCCGTCAATCAGCTACAGTGGTGTAAAGAGACTTGTAAATTGCCGGAGCCTAGAGCCGAGTAGTTGATTGGGTTGCGTTGCCTTGCGTGGGAGTATTCGAACCGACCGACAACGACGGAGAGTGGGTAACAATTACCCTGAAACCCCCCCTGAAGGTGGATCCTCTCTCTCTCTCTCTCTCTCTCTCTCTCTCTCCCTTCAGATTATCATCTTCCCTCAGAAAGAAAAAAGAAAGAAGACCGACGAAGGAGGAGGAGGTAGGAGAAGAAGAAGAAAGTGGATAAAGGGATCCAAATTTAACGGATCTCAAGCTCAATCTTAATCTAGTTGTTTAGGATCTCGATTTTTGTCGCAAACCGTTTATTTCATTCGATTCTATGTCGTCATGTCTGTTCTTATTTAGTTGTTGTTATTGTGGGTGTCTCTCTCCGCAGGCCAGGCCAGGGTCAAGATTGATTGATTGCTTCTCCTCCCTTGGGCGTCGGCCGTCCATCCAACTTCCTATCCCGCCCGGACTTAAAAATAAGAATGGGCCATTGCTTAGCTAAGGTATGTATGCATCTGCACGTAGATGTCATGTCCTCCCTCCCTCCCTCCCGCCCGCGTATTCATCTCTTCTGCTCTGCTCTGGTCTCCCTTGCCCCTTAGAGATATTATTTTAATTCTCGATTCCCATCTATCTATAATGGAGTACTATATTCTTGTTCGGTTATTCCAATCCCCATCAATCAATCAATCATTCTCAATGTTAGAGTCTTGTCTTGCCCTTTGTTCAGCTAGCTACGAGCCTTTTTGTTCGCTTCCTGCAACGATTACTACTAAAATATTTCTATGGCATGAGATAATGATGCAGCACGCCAATGATCTCGATTCTTCTGATCATAACATCGAATTCGCGGGTGGAAACGTCCAACTCATCACCACGGAAGAGAGTTGGGATCAAAAGATAGCTGATGCAAAAAGAGACGGAAAGATTGTGAGCACTCCCCCTCCCCTCTTTCATTTGATTATCTCTCGTCATATGCATTCATATTTTGGCCTTCAACTTCAACCTGAGATTACTTTCGTGTAGTTCCAGACCCGCTAGAGATGAGCAGTTCCATACTCTTGTTTTTAGCAATGCATCTAGTGAGTGCTGTGCTACACAATCTTGAAATGCTTAGAGCAGTCTAAGCTAGAATATTTCAAATTAATAAAACTCAGAGGTGATGATACAGGGCTGAACTTTTTCACTTTTCCTTACGATCGCGTGGATTATCTAGCAGCAACTTATGTTTGTTAGTAGCAATGCCCATGGCATAGTTGTGTTGAGTCTGGATTCCTTCTGCAACATATCAAGGATAGAAAAGCTGTGCATCCCCCTTCCGTCCTCTTCCCCTCCATCATACTTACTAGTTAGACAGGCAACAGTAGTGTACTCTTTAACTTCCCTCATTGGACTGAGCACAAATCTGCCTTGGCCCATAGATGCATCCCTAAATATTTCCATAACTACTTGGATACAACCTAACATTGGTAGATTTTTCCCTTAATCTCAGTCATGCATAGATTTTGATTGTTCATGAATTCTAACATAGATAGGCATCTGACATGACAGGTGGTTGCCAATTTTAGTGCTACATGGTGTGGGCCCTGCAGGATGATTGCACCATTCTATGTTGAGCTATCTGAGAAACACCCCTCAATGATGTTTCTGGCAGTTGATGTAGATGAGCTTACAGTAAGTTGTTTTGTGCTTTCAATTTGCATAACATCCTTGGCAAACAAAGCAAGCTCACCCCACCAATTGAGACAGGAGATGATTGTTTCAGGGATTTAGTACATCTTGGGACATCAAAGCGACGCCAACCTTCTTCTTCCTCAAAGATGGCCAGCAACTTGACAAACTCGTTGGTGCCAACAAGCCTGAGCTGCAGAAGAAACTGCTTGCCGTACTAGATTCTGAGGTGCCAGTCCAAGAAACACAATCTTCTTAAGCTTAGTTCTCTAGTAGCGAGCAAGGCACGCTACAAAGTAATGTTTTGAAGATATGATCGGGGTCTGTATGAAGAATCCAAGCTATATGTTGTATCGGGAGCATAACTATATATTAGCCATATCCTGGTTTTGTGCAATGGGATGATGTTGTATCATGGGAGGGTGATTACATTGCGTGTCCTTGATTGTTTGTTAGTTGGGTGGGATATGCGTCGAGAATAATGCGGAAAGTTGTTTGTTGCTGGCAAGGAAGGTCAAGGCGAGTCTGCCTTTGGAGGGGAGCAAGTATACTGTTAGCACAGCCGTCAGCCGGTATGGTAAAGCCACTTTAAAAACCTTCATTCGTGCTTGCCTTCCCTAATCTAAGTATTGCCAAACATGCATTCCTCACCCATATATTATCATTGCTGTTGTCGTGGGTGGGTGGGATGATGGATGTATAGAGATTATCGTTCCATTGCATGAGTAGAGTAGACATCAGATTTCTCCGAGTCTTGAGTAGCAACGCTGCAGCTCACTTGCTCCTTGGCAAGTGGTGGGTTTAGAGCACACAGCACCTCAAACAGCACCACCCCATATGAGTAGAGTAGACATCAGATTTCTCCGTTTCCTTTTCAAGTACTCAGGGTCCAGGTATCCCAAGCTACCCTTCACTTTGATCCAGTGATGGGCCTCCACTCAAATTGACCATGTCCTACTCAGATGGGCCTCAGTTGAAGGGCCGACGGCAGCCCATTTGTACAACTTTATTCAAACTCACATATATATATATATTTATAATCTGAGAATTACAGCCGTAAAATATAAATTTTCGATGACCACAGTCATAAATCTATCTTATACTATATCATGTCATTCCTTACGGTACAATTCACATTTGGTTTCTTTATGAATACTTGAATTGTGCTTAAAATATAAAAAATCCACAACATGCTTGCTTGTAAACGCAAGTCTTAATACAAATACTTTTTAAATCAAAATTAATTCTAATATAGTAAATTAGTTCCACCATTAGAATAACATATTCAACAAGTTTTCTATAGCATATTAGCATTTTATGTGGAAATACGAATGCTTACTGATTCTAAACATAATTATATATGTTTGATGATATGGATAACATTTTTTAAATTAATAATAATAATTAGGCACACAATGACATATATGATATTTTATCAATTATCCAAACTTTTTCTTTTTTAAGTAAAAAATTACTATTTTATTACATTTTCTTTTAATCATAATTTATTTTATTTTTACTTATTACTTTTTTTAAAAAAATTCATATTCAATCAAATAGGCATAAATTTACACAAGGAGAGTAACATATATGGCTGTACGTATTGCCCCTATGCTCGTAGTCATGCCCTTTAACAACTCCATAGCCCTATAGTAGTACAACGTATATATAAAATTTCTTCTTCTTGAGGGAGGGGCAAGATTGTGATATGTTGTAGTACTAAATGTGCCATCAGTTAGTTGTAAATAGATAAAAGCGAGTGAGTGACTGGACTGGACTGAAATGAAGTGGGGATGGGGAAGGGATTCCAATTTCCAAGCCTTCCTTATAGGCAGGGGCAGGCAGCCTCATAGCATAGCAGCAGGCAGTCAGTGATCGAGTGAGTGAGAGCGATAGAAACAGCCAACCAGCCAAGCCAGAACTGTAGAGTACCATTAGTATTACACAATGTACAAGTCAGATATGCCTGTCTGCATTTCCTTATCCCTAACCCCCAGGAGAAGATGGACAGAGATGCTTCTCTTCAAGTTAGAGAGACATCCATTTGATTTGATTTGAGAGAGAGAGAGAGAGAGAGAGAGAGAGAGAGAGAGAGAGAGTTGTTGAGTTGTCGGTTTGGCTGCTTAATGGCTTGCTTTGCTTTGCTTTTAAAATTGATATAGAAAAAAAGAAGGTGGGAATTGCTGGTAAAGTGCAAAATACAAAAGCCTTCTGCTTCTCGTGAGTAATTAATAATTACAATTATAATACGCAGACCTTCCTTTCCAGTTTCATTCATGTTATCTATCTATCTATCCGTCCATCCCATCTAAGAGGCTGCCTGCAATCTCTCTTTCTCTCTCTCTCTCTCTCTCTCTCTCTCTCCTTCTTTCTTCATTCCATTCAATTCCATCACCTTCCTTCCGGTCGGTCGGTCGGTCGGACTCCGGCTGCCTCTGCAATACGCACCCGCACCCTTATCATCATCTTCTCTAATTTATTCCTCCTGCTCCACTCCCATTCCGAATCTTCCATAACCAATGCCTCTGCGCCCCTCCTCACACCTTCAAGAACGCAGCTGATCGATCGGATCGGATCGGAGCGGAGCGGAGCGGAGCGGATACGCAGATCTGAAATCTCACTGTTCCCCGCCTTCCCAGATCTTAAACCGGTGCCCCATTTCTTCCCCATTCTCTCGTCTCTGGTTTTCCGCAGGTTAGGGGGCTCCTCACTCTCATCATCTTCTGCTTCTATTATTATTATTATTATTATTATTATTATTCCTGTCATTCTTTTTATCTTTCACTACCGATGCTCATCTACATTCACTGATTTACATCTCCGTTTCTGTTGCTTTTGCTCCTCTTCTTCTCCACACTCGCTGTTGCCCAGTCTCTAATTATTTATGCTTTGCGCGAGGCCTTAAGAGGGTTGCTCTTTTCTACCGGAACTATGTCTGTAATTTGATGCTTCCTTGTTTCCTCAAAAATCTAGATCTGCATCTGATAACTATGTCTGGAACTTTTCTGCTGAGATTTCAAATAAGATATTTTCCTCACTTTTTTCTTTCTCCACAGAAAAACGCATACTCGCGCGGAATTTCGGATTCGAGCCCTATCAACAACTCTCTCTTAAGCTGTGCTGGGATTTATAGAGTACTCAAGTCCGTAAAAGGTAATGTATTTCTCTAATTGTATAGTATAATACCGGTTTACGCAGTAACTGTTCTCACTAGTGGGTTATTCTTTGGGGCGAGTAAGGACAGAAACTCACACTAGGGGTTGATTTTTGGGGGTCGTCTCCTGGCGCGTTTTTGGCAATTGTTTTGATTGGAGACCAGTTATGTTGTCTCAAATGTCTTCTCTGCGTTGGTGGTTTCTTTATGTCTTCCAACAAGGCATCATTATCAGATTCTGAAGTCCGTACTCATCATCATCGTCGTCACTCTACATTGGGAATCAGCTCAAAAAGGACAACTGTGCCACTCTGCATCTCTCTTCTTCTGCTGAGCAGTCAGGGGTAGATTTTAACCCAGTTGAAGGCGAAGCTGTTTCAGGAAATTTGTTGGAATATCCCAATTTTTACTCTGCAAGAAATCGAATCCAGTCAGCTAATCTCTATGAGCAATGTGCTTCTCTCTAGCGAAGAAGATTATTGTCATGGGGCGGTGTTATGGATCTGCAGCACAATGTGAAAGACCTCGAACCTGGGGTTTCTTTGCAGGGTACTTCTGTTCAGGTTCTGGACTTGAATAAAAATCTGATATCACAAACCTCTCAGAGGAACATTCCTTCAGAGAAGCATGCAGCTGGAAGATAATATACCACATCATGTTAACCCCAGGCGGATTCATATTAATGATCCAAAGATAACTAATGATAAATTTGATTTTTCTGGAAATGAGATCCGGACAAGCAAATATACTATGTTTACCTTTTTGCCAAAGAATCTCTTTATTCAGTTTCATAGGGTTGCTTACTTGTATTTTCTAGCCATTGCAGCTTTGAACCAGCTTCCCCCACTTGCGGTCTTTGGTAGAACAGTTTCCCTTTTCCCACTTCTTTTTGTTCTTACAGTCACAGCTGTAAAAGATGGCTATGAGGACTGGCGAAGGCACAGATCTGACAGGAATGAGAATAACCGAGAGGCACAAGTGTTACAATTAGATAAATTCAGTCCAAAGAGGTGGAAAGATATTCAAGCTGGTGAGGTAGTGAGGATTAGCTCTGAGGAGACTATTCCTTGTGACATGGTTTTGCTTGGAACAAGTGATCCTAGTGGAATTGCTTACATACAGACCATGAATTTAGATGGAGAGACAAACTTGAAGACGAGGTATGCTCGACATGAAACAAATAAAATGGTACAAGACGTCGTGGCAATAGCTGGTGTTATCACGTGTGAGCAGCCAAACAGGAATATCTATGAGTTCACTGCCAACATGGAGCTTAATGGGAGGCGGTTTCCCCTTAGCCAATCAAATATTGTTTTGCGAGGATGTCAGCTCAAGAACACAGCATGGGCTATTGGGGTTGTTGTTTATGCTGGGCAGGATACAAAAGCTATGTTGAACAGTGCAATGTCCCCTTCTAAAAGAAGCAGACTGGAAACCTATATGAACAGAGAAACTTTCTGGTTATCAATTTTCCTATTAATCATGTGCCTTGTTGTTGCTTTGGGGATGGGTTTATGGTTAAAGCACAATGAGAGTAAGCTTGATACGCTGCCATACTACCGGAAAATTGACTTCAATAAGGGAGGTGGTGGGGAGAAGTACAAATTTTATGGGATTCCTATGGAAATCTTTTTCTCATTCTTGAGCTCTATCATAGTTTTCCAGATAATGATCCCAATATCACTCTATATCACCATGGAACTTGTACGTTTGGGGCAGTCATATTTCATGATCGGTGACCAGCATATGTATGACAGTTGCAGCAATTCTAGGTTTCAGTGCAGATCCTTGAATATTAATGAGGATTTGGGACAGATTCGGTATGTGTTCTCTGATAAGACAGGTACACTCACAGAAAACAAGATGGAATTCCGGAAAGCCAGTATATGGGGTAAGAATTATGATAATACCCCCTCTATGATTGCATCGTCAGAAGAAACAGATGTTGGAGGTATGCTCTACTTATTATGATTCTGTAATTCTTGATGAACTTCTTTGGTTGTAATTTCTGTTAGCTTTGAAAAACAAATTTTGTGAAGAACCACATTGAAGCATTCATTTTAGTGCTTGCAGAAAGTTAGGCACACACTACTTTATTCTACATGTTATTTTGTTTTCTATTGGCTGAGCTTATCTGTAGAATACAGTGGAAAACTGGGCATGTGTTTAATAAGCCTTTGCTATGTTGTTTGTGCGTGATATACTTTGAGCCCCTCTGCTGCATAACTCATTCTAAAAGCAGCAGTAGCAATATTCCACACTCCTCAATACCTTGGGCTGACCTTTTTGCCAGATTTCTATATACAATTTACTCTTCAGTTGCTATTTAGGGTGTGTTTGTTTGGGGGTTTGGATTTTGGATTGGGATTTGAATAGTAAAAATTTTGAATTTGAATAATTGTATGATGTGATATAAATAGGGTTTGATGTGATGTTTTGAATGTAAAATTGATTTTTAGTATAATATAAAAAATGAAAAATAGGTGTTTGATTTGATGTTTTTGGAGGGAAAAAATTGGATGAATAGGGAAAATCCTTCAAAATCCTTCAAACAAACACACCCTTATTTTGCTTGACTGTAATAGTACAGTTTTTTTTTTTTCTTTTGTCAGCCTGGACATGGTAAAATAATTTATTGTTAATTTATTATCTTCTTTTGAAATTTTCCTTTCTTTTATCAGCAACTGAAATGCAAGAATATTGCTCACATCCTGTGACCTTTTAAAAAAAATAAAAAATAAAAAATGCTATTGCCATGTGGATATAGTTGCCATCATCTTTTGTTAGTTTATTTTTATTTTATATTATGTTTCATTTATTTTTTTTATAAAAAGAAGTGAAACCTTACAAAACATTCCGCAGGGGTAGATCCTATGATGGCTGGAAGAAAATGGAAGCTTAAATCTGAAACCACTTGTGATCCTGAACTCTTGAAATTGTTGTATAAAGATCTACATGGAGATGAGCGAATTGCAGCACATGATTTTTTCCTGACATTGGCAGCTTGCAATACTGTTGTTCCTATACTTACTCCAAGTTCTTCAAATGGATCTGATGATGCATTTGATGATACTCGTGTGTCTATAGACTATCAAGGTGAATCTCCGGATGAACAGGCACTAGTTGCTGCAGCTTCTGCTTATGGTTATACGCTGTTTGAGCGGACATCTGGGCATATTGTTATTGATGCGAATGGTGAGAAATTAAGGTAGAACGCTCTATTCTTGGTTATCTTTGAAATCTATATTTTTTCCCTTAGTGACCTACTTTTCTGATGTGCTTCAAACGAGAATGTATTCTTGCTGGTTCTTTTTATCATCTGAATGCAACCTAATGCAACAATCTTCCTTGATTGCTACATAATGTTACTGGCAGATGTTTCATAATGCAATACGTTTTTGTTCTATATTGCTGCAAAAGTTCAATGTTTATTGCTGGCTTATTAACCTTTTTTTTTTTTTTTTACCCTGTATGTCCTTTAGGTTGGATGTTTTGGGTCTTCATGAGTTTGATAGTGTGCGGAAAAGAATGTCTGTTGTTATCAGGTTTCCAGACAATACTGTTAAGGTATTGGTGAAAGGGGCTGATACATCAATGTTCAGCATTTTGAAAAATGATAACTTCAGTGATGATAGCATAAGATGTGCTACACAGAGACATTTACTAATGTATTCATCTGAAGGATTGCGCACGCTGGTTGTTGCTACTCGGGAACTTACTGGTGATGAACTTGTGAAGTGGCAAAGCATGTATGAAGATGCAAGCACATCTTTGACTGACAGATCGTCTAAACTACGTCAAACTGCAGCTCTGATTGAATGCAATTTGGTCCTTATTGGGGCCACGGCTATTGAGGACAAGTTGCAAGAAGGTGTACCTGAGGCTATTGAGTCACTGCGGCAAGCTGGAGTAAAGGTGTGGGTTCTCACTGGAGATAAGCAAGAGACAGCAATATCTATTGGTCTTTCTTGCAGGCTCTTGACAACAGATATGCACCAGATCATTATCAATGGAAATTCAGAGGATGAATGTAGGAAGCTTTTATGTGATGCAAAGGTCAAGTATTGCTTGAAATCTGCAAGTTGCTCTGACCAGATCTCAAGCTGTAAGAGGAATATTGAACCTGATAATCTTGAAATTCATTCTCAATCAAAGTCATCCAATGTAGAAGAGCTGTGTGGAGGCCAGGAGGATGAACCTAAACCAGGGCCACTCGCTCTCATCATTGATGGAAATAGTCTGGTTTACATCTTAGAGAAAGATTTGGAGTCTGAGGCACGTATCTTTGTTTTTATTTCAATTTGGTGGTTTCATATGCTTTGTTCTCATCCTGAATAACTTCCTGTGATTTCACTTTGTTGTTAATAGAGAGATTGATAATTAGTGGTTATTTGAGCATACATAGCAGCCTGTCTTACTATTCATTTTGTCCTCTTTACCAGCTATTTGACCTTGCGACCGCATGTAGAGTTGTGCTCTGCTGTAGGGTTGCACCCTTGCAGAAAGCTGGAATTGTTGACCTGATAAAATGCCGAACTGATGACATGACACTAGCCATAGGTGATGGTGAGTTCATCATTCATCTCCTAAAGTTATGTAAAGTTCTTTTATTAGTGCCTGACTGATAATGCTGTCATAGGGGCTAATGATGTTTCAATGATTCAAATGGCTGATGTTGGAGTTGGGATATGCGGTCAAGAAGGGCGCCAAGCAGTAATGGCTTCAGATTTTGCTATGGGACAGTTTCAATTTTTGAAAAGATTGCTTCTTGTGCATGGACATTGGAATTATCAGCGTATTGGTTATCTGGTCCTCTACAACTTTTATCGTAATGCTGTTTTTGTATTGATGCTTTTCTGGTATGTGCGCCATCCTTGATCTTTATCTTCTGCACTAGCTGATGGCAATGCTTGATTTTTCCTTGCAATCTATTTATTCTAGAAGATTATTCACTCAAAGATACTGATCTATTGAACACGTATTGTTTTAGGGTAGTTATCATATTCCATTGTGTCTCATTAAGAATTCATAGGGTACCATACTTTTGCCTTTGTATTTTTTTTGTTAAAATGACATGCATTACGAACATTTTAATAAATTGTCCAGGTACATCCTTTATACAGCCTTTTCTACCACTTCTGCATTGACAGACTGGAGTAGTGTTTTCTATTCTGTTATATATACTTCAGTACCCACTGTTGTTGTTGGCATTCTTGACAAGGACTTGAGTCACAATACATTACTCAAATATCCAAAGCTTTATGCTGCTGGCCATCGACAAGAGAGTTACAATATGGCCCTCTTTTGGATTACAATGTCAGACACACTCTGGCAGAGCCTTGTTCTCTTCTACGTGCCATTTTTCACATACAGAGATAGCAGTATTGACATATGGAGCATGGGAAGCTTGTGGACAATAGCAGTTGTTATCTTAGTAAATTTGCACTTGGCCATGGATATACAGAGATGGGTGTATGTCACTCATATTGCCATATGGGGATCAATAATTGTAACATATGGATGCCTGGTGGTGCTTGATTCTATACCCATTTTTCCAAATTATGGGTTAGTTTATTTTCAGAATATTCTTATTTATTGAAAAATGTCATTGCATAATGAGAATACTCTGGTATTTTTGCAGTACGATATACCATCTTGTGGGCTCTCCAGCTTATTGGCTTGCGATTATGCTTATAATGGTCATAGGACTGCTCCCTCGTTTCATCTTCAAAGTTTCCCGCCAGATTTTCTGGCCTTCAGATATCCAAATTGCTAGAGAAGCTGAAATCTTGAGAAAAAGACGCCGGTTTTTTTGGTCAAAGGCAGCTCCTGTGTCAAGCTGATGTGTGTAACGTGTATTTATAATTAACCATCATTTGGTGAATCTCTACTCAAAGTCCTTGACAGCTATCTGTCTAGTGCATCTTGGCACGAAAATTGGTAGGTTCACACTTCTCCCTCCACACGTCCACAGGTGTATATATTTTTCTTTTTGAGAAATTTGTTGGTCAAAATGCTTTCTGTGTGGGGTGTCTCTCCTGCTTTGTGTGTTCCACATGCTGGAAATTAATTGCCTGATTTAGATCTGTAGGAAAAACTAAACAGGGCAGAACCTATTTGAATCGAATTATATTTGTTAAGAATAAAGAAGACGGGAAGTTATTACTATTGGCCTTTTGTGTTCCATAGACACTTGGAGAAAAAATGCATTTGAGAGTTGGATGTATAGTGGGTGGGGTGGACTGCAGGAACTATATGAACTCGGTGGACGATTATACTAGTGGTTTTGAAACTTGGGTTTGTTGCCAGGTGGATGCATGTGAATGTTTCCTTAGGTTACAGGGCCCAGCTATGCTTTGTGCTGGCTGCCTCCTGCTTTACTGTTGTTATTATTGTGTTTATGTCTCTTCTAGTTTTATTATTTCTTTGCTATGAGTGGGCTTTGTGCAAGGATTTCATTAGTTTAAGAAACTTGAATATGAATATATGATTGTTGAGCCGCCTGATTATGGGCTATGTTACTGAAGAGAAGTTGTGATGTTTGGAGTTCATACTATAAATGTTGATTTAATTGGAGTTCCCGGGTAACTTGGGGTTTGCCGTTACATGCGTGGCTGTTGTTTATTTAACGGATATGCTATGCTATGCTATGCTTGCTATTTTTATTCATCATATTTTGGCAACAAACGTGTAGGATGGACTGATTTGTAAGAGGAGCAGAATTGGTGAAAGAAAATTGATTGTTGTGCAAAGTAGTGCTTGCGAATAGGGTTTTACATACATATACAGATATATATATATATATATGCCATATATGATATATGTTGAAGGAAGTAGAAGAAAGCACAACAGACCATCGAAGATGGGTAGTGTTGCAAGCAAATCACAACTTCCCCTGGTGGTTGAGCCGAGCTGTGCGCGCCGTGCTGCCATTGTGAGTTATTAGCTGAGGGCAGAGAGAGAGAGAGAGAGAGAGAGAATAGCAGCAGCAGCAGCAGCAGCAGCAGAGCAGCGCAGCGCAGCTTGTATTGTCGGGGTCGGGTCTGTCTGTGTACTGACTAGTACTAAAGTTGTTGTGATATGGTTTCTTTGCTGAACAGTGTTTGTGCATCAGCGGATGTGTCTGTTACATTCATTCATTACATGATTCAATCTCCTCCTCCTCCTCCACTAGTTTCTTTCTTTCATTCTTCTATTCAGTTTTTTCCCAATAATATATATATATATATATATATAATTAGGTGCGTTTGTGTGGTTATCTTTTGAGGCCGTACCGGTGCCAGTACCAATACCGCTTTACAGACGTTGGATTTAATAGAAGCCAAATCCCTCGCAGTAGGGAAGGGATCCTCGGCATTCCCCTCGCTTCACGGTATGATGATACTATGTAGTATTTACAAACTGATTTCTGTACAATACAAATCTCTCTTCCTCTCTCCCCCTCTCCAACTCCATGTCTGCGACTGCATGCATGTTTAGTCCTTTTGTCTTAGAGCAGCACATTCCGAAGTCAGAAGGCTTTCTTCCACTTTTTGAATGTTTTGCTTTTACTTACCAAAAAACTCATCCGAATTGGTGTAAATTTTCGATTGGGCCTCGTACAGTCGCAACACAACTGCGGCTGCCTCTTTTCTTGTCTCTCTCTCTCTCCCCCTCTCCCTCCTTCGCTCTCTCCTGATTTCAGTCTCATCGCCACCAACCCAGCTGTCCGAAGGAAGATTTTGAAGAAGTGGGTGACCTTCGAAAACCCAGCTGCAATGGACTTGGAGTGGCTGACGAAGCCGTTGACTGTCTTGTTGGTCGGAAAAAAGTCAATGCGGGATTGTTGACACTGCTACTGATTGGAGTTCGCCGCCGCCGGAGGAGAAAGGGCTAAGCCAACAGCATCAACAGGCAGGCAATGTGTAATGTGTTAGAACATAAAGTGTAACATATATCTATATATGTATTTCTATATTGTGGTGGCAAGCATCTAGCCAGGATGCAAGAATGATGCATGATGCGTCATCTACATTTCATTTTTCTTTTTCACACTTTAAGAATCAATCACCCTTTTATTCTTTTATTTATGAATCAAAAGAAAAAAAGGGGGGTGGTGGTGGTGTGTGACTCATCACCACAAAAGCAAAGCAAATACTGCTCTCTCTCTCTCTCTCTCTCTCTCTCTCTCTCTCTACATGCCATTCGCTAAATACGCGGAGTCAGCATGTATGTAAATGTAATGTAATGTAATCCCACTCAGTTCCCACTGCTTGCTGGTTGGACACTTGGACGGACGAGTGGTGAAGGCGAAGATCAATTCGGAGTTTATTTATTATCTTGGGCTCGAATTGTACTGTTGAGTGGTTTGTGTTGTGTACTGTGAAGGCGAAGATCAATTCATTTACTTGTTTATTAGTAATATAATTAACCACTTGCGAATAATACACTGATCTGATCTGATCTTGTTCAACAGAAGCAGATACAATGTGGAGAGTAGACTGTAACATATACATAAAGACAATAGGAGATCGAGGAGGATGGGGAGGATGGTGGTGGTGGCGGTGGTCAATGCTAGCTAGCTAGCTAGCTAACTAACTAACTATTAAGCAAGCGGTGGTGGTGGTGGTGGCGGTGGTCTGACGACGAGGAGGGATGAAAATCTAGGCCGTAGAGAACCCATAGTAGGGCGGCGGAGGCCACGGCCACGGCGACGGGGCCAAACAGCCAGAGCAGCAAGAGGAAGGCGATGCAGAGCATCCTGTTCCCCACCAACGCCAATGCGAACCCTCTCTCCACCACGGCCTCCGTGTGTCCTCCTCCTCCGGAGATCATTATTAGTTGCCCCTCCCCCTCCCCCTCCCCCTCGACAGAGTTGATCAAGAAATTGGCGTCGATGAGGAAGGCGATGGCCATGGAGGTGCAGAGGAAGGTGGCGAGCATGAAGATGGAGGCGGAGGCGTACTTGAGGACGAGGATCCGCGGGGACTGCGACCCCAGCAGCAAGAAGAAGAAGAAGTGGCTGTGGTTGGAATTGGAACTGGAATTGAAGGTGAGGGCGTTGTTGGAGAGGGCGGCGAGGGAGAGGGTGAGGAGGAGGGTGACGGTGGCGGTGAAGATGGCGTACATGAGGGTGTTGCGCAGGCTCTGCACCGCCAGCATCCCCTTCTTGTCATCCCCCTGGCCCTGCAGCAGCTGCCGCAGCCACGCCCGGCGCTTCCAGGTGTTGAGCCCGATGGTGGTGCGGAAGGGCCTGTGCCTGAGGTGGTGCCAGAGGTAGGCGTGGTACGCCAGCGCCATGAACACGCTCCACGGGACCAGGACGCTGTCCAGGTACACGTACACCCCCGCCCCCGTCCCCGTTCCCGTCCCCGCCCCCGCCCCCATCTCTCTCTCGCTCTCCCCCAACATGCTCTGCAGTCTGCTCTGCACCGCTGCTACCTCGATTGATTATACTTGATGGATGGATCGAAGATGCATAGATATATATATATATATATATGCGTGCATGGATGTCTGATGCTGAGTAGCTAGCTAGCGTGTGTGATATATAAGATTAAGATGATGATATGACTGATAGGGCTTTGTTTGTTTGTTTGTATAGGTAGGTAGGTAGGTAGGTATGTATGTATGTATGTTTGCTTGCTTGCTTGTTTCCTTCCGAGTAGATTTCCACCGAATATACATATAATAGTGGAGTTCTTTGTCATCAAAGAACACTACACTAGTACATGATGCAGAATCTGCTGTATGGTGGTTGTGGTTGTGGTTGGCTCAGGCTGCTGCTGCCGCCGCTGGCACTAATCTATATAAAAGCAAGCACTAATTAATAACAGTCACATAGTACAGAAGGCAAGCACGTGGAATCCGGAAGTGAAGACCTCTTGTTCGGGTTCTGAGTGACACTGAGACACGTGGAAAAAATGAAATGGCAACACACATCACATCTCTCATTCAATTCAATCCAATAGTACGAGTACGGCAGCCCATTGGGCCGGAGGCCCACTTTCATAAAGACAAAAAAAACATTACTACTATCAGAAATTAAATATTGACATTTCCTGCCTGACCACGCATACGTACGAGGTCCCGTATCATGACCGCCCGTTTATTTTATGTTTGTACGTTGATAGATAGATAATCATCATAATACTCCATAACACACGCACATGAAAATACATTATTCATTCTTGTCCGTGTCGCAACGCCCACAAAGGTCCGTTCGTTTCTTTTTTCTTTTTTTCCATTTTTTAAATGTGAGGAAATAAGGCCAGACAAAGACAAGACAGGAAGAAGAAGAAGAAGAAGAAGAGGAGGAGGAGGAGGTAGAGTAGAGAGGTAGAGGTGAAGCAACAATCTCCAACTAGTCCAATGTCTAGAATAATAATATAGATAGATAGATATCTTCGCTTTCAGCATTGCCTTTTTTACTTCCCGTAAAAGGATCCCAAGCTCAATTCATCCTCTATTCCCGACTCAAATCGCTTCTTCTTCTCCAGCCGGTGAGGATTTTCATACTTGCTTATTCTTATTTTATTTTATTTTTCTATTACTAGTTGGAATCTTATCCCTCTCCTGATCTCCTCTCCATCTTCTAATAATCCGCCGCTCTTGTGAAACTAGTGGAACAATTAGCTGGTATTTAGCTTGCTCCAGCTTATAAATTGGCGGATTGTTCTTGGTATAGAGTTTTGAGCTTTTCAAGCTGGGTCCTTACTACTTTGATTTGGGTTCAGGTTGCTTGTTTTAGATATTTCTTCTTACCAACCAACCAGGTGAGGAGGGGAGAAGACAATTCGAAGAACATGAGGGAAAGGCTCGGAGTACTGGCTTTTGTTTGGCTTGTTCTCTGTGGGTCTTCTTTGGCACGGTTTATAGTGGAGAAGAACAGTTTGAAAGTGACATCGCCAGACTCCATAAAAGGTGTTCATGAATGTGCAATTGGGAATTTTGGTGTTCCTCAATATGGAGGAACAATGGTTGGGTCTGTGTTCTATCCCAAATCGAATCACAAGGCATGCGAGAGTTTTCACGACGTTGATGTCCCCTTGAAGAATAAGCCTGGGGGCATTCCAATCTTCCTTCTTACCGACCGTGGGGGTAAGTTGTCCGGTTTCAAAGACTTAAATAGGTTTGCTAGCCCTTCTCAATTTTTTTGTTTTTATGGTACTGTGGGTCTGATTTCTGATTCCTTTTGATTGCTGAGACTGAGTGCATGTGTGCTGAGTTAGTTGTGAAAGAAGATGACAGATTTTTGTTCTTTTAATTTCTGAAGTCACTTACGTTTGGTGTTATTTATGTTCACACTTCAAATGAGTGTGGCGCTCTCGTGTGTTTGGAGATCTTTTTGAAGCAATTAAGCAGAGTCACTCTGTCGTAGTTAATAATATCTTGAAGAATTATGATCTGCTGTTGGTTGAAACCTAATCTTCATCTTTCCCTTGTCTGGCAGAGTGCTATTTTACATTGAAGGCATGGAATGCTCAGAATGGTGGAGCAGCAGCTATTCTGGTGGCAGATGACAGGGATGAGCCTCTTATTACCATGGATACTCCAGAGGACCATGATATAAAGGAAGAATATATGCAGAACATAACCATCCCATCTGCCCTCATCAGCAAGGATCTTGGGGACAAAATTAAAAGTGAATTATCTAAAGGGGAGATGGTAAGTCTAAAACTTGATTGGAGGGAAGCTCTCCCACATCCTGATGATCGGGTTGAGTATGAGCTCTGGACAAACAGTAATGATGAGTGTGGGGCCAAGTGTGAAAGCCAGTTGAGCTTTGTCAAAGATTTCAAAGGAGTTGCCCAGATACTTGAGCAGGATGGTTACACTCAGTTTACTCCACGCTACATTACTTGGTATTGTCCCGATGCTTTCAAATTGAGCAAACAATGCAAGTCACAGTGCATCAACCATGGTAGATACTGTGCACCAGATCCTGAACAGGATTTTAGCAGAGGATATGATGGGAAGGATGTAGTTGTACAAAACCTACGCCAAGCGTGTTTTTTTAAGGTTGCAAACGAGAGTGGAAAGCCATGGAAATGGTGGGACTATGTGACAGATTTCTCTATTCGCTGCCCAATGAAAGAGAAGAAGTATACGAAAGAGTGTGCAGATCAAGTGATTCAGTCACTCGGTAGGACATATTCTTCTCCTAGTTTCATTTGGTAGTGAAGATTTTGATTTCTGTCTTCAAGGTTGTGGTCTTTGATGGAAGGGTGTTTTGCAAAGAGGTTTGGAAGTTATTTCATGCAAACTGTTTCATCTCTGCCCCTTCATGTAATGTTTTGCTTCCCTTCTCGTTGAATGTTGTGAACTTTCTTTAAGCTCCTCTGCACCTTGATAGCATATTATATCGATCATGCATGCCCCAGTGGAAAATGGCACTTGCTGCTTACTATCTCTTATATACTTTCCAGTGGTGACGGATCATCCTTGTTGATACTTGATATTGATGCAGCAGAGATTGTGGAACTTTGATTCTATTACTTATTATCACTATTGATTTCCATTGGCATCAATAGACTTTTCCAATACTCAATTGTATTTTATGCTGAAACCCAAGGTATCCTACATGTGCGCCGAATTAGTTGAGTTTTGTATTAATGGATATTATGCACTTAAAACCGACATGAATCCAGCATAGGGCTATAATGGCTAAGGTAGTAAAAAGAAAGGAGCTAGTTTTGCATTCTTAGTTACCAGGAAACATTCAGTGAACAATAATCTTCTTTCTACAATTATGTTGTAATTGTGTTGTACGCTCCAACTTTGGAACAGCCTGTTTATTATTCTCTCCTCTCTCCCAACATATCCATATCTTCCTTCTCTCCCCTTCTCCATCTTTTATATTTCCATAGACAACGAAGCAAGTTTCTTATTTGTAATTCTCTATCTTTTTCCCAACATTTTCCTTTCTTATCATAATAGCATGTTTTGAACAGATTTAGCATAAAGTTTTTCTAGATATGGAAATTGTTTGTGCCCTTTTGGTTGAGACTTCTATGGCACCACATAGAAGTGGAAATTTTTGTAGTCTCAGATTTAGTATTTAATTTTTCACACATTTTATTTGGACTTTCATTATTAATGATTATTAATGATGCTGATTACTGCCATTATTATTATTACTACTTTCACCGGACATTTTATATTTAGCTTACTATTTTTTATGCTAATGTCTTCTACTACCCAGGCTCTGCATTTACTCATTGACAAGTGCTTATGTACAGGAATGGATGTTAAGAAGATAGACAAATGCATTGGAGACACTGAGGCTGATGTTGATAACCAGATTCTAAAAGCCGAACAGGAGGCACAGGTTGTCCCAACTCCCTTGCCCTTTTCATGTAGAATAATAATGGTAGCTGGCTCTGATGAAGTTGTTAACTGGCAACTTAATTATTTCTTAGATAGGCAAGGGTTCACGAGGAGATGTAACTATCTTGCCAACTCTTGTTGTGAACAACAGACAGTACAGAGGTATCGAACTCAGGAGATCATAATTAATCTCTGCATATCTTAAAGTTAATTCTGAGAAGTAAAGTAATGTAAACTATTTTTATGCTTCAGGGAAACTTGAAAAGGAAGCAGTGCTCAAGGCCATTTGTTCTGGTTTTGAGGAGACCACAGAACCTGCTATTTGTTTGGCTAGAGGTCATTGCTCTTATCCTTTTTTCTAGTGTAAAGCTTTGGAATAAATGTATAATAACATGACGATCAGTAAATTAATTCAATTAGGAAAAGGGAGTTAGCACTAAATTTTGTTGGTTGCATTCAATCAAATCCATTTCAATTGGCTCCTTAGTAACCAAGCAGAAAAACAACCCTGAATCTTTTTTATCTACCACATTCTGTTTGAAATATTGCACTCTCAATCAAATTGATAAACATTGACTTGCTACTTGTTGTTTTGAGTATATGAGTCTAATTCACATGTTCCTGTGTGTTTGGTCCAGATATGCAAACAGACGAGTGTTTGGAAAACAATGGTGGATGCTGGCATGATAAAATTTCTAACCTTACTGCTTGCAGGGTATTCTAATATTCTTTCTTTTTATATATGTATATTTATTATTCTGCTGGCTGCTAAGATTATTCATCTGAATAAGAGTTCTTTTATAGGATACCTTTCGAGGGAGAGTATGCCAGTGCCCCATTGTTCAGGGTGTGAAATTTTTTGGTGATGGCTACACCCATTGTGAAGGTAATGCCCGCCATGCCCCAACCAAAAACATGTTCAGGAATCAGTTTCAATATCCACTAAGGGTGTGTTCGTTTGAAGGATTTTGACAAAAACCTACTATTCATCCAAAATTTTTCCCCCAAAAATATCAAATCAAACACCTATTTTTCATTTTTTATATTATACTAAAAATTAATTTTACACCTATTTATTTCAAATCATACAACTATTACAATTTAAAATTTTTACTATTCAAATCCCAACTCAAAATCCAAACCCTCAAACAACCACACCCTAATAGTTTTCTTTGGTCCACTATATGAGTATTAAAATTGATCTTACATTTGAGTAATAAAATGGGAACTACTTAGATATATACATATCCCTATTTTCAGAGTAGTTGGATTATGTGTTCCTCCAGTAAATCTCTCATTTGAGCATATATTTCTTTTATGTCCGTGTTTGCACAGCTTCTGGTGCGTTAAGATGTTCAGTAAGTAGTGGAGGCTGTTGGAGGGGAACACAAAATGGAAGGACATATTCTGCATGCATTGTGAGTTAGCTGACATTACTTCAAACCACCTGTTTTTACACCATTTCCTGTGGCAGTCCAATCTTGTTGCTTCTGTATTATGCATTACACTGCGCTGATGAATCTCTATAATTCAGGATGACCAGACAAAAGGTTGCAAGTGTCCGTCTGGGTTCAGGGGAGATGGAGTTAAGAGCTGTGAAGGTATGTGGTTATCTAGCAGTTTGTGATAGAATTTGTGGGATGCTCTTGCAGTTAGATATTTTGGAAGTAGTTGACTGAATTCGTTAATTTGCATAACCTCAGATATTAATGAATGCAAGGAAAGGCTAGCTTGCCAATGTCCAGGGTGCATATGCAAGAATACCTGGGGAAGTTATGAATGCAGTTGTAATAGCAATTTACTGTACATACAGGAGCATGACACCTGTATAAGTAAGTATAAGCTATTCCTTATCATATTAATGCGAGGAAGTATAGCAGCGTGTACTTTTAGTTGTTAGCATGTGTTTTAGGATTTTGATGCATTTTGGTTTGAATTGCTCTCCATCTTTCTGCAGTTTGTCAGTAGCAGTCAGGTTGTGAGTCAATTTATTGTTAGACTTAAGACTTAGCATATTTCGGGGCTATTCGTTATCTAATACTTTCAAGGGTTCTGAGGAATGAAAAACATATGCAGAAGTTTTTTTTTTTCCTAACGTAGTACTTTCCCTTCCTATGAGTCTTGATCTATGATGCAGATGATTGTTGATAGTATCCTGCAGGCATGATCATTGTTATCTGCCACTGAAGATTCTATTTGCTTAGGTTTTTCCAGAAAAATATTCTTGGGAGATTGACAGCGGAGTAAACTATCTATTTTGAAGGGCTTAATAAATTTGTAGCCATAAAGCTTGCAAGTTATATGTCGAATTATTATTTTGTTTGTTTTTCTCACTATATTTTCATTATTCGAGCAGGTAAAGATGCTACTACAAAATATAGCTGGGGCTTTGTATGGGTGATAATTCTCGGTTTGGCTGTGGCGGGGGTTGCAGGATATGGTATCTACAAGTATAGAATCCGGGTAAGGCTCTGAGATTTGTTCTCACATTTATGAACTTTTATGGATGTGATTGAAATGTGCTTGTCAGCACGCACCAGCTCTGTAGGTTTGGGTATGGTGGTGTACCCAGTTCTTTCAGCCTGGCTGGCTTCCCAGCCTAAGATACTTAAAATTCTGAGATATTTTCTTGATTTGTATGCAGAGATACATGGACTCCGAAATTCGGGCTATTATGGCACAGTACATGCCCCTGGATAGTCAAGGAGAGGTGGCTGATCAGGCTGGTGAAGAGCGTGCATTGCCGGGCCATGTTTAAGGATGGCTGTCACAGCGGCTCTGTTGGTTGTGTGTGATAATTAGGTCTTGTGTGCATGTAACCTTATGTATGTTTGTTGTTTTTAAATGTTGATCTGTGTCTATAAATCGATGTCCACACGGAGTCTAGCTGCGCAATAAAACACCCATTGTTTCTGGGAAAATTTTCAGCAGAGGATGGCTAACGTCTACATATGGATGCTTTCCTAGTGTTCATTGGTCTTGAAAGGGGTGAAGGCAACGGTTTAGCTTGCTCTGTAAGGCAGATCTGTATCGTTACTTTGCACCAAGACCACTAGATGACATGCATGTGCGACCACTAGATGACATGTATGCGCTCTGCTGAGTTGCGCGCTCGTGTTTTTGATGTGTTGTTACCCTACTCGAGCATGGAATAGTATGTATATAGCTTTATGCCCTGAGGCAGAACAGGGACTGACCACACATGCAAAGCCAAGGTCACTTCTGGGGATTGGTATTGTGCTGTTGGGTTCTCCTGAGATGCTGGAGGATACCATCCATTCAGTCAGTACTCCGGTGCTGTTATTGTCCATTGTAAGCTCCCAAGCTTTATAACCAAAACCACATCATGTTTCCATAGTTGATAATGGATCAAGTCCTACGAACAGAGGGGGCAAAACTACTCTACAGAATGAATGCTACACCTTTTACAAGAATGGTATGGTATACAAGGATCCGTGTATAAGCTCTGAGCCATTCGGTTCTTTTAGCCCAAGATCTTGACTAGCAGTATCAATTACAAAGCATTGTACCAAAATTTCTATAACGGGACATTTTCTCACATCAAGAATCATTATTAACTAACACAAGGTGTGGAGCATGAGTTTTATACCAACTGCATTCTGGCATTTACCATCTATTCATGGTCCCTTTCTTCCTGTGCATATCTTCCTCCTCAATCCTCCCACTCCCAACCATCTTTCTTTTGAGGCCTAGAAATGAGGCCGTCCACAGAGATGTTTCTGGCATGGTGCACAGCCGGTGATTTTACGGCAGTCTCCTCATCCCAATCATCATCATCATCCCAGTCATGATTCCAACCTTCTGCTGCATCAACATTTGTAACAGATGTGGAAGGTTCAGGTAACCCCATCTCTAGTTCCTGATATGGAACTCCTACCACGTGTCTCTTCCTGAATTTGCAGCATGCCCATGTCCCTCCGAAAAGCAACACCAAAAGAAAGAAGCCATATACTGCATAGATTGGGGTCACCTGCTTTGAATAGAAAGTGAGCTGCTGCATAAGGTTGTCCAGTGAAATAGTATTGGCCAAGCTAAGCTCACACTTAGCCTCGGCAAAATTCACAAATAGGGTAGCACTCTTTCCCACTATTGATGAGATGTTCACCTGCCAAGCAAGGATGCAGACATCAAGACACAAGTAAAAATAAGTACACAAGACATATCCGATTAAATTGGGTTGTACGGACTTCAAAATCAATGAAGGCTTGCAGATCTACAAACACGAAAAATATAAAAATCAATGGGAATTCAGATTAGAAACACATAACATGGATCCGAGGGAAAACGGTGTACAAAATAACCAAGAAAGATAATTGGAGAATTTATGATTACAAAATGCAGAAATAAATCCCACAATACGGATGTGTTTCTTTATCAAAAGTTCTCCAAATTTACTATTTAGACTCCATTTTCCAAAAATATACACTTCTCCTTTCACATCCCATCAAACATTATTTTAATACCAAACTCAAACCAAATTTTCCCAAACCAAACCCAAAGAAACACACATTCCTCAGGCCACTTGTTTGGGCATAACCATGGCATCTGCTTATTTCTCTTTCTCAATTATTCGTATCTGTATGTTCAATGTAATAAAGTAATATCACTCACAAAATACATCATCACCATAGTCTTTCTTCCATTGAGAAGGTCTTTATGTATGTCCACATCGACATCAACAGTCTCATTTCATTTACCACATATATTTACTTCGAATCCACACCTAATTGCCCAACATCCTGACAGAATTATCATAAATATAAATATATCACAAGCTGTAACATTTCTTAATGTAGGGTACCTAATGATACATCATCTTTTAACCCATCAAGCGAATTTCATTGTCCTGCCACAGCATACCAATCTCAATTATCCCATAACAAAGTGAATGTAAGAACACGTACAACATTTCAACAAAATCCCACCACATATCAATCTCCTCAATTGCAATTTTAAGAATCAGAAAGTTGTGAATCAGTGGCCAAAAGCCAACCTAAAAGGCAGAAATAAGTAAGCCTTAGCGCCGAACTAATTTTGCTCTCATTTTCTTCAGCATCATACCACAAATGCATATTGATATTGAAGGTTCTTTTGTCATCAGTATAACTCTTAAAATGTATCATGTTAAGCATTAGAAAGAAAGCTATTCAAAATTTGGTCCAAAAACACATATCAGTTTGTGCTCTCCTACAAGAAACTAAAGTTGAATGCATTAGTAACTTCCTCAGCTCCTCAATTTGGGATGAAGCTTCAGTGTAACTCTTTATCCAACCATCTATTGGACAGTTGCATGGGCTCCTTTGCCTTGGTCAGTTCCTTTCGTGATCTCCAAGTCTCCATCAGAGATAGATACTTCACTCCCTTAGAAGGTTCAATATAAGGTATCAATCTTCTTTTATGTGATGTCTCAGCTTGTAGAGAATTATGGATTCAAACAATCCAACTTATTATTGATAGGCTCTCACCAGGTTCCGAGTGCTTTCAATCTTCAACCATTAGCTTGAATCTAAGTCTTTCAGAGAGCTTGTAGGGGCAGCTTGCGAATTGCGATTCTTCCATCGCTCCAGAAAGTTTTGAGGTAAACATACCATTCAACCTCTAGCAACTCAAGGATCTTATCAGGAGGTGGAATGGTTTTAAGTCCTGTGGTTATAGTATGGAAATTGACAAGCTCATATCCTCTATCCAAAATTTGGAAAATGCCCTCGTGAAAGAAGTCATCTTGAGCAAGTATTTTATTTGGAATCTTTAAAAAAGCGGATGACTTTTTTGGAGGTAGAAATCAAGAATGTATCAGCTGGTAAAACGTGACTTCAACACTAAATTCATTCTTGATGTCATGTCACAATGATTTTCTGCAAAACTTACTTTGAGTCCCTTCTAGTCATTAAGCATGTTCTGAAGTGTTTTTATCTATCTACAATCTTGAAATTCAATCTACAAAAGAACTCACTCTTTGGTGTTAAAGTCTCAGTCTCAAGAGGCAAACTTTGGGTGCTGAATCAAGAATGGCAGCAAAACATAGGTTTTGGGATGAGTCGGATGACCTTGGTCTTCTATATCCCTCCTTATGAAGATTTATTTTCGTTGTATTTATGTGGTTTCCTGCTCTAAATCCAGAGTTATCGAAAAGTTTGGGTACTGGAAAGAAAATCCTTGGAATTAGCATATCATGTTCTATCACCCTCTTCTCAACTGAGTCTCTGAGAGGAAATTATGGAGGAATTCAAAAAGCTAATAACCAGCTCCTTACTATTAGTCCAAACCAAAGATACTGATTTGGAAGTCAAAACCCAATGGTTCCCTACTTTTCAGTCAAATTGTTGGATTCATGACTCTACCAGACTTCCCTCTCGGCCTCTCAAGCCTGGGCCCCTTTCTTTGGTAGAAAATGCTCCTTCTATTCTGAACAAGTTCATTTGGAAGTTGATTAAAGGAGATCTCCATGTCTGAGACGTCCTCGCATCTTGTGGCTGCCTAGACATTTTCTGTCCACTCAGCCAACTTGTATCTGAATATGTTTCTCATCTCTTTCTAATTGCTTACTGTCTTCTAATGCTTTTTTGCAAAGAGGGAGAAGCTCATGGGTTTGGCCTATGTCAGACCTTAACTTTTCTAATCATCGAAGGGCATTAGCAGATTCTAGAATGAACCATAACATGCTTTATAAGGCAAATTATTGGTTTTATAGAAAGCACGCAACAAAATTATTTTTAACATTGAGGTCTTCTTAGCTAATTAGATTATCTTCTGGTCCCACTTTATGGCCCAAAATTGGTACTAAGCAAAATTTCCTTTCATGGATATTCTCTCTCATTTTATTTGTCAATAACCTTCAGAAGATTATTCACAATCTCTCAACTATTACCAGGGTTATATCATCGGGGGAGTGGTTTTAGTATTTTGTCGTAAAAGAGTTCCTTTCTTCCTGGGGATTTTCTAGGTTCTTTGCAAGGTTTAAAGGTTGTTTCACTCCTACCATAGTACCATGTCATGTGATATATGATTTCTCCATGAAAAAACATGCATTCCTTTCTCTCTCTCTAAAAAAACTATATATGAAAGAAAGTGAAAAATTGATAAAATTCCAACCCACACTGTGATACATGATAAGATAAAGATAATTCATATGAGAAAGGAGACACATACCGTTGTAGCGTTCTGTTTGTGCACTTCGAAAGTTTGCCAAGGATTTTTTGAATAATTAGGTAAATTGACATCTACTTTTAAATTACTTTTCCCTTGATTTTGCACTACAAGGAACAAGTCCGAATAACCTGCCATATATAATAACCACATGTTATCTCTTTGTAGGATGTCTTGTGTATATTCATAGTTTCAACTTGCACCAGGCAGAGACCACATTTTGCAGAAGCATAAGGCTAATAATGCATGCAACAAAAATGAATCCTTTGAGAATCATACATGAACGTATGCCATAAGTTAGTTTCCACAAAATGTTTAGAATATATATTATTGTAGAAAGAATAGCATACAAATGGCGACCACCAATTTCGTTAATTCTATGTTAGAATGATATAGAGCTTACAGGTATAAAGGATATCTAATTTAATCAAAACTCAGAAATAGCATGGTATTATTACAGGAAAACATGCACTAACATCATCAACCTAGGTGAATTAACATACTGGACAGCTCCCCAAAATTCAAAAGATTCCCTTTGATAATCAAAAGGGAGAATCAGTAGACTCAAAGTATATTCTTATCTAGTTCAGTACTCGGATGAAGTGGGCACAAAAATCATGCAGCCATGCAACCAAGAAACTCTATCAGTCAACTAATCAGGTCATATTGAGATAGCTTCTGTTTTCTGATGAATTAAATTGCAATGCAGTACCAGAAATGTTTTTGTACTATAGTAGTGTAAGTACACCTAACATATTTCAGAAGCTTCAGTGACACAAAAATTGTCCTCAAAACTGTCTCTACAACTATGGCACAATGGGCGAATGTTGTGTTATTTTATAAGTTAACCATCAGGGGAAAACTATCTTTATGCAATACATCATTTTGTCAAGTGTATATGACAGTGGAACAACGAGTCAATAATTATCATCATGATAAGGTCTGCTCAATGATATACAAAATAATTTGAAGAATTACTTTGTTTGGGCGCTTTAACGCATGCGATAATCTCATTGCGCCTGCAACTTGTAAGGGATCCTTCACAGCTGATATTGTTGCCCAACGACTTCTCCTTTACTCTATCAAGTGTATCCGCATTGCTCTTTCCAGTAGATGTTTTCCGAGTGGTGGAATTTTGACCGGCATCCTTGGAATCAGACGGCAGGGTTCCATTGTCAGTCTGATGGCCCTTATGAGAATCACCGTGCCTCGCATCTTCATGCTCCCCCGTAGTTTGGGGTGCTTTCTTCAGTTGATGAGTAGGGCTACCAGTGGGCGGAACCTGGTGTAAATCCAGGTGCGATGAGAAATGCTTCGGTGGATGGGATTAAGAGAGACGTGTGAAATTAAAAGATGAGAGAGAAGTTTACCGATGAATTCGTGGAAGCGTTGTTCGGTGCACCAGTAATCAGCTTGCGGAGATGAGAAGCGCTGCTGCAAGTGTTGGAGACAAGAATGACTATGAAAACAAAGACTACAATCCCATTTTTACCCATCCCACAAAGTTGCAGCCTGGCTTTGCAGAGATAACTAAATCTTTAGCATGTTCCGATTGTCTCTATCGAAACGGAGCTAAAGAAGACATCGTGGGATTAGGTTTAAGGCGGAATCATATAAAACACTTGCGAAAGGTACAGTAGATAAAAAAAAAAACGATTAAGTCTACGTGTGGAGTGGAGGAGATGCTGGAAGATGAAAGGGAAGAGAAATTTTAGGGAAATACTCGGGGGGTGCGAGGGCTTGTATCATCGCCATCGAGCAGCAAAACGAAACGAGATACAACAACTGGGAGGATTTAAAGAATACAGCGGACGCAGAGACAGGGACAGAGACAGAGACAGAGAGGAGGGTATGTGACTCGACTCCAGTATGTATGTATGTATGTATGTATTGTATGTATATATGGTATGTAGTTGACCAGTGACCACCATCTCCAATCCAATCCAGTCACTTATTTCCAATCGGCATCCGACATGTGGGCTGGCTCGCCCCATATAATATATACTGATATTTACTTTGATGGATGAATGGTGATGTGAGTGATAGATAACTTGATTAGTTTAGTCAAATTGACAAGAAGATTCCAGGAGGAAGGTTGTTTGTACTTGTGAGTAGAGGGAGGGATCCACCAACACAGCACGTACGTACGAATAATTGATGAAATTACATAACCAACGAACTGAATGAAAGAAAGAAAGAAAGAAAGAAAGAATGCGTGCATGGGCATGGCTTTGTTCGTTGAGGAGGAATTGAAGTATGAATTTCATTTTAAATTGCTAGTGTCAGTAAATAAATAAAAGGAGACTTGCCTGCCTGCCTGCCTTCACATACTGCCCTCGATCTCGATGCCAGCTTGGTATCGGTAATTCGCCAATAATAAATTCCGTATTAATTAAAAGAGGAAGAAGAATATAAATACGGTAGCAATGGAAATTCAAAATTTGAATGGAAAATTTAATAAGGCAACAGCCCAAATAACTTTGACCGACTGCTCATCATCCCCTGCCCCTGCCTCACTTAGTTGAAGACATACATACGTACAAACACACACACATATTTGAATGGATACTGTGGATGGAGATGGAGTTGAGTTGAGTGTGGTGTGCCGTATGTATTTATTTATTATTGGTGGCTGCTTCCTGGGGCTTGCTTGCTTGGACAAATTGGAGGAGCAGAGGAGCAGCCTTCCCTTTTACACGTAGAATCAATCCTCTTCCTCCTGTCTCTCTCACACACACGCCCTGTCCCTGTCGTCACTTTGCTTTTCTCTGTGTGTTTTCTTCTTTTACCAACCGGTTGGGCTGCTTTGCGTTGCTTGTGAGTTGTGGTGGGAGGGATTCCTCTTCTCATCAACCTTGGTAAGAATCAAATTGTTCTACAAGATTTTACTGACATAAATTAGCCAGCCAGCCAGCCAGCCATTAAGAAACTAGAGAGAGGGAGAGAGATACCACCTTTGGATAGATAGACAAACAGAAAGACAGGACGTGTGTATATATATATAAGGATGCAGGGAGTGCAGGTGATGTTGCAAGGTTTGGCTTCGAGAATGGAAAGCGAGGAAGAAATGGCAGCGGTGTTGAACAAGTTCGGGGATGAGCAGAGCACGTTGTTGGACAAATACGAGCGGCTCTCATTCGAGGTGCAGCTGAACCAGGCCATTCTGGGTCGAACCCTGTCGGAGCCAAGGTGGCCTCCTCCGAAGAAGACCACCACTGGGAAACAGCAAGGGCAGAGATCAGGCTTCCAAAAGGCACTGAAGAAGTTGCTGCGCCCGATTGTTGTTGGCAGGCGGCAGGGCGGAGCACAGAAAGATGATGACACTCATAGTAATAACAACAATAATGAAAAGGGAGGAGCAGGGGCATGGGCAAAGAAGGATCCCGTCGTGTTCTGGAAAGCATTTAGCAGGTCCTTGAGGGTTTGAACACGAATTGATGATTGATACTCACACCATCCCCCCCCCCTTTTGCCAGCAGCAGCAGCAGCATGCTTGAATTGTGTTGGCCGCCACGTCGCATCGCACGATCAATTTACTTTTCTGACGGAACGGATGGCTATTTTGCTTACTAGTATTTAATTAATTAATAGTAGTATTGTGTATGATGCGACATGGTTGCGCGCTTTAATTTTCCGGCCGACGGGCTGGGCAGTCCCGCCCTCTCCGTCATTGCACTTTTCTTTCTCGACAAGCAAGCAACTGCAAGGCAAGAGTTGCCCGGCCGGAGCTCCTCTGATACGCAACTGCATATAATATTATAATACTAATAATTTCAACACCATTTATATTTCTTCATCTTCTTCTTCTTCGTAATAATAAGATTCGTTGACACTTTACGGGCGTTAATATATGTCCTCGTCCTCCCTCTATCTAACACACACAAGAATTTTGAAAACTTGATAGCAATTGTTGTAATCAAGGCTTGAGCTTCAAAAAACGCAGGGACTTTGAAATCTCTTCTGCATGACTCTTCCATTCCGGATGCAAGCTATAGATAGTCTTTCATTTGCTGTGGAACTCTCATGCATACTTACATTTCTTGTGCAAAACCAATGGATGCTCCCCAATTGTGACACCCGAATAAATAACCTACGCTCGACTCATGTATTGCCCAGTTCTAGTATCTAGCAAAATTTCCTCGCCAACATCTATGAACAATGGGACACTGACCACAGCGCCAGTATCAACAGTAGCAGACTTGTATCCTCCTGCAATCCACTGGAAAGATTAATATATATATATATATATATAATAGTTGATGAAGCTACTGCTGTATAACAACACAACATGCAAGTGCCCCTTGTGATTCCTGATTTGGTCACATGTCCAATATGAATCACTGTGTTCAATGTGTTGGTAATAACCCACGACTATACCTTGAGCTGTGTCACCCTTAAGGCCAGGATCGGCTTCAACCACTTTTAACTTCACTGTGATGGGGAGTTCAAAGTCAATCACCTGCATCAGCATAGACGGTTAACCTTTCCTTTCAGAACTGTGTGACAGATTTGAGATGCAAAACACGAAAAAATTTGGGGACTGGTTTCAAACAGGAAGCAATGGTTGGGCAGCAGATGTTCGAGTAACCAAGAATAACCTTTGCTTCCCAGAATAGCAAATTGCAGTCCGTGCCTTCTTTCAGCCACTTGGATTTATCTCCGACATCTGCCTCGTTGAGACGGAATTCTTCAAATGTAGTCTGGAACATGTATTGCAGGATGAGATATCGTATCAGTTTTAGTATTTTACTACATAAGGCACTTTTTTCATGTGTTTAAGGGGATGCAATCATAAAGTATAAGGACAGGATAACAATTGTTTTAGATTAAAACCAGGCAAGTTTGTTCCAATTTCAACTGACTTCAACATTGGGAGCAGAGGTATAAGACTTACCAAGTCCATAAACACATACTGAGAACCATCTTTGTAAGTAAATTGCTTGGTTTCCTTGAATATATCAGCCTCTTCAATCTGTCAGAAATAAACAAGGAAGATATAATTACTGCATAGAAGGTGTGATACTGCTCCAATTTCGGCACAATGAGTTGTGGAGTGACTTTGGCCGGGCTGAAGATGCCTTGCATCACCAAGCCAAAACCCAATGCAAGTGTTATTAAGATGAAAAAATAGTTGTAAAATACAACATTGAGCTGAAAGCATCAAGAATGAGCAGATCATGCACCTAACTACATGAATGAAGTCTTCTTTAGATTACACCACCTCAACATTTTATATACTATATAAATGGAACCCACGATTATGTGCATACACTAGAGTATTTATATAAATAGTTCCCTCTGATATCTGCAACTTTAGACCTAATCCCAATTGTACACCATCCTTAGCCTCTACAGTGTAGAACTATGTGCTAACTGGACTGTTTCAATCAGATTTGACTTTAAAGATAATAGTCCAGCAGCTCCAAAGAACTCAGAAAATGTACTTACTCCGTTCCTCACAACAAAATTACCAAATGAAAGACCTGTCCTCTCCAGAGGGATACATCAATAAACTTGATTCTGGAATCATAGCATGAAGAAACCAGAATCCAAAATCCCTGAGTTCTCAAGGAATTACCTTAATCCCAGCTCTGAAAGTTTTCTCAACTTGATTCCCCGTTAAGTAGTTTCGAAGTGTAGTCCTTACAAATGCTGCACCTTTACCAGGCTTAACATGGAGGAACTCTTAAGTAGCCCCAATAAACAAGTCAATTAGAAGAGCTTACAAGAGAAACACCCACGCGTACGCATATCCAGTAAGAACGCAGATTTACCACAATCCTTCCACAATTCTTCAATACAAGAAAACCAGAGAGACATGCATCCCAAGAAAGAAGTATACGGATAAGCGAGAGAATTTGGAGAAATTACCTAAAACCTTCCAAGGAATCCCATCAACTTCAATGTTGAGGCCCACTTTTATATCGCTGCTAGTCAATGCATATATTTCTGCGACAAAAAGAAAAGGAAAATGCAGCAATTTACAATTCAAGCAACTGATATTTTTGGTAAGCGGAAAAATGAAGGAACAAAGGAACTTACTGGGGAATGTGGAGCGGGGGAAGGAAACCCTAAGCTTTCGGAGGGGGAATGGGTTGGAGCTGTACGAGAGGGAGGAAGAAGGTGGACGGAAACAAGGGGATTTAAAGGCGGAGGTTCCCGCCATGGTTAGAACGACGCAGAAGAAAAGCTGAGCAAGAACGACTCTGCTCTCCTCTACTCTGGATAAGGCACGAAGGAGAAGAACGAATGGCAAATATAAAGAGCTCAAAACAAATACAAATGCACCAAACATTTTCCTGGGTCGTTGCTCTGGACTCAATGGCAAGAAATGATAGGATAAAGGCTACTGGGTTGGATCCATTCAAGCATTTCGTGATTGAGTGAGGCCTCTATAGTTTTTGGATCCATTTTAGAAAGTATCTGTATCATGTTGTGTGGGCTTGCTTTCTTGCTCGATCAATCGATTCAGACAAACCAGAAGCTGCTGCTGGCTGGGTAGATAACATATCCCTTTCCTGGTTTCGGTGTAGTTTAGACCTATTTGTATTTTGTATGTGATGCAACAGTGCTGCTTCTTTACAGTAATTCCCCCCGGGAAGCAACAGGGAAAGGTTGATGACGCAGTGATGATTCTCCGGTGACGCCATCCAGCATTAGGCCACACTTTTGCCCATGCTTCCTGCCCATGCCCATCCTAATCCCAACTTGAAAACCAACAACCAATAAACCAACGGCAATGATGATTGCTTCAGCACCACACCAAAGAAAGAAAAGATAAGCGTGCGGGCACCAACCAAACAAACAAACAAACCAACAAACAAACAGGGCGGGCGTCGTCCGAGGAGATGCACAGCTGGCACCCCTCAACACACTTATAATTCTCCGAAACACAAGGGCATTCTTGGCATTTCATTGTACTAGAATCTTTGTTGCAATGGATCATGTGGGCACTTCCAGTTCCAACCAGGGTGAAAGCAAGCACCCTTTTTTTCATATTCCTGTATTCCCCTGTCTTCTTCTAATCACTCACTGCCCTGGGGTAATTTTTACTCTCCAATCCATTTCTTTTATGACGTTATATTCAATCACTACACAGTATATATATAAAAATATATATATATATATGTGGTTATCAAACTGGCTGTTGATTGTTTGCCTTTACTGAATAAGGATAGAGAAAGAGATTATCTTCTGCATGCTTAATGATGGCAATATGCCATCGCTGCTTCTTTCTAGAGACACTACTAATCTAAAAATATAATATGCTAAAATAAAATGCGCTGGAATGGGATGCTGGTTGAAATAATGAGGTCTTACCAAATTGAGCACGACGTATTACTAAACAAGTTTAGTATGATTGATTCTTCTTGCCTCGCCAATTTAGGAAGTTGTATTATTGTTTAATTAAAGTGTTCTTATACTGCGTTGGCTACAACTCTGATATCACCAGATATAAGAAATCTGGATGTAAACAAGAACGGATGAGTGCACGTATTTCCTGATAATAAGCAAAAATTAACTATGGGAAGAAATTGGGGAACTTTGTTAATTGATTGAGCAAAGTCTTGAATGAAAGCTTCTTGCATGGACTTCCTCAGCCCGAATCAAAACTAATTTCATGCTTCTCTCTCTCTCCTAATCTCGCCTTTATCTCTAAATACATCCCCAAGGCGATCCACCTCTCCGGCTGCCGGAATATAATGTCCGGCCGGTCTTCTTCCCCCGCTGACGTCCACTGTTGGATGGTTTACCTTTTCTAGTCAGAAAAGCATTCAATTAAAGCCACAGACCCACACCAACCAACCACAACACCTTCCTCTTTTTGTTGCTCCCGTGCAAAAAGAACTTCCATTTTTTTTTTATTATTATTTTCTAATGCTACTGCTATTAGTTGGTAAGTTCCCACTTCTCAGTTTCATTTGTTTTATTAATATTTCAGCTTAAAAGTATTTGCTTGAAACGAAAAAAGTAAAAATCTTTTGCTGGTATTGACTTATTTCGCAGTGGAATTCCGTTTCTGAGTCGTGCTAATTTTTCCCACTTTGAAAAGTGTTTGAAAATGGAGGGTGCGGTGGTTTGCATGAATGGGATGTGCGCTTCATCAGACTCCATCGAATGGGAAAAGGGTTGGCCTTTGCGATCCGGTGATTTTGCCTCACTCTGTCATAATTGTGGGTATGGAATGGATGGAGCATTTTTAAGCGTACTCTCCCTCTATATTCCCCTACCGGGGCGTCTGAATATTTCTTCATCTCTTCTGGTGCCATAAATAATCTGTTCCTTTTTAATTGTGGTGTTTATTTCTATTTTGGTTGTCTTAGAAATTAAAGATAAGCTTGAGTTTGCAGAATATGTATGCAATTTGAGCCTGGTGCATGGCCCTTCTCGACTCTCCTAAAGCTATGCTTCAGAGCTCCAATCCTTCTTTCTGAGGGATGATAATCTATTTGCAAGATAGGCTTTCTGTTCTTAGCTTCATTAGGGATTCTGCTGACAGCCGAGGCATAGACAGTTACCTAAGTCATCAAGATATCAGCTTCAATCTCTGCTTGTGTTCCCTGTTAAATTCAACGCGTCTTGCCTCTTGAAGTAACTATTTTATTGAGCAGTAGCTAGGCGTACATGGTGAATAAACATATTGCAGTTTTAAATGTTGACATGGAGAACTGGGAATGGTGAAATGGGTTCAATCCGTGCCTGATGTAGGATCAATTTTATGATGTAGGCCTGGTTGGGTTCTCTACTTTTACTAAATTATCATTGATAAAGGAGTTGTATTGCCACTGTTCATATCATGTTCTTACTGCGTTTAATGTGAACACTGTTGCTACGATGATACATGAATTAGTCTACACCCATATAATGTCTTTTGGTCGAACATATTGGTACCTTTTCGTTATTACATAAAAGAATCGAGATGCTTTCTGTGTACTCTGCAGATCAAATTTATGGTTGGAACTCAGCTGCCTCATTCATACTTGAATCTTAAGCTTACTCTTCTACCTGAACTGAACCTTTTACATGATATGTTTCTTAAGAAATGTGCTTTCTTCAGTTTGTGCTACATATTGTAAATAGATGGTTGTTGATGAAGAAATAGAGAAATAACACTTGCCAATGGGTTTATGACAGGACTGCCTATAAAAATTTAGTGTTCTGTGAAATGTTCCATGGAGAGGAAACTGGTTGGAGAGAGTGTACTTCCTGTGGGAAGGTGAGCTTGTGGATGCTAATTCGCGTTCACTCAGACATTATGTTGATCTTTCCAAATCCTAGTCAATTACTCGTGCGGATAAATCTTGGCTGGTTCTGATATTTGCAGCGTCTCCATTGTGGATGCATTGCTTCTAGTCCATTTCTCGAGCTACTCGACACTGGTGGTGTAATTTGTAAAGGCTGTAGCAAAAGTTCCAAGCTTCCTTCTGTAAGAACACTATGTGCTTGTTGAAGTTGTGAGCTACTTAATGATTTGCTGCATTTTGTATATGCATGGTCTGATGCTGCCTTAAATTCCAGGAAGCGATGGTTCTCATATTCTATTCCAACTATTTAAACCAATTTGTATGCACTTAATTGGGGCAAATCCAATAACCTTTGACTAACATCAAGCAACTTCAATCTGATTCATCAGAAATATTTCCATTGCTGTCATTACTTTAAAAATAATGCCAGTTCTCTAAATGCATACACATAGGTACTATTTTCTCTAATTCTTCTAAAGCTTTATGCAGACACCATCAGAAGAGAAACAAGAAGATGATGGCAATGGTCGAGATTTGGACAAGATGGTGGCAACACAACTGGGTGATGATGATAAAAAGGAGTGTGAAGAACCCTTGCCGCCCACCTGGAATGTAAATACAATTCAGTGGAAGCTGGAAGATGATTATGCTGGTTCAGCAGAAACAGATTATAAATTGTCAAGCTTGAATAAGTCATCATCTGCAGGACCATGGAAAACTGTACACAAATCACTAGTTCAGACAAATTTGAACATTAGCTTGTCTGCTTCGTCAAACTCAAATACATTTTCTGGGTTGATCGCCGAAGAAAGGGAACTAAGCAGCCCAATTTCTTCCTTTGCACAAGGGTGCAGGCCCCGCAATCTCTTACCTAGGTTACCAAATTCTGTTCTTGCACCAGGGCTAGAGTCTAGCTCCAGTGCTCTTTCACAGTTACGCGTTGCAAGGCCACCTGTGGAAGGAAGGGTGAAGAACCAGCTGCTTCCACGATATTGGCCTCGGATAACAGACCAGGAGTTGCAGCAGATATCTGGGGAGTATCCTTGACAGATCAGTTTTTAATCAGTTTACTATCTATCACATGAAGACTAATCCTTTTGTTCAGCATATTTGTGGGTGCAAGAATTTCCTTAATTTTGCTATTTTCAGCTCAAACTCTACTGTTGTGCCTTTATTTGAAAAGGTTTTGAGTGCCAGTGATGCTGGTCGAATAGGTCGTCTAGTTCTACCTAAAGCATGTGCCGAAGTGAGCTTGTTATGAAGGCTTGACATTATTGTTTTGCACCTGTCTTTTCCTTTTCTGTTTGCTGATCCCATGAAATACTTTCGTTCCACATGCTCTAATGTTTTCATCCCTTTCTCTTCTAGCTCTCTGACCGGATAAGTCTAATATGGTATACAGGCGTATTTTCCGCCTATCTCTCAGCCCGAGGGCCTTCCATTGAGGATTCAGGATGTAAAGGGAAAAGAATGGATCTTCCAGTTCCGTTTTTGGCCGAACAATAACAGCAGAATGTATGTGCTGGAGGGTGTGACCCCCTGCATCCAGTCAATGCAACTACAAGCTGGAGATACCGGTAATGAAATTCCCCATCAACTGAAATTTATTATTTCATTGCTTCCGAGATTGAAACTTTATATATGTAGCTCCCACCATTTCGTCAGTCTATAAGTTGGGTGGCACCATTCTATGCTGTCCGGCCTTGCAAATGTATCAGAGTTTACACTTTGAAGGCTTCTTTTCTTACTCTTTACTTTTCAAGAAAAGTTTACGCTTCATTTCTCATCCTATCAGTTACATTCAGTCGTATGGATCCTGATGGAAAACTGCTGATGGGGTTCCGAAAAGCATCAAGCAGTATCTCTGTGCAAAAGGTAAGCTATTGCTGTTGTTGACTTCATCAGGTAGTTTATATGAAAACATTTTGATTAGTGTTCATGGAGCAGGGTTCGCAATACTCAATGACTGGTGGTGGTTTTCAAAGTGAACCTATTATAGGAAATGCCGAAAATCTACCCATAATGAGTGGCTACTCCGGCCTTCTTCAGTCGCTGAACACGGGCAAGAGCTCTTCCATGACCATGTTGTCTAAACATCACGTCTACACTGGGAATATGAGCCGCTACATGATCGAGAATAATGCAACCAAGTCCGGAGATAATCCATTGCTTCTTCCAGAGCAGAAAAGGAGGAATATTGGGGCTAAGAGTAAAAGGTTACTTGTTGATGGTCATGATTCGTTGGAACTGAGACTGTCGTGGGAGGAGGTGCAGGACATGCTCCGCCCACCACCCAGTGTCAAGCCGAGCACCATCTCGATTGATGATCATGAATTTGAAGAATTTGATGTAAGAAAAAAGATTTACTTTCCTACTAACGTCACTCAGTTGATGATGCCTGACGGCTTGGTTGTGTTCAACTTTCAGGAACCACCCGTATTTGGGAAGAGCAGCATATTCATTGTTCGTCTATCTGGGTACGGGTCGGAATTTCTATTCCAATGATGCAATATCTCTGTTCTATAGAAACAACTCAATTGCTAATGTTGGCAGTATTTTCGAACCACATTATTCTTGATTCTGGCAAGATCGAATGACCTTTAAAAACACTGTATTCCAGGGAGCTTCAGCAATGGTCTCAGTGTGATAACTGCTTCAAGTGGCGAAAAATACCAGTGGATGTCCTTCTCCCCCCCAAATGGACATGTCAGGACAACATTTCGGTTAGGTGTGTATTTTCATTCAGAAAAATGGAAGTACCAAGGTTTCTTCTAGCCTCTACTCACCATAAATTTATCTACGTCATCCTAATGATTGGATATTGCTTTTGTTGTGCGCAGAACCTCGTCATGTTCAGCCCCGGAAGAGTTGAGCTACAGGGAAGTCGAGAATCTTGTCAGAATGAACAAGGGTATCATATTTCCGGCATTGTCTGTACATACATCACTTGATTCCATCACATACATAAATGGAAAGCTGTATTGATGATTGTGTAGAATTCAAGGCAAGAAGAGTTTCACCAAGCGCTAAAGATGCAGGGCACGAGCACGATCCTCGGGACCTCGAAACTCTGGGAAATGCTGCAGCAGACATGAATGAGCCAGGTGCTTCTTCGGTTGCTGCTGCAGCAACTACTAAGCACCCGAGGCACCGCCCTGGCTGCTCCTGCATTGTGTGCATACAACCTCCCAGTGGGAAGGGCAAACATAAGCCCACATGCACGTGCAACGTCTGTATGACCGTCAAGCGGAGATTTAAGACGCTGATGATGCGCAAGAAGAAACGGCAATCAGAGCGTGAAGCTGAAATTGCAAAGAGGCATCAGTTTGCTAAGGAGGAGGCAGAGGTTAACAGCATCCCCACTCAGTTGTCATCACAATTTCTTGTCAAGTCTGATAACACTGCAGATCAGAGCGCATGCCAGTCGGAGGAAAATGCTGGAATCAGTAAGGGGGAATTGGACCTAAATTCATGTCCGGATGTAGATCACACAGGCACAGGCACAGCCACAGCCACAGCACCACTGCGCATCAGCATGATGAGTCTTCTCCAACGGGCCAGTCTGCCTCTGGACACCTACCTGAGACAGAAAGGTCTTACAAGCCTGGTATCCGAGGAACAAGCAACTTCTTCATCGCTTGCGCTTGCACCGCCCATGGAGCACACAGCGCAGGCAACTGTCGGTTTCCAAGAGCACGAGGAGGAAAGTGCCGGTGATTTATCTGAAAGAGAGAATGAGACATGCTGAGCAGTGAGCACGAGTAAAGAATATATATACATATATATTGTGTTTATAAACATACATACACACATACATATGCAAAGAATCAGGGGTTTGTTAAATCTCCTCATCTCACAATATTCGGATTCGGCCTTGTCAAGATGACATTCTATTGTTAATAGTCGTATCACAATTATAACAGACACACAAAGAATCGAAATGGCAATAACTCAATAGGCAGGTGGGAGGGAAACCAGCACCAACAGGAAATGTATTTACAAAAACATCAGCACCCAAACCAAATCATTTCTACACAATTGTGTGAAAACTCTTTATTTCTATATAACACGTAACATCACACTGATTAATAAAGGCTAAGGGTAAAAATCAAATAATGCTCACTATTGACTATCTTCAAATTCCCTCGCTAGATCTACGAACGATCAAGGATGACGACCTCCTGCTTTCCTGCCGATCCATTTCTTCCAACAAGAGTGTGGATGAACATGTTCTCGGGGGTAGAACCAGAGGCAGTGCGGGAAGATGTGTGGGAGATATGGATCGTCCATTGGTAGGGGGGGAATGAGAAAAGTTTGATCTTGGAGCAGGAGTTACGATTCCATTTAGGCTAGGTGATCTTGATATATGCTTCCCGCTAAGTGCTCCTGGTTCCTGCAGAGGAAACCGGGATGTATACTTCATATCCTGCACGGTTTTGAGATGCTCTACGACTGTCCTCATTGTAGGTCTCTCAGACGGATCAACTTGGAGACATCGTTGAGCAATGTCAGCCACTGTTCGAGCTGCTTTGGCAGGGAACCGACCCTTCAGCTGAGGATCCATTATCAAGGATAACCGACAGTCATCTGCCAGGAAAGGCCGAGTCCACTTTACTAGATTTCTCTCTTCTTTTGCATGCTGACTATCAAGGTGTTTCCTCCCAGTGAGCAATTCGAGAAGAAGAATTCCAAAACTCCAGACATTGCTCTTTGGTGTCAACAAACCCCTCTCCAACGTCTCTACTGAAAGATTTGCACCAGCCTAAGCAGATACAAAGAAATTTTCGCAAGATTACAATGAGAAGATGATTCGAGGCAATTATTATGTCTCCAAGCCTGCCACTCCACAACCATCCATAAATTGGGAAGATCATGTTGTAATTAACATAAATAAAAATAACAAAGAAGGGGCGCTTACAACTGAGCTGCTAGAGATTTCTGCCTCTGGAATGTGACTGATACAACCATAACCAGAAAGTTTGGCACTAAAATCTTTGTCAATCTGTATATTTGCAGTTGAGAATTCTTGGAACATTGCCTGTTTGGTAGCAAAAAGCACACGTTACTCTGAAGCCCAAATGAACTCCACACAACATCCTAACAAAATATTTCAACCTGAAAGGGTCCTTCCTCATGAAGGAAAGTTAGACCTTGTGCGGCACATAATGAGACTTTCATTCTACTATTCCAGTCAACAGGTGGACCATCCGATCTTCCGTACAAAAGCCTTTCTAGGCTACCATGAAATAGCCTCTCATACACCAGCATCCTGCTGTCTGAGCCTTCCCGTGCATGAAAACCAATCAGTTTGCAGAGATTTGGATGTTGCAACGATGCGAGTGTATTCACATCATTTACAAATTCCTTGAAACCCTGGAAAACGGTGATAAATGTTCAGACATGAAACTTTAAAAAAAAAATGTCAAATCTACAGCTAGTGGGGAAGGTATTAAGATCCATGAATTCTACTTCTTGTATTAGATTAATAGTAAGATCACTGCACACTGGTGCTCGCATGACCGAATTGGGTATGGAGACGGATAATAATTTCAATATGACAGGTAAGAAAGGTATCAATGCAGTGTAACGGATCCCAATCCCCACCCCTCTATGTATCTCAAATAAGCACATAATGGTAAGAAAGCTTCCAAAGCAATTCCACCCACATCTCAGCAAATATCTTTTGAACATGCATACAGTGACATCGAGAAACAATATGCAACTACAATGAAAAGGCAAAAAAGCAATATTATAATGTAAATGAACCCAACTATACCTGGTTGGTAGTGTGTAGGCGTGTCACAGTAGCCTCAAGCTTCCTCACTCCAGATCCATCCTCTGCAAATGAAGCTCGGTATATGACAGATGATAGACCTTCAGACATACATCTCTCAGGAGAGAAATTGTGACAAGCTGATGAAATTTCTTCATATGTAAAATTAACAAGCATTCCTTTAGCAGGAAGAGGGGGATGTGAACTAGGTGGTAAGGGAAGTGGTCCAGACATATTGATAGGGCCACTAGTATTCACCATCTTAAAACTTGTTGTAGCCCTAAGGGATTTGGTACCACGGGGTGAAGGGAGCGGAAGAGGTTGAGGATTCGGTGAATTATTATATTCTTTCATTGACCCAATACGATTCCTTGATCCTTCTTCCTCGTATTCCATGGATGCAAGCGCATCTTGTTCTGCAATATCAAGCCTTGAAGGGGCTGATAATGTCCGCGTCCTGCTAGTGCTTACTCCATTATTCGGCTGAACAGGTTTTACTGTGGTTTTAAAGCTTGGGGGTGCAGACTGCAGGGCACGCATATGAGCTTGGGGTTCAGGCAGCTCAGTAGGTGATTGCTCCTGTGGGTTTACACGTTTGACAAATATAGTCTTTTCAGATTTTTTCTTCTTGCTCTTTAATACTGTAAAACATCCCATTTTGCAGTAAGTTCCTGCCAAAGAGAAAAAGAAAGAGCACCAAATTACTAGGCTGCACAAGCACAAAATCTGGTGTTTTAAATCAACTATCACCGATCCCTTCCCACTGTCCCAAATCAAGAAGTAGTATCCCCAGGTGATCAAGACATAGTATCTAAAACAGAAAATGGATTGACCCGCAGGCACAATTCTAAGCAATCCACGAGGTAAACTGCTTAACCCATCAAAATTACGAAATGAATATAAAAAGTACTAGTTTTGTTACAAGGGAAAACGCATTCCTATCGAAAGTGTACACTCAAAATAACTGTTGTAAAACAATGCACGAACAAATTCACTGAAAAGTGGAAATGGAAGGTACTCCCACAAGTTCCAACTGCCGATCCCAGAGATAAACTTGTTCCACCGGTTCAATATTATGTTCTATCTCCAATAAGTGTAGCAGAGCAAAAAATATTCTTACCGGAACAACTGAATTTCTGGTAACAGAAAACTAATGCTGCGTTAAACATGGAAAAACAATTGAAGCTATAATTCAGCGCTTCCATTACACGAAGGCAACTCTACTTTGCCCATCTTAAACATGGAAAAACAATTGAAAAACACATAAACAACAAATCCAGATCCGCAAAACCCGTAGGTTTTCCACCAAGAATAAAATCACGACTAACATACCACACAAAAAGACTAGGTTGAAATAAAAAATAAGAAATCTTGTAATGAGATTCGTCAAACCAACTCTCACCAGAAAAACCCCCAGTATCCGCAGAGAAACATACAGCAATAAAAAAGAAAAAGATAAAAGCAAATACCGAGCGGACAACCGAAATCCAGCTCAACCAGAAACGTTATGCCACAAGCTTCGATTTTGACGAATTCTCACAGATTACAGAACCACCCCATACGGTGAAATATGGTTGTTTTGAGAATCTCTTGAGTTAAATTTTGGTAAAGCATAAAAACCCTAGAGGGAAGTCAAATGAATACAATAGAGGAAATGCAGGAGGAGAGCCGGAGAGGAGATTTTGGGGGAAGAGAGAGAGAGAGAGAGAGAGAGAGAGAGAGAGGCTGTAATGAATATTTTATTGGCTGATAAAATTGGAATTTATAAATATATATAAGATATGTGTGTGTGTGGGTCTTACATATTTTTAGTTCATATATTTTATATTATATTATATGCTGCTTATACTAATAATATATATACCATTAGTATTACATACAATAAATATATATGTGTGTGTATAACATAAGATGCCGATGCGGCAGTGGTCAAACCTAAATCTGGCCACCCCAATTCTAAAATCGTCGATGTTGTCCCCTCAATCTGAATGAAAATAAATAAATATTTGTGCGTGTGTGTAATAAATATTTATAATTATATTATATGGGTAGCCAGCCCATAGGAGTAGCACGAGAATGAGCCCATACGTGGATCACATTTATTAGTAATTTTTCTTGGTTGGCACAATCAATCGATGATCAATCCCTGTGAGGTGGTCATTCTCTAATTCTGTGAATTTGATCAGAGTAGAGTAGTGTAGTGTAGTGCAGTGGATGTTGAGAAGATTCATTATTGTAAATTGGAATTCCAAAGAATAACAACAATGAATGATAGGATTAAATAATAAAAGAAAATGAAGTAGCAAGTGGGGGCGGGGGCGGGGCAGTCAAAGATTGGAAAGTGGACTGACCAGATTGAGAATTGTGCTGTGTACATACATACAGATTGAGAATAGCACTACTATTTAATTAATATTAATATTAATATTAATATGATTATTAGTCGGTCAAAGGGGAGGGTAAGGAAGGGATGCGATACCGTGCTGTGACTGACTGACTGGCTGGCTGGCCGCCCTCTCTCCCCTCACGCCGCACTTGGAACTTTGAATTCATTCATTCATTCGTGTTATAAATCTGAGTAATGTATCCGATTACAACAAGCAAGCTTTCCCCTTCCCCGCCCCACACCATGGAATAATATCTATATCTATCAATCCGTCCATAGTTTGAATTAGTAGACTATTAATTTATCTTCAAAAGCCGGTAAGAAATTTCAAAACTGCACTTTGTGTGAATGAATGAATTCCATACCACCCAATTAATTACCTATCCATCGCATCAGGTCACATTCACATCCCTCCCTTAATATCTATCCACTACTAACCATCGTCATCATCAGTCATCTCATCTCCATCGATCCCTCACTCCAGTTCCAGTTCCAGTTCCAGTTCCTGTCTCCTCTCCACTACACTACACTACACTACAGTTTCAGTTTTACGGTGCCTGTACCCGTACCTGGTTGTGGTTGGTTTACTTAATCCCTCCCGCCGTCTCCTCTCCTCTCCTCTCGCCTGCTTCTGATCCTTTCTTCGTGGATAGGATGGGATGGGATGGGATCATGGGACTCACTGCCACAAACTCATCATCACCCACTGCCAAATCCTATCCAAAATTACCTGATCATCAAATAACAACATGCATCTGTCTGTAGAATCAATCAATCTCCATTCCATTCATAAGAACGAAACGCATCCTCACGGTTAAAGCTGAGATATGTCTCCTCTCCTCACCTCTGAAAATTGGAATCGAGCCGCACAAGGAAGAAGACGATGCAGCATTGATTCCCATGCCTTGAGAACAAGTCTCCACACAAAGCGTTTCCTCAAGTAGGAATTCCACTTTCTCCTCGCCAACACAATTATAAAGCAGCAGCAGCAGCAGCAGCAGCACCAAACCGTTGCAAATATCAGAATCCGCCACATCCAAATCCAGCTCCTGCGTCTTCTATGTACGTAATGGCTCCGCTAGCAATAACCAAATCGATGGAGTAAATGAAAGAATAATAAAAATAATATATCAGATCTGCATCTGCAACTGCATATGCTTAATAACGCATTGCCTAACCTGCACAAACTGATCCACCCACTACTCTGATTAACAGATTCATTCAAGAATCAATTAAGAATTAGGCTGATGCATTGGCGATACCTTATCAGGCCACCAGTTTCTGATCGCAATGCATTTGCTTTTGAAACGCCTTCCGTGGAAAATCCTCAAGGTGCGGCGGGTTAGTCTGAGCCACAAGGATTTTGGACTCCGGGATGAAGAGGATTTGGGATTGGATTTGAATTCGAAGAGATAGCGGCAGATCTTCAAGTGGACTGTTAATTGCAAAAGCTTCGGAAGAGGCGCGATCCTCCTGGTCGCAGCCCTGATTTTAAAATCCAAGTTTCTTGCTCTGACTCGAAGGCTCAGCGTCCATGGCGGCTGCTGCTGCGACTGAAACATTTGGCGATCAGACCGCACAGAGCAGGAGGGAGTGAGGAAAAACACGAGGAGGAATAAAAAGCCCAAACGTGAGAGGGCAAGAGAGATTTTTCGGCTTTAATTGGTGGGGTCCAGTGACTGAGTAACTAGTTAGCCGTTACAGTAGCGGCCAGGCCGCGATGAGTTGGGTTGGATTGGATTGGGCTGGGCTGGGCTGGGCTTGGCCAAACTTAATCTACATGCTTGTATTTTTATTAAATAGTTCAAAGAGTAGAGAGTAAAAGTTACAGAGAGCAAAGTAAACCATATAATTGAGTAGACTGAGGACTTAAGTTTGCTGATGAGGAGGGAGGATCATATCATATCGGATCGGATGGGAGCACGTTTCAGATTAAATTATTGGTGGACTTTCATTTGTAAATTAATAAATGAATGATGAGTATTCCTACTTCATAACTATTTGAGAGAAAATCCAGTGGAATTTTTGCTGGGAATGAAGAGAGAAGTTAAAGATTTCTTTTCAATATTATTCCTTTGTGAAAAGTAAAAATTTCATGGTGTAATAAATTGAATCGTACTTGTTTTTGTTGAAGAGGAGTTTGCTCGTTTTGTTTGAGGGATTTTATTGTGAAGTTAGCACATGTATTGAGAGGATGATTTCATCTATTGTGTTGGATCCAAACTTGGTTGCACCTAGTGGATAATTGGAGCTGGAAATGATTTTATGGAGAAATTTTACTAGTTTATTATTGTGTCAATAAATAATATGTTTGGTGCATTTGAAACAAAAGAGAGTTGAAGAAAAGTTAAAAGAGGAGAGAATGTGACAAGCTGTCTATATCAAATATCAAATGTAGAACAGTTGAAGGCTGTTTGATCGATAAGTAAACATGGGTGTGCTGTATGTTTGTATTTTCATTCTGCACAGGTTTGTCTGTGATTCATTTATCGATCAAACAACTTTGAGTAATTTAAAAGTGAAAAACATAACATATTAATTGTGGGAACGTCAATATGCATGTTTCACTTTTTCATCGATTTTAGCTAGCTGGCCCAACTAACTAACTAACTAGTTCTTCCAAATGCAAAACAAACTAAATCAAATTAAAGTAACTCGTGGAGTGGAGGATTATAAATGGATACCCGATCGATTAATACGCCCACAGATAACAGATCATTACATAAGACTACTGATGACTGCAAACAACGGCGTAATTGATATACATATATTTACTATGATGGCCTCTAGAGAATGATCAACGTGCAATGCGAGCAGATGCCTGTCATAACCTGATCAATCTGATCCAGCACATTTTATTATATCTATATAGTACTAGTATAAGTACTGATCTTGCATATGATTAGTGGATATCGTCTCGTCCCATGCTCTTAATTAATCAACCCACCAGTTCAACGAATCCTGAAAACGCAACGCATACAAGATATATGTAATTGTAATTGATCCATGGTATTATATATATATATATAGATAGATTATGATTTATGGATGGATGCGCACTTGGAGCAGTCGATGGTTGAGGAGAATCTGTAGGGAATGTTGACCTGGCATTTCCCAGGGATGCTGTTGATCAACTCTGGTTTGGCCCCGGTGGCTGCGGCCAGATTTTTGATGCAGCCGCAGGCGGCCTGCCGGTCAGGCGTGGTGGCGGCGGCACTGTTGAGGGCTTTGGCGCCGTCACAGCACCCTGCAGGCGGCGCCGCTCCCCCACTTCGGATGTAGCCGAGGCAGGGTGACAGCTTCGCCAGAACCGCATTGCAGGTGATGGCGCCATCCGCCATATACCTGCTGCTGCCCAGTACTGCAACCACAGCTACTGCTGCCACCAACCAAATCTGCAGGGCCGATGATGATGATTTAGCCATATATAATTGATTATATATATATATATATATATGTATGTGAGTGCTACTTAGAGAGAGAGAGAGAGAGAGGAAGAGAGATGATCGATGAGAGCAAGTGAAGTGGTAAGCAGCTCGATAGCCTCAGTGGTGTTTATATAGAAGAGAAGAAGAGATGAGAATCAGATATTCACCTTAGTTAATTAAATTGCATATTGTACGTTAAAATTATATCATTATTCTTCTTTTTTTAGCTGAACTTATGTATGATTAAACATTTTTATTTTATAATTTTATTATTCTTATTTTAATAAATAATATCCGAGAATTAAAGTAACTAGTATTAAATAGGATAATTTGAGAAAAATATATTTAATTATTTCTAAATTTAAAAATATTACAATGTGTTTGGAATAAATAAAAAAGAAATATTGCAGACTATTTGGGATAAAGGGAATAACTAATTTGTCACTTTTTTTTTTTTTTTTTATATAATCATCTTATTTTACGTTTTGCATAACTATTTTAACTTTAGAATATCATTATTTTTTATTTTTTGTGTTTAATCAAATATACATAATTTTACAAGATGAAGTATTATTATATACCCTCATTAATTTTTTGTTTTTAAAAAATGTAAAATTTTACAATTTTTATTTTTTGGATGCACACTACCAGAGTTATGGAGTATTAAACAAGCTCGGTATATCATACGAACTTACGGTTATGAATTTATCCTCCTCCACGGCATTAGGTCACGTGTTGATCAGTCCATCCAAATACAATACGGGAGGACATCACTTTCATTATCATCACAACCTATTAACTCCTTAAAACCAATATCGATATAAACCCAAAGAAAGCAATATTTATATGAACCAAAAGAACACGATTATGGTCTCGTAAGGGATGGCGTGGGTTCAATGCATGATCTGTATTTGTCTTGTCGGATCTAGTTTGCATAATATTAGATTCGGTTGAAAGTTTACCCCATACATTAGAGGCTGTGGATTCCTGCATTAAAAAAAAAAAAAAAAAAATGATTATGGTCCATCCAACGTTGGACCTTAATCCTTCAAAAAGTAGAACAACGACAGACAAGGAAAGTAGGCACAAATTAAATGCACTTGGCTGAAGAGGGAATGTGAAATTGATGTATGTGTGTGTGGGGGAGAGAGAGACGTGAATGGATTAACAAAAACAATACTAACTATTAATAATTGATTGATAAATTAGGTTCGGAGAGAAACAAGTCACGTGACGGTGGGTAGGCGGACTGGACTGGACTGGCTGGCGCGTTATACTTATTTAGGTGGAAAGTTAGGAACTATATTAGATAAAATTAATTAGTTATTACTGCGGATGGATGGACGATCAATTAATTCCATATATTCCATTCATTTCTTGCTTTCGTTGTATATATTGTATTGAAATCGATGATCAATGTAATATAATAGTGGGCGGACATGGATGCATGTGGAGATCGGTCCGATCCATCGATGCAGATATATGGTATCTAACTAACTTCCCGGCTACTCCGCCTTTTCCATCCATCAATTAATGCTAATGCATACAAACATTATGATGCATATTTGTATATACACACAAGTATGTATGTATGTATGTCTTGGAGTCTGTTTGGGAGCTGCGTTCAATAGGACCACCCCACACCACAAAACGTACATCCAAGCACCACTTGATCATATTGATGTCGATACTTAATTAATTTGATATGTTGAATGAAATGCTTAGATTCACTTTATGAGTATTTTCTGTTAATAACAAAGTGTGAATCCATGAAAATTAATTAATTAATCAGGAAGTGAAATGGCAAACATACGAGCTAGCTAGCAAAGTGATCATATATACTGATGAAACCATTAATGACAGTCTTATTCTTATATACTACGTACTATTACTATTACTATTACTATTACTATTATGCTGGAAGCTTTACTTTACTTACTTGTTACGAATGCTTTAATTTGCGATCAACCCACTGACGACTGTCTTATTCCCATTGTTAGTTAGTTAGTGTTAATCCTTCAATTCAATTTGGAACATTGCATATTATATTGCTATATATATATATATATATATTCATTGTTATAATTTGCATCTTTTACTACTGCATTGATATTTAATTAAACAGTCAGTTGTCCATCCTCATGTCATGTGTGTGTAAAGTGCAGGCATATGTGGTAACTAAAAAACAGACAGCCATTAATATATATGGAATAAGGTATGAGTTTTATTCAAAACAAAACGCGGATGATAATAAATAATGACCGACTGATATTGCGTGCAATGCAAAGCCGTCTCTCAAAGATATGATATATATATATATATATTTATGTATGTATGTATGTATGTATATAGGCAGATCAATTAAGTAGCACTGCACTGCACTGCACTGCACTGTTTATTGTGAATATAATATAATTAATTATCCGATCGAACATACTCGATTCGAACCGGCTCTTAATTTCCTAGGTAGGTAGCTAGCTAGCTAGCAAGCAGCTCGCTCATCCCATCGACGTCGACGTGGCTGCCCACTATACGTACGTACATTATTATATATCCCCATGCATGCATATATATATCATTTGACGCTGCAAATTAATTAATTAAAAACATGAATGAAAGAATTAAAGCAAGGGAGCATCGATGAGATTGAATGAATGAATGAATTACCGGTTGCAGTCGGTGGAGTAGCTGATGGCGTATCCGATGTTGTTGATGTTGCAGGCGGAGGGCAGGGCGGCGGCGTACTTCTCGTTGACTTTGTAGGCCTTGGCGGAGAGCTTGAGGCACTGGCACGCCGTCTGCCGGGCCGACTTGGTGTTGGCCTGCCGCTGCAGGGCTTTCATGCTGCTGCAGCACTTGGACGGCACGCTCCCGCCCTTGGTCAGGTGCTCCTTGCACGGCATCAGCCGGTCCACCACCGTCTTGCAGCTCAGCCCCCCTCCACCTCCTTTCTTCGCAGCAGCAGCAGCAGCAGCAGAACAAAGCAGCAGCATGATCATGATCATGACCAATAAGCTCACCCTCATCACAGATGCACCTTTCGCCATTCTCTTTAATTGAATTAGATTTTGATGGACCGATTAAGTAACGTTGTTCGTTCAACTGTGATTAATTGATTGCTTGCTTGCACATCACATACACATAGATATAAATTGGAGATCCATATCCATATATATATAATATGAAGAAGAAAGAGGATTAATTAATTAATTAATAATTAATCAATGGCGGGCGGTGGATGGATATTATGATATTATTGTGATCGGAAGGCGCGGTGGGTCGGTATACATATATGTGTGTGTGTATATATATATATAGAGGCAGGCCATAGGGCTGCTTCTGCAGGGCCTAACTTATTACTACTGGATCCGTATTTATTACTCGTAAGCAAATTAAAACCAGATCTCCGTCTGTTTGTGCGTAATGAATATCAAAACTAGCTTAGATCCATATCCATGCAAGCATTTCACAGAGATGTAGTACATCATTAGCATCAGTCACCAGTCACCAGTCACCTCAACTAGCTGCTACCTAATTAACCTACCTCTACCTGCCTATATAGAGATAGATGTACACTTGTACACTTCAAACCAAACCTACAGCATAGCATACATGATGCGTTCAACCAACCCTACTAATACTAATACTAATACTATACACATCAATAACCAGCCGTGCTCATCGTTGTTCCTAAACAGCATATATATGCGGATTCACCGCATTGGATTCATTAATTAGTTACTAATTAAAACTGGCGATGAAGGTGAGGCTGTTGACTTGTGTGGTGGTGCATGACTGACTGACTGACTGAATTTCGATTAGAGAGAGATTGGTAGATATCATCAGCACACCAGATCGATCCCCAAGGAATGAATGTACGTACGTATGTATGTATGTATGTATGTAAAACCACAAACCAACCAACCAACCAACCAACTCAGTCCGGACGCAATTTACAATATTCTTCTCTCTCATATTCTCACACACCACTCTCTCTCTCTCTCTCTAGTAGTTCATCAATGAATACTTGAGTCTCACTACAATTTTCCCCTTTTCTACACCAAGCTTCCCCCCTGTCACCAACCAGTGCCCCGGCTGATCCTGCGCCCCTTTCTTCATTTCAGACATGTCCACGAATTTCGCCAGTTTATTGCCCAACAACTCCTCCCCAGAGCTCGAACCTGAGTCATCAGGGCCATCCCTCTTTTTCGACTTCTCCTTCGGGGTGTGGTCCCATAACGATCTCCGAATCGTGCATCCTGGAACCCTGGAATATAAAAGCTTCATGTGCAGGACATTTCTCGAACCAAAATCCCACACTCCAAGCTGCGCTCCCGTCACTACATACACGCCGGTGAGATCGCCTACAAAGGTTTCTAGGTTCTCGATTGGGGCAGTGCTCACATGGGAGAATTTTTTCCACTTCACAGGCTCAAACCATCTGCTGTCCTGCTCTTCAGGGCCCTGCCATTTGGGAGCACCTATTGCCACATGCGAGCCCCAGTATGGCTCGAGGACCTTCGGAAGTGTTGCCAAATGCTGAAGATGGATGCAAAGCCGGTTCTGTTTTGATCCTTCAAGAGATAGCCGCATGCCTGTCACGGGCTTTCTTCCCACAGAAACCTGTATAGCGTCAATGACAACAGTTTTGTTCATCTAAGAACATCAGTACTGAAAAATGCGTTCCTTAGGTAACCATTGATGCGCAACCGCATACCTGCTCCTGGCTAACATACATCTTCTGCCCCATCATGCTGAATTGTAATGACGGGCAAACGGGCTCCTTTCTTGATTGCCCTGGGAACCTATCTTGAACAGGGGCCCATATTTGAGGGACCTGAAATTCTAGGAAATATCTCAGCTCTTCCATTGGAGGCTTATCTGCAAAACGTAATTCGAACATGAATTCAGTAGCAACAAAACATCAAACGGTTGAATGAAGATCATCAACCCGGCTCTTACACTCTAGATAAAGAGCAATGGCTCGTTCCAAATGCTCCTTGCCTCGGACCCCATCGAGAAGTTCAGTTATTGGATAGAACGACATCTCAATTATATCTGGAGAGGCACAGACTGTTTTTGCCCATTGAGTATGGCTCTGCTCCAGATCATCCCCTCCCCTTCTTCGGAATATGACAGTAACATCCTACACAAACTACAGGGGTAAGACAATTCTGAAATCCATTTCAACTATAGAAATAAAGTTAAAGACAACTATTCCATAAGATGAGAATAGTATCATCCTAACTATCAAGTGTTGGAAGTTCATGTCCCAAGCTGATTGGAGCAATATAATGATGAGAGTTCAGATTACAGAAACCAGAAAGCGCCAGCACCAACCTAGCACACCACATCCAACACAGGCCATCGTCAATTGTTTAGGGACCACTTACCATCCTCATCATATTTGAATAACAAATTCACGTAATATAACAGAAAAGGAAGAAAAAAAAAGGTGAAACTTATAGTGTATAATATGAGGAGCTTCACATGCATTATCATCATTTTCATCTGAAGGGAATAAGTCAAGCAGGTAAAAGTGCAGATCCACTTTGGATCCTCAAGTCAAATGATCAATAAATGAGAGGAGTTTTCACATTGGGTTCACGAAGAAGAATAAGAATGAGAAGGAAAAGGAAAAGTGAGTCAGAACTATGATTGCTTAATGAAGGAGACAATGGATTATACGTACTTCTTTGCCACTACGAGAGAGGTAAGGTGCACTGGCTGGTTGAGGGTATATCCCTTGGCTGTTGAACAAAGAAGGATCGCTGCCCTGGAATATTCCAAGAGGCACAAAGTATATTAGTTGAGAAAAATCAATACCAAGTTAATATATATGCACAAGACTGATTGGCTTAATTGATTGAAGATAATGGAACATTACATAAGAAGTTCAGAGATGAAAGAAGAAACATAACCCACCTTATCCTTGTACCTTAATAGACCAGAATTCGTAAGGCCTTCTGGATTGGAAAACCTTTGGTTTCCAATGTCTTGAACATAATTCTTGATTTCCATAATCGAGAGAGGTGATGATATATGCTGCTTGACATAGATTACATCTTTGCCACCAATAGTTACAGATGTAATAACATGAGTACCGAAGTTTTCAATGAAGCTGCTAAGAATGCAACAGTTAGATAACAGCCAAAGAACCTGCAGAACAACATACATCTACAGCACTCCAATAATCTACCTTGCAAGGGCCGGTGGGTCCCAGGATTTCGGCACTGCCAGTCTAACATTTTCGCTTAAAACCAAGGGATTGGCAAGCTGAATTCTAGCAAGCGGGATGAAGAATCCATCCATGCAAAGAGACTTTGTGGAAGGAGCATCTATATCCCTATTACCCGTAAAACTAAATCCAGAATTAAAGCTACCGAGTGGAGTATGACCTGAGAGGCCAGCCTTCTCATTGAAATATTCCACCATCTGTATTCATGTTTCACAAAATATTTATAAGAAACTGACCAAGCTATAATGAATCAACATTACACCAGCACAGAAAACAGAAAATATCAACAAAACGCCATACCTAATCTAGAATTCTTATTGATCTCATCAGCAGAAACTGTTGTTGTGATGAATATATAGAAATGAAAGAATGTGTACAGATAAAAAAAAAACAAAAAATTTGGTTATTCTCTATCACGTTTCCATACAATTACTCTGCTATTTATATTATTGATTACTTCAACACTGTATCTCAATTGCGGTGCACAATTTAACAAGCTAAAAATCCTCTTATGTATGAACCAAAATACTTGCTGTAATGCTAAAAATTAACTACAGAATATGAGAATTCCAGCATGTTTATGTTGTGAATAGAAACATAAATATTAGAATTGTATCTTAACATAAAAGCTTAAAACCATAGGGAGCTAATAAAGAAACCTTATTGTAACTGCAAACGCCAAATCCACCACGACCGCTTGGCTCCTGCGAATTCTTGATGTCCCTTGAAACATTAGAGATAACTAAATTATCAGACAAGTATAAATCCCTAGTGTGCTCTTGGTCAATAGCCACAATTCTTGACCCTGCTGCACCCTTACAATAAAGCAACCTAGTATCATAGTTCACGTCGAAGCCCTTTCCAAGTGCCTGCACTGAATTTATAGCTGTATGCAAAGCTGCCGCATTTTCTCCCATATCATCACATTCCCCCACCCAACAAAAAACAGGGAAGCAAGAAAACCTTGATGGAATCCACTTGGAACCCTAGAAATAATCCCAATTAAATCCCCCCTAAATATCAACAGCGTGAACGATCGAGACCTGATTTATGCCCTATTTCTACAAGCTAAAAACCAGTTTAACCTCAATTTCGTTGAAAGAGCAGCGAGGCTTTCTGGCTTCTGAAAGGGAAAAAAAAAAAAAAAAAAAAGGAAACGTCCACCGTGGAATTCAACCGTTGATCAATCTTCAAAGTTGTAGATCAGAGCTGTGTTTTCAATCAAAATCTCTATCTTTTTCTCTCCTTACGAAAGGAGATGGTCTTCCGAGGCTGACTGATGACAAATTACCAAGAAAGATTTGAACCCGGGAACAACGAAAAAGGCCCAGCTAAAATATCCTTCCCCAGATCTTGAATTTTCTGCCCTCAGAATTTTCCAGGTATTTTCGCATGTTGCCTCCTCCGCCCGTAAAAAAAAAAAAAAAAAAAAAAAAAAATAGGGAACCACTTCACCACGATTAGCATCTACTGCACTGCAGCATCCAAAAGAAAAAGGCACCTAAAATTTTCCATTCTGCTTCTGCTACTCTACTAATCTAATCTGCTTTTGTCTGAACTATAACTTGCCGTTGACTCCGAAGTCATGCTCATATACTTCATGGGCACACGTGGCCGTACTTGCTGTGTGGTTTCCGCCTCCTGCCAACCAACGGTCACGATTAAGGCACCTAAGATCGAGGGCTCCGATGGTTTTCCAATTCTTGAGGGTTAATATTGTTAAAACAATTATCGAAAGAATCTTTCCAGATTATGCTAGTCAAGAAGAATATTTGGATTCATCCACCACAACCAGCAGCGGCAGCACCACTCCTACCATTTCCAATTCGAATGCAAAAAATTTTTCTGGATTTGAAATATGAATGATACACCATCACCCACCCACTGACCACAAGCCGGCCCAGAAAAAAAACAAAAAAAACCAAAAGGTAAACACTACTGCCCTTAAGAATTTACAGAGATTCTATGTCGTCTACTAGCAAATTCAACAGCAAAGTTTATCATTCATCTGCATTCATCTCCAGTGTATAACTTGTCCCAGCAAACAAAAATTTACCAAGATCATGCATGCCCCCATCACAGCTGTGCTATGAGTTGATAGCCTTCTTGGTCGCAAAAAGCTGGCGAATGAAAGCAAACCTCCCTTTTGCGCGGGATGAGAACTCTATAATGGTGCCATTGCTGGCTGCTGACTCTGATCCAGAAGAAAAGTTGGTTTCGGGCAATGATGAAGAAGATGATGATGACAGTGGCGGCGGCTCCAACGTGAAAAGAAACTCGTTGAGCATCCGAATGATGAGACCGAAACTGGGGCGCATGTTGGAATCTTCAACCCAGCAGGACTGAATAATATAAGCCAGCTCCGGTGGAGTGTCTTCAGGAATGCTAGGTCTCTCTTGCTGCATTTACAACCCCAACGAATCCCAGTCCCTTGTTAGTTACATATCAGAACACAGCCATGCAATCTAAACATATATCTGACTTCCTCAGGATTTGTTCACCCCATGGATATTTTACAAATGGTAATCTTCTTTTCCATACAAGTATGTGGACCATAGCATTCAAACTAAAGTCAGAATGGACTTAAGCCTATTCTCAGGAATCAAATCAGAACCACAACATACATCATTTACATATACAGCGAACAGCCATAAAGTGAATGAGCGACAATTTTTACGAGATTGATACTAAAAAAACAGCCCCATTCCATTCCAATGTTTTATCAAAGGAAAGTTTCCAAACTGGCAGTGAAAAGTATTGTGTATCTAAATTATCAGAAACTCCACACCCAATCCAGAAAAAGTGTTGCAACAGATAATCTCACAACATCAACAAAAGCATTTGACTCTGCACCATAGGTGTCAATTATGATGGTGTTATGCATAAGAAAAAGCTATAGATTAATTTCGTAACTGTCATCCAAATCAATAAATAGCAGAAAAAATATATATAATCATAGTTTATAGATAAGAGTTATAAGCAAAAACAACTAGCTCTCTCTTCACTGTTCAATCACTACTACTAGAATTGTTTACCTGAGGATAGGTAGAAGCTTGGGATCTACATCTCAACAGAAAATAAATAAATAAATAAATTAAATTAAATTATAAAAAAAAAAAAAAAAAAAACCCACAGTATTTTGTACCTTAAAAGCAGCAGCATAAGCAGCCTGCAAATTTGACATTCCCTCAAATGGCATGCGGTTTGTAAGTAATTCCCAGAGGACAATGCCAAAACTGTAAACATCAACTTTGTTGTTGTAGTGCTTCTTCTCCCCTTGCCGAAGTGTCACAGTACTGTACAACTGCAGTGTTCCATTCATAAGGACATAAGATTGATTTTTGTAAATAGAAAACATATCTTAAACATATTAACTGTTGTTCATAATCACCACCAAAGGGTGCATGAGAAAGCTTAAGGAGCAGTATAATACACAAATAAAAATATGCAGTAAAACAGATATTTCCATTGGCGAATGGGGTGAAAAATTGGTTCCTGATGAAAAGGCAAAACAAAATAAACCTCAGGAGCCATCCAGCGGTATGTTCCAGTTTCAGCAGTCATCATTTCAGTGACAGATTCTTCCCTTGCAAGACCGAAATCTGCAAGCTTCAATGACTTCTGATTCTCTGTCAGTAGCAAGTTGTCTGCAACATAAGATTCATGTATCTTTGTTACTGCAAATAGTCAAAAAAAAAATTGAGCTTTTTTTGTGTGAGAGCTAGAGAGCTTCAATTACTTTCTATACAGAAACAAACTAAGAAAATTACGAGCAAAATAGCAAAGACTGTAAAATGGAAGGAAGATAGGTTTACAGCATTATTTTCACAAAAAAAAATGACATTCACAAAACTCTAAATCACAACTTCATAGTGTTGATAAGGAAATCATGAATGGATTCATAATGTTGAAAAAGGAATTATGAATTAATATATTGGAGAAATAATAATAAAACGAATGCCGACACAAGAACAGAATCTATACTTTTATCACTTGTTACAAGTTACACATCAAGATTATATACAACTCAGCATGCCATGATACCAGGTTTTAAGTCTCTATGTATGATTCCATTTGCATGCAAACAGTCCATTGCTCGGGCAATATCCAGAGCGAAATTTAGTGCCACAGGCAGATCCAATTGCTTGGGACGAATACTGCCTAAATACTTCCGCAGTGACATCCCAGGTAACAACTCAGAAACAATCACCATTAAAGGATCTTTACAAGCTCCAATAAACTGCAATGAAGTTTTGTAACAGAGAAGATTATAAAGATCGGAATCCCAATACAATTGAAAAGTAGCATTTAAACAAACAAAGACTCCCATATATAGCTGATTCAAAAATGGCAACGACATGAATGAATCTACCTTAACCAGGTTCTCATGCTTTACTTTAGACATCATTGTCACCTCCCGAACAAAACGACTCTCAAGCACAGATCTCTCCTCTGGTGTGTTTCCACAGTTGAGAACTTTAATAGCAACAATGCGGTCACCATATCTGTAGAAAAGTCGCATCACAATTCTAATAACTAAAACCAGAAACTGAATCACATAACACATGAATTTCAACAAATGGGACAGTAACATGCTAATATACATCCCCCATCAGATGCATTCAAAGTAGAACCGAAGGCGATGAAATACACTTGCAGTGTGATAAGTAGATTGATGCACCATTATTTGCCATCCATCTTACTACATAATTTGCTCATTCCATTTGCATCAGCTAACCACTGCTGCAAAGTTTTGTACAATCACACAAACCATGTTTTGCAGACCACACTAACTTCAGCAAGAGCAATAACCATTTCAGAAAGCTAAAAACTCTTGGGGTTAACATCTTCCTTTACCAACTTATAATTAACAGAGAGGAGAGACATTAAAACTGTATTGGCAGCTAATAACAAACCAACCTTCCTTGATAAACTTTGCCATGAGCTCCTTCACCAATCTTTGACCCGATAAATAGGGATTTGGGGTCAACTAGCACCCTCTCGTCAATGCATAAATCCACCGGGGCTGTTATTGACCCCTGCGACGAAACCCCTTCTCCTGATCGCCGATCGGACTTCTCGAATTCCCCCTCCCTCTTTCCCCGATTCTTACCACCAGAACTCATGGTTTCAGCTCGCTACCACTAGCACCCTTAAATCATGCCCGAGTGCCCCAGTAAAACCTCATAATCAAATGACTTCAATAGAAAGCATCACCGATAAATTCGCAATTAAAGAATCCTGGGCACTATGTTCAAGTTGCTACTGACAAGTTAGCTACATAACGGATTTCAAGGGCCATATCAGATTCACCATGCACACTTGAAGAGTATTTTCAAAATTACTCGAACAGCAATACGGAAGAAAAAGAATGATAATAATAGTAATAAATGAAGCCAAGATATCCACCAGAACCAGGACCAATGAATTGAACAACCGATCACTCAAAACAACCCTCCAGGAGACGACCAAGAGAATAAACAAAAGAAAAGTCTTTCGGTTTCTCGGGATGAAAATTCAACTCGAAAAGTCTGTCGAACGCAAAACACTGCTTGAAATCGAAGCAAAGTTTGAGGTGAATACGCTAGATGAAACCAAATACCGAAAATAAACAATTCCAAAAGAAAAAAAGAAACCCTAGACGAAAGCAAAGGCCGAAAGACTTGAGCCCAACAGCGGCTGGTGGGTGGGTGGGCAAGGCAGACACTGTTCTATATACACACAAATGGACAATCATGCAGGCACATACGGAAACCGAACAAGTAGTATAAGAGAAACTATGAATTCTCTAGGAATCCCAATATGAATAACAGTCAAGACTGTAGCGGCTTTATGCAAAACGATGAAGCATTATTATTTATGACTCTGGCCATGTTTAAAAAGAAAAGAATCTATTGTGGGAGTGTATGTGTTTGTGTATGCGCAGGAGGCAGGGTTTTTGAGGAGACGGGAAGAGAGAGAGAGAGAGAGAGGAGGGGGTTCAAAAGTGGAAACAAAGACAATGAAAGTGTACGGTTTGGATGTGGGCATCGGCAAATGAGAAGCTAGCAAGTGGCTGGGTGGAGGGCGATGTTGGGTCTGCTATGCTACATGCCTGCACCGCATCGCATCACCGATTTGGACGTTCTTGGTTCTGTTCTGCCCTGCTCGCTCAGGATGATGCCACGATAAAAATTAAAAAAGCTTTCTTGATAATGCACATTTCAAGTATTCCAATAATAATAAATCCTTTTAGCTTTTCATGATTCCACACCTGACAAAATTAATAAATATCCCATCATTGGTTCAAGCAACACAATAAATTTACTAAGCCCTGCCCTGCAGTTTAATCCAAGGAGTTCGCCCAAATCGAGTTTAATTAATTCTTAGGCTCTTTGAAGGACAATTAAAATTTAACTTAAGATTCCATAAGCCTTTTGAAGGAAGAACCAAGCTTTAAAAATGGTGGGAGTTATGCAGTAGGGGTGATCATCAAATTTAAAGAGTGGGTTTGCAAGATCCAAATTAGCCCAACTGTTTCTTTCTAGGACAGAGTTCGAAGTGCATGAAGGCTGCAGTGTTTTGATTCTGCTGTGGGAGTGAAAACATGCTCTCAAATGTAATGTAATATAGGTCTGTATGAATGATGACAATAGTCAAAATTATAATGTAATTGCTTGAATTTGGCCAAATAGCAAGTCAAATAAGGAAATTTAATGCAACTGTTTGTTTCTTGAAATTGATCGAGCTAAAAGGAGCACATGATTGATTAATTAATACTGTATCTTGATGGAGGGGGAGCTCATGAGAGTGCATTCTGGTCATTTCAAATTGGCAGAGAGAGACAAGTTTAACTTTAGATGAAGGCCTAGCCAAGGAGCCAATAAATATTGGGCCATTAGTTTTGTTGTTGAATATATAAATAAATAAATAAATGCACCCCTTGAATAGAATAGAATAGATACGGTTTTGCTTCTTCCCAGTTAAAGAACATTATCCACCCATGGTAGTAATTAATAGACTATTAGTAGTGGTGGCGTTGTGTTGTGTTGCGCACATGCACAAATGCACACCCCTCAAAACTGTTGTTAGTGGTGGACTTTTCATTGAGTCATTGTCGTCATTAGGCACATATATAAGTAGTATATTATTAGAGTTGTTAGATTAACAATGATAGAATTGTATTGTCGGTGGTGGACTCTTCAATTAATGTGAAGTGATGTGTATTTTAAAGGACTTGTAGCGGGAGCGAAAGATGACAAATGAAAATGAGCTATAACAAAACTTGTCCAATGGAAGAATACAACACTAATAAATAGGACTTGTGTCCATTCAGTTGGGTTGAGTTGGGTTGGGTTCATAATTCCATTTTAAGTTAGCTTGAATTGCATTTAAAACAACAATTTTTTTTAGCAATCCCACAATTGGAATGCTGTTACTTGCATAATAAAATAATAATAGTCATGTGAACTAGCTCGCTCTAGCTACACGTCAAAAAATTCAATTAGCAAGATGACAACCATCCATCCATCCATCTTGATCTTGTCTCCCCCTCTCTATCTATTAGTTCCTCTTACTACAATCTTTGCAACAATAATGCATTGCTACCGTTGCCCATAACAGAAACAATAAATTCAAAAACTTTGACCAAAAAAGATACTGTATACAAAAACAAAACGGCGGCCTTGGCTTTAATTTGCCCTGCAACTGCCAAAGAAGAAACATCATGAATTTACAGAGATTGATGAATCGCATGATGGTGATGGTGATGGTGATATATATATATATATAATCAATAAAATAAAATGAAATCGAAGGAATGAGAGAGAGTTCTATAGAAGGAAGCCTTCGCTGCTATGGCTGTGCAACGAGGTCGGTTGCAGCAGAGTCGTCCCTGTCGTCGACGGCCATGGCGAGCTCCTCCGCCCTCTTGACCTCGTGCCGCCAGTCGGTGCGCGCCAACGTGTAGAGCATCATCGTCATGCAGGCGGCCTGCGCCGCCACCAGCCCCATCCACAGCCCCTGGAAGCCCCGCTTCATCTTGAACCCGATGACCGCCGAGCAGGGCAGCCCCACCAGGTAGAAGGCGGCGATGTTGATCCGCACCCCCAGCTTGGGCCGCGCCGACCCGGTCAGCGCCCCGCCCGCCGCCGTCTGCGGCGCGTTCCCGATCTCCGCCATCCCCAGGATGGGCAGCACGGAGGAGATGAGCGCCTGCACCTGCGGGTCCGTCGTGTACAGCTTCCCCCACTGCGACCTCAGCGCCACGCTGGCCCCGAACGCCGAGAAGCCGTACACCAGGGAGATGAGGATCCCGATGGTGACCGCCAGCTGCGCCCTGGCCGGGTGCGCCGCGCCAAGCTCGTGGCCGACCCGCTGGGAGATGCTGAGGCCCAGGGAGAAGGGGAGGACGTAGACGGTCCCGGTAGTCTGGATGAGGATCCCCATGGCGGCGACGCAGGAGTCCGGGTCGGCGAGGAGGCCGCTGAGGAAGAGGATGATCTCGTACCACCACCACTCGAGGCAGACCTGGCAGACGCTGGGGAGGGCGAGGCTGAGAAGGGGCTGCCAGCCGTGGAAGATGGAGGCCAAGGGGGCGCCGGCCCAGGGCTTGAGGGCGGCCTTGGAGAAGAAGAGGTAGATCCAGATGCCGATGTTCATGTTGAGGGAGTAGAGGACGGAGGCGAGGGCGACGCCCTTGACGCGGAGGCCGAGGTGGGTGACGAGGAAGTAGGTGATGGGGAGGTGGAGGGCGGAGACGCAGGTAGCGATGATGGTGTTGGGGGAGTTGAGGCCCTGCGTGCGGAGGAAGGTGCGGAGGGGGACGAGGTTGGCGTGGGTCAGCAGCTCCGGGAGGGAGAAGAGGAGGTAGTTCTTGGCGATGGAGGCGATGGCGCGGTCCTGGCCGAGGCGGTGGAGGAGGGGCTCGACGTTGAGCCAGAGGAGGGCCATGGGGACGGTGGCCAGGAGGAGGAGGAGGACCGTCTTGGCGTAGGTCTGGGAGAGGATGCCCCACCGCCGGGCCCCGAAGGCCTGGCAGCAGATGGGGTCCATGCCCGTGCACAGCCCCTTCATCACCGAGAACCCCGTGATGTTCGCGAACCCCACCGCCAGGGACCCGCCGGCCAGCTCGGCCTTCTCCATGTGGCCCAGGAACAGCATGGAGATGATGGTCTTGGAGAAGTAGAGCAGCGTCGTCAGCGCCACGGGGCACGCGATCTTCACCAGCGCCGCCAGCTCCTCCAGGGCCTGATCATCATCATCATCAGTACTGACAGATTGACACGTGGCAAGTTGACAGCAATTCGTGCCAATTGGCATGAATTGATACTATCATTATTAGGAAGGAAGGAAGGAATAGGAGAGTATATTATAAAAGGAGGTACAAGTACACTTGCGTGCGTTAGCATGGATCTCCACACCTAGAGCTAGCTAGACTCACCTGGTAATTAATTACATTACATTTTCATTTAATTAAAAAGCCCAACGCCAACCAATGTAAACATTATTTAATTCATGAATAACCCAATTATGCCTCAGGAAGTAGAGATACACTGCACTGCACCAAACTCCCTTTTGCATTGCCAAGAAATTCTTGCAAACTAATGGTCAAATTCAAGCACTAATTAATTTCCTCTGCTTCCTACTTAATGGGTTTCTGTATTACCATATAGTGGTATAACATATTGACTTGAACATCAAATAGGAAATTAGGGTTTGTGTGGCATGCATATAGATATATATATATATATAAATGTATGTGGCTTCTTTTTTTCAAGATGCAATTAACACAACACACAGAGAATCAATAAAAAGAGACTACATGGAAATTAATATTAATGCTGAGCTGTATGGCGCGATCTCAAGTCAATGAAACTAACTCCAAAAAGAAGAAAGAAAGAAACACTACTAATTGCTGAATTAGCTAGCTATCATATATAGATATAGAGATAGATATAGATATCAAACATGCATTGATTTTAGAAACGGAAAAGAAAAGCATGGATGGGGGGTTCAAATAATTGGGGGCGACCAAGTGCAAGTCCAAGTCCAACCTAGCTAGCTAACTACCTATCATCTCTGCCGCTCCACAATCATATACTCCATATATATATATATATATATATACTACTAACTTATATATGTGCATTGCTACTTACCTACCTACCTACCTACCATCCATCCATCCATTCGTATATACTAGTATAATAATATATTCATGCCTCGTCAAGAACTGAAATTTTAAGAAACAATCCACTCAGAGATACAAGTACCCACACACACAAGAATGCTATATAATTAATGAGTGAATTAATATTGGAAGGAGATATAGATATAATCGATAATCACCTCAGTGAAGGGCACCTTCGGCAATAGGAAATTGCCTGTTAAAGAAGAAGAAGAAGTGGTGGTTGTTGAGGCTTCACTTTGACTTTGAACATGTTCTTCTCTGGGTTTATTGTCATCGTCATCATTACCGCTATGTCTTTGATCTTCTTCATGATTCTGAATCTCAGCAGCAGCAGCAGCAGCAGCACAAGGAAAGGTCTCAAGTGGAATTTCTCGAGATTCACTACTACTCATCTTGCACATGACTACGACCTACTGTTAATAAGGGTGGACGACGACGACGGCGAATAATGAGCTACCAGCCACTCCAGACAAAATTGAATATAAGTGCATTGCAATGCAGTGCAGGACATGGGAAAATCCAAATCAATCAAATATATAATATATACATATATGTGTGTGTGTGTGTGTGTGTGTGTGTGTGTGTGTGGAGGCGCAGCAGCAGCAGCTGATTTATATATGCATTTTCAGGGAATAGCAACAACAAAAGTGTATATGTATAGGCTAGGCTAGGCTAGACATCCAAGAAAAAAGAGAGATGTAGAGCCCCTGAATACAGGGGATATATGTATCTATGTGTATATGTATGTATGTATGTATGCATGTATGTGAGGGAGGATCTGACCTGACCTGAAAGGATTTGGGAGACTAGTGATGAGCTAGGATTCCATTCCAACTCCGTTCATATATATATATATAAATGCATAGTTGTATGAATAAATAAACAAATCAACCTAATTATCTTCAAAAACATGACTTCTTTTGATTTATATCATGATGATCATCACAATGTATCCACTCCGATCCTCCCCGGCGCGCCATCAATCACCTTCCACCACTTAATAATTCCTATATATATGTGTGTGTGTGTGTGTACGTATGTATGTGTATCTGTGCAGCATTGACTCAATGAATGTCTTCATCAACTCTCTATCTATCCTTTCTGTATATACATACATATATGTCTACTCGGAGAGAGAGGGCATCAGGTTTTATTAAATTATTACGAGGAAGGTCATACATAATTGCACAGCCCCATATTATTAATTAGTTTAAAGATATTTTAGATTAATTACATAGAGTCTTCTGCATTTGCAGTTAAATAACATGAAACTCATGTACTCTCTCTCTCTCTCTCTCTCTCTCTCTCTCTCTCTCTCTCTCTCTCTCTCTCTCTGTGTGTGTATGTGTGTCAATTATCACAGATAGATAGAATATATAGATATATATATATATCTTTGTATGTGTGTGTGTGTCAATTATCACAGATAGATAGAATATATATATATAGAGAGAGAGAGAGAGAGAGAGACATGTGAGTTTCTGTCTGAGCTAGCATTAAGTAAGCAGGCAATTAGTACTACTGTTACATTGATAAATGGGCATATAAATATATATATATATATATACTTGCAATTTGAAATTTAATAGTCCTACTCTAATTTATCAATTATTACCAACATACTAATAGTTCATGCATGCATGCATTCATGTATCGATCATATATAGTAGTATTACATTGCATGCAACTCCCACCCTATGCATGCCTGTGTTCGATCGTGTTAATTTCTTCATGCATGCTTTCGGGCAGCATTACATAAATCAACTTGATTCCAAATAGCACTCATTTATTTTATTAATTCACAATAATAATAATAATAATAATAATAATAATAATAAAGAACCAAGGATATATATAACTAGCTAGGGTCTCTACATGCAAACCATAAGTTTTTGTTTGTTTCATCATCAGTTAGCTAGGAGGCCTGTGTTAATAATAGATGTAATCCTCTTACAACTATTTAAGTGTTTTGAATTATTTATTTGAATAAACAATAAGTACTGAATGTACTCCATATTTTTTTAATATATTATTATAATTATTGTTATACAATAAAGATCCGACTCCAAGATAGCTTCGTTAGATTGGTTTGATATATAGTTTAATATCCTGTTGATCTCGAGAGCCATAATATACATTTGTTACATTTTACTAATACGACTGTTGACCACCTGCATCCATTCGACACAAATTTTGTGATACATATAGCCAGTGGGGTTTCAGGAATCATGGGTACACCTTGATTTAATACATTCAGATATAGATATATAATACCCAAACACGATCTCTAGGTGGCAGAGTTATAACACAATATCATCACCGCGGGTACAATACAATGTTACATGATGCTGCATATATATTAGCTATTCCTCTCTCTGCATCATTTTGTCTTTTTTTTCAATGTTTTTTCTCTTTCTTTCTTTCCTTTTTTCTTTTTTTTTTTTTTTTTTGTTTAGGAAAAAAATATAAATATATATATATATATATATGTAGACTATAAATTATATGCATAGGATAGGCAGTAAACGTAAATACAAGTTTGGGCAAAGCAGCAGTAATGAATACACTAATTTAGCCTATAAAGAAATGATGCACCAATTAACCTCAGTCCTCAAACCCAAAAATGGTTCTGCACCTTGTAATAATAATAATATCATTTCATTACCAATTTTCAATTTCATCTTACTTTTAACTATTATGATGCATAAAGTAAAGCAATAAGTCCATCCATACCAGTTAACTAACTAATTAATTAAGCAACGCATTGAAATAATGAGACAGTGGTAAGGACGACTCACCTGTAAACCAAATATAAATTAATTATAACTAGCTAGTGTCATGCTGCAATATCAATATATATGACCAAATCAAGTGCTTAAAACTAAACTATGCATATAATGCGTGGTCCTGCAAAAGGTAAACTCAACAACACCAGGCCTATTTCATGCATGTGATAGATCCACCAGTAATGAACAATAAATAAATAAATTCACTAAATATAAAAAATCTTGGTTGTTGCTTAGCTTAGCTTGGAACAACTCAATAAATAGTACTACTCTATTAATTAGTTAGCACAGAATGATATATAATCTAATAACCGCCTTCTTTGTCAGGAGGACAATGTAATTCCATCGAATATTCCTCAATGAGAAATCAAATAATAAAAGTAAGAGTGAGCTGATCATGAGTTCAAGCACTGTATCTACAACTTTGCCAAACCTTAATTATTTAATGCAGACAGAACAAAAGTGCCCTTGAGTCTTAATGTGAAGGGCTCGTCCGTACACCACGGTCCCTATATAATACTAATCTTAATTAGTAGAGTAGTATTGTATCCTGATTCCTGCCTAAATAAAGTTAAAATGCACGCGCGCGCGCACACACACACGAACAGAAGCAACTGGTGTCATGATTGATGCTCATGTACCAAGAAAAGGAGAGAATGAGAAAAGTTTACCACAAATAATTGGTGTGTTGTCAAGATCAGATGCAGGTAGTTTCAAGAACCATATACATATAAGTAATCTCCTCCGGTTAACAAACAAACAAACAAACAGACAGACAAACAAAGCAACCAACAACCTGACCGACAGAGGCGACCCACATGAGCTAATAATAATAATACACGATCAAATGAAGGTGAGGCATTTTAATTTGGAATACAGCCTAATCCCTCATATAATTAGTGGGATTAAACCCCTGGTAGCTGGCTGAAATTAGGGACCATTGTCTGCCATCCTTTAAACTACTACCAAAGCTAGCTAGCTCAGAAATCCAAAGATCAGTTCAGGAAAGAAATGTGTAAAATGTATATATGAGTTTGCGACCAATCAGAAATCAGGAGGCCATGTAAGCTAACTATTTAAAGAGGGAATCTTCATATGATATTATAATAAACAAGTGAGTCAAGCTTTTTGCTGCTTTTTTCCCTTTTCCTCTTTTTTTAATATATAATAAAGGCAGTATGTCTGATACAGCAAAGTTGGTCCTGAGTTTGGGAAATCCATGCGTGCTATTCTATACTCTACATACATAAAAGAAACAATAATATGCACAATAAAGCTAAGGTCTCCAATATATTCCAACTTGTAAAAGAAAATTAATCATAACCAACATTTCTAAATTCGATTTCCTACACAACGTATATATAAACACTTTGTACTAGATTTTAGTTTTGCATATACCAACAACATATGAAGGAAATGTAGAAGTACATAACAACTAATATGTGGTTTCCATGCCATCTTAGTTAAAACATCTCAACCACCTAGGTGATCCTTCAATTAAGTTAACAAATTCTGCATTTTAATGTTCCTATATCAATGATTCAATACGAGGGACAGAAGGGACGGACAAGATTGATAATACCTTCTCTTAGGAGAAGTGAGCTTTTACTTATGGAAAGCTTACTAGAATTAGGCTTTACTATAACTTTATTTACTTTCTTAAAGAGAGACATTAATTTAAATGGCATACAAAGATAATGGCGTTAGCTATATGCTTGCTGCCAGTGCCAACCTGTCTTCCTCTATCAATCTCATACAGGTCAGTTATATATATAACATTGTAATGACTTTACCCAGACATGCTTGAAAGGGCATGAGATATGCTTATCTAAGTGGTTATTGGAGAGTTCCAAGAGCCTATTGACCACAATGATGATGATGATAATAATAATATATAAGTACACAATATGCATGCATATGCAAATTATTTCCTCCAGCCCTAATTATATTGAACACTAACCAAACCATTAGGTTACTTGGTCTGGGTTTGTCAGATACCCTATGGACCAATTAGGCATTCACCACATGCACCCCAACCCCCACCCATAGTTCATCCACCCCCTTTGTCTTTGTAGCCTGAAAACATCATACCCATTCAACCAGCCGCAAGAGCACGTCTGATTATACCACCTTTATGTATGTATAAATGACATCACGCTCAAGCTTAATTAACTATTTCAAGGTTAATTAAAGCAAGTTAAAGGATACACTAGTACAAAAGTCTCAACATCAATACTTAATTGTTAAGACCACTGAAGATTAAACTGCCATTACGAGTATTGGGGCTCAGAGGAATCCATATCTAATCATTACCTGTCACTAAAAGTTTGTATTGTATGCCTACTTGACTGATCCTTGTCTCCCCGTTGCCCTACTAGGGCACCTTTCTGCCCTACAACAGTCTTGCATTCAGGCATATAAATATGAGAAAGAGGTTAATTAGGTCAAATAATAACACTAACTATTATTGCCAAGCTGCGTCTTAAATAAAAAATTTCATATTAATTTTACAAGGAGCGCCTTTTATTTTTTTCTGGTGGGGGACTTAAAACTAGAGTGCCTAGATGTATAATATCTATCCATCACACATTTCTTAAAGATATTGTTATTAATCCTGAAATTCCACTAATCATCATAGTGGGTTATCACTAATTATGATCCCTTTTGATGGCTTAATACAGAAATTGTACAATGTATCTTTTGAAGTGTACTAGTTTGATGCTCTTACTGCAAATAACAAAGAGCATTACCAAGATAGTTCAAAGTAGAAAAGACAAAGTCAAAAAGAACCAGAGAACACTGGAACAGACTTACTAATTTTTTTTTAAAAAAAAAAAACCACTCTTATTATAAAGAGAGTGAAAGTTTGATTATCTGTACATGGTCATTGGTAGTGGTCACAAGTAAACAGGTCTGGTGCTAATGCCACTAGATTAGCAGCTTTAGTTGGACTTGTCTGCAGCAAGTAATAAGAGATCCTGTTGTTTTATCCATTTATTTTTTCTTCTCTCTACCTAAGAAAGTCACAGCAACATTTAGATGGAAATCTCTTTCATTTTTGTTAAGAAGAGATCCGGGGTTCCAACTTAAAACCAACTGGTATTAAGTGGAATAGCCCTTTGCAATTATAAGTAAGGGGGAGTTCCCAAATTTTCCCGATGTAGGGCAATATTCAACAATCTCCCCTCGAGATGAGGATACCATTTTAAGGCAACTCTTATCACCAATTGCTCTAAGGATGGAGCCCGGATTCCTTTCTTAACAGTTCATCAGCAAAAGCCGCAAAACTGGAAGAGCAATTATATTTAATTATAAAAATTAAATAGCACTTGAATGGCACATAACAGCGGCAAAGAGATCATTAACAGGAAAATCAGGTTAAAAAAAGAATTATATTACAATGGAAGAAAGATCACTTTCTGCTCTATAACCAAACTTAAACAGCTGAATTATAATGAAATGGATATTGCGTGAATAATGCATTTGGGCCAAAGGCCATTATGCAATACTCAATCCGAATATATCCTATAATTACCAATACTATTAGATTCCAGGTATTATCCAGTTATGGAAATAGCCCTGAGCAGGCCTTCCCATAAGCCTATTGGATGCAGTCAGATTCCATAAGATTTTCTAGTTTCCAATCTAACTCAATACCAACCCATTAAATGTTTTGATAAAATGATTCGCGATCAGTCATGATACCAATGTGGGCTGAAATCTTTCACAGGATAAGTAGCAGTTTCCAAGAGAAATTGATCACATCTACGGCAGGCGCACACACCTTGTTTTTCAAGGAAAGATCACTCGACTTTAGCAACTCCCCCGGCAGGCATGCTGCTTTCGGCTACAGTCTCCTTCACAAACCTATAGTCGCAAAATGCGCAACACAAAGTAAGAACTACAATTATAAGTCTTCAGTTCTTTCATGATAGCCAGAAAAAGAGATGACAAAGTAAGTCATGTTGGAGGGAATAACACCTTGTCAATTTATCTTGAGATGACTGTAAAACATAGATTGCAAGAATGACAGAAAGCATCAGCCCTGCTTGTGAACCAATTGAGGAAAGAATATTAAACACAATATGTTCATCTCAGTTAATAAATACCTCAAACCTTGAGCACATCAATTTATTAAAAATTTGCTTACCTGACCCAAATAGAAAATAAAAGCCAGATGCCACATCTATCTCTGACTGTTCATCCCTGTAAATCAGAAATGCAAGCACATATGCTTCAAATATGATGTGAATTGTAAGCATGTCAAAAGGTAGATGCGGCTCAGAAATGATGTGAATTGTAAGCATATCAAAATAGATCCCTAGAAGTATGATTCAAGCTCGCTCATGAAATCAACAACTGGAAACTTAATGAGCAACCCAGTTTTGTTTCTCCAAACATTGGTATATTGCAGCTTTCTGGATATTTATGTCTAGTTGTCACTGTACACCAATCTTATGAAAATTAAAACAAAAAGGAGGCCCCCCACAAGTTACTTGCATGTGTAAAACGTTGGAATAAGTATTATATAGTTTTATTTGTAATAAGTGTCACTGAGACCTGAGGTCACAAGTTTCAACTACTCTTTAAATTAGCTTATATAACAAATCTTTTGGAGAGAAAACTTTTGTACAGGATGGGAAAAACGGATGGTTCACTTTGCAAAGCCCAGAACCACGCCTGTCAAGTTTACACCTTCAATTCTAGTCACTATGCCAGTTCTTGATTCTGGCATTTAGTAAAAGCTCAAGCAAACAAAGTTCTTTTTCCACGCCTAAGCAACAAAGCACTTTTCTAGTTGCTTTTTCAGACTTGACCAAATTTAGCATGTGTGTCAGATATACACAGTTTATTTCCTTGGAGTACTAACAAGCTCAACTTAGAACATCTACCAACATACATCCACAAAACCTACTTCACAAGTGTAGCATGCATGGACGAAATTATCCAGATAAGCCGACAGTGTCCAGGCAGAAAAACTATCCCCTTTGCCAACACACACATAAATAAATAAATGAAAAATATTCCATCCATAAATGAAATGGAAGAAGCAGTATACCAAGTGTATCGCACAAGAATGTGCTTTGGCCACTGCTGCTGATCCCAAAATTGTTTACGAATATCAGGATGAAGTTCTACATCTGCTTAAACAAAAGAATATATGAGAAACTCAGTATGAGCAATCGAACAATTGAGTTTTAAAGAAACTTCATGTACAAAAGATGTAAATGGGCTCTAGACTAATGATGCCAGGGTACCCTGATTACAAATACCATGCTGCAAAAAAGTAGTAAATCAAACAGATAGAAATTGTTTACAATGAAAAGTTATCAGAATTTGTAGATGAATGCTTCTGGCCAGGAGCAGAAGAAGAAAACAGAGTTAAAATTCTAAAAATGTTGCAGCCGTAAAATCACCACCAAATAACAGCAGAAGGAATAATAGTATAATACAGGTGTCAAATTCATTGAAAAGTTGCAGCATTGATCATCATAAAAATAGTCTGAATCGGAAAGGAAAATTTTCAGATAAACAATATATATATGCAAAAAAAAAAAAACAATACCCATCATATTCACTATTTTATTATAACTGGAACCAACTTAACAAATATAGTAGCAAATAGAACTTTCATGTACAGAAAAGTCGCCTTTGAATCATGATTGGATCCATGAAAAATATCATACACACTATCTTGAAGTTAATATTGAACATGAGACACACATATGATCATAAAATATATGTCTTCGCCTATGAGCATTGTGATAGAAGGTGATATCATTGAAGTCAATGTATATTTAAGTTGTAATATTTGAAATATAGAAGTCAAAGAGTCATGCAAATGTTAACAAACAAAGATTATGATTAAGGGTAGATAGCATTAAGGAAGGGAAACTTACAACTGTTAGGCATATCTATAACTTTTGCAGTGACCCCAAGCAAATCACCCCCTGAATATCTCTAAAAATGAAGCATGCATCATCAATTAGCATGACATACACACAAGATCAACATCTATTAAGTATTAACACGGCATATACACAAAATCAACATTATATCGGCAATGGTTCATTATAGTGCATCTAAGTGACTCATCTCCAGGAACATGAAACCAAGCACATATTTTAATTCAAGTGTATCAATCTCAATTGCGCTCTATTAATACCAGTAAAAAATACATAAGAGCAAATAATGTTCCGAATTTAATAGCTTGTGAATATAGTATCAAATGCAGACCATAGGCCTTACCAGATGCATCTCAATCATTGGGACATTAGAACTCTTTCGGTTTATCACAAAAAGCCATGGGACATAAAACTTTTCTCTTCCAACTTGGAATGATCTGTACCATAATAACTCTCAGAAATGAGTGCCATGTCCAACTCAAATAATCATTGACATAGATTTCATGCACATAATTCTCTTCTCATTGAAGAATTTTTTGACTGCATCTGCACCCTGAAGATACTACATAATTAACAGAGCATGTATAGAACTCAATTCCTAAACTTCTCTTCTTACACCACTTTTTCTTCCAATACCTTCTAATTTGATCCAATTATTAGTTGTTCTTTAAAACTAGAACGAGTTGAAACGAACAAATCATACATTTTGTACGGGTCAGCTCCAGTGTATCCAGTGGGCTTAGGTATAGGAATCAACGCCTGCACACAAAATTAAACAGCAATGAGCAAACCCAAACAAGAAACCCCTAAAAGCAAACCAAACGAAACCCTAAATATATATATATATAACCTCACGATTAACAGCGAACATCGGACAATGCTTGCCGATCATATCATGCCAAACGGTTCTACTCTGCAAGTTTCTCAGTTTATCAAAGACTGAATAAATCATCAAGTAACAATATATAAGTCGTTCCATAAATATCAAATTCACATAGAAGAGCGAAAAGATTACTGAGTGGTATTGGCCCATGCGGCTCATGGGAACGATGTCCCCCGGTCGATAAGCTACGGCTATAGAGATCGCCTCACTCAATAAAACAACAAGAAACACCGCCATTCGAGTGACGCCACAAAATCTGTCCATGGTTTCGCCAAGCACAGATCGCAAGCGATCGGGGATGTAAAAACCTGTAGAAATCGTTAATTTGACCAAAAAACCTTGAAACTTGACTTGAAGGTAGGGCTATGCTGCTACCATGGCGGTTGATAATGCCAGTGAAAAATCCTTACTGCCACACCAGAATCATGCGAAACCTCTCAACTATCCCTCCAATTTAATTTGATTTAATTCTAATTTCTTTTCTATTTCATCTTTAAATATAACAATTGCGCCGAGTGCCGGTTACTTTAACTTATCCCTCGGTCCGGCTATATCATAGGAGTGATACTTTTTAACCGTGGTGCTCAATTCAGCAGGTGAAGTATTATATTACGGTCATGTTTCCTTTTACCAACGGCAAGGTCTATATAATTTAAAAGTATATTAGTGAAAATAATTATTTTATAATATAAATAATTATAAATTAAAATTAATATAATTTATTAATTTAATTAAAATTAAAAATAAAAAAATTTAAATAAGATTAAAATATGTAATTATTTTTTTAAAAAAAATGTCTTAAAATATGGACAACAAAAACTACAATGTCAACATAACAAGTGGGACAGAAAAGTTATATTCAAATACTCACAGTGAGAGTTATTTTTATGTACAATAATATTTTGGAAATAATGAATAGATAATATGTCATTTCAAAATGGAAAAGTTCTAAATAAAATCACATATCAATTTTATATTATTTTGCCTTAAAAACCGATACAATTATACAAAATAATACACTATCTTAATATAAAAATAATATAAATAAAAAAATTAAATAAAATATTATTAATCAGTAAAGCACGAATTTGACTAGTTGAATACATTCGTTATTGTTTGGTAAAATAAGAATTTATTTTTAACAGTTTATATGTTAAATAAAAATTAAAATCATTTGAATATTTTATGTTTAAAATATTTAATTGTATTTTATAGGATTATTAGAACAATTATTATTAGTTATTATAAATTATGAATATGTTATTAAAATATTTTTACTTTTGTTACTTTTTAAATATTATGTAATAAAACTACCACTTACAATGGTTACATATTTTTATTTTTGGACGTTGAATTACAAAATTAATATTTCATTAAATACCTTACTTTTTTTTCAATAATACTTTTACTTTACATCACATCATAAGTTTTGCAAAAAAAAAAATAAGGGCAAAAATGTCATTACATTACTTTTAACTACATATAAAAAATAATATTTTATTTGTCAATTCAATTGTGCTTTTATTTGATCGGGGCACGAATTTAAGAAAAATAAATAAAAATATTTTTTTAATTTAAAAAATTAGAATAAAAATTAAAATAAATTTAAATAACGGATGAAGTAATACGTTAAATTTTTATGAAAAATAAAATATATATTAAAAATTGTGTAAAATAATTATGCAAGCAAACTAGTGAATGTATTTAATGTATTAATATTTAAAAACAATATGATAAAGAAAATTTAGGAAAAACAAAGTCATACTCATTATTACTATTATTATAATATAAAAATTAAAATAAATATTCAATTTACTATTTTTAAGAATTTTTCTTAAACCATCTCGTTTTTCTCTAAACTAGCGGAATATCTATGTACGGTGAAATCAACCAAAAAATTATAATCATATTTTTTTTTGTTTAATAGTAATTTCTTTATATATTATATATATTTTTAATCAATATAAAAAAAATAAAATAATATCAGTAAATTATACTATCTCCGTAAATATTAAATTTTGTAGCATTTTACTTTTATTTCTTAATTGAATATAAGATATAATAGTATTACTTAAAATAATTTTAAATGCAAAATAAATTACATTTTAAAAATTTAATATATTTTTTTTATATCTTCTTTATAACCGTAATTACAAATAAAAATTATTTATCAATATATACATGGTAATTCTAGAATAAATTTAAAACATAAGTCTATACTTTTTTTAAACATATATATGTATTTACATAATTATTTTAAAAATTAATAAAATATATGCATTTAACTAGTACTATTCATTTATTTTAAATGTATTTTATCATTTTTAATTACAAATATATTAAAAATTAATTAATAAAAAAAATATATCCACAATCTACACAACCTCATCTTTCCACTAAATATTATATAATAAATTAAGAAAAAATATATATAATTTGAAATAAATTTTTCATTCTACTGCTTAATATACAAAGAAAAGCCGGATTTTCTGCAAACTCGAACTAAAAACACCATCATCATCTACCATCATCCACTAATTCTTGGTCAAACACATGCACCAAATAAAGTTGGCATCAGTTCACCTCTGCAGAAACTTTTCCGGAAATAAATATGTAATATAAATTATGATTCACATTATATATTTGAAATAAAATATGCAATATAACTAAAATAATTTAATGTTAAAATTTGGAATAAAATATGCAATATAACTAAAATAATTTAATGTTAAAATAACAATTTAATTTATTATGAACAAAATCAATTAAAAAATATATAAAAACTATACATATATTTGGATATGTTTATAATTTGATTGATTATGAAAATAAAATTATTATTCATATACATATTACAATTTCTGTTTTTTACAACTTAAAAAATAAAATCAATTCCTAAGATAACTTAATTACAGTATTGCAACTTTCTATGATGAAAAAAATAATAAAAATAACATATAACTTAATATAAATTATGATTAATTGATAATAAGAATTTAAATTACACTTAAATTTATAATAAAATAATTTTTATATATTACAAATTAAAAAATCACCAAACTTATCGCTAACAACTTCCGATATAAACAATTTAGAAAAAACCAAAAAAATCTAAAAATTATAAATATATATATAAATAAAATACTATCAATAAAAATAATATTATCAATAAAAAATTTTTTATCAAAAAATATTTGAGATTCCATCTTTATGACTGGACAGAAAAAACACAATAAAATAAACAATTTAGAAAGAACAAAAAAAAATTTAAAAATTATAAATATATATAATATTATTAATAAAGAAAAATAGTAAAACAACTCAATATTATCAAAAAAAATAAAAAAAATATTATCAATAAAAAAATTATCAAAAAAACAACAATTCATTGTAAATGCATTGATAATAAATTTTAATATTCTTATTCTCACCTTTCTTTAGTCGCATTACCTCTCTTTCATATGTCTATGAAAAAGAAAAAAAAAAACAGTTTTCTCCACTAACAATCTTAATAATTTTACAAAATGTGGAGTCCAGTTTTAAACTCTTATATATATATATATATATGATACTTCCTCCGTCCACGTGTTTACATATTTCTATTTTGGGATGTCCAATTACAAAGTTAACATTTCATTAAATATTTTACTTTTTCTACAAATACCCTTACTTATATCACATCGTTACTTTTATTATAAAAAAAAAAAATATATCATTACATTATTTTTAATTACTTTTATACGAGGGATGAAGCATATGATTTGTAGGGCAGCGGTTAAAATGATGGCTCCAATGGACCTTGCCTTTTTATAGGTAGCACCCACGGCCCACCTAGTTGGATGGGTGCTTTTTTTATTTTTTATTTTTTATTTTAAAAATTCTAAAATAATTTAAATATATTCATAAATTCTACTTTATTTTATTTTTTTATATTTAGTTTTGATTGTTTATAAAATAATTATTTTTTTATATTTAAAGTTAAAAATATTAATATTTCCCATCAATTATATATTTATTAATATTTATAATTAATTAATTATATATAATTACGTAAAAACTAATATAAATTATTTAATTATTAAATTTAAATCATTATAATACACATTTAATAATATTATAAATAATGAAATAAATAATCAATTATTGTAACAATAGCAAAATGTTGGATGTTATTTATGAATTCAAAAAAATGATATAAAATAATAATATAAAAAATATTTTTTAATCCAATAAAAATAAATGGTGGAAGATAGTCATAAAAAACCCTCAACGCACAATTAATTGCTTTGTTAGACATAAATTGGCACACGGATTATCGAAGCTCCTGGGACCGCAAAACCTTGGGTGAAGAAGTCCAGGACCTTTCATTTTCTGGAGTTATTTACGGGTTCACTCTCAGCGTCCGGCTCCGGCTCCGTCTCCGTCTCCGTCTGTTTTTATTTATTTTTTTAAAAATAATATTTAGAAGATCTATAAGTAGTAAATAATTTAAAATATATTAATAAAAAGATTTTTAAATTAAAATTAAATAACAAATTAATTTAATTAAAATTTAAAAATTATAAATTAAATTTTTTTAAATGAATTTAAAGTGTGTAATTCTTTAAAAAGAAAAAAATGACGGAATAGGTGGTATACATAAAAATAAAAAAATAGAACAAAGTAAATGAGACTACTATTTTCGTTTACTTTATAAGTAGAATGTATATATTTATTTTTTGATATTTTAATGATAATAAATAATGGTTATATACATAAAATTATTATGAAACAAATAGGAGAATATTTATAATTTATATTGAAGTTCGTTTAGAGAAATGAGTAGTATATATATGCTTACAAGTGGAGGGAGAGAGAGAGGAAGTATAAAATAAAAGTTTATTAACTCAAGGAATAAATACCATAGAAAAAAGGACGTAAACAGTGTCTTTTCTTGCTTTTCTTTATGCAGAAGGGGATAAAAAGAATTCGTTACATTACACCAGTCCATATCTACAACAAGTCAAGCACACAATCATACAATGCATACGAGAGTGTTTTGGTTTTTATTTTTTTTGTGATTGAGGGGAATACAAATGATGATAGGTGACTTTTAAGTTTAACTGTGGTCGGTAATTCGGGAGTAAATTAGAATGATTTAAAATTTTACTCAAGGGGAAAAACAAAGTAAAAAGACACAAATTTGCCGTGTTTGTTTGTGTGAGAATTTATAGTGATCCGCAGTAGGTAGATACATGTGTGAGTATATATATATATATATATATATTTGACATATGCGTGTGTGTATATATATATGATTGGGTATTTAGAGGAACGTTAGCACTTCAAAGGCCAGACAGATTTGCGGGTTTATGTTTGTGTCTACGCAAATCCAAATCATACTCGGCGGAAGCTCTCCAGTGTTGTCGTCTTTGTGTGCCCTCCGAAACCCCTTCTCTCATTCGGTTCATTTTCTTCGCGTATTTTGGTTTTTGGGTTTTCCCCCAAACCCCCGCTTTTGACCCATTTCGCGCAGGGACGGAAAAGAAAGCGTCGTGTTGCTTTCGCGTTCCGATTTACTTCTGTTCTTTTTTTTTTCTTTCCAATTGAAACCTGTTTGCTAATGCTGCTTTATGTTTGTCGGGTTTTAATATTTGTTTGTACGGAATATTGAACTTAAAAACGGATTGATTGATTCGCTGATTTTCTCTACTGAAATCGATTGAACGATAGATTAAATGGGTGATCCTGTGGGCGGCGGTGAAGCGGCGGAGATGACACCCGCGTCCACCTCTTCCGCGGAGCCCTACCCATTGGGGTTTGGCGGAGAGAATTGGGTAGGGGCAGAAAGAGCCGCCTGTGAGATAATCCGGAAGGTCCAACCCACTTCTGTTTCTGAAGGGAGAAGAATAGAGGTTGTTGATTATATCCAGAGATTAATCAGGAATGGCCTGAGTGTGGAGGTGGGGAAATTCCATCTGCCTGTTTTGAACTGATTTCTATGTGTTACATTCATCTGTGTGCATTCTATATTGCTCCTAATAACAGGTATGAGTGCATCTTCTGTGATATTATTGCACATGTTTTTGTTTAGTGTTTGGCTTGCATGCATGTGCATCTCTGGTGTTGACTGCCGAGGTACATTAATGGTAATTCATCGCCGATAGGCGATAATTTGTATATTCGTAAGTATAATGAAATGGGATAAGGTCGGCAATACAAGTGTCATATTTCTAACGCTTGCGGAAGCTTATCTTTAGGAAATGATACACTTGTCAAGCTGTCTAATTTATTAGGAAAGTGCGGCTGCCTTTTACCACGTGTCGTGGTGTAGCTACTAGAATTTGGATATTGAGGTAATCCTGGAAGCTATCATTAATACAATGTTGTAGGATCTGTTAGTAGTTACGGCTTCTAAAAGCACTTCTAGACGGGTACGTGTTTGTCCGTTTAGTATATATGGCTAAAAGGTGTTTGTTTGTCAGATTATGTATGTATTATTTGATCAAAGTTGTTACACGCTTTGTTGCCTAGGAACTTCAGGTAATCAATATTGCTTGTTTGTTGAAGATCTTAACATGATGCTGAATTGTGGTTCCTTGTTTAAGAATGGTTATACTTATTGTGGCTTCTTGCAATACTATATTGGTGTCCTCTTTATTGTCTGTAGTTTATAAAGAAGGAATATTTTACTATATTTCTCTTTTGGCATTTTTTTTGTCATCATGTTCTCTATTAACCCCACAGGTACAGGATATGAATGATTCTGTCAATTCTTACTTTGGTCTCCTACTCATATTTGTGTTCATTGGGTTAAACAATTGAAAATTTCAGGTATTCCCATTTGGCTCTGTGCCATTGAAAACTTACCTTCCAGATGGAGACATTGATTTGACTGCTTTTGGTGGTGCGAATGTTGAAGATGCTCTGGCTGATGATATCAAATATTTATTGGAACAAGAAGAAAAAAATATGGCCTCAGACTTTGTAGTAAAGGATGTCCAGCTCATTCGTGCAGAGGTTTGCACATTTTATTAGTATGCGGAAAGATTTACTAAATTCTTTAACAAATTTCTCACATACCAGAATTGGAAATTTGCATCTAGCGCTTTAAATTTATTGAGATTCATGTTTTCGCATCACTTACTGTAACATAAAATGTTGTATTCTGGAGGCAGGTTCAATATTAACTCAGTAACACAGATGCGTATGCTAAAACTGTGAGAGGTTAAAATAAGAATGAACAATGGATCTTGGATAATGTGATATCTGTTGCAGCATAATTTGTTATAAGCAAATAACTTATAAAATCTGGATCCACTTTACCAAGGTTGCCAAAGAGGTTTTCCTGAAACTGGCATAGTGACAATGATTTAAGTATTAGTGGCTGTCTTTGGGAGAAGGTGCTAATCTTCCTGTAGTTATTTTGCCATGAAAATGGATCTATTCACTGAACTTTGCAATATATGGGCTTCATAAAAGAAACCTAGGCCTCATGATTAGGTTTTCTACTTCCGGTAAGTATGATTGGTAAGTACATGCTATGTATAAATTATATAGCCACAGCTGCCATATTGGATTTGGAATGCACAATTTGGCCCAACAGAGAATAGGGGAGTCATATTGGCTATGGCTGCCCATTCGACACACTAGGTTTAAGTTTGTATTGCAACTAGGTATGTTTGGTCGAATGCTGCATGAACCACTTCATAGCAATTAGAATACAGCAAAGATTTCGTAACAATGATGGCCGTCAACTTTACATTTAATTTAATGCCATTGGATCTAGTTTTCTTGCATTTGGACTGCCTTTTTCAGTCTCCAATTTCATGCGCTGCCCATTTGGAATCCATAATTGATATTTATACATGACCACGTTGTCTTTTTTCTCTTGTATCTTTATTTCAAATTATTGTGGTTTTCCTGTTCTGCTGACAGAAATTTCAGGCCACCTTTGAGTGTACCTTTGAATTGGATATAATGGCTCAACATACCACATGAACTAAGTATGGATTTGTAGAGTTAGGACAATAAATTTTATTGGTAAATTTAAGCACAAGATTGTGATAAGGGTAAAATGTTTGTTACATATATTTCGAATTTTTTTTGTTCCCTTATGTGTAGGTTTGTTATTTTTATATTCCTAGTTCCACTGCACACCACTTTGAAATTTGTCTTTTTGAGTTTTTGAATTGTAACCGTGCCTCATTGACACGTGGCTATTATGTGGCAGGTAAAGCTTGTGAAATGTATTGTTCAAGATATTGTTGTAGATTTGTCCTTCAATCAAATCGGTGGTCTTTGCACTTTATGCTTTCTTGAGCAGGTAACTATGCTCTAAAAATCTTGAAGGTGAAAAATTGTTGAGATATTTATCTTATTGCTCGAAAAGGAATCTTATCAAGACTGACGTTCCATTTGTCTTATTTGTATCTGGTATGGTTGTACTTAATGAATTCAGAATTGATCAATTTGTTTATCCATCACATAAAGCTTTTCCTTTTTTTGTGACTTCAAAAGAGAGAGAAAACACTGCTACTCATGTTTTCATAGATCCATATTTGACTCGTGATAATCTCACTGTACTACTGCTTGAAATGTTATGAATTTACTGCAACTACTCAAATGATTTTGTGTTTGTGGGTATGTGATATCTACCGGAGAGAGTATACAATAAATCTTATATGCCTTGTATCAAGTGCAGTAAAATGATTGCCTTGGGGTGATGTATGCAAAGTGAAAACATCTATATTCTTGTGTTCATTTATGCAAAGTAGGACTTGATAATTTTGTAACACTGTAACTTCAGCCTATGAATGATTGCCTTGGGGTGATGTATGCAATGTGAAATAACTTTCAGATGTAGTTGAAGGAGGATCCAATTTATGATTTCACAATTGCTGTGATTAATATTACAGGTTGACCATCTCATTGGCAAAGATCACCTCTTTAAACGCAGCATCATCCTTATCAAAGCGTGGTGCTACTATGAGAGTCGCATCCTTGGTGCTCATCATGGATTAATTTCTACATATGCTTTGGAGACCCTGGTGTTGTACATTTTCCAATTTTTTCGCTCAACATTGGATGGACCTTTAGCTGTGAGTGTACTAAGGACAATTTTCGTTTCTTCAGTTTGTCTCCACAGCAGTAACCTAATGATTAAAATTTTACTTTAGGTCTTGCATAAATTTTTGGTTTACTTCAGCAAATTTGATTGGGAGACTCACTGTGTTAGCTTAAATGGCCCTATTCGCCTTTCTTCACTGCCTGAAATTGTTGGTGAGATTCTTTTTAAAGTTTGAGTTACATATCTTAAATTATGAAGATGTAATGATTGAATTTTATCTGTTTATCCTGTTTCAGTTGATTTGCCAGAAGATAGTGACAGAGGTTTGCTTTTGAGCAGTGATTTCCTGAGTTCTTGTGCTAGCAGTTTTTTAGTTCCTTCTAGAGGTAGTGACAGAAATCCGCGTGGGTTTCAGCTCAAGCACCTTAACATTGTTGATCCACTTAAAGAGACCAATAATCTTGGGCGTAGTGTGAGCAAAGGTATGATCATTTATGTTACTTCCTGTTCAGTGGAAATGTCATTATTGCTTGTGAGAGAAAACTATTGATTGCCAAGTACCATAAACTTCAGCTGCGTAAATTATTTATGAACTAAATGACATGGTTTCTACTTTTATATATGATGCTTGTTAAAAATGTGACAATAAAATTTTCTCTTCCAGATTGATGTTTGGCATTTACAACAGATCGCATTTCAGAGAAATATAATAAAGCTAAACAGCCTTATCTACACCACCTTTTTTAAAACTGTGGTGGCTCCCTGTCGCTACTTGATTTATACTTTCAGTTATTTAGTTTATTGGTATTTGTTTAAATATTTACCATTGTGTTTTATACAGGTAGTTTTTATCGCATACGCAGCGCCGTCTCTTATGGGGCTACAAAACTCGCACAGATACTTTTGCAGCCTGAAGATTCTATTGCCGTTGAACTTAATAAATTTTTCTCTAATACTATGGCAAGGCATGGAGGTGGACAGTGGCATGATGTTCAGGGTTTGGACCCAACACTTATTTCTAAGAAGTCTACTTCTGGAATGCGGATTTCTGACCACTCATATGAGTTTGATGAAGAGGCTGTCTCTAGTGGAGCTCTGCAGTCTAGGTCAGTTAAATTGTCCCAAGATTCACTCAAATGGGTAGAGGGATCATCTACAGATATTGCTGCAAATCGAGAGCCTTCTAAACACAATTCTCTGGGTCCTGCTTTTCATGGAAGCTTGAGTGACCTTGCCACTGTTGGTTTTGGAGGTCTAAAGATTTCTTCTGATTCATCCAATTTTGGAACTCCTCATCTAACAGAGAGTCCTCGTGCAATTGCTAGTTCCAAGACCATAGCTTGTAATGGAAGTACACAGGTTGTTGACCCAAATTCAGCTAGGCTGGAGAATTATGAAAAGAATACACTTCCCCGGGTCTTGTCAGGAGTTTATGGGGAAAGAATTGCTGGTACTGGGCGCCCAGACAAGAATCAATTGGTAGACAGTGCCGAAGCTGTGGCTTCGAGTAATTTCAAGGCTGTTTCTTGGGCTCTAAACACTTCTTCTTTATCAGTGGATCCTACTCATATAGATGTGGAACAGGCCTCACCTGACAGGAGTGAGACATCTGACCTTTTAAGCACATCCGATCTCACAGGGAATTATGATAGATTCTTGCAATGGCTACACTTTGGTAGATGGTGCTATGAATATGGCTTAAGTATGCAGACTTTGACAATGCCACCTCCCTTGCCAAGCACACAATGGGACGGCCTCTTGCCTCCATCACATTTTGAGCAGAATGGGTTTTCCCATGGCCCCTATAATGGCTTGCATCCAAGTCCACCAATGTATGTCTTGCAGCCCGTGCTAATACCAGGTGCTGCGTTCAGGTTTGAAGAAGTGGCTAAACCCAGAGGAACAGGAACATATTTTCCGCATATGGTATGCTACACTATGTGTGCCTAACTTTGGACCTTTTAAAATGTATTTATGACTTGCTAGTACTCACGGCTTCTTTTACCATCACAGTAACTTGTTTCATTATGCAGGCTCAACCCCCACGGGGTTATAGGTCTTCATCCATGAAAGGAAGGAATCAGGGATCATTAAGATCACCGCGTGACTATGGAAGAAACATGATTTTTGCGCCGCATCTGATAGACAGAAGCAGAAGCAACTATGAAACAGCGCAACCTCAAGTCCCCGTTGACAGAAGTGTGATGGGCTGTAGTGATAACCATCCGGCAGCGCTCTCTCCTCGAGGTAATGGGTTTCCAGAACCAGTTGGGTCATCTGCCCAATCTGAAGGAGTGGTTGAATTGGGGTTGATTGGACAGTCATCTAGATCATCCATGTTAGGAAAGAGCAGGCGGCAAAGATCTGCATCTGCATCCTCATTATCTCCTAGAAGTTTGTCTGATAGAGCAGGATAGGTAGAAGGATCTTGGAGCATGCCAACATACATACACATAAATACTAGAAATGTGGCTGGCTGTTGCTGCGGATGAAGATGATATCCCTCCTCCATTGCCTGCCCCTCAGAAAGACAGAGAAGATTTAAAAAAAAAAAAAAAAAAAAAACGAAGGTATTTTCTTTGTAGAGAGCAAGCCTGTTGTTTACACATTTGCATGCACTCAGAGCTTGTTTATACAATTTTACAAATATTTTTTTTAGGAAGAAACGGGATGGATTGTGTGTTTGTATGTGGCAACTTTTTTCTCCCCCTGGTGGGTGTAGTAGATTCATTGTGAACCTTATATGTATAGAGAGAAGCATTCTAGCCTCCAGGCTCCAACCATCGTATGGATCCCATATTGTATGCTGGAGTTAAATGGAATGATGTCCAGTGTAGTGAGGGAGAGATGGGGAATTTTGGTGATTCATCAAATACTAGTGATAAGCTTATGTTGTTAATTGGTTAGTTAGTTCACATATGAATGATATGATATGGATTTTGGGGTTGGTTATCTTATCCTATCTTTGGGCTGGGCTGTGGTGACGGTGGTTGTGGTTTATGTATATGGTTGGTGGGATGTCCAGCCGGCGATAGATAGATAGATAGTTGGCTTGATCGATCAAATGGTCATCATCCTCGCCTGTCCTATTCTAACATGTCCTCTCTTGGTGGTGTTTGAATGCAATTGCCCAACAATCAATCACCAGCCATCACATATGTATTGTTCTGTGTTGTATACGTATTGGTAAGGGGCTAAGGAGTAGGTGCAGGGCAGGGGAGGGTGAGATTGCTCTGCTCTTCTATGTCGTCTATACATCATATTGGGGATTAATTTATAGATGGTTTTGATCTATCTGGTGTGGTGAACTGGTGGTGGTGGCCTGCCTGCCTGCCATTAACGTGCAAGTGCAAGTGCTAGTGCTAGCTAACACAACACAAGATAGTACAATGTCACTAGGACAAGACGACACAGTCAGTCTCAATATTAGTAGAGAGCTATGGTAGCGAGCTTGCAATATAATCTAGTTTCCTTCCTCCTCCCTTCCTTGATGATGATGATGATGATGATGATAGTGGTACAGTAGAGTCATTTTTACGTGGTGGGGAGGGATTACTTAGAATAATCATTCATACATATACATACATACATATATATGATTTGAATCAGATGAATGGGAGGAGGAGGAGGAAGAAGACCTTAGCCTGGGGGGTGCGGTACGGTGCCCGTGCCCGTGCCCGTGCCCGTGCCCCCACAAAGATATCTAGTAATGTCACCTGTACTGCACCCACAATAAATAAATAAATAAAATAAAATTCAATATATATTTGATGTGGGAAACTCAATCAGATCAGATATCGTATCTGCAAACTTACACATCACACGAATTCATTCATTCATCAATAATTCATCAACCCAATCTCATCATCATCACTGCACTGCTGCTGCTTGATTCGATCGATATGATCATTGATCATCATTATTAGTATTATTATATTGACGAGACACTGATAAGCATTTTAGATGATAATAACAACAGTAAATGTAAGTGATTAGCAATTAGAGAGAATGAGAGTGAGAGAAGGACAACAAGCAGTAAGTACAAGGATGTGCATTATTGGAGAGAGAGAGAGAGAGAGAGAGAGGAAGGAGGATCATGACAGGTACCATATATACTATATTATATTATATTGCTGCATTCGTGTGCGTGCTGTGGCTACCAGTGATCTGTATGTATATATTGTATATGAGCACAGAACTCTCTGCTCTGCTCTGCTCTACTCTACTCTCCTCTCTTACATCATAGTAATATTCATCTATATATATATATATATACATATGACATGACAAAAGTACTGGCTGGCTGGTTGGTATATATATTTGGCAAAAACTACAACTTATTTACATGCACACATTTGTAGTTGTATAGTACGTAGCGTACCATAGTCTAATTTAATTAATTAATTGTACATCCAGAATCTGCGCCTTGTGTTGGCTGGCCTGCCTATTTCCACACCTCTACACACATATGTATCCATACATGAATATGAATATGAATATAAATATATATATATATATATTTTTTTTTTTTTTTTTGGTGCCGACAACCCACCCTACCCTAGCTAACCATTTCTCTTCCTTCAATAATACTACTAATAATAATAATTCTCAACGTAACATTCTGTCATACATTTGATTGATTAAACTCCAAGTGCTACGACTATTAATTATATACTAATTAATTGGAGATAGCTAATTAATTAAGACTCCAGTATATATGACCATGCACACACGTACGTACATTAAAACAAATTAAAACGTTCATATTCCGACCAGAGATATATATATATGTGGATGGGTAATTTAAACAACGATTCACAATCAATATAAATAATACAGAGAGAGAGAGAGAGAGAGAGAGAGAGAGAGAGAGAGAGAGAGAGAGAGAGAGAGAGAGAGAAATTAAAGGTGAAAGCGACGAGTAGAAGAGGACGACATCAATATCTTATTCAATTAATGCCAATGTCACATGCATGCGTCTCTTCTACCTTTATTAATTATTATATACTATCATCAAATTAATTACTTCACATACCTACCTAACGTTCCCATACCATTTGTTTTTAATTTTTTTGTAATTTTGCATCTGCCTGCCTGATCCATCGAATTGAAAAGTAATTAAATCAAATGTATGTGAGTGAGTGAGTAGTTGGAGAAAATGATTATATAAAATGGAAAAAGATCAAGTGTATCAAAACGTATCTTGAATGAAAACGTTTGTCCCTCAAAGCCTAGACACCCACAATCACCGCTGCATACCTTTCAATATTTAATTAAGTAAAAAATTCATGCACCGCGCAGTGTCAAAACACACACACATTCCTACGTTAAACATAAATAAATAAAAGTAATGATATTTGTGTAATACACTGTAAGGTGTGAAAGGATATTTTTTTCTTTTTTTTATGTTAAATAGATAGTACAATTACTAAATTAAGAAATGATAAGTAACGAAAAGAAAAAATAACGTTTGAGTATGTAGTTTCTTTCGATTTCAACACAACAGCTGGCTTGGCTGGGCTGGGCTGGGCTGAGCTGAGCTGAGCTAGGTATCTTCAATTTAATTTACGTAAAGCTGAATATAGCACCTACCTAGAGACATACTAATATACAAGTTCATAAAAATAAATGAATGGCGTGGCTATTTAATTTATTTATTAATATATACACATACATCCATACATATAATTGGAATGGAACTTAAAGCTGGCTATCTGCTTAATATTAATGGAGACCATTTAATTTAATTTTAAATGAAATTAGTTAATGTGAAACCAAATGTGCTTGAAGACGTTGATGATGAGGTCATGGTATTCGTCAGCATTGAGCGAGAGATAGCAGGCCAGCAGCTCCTCCAAATCCTTGGAACCCCGTAGCTCGTTCTCCACGATCATCTCCACCATCGACTCCATGAAGTCCCTCCGCGGGTCCTGGGACGATTTCACCACCGCAAATGCACTCTCCGACACGCTCCGCCGCCGCCGCCACGCCGACGCCGGCGACGATGATGATGTGCTCTTCCTCCGCCGCCCGTTTGAGATTCTCGGAGAATTCGTGCGGAGCCTCACCCCCGCTGCACCTGGAGACGACGCCCATGGATTCCGCCTCATTTTGTCGATCTGCTCCTCCTCGCCGCCGGCGGTTACCAAATCCTCTCTCACAACCCTAACGCGGAGGGATCCGTACGCGCTGCAGCTCTTCTTGGTGGCAATCGGGGGCAGATTGGAGGCACTCTGATCTGCACGCCGCACGCCGCCTCCGCCGCCGCCGTCGTCTATCTCGAGCACGATGTCGTTTCGGGCTTTGCACTTGCAGGAGGGGGTTGAGCAAGAAACCCCACCGCCGTCGTCGTCGTCGTCGAGTGTATAATCGGTGGTAAGGCCACGATCGGAGCCGCATTCAGGGACGACAGAATCGTGCTCCGAATTAGAAGAGGTTGGATCGATAATATCCTCCGGGGAATTGGGGAGCGCTACGTCGGGAGCGGAATCAGGGGGCTTCGCCGCCGCCGCCGTCGTCCAGACGGAATCCACGCTGGCACGGCAGCTACAGCTTGGCGGAGGAGTGGGAGGCTGAGGGTGAGGGTGAGGGTGGGGTCGCTTGAAGCTTCTTCTTCCTCTGGTTTTCCTCTTGGGCTTGCCGGCGATGGATGATTTTCTTGGAGGGTCGTGGTGATGTTTGACAGGGATGAGGTTGTCCTGGTCCTGGTCCGGCCTGGTAATATAGTAGGATTTTCTCTGGTCTGACAGGTGGGGCTGCTGCTGCTGCAGGGTGGAGCTGGAGGAATGATGTTGGTGATGATTTGGCAGGGACGATGATGATGAGGATGATGAGGAGGAGGAGGAGGAGGAGGAAGATGAAGATGAAGAGGGAGCGTTCGTGACTTTGTTGTTGTTGCTGGATGATGGAGGGGGTGGGGGTGGGTTGTTGGTCGATTTGGCCATGTCCCTGAGCTTGTAGAACCAGGTGGAGCTGGGAATCATGTCTGATAATCTGAACCTCCTCCTCCTCCTGTAATTGCCCATTGATCGATCAGAACAAAGCCAAAGGCAGAGGCAGGTGGATAATACTATAATGGAGCGATGGAGAATATATATAGTGGTATAATATAATGATCACTGCTGCTTGCTTGCTTGCTTTCATAATTGTCTTAAGATTATACGTGATCTTTATTTATTTATATATAAAGATATATGGAGAAAGGGTGGGGCTGAGCGAGCCCACGCACGGCACGAACAAGAAATTTGTACGCTTCTGTCGCCCGACACTCTGCAAAATGGTAATACTACTACATATATATATATATATATACTATTGATTACTTATATTACTGGTGGAACGAGATTTATTTATTTATTTATTGTTTTATGACTTGGGAATTTGCAGGTGATCTGAAGCTTCGTAAGCTTCGTAGGTCTGGATTCATGACCTCATGGTCACATATCCAATCCTTACACTATCAGACAATCTCCTACGGGATAATTAAAATGAAATTTTTGACCTGACCTCAGGTGAATGATTAGTTTTCAAAAAATATTTTCATATTAAAAAATTAATTTTTCAAATATGAGAACATATATATTTTTAATTAATTATTATATTATAGTATTGTAAATATATTTATGAAACATGATAAATAAATTTACATTCTATATATATATATATATATAAATAAAAATGGTAGAGAAGCTTATTTTAGTAGTCTTCTTTTGTTTCAATTTAAAATTATACTATATTAGTAATGTATTTCATAATTGTTAGGTCTTTTTCTTCCAACATTCCCCTCTCTCTCTCTCTCTCATTTGCATTTGCATTTCGGTACACCGCACCACTACACTGGAGCGAAGAAAAACAAAAATTGAAGGAAAGGGACCATATATGTATGTATGTATGTATGTAATAATAATGATAATAATAACAAATTAAGGTAATTGATGATAATGGTGCTAGCTGTCGTTGTTTGTAGCTTATTCATATTTAAAGAAACTTTCTCCTTAGCTTAGGTGTTTTGATGGATTTAGAATTATATTGGCAGTATAGTAGTATATACACATCTTTGTTATGTATAAATACTGAGTGACTGATTGATTGATTGATTAGTGATTACTCAACCCAAAGTGCTCATCACACTTTCATTTCTCCAAAGCCAAAGTCAATACCCCACCAATATCAAATTCATAGAAAAAATATTCGTCTTCATCTTCATCTTCATTTTGCAGTCACTCACGCAATAATAAATCTTAATCATACTTAATACTCTTCTCTACGTATGCATATATATATATATATATGTATACATGTATGTTGCAGTAGTGATCTGATCTGAGAGAATCTGAAACACACACGAGCAGATCAGTCAGTGGATCTATCTTAAATATAGCAACTGAGAGTGCACTCAACTTTTCGGTGTCTGTCTCCCACAAATTAATTATTTTCATTATATTATATATATATTTTTTATAACGTGAAAATTTATAACATTTATCCTAAAGTGAACTCGAGATAAACTCCGATCTAATCTAATACTTTGCAAACTAAGGTCCAGCCACGCTAAGCCTTGTCTCAATGTCTGTCTTTCATCAGTCAATTAATTAACCGTTATTGGACCGAACCTCCACCAGTGCTACTACATGGGCCTATTGGGCCGAACATAGTAGTCCAAGGTCCAATATTTGGGTCCAACTTCATTCCTTCCAACAATTCACAACATAGCTAAGCTAACTAGCTACTTTGCACCCGCCTCTTAATTGTCTCCTCTCTCCCTCTGTCTTCTTGTCGAATCATTTCGTAAAATTTATATTGCAAACCTCGAATGCCAAGTTCGCTGGGGACGGACCATCTCTGATGACTGTAATAGACGTACGCCTTCAAGTTCGTATCTCTCGTTTTTGTTGTTCCGCTCTGTAATCGATTGTTGTGCTTTTCGTGATATCTAGGTTTCGCAGCTTGATAAAACGCGGTTGGAATACTTAGTAATTCAACTTTTGTGGATTTCAGAAGCTTTGCGTTTTTATCTCTTTTTGTAATTTTTTGTTAATTAGGACGTTCCACGTAAGTTGCTTCACCGCTTGGAGGGGGAATTGAAGGAATTGGTTTTGAAATTGAAGCATTGAACAGAACAAGCTGGGAGGCTAGGGTTTACCATCTTTCTCTTGTTTTTTTTGGGATTCGTCGGATTATCTGATTACTCGGTTTGGGAAGTGAGGTTTCTTGAAACGTTTTTCTGTTTTCAAGAGTTGGGAAGAAGGGGTGTTGGTGGGGGAGGATATGTGTATACTTTGCGTTGTTCAGAAGTGGTCGCGGAGGATTGCTACCATGTTGCCGTGGCTGGTAATTCCACTGATTGGCCTCTGGGCTTTATCACAGCTCTTTCCACCTGCTTTCCGGTTTGAAATTACGTCATCAAGGCTTGCCTGCGTGTTGGTGCTACTGGTAACCCTGTTCTGGTACGAGGTGTTGATGCCTCAGCTGTCAGCATGGCAGATCAGGAGGAATGATAGGCTCAAGGAGAGGAAGAGGTCTGAAGCTATTGAATTACAGAAATTGCGAAAGACTGCTACTAGAAGATGCAGGAATTGCTTTACTGCTTATCGTGATCAGAATCCAGGTGGGGGTAAGTTTATGTGCTCTTACTGTGGCCATATTTCAAAGAGGCCAGTTCTCGATTTCCCTGTGCTTTCAGGGATGGAAAATTCGGGAATTTGGAAGAATCTGGTCAGTAAAAGTGGAAAGATATTAAATGGCAAGGCTTGGCTAGATAATGGGTTGGTCTGTGGGCAGGAATGGCTTGAGAATAGCAATTGTGGAAGCGGACCTATTTACCGGAACTCAATCGATAGACAGAAGAATAGTGGTGATTTATTTGGAGATCATGACAATTGTTTGACAGAAAGATCTTACTCTCACGGTTTTCTTTTTGGTTCCCAAGCATTAACGAGATTTTTCTTTCATGTCACCTGGCTTTGTAGAAAGCTTTTTAGAGTTCGATCTTCCAGAGATGATTCTTCAGTTGATTCAAAGAGCAGAGCAGTGATAGATAATTGTGGTGAGAATGGGGTGAGTTGTCAGGAGAGTAAAGCAGAAAAAGCTCGTAGAAAAGCCGAGGAGAAAAGGCTTGCTAGATTAGAGAAGGAGCTACTGGAAGAGGAAGAAAGAAAGCAGAGAGAGGAGGTTGCAAAATTGGTTGAAGAGCGAAGGAGATTGAGAGATGAGAAAATGGAAGCTGAAAAAGAACATGGAAAAGGATCGTCTCGACTTAAGGAAAGAGGGGGTAATAAGGAGTCTGAAAGGAAATGCCAGGAGAAAAAGAAGGAAAAAGATCGAGGGTCAAGTAAAAGCAACTCTGATGCTGAGGAGCTAGAAAAAAGAGCAAACAAGGATAGAAAGGAGCAGCAAAGAACTGGACTTGAATGTACGAAACCTCATGGTGCAGAAATGGGTTCTGGATTTAGGGGTGCTACTGCTAGCAATCATAACCAAGGAATTGCTGGAACAAGATACCTGGATCGCATGAGGGGCACTCTTTTATCTTCTTCCAGAGCATTTACTGGAGGTGGTTTTTTTGGAAACAGCAGTAATGCAACTACTGTTTCAAGAGGAAACAAGCCTAATACATTAGTAGAAAATATTCAAACTTCTACACATGGAAAAGATTCTGGAAGAGCAACCGCAAACAGAGACAATAAAACTTCCAACCACCCTGTAAGTAGCTCATCGCATTTAGTGGTTTGTCTTCTAATATTTTTTCATTACTACTTTTTTTTCATTCAAGTTGTGGGGTGGGTGGGAGGGGTGATTGGCATGGGTTTCATGGAAATCTATGTACGATTGTTGATACTAATTTGTCATGAAACAATCATCTTCTGTTATTAATTTTTCGGCCCTGATCTATATCATCAATTGATGACATCTAATTGGAACTTTACTCCTGCTGCTGTTGGATTCTCATCTCACCATATTCACATTGATCTTTGATCCCCTGGAATATACTTCTGTTGGTACTTGTTGATATGTTGTGTACTTATGTGGCCAAGTTAACTTATACTGATATACACTGCAGGTGCTTGTTGAAGCTCAGCCAAGCACCGGACCAAAAAAGTCCTGGCAGCAACTATTTACTCGCTCCTCTGCTGTACTTCCACCATCTAGTTCGAATGTTATAAGCAGACCTATCGGGAAATGTGAAGCAGTTCAGAGTCCACCTTTTTCTGGTCATCCGAATCCAACCCAATCAGCTGAGAATCCTACCAATTTTGGATTGTCATCACCGTTCAGCTTACCTTCATTTTCTCTTGGATCAAGTGGCAGCAATGCAGTTCTTTCTGAACCAATGCTTTCCAACATGAAAGATTCACCTCATCAATTTTTACCAGAGGAGTCGGAGATTTTTGAAGACCCTTGTTATGATCCAGACCCCATATCCTTGCTAGGTCCGGTTTCTGAATCACTAGATGAATTTCAACAGGACCTTGGTTTTTTGAAGGACACTGAATTCAAAGAACCATTTGCTGTGAAGGCTAAAGCTGGACCCTCTGAAATCACAAAGCCATTGCCTATTGAGTCTCCATTGTTGAGACCACCAGTTTCAGAGGAAAGGCATGCCAGTTCAGTTCTTTTTCCTTCTTTCAGGGCTCAGGATAATCCCAACACCATGAATGATGCTGGAACATGGCAGATGTGGAATACCCCTGCTCTTGGGCAGGATGGTCTTGGTTTAGTTAGTCGGCCTGCCAGTTGGGTTTTACATCCTGATAACTTCCCTTACCAAGAAGATAGAATAAACCCAATGCCTCAAAGAACAATGGCTTCGTTGTTCAAGAAGGATGAGCAGGCCACTTTTGGTTCTCTTTCTTCTCAAAATGTTCCATTTCAAAATTCTCAGAATGGTGGGAAATTCAATGCACCTGTCCCTCCTGTTCCTGATGATCCATGGTCGTCAAACAACTTGTTCGGGCAGATTTCAAGGCCTGAAAATCCAATTCTTTCAAAGCCCAATGAGCTAGCTGGTTCAAATGGACGGGTTTATGACAATCCCGGTGCCCCTGCTGCTAATTCATGGGACAAGTAAGATAGCCTGAACTGAACTCTGTTTTTTATACTCTTGAACAAGGAAGAGAATTTCTTGTTTTAAGATTGCTGCCTATGGATTTCTTGTTCGATATACTTGTGTCTGCATATGAGTTTTCCCAGCTTAAAATTGTCGATTAGATGCTATTTTCATGCCAAGTACATATAGGTTCATTTGCATATGTATAAATATACATGTAAGCTCACTTGTTGATGTCAGTGGTTCATTATGGCATTAGGAGCGTGTCTAGTTTAGCACACCAAACCTTATAATCTATACTTTTATCTCCAGTTTTGAATCTAAGGGTTTTATTATTGCAACTTTGCAACACGACTGATAATCAACATTTACGATACTAACATAAAGGCATAGCTGTTTATGTCTGCTGTGATCAAGGATTCTCTCTGCACAGCGACTTGGATTGGGATCTGGACTTCTCTGCCCTTGTTAAATGTGTAGGAGATGTTGCTGATGGTTGACCTTGGAATCCGTTGTCAAGATATGATATTCAGTTTATTTGTCTAAGTAAACACTGTCCTCAAATCAGAACCTCAAAGCAGGGCTTGGGTTATAGTTTAGATAAAACTATCACTCAATGAAATGCGCTACAATTTTGTTCAGAATTTGATATTAAGTTTATTTGTCTACCCTTGAGTGTCTCATCATGAACACATTTATATAGCAGAACAATTTTGTTTTGATGTCATGGATGCTCAATTCTAGTGGTAATGTGTGTTTGTTTTGTGCTTTTCTTCCGCAGAAAAGATTGGCCAGTGCAAGGTTCACATGAAGATGGTATTGGGAGATCTACCACCAGCGGCTCCCAAGTGGAGGCCTGCACGCCACCTCGGATGTACAGTCTCTTTGGTCACATGATTAGATGAGGAAAAATAAACATAGAAAGTGAAGGACCAAGTATGAGGAACATGAATGCTTTTAACTCTTGTACTGACGACGAGACTATAATAGTATTATATCAAACTCCATCCATTATAGCATCCTCTCCTTATTTTCTATATAAGGAAGATTTAATTTAGCCTGCCCGGCACAAACTTGGTATGTTATGCATCATTTTTATTCTCTCATGACCAGAGATGTTAACAGGGCTAGTGCTGAGTATGGGGGCTGGTTAGTTGAGCCTAAGGAAGTTAATTATGAGAAAGAATCATATAGACAAGTGAGGGGATTCTTGTACTAAAACTATGATTTCTGTTCTTCCCAAAATTGGCATGCTATTGTAGATGCTAGCCTAAGTGGTGGTACATTTAACAAATAATCTCATCTGCTGCTAGGTTGGTAGTATTGTCTTGTAATTCTTAAAATTGCACATTGAGAAGTGAAGCAAGAAAAGAAAAGAGATACAAAAACATTTCCTTCACAAAAATAGTTAAAATAAACTGGCTGATTTTATTTGTGCTCAAGCTCAAATCTAGAGTTAAAACAATTTCCGAAAAGCAACTGCAACTGAGCATTCTAATGGTTATTTATAGCAATGGTTGAACTAAGGTGCTGGTTATTTAACTGATCGACTCAGGAATCTCTAGTTGATGGTGGCGCTGGCCGGGTGAGGACAGGCGACGCGATCTTCCCCTTGCCATGCCCAAACAATGTCATTCAGAGATGGCCTTACGCCCCGATTCATCAGCTTCTGATATTCCAATGTATCTCCACTGGACTTCTTCATCTCAACCAAATGGAAGCTTGGGGTGACCTCCAAGATTTCTGCATCGACAGACAGCACGCCCTTCCTGCCAGCCTTTGATCCTTCCAGTTTGAGCATTCCTCCATCCTTCTTCGTCACCTTCAGCTTCAGACGCTTGCCTAAGTCTTCTATCTTAGAGATGATGGCCTTTGCCGACTGCTTTGATGTGAACTTGACTTCCTTCTTCAGATTAGCATCATCATCTTCGAACAAACCTGATAAATCTAAACCAGCCGAGAGGGATATTATATCAAAGGCATTCAAGTGTGCAGGCTTTGAGACTTCCACCTTACTGTCTGCCACAGTGTCGATGGTGGTTGCATCTGAACTTCTAATATCCTCTTCCTTCGAATTTCTCTTCACTCTGGATAAGAAACCTTTACGGAACCAGGAGTTCTTCATGATCTTTGCTATGGGGATCCGGGTGCTTGCTTTAGGATCCAAAATTTCAGAGATAAGCGCACGAGCATCAGGCGAGATACAGCTGGGGTATTTGATATCAGCTTCACTTATTTTCCGGTACAGCTCCATCAAATTCGCATCATGGAAAGGAAGGCATCCCGTTAGTAGAACAAATAAGATCACCCCACATGACCAGATATCAGCTTTGAGGCCATCATAGCCTTTCCTGCCAACAACTTCTGGGGCAACGTAAGCAGGTGTCCCGCAGGCAGTGTGGAGTAACCCATCCTGTCTCTTCGATTCCGCGAGTGTGCTCAATCCGAAGTCCGAGATCTTCAGATTCCCATTTTCATCCAACAGTAGGTTCTCCGGTTTCAGATCCCGGTGACAAACTCCCCTGCTGTGGCAGAAATCAACAGCACTAATAAGCTGTTGAAAGTATTTCCTGGCGGCCCCTTCCTTCAGTTTCCCTTTCGCCAGCTTATTAAACAGCTCGCCTCCTCGTACATATTCCATCACGAAATATATCTTGGCTTTACTGGCCATAACCTCGTAGAGCTGCACAATGTTGGGATGCCTCACAAGTTTCATTACAGAGACTTCTCTCATAATTTGATCCATCATCCCAACCCTAATGATCTTCTCTTTGTCGATGATCTTGATGGCCACACTCATCCCAGTCTCGAGGTTTCTAGCATGATACACCTTGGCAAAAGTGCCTTGTCCAAGGAATTTCCCCAACTCATACTTTTGCATCAGAACTCTTCCTTTACTCTCCATCCCAGCAACAGATCTAGTTGAACTCAGACAACAACTTCGGCAGCAAATTCAATTACAGTACGGGGAGAAAGCGAGCAACTTTAAGAAAGCAAGGATTCAACCGTCTTCGCAGAGGTCATTGTATGAGACATATTGTCCTCTGAAATATTGAGTCAATGTTGGCATCGGAAGGCAGAAATATACAGGGCTGTAAACTGCGTGTCCACACTCATCAAGGACAGAGGAATGCAGCTTGGATGGAGCTTCTGCTTCATCAAAGTTGGAAAACAACCCTTGTCTACACAGCAACCGCATCTTTCCGCATTCCCTGGTTCTTGTTTCCAACTGAGGAATACAATAGAAGAAGATGAGGAATTCTATTAGGACAACAGAAACAAAAAACAACCAAGTGTTTGATACTTCAATTTGAAAAAAATCATGGATCTTTCTAGAATCTGAAATAATAAGAACACAAAATTTTCCACGAGAGCTTCTTCCCTTAGTAAGAACAATCACTAAACTAAAAAACCATCTCAACGAATTAAAAGAGAAACAAACAGAAAGAAGAAAACCAGAACAAAACCATCAGGAACACAACTTCATCTCAATCACTCCATATTTATCAAGACATATTTGAGAGAGAACAAACAAGCAAGCATAAGATTTTTAGGAAAAAGCATACATGAATCGAATAGAGATTGTGATTGATTGCACGCATACCTATTAGAAACGAAGGATCCCGAACCCGGCGGCGCAGAGAATTGCAAGGTTGAGAGAATTGAGATCTGTGAAAATGGTTTGGCTGATCAGAAAGTAAAGGGGGAGAGTACTATTTTATAGTGGAAACGAGAGGGCAACCATGCGGGTGCGGGTTCGGGTGGCGGTGCCGTGATGGATATCTCGACTCTAACCTAGCCTTGGGGGAGCCTAATTCGGGTCGGGTCCCCCGTCCACGTAAGTATGACACACACACATAAATGACTGGACTCCACGCGCTAGCCAGCCTAAAGCCAACTTTCATAACTTACCTTAATTTACACTTGTTTTATTTATGGAGTAGTATTAATTAATTTCTATAAATATAATTTAATCTCTAATTTTAGAGGTCTACTCATCGATCCCATCCGGATTGTGCGAAATATTCTTTTATAATACGCACAAGATCATTATCATTTTGTGATCTTTATCGTGAATATTAATATTAATATTATTGTTGCCTGTTGGGTCCTCTAGTGCAAAAGTTGGCAGCATATGTAAGGAAAAAGATTAAATTAATGAAATCGGACGCGGCAAATTGAGCATTTATTTATTCGGAAAGAATTAGAACAAGACAAGGGCGAGTTGATGAATATTACTCACTAGTGTAAATTAAATCATGATTTATTTATTCATAATCCTAATCCTAATGATTGTTTGTTTGTTTATTATTGTGATGAATGGGTGGGTTGTAAAGGCACGTGAAACATATTAACAAATAAAAAGAGACAGTCTTTGATTTATTATAGAAGATTCAAACAATTCAATATTGGCTACCGCCACTACTACTACTGCTGCTGCTGCCTTATAGCGTGAGTGTCTCTCTCTTTCTGCCTCTATTCGTTTCAATTTTCAATTATGACAACTATGACAACACAGTAGCTAAATTTGAACCTTCTCGGAACCACCGTATATATAACTTCATTCATGTCTATCCATATTTATTTATATTAAGACTCTCCGTTGGTTTATTTTTGTTAGGAATGAATCTAATGGAACATGCTGAATCAAATCAATAATTTTGCACATTAAATTTTCTGTCGATTGTATCAGTATTACCATTATTAGATCTTAGGCAAAGAAAGAAAGTCATATTCGTATATCATGAAATGGCCGGTCTAGTCTCGACTCGACTCGACTCATGATAACAAGTAAAATTTAATTTTTAGTTATAGATTGGTCAGAAATGGGATTTCCAGCCACACAAATTGCTGTCATGAATTTATTGCACAGTGTCTCTTCCAACGAATTCGATTTCGATATGTCTCTCCTCCAGGTTAAGGTTAGGTTTCATGGCTCACGCTGCTGCAAGTGTTTGATTCCCTTCTCTTTTCCAGACTCAATTGTGTGATTATGAAAGAATGTACCAAGAAATCAGCACCGTCCATTTTAAGACTCGAAACCACACCATACCATACACACAATATCATACAAGCGTTCGATTCCAACACAACCTAATCCATGAATTAAAACGATTCCTAGTAAATCTACCTAAGAAAGCACAGCGCCATTGCAGGAGGATAAGCTAAGAACACACAGACAGAGTTAGCAGCTTCGGTAATAAATTAAATCATTCCCCGTCACATTGATCTTGGAGCTAAGCTCTTCTTCTTCTTGCTTTGCTTCGTTACGAGGAGGGAGATTCGACCAAAACTAAACTTCTTCCTCTTCCAAGGGGCATCCTTGTTTTCTTTCCCGGATTTCTTACCGGGATGTGGATGATCAGTGTTCATCTTGCTAAGCATTTGTCCCAGCGAAACCTTACGCTTCCCCACGATCTTCTCGTTTCGAATCCCATTCTCATAATCTTCCGTCAGCAGCAGTTTCTGGCTCAGTATCTGCCCGATTGACAGTGTTGGCTTCAGAACTGGTTTCACCTCATCACCATTGACAAGATTCAGCCCATTTACATCTAGAAGACGGGCATCTCTCCTGTGTGCCGATGGATGAGGATTCTTGAATTTAGTAGAGCTGTGGAGATTGCGCCGCTTGTGGCCATGCTCAGATCTCCATATCCGCAGAGCTTCCTCGACTGCTAATTTACCTTTATTGGCTGCCTCTACTCGACTAAGCGCCTCCTCCAACGCCCGTTTGCTGACTTTCACTTCTTCCGTAGCTTCTTCGACCTTCTTCAAGATTTCTGTTTTCGAAACATTTGCCTCATCCACTCGAACCATTGCATCCACGACTCGATCCTTGCATAATTTCTCTCCTTCTCGAGCTTTCGAAAGCAACGACGAATACTCATCAAAAGTAAGGGTCACATCTTCGGAACTCTTCTTTTCACTTTTCGACAGTGCTTTAATCTCCATTAGAACCAAAGCTTCCGAAGCTCTGGCCGCTTCCTTCATTTTTTTCGCGGCGACAAGTCTTATCTCAGCAGTCCTAATCTTAGCCTTTGTCTCTTCAATCTTGGACGTTGCCGTCACAACCTCCGTCTTTGCAGTTTCCCCGACTTTCTTAAATTGTTCCATTTCCGAACTTAATTTCTGCAGATCCTTCGAAACATCATCAAAACCACCTATCCCTTCAGAAACTCTTGTCATCAGCTCTTGCTTCTTTCTTGTTTCTTTCAGCTCCTTCTCCAGACTTGAAATTTTCGAGGTGTTTGCAGAAAACCTTTGCCGCGTCTTCTCCAGTGACGCGTTCTCTTTCTCAATTTTCTTCTTGTACAGATCAACTGTAGCCCGAATATCAGCAAGATCATCGGTTGTCCTTTTTAAGTTCAATTTAGCCTGCTTCAGCTCGAGGAGGATGAATCCAGGTGCATCTGAAGGACACAGATCCAAACCATTGATTCCATTTGGTCGACAAACAGTCTTATCACCCTCGAGATTTTTTTCCTCTTCGGGTGGTTGAGCACCAATATTCACATTGCTGTTTTCTTTGAGAGTGACATCAACTTTCACCGCCTCGTTCTGCAGCTTTACTTTCAGTTCTTCCACAACATTCTTGGTTAATTCCAACTCCTTCAAAACATCAAGTGTCTCCCTTTCCTTCTTCATAAGATCCCTTTCCAATTGTGCAGCCTCATCCTCCAGATCAACAATGCCGGCAATCTCTTTATTGCGCTGCATTGCATGAAACCGAACTCGTCAATATCCAAAGCAATATCTAGCAGAATCCACAATAACTATTCAAACGAAATTCCCAGATTTGAAGCTTTGATTTGAATGTTCAACACATCCTTCCACATTCTTGTGTAGCTAGCTAAGCATGCACTAATATTTTGATTTAAAAAATATGAACTAAAGCATATAAGTTTATTCAAAAACTTCAACCAACTTCATGCTTTAATAATTTTCCCCAAAAGTTAATATTGCGCTATGATGCAGATAATAAAGGCAATAACTTTGTAGGGAAGGCTGTTGTAAATGGATGATAATTAATCACTCATACAGATAATAAAAAGGTAAATTTGCTGCAAAAAGAAGATGGATTCAGCTGATAAAAGTTTAACAGACACATATCTCAAGAAGATACCACCAAAAATTTACAACCTTTAACCATTAGTTAGGTAAGTAAGTACAGATCTTCTCAAAAATCAGTCATGGCTACAAACAGCAGAAGAAACCCAAAAAAATATAAATAAATAAACATAAGAAAGTGGGAAATGTTAATTAAGAAATTGGGAGAAGGAAGCCATTAACAAACAACCTGATGCGAAATGGGTTTCCAGGACGCCATTCCACCGAACCGATTCGCAGCTTCCTTAACCGACTCGAACGGAGCCGACGTGTCGATTACAGCTCTCCCCGAAGTGTTTTCACTTTTGGGAGACGAATCGACTGCGCACGGCCCCTGGATTTCAGAAGCTTCCATAGCCATTCCTGAGCTTGTAATTGGGTAGATTTGATAATGGAGGAGAGTAAAAAAACAGAAACACGAAGAAATTTGGGAACGATAGGGAGGGAAAGCACGACGAAACCCACCAGTAGCAGGCAGGGAGTGGGAGTGGGAGTGGGAGTGACCAGGTCGAGGAGGACGAAGAGTTAAATGTCGGGGTTTGACGATGACAGCAGAAAAGTGAAAAAGCAAGGCAAGTGTGGATGGACTGTTGGTAATAAAGGGCAAGAAATGCAAATGAAAAAAATATGAAATACAGAGCAGACCGGCAGGTTTATTTAATTGTAATTAATATACTATTATTATCATTGGCGGTTATAAAAGTACTTGTTAGTGTTACTACTTGATGTTTTTTACCTTAATCTTCTTGATTACAGATTCGACCGTTGCACCAAAGCAAATTGTGGAGCCGCCACACCAAAAGTTCTTTTGCTTGGTACCAACGGATACTACGCCCAACGACTATCATCTAAACTCATTATACAACAAAAACTTTTACCTTCATAAATAATAATAATAATAATATGTAAAGAAAAACATATTACACATGAATTTCAAACATGACAATCTAGATCTCTCTCTCTCTCTCTCTCTCTCTCTCTCTCTCTCAAAAATAAAATAAAATAAAATAAATAAAAAATTGTTAATTAAATAATCACGGTATTAATTAGCACCAGATTTAAATGAAATTAAGTATAATAACAAAACTTGTGTTTGTTTATTTTGTGTGTGTGTGTGTGTTTTTTTATTGTTTGTAATTTGTAATTTTTATTATTCTCAAATGAAATAGTTATTAAACTCTTATATATTAAATAAAAAATGATAAATAAACAAACCCTTTATTCAACATGTCATATTTAACTTTTTAAAGTTTTTCAAACATTTTTATAACGATGATAACAATACTTTTATTTATGGACTGTTGGATTAAAAATTATGTCCACTTGTTTTTTCTGGGATTTTTTTATTTATATTTTAAATAATAGTTTGAATTCATTTTTTATGTATACCTTGGGAATGATATTCTTTTTAATCGAATTATTTGGAGTTGGTAGAGTTATTGTGTTCAAAATTAATTATTGATAGCAGTTATTGTTCCATTCAATTGTATAGAATGTTTACGTTTGTCCGTCAAGAACATTCAATACTTTGCACAATAATTTTTTAATCCACAACAAGGTATACATCAAGTCATTGATTTTTTATTTTTTATTTTCGAACATACAATCGTAAGTATTTAAGATAATAAGAGTACGTGGTGGATAAAATTAACAAAATGGGACACTTTTATCCAAACTACCCAAAAAAAAAAAAAAAAAAGTTAAACTAAACGACTGTTCTTTAAATTTAAAACAAGTTTCACACTATTTATCAAAAAAAACAAAACAAAATCCTCAAAATTATTAAATAAAATACTTATTTTCTATTTAATATATTATAAAAAAATTATTTAAAAAATAAAATATAAATTTATGTCATATCAAATTCTATTTCAATTCAAATTTCTTATTATTTTACAACTCTAAACTCAAATTATTATTTTTTTATATTTATTATAAAGGAACATATCCATAATAATTAATTCACAAACCCAAATGAAGCAACTAATAATTGAGCCCAACAGGATAGGATGCCTGTGTCCAAACTCCAAATAAACATCGTTAGGCTCTTTAAATTGTGTTAATAGTTTAAGTTAAGTTGACTATCTTATTGACTAAAAGCTTTTATCAAATCAAGTTGAATTAAGTTCCCTTAAATTTTATAACTCGGCCTCGTTATATGTATGTATTTTTTGAATTTGAGTTTTATTTATAAGTTTATTATTTACATAATTTTATTACGAAGCACTCATAAAACTTTTAAATATGTATATATATATATTTCAAATTGGAGATTGTTGTTTTGTTAGCACGATGAACGAAAAACTCAAACATATATAATTGATGGAACCTTAATTGTTTCATATTCAATGGTCAATTTAATTTTGGCCATAATGCTGTCATTCTCAAACTTTCATTCGGACCACAACCCAATTCAATTAAAAGACCCCATTTGTATATATCCCCCAATTTTAAATTAATAATAATATTATATGCGATAATTATTGGCTCAATCAATTCACCATATATATATATATATATATATAAATATTCAATGATGTCGAAATATCTTTAAATTTGATTAATTAGTACCTGAGATTAGGAATTTCTAAACACTGTAAGATATATACAATCAACTGGAAATTAAAATATTGGAAATTGTAAGTGATGATCCCAAAATCTGACTTTGCTTTTGTTGAAGTTGATCGAAGATAATCTGCCAGTTGCAAATTTTAATCCTTAAATATTTCTTGAGAAACGGTACTGGAAACCGTCGCCTGAACGGTTACAACGCCTCTTTTTCAACCGTCTGCTAACCCTTCTCCTGCAGACACGTGCCCTCAATCGACCGAAGTATTATTTTCGCTCACTCTCAACAGTATCTGATTCTTTGGACCGACCGCAGACCTTCCGCCCTTTTGGCCCAAACGCAAAGTATTATTTTCGCTCACTCTCAACAGTATCCGATTCTTTGAACCGACCGCAGACCTTCCGCCCTTTTGGCCCAAACGCAAATCTTCCGCCTTGTTGGTCCGACTACAAACCTTCCGCTTTGTTGGTCTGACTGCAAACCTCCCGATTTGCAGACCACCCGACTTGTTTGGTCTAGCCGCAAACCTCTCGACTTACAGACTATCCAATTTGTTGGTCCAACCGCAAACCTCCCGACTTTTAGACCATCAGACTTGTTAGTCCAGCCGTAAACCTCCCGACTTATAGACCAACCGACCCGCGGACTTTCCGAATTATGGACCTTCCGACCTGCGCACCTTCCGACATGCGGACCTTCCGTCCTGGGGATCTTCCGACCTGCTGACTTTCCGACTTGCGGACCTTCTGACCTACAGACTTTCCGACCTGCTATTTCCTTAGAAATATATCTATTTTCACCTGATTTTCCCGCGGCGCCCCTCAACCAGCTCGATCACCTCCATTATTAGACCCATTTTTGTTTTTACCTAGGGCTTTTTAATCTAATTCTAAATTTCATACGTAATTACATATTTATATAAATCAATTAACTAATTAGTAGTGCTATTATTCAACCAACACATTCAATATACATCGTATATATTCCAATTACCGTTACCCTGCTCTACCAGTAACTAAACAATAGTACTAGTATTTATCCAGCAATTAATTAAATCAAAATAAAAAGAACATATATATATATATATATATATTATATAATTTAGATAAATAACGAAATCAAGCTAAGGGCAGCCATGATTTGAGGGAACCCTTACCCAACCCATGCCATGAGGGAGGGAGGACCACAACCTAATAATAAATTAAACTACCTAACTCCTACTGCTTGTCCAAAATTAAATAAATATCTATATCTTTAATTTCCAGATATTCATTTATTAGCTATATACATATGCATACACGTATGCACATTGATGAATAGCCCAATTACATAAGATATATGGATGGATGGATGACCAATCATATATTCCACTAATTAATCAAACTCAAAATAACAACAAAATATCTTCCAATAACTAACTGTAAATTAAATTTATTAAATTGACAACTGCCCTTCCCTTCCAGTTAAACTATTCATACATATATATATATATCTACAGAACAATATATACCCCAAAATCATCTTCAGCTCTGCACTGCAGTAGATCAATTGATCGATAATTAACTTATCAATTGTTCGAATATGCCTCGCAAATGCAGTAGCCCTACTGATGATTTTCTTCACCAGAAATCCTTCAGAATCAAGCCCACCGGCGGCGATGAGAAGGTCTTCTTCACGTCCAAGGAGACCTCAAAAGCTTACCCTTCCTTCAGAGTGTACTATGGAGATGTTTCCGGCGCAGTTCCGTTCACGTGGGAGGCACGCCCCGGCACCCCCAAGCACCCATCTTCTTCCTCTTCTAATTATTACAATGATAACGTAATTAATTCCGACGACATTATCCCTCCCCTCACCCCGCCGCCTTCCTACTACTACGCCGCCGCCAATTTCAAAACCTCCGGCGGTTCCGGGACCAGCAAGTCCTCGTCGTCGTCGTCCAAGCTGCTTCTGCACACTTTGCTCAGAAGAATGAATCTCAAGAAGCCCAATAACAATAACCATAATAATAATAATAATAATAACAATCCTCCTCCTCCAGCGCCGTCGTCTAGTCTTTCGACATCGTCGTCATTCTCGTCCCTGCAGTCGTGGTCCTCATCCTCGTGCTCCTTGTTCTCAGATCCCACCATGACTCCGATGAGCACTTACCTTAACAAGATCAGAATCAGGAGGCGGCCGAGATTCTCCAGCTGGGGTTCGTCTTTCGACCACGGCGGCGCCGCAGTTGCCGATGAGATTTCCTGCCCTCCTAATTCCAAGCCCTTTCATTTTGGGATCGGCGGCGGCGGCAAGGACGACTTCTGCGGGGAGGGTCGAAAAGTTCACGGCGGCGGCGGAAGCTACTCTTTGTTGATTATGAAGAAGGCTTTTCTGTCCATCATTGGCAAGGGATCCTAGCTCCCTCCTAGTTAATAATTAAGGTATCATTAATTGCTTAAATATTTAATTGTTGGTTAATAATGCTTTTAGTTATTAATATGCCTAGTAATAATATATATATATATATATATAATGTGGTGATATTGCTCAATAGTACACATGTAATTTTATTCTATTTTGTTTTATTTTTATCTTGTGATGTACTTTTAGTGAATTCCATATATATTGCTGTTTGGTGTTGAAATGTATTATGTTTTTGTGTGAATTCTTCCTTAATGCATGATCAATATATGTATATATATACATACGGGTCCACGTTATAAATATATATATATATATATAAATGATATAAATGTAATAATAATGCATGCAAGCGAGTGAGCAGCCCCGTTGCGAGCCTAATTAATGAATATATATATATATATATATAAAAGAAAGAAAATAGTCGTTAGTTGCAGGTCTCTTTCTGGTCCACGAATAATATTTTGGATGGAAATCCTTTTGTTGTTTTTATGTTGCCCACATATATCACATAATTTAATTAATTAAAGACACATAGTAGCTGTCAAACAATATTTTTATTTAATTTATATACCCCACTAATCAATAATATATATGTGAAATAATCTGTCGCGTACAATTAGCTAGCGGTAATTAATTAGTTTAGCCATTTTTGTTATTAGACATTAAACTCTGATGCGTATTCGTGTCTGGTGCAAATTAACAATAAATTTGGATGATGTATAGTTGAAGGTCGACATCCTAGCTCTTTTGCGATGCATCACGTGTTTTTGTGAGAAAGCTAAGAAATTAACTACTAACGCAGAGTATACATAGATCGATATTTCCTGCAAGGTCTCGATCACATCCATCCATATATATATATATATATATTCACATTTTCACTAGTTAATTAGCTAGCTAGTGTCAGAAAATAACTAATTATGTATTACTGGCGATCAAAATAATTATGAAGTGGTGAAATATTTAATTATCGCTCCGATATATCAAAACAAATTAAACCCTGCATGCATGCTTAGTTATCATAATTATAGTGATTGTAATAAATATAATGATTGATATTGTACATACAACTAACTACCTTAACATAGAGTAGTGAAGATCGAATGAAGCAGGAGGCCCCATTAATTAATTCATTCCACCAATATATGTGTATAATTATATATATCTAGCTACCTTGTCGGCAGCGCCACCCTGTCTGTATCAATCAATTAATTAATTGAGGGTACAGCTTTCTTCATTAATTAATACAAAGATAAGTTGTTACATACATGCATGCAAGCATGCATGCTCCAGATTCATGAACCATATATATTGATCACAGATGGATATACTGATCTGTGGGAAATTAAATTATTTTATATATACATATAGATATTTGAAAGAATTAAGTTGCAGAGAAATAAAGAAATTCAAGTGTGATAATTCCATTACAATTACAATTACTCCCTTCCACCGACTGAAAGTAAGATACATATTTGACTTTTCCTCATGAATATAAATATATTAACAGTTTAAAACGTATAAGATAATACAAGAGTGTAAATCCTATTTTATCTTTGATATTTTTAATATTAAAAGAAGAAATACGAAAAGTATAAGCATTCTAGTATTTAATATTGAAAGAATATTTACTAAAACAATTATACTTTTGACTTGTATAAACAAAAATGACAAAATTGATAAGCTAATGCACACAGCCCATCTGGATCTGGAAGCATCAGATCGATTTCACAGCTTTGAAATAGTCGATAACAAGACAACCTACGATTTGAATTTAAGTACAATAATATTAAATAAGGGCGAAATTCGACTATAAAATTTAATGAGATATGGTTTTTAATTTCTTCCTAGATAAACAAGGGAATAATAACTTCTTTTTTAATTTAGTCCATTCATTTAAATTTAATTTTTCCTATTTTGGTCATTTTATTTCTAAAAGTATAGACAGATACATAGATATATAGCCAGGCAGTTATTTGAATTAAATACGTGTTATGATATCTTTGACAATTATTGTGTGTATGAGATCCCACTCTTCCATGCTTGCATCGAGCCGTACAGATTGGTACATTACGTAAAAGAATTTTCGTTTCTTATAGTTTTATTAAAGAGCTAATTATTTAATAATTCTATAAGTTTTAACTTTTAGGTGAAATAGTCCTTCTGCATCCCAATATCAAAAATGGGTCTGGATTTGCGCCCCAATGTCAAATGTAATATTTGTGTTTTAATTGTCAATTATAATATAATTTGGGATTAATCTGAAATTATATATAAATTATATTTGTCAAGTGATCTAATTATCATATGTACCTACGTTGTATAATTTTGCTTCAATTAATTACTGTACAGGTAATGATTGGTGACGTAAAACAGCAATTTAATTATTTCATATCATCAAACTTAGGATGTTCCATGCAACAGCGACACGACATACAACAGCACAGACAAGAAATTAAACAGTACTAGTACCAAATTAATCAATGCATTGCCTATTTCATCAGCCAGGCAACCATTTAATTAATTATTTATTTAAATCAAATCAAAGCACGCATGCATGCATCGAAATTATAAAATTCAATTAAAATTCAAAACTGTGATTATAATATTATTATTAGTTAACCCTCCTGCAGTTGGTTCTGATTTGGCCACTGGTGCCTGTGAGTGGGGCGAGGTTTGACATCTTGACCATGGCGCTGGCGAAGTCGTTGAAGAAGGAGGCTGAGTTGGCGGCGTACGCTCTTACCTGAGCGTCGGTAGAGACATTGTTGAAGAGCTGCTGGTCGGAATGGAGCAGACCTCTGAGCCCGACCAGGTTTGTGAAGTAATCGTTGTTGAATACGTTGGGGCTGAGGTTGTCCAGCGGCGACAGGTTGTTGTCGCCGCCGCTTTGCGGGCACTGTCCCCTCGCCGCCGTTGCGAACGCCGCGTTTATGTTGGTTTCGGTGTATATTCTCGTCCGGAATGTCGTGCACCGCGCCTGCCCTATGCTGTGCGACCCTATATAAAATTAAATCATTATTGTTGTGACGGACTAGAGTTAATGATCAAATGATAAACAGAAAACGTAAAGAACAAAGATTTATATAGTTCACCGACAATGTATTGGCTATATTCACGGTAAAAACAGATAATATATTTATTGAAGACACAAGTTATAAATTATAAATTTCATATCTCTAAGTCTATTCAAATAAACTAATAAACTAAGAGAATACATCAGCTCAACTCAATGCAAACTCAAAAGTTCAATACTGTATACGTCGAGGCCACTCCACGTCCCCGGACCCAGGCAAGGGGCAGTGACGGAACAAGCATCTAAATTCCGGGGGACAAAATTTTATAATTTACTTAATATTTAACTAATAAATTTAAATAAAAAAATAATAACAAAATTACATATGAATTTAGATAGTTTTAAATGGACAAATTGTATATAAATATATAAAAATTAATATTTTTAACACTAAAAAATTATAAAGAATTAGCCTTGAGTTCAATTGTCCCAAGCGCTAGTGTAGTTCTGTCTCAATTCCCAAAGGAGCTCCCCTTGATCCCGACTCGCTGAATGGACAACTAGATCCATAAAATTTAGCGTAGTAACAAACTTAATTCGAGACATATCAACAACTATTGTATTAATTAATTAATTAATGTATGAATAAGTAATTAATAAATTACCCGAGAGGGCAACGAGCTCCCGGGTATTGAAGCCTTTATTAGAGAAGGAAGTAATTAGGGCAGAAAGATTCAAGGTTGGTGCTGGGATTTGGCTGTTTGCAGCACTCAAGCTTGCAGTGGTTGAGTCTCTTCTCCCAAGCGTCACTCGCCAGCTTGGCCCTCTCAACTGATATATATATATATATATATACACGATTAGTTAATTAATTAATTATATATATCTTTATATTTATATTTATATATAGATTGATTGAAATAGATAGCTGGTTAATTACTACGTACTGCAACGACGCCGTCTCGGCCGGCCACAGCCAAAATATCGGCGCAGGAAACGACGCCGGGGCAGGACCTCTCGACGGAAGCTTTGATGGTGTCGATCACGTCGAAACCTCTCAAAGAATTGGCATTCGGACGGGCAGTTTTTTCTCCGGTGAAGTTTGCCGTGTCGTCCAGCAAAACCGACCCATCGCACCCCTGCAATATTATTCATATGACAATTTATGATAATATATATAAATACAATGTATAAACTAACAATACATGATAATAATCCACACAGCACGTACCACCATTAATTTCAATATATATCATATGTTAACATAATACACAATAACATATAATTTAATTATATTAATGTAATATAAATGCAATATATAAAAACTGATAAGAATGACAATAATCCTCACAAATTACACAATTGAACTCCACGTATACTATTTTCGTCTCAATTCAAAATATCACTTTTATTATTTTTGCCCGTCTCATTTCAAAGTATCACTCTTCTATCTTAAAAAAAGTAATTATATATTAATACCAAAATACCTTTAATTTTTATTTAAATTACAAATATACCACTACACATGTAATTAATTTATACATAAAGTTAAAAACAAAAATGTCAAAATCTCTTGCACTCTTCCACTAATCAATAAAATACAATTTTTTCTTAATATGCTACAAAATCTCAAAGGACCCATTTGACAAGGAACATAGGGAGTATCACATATCAACACAAGACAATATATAATGTATATAACTGAGCATACTTTAATGATATACACAAGATATGTTATTTCAACAACAGTCACATACTATGTATATATATATATATATATATATGAATTCAATCGATGAATATGAAGAAGAGCTATACTTACACCGACAAAGCAGTCGTGGAAATGGAGGCGAAGCAACGAGGCGCCCATTCGAGGATCGGATGCGACGGCAGAATCCACAGCAGTTTTGATAATGGTAAAAAGGTTAGGACATGATGAGGAGTAAAAATTTGAGGATAATTGGGCATTGGCAGTTCCTCCTACAAATATTATTACAACCACCATTGCTACCTTAAATCCACCATTAATGGCTGCCATAGTCTCTACTTTAATTAATTAATTAATTAATTATATGAGCTAGCTAGTAGCAGAGAAGATTATATTGTATATGGTTTTATTTTTATATATAGTTGGTAAGGTGTGACTGTGATGATTCTAAAGAATGAGTTTATTCAGGTATTTATAGCCAAAGGTTTTTTTGGGGTGTCTTTATAAGTCAACTGTAAGTGCTTTTCTAATTAAATTTGATTATTTCATCACATTTGCTTCCACCATATTCTCGAACTCAACAACTCTTTTGCTTCTTTAATTTAATTTTAATTACTACATTATATATTAATTGCTGCCTAACTTGAGAATTTTTGTCCCCATTTCTCTGAAAAAGATAAAAAAGATTTTATAATTTATGCGTGTATAGGTTAAATAATTGGTATTGTAATAAGGCTAGATATGTTTAAAGATTTTGATTTGTCTTGTGCATGTACATGCATGCGTCCATATAAAACATATGTATATATATATATATATATATTTGAATAATGGTTGCTAAAGTAATTATATTTACAAAGTGTAAAGAATTGGATCGATTGGCTGGTGTGAACATTCTAAAGGTGAGGAATATAATTCTTTTGCTAGATCTCTTTTTTGTTTTTGTTTTTTGCTACATCTCTTTCATTCTTCTATGTATATAGAGCTGCAGGTCAATTATTGTGTTGGATTTAAATTACATTTATTTATTGGGTGTGTTTTTTTTGTCATTTCTTTTCAAATATTACTATTTGAATTTTATGTTTTTAAATATATATAATATAACATCAAACCAATACTAGAGATTTATATATATTATTATTTATTTTAATGTTGGATTTCATAAATATATAATCAGATGTTTAATTTGTTATTTTGAATAAATTTTACTATGAGGTACAGAAATATAAGAAATATGTTGTATATTTAAAGAAATGCTACTAATACAAAATTATTTAATAACAATATAAGAGAGAGAAATTTTATTTTTTCAAAAATAAAAAATAAAAAAGAGGTGGGATGGTATAATGCATATGACTATAGTTGCAATAAAACTAAACTCATATTATTATCTCATACAAATAAAGTGTTATCAAGAGATCACCTGGTGGTGTAGGGACCGTGAGATCATGGATTCAAATCTCCGACGCCTCAGGTCACCTGTCACACATAGTTTACCCAGTGGGTATTCGAACTAATTGATAAGTTAATCTGACTTGTAATATATCGTTAAGCAAATTAATTAAATCTCAAGTTGGTGAATAAACACAGAGACACAGGTAGATGACTATACAATATGGTAATAATAAATATATAATGAAAATTTAGAGTCAAAATGACGTGTTTTCTAGAACCCATGGACTTACTGTGTTGGCTTTCAGTTTCAGATCAATAAAAAAGAGTAACAATATAATTTCAACCTAACTTGTAATTATTATATGATTAAGTATGATAATATAATTATATATGTATGCAAGGAACTGGTCACAGTGTTAATTGAGCTTGGGCACCCTTAGGGTGTGTTTGTTTGTGGGTTTGGATTTTGGATTGGGATTTGAATAGTAAAAATTTTGAATTTGAATAGTTGTATGATGTGATATAAATAGGTGTTGATGTAATGTTTTGAATGTAAAATTGATTTTTAGTATAATATAAAAAATGAAAAATAGTTGTTTGATTTGATGTTTTTTGGGGGAAAAATACGATAAATAGTAGAAATCCAAACAAATCCCTCAAACAAACGCACATGTTGTAGTATTTGAACACATATGTTATTTATTTATATTTATAGAGTATATTGTATGGACATATATTTTATACTGAAATCAATAATAATATGTATTGTTAGTTTATGTATTATATTAACATATATTGTATACTATCTATTATTGTTTGTCGTAATGTGATACACTAGCTACTACTCCCCAATTGTATGCTCATTTGACAGGACACGAGTTTTAAGAAAAAAAAAATAGAATCTACAATATGTTTCTTGATTAAACTAATTCAAATTGTAATTGTTAATTACATTAGTTAAAATAAATCTAATATATGGGAATAACCTAAGTATGTATATAAAGAAGTCGTATTATTGTATTTTTATTATATTTCATTTATTTGCATCATATAAGTAAATAAAACAAATTAATTGCATGAAAGGTCACAACTTAAAATAAAATTTTCATTAACTTTGAGATAATTGAAATAAAAGTGTCTACCTTTTTATAGGAATATGTAAGGAGGTCGTAAAATCACAATCAACCAATCATATATACTAATTAATTAAGACTAAACTACTAAAATCATTAAATAATTACTTAACTTGCCGATTGCATATTTGACTTTGGATTAATAATGATCATACTAAGAGTAACAAATTCTAAAGTTTGTTGAGATTTTTCAAAGAATAATTAATAATTTATATGACATGCAAATTTGTGTTAACATTAAAATTGTAAAGATTGGAATGTCGTTTTCACGTGTAAATAATTAATCTTAACTTTAACAATAGACGACATACTTTTATAAAAAGTTAGTTGACAATTTAGTATGAATAATAATAATAATAATAATAATAATAATTATTATTATTATTATTATTATTATTATTATCATTATTATTATTATTATTATTATGTGTATAGTAGTAGTTAGGCTTGAAGGCATCCCTTGGCCATGTAAGGCAAATGCAATGTTAGACCACTAATACTATAATATACTACAAAACACGCTTTTCCTTTTCCTTATAAATATGTATGTATGTATGTATATATTGAATAAAATGAAATAAAAAAGAATTGGTTAATGAACAATAGCAACTTCTCAACCAAAACTCGTGTCTTCTTCTTACCACTAATTATGCATAGATAGATAGATAGATAGATAGATAAATAACTACCTCATTATATATTATTCTATCTCTTTAATGAATTTTTGATATTACAAAGATCTTAGTATCAATTATTATCTCGTGTTTAAGAAAACTCTGGTTACTACTTTTGGCATATAGTACATACAATATATATATTTATATTGTCATAACGTCCAACACCATCAAAAAAATAAAATAAAATAAAATTTAAATTAATAAAAAATAATCACTTTGCACAAGGTTTTTGTAATAGTATTTTTATTTTGTTATTGTATTTATTTATTATGATTTTATAATTCCACTCATAAAACACTCGGATCCCTTTAATATTTATTATTTGGATTTGTGTATACAGCTCATCATCTTGGAAATTTTTGTATTTAGACATATAATTTTGAATCTTATAAAAGTTAGTCATCTTTTTTTTTTTAATCGGAAAAAAGTTAGTCATCTTTAATCTCATGATACATACTGACTCCAATGATATTAGATAATTCCTGTCCATCAAAGTCGTAGATTGATTGATTGATGTAATTGATTCGATATATAATTATTTACATGTCAGATATATATTATTTTAAAATAATATATATATATATATATATTACTGGAATATAAATAAATTTACCAAGTCATCAAAATTAATTGTTTATATATTTATTTGCTAGTTATATATAGTTGTATAATTTTATTCTTTTTAAAATAGTTATACAATATATATATATATATATATATGTTGTATACTCATATAAGATGTTGGTCTAAGACATACATATAATTGCTGCTGTCTCTATATTACTTCTTTATTTTTCAATTACATGTACTAAATACATATTGTTATTTGTATAATTGGCGTATGATGTAAAATAATTTAGTCTTCTTGTTGTCTGACGGTGTATAGTATTTATTTGTAAGATTTTGGTTTTTGAATAATAAAATTTTGAATTGAAATATTGATGTGATATAAATATATATTAAAGTAATGTTTTGAATGTAAAATTAAAAATAAATTTTATTATAATATAATAAATAAAAAATTGAGTGTTTGATTTGATATTGTTAGTAAAGATAAAATAAAAATTGAAACAGTAAAATAAGATAAAAAAAATTTGTACAAGTAAACACAAGTGTATTTTTTTCATACCAATGTCATTGAATATAATTAAAAAATAAATCAATCAATCAATCAAACTTCTAAAAGAATATTTGCGCTTAATTGAAATCTCTCTCACTTCGCTCATATATAAACATACATAAATAAATTATATAGACCCAACAAAACTTTATCAGCCCAGCCCAATTAATCTACACCAAAATAAACCCACCCAAATTGGGAGTCATTCAAGGCCCAATATTTACCAAATCAACAAATATCTTTGAATTAAATAAAACCCACCCTCATTCAAGGCCCAATATAAACCAAATCAACAAAAATCTTGAATTAAATTAAACCCACCCAAATTGGGCCCCATTCAAGGCCCAATATATAACCAAATCAACAAACTGTCCTCTTCTCACATTTTTCTCTTCACCTCAAAAATAACAACAACAATAATAATCATAATAAAAACAGTAACTGTTTGAAAAATCTTGAATTAAATTAAATTCACGACCCCTATCTTCTAACTGAAAAATTCATTCTTGACCTAAAATAATAATACCAACCAAGCCCCCCCAAAACAACAAAAATAATGAACCCATCCACCACCCCCACCACTATTATCACCCATCTCTTCAACCCCCCACCCCCACCCCCCTTCCCCCCTTCATCCCTTCTTCCACCCCCTCCCCCCACCTTCACCATATACCTTACCCCCCCACCCCCACCCTCCTTCACCCCCCTTACAACCTCATACACATAACACAATTCTTGATCCTCCAAATACTCAGCAGCCAAACACTCACACTCATCCACACAAACCTCCCCACACTCTTCCTTAGAACTCACATTCCCTTTGTACTCCACACCCCTCAGCACACTCACCACCCCCTCCACCTCCACCATTTCCGCCCCCCTCCCCCCACAAACCCCCTCCCCGCTGCCACCGCCGCCGCCGATGCACGAACACGACCCCGACGACATGCAAACGCCGTAAGGCCGGCACGACAACGGCAGATCACAAGTGTAGTTAATTGCTTGATACAATGCTTTGAACTCATTCTCCTCACTCGAATAATAATACATCCTTAAATTCCCTGTACTATTGTCCACTGCCAAGAACCTTATCGGCTCCGCCCCCGGCGGCGGCCTTATCTGATCGAACTTATGATCGCCGTCGAATATCTCGAGCCCGAATGTGCTCAGCTGCACAAACGTCACGCTGTGCCGGCTACTCGGCTGGTACTCCCAATACGAATACTTTTTCGATTTCGGGTTCCCGATGTTCAAGAAAAGTCCGATGTTGTCGTCCTGAATCTCCAAGGAATAGAACAGAGTCGAGTTTCGGACGAAGGAAGTTAATCTTGTCTGTGAACTTAGTTTCTGCCCCCAAAGCATAGTGTCCGTTGGAAAATTGAAGCTCTGCCATTTGATGGAGTTTTCATCGTCGACTAGAACAAGATTCCCTGTCCTCAACAACGTTAATCTCTGCACCCAAAATCAAGAATCAATCTCAGACATAGATGGAATCCAAAGACTGATAAATTTTTCATTACATTATATTACCTCGACCCCTTGTCCTGATGTCCCACTCCTCCATCCAATTCGTCCTGTCTGATCCTTGAGCCTCAAGTCTCCATCTTCAGCCAATTCGAGCACACATCTTTCAGCTGTGTGGAATCTCGACAAGTGTCCAGAACTCCACACTCTAACATTTCCTAACAAAACATCGAGGGAACACGAGTAGTTCTCTTTCTCTTCCACGCCCTCCACGGTCACTGCTGCCCTAAAATGAGGCATCCCTTGTTCATTCTCCATTACAAAAGCCCTCCCAAGAAACCCTTGTGTGTACTCACTGGGAATCGCCACTGTCACCTGATACCCATTCCGAATGTCCGATCCAGACATCACCGCCTGAGGAGGTAAGAAATTTATCATCAATAAAACAAGAACATGGATTCTCATGTACATGGAGTTTAATTGATTGATTCAGACAGCCATGGAGGAAAAATTTTGGGGGAAGCTGTGTAATGAGGCAAACGCTAGAGACAAACCCCAACCCACTCCCTTAATGGCATCCTCCATCCATCCATCTGCCTTAATTTAATTTTGCCATATGCAGATGCAAAAATTTACAGGCTGTGGCAATCAATTGCTACTTGCTCTGACCTCCTCGTCGTGTCCCTACTTGGTTAGTGTGTAGGAATTCCATGGAAGCTTTAAAATGGCTCCAAGATGATGATGGTGATGCGGATTTATAATATTTATATATCACTCAGTAGTGATGTGCTTTTCAGGTCACCAAGATGAGTGTGCTTTGCTTTTTGGTCTGTGCTCTGCTCTTGTCTCGTCTCTGTCATGTCTGAATCCTTAAAATATCACCTGCTGTCTGCTGATGTATTGCTTCTCTCATTCCTGCGTATGTCTCACTTCCATTAATGCGAGACTAAGCAAGAGTCGCTGGAATTTAAGATCATCCGCACTAAAAAAAAATTCTCCAAAATTTCTCTCAATTTTCACCTCATTTTTTTTTTTAATTTCACAATCTCTTTCAATCACCTCACTAAATAAAATAAATATATTTTTAATTTATATCAAAATAATTAATAATATCATTAAATTTAAATAAAATCATATCAATATATATCATTTTATAGAGAATAAAATTTTATATAATAAAAAATATAAAAAATAAATAAATAAATAATAATAATAATAATAATAATAAAAGGAATTTTGTAGGATTGTTCTGCCCAGCACCCTTTCACCAACCCTTATTTTCTACATCATCATTTTTTTTTTTAAACTGCAGAGAACCCCGATGCTATGCCCTAATAAACGCGACTTTAGAAGCGCTTCTTCATCTTCCATTATCGTCTTACAAAGTAGCGACTTCTAATCTTCTCTGAGCGCCTCCTTTTCTGTGTGCATAAATAAGAAACACTTAAACAGGTTTAGAGAAGAGACTTACTTGATCGCTTCAATCCACGCTGCAGCTAATGAGATTGGGATTTTGCTGGAACAGATTAGCGGCGCCGCGGTTCTTCGAGTTGTCCGGTGTCGGGAAAACGACGATCAGAGGCATGCAATCGAAGAGTGATGGAAATTCTACCGATCGCCGGGATACCGTGAGTCTATTGCTTAATTTGCTTTCGTTTATCTCTATGCTTGACAGGCAATTTATCAAACAGTTGGTGTGCGCAAACGTGGAGCATTCTTAGGTCTGTAGATATATTGATATGCAAAATAGCACCTTAGTGTAGTGTAGTGTTCATGGACCTCAACTTGTTTCTGAGTTTCGATTTAGAATTCAGCTTAGTGGATTGAATATTTGAATCAGATTCAGAGAGCTAGTACCTTATCGATAATTCTGTAGGTTAATTTTTCAACAATGATTGTCCTTATGAACTGTAGCAAATTCAACAGTCGTCAGGCAAGGAACAGGGACAACCACAGCAATGGCATACTCCACAATCCTATGAGGATCATTTTCCTTCGCTCTCCGCCAGTGTTGGGTTCAAGACCAAAGGAAGAAGGAGAACTAGGGTAGACTTGGGGAACTCTTCAGAACAGAAATCCAAGGAGATTAAGAATAATGCCGCATTGAAACATGAAACATTAACTTCAATTATTCATCAGAGAGATACAGGCTTGAAGGAAAAAGGGCATTTATCTTGTAACGAGTCGAAGACTACCCGAGCACATGATGGACATGGAGAGCTAAAGAAAAGCCCGATGTCTTCGACGCAGGCTTTCAGAAGGGTTGGAGAGCTAAAGAAAAGCCCAACGTCTTTGATGCAGGCTGTCAAAGATGAACCTTTCGACATATGTCTCCCCAAGGGAAAAAGTTCTGTGATGGAGGTAAATGGACAAAGATGGGTTAGAAAGGTTAAGGTAGATGTTGAATCAGCTGAAGAAGATTATGAATCAAATGATAATTGGCAAAGAGATGATGCAGTTGGTGAGTCTGGTCAGGTGCTGAGACCTGGAATGGTTTTATTCAAGAATTATCTTTCCCTACATGAACAGGTATTTTATCTATCTTTTAAATCAATGATATACTATAATTAACATACTTGGTGACAATTTTTGCCACTGAGTAACCAATCACAAGGAGAACTTTAGTCAGTTTGATCACCTCTGCATCGTATGGTGTTTTTCTACACGTTCATCTTGCAGGTAAATATTGTGAAGAAATGCCGGGAATTAGGCTGCTGTCCCGGAGGGTTTTACCGACCTGGTTATAATGATGGTGCAAAACTGCGTTTGTATATGATGTGTCTCGGTCTTGACTGGGATCCTCAGACAAGAAGTTACGGAGAAATCTGCTGCCGTGACAATGTTAAACCTCCTGCTATTCCTTCTGAATTCGCTTCAATAGTAAGCCGAGCACTTGATGACTCCCATGCACTTATCAGAAGAGACAATGAAACAATAGATGCCAAGGAAGTACTGCCCAAAATATCTCCAGATGTGTGTATTGTTAACTTCTACGCAACTACCGGGAGACTTGGCCTTCATCAGGTTTGTGGCAAGTAATGTTGTTGTATGTAAAATTGTTCCTTCTCCGATTGCTGATATATTGTTGTGTTTTTTATATAGGATCGGGATGAAAGTGCTGCATCTCTTGATAAAGGATTGCCTGTTGTTTCGATATCAATTGGTGATTCGGCTGAGTTCTTGTATGGGGACAATAGAGATGTTGACAGGGCTACATGTGAGAAACTAGAGTCAGGTGATGTCCTTATATTTGGCGGTGAATCGAGACATATTTTCCATGGTGTGAGAGCCATCCTTCCGGATACAGCTCCTCCTCCATTGCTGGAGATTACAAATCTTCGGTCCGGTCGTCTCAACCTTACCTTCAGAAAATACTGAAATAGAGCATGAGCTTTCATAATTGATTCTTGCTTAAATGTACCTTTGTGCTTGAAATGTGGATCTCTGCCACTAAAATTTTGACGAGCTGTTGTTGCCTATAGTGTTTCCATGCCTAAATTTTGATTTCAACACAACATTTTTGTCTTTGTTGTCAATTGCAGTAGAAATTCCAATAAGATTCCAACTTGTTTCTGCCTCCTAAGTTCTCACTACATTCTTATAATGAGATTCTCCTCTATGAGACAGAGAGTTGGGCAAATATTTTACTGCAGATTTCTTTACCCTGCATGTAGAAGAGCAAGCTGTAGGCTAGCTTTGTATTTGTTCTCCCACCAGTAGCCTGTTGTAGTTTTGAAGCCCATGGGGTTTGCATACATCTTATTAGGATGACAATCTGCTTTTTACTGGGTTTTTATCACTTTAATACTCTATTCCAATATTTTTATACTTACATACACACTTTTATAAGCTCTTATACCACCAAATAAATAGCTTTTTAACTATTTTAGTTTTTTTACTATTTTAAATATTCTCCAGATTTTCAAAATTCTTATCTAAATAAAACATTAGTTTTTCTAATCCATAATGTAATATATTCTTCAATCTTCTTAGGCAAATGTAATATGTTTTGATGTTTCATGCTTCCTAGAGTGTTAGCAATCCTCCTAAAGCAATTTGTTCCGAGACAAATAATATAAATATACATCCCGACTTGTTAAACTTTTTCAACATCTCTTTAGTCTCCACAGCCTATAACTGCAATGACAGCTTTCTAATATAACCAACACTCGATTGTTCTGGGATATAGTAAATAATCCCTTCCGGTTAAGGAAATCTTCTTCCATAATATATTTATTACGAGACGAGCACAAACTAATATCTCATTATCAATTTGAAAAAAGAGTTTTTCACACAACAAAACTCTTCTTTGAGCACACCAGCCATTTCAATACATAAGATACTTCATTGCAACTTCTTAGCCGATAAATAATCATAGTACCTAAAAGCTTAAATTAATAGGAAAATATATCAATAATTACATACTATATATAGTCTTCTAACATTGTTCATTATTAATTCCCATTGCAGCACAGCTTCCAGAATTTGAAATGGTAGTCTATCCTTATTCATCGTGTTAATAAAATAATAATTACAACAAAGACAAACTTATTCAAAGTACCATTCTTTCAAAAAACTAAAGATTTTTTGAATTTTGAAAAAAATTGAAAAAAAGAAAAATCAATATTTAATGTGAAATTTTGCTAGAGAATATAAATATTGGTTAAGTTTTTTGGAAAAATGACTGATGATGCTCAAGCCTTCAAAGGTATTGTGTAAACACAGCTTTAATCCTATGAATATAAGATATTATCAATAACTCCAATAAGAAGAATTCCAATTGTCATATTTTATATTTCTAATTATGAGTTTTTAATACCATTTAATCAATGAGTTGTTAAGAATATTTTAGGTTATGGAGTTTTATTTTCTTCAAAGGTATTCTTTTTTTACTGTTATAGGAAATTCTAAATAAAAAATGCATAAACTTCATTAATCCACTAAATATGGTCTGTTAATTTAAAACTCAGGCTTATTTGCATGTTCCTATACAGTGTTTACATTGCTACCTTTCTAAATACTTAGAATTACCAAGCGAGAAAATTATGTACTCAGATCTGAACACATCTGCCTCAATCTCAGTTCATCGAAGTTTCTACTCGTTAGTGGTTAATGAAACGCAAGTGAAGGCGGTATGGCATGTGTTAGAGCCTAAGGAATCGGATCTCATATTCGCCAAAAAGAGAAGAAAAGGTTGGAATGCGTTAACACAGCTCAAATCTAAAACAAGTCATTATTAACAATGACAAGTAAAATGAATCAAAATCATTATTGGTACATCGAATGAAAGAAATTCATCGAGTAGAACATCTTTTCACGACGTGATCTCGGTGAACAAAAGATGAAGAGAAGGTAAAAAGAGTGAGTGATCGATGAATCTCAACTTACCGTAACTAACAATACATACTCTAACCATCATAGCGAAGAAACGCAGACGACCTCGGCGAGTAGTGGCGACCTGAAACCGCCTCCGATCTCCACATAAACAAGCCTGAAATTCGCACAACTGAAGTTAGCAGTGAAACAACATGAGTCACCACAAACGCTACTTCGCGATAAATGCTCATGCTTTTCCTCATAATAACGTGCATCAATACAGATAAAACACTCTCAGAAATTCTAGCCATTTTTCTGGCCTTTGAGTTCACATTTCCATGGAATGATTGGCATTATAAGGGGTACATTATAATGAATTGTACTGCAGATCGAGCTGCATCAACAGTTACTGAAATACCCTCGCTTCACAACTTCACTGAATTTTCACGTGATTTGATCCGGAAGATGATTTTTTCACTGTAAAACAACTAGAATTGAAGTTTGACCCACCTGGTAAGGCAATACAATTCAAATGAAGCTCAAAGAGACGAGCTGTAACTGGTGCACCCTCCAAGTGATTTCACTTCCGCAACAACTTCTGTGACGGACGAAGTGCAGAAAAGCCTGACTGTACGAAGAGTTTTTACAGCGGAGGGCAACAATGTAATTAAGGAAGACTAGTAGGGGCTGGCTTGTAATTCTGTGATGACGACATCATGTGCTCATCTTACGGCGGAGATTGCAATCCTTATATCAATTGCCAGTACAACTATGCGGTTGCGCCGAGACTTTGCATCAAACATGTCGACATGCCTCGCCGATTTTCTTTTATTTTTTATTGTATGAGGGTACAGAAATGGACACCACTCTTTTTTAAAAAATAAATATATATATTTTTAATATGAACGTTTAAATTATTATCAACATATATATATATATAATGAAAAAAATAATATATCACCCACTAAACATTATTTTAAAAATTAATTATTCTTGAATGATTTTGTGCTAAAAGTTTCTTCTAAGCATTAGTTGATTGGTTGGCAATCAACTTAATAAGTTCTAATAGTCCTCTGTCCAATTTTAATGGATATATTATTTTTTTCATAAATTGATAATTTTTATTTTAGGTAAAATTTACTAAATTAAAATATATTTAATAAATATAAATCAACTTATTAATTAAATAACATATAAACACTACTCATTCAAAATCTCTCTATTTTTTATTTATTTGTATTATAAAAAAATAATTTATATAAAATAATATTTATATTATATATATATTTTTATTAAGATATAAGTTTTAAAATATTTAAATATATATTCTAATTTTTTTAATTATATATATTAAATTTATTTAAAAACTTTTAATATTATTAATTATATAAAAATAATAAAATAATAGCATAATTTACTATTATTAACTAATTAAATATCGTTATTAAACTAATATATTACTAATAAAAAGAATAATTGTTCAGAAAAAAAAAAGTAGTATTAATTATTTTACAAATTAAAGATATGTGAAGTAAAAATAATAATTACATCTTATATTACCTCCGTCCGATTTTAAAGATCTTATTTATTTTTTTGTGTGTTAATATTTGAATATTAATTGTTATATAAAAGTGTAATACAAATTAAAAAAAAATGACAAAAATATTTCTATTAGTGTCTTAAAATACTATTACAATGACATTTATGTAAAAAATTTATACAAATATATAAATATTTTTAATGTTAACTACAATGACGTAAATAAAAGTCTTAGAAACAAACTGATAGAGTATTATATTTTTACACAAAAAAATAGATCATACAAGAAACTAAAAAAATAGATCAAACAAGAATAAATTTATTATTTTTACACAAAAATTAAAATAGAAAACAAAAACTTGGGGGAAGGGGGGGAATTTATTTTTTAAACTAAAAATGACAAACAAATTTCGGGGGCTGAGGTCACGTGCCCCTAGCCCCATGTGGTTTCGTTCCTGCTCACAATTGCTGAACTTAAAAATAAAAAAAAATAAAAAAAAGAGGCAAATCGATAAGAATATCTTATCGGTCATTGATCGGAAAAAGGTTCTTCGTCCCCCATCTCGTCTTGATGCCGGCAGCCACAATTTCAATGGAGATTTAGGGTTTATACGGAGATAGTTGGGTGAAAATTTGCGCAAAAAGAAAGATATAAAGAACACTTGTAGGGATAAAATACTTATTTTTCAAAATAAATTATGTCAAAAAGAAGCTTCAACACATATACGTCACATAAGTAATTGAGGAATTTACAGCGACGAGCTGTTGTGTATGCTTTAACGGTGTGTTTTTTTTGTAAAAATTCTTTCAACATATTTTATAAAAAAAATTAATATATTACACATGTATTATTTTTATATTATTTGACAATTTATTGTACCTCACATAAAAAAATATTTCATAAAACAATTTTACAAAACAAACAAGATTATTCTTTATATTGAGTTTTTATTACATTTAACACAAAAAAAAAATACTTAAAATAAATATATAAAATTCTAGATAAACCTTAAAATTTTAATTATTTTTTATGATTATACTTCCTACTTTTGAACTAAATGTATTTTTTTATAGTAAATTATAAAATAATAATATTTTATTAATTAGTAAATGTGTACATATTTTAACATTTTCATGATAAGTACAAAAAATAAATATTTTTATAGAAATTAATTTTAGTATTTGAATATTTGAAAAGAAATACTTTTGAATTAAAACCAATAAAAACGATAGAAACCTATACTGATATGTAACAGAGGAGTATAATTTATTAAAATAATTATAATTATATCAACTAAAAATATTGTTTACTTATATACATATATTATGTAAAATGCAATATATTAAATAAAAAAATACTTATAAGTTTCAATTTAAAATATTATTTTTGTTTTTCACATTCAAAATTATTGTTTTCTTATTATAATAAATATAATTACACATAAATATTAAAATATTTTAAATTTTTAATGTATTTTTATTAATTAATAAAATATTATTATTTTAAATTTATTACAAAATTTTAAAATAATATTTTAAACTAAGACCGAATGAGTGGTATTTAGTATGCTAAAAGAATGGTGGTAAAATAAGTTTTTAAAAGTTAATAATAAATTTTGATCAATTTTAATTGATATTTTGTAATATTAGTAATAAAGATCTCGTAATAATTTATTATTACAAAACGGTTTTACAATTTTTTTGTAATATTTTAAAATATTATTGCAAATTATAGAGGAGTATATAATATCAATTCTTGTAATATGTTGTATTACAAAAATTAGTCTACAAGTATTTTATTTTATCAGAGTAAAACTTTTGAGTGTATTTATGGGTGTGTTTTTCTTTCTTTTTTTTTTCTTTTTTTTTTTAAAAAAAAATTGTTTTGATTTTGAATTTTTGAATTAAAATAATTATTTAAGTGACATAAATTGATGTAATATTTTAAATATAAATTTAATTTTAAATAATATAATATAATAAATAGAAAACTAATTTGATATTTTTATTAAAAATTTATTTTTAAATTTAAAATATAATATAATAAATAAAAATTAAGAGTTTGATTTGATATTTTTATTAAAAATAATTAAATAATAAAATCAAGTGCAAAATGTTAGGAATAGACACACGATATTGACATTTTTAGTATATTTGATTTGTATTACTATTACGTTTATATATTACTTCATATCATTAAAAAAAAAAATGTTATGAAAAAATAGACTCATTTTATTTCTGAGTGAAATTATATTATTTTCATCATTTTTTGTAGAATATCTTAATCTTTTTTTTTGTTTTTTGTTTTTATTTTTTCTTATAATGTGAAAATTCATTACGTTTTTTTTAGTGTGCTATTGATAAACCTTCAACCAAAAATAATAATCTACGAATTAGATTTAATCAGACAAATTAGACTAAATGAACGGTGTATTTTTGAAATAGTTCAAATAGCCATAAACTACACATTCCATTTACTTAGGACATTCATGTCTCTTCTAAACAAATGTAGCAGTATTAAGTATACATATAACAGTACAAAACAGTTATTTTATTATAGTAATATATAACGAAAAAATCGTTACTTAAAGCGAATTCATATTACTTCCTATAAATTTCATCAACGTACAAAATGTGTATTGATCATTATTACATATTATATTACGACGATCAATTTGTAGTACATAAAGAATGTTCAATAATGCATGAACAAATACTTTTCGTCTTTCCTTAAATCAACTATACCAAAAATCTCGGAATTTTTTTATTTATTATTTTTTACATTTATTTTGCTAATATTATAGATCTACATACAAGGAAAAAGATAACAAAAGTACAATAGTTATAAACTTTTTGTTCAATATTTTATTTTTCAATATAGAATTATTCAATCCTAGTTTGATTTTCTATTATCATTTGGATCAAGCAACCCACAATTTGAATTTATAGCAATTATTGAATTGTATCATCAATAATAATTGTTATTAATTAATAATAATTTATCAAATATTGAACATTATTTATATATGGATTTATTAGCTTCATGGAAAGTCAATACTAAATATAAAAGTACATTATACATTGTGTGAATTTGTGTATATTATATATATATATTCTATAATCATGATATTATTTGAATGAACCTCAATATTCATAATAATCGTTTTTATTCATAAAATTTAATAATTTAAATATGCATACATATATTTACAAAATATTACATAAAATATAAATATACACAAATTACTAATTCAAACTCAACCAAACAAATTATGGACAATGATGGAATATTGACATAAATTAAATTTGAAATTATTTTACTTATATTTACATGGTTGGACTAATTCATAATATACATGATTTTTATTCAAATAAATTTATTTGTTTAGTATTTTAATTTGAATATTTTTTTATGAGATACAAAAATTGTATCGTTAATATAAAAAGTAATATTTTATATTAAATGTTGAGTTTGATAAAATAATAAAATATAGTATATCAAAAATAACGTTAAAAAAAAATCTTAAGCAAACAAGTGTTTTGATTTGAAATATTTTTATTTTAATTTATATGGAGTATAAGAAATCATATGAGTAATATAAAAAATAACATTTTATATTGAAGGTTAATTTTTTGTGAGATGATATAATATATAATTTTGTTATATATATTAAAATTTGTATTTATTATATCAATAATATTACATTAAATTATAATATAAAGATAAAAAAAACTACATAAAAAAATAGATATTTTTTTAGAAAAAAAAATATCATTTCAAACAATTATTTTTTTATATTATATTGTAAATTTATTTTACATTTAAAACATAACATCAACCTTTGTTTATATCATATCAAATAACTATTCAAATTCAACTTTTTACTATTAAAAAATTTAAACTAAAAAATTAAAACCCACAAACAAACACACCCTATATATTACTGTTTAAATATTATTAGTTTTTTTAATATTACCGAAAGTTATGACGTGTTTGACAATTAGCTGATAGCTGTTAGCTGATTCAATTAGCTGATAGCTGTTAACTGATTGAATTAGTTGGTTTGACTAGCTGATTCGATTAGTTGTTTGTATTAAAATGTTTGGTAAAACAAATGTTTGATATTAGCTGTTTATACGTAAATGACAATTGATGACATTTATATTTTATTTGTGTTTCTAATATATTCAATTATGTTCTTTTGAGTTTAGAATGTTTAAAATTTTTTGTTATTAGTTATTGAAATTATAAAAGTGTTATTAAAGTATTTATTTTTATTACAGTTAGATTTAAGAAATAATATATTTTTATTAAAATATATAAATAATTTTTTCTATTAAAAATAATATAAAATATAAAATAATAAATTTTGAGTATTACGATAGTTATCGATTAGTTCATTATATTTATAATCTTCAATAAATTTAATTTATTTAATTCATTTTTAGTATAAAATTTATATAATGTAATTTTAATAAGAAAATAAATTATTAATATTTATATTTTCTATTTTATGTTAATTTTAATAAATTTATATATTTTATAATTAAAATATTTTTTATATAAAAATTAATTATTTTAAATTTATAAAAGTAAAATTATAATATAATAAAATATTATAATATAATTAATAAATAATCAAAATATATCTATTTGTGTAAAATACATAATAAAGTTTTAAGGACATATAAGGAATAAAGTTGTTTTTTTTTTTTTTTTACAGAAAAAACTATTTCAAAACGTTGGGTAAGTTAGCTTTTCAGAAATTAGCTTTTTGGGTCCAAAAAGCTATTCCAAAAAGCTAATTTACTAAACATTTACATTAGTTTTTTGACTGGTCCTAAAAGCTGTTCAATAAACTAAAACGTCTTCAAAAAGCTATTTGTCAAACACCCCCTAATATTATTATGATCTTACAAAAATACATATTTAATGTAATTTTTCTTTTTAAAAGTATTCATTCTATCCCGAATTAAATGACTTTTGAAATTCTATAGTAAATTAAAAAATAATACTCCCTCCGTCCAATTTCTATTGTCCTAAAGCATATTTGTACGGTTTTTAGTTTTTAAGTGATTGTCTTTTTGTTATGAATCAACAAATTTGCCCTTAATTGTATAGTAGAGATTAAAAATAATAAATGAATGAAGGATAAAAATGTAAAATTTGTGTTTAAAAAAGAAAATAGGATAATAGTTTTTGAACGTCCAAATAGAAAAGTAGAAAATTAGTTTGTGGACGGAGAAAGTAATATTTATTAGCTAATGAAAATATGTAAGAATTTTTTATATTTGATTTTATATATAAAATAATTATATATGTTTGTAATTAAGTAAAAATTAGTATTAGTCTAAGATAAAAAAAGAGACGAAAATAAAAAATTAACTTTTTAAATAGAACGGAGAGGAGCAATACAATTTTTAAATTATTACGAATAAGATTTTTTTTAAAAAAATATACCATTACTTTTAAAACACAAATTCTGTCTAATTTCAGTTTTATTTTATCAATATTACGACAGTAGGATTTTCCTCTAAAAATAATAATAAAAAAAAAAAAATAAATAACGAGTGGAGTAATAAAACCCTCAAATATTACATTTGACAGCTCCGCTTTTGGTTTTGCTCCAACAGGCAACAGCCACACTCGCTCTCTCTCTCTCTCTTCCCCTCTCTCTCTCTCTCATGTATATCTACGCCTCCATCGATTCTTCCATCTGTGCCGCCGCCGCCGCCGCTGTGACCGTCACCGTCACCGTCACAGCCGGTTCGTACGCCTCTGCTGCGTAGAATCATCTAGAGCTGGATTCTCTCTTCTTTCTTCTCCCAATCACTCTGCGCCGTTCGTTCACCGGCTTTGTCGATTAATCACCACTAGCCACCGAAACCTAAATCTCACCGGCTTCATCTCCATTTACATCTGGAAAACATCTGGGGCCGGAGCTTGTTCGAGGCTTCGTGTTTCCCGATTAATCGGTGCGATTAGGGTTCTTGTTATGTGCTGTCCCCCGATTTCGGTTCGACTAGGGCAGGGCTAAAAACTATTGGAGAATTAGGGTAGTTTTATGGCATTGGGGGATTTGATGACTGCTTCTCGGTTTTCACAGTCTACGGCGTCGGTTTCGAACAACTTGGACCAGTTGTCCGCGAATGGGAATCATGTCGGAGAGGATGGCGAGAGAAGTGTTTTTGGTGGGGAAGCCGTTGATAGCAGCAGCAATGCTCGGGATTATACTGAGGAAGCAAGTAGTAGCTACACAGCGATGACAACCACAACAAGCATGGCATATTTGCCGCAGACTGTTGTGTTGTGCGAGCTTCGGCATGATGGGTTTGAAGACTGCATACCCTCGGGGCCTTCAGATAGTGGTTTAGTGTCTAAATGGAGGCCCAAGGATCGAGTAAGCTCCATGGTGTCCTCTTTGTTCTGTTTGCAATTTACCATTCAAGTTTTCTTCGCTGAACTAAATTCCTGATTTCTTTTGAGTCTCCTAATTTAAGGTTTGCTAGAAGATGTGAAATTATTCGTGATGGTATTAAGCTAGGGTCTTTCATCGTATACACACTAAAATTCATGTAGGGCTTACTTGCAGTTGTTGCTTCTCGAATTTTGTTGACTTGTTGTAGCTATCACTATAATGCAGGGTGTAGAAATGATTAGTAGCAATTCTGTTTGATAGTTTGTGGCATTGAATGAGCTTCATAGTGATTTTGCAATGATGCAGGCTGCCTTGTGTACTTCTATGATGGTAATTTACTAAATTTGTGAACAGTTGCTTGTGTGCTCAAGCTGACTAGATTGCAGGGGGATGCAAGTATGCAATTATTACTGTGAAGACTCTATAACGAATTAGTTATAGTTCATGATGATTACCTGACATTTGTTGTTGATCAGGCTTTCTCTATACGCCATGCTTAAAAGATATATGCCAAAGATACGATTCTAAATGGATACTTTCTGTAATTGCTAATAAATTCGACTTTTTGACACGTGACAAATGATTACTGGCGATAGTATGCTTTTAATCCATTTTCTAAGACGTGAAAAGTGTCATCTACTTTATTGTGTAATACTGTAATACAATTCATAGCTGCATAGTAATTAATAGCAGGCAGACCCTCTCAAATGATTTATTCAAGTCAACTGCACACAAGCATCTCCTTGAACCAAGTTTACATAAATAAATTAAATACTTATACTCCTTTTAGTTCTTAGTAATAGCCACATTTTAACCCTATCTTACACCTTTTGTTTTGTTCTTTCTCTTCAGGTTAAGTTTTAGTATTTCAAAATGATCTTGACATATGTTAAGACGTAATACCGGTGATAATTTCCTAAATACTATATTAATAATATTACAAATTATTGAGACATGTTTAACCAAACTTGAAACAAAAATAATTTTTAAAAAAAAGAGTAGTGGTTAAATGGGAAACCTATACAGATAAGGAATACCAGAAGAAAGAACAATAAAGAGGGGAAAACAAGTGCGTTGGACAGGAAAAAGACTTAGGCCAAAGCTTAATCTTATATTTTTTATGCTTGATAAAGAAGTATTATGAGTCTTCATGAGCGCTGGTAGATGACATGATGTCACCTAATTGCATGTTAAGAGCTTTGTATCGTAATGTATGCAACTGTGCATGAATCAGCTTCTCTGTACTTGGTTTCTAATATCAAACATGATAATTCTTTGAGAATTCCCTTAATGCAGTCCAAGTTAGTTTTTTAGCATTCCAATGTTTAATACCTGTCAAAATATGAAAGTCTTGTATTTGAAACAAATAATCATTCCAACATAGGACACAAACTCATACATGATGTTTTGATGATTCTGCTGTATGAAAATTTCAATTCATTCAGGACTGATGTTGTTTTATTTTGCTGTTTTGGAAGCCAATCAAGATTAGATGTATAGGATCTATTCAAGCCCCATGTATTTGTGATCTTCTAATAGGAGTGTCTTTCATGTGAATGTTTGTGCAACCATGTTTTCAAAACTGTCAGATGCTTCATGGTGAAAAACTAAGCTTGTTTTGGTTTGACATGGATATTTCTCTTGGTCCAGAAGTGTAGTGAGCTTATTGTTTCTTGGATTCTAACGATAGTTTTAACTTGTTACAGTATGCGTTTCTCTTGAATTTTTTATACATAGTCCTAGCATATAGTGTTTATGTGCTGTTGAAGACTACTAGCCAGAACTATAACTAGAACGTCTGTCTTAGGGCAGTTGATTTGGGTCAGGGCATATCATTTCTGATAATGAACTTTCCCTTTTGCATGCTTGTTCAATTCAATTCCTTGCCGACTTCACTTTATGGTTTATTTCCCTTCTGTAACCTATAGTTTGTTTTTCGGACAAATTGTTTAATGAAATATTGTTACTTTTTATTCACATGCAGATGAAGACAGGATGTGTTGCTCTAGTCTTATGTTTGAATATCAGTGTTGATCCCCCTGATGTAATAAGGATATCTCCTTGTGCTCGGATGGAATGCTGGATTGGTATAATTTCTTCCGTCCATTATTCTTGATATTCTTCCTTCTGTATGATAACTGTACTGCAATGTAGTTGTATCTACTTGATTTCTTCCTGTTTATCATTCTGGAGAGGTTTAGTCTAAGTTGCACCTGTAGCTCTGCCATTACTTATACCTCACCATATTGGTGATTTCATGCCTGGACAGACGAGCTCCCTGCTTGTTTAGCAGTCAATATCATAATGGGAGACCTTTGCAACTAGTACATGTGTATTTATCTTTATAGATAGGGTAACTTTTGTGGCTTGTTTCTGTATGCTAATAAAAATGTATTGTTTGAATGCTTTATCACTGTCTTTATAGACCCATTTTCAATGACACCCGAAAAGGCTATTGAAGCAATTGGAAAAACCTTGAATCAACAGTATGAGAGGTGGCAACCCAAGGTATGATAAGTTACTGTTACTGCTTCCTTTAGTAAAGGATGCTTTTCTATTTCAAAAATAAAAAAGATGCTAGCATATTTCTCTTTTATATTGTTATTTTCCTTGTAAGTTTAAAAACGTAATTAAGTTTAAAACTCATTGCTTCATATTGTATTGTAGCTGAACTGCATAATAGAATATTTTCTAGTATGTTGGGGAAAAAAAAATTTGAGAGAGAAAAAAGAAAGTAAAAAAGTATTGAACACATTTTTGCCAACATAAAATTGTTAAATATGGGTTTTCTTCTTACATATTTGTTGGCTTATGAGCAGGCCCGTTACAAGTATTCCCTAGATCCCACCGTTGAAGATGTCAAGAAGCTCTGCATGACATGTCGCAAATATGCGAAATCTGAGAGAGTTCTTTTTCACTACAATGGACATGGTGTACCCAAGCCAACACCAAGTGGTGAAATTTGGCTATTTAATAAGGTCCAAGTTTCACTGGTCTCTCCCTGCGCTCTGTCTACAACCCCCACTTCCCTCTTACCTCTCTCCCCCCATTTCCTGTTTCCTTACCTGTTCTAATTTAGCTGTTTCTGTAGAGCTATACACAGTACATCCCGCTACAAATCATTGATCTCGATTCCTGGTTGAAGACCCCCTCAATATATGTTTTTGATTGCTCTGCTGCTGGATTTATTGTGAATGCCTTCATTGAGGTAAAGTTTTCCTACGAAGAAAGCTTCATTCGAGCTAGTGAGTTGGTTTTAACCTTTTTTTCTTTTTTTCTCTATATTTTAACAACACAGCTCCAGGAAAATAGTACCTCAAGTTCTGGGTCTTCCATGAGGGACTGTATTTTGCTAGCAGCCTGTGAAGCTCATGAGACGCTACCACAAAGTGCTGAGTTTCCTGCTGATGTATTTACTTCCTGCCTTACAACACCCATAAAAATGGCACTAAGATGGTGATCCACAACTCAATTTTATTCCTAATTTGAATTGCCATTTACATCATGTTTTTGGTTTATGTTCCATTATTATGTAGCTATCACCAGTTGGTTAGTGTCTGTTGTTTGTGTTGGTGAAATGAAGAATAGTCTATCTCCTCTCTCTCTCTCAGAATGTCCTGTAGGTGGCTCGAACAGGATGCAATTGCATATTCTCTATGAGCTATATTAAATTGAATGATTGAAAAAGAATGAAATCACTTGTTGATATAATCCTATGTGGATTTTTTCTATTTTTTTTAAAAATAGTTATTGTTCATTGAAACTAACTAGGCTACTAGCCTTTATTAGGAGTCTGAATCCTGAATATCTAAACATGTTAATTTTTCTGATATATAATTGTCTTCGCTTGATAAGATATTTTTTGATCATGCATTTTGATGACCAATTACCTGTTCAGCTAGTTTATTTGTTTTTGTTTTGTATCTTTTCTGTTTCCTGTATGGTTTCAACCCAATTGCAGGCTCTCACTATCAGAGGTTTCTCATGTGATGGGTTGTGTGCTACTTCATGAATTTTATCTCTTTTGAATGTATGATATCTTCCTTTTTTGTCTTCTATCTTGTGAATGCAACTAAAGGTATTTGTTGGGAATGAATGTTATGCTTGACTTGGTTGGCAATTATCTTTGTTTTCTATTTTTTCGGTTTTGCCATCTTGTTCCATTCCTCTCTTAAAAGTTATTGCTAATAATTATGTGGTTCATTTTATTTCAGGTTCTGTTCTCGGTCACTTCTTCATGAATCAATTGATTATTCTCTGATTGATAGAATTCCTGGCCGCCAAACAGACAGGAAGACCCTTCTTGGGGAGTTGAACTGGATATTCACAGCTGTGACTGATACTATTGCATGGAATGTACTTCCTCATGGTAACAAAGACCTAATGTCATTATTTCTATGTTTTATTCTAATCTTAGCTATCATATTTTGTTCTTAATCTAATTGAAGGAGACTTTGAATGCTACAGATTTATTCCAGAGATTGTTCAGGCAAGATCTTTTGGTTGCCAGCCTGTTTCGAAATTTTTTGCTTGCTGAAAGGATAATGCGGTCTGCAAATTGTTCGCCAGTTTCACATCCAATGTTACCACCAACCCATCAGCACCATATGTGGTAACTATTTGTGCTTGTCTGTCAAATGTACATCTAAGACATGTGTTCTTCATTAATTGGTATTTATCTGTGTCTTATATCCTTGTGATTTGCAGGGATGCATGGGACATGGCAGCTGAAATATGCCTTTCTCAGCTTCCAACATTAGTTGAGGACCCAGAGGCCGAGTTCCAGGTATCTCTGATTATTACTTGTATTTTGTGCAGTTCAGAATTTATCATGTAGCGTTGATGTCGCGATTATCTTATCCAATTGACAATTTAGTTCTCTTCTGGCTCACTTTACATTTAGCAATTAATCACAACATTCCGCCTAGATTGACCTCGAGGGCTGGCTTTGTTGTTGTATTTCATTAACCCTGGATTTTATCAATGGCATTTAAACCATCAAATAACTAATTTACCTTTAGATACTTTTATGACTTGTATCATTTTGTTTGTTTAGGTAGTTTCAACTTTTGTTTCCTACCTTTATTTCCACCACTAATTGTAGCCACCCATTAAACTCCAAAGAAATGTAGAGCAGAGGAAGTTGAATAAAGAAATGAAAAACAAAAATATTATGTATTCGTTTTGATATTCCAATAAATTGGTTTATACTTGAGATTCGATGATATAGAAAAATAAAGGAAATTTTAGAGTACTCATTATAAAGTGAGTCCTAGTTGGTGTACTGTGAAATAAAAAATCTGTGGAGTACTTGTGTAGAAATAATGGAGAAATTTAGAAAGGGCACACCTATCTTATATATGATGAGGTAATACCCTATCCTAATTTATATATATATATTTTTTTGATATCTGCAGCCGAGCCCATTTTTTACACAGCAGTTGACAGCTTTTGAAGTGTGGCTCGATCATGGATCTGAACATAAAAAGCCACCAGAACAGTTGCCAATTGTACTTCAGGTAGCAACATTCTTGTTTAACATGGGGACTACCTGTTTATGCCTGCTATATAATTACAATTGTAAAAATTCCCGTATTCACGTGTATGTATATGTGTGAACATTAATTTTCTCTCCAGTTAAATAAGCTAATTATTGAACATATTTCCAGAAGGCAAAGAGGACAAGTTTTTTTTAAAATGTTTAAAATAGTTGTCGTGTTCGTGCTTAATAATTTTCTTATGGGCATTTGTTTCTCCCCTATGAATGGTATGAACAGATTATTTGCGGGCTGATACTAAGAAGTCTTAGTTTAGTGAATTTAATCAACTGTATTTCTTAATAATAATGCATTGGGCAGTTTTCTACAGTCAAAGATGTCCAGTGATCTGGTGTCTCTAGAAAAAAGGAAGATGTTTGTGTTCTTCACTGGTTTTGACTTTATTATTATTTTGAATAAAATCTTCTATTATATTTCTATATCTATGAATTGTCTGATCCTGTTTACATCATCTCATTTGTTTGGATAAATAATATATTTGAAACAAGTTCCCTGTCTTTCTGCTATCCAGGTTTTACTCAGTCAATGCCATAGATTTCGAGCTCTGGTACTTTTGGGTAGATTTTTAGACATGGGACCGTGGGCTGTGGATCTCGTAAGTTTTACGCGATTCATTGTTGATTAATCATACTTCATACTTAAGGTTTGGATGAATATGAATCTGGGATATGTATATCCAATGTTTCTGTTCCCCTTGCAGGCTTTATCTGTAGGAATTTTTCCATACGTATTGAAACTACTACAAACCACCACTCCAGAGCTTCGGCAGATTCTTGTCTTTATATGGACAAAAATACTTGCTCTAGATAAGGTAATAAACATGGAACACTGTTTTTAATGAGCCAGTATTCACTTGTGCGAACTCCTTCAGGCATTCCCTTGTTATTGTTTTTTCTTCAATTTTAGCTTTGAAAGAGTTGCTTTATAAATAGCGCAGCTTCATTATTGGAACTCCATCAAAATATGCAGCTGCCAGCCTGCCACGGCATGTTTGTAGCTGTGGTTAAACTAAAACATTGATTTTTGCAACACCCTGATTTTTCCTCAAGTTAACATTTAATTTTACATGTTAGGCTCTTTTAAATGATATTGATAGTGACTTGGTAAGGTTTGTGTGAATATTATCAATGTATGCTGATTCTTATTATTTTATGTTATCATTATAGCTCTTAAGCTAGCAATCTATGCATTATCAGGGACTATTACTGCTTTTAAAGTGTCTTATATCTTAAGGTAGTAGCTACTTGCAAAGGTCGACATTTGTGTAAATAGCGATGGATATTATTATGTGATTTTTTTATTTTTAATTTATATGTGGAGCATTTACACCATTTTGTGTTTCTGTAGTCTTGTCAGGTTGATCTCGTGAAGGATGGTGGACACACATATTTTATTAGGTTTCTTGACAGTGTTGAAGCTTATCCTGAGCAGCGTGCAATGGCTGCATTTGTTTTGGCTGTCATTGTAGATGGCCACAGGCGTGGCCAGGAAGCCTGCATTGAAGCCGACCTCATTCATGTCTGCCTCAAGCACCTTCAGCGCACAACCCCTAGTGATGCACCAACCGAACCATTATTTCTTCAGTGGATATGTTTGTGTCTTGGGAAGCTGTGGGAGGATTTCATAGATGCCCAAATGCTAGGTTTGCAGGCTGATGCACCTGCTATTCTTTCGCCCCTGCTTTCTGAGCCCCAGCCTGAGGTTTATTTCTTTAATATTTGCTGTGTACTTGTGTTTAACTATATTCATATATATGTATATTATACTTTATTAATCAATCCCTCCTATAGAAACTTTTCATGCACATGCTTACATGGTGTACCTGTTTTTGTGAATATATTCTGAAAGGTACGTGCAGCGGCTGTTTTTGCTCTAGGCACTGCTCTTGATGTAGGTTTTGACACATCACGAGATCTTCATGGGGATGAAGATTGTGATAACGATGAAAAAGTTCAGGTTGAAACTAGTATTATCAAGAACCTTCTGAATGTTGTTTCTGATGGAAGTCCTCTGGTTCGGGCTGAAGTTGCTGTAGGTATGTATCGGCATTGTTGCTACCATGAAGCATTGTGTCTATGCGTACTTTGTGTTTTCTCCTCATTTATTTATTTTTCCATATCTTCTTCAGTCATCTTTATTATTAAGTTAGCTTCTTATGTTATCCCTTTTCATTATTGACCAACTTTATCAATACCTGCAGCTCTGTCCCGGTTTGCTTTTGGCCACAACAAACATCTAAAGTCGGTTGCTGCTGCATACTGGAAGCCCCAATCAAGTTCTGTGCTCACTTCACTGCCATCTTTTGTGGTTAGGGGCTCTGCTAGTGGCTATACAACTCCAACACACTACATGCCCCATGGAAGTATAGTTTCATCACCTGTTGCTCCTTTAATTCGTCCTGGAAATGACAGCCAATCTGTGGGTCGTGATGGGAGAGCATCAACCAGTAGCCCTCTTGCTACCCCTGGAATGATGCATGGATCTCCACTATCTGATGATTCATCTCAGCATTCTGATTCTGGGGTGCTGAATGACTGTGTTAGCAATGGGGTCCTCAACCATTCAAAGAGAAGGCCGCTAGATAATGCTCTATATTCCCAATGCGTATTAACTTTGTGTAATCTGGCCAAGGATCCGTCACCTCGTGTTGCCAGTCTTGGGAGGCGAGTGTTGTCCATCATTGGCATTGAACAAGTAGTTGCAAAATCTATTAAACCTGCTGGTGCAAGCACTCGTCCTGCTGAGTTAGCTACAACAGCTAGCACTAGTCTTGCTGGATTGGCTCGTTCATCTTCTTGGTTTGAATTAAATGGAGGTAAGTCGAGCTAATTGTGTGTACTATTATATTTATTTTTATGTGGGTGGCGACTGGTGAGTAATCTTATGCATTTTGAGTTATCATTCATGCAGTACTAAAGTTGTGTTCGCTTTTTATTTGTGTTATTAGCTACACTTTTTGTTGATTTTTTTTTCTTTTTTTCCAGGTGGGCATGTGCCACTGACTTTTAGAACCCCTCCAGTTAGTCCTCCCAGGTCAAGCTATTTGGCGGGTATGCGAAGAGTTTGCTCTTTGGAGTTTAGGCCAAATTTGATTAGTTCTCCAGATTCTGGGCTCGCAGATCCTCTTTTGGGTTCATCTGGACCATCTGGTGCTTTGGATCGAAGTTTTCTTCCACCATCAATGATCTATAATTGGAGCTGTGGTCACTTTTCAAAGCCACTTCTCACTGCAATGGATGATAGTGAAGATATAGCTACTAGAAGAGAGGAAAGGGAGAAAGTGGTCCTGGATCATATAGTGAAATGCCAACACTCCTGTAAGTTATTTACCTGATTTTTAACCAACAACGCCCTCGAACTTTCTATATCATAATATTGTAATTTCTTGGCAGCTGTAACGAAACTGCATAATCAAATTGCAAGCTGGGATACTAAATTTGAGACTGGCACCAAGACTGCTTTGCTGCAGCCTTTTTCACCTGTTGTCATTGCTTCAGATGAAAATGAAAGGATTAGGTGGGGATTTCTGTGGGGTTTGTTACTCATAAGCTTAGTATGATTGATTTGCTGAATGAGTTGTCAATGTGATGTTCTTATGGTACTATATTGTAGTTTTTGTTTTTATATGTTCATCTAAGAAGATAAATTGGCGTAAGACCAAAAGATTTTCTTCTTGATGACCTGGCTTTGAGACTTCATTGTGGGTTACACATGAGAGGTCTTATGAAAGAAAGCAGAGTATATTGAAGCTGAGTGATCACTGTGCTTGTTGTTGATATAATTATAGCATCATGATTTTCACCAAACATTTCCAGATGATCACGATGGATTTTTTTTTAGATTATATAATTGCACAAAATTGTGTAACATTTATTTGAAAATGTCATGAAAAAACATGTTCAGTAGTATAGAGATAGAAGTGGTGAAAGATTTTTCTGCTGTTTGTCTTGCAAAAACTTTCAAGTTGCATGCATGCAACAGAACACGTCCCCTGTATACAAGTTCATAATATATTTGTCATGAAGGCTGATAGTTTGAAGCTGCTTGCTATTCTTTCTCATCTAGAATATTTCTTAAGCTAGTCAGTCAATCCTTGTGAACTCTACCAAAAATTCTTTTGTGAAAAGCGTAACCTTTTCTTTTTTTCATTCACTGATTTGTGTATGTTCTTTGTTGTGAATGAATTTTTCTGCATGCTATTCATCAGGATATGGAATTATGAGGAAGCAACTCTGCTGAACAGTTTCAGCAACCATGATTACCCTGATAAAGGTGTTTCAAAGTTGTGCCTTGTGAATGAACTTGACGAGAACTTGCTTCTTGTTGCATCAAGTAATTTGTTTACCTTCAATGGAGTTCCTTGTGGATTATTATTATTATTATTAGTATTAGTATTATTATTTTAGTTGTATCTAAATTCTCCCTATTCTTATGCTGATACAGGTGATGGAAATGTCCGGATCTGGAAAGATTACAGTGTAAAAGGACGACAGAAATTAGTTACTGCTTTTGCTTCAATTCAGGGCCATAGACCTGGTGTCCGCAGTGTGAAAGCTGTTGTGGATTGGCAACAGCAATCTGGATATCTTGTATGTTATTGCACTTCTAACTGTTATATTATGTTTTAATGCATTTAATTTATAACGTTAGCAGTTACAAATTTATGCATCTTCCTCTTTCTGACTGTCCATTAATCTCCTCTATTTGGCTGCGCTAGTTTGCTTCTGGTGAGATTTCATCAATCATGGCTTGGGATCTTGACAAAGAGCTACTTGTCAGTTCCATTCCCTTGGAATCTGATTCTAGCATTTCAGCACTGGTGGGTTTTAACTATAACTGAACTTGATGATTTTTTGTTTGATATTCTGAACTTTGTTTACTCATTGCTATTTTATTTTATTGTTCTTTTGATCTTGGGGATTATGAGTCACTATAATGAATTCTGATCATTCGTCCATTTTTATAAATTTTCCCATTCCTTATATATTTGTTTATAATTACATATATATATATATATACATAAGTTGGCAAGGCTTCATTGTAATTTATCTCTAGGTATACTATTCATCTCCATTGGACAAGGGAACATTTATGACTAAGTCTCTTTGTCCATCAAAACATTGCGCATGCCCCTTGCATACAATTCTTGATTGCATCAGTGTTCATCTCCTACATTATTCATCCTTCTATTAAAAAATTCTCGAACAAAAGTTCTGTGCAGAAAGGTTTTGATGTTTGACATGTGGTCTGTGACCTCTGTTTTCTTTGCATGTATCTGAGGCACCAAGCAAGTTAATTAAGTTCCACTAACTTCCACCCAATTAGTGAACTATCATGTCCGCCTTCTCCTTTATTCTATTATTTCTTGGTGTTACAAAGTACTTATCCTAAGTGGCAGATCTAGCAGGTGTAAGTGCTGCATAGTGCTCTAATTCTAAGTTAATAAAATATGAAGTGAATAAGAAGTGTTAGCCTCTTAAATTTTCCTGGTTGACTTTGTGTACTCTATAGTCTGTCCACCGCACTTGGACTCTGCTCTACTGAATAATTTTGATTTCGTGTAGGCTGCTTCCCAAGTTCACGGAGGTCAATTTGCTGCTGGTTTCATGGATGGTTATGTCAGGTTATACGACATTCGTACTCCTGAGATGTAAGCATTGTTTGACCGTACTTATTTAATATTTACACCATCAAAAGCTATAAATCTTTATAAACTGCTGCTTTTCATATGGCTGCATAACCATCAATCCATACAAACATCTACATGTGTTTCATATTGGCTATGTATAGCCCTTTGTACTTAGTCTAAAGCTTTCACGCTCCTTCTATGTCATATTCGTGAACACTGGAGGATATGACGAGCACATTTTGTTTTTTCTTTTTACCATTATTTTTAAAGGTTAGTGTGTAATATTTGTATGTTGCTTTCCTATGCAGGCTCGTTAGTTCAACTCGCCCTCACACACAAGAAGCTGATAAAGTTGTAGGGCTTGGCTTCCTACCTGGTCTGGAACCGGCAAAGGTAAGTTCTCCCCTCTTCTCAATATTATTAAGGTACCCTCCATTATAGTGCTTGCACGTCTTGACAATTTCCACTTTTCAGATCGTTAGCGCATCACAAGCTGGAAACATTCAGTTCCTAGACATGAGACGGCCCATACCAAAATACCTTACAATCGAAGCCCATAGAGGTTCTCTCACAGCTTTAGCTGTTCACCGGCATGCCCCCATCATAGCGAGTGGCTCTGCCAAGCAACTAATCAAAGTATTCAATCTTGAGGGCGATCCACTGGGGTCCATCCGCTACTATCCGACTTTCATGGCACAGAAGATAGGAGCTGTTAGCTGCCTCACCTTCCATCCTCATCAAGTACTACTCGCTGCTGGCGCAGCCGATGCCTGCGTCTCAATATATGCCGATGAGATCTCTCCTCCTAGGTAAATTCTCTGTTATTTTAAAAGCCATGCGTGGATTCCCTTCCTGTCACAATTTCACCAGACCAGATTGTCCCAAACTACAGCCCGTGAAGATCAATCTTCGAGGTGTATTTAAAAAAGACTAAAAAAGAAAGAGTTTATATTAAATTGAGCCTTCCTTGATCGAGTGGACTCAAAAGTTTTTATGGAGGCTTTGGTGAATAATCCATCTGTCATTGTTTATAGGTGAACAAAGTTGTAAATATTTACCCCTCTGTTTTCTTTGGTGTGCTTGTCGTATTTTCTGTGCTTTTTCCATTTTCCAGAGCTAAATCTGTAAAGTCTTTTCAGTCGCAATTGGGTTATTGGTAACCTGGTCAAATGAATGGATGACTGATGGATGATGTTAATTTTAGTGGGATTTGCAATTTATTCTACATCGAAGGAATATTGTGACTGCCAACTTATAAGGCGGCGGCTACCGTGCTTAATTTTACAGCATGCGGTGTGTTGTTTGACAACACATGATATTATCACACTATATATACTCCCTCCGTCCCGGTGCAAGGTTGTTGTTTACTTTTTGCACGTAGATTTTTTAATATTACTATTATAATGAGTTGTAGTAAAAAAGATGAAAATACTCCTATTACAATTGTGTAATATAAAAGTAATGGTATTTGTGTAATATAGTGTAAGTTGGAAGGGTATTAATTATGTTAGCTAGGCGAAAATAAAAAATGGTAACCTTTCAAGGAAATATTAATATAATATAAATACAGCATGTGAACAAAGAACAAATGTTATAATATAATACATATGCAACACATGTTATAGTCTCATGTAACAATAATGTGTTTGTATATATAATGCGTTTTTAAATCGGTACCATAATCATCCCCTATAACACCGAGTTAGAATTAGAAAGCCTAGAATGTGTGCCAAATTTGAATTTGCTGATCTGGTGTGATAATTGATTATCCAATATGTTCATTTTGATTGCCTCCCCAACAATGGCTATATTTATTGCTTCAAATTTCACAACTGAATAACATTATCATCACTAATAATGCTACAGATACAAATCTTCCATCAACAGTCAGCAGCAGTACATATAAATTATTCTAGCAATTACAGTGCTAAGACAATCGCCATGGTTTATCAAAACAAATTAAACTATAGATAGTAGTCATGTACATCAAATCGGCAGTCTGCTAAATTACATAGTCACTCCAGTCGAGCTCGCGGTGTGGTCACTTCCCCCCTCCAACCATATTTTGGTTGTTTGATCCCAGCAAGTTAGGCGGCGAGTTGCTCACTGCTTTGAATCTCCTATCTGTGTTACCAAACACATCAAGATCTTCGAACAATCTATACGATGGAATAAAGGGCTTTTGTCCAGCATTGGTTGGAGTAGGCCTTGCATTGGAATTGACCTGCAACTCTCCATTGATGGACATTTGATGCGATGATGGTCCAACATTTGGCGAAGAAACTGGCCTACCAGTTGTATATGTGTAAGCTGGTCTGGATACCGAGCTTTGATTGCTGAAGTACCCGGGAGTGGCAGCCCATGGCGGAGGAGGATAGCCATAGTTGTACTGAGGAAATTGTTGCTGCGCCTGGGGTGCTGGTGCATGTAAATTCGGCTGATGATACTGCATTTCTGGGCGAGGTTGGATTTCTGCATGTTGAGGCTGAGGCTGGGGATAAGATGCATACTCTGGCTTCATTTGAGGCTGCGGCTGAGGATAAGATGCATACTCCGGCTTAGGTTGAGGCTGGGCCCAGGGAGCGACGTAATTGTTGAAGGACACAGCAGGATAGGGTTCGGAAGAAAATGGAACCCCTGAGGTAGAAGAGGGAATCTGGCCTGGACCCGGTGAGGGCATATAGGAGGTAGGGGTCTCTGGGGTTTGGCCACTTGATATAGGAGTCGATAAGGTGATACTAAGGAGGTCTATGATGTCTTGATCCTTTGATCTCTCTGAAGCAGGCGTTGTCGTGCTCACTGGAACTATTGCATTGCTGGGGACCCCTTCCGAATGTGCTGCATCACTTTTACACTCGGATGTATTAGCAGAACCATTTATTAAAGTTTTTGAATGCCTGCATTCGATAATAAGTCATCAGAAAGTTGTATAATGTTATTTTAATCATGATGTAGCAGTAAAAAGTAAAATGGATGGACCTTCGAGCCAGCAGTGCAAAGTCATCTTCCTCTTCATCCTCCTCGTCAATAATAACATTCCTGTTGTCGGGGTGAACTGGGACAGGAGTGGAATCCTTCGATACTGTATTGGGCACGTTTGCTTCAGCAGGTTTAACATTAGAATCATGTTTCTCGGATACTCCATCAGTGATATTTGTTACTTCGGGTGGCAATGGAGAACCAGAAGCGATGGCGTCATGTTTTGCAAGCACGCTCTGCAGGCCGTCATTCAGTTCCAGACCCTGACCGAGAAATTCTTCATCCCTGCAAAAAGGGATGGATCAAATTTTAAGTGAAAATGTATTTTGATTCACTAGCCAGCTGAAAGGGATTTAAGAAACACTGACGATGTTGTGGCCAATGACTGCACCAACTTCCTTTGATTGGCTCGGCATTGCTCAACAAGGTCGATTATCACTTCGTCTTTGATAGCCTGCAAAATAATATGAACACCTCTTAAAGACATTTGCAGCATGCTTATCATGGATAAGTAAAGGTGCTCTTCAACATACCGAGCGATCATTGGGATCAACAGCTTTCAGCATATCAGCCAAGAGATTAAGAACCTCCAGCACGGAGCTCAAGTTTGATAAACTACAAGACAAAATAGTTGGTGAGGGATTAATAGAGTTCCATTTCAAAAGTTTAAGAATGAGGCCTCAAATTTTGGGAATAGCAACCGTGCGTATACAGACAACTGTCAACTGGCTAAGATATAATCTGACCTTAAACTTTCTTCAGCAGCCATAGCTTCGTCAAGCCTTGTAGAAGAACCACTTGGCATTCCAAATCCTGGTTGAGGTTGTCTTGGTATTGGATGTGTAGCAGGTGGAGTAAATATCGGAACTGGATCTGGTGAACGCTGAGGAAATTGTATGCCAGATCTCTGCCAAGATGTTCAACAGTCGGGAGTTGATCATAGGAATATACTAATCGCAATCACAAATTGACAATTCAAAGCATTTCCAACAACCATAAAATTGGGAACTCGGCATCAAGTATAGGTTATACAGAAAACCAATAAATCCTCTGTGGATTTAACTAACTCTGTAAAGTAGTGGAAAAACTCAAACCAACAGCTCAATAAGAGCATTCATTATGGATCACGTCACTTACACAGTGACAATGGAATAAAGGAAATAAGATTTACGATTTACCCTTAAGTCCTCATAGGCTATATAATATTGAGGATATCTTCCACCTGGCCCACCAAATGCTTCATGCCAAGAACCAACCAGGGTTAAAATTTTATCCCTCACATGCATATCAGCCTGAAAGAGCATTTTAGAACCAATGAATTAGACTGGAGCCCTTACATGTATAGCAACATTACATATATGAAGCAAAACATCAATCTAAAAGTTGCAAACTAAATATAAATGGAGTTGGTTTATTGATTCAAATGCATATTGGACTATTTGCTTATTAAGTAGAGTTCACATAAGTAGAGCTCAGCTACAACTGGAAGTTCCGAACACTTCTTGAAAAATATGTAACAGAACAATTTCGAACCAACAACTCTTTGCAAATATCAAACAAAACTAGATCTGTTCTATATTTTGGAGCAGCAGCCAACATATATCTACAGATATCCACAAATAGTCATCAACAAAACAGTCTTTATAGTTTCACACTAGCAAATAATGGCCAAAGTGGTTGGCCTTACTCGGGTAAAATCTACAGCATTATGCCAGAGATAATCAACAGATACAAAAAACTTCACCTTTTTCTTAACAATCTTGACCATCTCCGGCAATATACTTCTCTCTGCAATTTGAAAATGCACATAGTCACCACAGTTCTTGACCATCGTCTCCAGGAGCTGAAGAGAACACATGGTAATTCACTTAATTAGGGATCTACAGTAGCACCTTCAAAAGGTAGCGCCTTGAAGTACCAATTAACTTATTTATCTCAGAATCGAAACCTGCTTCTATTACACATTTAAGTTTTGTATTGAACAAATCACATGGAAAGGTAAGTAGTTTTCAACAAAATACCGTTAAAGCAAGTAATTGAACTTTAGGGTTCTTGTGCTGCAATCGTTTCTTCACCGCTTTCACAACATCTTTTGCTAACCTGAGAAGTGCCACAGAAGCCAATCCACTTTTAAAGTTTCCTCTTATGTGGTAAAATCCATAAATTGAAACCAAAAAACAGCAACAGCAACAACAACAATATCCCCATCCCCATCCCCATCCCCATCCCCATCCCCATGCCTTCCTTCATGTATCAAACAAGTCTCTTAGAAACAATAATTTATCAAAAAACATATTTGCTTTACCAAAATTGAGTCTAAGGAGAATAGGAACGCAAAATTGAAACAAAGGCTTTTCCTATTCCAACGGACATATGAACCACCCACATATAAATTCGATAACTCATACACAAACAACAAACCAAACCAATAATTCGACAATCAACAGAAGATAGTGAGGAAGAAGCATCCCTTGCATGAATAAAGAGAAGTCAACATAATATCCAAAAAAGAATTTGGGAAAGAATATAAAAGAGAAAAAAAAAATCATTTCTATTTACATATACATACATCTGATTGGAATTGATGGTGTCGCAAATATCCATGTTCAGAGTCCAATCAGGTCCGATCAAGAACTCACTGGTCGCTTTCTCAACTCTCACCGTAGCTGACGGCGACGATGACGACGACGACGAAGAAATCGAAGCCATAGACGGAATCATCTTTCCAAAGCTCTTCCTTCACAGCGACGAAGAAATTAATCAAAAAAACCCTCCACCCAAAGATTTCCTGCCGGTTTGACTATTGTCGTCCGTAATTTCTTGAGAGCATATCTCTTTCTCTTTCTCCCCTCGGAATTAAAAAGTTGTTTGTTCTTCGACTGCTTTAGGGCCACTTTTATTGCGCCATTATTGAATTCTCAGAAAATTAAAAATATACTATAGTTATAATTATTTTTATTTTTATTTTTATTTCACAATTATTCTTTTCTTTGTTCCTTTTTAATTTTATTCCCTCGAAACTGATCAGTAGCTCCTCCCACGCGCTCTCTTCTATCGCCGCATTGCACTCGCCGCCAACCGCTGCACGCCACACTTCTCTCTCGGATACACGCGCCCCATTTCACGCGCCTACACACCATGCTTAATGTATTCAAATAAATATAGCTCTATATCCATTTACTATTATAAATTAAATCAAAATTATTTATTTGATATTATTATTATTTTTATCCTTAACTCACATTTATATTTTGCATTATTGTATTAACATAAAAAATTTTATTAGTATTACAAAATACCGAATTATTTTTTACATTTTTGTTTTAATTTGTACTTAGTTTTATTATAATAATAATATTTAAAGATCAACATATAAAAATTAAACGAGATTCTTAGAATCGAACGAAGTATTATTTTCTCTCTAAAATATCATAGGAAAATACTATTTGTCCCTTAACAGTTTATCTATTTTTTCATTTTGATCTGTCTCGTAACGAAGTATCTATTTCTTTTTTTAGTAATTGTACCATCTACTTAACATTGCAAATACCTTTCCAATTTACAATATATCACACAAATGTCATTACATTTATATTATACAATACTAATATGATTAATTTAGCCTTTTTACCTTTATTTATGCTATATCGCAATATAATACTAATATTTCTAAAACTTCGTGCATCAAATAGATATATAGATATGAGACGGATAGAATATTATTTAAGCAAAATTTCAAACAAACATTAATTTTAAATTAATTTTAAACTATAAAGGAACAAAATCTAAATTTTTGTAGACATAATCTAAAACAAAATCAATATTACTATTTTCATTGCCTCACAAGATATATCTATTCTTTAATTTTTGTTTTGGGGTTTGAATTTTAAGTTGAAATTTAAATAATAAAAATTTTGAATTTGAATAATTGTATGATGTGATATAAATAGAAGTTAATGTGATATTTTGAATGTAAAATTGATTTTTAGCCTAATATAAAAAATAAAAAATAAGTGTTTAATTTGATATTTTGGGAAAAAAAAATTAGATGAATAATATATTTAAAATCCAATCTCCAAAACAAACACACCCTAAGTTTTATTCATTGTAAAAATCTATATTTATTCATTGTAAAAATTTATATTTTCAAATTTATTTTCTTTCATTGTGCATCCATTGTGCGTATTTCATTTATATCAATTCAATTCAATTCAACTCAAATCTATTTTGTTTTATATATTTTTTAATAAAAATATCTAATTTTTTTTTTTCATATAATATCAAGTTAAAATACTATTTAAATAAGAATTTAAATTAATATTTCATTGTAAATTAATTTCAAACTCCAACTAAACAAACTAAAGAAACTTTATTTTTCTTTGCTACTATTTATATATATATTAGAAACTGAAATTCTTTATTTCAATTAAAAGAATACGTATATATTTATAGTGATATACAAATCGGCTGAATAAGACAAGAATCCTACGAATCTCTTAAATAAAGCACCAATCATAAATATAATATATTGTTTCTAAATATATTTTAACACTCATCCTCAAACTCAAGATATGATTGAACAAACTTAAGTTTGTCAGAAGTGACTGAGAAAGGTATAGCCGAGATTTTTAACGAACAAACTTGAAGTTGCCATTGACTAAAGGTGGTGTAGTCGTCCACTGAATCAAAGTTAGAATCAAAACTCAACACCGTTAAAGTTGGACTCACTTGTTCACAACAGAACTAAAGTTGAAAATAGGACTCGGTCGTTCACAACGAAACTAGAGCCGGAAACAGGACTCGCTCGCTCACAACAGAGTTAGAGTCGGAAACAAGACTCACTCGCTCTCAATAAAGTTAGAGTCGAAAACAGGATTCTCAACGGCGTTAGAGTTGAAAGTAGAACTCTGTCAATAGACATCGAAATAATAGAAATTAAGACGGCATGAAAATGACAGCACGATCGTGGATAGAAGCAAATACATCAATAAAATATATACGAGATATAACGGGTCATGGATATACACGGAGAGAATTTGACTCTGATAATATGTTAGAATATAAAATTGAAATTCTCTATTTCAATAATAAAAATACGTAAATTTTTATAGTGATATACAAATAGTCTAAATAAGACAATAATCTACAAATCTTTTAAACAATGCACCTACCATAAATATAATATATTACTTTTAAATATATTTTAACAATATATTTTAACTATAAATGATAATTGACAATCTTATTATTTAAAAACATCAAGATAAATGTAAACGACGATCAACTTGTGTTTTATTATGTGTCTCTATGAGTGTGTTTGTTGGTATTTACAATTTGAGAGGTTTTGAATTTTAATATATGTAAAAAAAAATGTTTTAACAAATTTAGATTTATAATATATTATTAAAAATAAACAAATATTGTTCTACAAAAAGGTTTCTAAACTTTACAATTTTACATAACACAAGAATATGCATGTATCTAAAAAATGTTATCTCATTATATATATTTTGTATAATGTAACTTTTTTGTAAATACTATTAAAATTTAATACGATATATTTTAGCTAACCATCTTATTGTTATTATTATTATTAGCAAGTTAATATTGTAAACAAAAATATATTTGCTTATTATCCATTACCAATATATATATATATATATATTAATGTTTTCAAATAAAGCTAAAAAAAATTGAGATGAAGAGAATATATATATAGAGAGAGAGACAGACAATAGCACGAATATTTCTAGAATAATTGATAGTAGCTATGAAATAAAATGCAATAATTAATTAGACAAAAAATAAAATAATAATAACATTAAAAAGGAAAATTTGTCACGAGTTGAAAATTGGTTTTGTATTCTACGCACTTATTGCAATATGTACTGATTTTTGTCTTATGGCGTTGGGATAAGATAACTTACACACACATTAATGCTATCATCAATTTTAATTTACAAATTTTCATCAAGTTACAAAATTAAAATCAGGACACGACACGTACGATGCACCACTATATTTGTGACAATTTGCTTTTATTTAAGCTCTATTTACATAAATATGTATGTAATAAAATTTTAAACAATATAGAATTAGTATATTGTAAAAAAATAATATTTTATTTAATATTTTAAAAAAACATTATTATAAATAAACAATACTTATTTTAAAATATATATAGGTAAATAGAGTTATTATGTAAGTACCATATATATATATATATATATATATATATGAGATTAGAATAGACTTTTAGGAGGGACTTTCCATGTCATCAGGTTGTTTGATGATATTACTACTTTTTCCAATATAATTTTTTTATATTTTTTATTTTCGTTAGTCCTACATAATTTATTATATTTTTTAAAAATATAATTATATATTTTTATTATATTTTAAAAAATTATATTTATAATTTTAATCAAATTATTTAGTCATATTAATTTAATTTATAATTATATTATAATTATTTTTATTAATATATTTTTTAATTATTTATTAAATATATAATATATAAAACTCCAATATTTAAGCTAAAATAGACAATTAATTGTGACGAAAGAATAGTATTTAGGAACTATTTCCCAAGGCTGGTTCCGAGGAAAATACTGTGCAAATACTATGCACAATATTTTTTTCCCGAACCAATCCGATTCCCCTTTACATGACAAAGGCCGCAAATGCACCTTTTGCTACGTTCTTTTTTTTTTTTAATATAAATATTTTAAAATATTATATTTATTTAATATTTATAATAATTATACCTTTTGCTACGTTCTTTTTTTTTTTAATATAAATATTTTAAAATATTATATTTATTTAATATTTATAATAATTATAGGATACAAGAGTATATACAATATATATCATTTTGTAGAAAATAAATTTTTTTATAATATCAATAAAAAAAATTTAAATATATATATATTGGGTATAATATAACTTCATAATCAAATAATACCAAATTAATTTTATCAATTAAATTTAATACATATTTATATTATTTTATTCATTATCCATCGAATCAATATACATCAAAACTCTCCAAACTCCAATCAAATCCAAATACAAGAAAAACAACAAAATTCAAATTTATTATAAAATTTAAATAAAAATCAAATCCAAACTCAAATCCTCCCATCCCTCTAAAGAAACACACCATTTTAGTACCACAAGTCAAATATAATTGCTGTGTAGGGTAGGCCATCACATGAGAAAGGATAATGATGATTATTTATATATTTATTTGTTAGTTAACCCCCAATTCCTCTTTCATATAAATAATACTCCCTTCCATCATGAGTTATGTATATAATTATTTTCTTACTATGTTCAATCGAAATATATTTATTTATTTTTTCCAGGGTTTATTTATTTACTAGTAAAAATATTATTTACTTATCATGAGAAAATATTCTTATTTTTTAACCAAAAAAATTTCTTTTATATATATTTTTTCTTCTTACATAAAATTAGATTTGTCTAAATATATGTTAAGATTAACGTATTAAAATCAAATAAAAATAAACATTTACTCGAATTCCTATAAATAATATAAAAAATATAAATATAAATATAAATGCACATGTTTGACTTTTAATTCTCTGTCCATTGAATATTTTGCTTGGATAAAATTGCAATTTTGCAACTTGCTTGTCCCTTTAATTTGGATCATTAGACCATCTCCAATTTTTATAGAGTCGAAAAAAAAAAATTGCTCTAACCCAACCTACAATTTTGCAGAATTCACCCGCTGAAATTAGAGCGAAATATTGTAACACTCGTTGATTCCAGCTGAGTGTAATTTTCTTTTTTATTTTAATATAATTATCTATTTATTTATATAATTATCTACTTTTTTTTTAATATTATCTATTTATTAATATAGTTATCTATTTTTTTATATTTATTTAATTTAAAATTTTTAAAATTTCATCAACAAAATAAAATATATTTTTATATTTTATTTATTTTATTTTATTTATTTTATTTTATTTTTATTTTGTTTTAAGCTTATATTTTATATATTTTATTTTATTTTATTTTTGTTACTTTTAATTTTATTATTTTTTATTATAATTTTGTAATTAATATTTATAGTAAATTATTTATTTATTTAATATTTATTAAAATTTATAATTAATTGATTATGGTAAAATTATTATAAATTATATATATTAAATTTAAAATATTATAATATTTATAAATAAAAAATAACATTAATTATAAAAAATATCATAATATTAAATAAAAGATAAACTTAAGAATATAATATAAAATTATGCGTACAATATTAATAAATATAATTTTTCGGCATGATATTTAAAATATTAATTAAAAATATTATTATAATTTAAATGTATAAAAATAATAAAATATTAAATTTTATTTGTAATTTTAAAAATTATGTAAAATAAAATATAAAGATAATATTTTTTAATCTGCAAAAATAGAGGGTATAGTTGAAGATGGAAAAATGTATTGTAAATCCTGCAAAAATAAAAAAATATATTGTAGATCCTGTAAAAATGGAGTTATAGGTTGAAGATGGTCTAATGAAAAACACTTGGTCCAACACCAGACCATTAATACTACGATCCCATTATTTGGCGTTCGGGGTCCTGGTGCTCCCAACAATAACCTCCAACACCAACAAATATTTTGGTCAAATTTCAGTTTTTTTTTTTTTCTAAAAAAAATTAGAATATAATCCTTCGTTCCAATCCATTATTTCGACTTAATAATAATAATATTTTTTTATTAATAAATAAAAATATATAAAATGATTTTAATATTTTCTAGATAAAAGATGTTAAAATAAATTTTAATTTTAACTGATTTGTTTTGAAGTATAAAAAATTATAAAAATAATATTTTATAGTACATTGTTTTTATATGTATATATAAAATATGATGTATTCATTCGGTTTCAATTAAAATATTTTTTATTATTTTTTTTCTTATTAAAACAATATTTAGTAAAATAATTTATGGGTAAATATTAAAATATTTTTAATTTTTAAAAAAATATTATTTTTTTATATTTGTAAAAATAAAAATATTAAAATAATATTATACATTTTCATTATCTAATAAAATACTAATATTTCTTAATATATTAGAAAAAACAACAAAAAAAATACTGAAGAAGGGTACGTTCTATTTTTTTTTAATATTACTTTTAAAAAATTATATAAAACTACATCAAGTAGATGTAGGCAAAGTTAAACGAAATTGTATTCTTTATATATAAATTATAAGAGTTTGTTTTCTCCATGCTGTTTTGAGGAAAAATACTGTGCAAACACTTTCCCCCAAACTTCCCCAACCATGATAATATATTTAATATTTATAATAATTATAGGGTAAAAATATATACAATATATATATATACATATGTCATTTTATAAAGAATAAAATTTTGTATAACACGAATAAATAAAAATTTAAATATATATTTTTGGTATAATATAAATTTATAATCAAATTATACAATATAAATTTTATCAATTAAATTTAATATATATCTATATTATTTTATTCATTATCCATCACATCAATACAAATCAAAATTCTCCAACAAAAGAAACCTCATAATTCAAAATCATTCCAAAATTCAAATAAAAATAAAATCCAAACTCAAATTTTCTCAAACAAACACACCCTAAATTAAGCATTCAAATACTTTGAAAGATAAAAAGAATATTTGATACTTGTTCAATTTAATTTTGATTTTTAATATTTTTTCAGTAAATCGAGCTAAACATAATACAATATGTTTATATTATTCTATTTTAAAAGTCATATTAATAATTATATTATATTTAGTTCAATTTCAATAAAGTTGATAATTTCAAATATTTTGGATTCGATTCAAATATGAAATGATGCTCCAATGAGTAAAAAAACAAAAGCCTTGGACAATAACAACATTAACACATAACACCAACAATTCCAAATCATTACCAAAACCACAATCCAATCTAACCAACAACAAACAACAATCTTGAAAATCCAAAAACAAAAATAATGAATTAAAATTCAAACTTATTCTTAATTAATTACCACCTCCTTCTCTATCTGTGTTGATTTCTTCAAGAATGACCACAAGAGCTACAATGAAGGCATAGTCAACATTGGGATGAACAGTCACCATAAAGTGATCCTTCCCAAGAAGAACACTCGACGCCGAATGCTTCCTGTGCATCTGCAAATCAAGACACAATCAGATAAACTTCAATTCACCTGCTTAATAATTACAATCTGTTCTTCACCTTGGCCAGAATGATATCGGAATTTCCGGCGTATATGACGCAGGATCTCTCGAACCAGCTGCCTTCAATTCTGAAATCGCAGATTTCCTCTCGAGTGTTGGACGCCATGAAAACCTCCAATTTGGTCCTCATTTGCAGAATCGAAGATTTCCTCACGCTGAAGATCATATCCCTTTCGTCGTTGCTTTGCCCTCTGAACGCCTGCCATCGCCGGCGAGGCGACCAGAGCTGAAAATTAAAAATTACGAATCGAATCGCCATTACGTGACTTGACTGTATACTGTTGAAGATCCTAATTGATTTAATTTAAATTCGAGGTCGATTTGAGTACCTTTTGTTGGTAGGTTATGATAGGGTTTCCGGCGGCGTCGAGCAGGAGGCGCCGGTCGTGCAACGTCATCAGCTTCCCTTTGGTCGTGAACATTACGCCGCCGTTGGAATCGGAGATCGTGAAGCTCCCTTCCGACAGAGTCATCAATTTCCGAACTATGTGGAGATCCACGGCGTATCCGACGCAGAAATTAGGGCTAATCACCGCCACCGGAGCGGCGGCGGAGGCGTAGCTCGAGTTGCCGGCCATTTTCCGATTGCGTATTTCGTTTGTTGAGAGCGTGGGAAGGACGGAGGAGATATTTTTATTTATTTTTTTTTTTTTTCTGGAAAATTTTCTACGGAAAATTCTTTTATTTATAGATTATTGCGTCTCAAATGGAAATTAAAACCGTCAAAAAGATTTTTTATCAATAAATGGAAGGAGTCAACGTCTCGGCGTGTGAGCCTTGGGGACGCCCTGGAGTGTGACTCCAGATGACGCGTCACTATGAACGGTGAGCATCTACCGATTGAACGGTACAACAGATTCAGTCCAAGGCGGCGGTAGGACTTGGTGGTGAACGCGTGTGTAACCCAAATTTATTTTATTTTTTATTGTTATTTTATTTGAAATAATTCAATCCTGATCCGATTTGTGTACTGTCATATCAGGCTTTATGGTAACCGGTTTATTATCGTGTAATCCGTATACATAATTATTTTAAAATATTCAATTCAATTTAAATTATTTTTTTTCGAATTATCGTGTTATGTCAATTTTTGTCGGTTCTAGTGTAATGTGTATAATAAATCAACTTAAATTATTTAAAATTAAATTTAATTTAAATTAATATGCAAATTAGTTATCAAATTAGAATTATTTTACATATATAATAAATATATTAATTAATAGTAATATATCATAATGGGTTGTGATATCAAGTTGAGAGTTTCAATCCTTCTCCGACCATTTTATTAGCGTAGTATAGTTTATTAGGTTGGGCTGCATTGAGTTTTCCATTGATCATTCATTTTTTATTTTTATTTTTTAATATCAAATTAAATCATATTTAAATAATTATTTTAATTCATTATTACATCGTAGTCTCACAAATACAATTGAAAATACTCCGCGTCAATTAATTTTCCTTATCTTCTTTGGCCTCACAAAGTAGGACAACCAAAGTAACTATGAAGGCATAATCCACTTTGGAAGAAACGGTCAGATGGAACGTCTCCTTCCCAAGGATGCTGGTTCCTCTCGACTTCTTCTCCATCTGCAAATCACATATCATTAGTAGTTTCATTACAGGAATTAGTCAACAATAACAATTAACAAGAAGATTTAATAAGAGCAAAGAGATCGAAGTAGTAGAGTAGTACTCGAGCAATGGGTTTGAAGTCTCTATCGTACACAACAAAAGACCTCTCCTTCCAGCACCCACCAACCTTAAAATCCCAAAAATAATCCTGTTTCTTGTTGCCAGCTAAGTACACCTCAACTTCGATCTTTGAGTGGATAGGGGAGCAGTTCTTGGCAGTGAAGAGTAGGTTCGAGCTACTTCCTTGAAAGACTTGCCATTTTTTGAGACCACTAAACAGCTAAAAGCAATCGAAACGATAGCAATTAAAGTATTGGTTCCACAGATGCAAGAAAGCAGACAAGAGAAATGTAATTACAAAAACAAAAAGAACTAGTCCGTACACCTTTTTCTTGCAGGTGGCAATGGGATTCGTCTCAGTATCCGTGATGACGTGGCGGCCATGAATGCTCCACAGCGTCTCCTTAACGCCCAACAAGTGGTGGGCCTTTTCATCGGTGATCAAATACTTGCCGCTGTCAGTTACGGCTATGGGGTTTCTAACAACAGTCAGATGGACAGGATATTGATGGCAGAATCGAGGGCTTATTACAGCAGACATATCGCCCTTCATTTCGTGCATTGGGTTCATTGTTCTTGCAAGCATCGTTAGCTGTTTGGATTAATTTATAGGAAGGATATTACAATCAAGAAATGGCGGCAGGCCACCATGGAAGGTTAAAGAAGACTTGTCTATTTCTGGGAAATCAGCATTTGCACTTGTACAAAACTGATTAGAGTTTCTGGTCTTTGGAAAATCTTTCTATGATTATAGATTGGCAAATTCTGTCCTGGGCAGACAATTTAACGTAAGACGAAAGGTATTGATTCATAGTTTTCAGCCTTTATTACAATAATTTTATTGCCCACCGCTAAAGAGAGAATACGAATTGCAGATCCGAGAAGATTTTTGCGTGGCCTTTTGAGATTGGGCTTGAGGATCCAAGACTGCAATTTTCATTTTTTAGTGCTTTGTTGGATTGCTAAAGATTTGTTGGGTTGTGATTTGTTTGGTCGATTTTTTTGAGACCTAATTAACTCTTTTGCTGCCTATGAAATCGAATCATCCATCGTATAATTTTCTTTTTAAAGTTTTGATTTCAAAAGCCACACTCAGATTAGTGAAACCAGATGGGCAAACTCTTGATCACATTGAAAACGTTGAAATACCTGAAAGTATATTAATCGGTTTGAATATGTTGTATTCTTGAATGCCATTAGGTTTTTGGTGAGAAAGGGAAAGGATTTGGACGGTCTGAAATTGCTAAAACAAATGAAGATGAATGACACAAAGCTGGATGTAATGTGCTACACTTTGGTACTTGATGAGCTGATTCACAATAGGGATTTTTATTTTTTACTTTTAGAGCACACAAAGTGTTCGATGAATTGCTTCTTTCAGGGTGAATGGTTTGTCTTCAAAAGCAGTTGAACTGCTGGAGGTGGGAAACGATGCTGCACCAGGGGCAAGAACATGGCAAGCACAGATTCAAGGTCCTAGATGTTGAGAAGATTGATGAATTGGCCAAAATTCAAGGTCCTAATCTCTATGCCACTTGTAGTTTAATAATTTGAACTAAAAGGTAATTTGCTCGAGATTATCTACAGCGTATGATCAAAGCACTCTAAGATTCATGCCACTTATTTACTGTGTAAAACAGTTGCTGCTTAAAGAACAGATTAGTTAATTATGATTTCAAATTATGTAAGAAGAAAGTGGAGCATATTGTAGTTTGATCTCACCTGTCTTGTTGGGCCATTTAGGGTCTCTTCAAACTGTTGGTTTCTGACTTCATGAATAAGAGACAAGCTTCTTACAAGACTGCTACAATGTTTTTTCTGTATCTGGCATCGATTGGCTTCTAGTCCAAAAATGCATCATAAATCTCCACGAAGCATAGCATGATTGAACCTGTAGATTCCCAGAATTTCAGCTTATTATTTTCAAAAGGAAGTATGCAATCACTCAATAGAGTTATCACCAGGCAAGATTTGACAGAAATTATTGTAGGTGTCATATCTATATTAATGGATAGAACCAATTACTTGAATAACTCCAACACTTATTTGGACTGTAGAAGAATTCTGATGTTTAGTTCAAAGGCTCTCATCCATTTGTGCGAGGAAGAGAAATATCGAATTTGACCTTTTGATTACCCTGCCTCTACACCTGTTCACTGAAGGATTTGGAACACCATTATTGGAATTGGATAGCATAAGATATGATCGATAGAAGTCAGTTTCTTAACATAAAGCAGCACGTCTTCGCTGCAAATATTGAATTTTACCAAGTGACAACTCAAAAATATAGGCTGAATATGCTATGATGAACATAGTGCTATAAAACAGTAATGAGTCAATGTTCCTGTCAAGATCACTTGCCCTTAGCCATAGGTCTGCTTAACAAGATAGTGCATCTAACGTGTCAGATGATAGAACTTAAGAGGTGACAACCATAAATTTATGCGACCCAATAATAAATTTTTGCTTGCTTGTTTGGTTTGAGACTGAAGAGTAAATTGAATTAGCAGCATACATGCAATGCTAATTAGTTGCCATAACATTGCTTATAATTGAAGCAAAAGGGATTGATTGATTAAATTCTTTCTCACCAGCTTAGGAGATTGTCAGATACATTACCATTCTGAAATCATGATATTAAGTGCTATACCAATTTTCAACTACAGATGTAATTAGGAAAGTACTTTGTGAATCTGCATCTGCCGGCTTATTATTGAACACATGACAGTTCCTTTTTGTTATTTTGAAAAGTTAACATATGATACTTTATATGGGATTTGATTATTTGTGTTGATTCCTTTGAATGCCGGAATAACAGACATACCTGTCGAAAGTTTTTCTGTCATAACATTTTCCTAGTTTCATATTATAAAGTGAATGTTATGTCTAACATAAATGTAAGAATATATTGATGCTTTTCATTACACACTCCTTTACTTCATTCATTAGCTAAATTTTTATGGATCAAAATCGTTTAAGACAGGAGACGGACAAGTCTATCAGTACGGCATAAAATCTTGAATGATCATTTGAAAGACAGATAGTTATTTATATCTACTTTTTGTCATTGTAAGATTAAGGAGAAAATAGAACACCCTTCAATTATGTAACATCTCTATCAAGCATTTATCAATGTAAAAAACAGAGAAGATACTTTGTTCACATATGAAAATTGATTAGATTATACCAAAAGTTCCCTTTTTTTGACTTAAATAACATACGGCATCATATAATGAATATACTAACCATTACACCACTAAAATCCATATAAATAATCACAGTTCAGATGGCATAATTTCTTTCCTATAGTTCTCTTATTCAGCATTAGGTGGGAAATGATAATACAAACCACTTCCTGAAACCTATAATTTCAGTGGCGGACCCATATTTGAATCTCCTCCCAGATTGAGTACTAATCCTTATTATATCATAATTGCAATATATTTTATGGAATTATAGCCACATGTATGATTTCTATACATATGAGACATGACCCATGCCTTTGAATTCAACGAATATTAACAAGGTTGAAGAATCTGCACCTTTGAATTCAATACATGATGCTTGATTTTACAAGAATATGCAAATCACTAACAGTCAAAAGTCGCGATTCATGAAAACTTTGCTCTAAAATCATCGAAATCAAGTCAACACTATCAAAGGCATACCACACTAGATTCGTCTTTATCTTCATTACCAAAAATTTCATTATCAGGAGACAAACTTCATAATAATGATAATGAGTTTCAATCATTATGCTTTAGAATTTTACTATATGGCATCAAAAAGATATTATCCAAAAAGGAGATATATGAAGCGAACCTGAGACATTGTTATGGATATTCACCTGGAGATGCAGCTTTGAAAATAGCATCTGCTGCAATGTTTTGATGGCAGAAGATGATCTTTTGCTTCATAAATAAACTGTACAAAAAGATTGAGTGGTCATGATGGGGAAGAAGGGCACATGAAGTACTAACTCATTGCATTTGGCATGCATGAGTTAGTAATGCACGTGCCCTGCTTCTCCATCTTGCTCGGCACTCACCTTCTCAACCTGCAAAGCTTCTGAAAGTCGATCATCTTACTTTGGCAGGTAAGGGAATGGGTTGGTGAACTTAGAGAACTGCTAGGCAATATAAGCAGTAGGCTTCCCTTTTGTTCTCAACTATTTATAACATGTGTGGCACAAGGAAATCTAATTTTCAAGTGCTTGAGTGAGTATATGGTAGAAATTCTGGAACAGCCTTTAAGTATTTAGAAGAACCCTTTCTAGGGATTGCAGAAAAAAATAAATGGTACCGCAAAGGCAGATCCCTTCACTGGTGTTAGGATGAAATGTGAAAATATTAGTTGAAGTGGGACCCCTATTTTGCAGCCTAAGAAAGTTTTCCATAAGAAAAGAGGACCACTGGAAATCACTGTAGAATTGATGTTACAGCATTATAGCCTTCATCCTAAAAATGACATTTCCAACATATGCACCAACACTTGAACACACCATGGAGTGTTTTTCTGGTGATGAGTCTTGATCAAAATTTAATTATAGGGTTTAAAGCTATTTGGTTTTTGCATGACCACGGTAAGATAGTCTCGCAACACATCAAGAAGCTTAAACATTAGTCTTCGTAATTTGATTAAACAGAAACTGGGGACATTGTGATTTAAAGCCAGGAAAGAGAGATTCATTTGCTCTTAAAAATCTTCAAAATATAATGATTAATTATGTGAGGTAGGAAACAATGAAAATAATCGACCTTATATTAAGATTCTTTTCTACCTTTCCTCTTTATTAAGCCTTGAGAAAGTAGAGGTACTGAAGAATTTTCTCTTTATTACAAATGTGTCATTTTTTTCTGTTTATATTATATAATTTTCACGTTTGGTAAACATACATCAAGGTTTCTGGAGGTGAATATCGTATTATGCTGGTAAAAGAATAATCTTGAGTTGGTGGATTTTGGAATGCAAACAAGCCTGAAATCTGTTTGTTTTATGTTGCCGGTCTGAATTGTGCATATTGAGGGAAGTTAAGCAGCTGCAAAGTACTGCTGGCACGATGTCGCTTTTGTGCTGTGACATACTCTGTTGAAGCTTCATAGTCCCCACTTCTAATTCTTGCATCGTATAACATGTGCAGACAACAATAATCTGCTGATACTAAAGATTGAGATGAAACAGAATAAGTATAATGGATCTGAACATTAGTTTCTTTCTTTTTTGTTATTTATTTATTTATTCACAAAAGCACTCCAATCCTGAGTGGTTTGTGTCATTTTTACTCTCCATCATCTTAATTCCAGACATACCTACCACTGGTTGGTTTATTTAAGGGATAGTGGGAATGAACTGGTGGAGGGGATGTTGATTGGCTTGGTGGAGTGCTTAGAAGCACACGGGACCATTAGAAATAAAGTAAAAATGCACGTACCTCTCTTAGATCACAATTGAGAAGACACTACTATTGTTTTACATAATGTGCTCCATCGTAGACTTGTCTATTGTTGTTATTTTTGCATCTTATAGAAATGATGGATAAGCCATTTGTTGCCACAGAACATGCCTCTATAACCCCAACTTGAACACAGCTCTATCTTACTTGGTGAGGCTTCATCTAATTAAATTTCTTTAGATTAAAATATGCAGCGCCGACGCTCTACAATAGAATAGTATTATCCTAATTCCTCTAGAGAGTAAACATGGAAGAGCCAATAAGTACCTTTTCCTTAAAATTACTCACCATTCCAATACAAGAGTTAACATATTTCATAATCCATTATGAAGTAATTAAAGTAACAATGTATCCTCTTTAGTTGACTCTTCTCTCTAACACTTACACACTCGACTCTATTTCTTAGGATTATACAATGATGGCTGTCTTAATAAGTTTCACCTAGATGCTGCTTTGTTACAACTCAATTTCAATTTAGAATATCAGTAGGTTCTTTCTTGGACAGAAAAGTTACCTGCATTTTACAAATCAATCTCATTTTAGATCCTTTTTTTTTTGGTTTTTTTTTTCTTTCTTTGTCCCTCTTATCGACCTAACAATGGAATTACTATGGTGTTACACTGAAGATGCTACAAAATTAACAATTAAGACACTAGCAATAATCTATCATGTGGTACAAAATTCTGGAACCAAACATGAAGGTGTTGTGAGAAATTAATGTATGGTAGAAAGGATCATATTTTGGTGGGGAAAAGTATGAAAACTACGTATCTTAGCACTGGGGATTTTATAGCTCTTGAAACTTTGTCAAATAAACATATGCTTCCAAAAGACATCACATTAACACATGCTTCCAAAAAACCTCAAGAAGTACACTGTTCAATTTTCTTTTGGAATTATTGCCAACTGTTCTCATTTCTTTGTTGATTTGATTTAGTCAGAGATTCTTCTCATGTCTTAATAGTCTTTTGAGTTTCAAAGAATTTCTCTTACACTATCTTTTTACCTTTTAGTAACATTGTCACTTGATTTTTGTATTCTATTATTTCTTCTCCATCAAGGGGTAAATTATCTGTAGAAGATCTGATATGAAATCCCAATTTGTATGTACTCCTAATTTTAATTAGATGTAATTGAATCTGTATGGTATGTGTAATTGTAATTACCTTCTGTTTCTAAAGTTTTTTCTATGGAAAGTATCAACAGCATAGATAGTGATGGCCTGATTGGCAATATATATGAGTAGACATCCATATTCTCCACAAAAAGGATTGCCAAAATCTTGATCAGCTTATAAGAAACAATTTGAAATATAATAATAATTATGCAATGGAAAATGGTCCAGGCTGGAGAGGAAAAAGTTTTAAGTTAAAAAAATTGGTGGTGGATATATACAGATAACATACATACTTACACATACACACACCATTCTATGCTTGTACTGAGATTTTCTGCTACTGGATTAATAAAAAAGTGCCCTTCACATTTGTACCTAATTTGCACCATTAACCAATTCAAGTAGGTGTATTATTTCACTTGCATTTACCACTCAATTGTACAGTACTGATGTTTTTTCTGTGTATGTCTGTAAAAATGCATAGCTAAAGAATTACAGATTGAAAGTAATTGTTGTGGATCCCGGGATTCGAGCTCCAGGCTTAATCCAGTGCAATCACCAGGCCATGAATGGTGTATATTTTCTCAGGAGCTGGCCTCCCTGGATCCCCCAAGAATCTAACAAATTGTGGAATGAGACAGGTGTGTATCTCTTGATTGTCTACTTTATTACATAAATATAGAAACACATATATATTCTTTTGACATGGATTTCCACTGCCTAGAAGTGAGTAAACAATGGCAACAATCATTTATGTAAATGCATAATGTGTGTATTTATACATGTCTTGGAAACCGTTCAATTAGATATATATTTCCAGCGAAAATGGCTGATTCAGAGATGTCAATTTCCAAACTATACTTGACATCATAAGATCTAAGAAAAATGATTAATATTGTTGTGCAATTAGTGGTTAATGGGTTGTTAAGACCATTCCCATGGATTAAGGAAAAAAGCATATGAGACAGGCACAAAAACCAGACATGTCATATAATTAATTGGTATGATAGGGAATGTATTTCCAAACCACCTAAAATTAAATATTATTAAATTAGTAGTAGTGGGATGGATTTTTAAGTGATGGGATGTAAGTAAAAACATGGCCCTACTTCTCCTGGATATAAAAAAGTTGAACTTTAATTAGATAATTAAATTAGTATAACCTTTCTTGTTGATTCCCACTTCACTGTCCTGTTAATGTGACTTGAGTCATGTAGCATTTGAATTTTACATAACCCAAAAAGATTTATTTCTTTTTATATTATGGCCAATTGGGATGATTAATTAATTAAACCACAAGACAGTACTAGAAGCTTAATTATTTATTAGAACAGAAACCCTAAAAACCCTATTTCTGAAATCAAACTAATTCATAATCTTGATGTTAATTACTACAACAAACTATTATTTCTGACTTTTGTTTGCTGCAATCTGATTATTTTTTTTGTCTTACAGTACTTGGATTAGTTCCAAGTGGGATTAATTGATCGATTTTTAAAGTTTATGATCTTCTGAGAGCATTCTAGGGTTTATAGTGGGGAACATTTTCACTGGTTATATGCCCATTTTTGCTGATATATGCAATCATCATGATGACACACACACACCAACATTACTGCTCTTTTTCCACTGTCTTGTAAATAAATACTTTAAGATTAGTGCACGATAATTAACTCATCTTTGAATTCTAAGCATAAGACAAATTTAAAAAGCTTTATATAAATTTTTTTGATCAAGAAAGTGACAGCCATTAAACCCTAATTTGAGTCTAATCATATATGATCAATTCAATCCTTACACAGGTATATCTCATCTATGCGCTGCATTCTTTTCATCAAATACATTATATTTAGGATTCATTATAACAACATTCATTTCAATTAATTCTATGTAGTATATGATCATATATATTTCATTATTTTTGCTTGTGTTACTGAAAAAAAAAAAAAAAAAAAAAAAACACCTTTTCCATTTTGTTTATTTCATTCATGATCATTAATTAAATTTAGTGCACAGCTATGCATGCTAATCTTGGAGGAAGCAAGAAAGTGATCCATCACTTTCCTCACTCCAATTATTATTACATTTGGTATATTATTACAGACTACCAAGAAATCATGGAGATTGGGACTGATGTTTATGGTGCTGAGAAATTAATCTTACAGGACCCTACAAGCCACTTTGAGGAAAAAGGTAAAAGCAATTCATTTATGATGGAGGTAATTAAATATTTTTCCCCAAAATGTTTGAAAGAACAAAAGAATAGAAAACCCACAGATTTTAATGCAAATTAAAATCATGCCCCCCTTACTTACATGTATATATTAATTATGGGTGGTGGGAATTAGTTATTAGTGTGACATAAATTTCTGTTTTTTCTTGGTGCAGTGTTTCTTATTTTTCAAATTTGATTAATTTGTAGAACTTGTGAAAGAAACATGATAGAATTTTAGACCAAACAGCACAGCCCCACTTAAGATATTCCAGCTTTTCCTATATTATTATAAATTGACATATTACCTAGAGATATGATTCTAAAATTTCAGACACACGCACACACATGTATAAAATTTAATTATTATATCTATAATGTTGTATTGGGCTTATGTTGTTAATATCAAAACTTTATATTGCTAAATTGACTTGGGCCAATAACATGTATTTTTTATTATTATTGTTATTTTGTTTAATTTTGGGCCAATGATTTTGTGACAATGTAATAATTGGGCTGTCCTGATGGGCGGACCCATTGCATCTAATAATAGTTGAAGAGTTCTGTTTCTATTTTAAAAAATTTAAAAATAAAAACCATAATAATAATAATAATAGGGGCAATTGGATTTAAATACTTCGGACATTAAAAATATTTAATTTCAATCCCTTATTATTTTGTACTTATACTGCACTCCATACTTTTCGTTAAAAATAACTTCTTTATTAATATTCATAAAGTTTTGTCGTGACTATTGGCCGGTCTTTGGCTATTATAATATTTATTAAATTATTATTATGGTAAAGATTCCACGAATTGCCTGAATTAATAAACCATAGCGCTGATACCTAATTTGACGTCTACTATTGTACACATTTTTTTTTATATATTTTAAATAATAATTAGATGTAATGTTGTATAACAAATGGTAGAATAAAAAATTTTATTTTATTTTTTTAAAAAGATACGGAGAGAAAAGTTGAATGCCCAGAATTTTAATACTAATGAATCATATATTATTGTTGTGTTCTATAATATAGAACAGTAATGAACACAATAGAAGACAAAGATGTCAATGATTTATAAATCAACCTAAATGGTATTTTAATGTTGTTTACCAACAAGAGAAAGAAGACAAAAAATAATAACAATAATAATTATAATAACTCTGCCGTCCAAATATTTATATGTAAAATTCCAAATAAAAAATTTTAAAAGAAAATTTAGGACACTAGTTTTCATTTACCTACAAAAAAACGACACACGGGAGATTTTATTTATTTTATGTCGAAATTATTCTAATTATTATTTAATCTCTTCTTCCTTTATTTAAATTTATTTTTATTTTTTTATTGATTGTCATTCAAATTTATTTTCGTTTTAATTTTTTAATAAAAAATATCATTTTTTTATAAATATTTTTATTTTTATATAATTTTTTTAAATTTGTATTTGATCAAATGAATATTGACGTAGGGAGGAGTATTTTTTATTTCTTTATTTTAAAAAAAAAAGAACATGTATAGACAGCCAGAAAAATCAAGGTGGCGCGTGGGCGCGCGTGGTGTGTATTTATTTCGTTGGCGCGATCGTTAGAAACTGTACCATTGCTGGACACACAGCCTGACGCTTACTCTTAGCTCCGCTCCGATGGCTCTTTCTTCCACCGCACTGAATTCCGGCGTCCTTCCCGATGAGATTCGCTCGTCTCTGCCTCGGAAAACTCCCTTCACAATTCGTCGTTGCGCTTCATATAAATTTCCATTACACGTCTTTCCAAAATCGGTTTTGAAGTGCCGGCGTGTGGTGGAAGCCTCTATTGCGGCGCCGGAATCGAAGGCGGAGAGAAATTCTTCCATTGACGAAGAAGGTAGAGTGTTGCGAGTCGGAGTTATCTGCGGCGGTCCTTCGGCCGAGCGCGGGATCTCGCTTAATTCCGCTCGCTCTGTTCTGGATCACATTCAGGTCTGTAGTTTCATTGGATAAAGGAGAGTTATGGAACTTCCGATGAATTTAGTTAACTAAGTTTCATTTTTTCCCACTGATTCGAACTTGAAATTAAGCAAAAAAAAATTTACAGGGGAATGATTTGCATGTGAGTTGCTATTACGTTGACTGCAATCTCAAAGCGTACGCCATATCCTCTGCTCAGGTTCGAGTTTTGTTCAATGTTTTTTTTTTTTTTTCCCTAGAAATTATCCGAAGTTCATGTTAAGAGTGATTGAAAATTTTACATTTTAGGTGTACTCAAACACACCTGCTGATTTTGACTTCAAACTTGAAAGGTAAGCTTTTTCAGTGCTATTTGAAGTTTACAATAGGTTTTCTTTAATTCAAACAAATAAGATTATTGCAGTCTTGCCCAAGGTTTCAAATCATTGAATGAGTTTGCTGAACACCTTGCCTCCTTTGTGGACATAGTGTTTCCTGTCATACATGGTCGTTTTGGTGAAGATGGTGGCATCCAAGTGAGATTGTATTTTCATATATATATATATATAATATGTTTGTTATAGTTGCATTCTCCATAAAACCGCCTACCAACTTATATATACTTCTCTAATCTTTTTGTGTTATGCACTCTAGGAATTGTTGGAGAAATTTAACATTCCATTTGTTGGGACCCAATCCAATGAATGTCGCAAAGCATTTGACAAGGTAACTTCCGTGCTCCTTCGGTCAGTATTTATTTTGATGGTTTGAGGTTAAATTCTTGTTGGGTGAGAATACCTAATGAAATATAAAAGGATTCATAATATACACCTTTTAAAGTGTTTTTTCTACTTGTGCATATTCTTGTCATTCATCATAAATCCTTAGCAGCACAAGCTAATTCAGCTGTTAGAGAGTTGCATTCCACCTAATTTGGTCAATGATCACATCTAAATTTACACCAAATGAAGTGTTGCATGTGGAATGGTATATAAGTAATTGAATTACAGAATCCTCTAATGGATTGAATGGTGGATCCCTATTAAGGAATCTCATCTCTGAAAGGCAACAGAAACTGGTCATATTGTCATATCCTGTTGTGTTTGGGTGTGTTTGGAAATTTAATGCGCTCTTTTACTTGACTTGTTTGCAGTATGATGCCTCTTTGGAGCTTGATAAACACGGCTTCGTTACTGTACCAAGTTTTCTTGTTCAGGTGACTTTCAACTTTATGATTCATGTTAACCGGGGGATCTACCAGGAATCCTTCATCTTCTTCACAACAGCCACTGATGCTAATCTAGCAGAAAGTTTGTGCTTGAAAGTTCTCTTATCTATCATTTCAAAAGAGCATTTATCCTTCTTTGGTAGTTTGCGGATTCTATGATCCTTTTTCTCCAGGTGCTAGTGATATATAGCAATTTTTATATTGTCATATGCTATGATTCAGTTAATGAGGAAAATGTTTGTTCGTGCATGTCTCGATTTTCTTGGCTCAATAAGAGCTTTAAAAGTTTCAAATAATTTATCTCGAGAAGGTGGCTCTTTTATATCCTATATTCAAGCCTCCTGGAAATTCATATTACTATCCATGATGTTTATACAAACCCACATTTCTTATCCATTGAGTACTTTCTAATAGGTTTGATATTTGAAACTGAAGCACTTGGAGAACTGATTTCAGGGAAGTGAATTGGAAGAAACTGAGCTCTTAACATGGTTCACCAAAAATCATCTGGATGTTAAACATGGAAAAGTTGTGGTAAGACTGTTTCTTGTGTTTTTCAGGTATGAGACATTGACAAACACAAGTAGATGAGTTTCCTTTACTGCCCCTCTGTTATTGGGTAATTGCAGGTAAAGCCCACGAGGGCAGGATCAAGTATTGGTGTCACTGTTGCTTATGGTGTTTCTGATTCTCTCATTAAAGCTAATGCAATTATCTCAGAGGTAAGTCTTCATGGTACTCTTAAAAGTTTTGTATTATCAAATATATAATTCTACCAACACTGCTTCCATTTGTGATATGATGATTTGGGTAAAGGCCTTTAGTGTTGAACCTTTGAATATTGCCAGACTCAGTAAAATCTGACTGCGACACGAGCAACAGTGATAATAATATTTTGCATGATGACATGAATGAAATGCAACTGGCTGCTTTGAAACCATGTATAGTTAATAGTGCCATATTTAGTTATGATGGATGGTGACTGTCTGAAAAGGTAAGTGATAAAATTTGAAACTAAAATTGAACAAATTCACTACTTGGGGACCTGCCCATGTACTATTCTCTGATCAATCCAAATTTTCATCATTTATCAGGGAATTGATGATAAAGTCCTCATAGAAATTTTTTTGGAAGGCGGTAGAGAATTCACAACCATTGTCCTTGATGTGGGTTCATCTTTTGAGTCCCATCCTGTTGCCTTACTTCCAACAGAGGTATGGGGTATAATCTCCTCTGTGGTAGATACTGCATGTAACATTACTGCACTATCAATTGTCTTTTAAAACTATATCATAAATTACTGTAGCATTTTCTTTTAATGTATTTTAAGAGTAACAGATGATTACCTTAAATATGTTTGTTTGGTTTACTATGGTTTAAGCTTGTATATATACATAATAATAGTGTAATATAGTCTTAATATGTTATAGCCCACGAGAGTAGTGATTTGATAATATTGTACGAATGTACATAAATGTGGCTTCTGTCTGCGTCTCTTTGTGATGATTTGATTCAGGTAACATTTAGGTTTTGAATATTTGCTTTTAAAACTTCAATTTTCTGTGTATATATTATGATGGGAAAAAGGATTGCAATGGGGGAACAATGCCTTCATTAACTTTTTATTTCAGATATTCTTATAAGACCAGTCACTCCAGACTGGGAGAAGTATGAACTATGATAATTGCCTGATTAGATTCTATATCTAGACAAAGTATTTATGACTTCTGAGGTGTTTCAAGTTTCCAATTTAAGGATGTATGGCTGAGTATCTTATTATACAAGTCCAGGGTAATAAATTTATCTCTACTTGGCTAGAGGAAGTCAAGTATCTCACATTACCTTGCTGTTAGTACAAACATAGATTTAATGACTAATAGTTTAGGATTTAGTTTAAGCACCAACATAGTCCAGGTTTTCTCCAGTCACTGTGTTATTTCTATATCAAATTAAGATACTCTTAACTTCAACATGTCACACATTGAATAAATTAGCTTCAAGAGTGATTATTTTGTTATCTCTTGCCCACAAATCCAATATTTCTTTAAGTGTTAAATCTACTTAAAGTTTATTGCTAAGGTAATCTGGCATAATTGGTCTCTTTTAATTCACTTATCTTAAGCTTGGCTTGTCCATTGCCAGGTGGAACTTCAATCTCATGGCAGTGTTGATTCCAGCGAAAAGGACATCATTTTCAATTATAGGAGGAAATATCTACCAACACAACAGGTATTAAGAGTTTTTCGAAATTCCTAATGGACTGTTATTTTGCTACGTTACCATGAAAATTTCTTCCAAATTTATGGTATCAGTATCACTCTCCCATTGAAATGAAGGCATTTAACCTTGTAACTTTGCAGGTTGCTTACCATACACCACCTCGATTTCCTGAAGATATAATTGGAAATATTCGTGAAGGAGCTTCCTTACTATTTCAAAAACTCAGCCTATGTGATTTTGCTAGAATTGATGGTTGGTTTTTGCCACCTACTCATACTGATTGCCTGACTGGCAATAAGTTCGGACATTCTGAATCAGGCACAGTGGTGTTTACTGACATTAACTTGGTGAGATATCTATCTCATATTTATTATGTTTTGTTTTTTGGCACAGTCTCTATGTTTAACATAATACTTAAATCCTTTTTCCTATGCAGATCAGTGGGATGGAGCAAACAAGTTTTTTATTTCAGCAAGCTTCAAAGGTTCTCTCAATTTGGTTCATAATTTGATCATCTTGCTTTTTGGTCAATCAACAACTAAAAGTGAATTCAGTATACAAGACCAAGTGTTTTGCATAAAAGTATATTTTGATTTGGTCTATGAGACTCCTTAAGTGTTTTATCATCTACAGGTTGGATTTTCACACTCTAACATTCTCCGCACTGTAGTTCAACATGCTAGCCTGAGGTTTCCAGAGATTAGCCAACGTACTATGGCATCAAGTGCCTCTATAAGAAACAAATCTTCACAAACTAAAATTGGTTTTCCGCACCACAAAGATCTGAAGAAAGTTTTTGTTGTTTTTGGTGGAGACACTTCGGAGCGGCAAGTCTCTCTTATGAGTGGAACTAATGTTTGGTTGAATCTTCAAGCATCTGACGATGTAAGTCTTCAGGACTATTTTTAACCATCAGCAATTTTAGTTTTGCAAATCTTACTTTTATATGTTCAATGCTTCATTCCGGAAAATATCCTTATGCAAAAATATCTTTATAACCAAATGTCTAAGCATTGAATTATGCTTTCTTAATTTCTTGAGTGATAAATAAAAAAGCTTTGGTTCATTCTTTCTCTATGTTGAATTATCGCAGCTTGAAGTAATTCCATGCCTGCTTGCCCCTGCAAATGGTTGCTTATCCAATGAAGATGCTGACAAGACTGAGCTAGGAATCACCTCAAGGGTTGTTTGGTCCTTGCCGTGAGTTAATTTTTTGTTGTGCTTAAACTTCTTCCTGTTGAACTCAATTGTTTTAAACTCAAATCTAAAAGATTAATAAATTACATGCTGTCTTTTTGAGCATCATACAAAATCCAAACTGTTTAATAGTGCATTTAATATTTGATTATTCGATTCTCATTTTATGATAGGTTTTCTTGTATCAGTAAAATTGCTGGTTTTTGGTGCACAGATATTCAGTGGTGCTCAGACATACTACTGAAGAAGTTCTTGATGCATGCATTGAAGCAATTGAGCCAGTTCGGGCAGCACTGACATCTCGGTGGCGGAGAAAAGTGATGGATGACATCATAGAAGGCTTACAGAAACATGATTGGTTCAAAGGGTTTGATATATCTGATGATTTACCAAAGAAATATTCCCTTGAACAATGGGTCGAGCAAGCCAAGAATGTTGGGGCAACTGTTTTTATTGCAGGTGCAATAAAGTTCATATGTTTACCAATATCCCACACTTTCTTAATCATTTATCTTCTTCAGTTATATTTGTGTTATTTGGTCATCATTCCACATTTCACTTTTTTCCAAATTCTAGTTGATTCCCTCTTTATCGCGTGCATAACACGTATGCTTACCACGTGTTATGCATTACCACCTTCAATTGATACAATGAAAAAGTATGTATATATAGATCCAAAATTAGTAATATTCAGAGATTTTTCAGAATAGAACTTTGGGTAGGATTATGCATGTTTCTGGAATTTTGGGCACAGCCGATTTGCATAATAGTGAAGTTAGATATGTTTACGTTTGGGTTTATGTAGTCAAATAACAGATGGAGAAGTTTGATGGTTTTCCAGGAAAACACTAGTTTTTGCACAAAAAACATAGATTCATATATGAAGAATTAAATAATCGGAAATGATAATTTTTTGCATGGTTCTATGCAACTGTACTGATCAGTTGACACACTTGGCAGTTCATGGGGGCATAGGTGAAGATGGAACGCTACAGTCACTGTTGGAGGCTAAAGGAATTCCCCATACAGGTAAGTATTGCAGCCTTGAAGTTTGTTTGATAAGAAATGAAGCCTATCCTCATCAGCACTGACATTAAGCCACGTTCTGTAAATATCTATTAGATGATTTCTTTGAATAACTTCAGTAACAAATTGGATGATATTTTTTTCTCCAACTTAGGTCCTGGTGTAATTGCTTCTCAGACATGCATGGATAAAGTAGCTACATCCCTTGCTCTTCAACATGTATGGTAATAGTGTTGTGTGAATTACTTTTTTCAACATGATATATTCATTGTTTTCTTAATATATGCATTGTCAGTCATTTGATTTTTCTCAGATAATTTTGTCCATAAGTGGTTGCAGTCTTTGTATGTATATTAAAATTTTCTAGAATATAATTGAGTTGACTATGGTCATCCCAACCCAAACCTCCTTGGCATAATTTATATTGTCCAAAATATAATTGAGTTGACTGCTTTCACAATTTCCCAAATAACAGTGAAACTTCAGTATCTTTTCCTTCATGGTTCTTACATTTGTAATTACTATCGTTTTTCACTGCCATTTACATTTGTTTTGCATGTTTCTGAAGTTACGCGTGAGTATTGGTGATTCATATTATATATTGTTTTCACGTACCTAATTTATTCCGGTTACAGCTTACTGATCAGGGTGTCCTCACAATTGCTAAGGAAATAAGATCCAAGGGAGATTTACTGAAAAATTCTCCACATGACATTTGGTATGATTTGACATCAAAACTTAGGTGTGAAACTTTATGTGTCAAACCAGCCAGAGATGGTTGTTCAACTGGAGTAGCAAGATTGTGGTACGTAAACATGTTACTTGAGATTGTGTATTGGTTGATAGAATTCTGACATGCTGTACGATATTCATTTCGTGGCATAGTTGTGACGGCGACCTTGATGTGTACATCAAAGCATTGGAAAACTGTTTATCACAGATTCTTCCCAATAGTTTATCAAAGGTAGTGACAATAGATTTCAAAATATTTCATCCGAAGCCAAACCATGCTATCTATACTTGTTTTACCATCACAATGTGGCTATGTTGACATTTAACGGGAATGTTTTCAAATGCAGGATTCAGATAATAAAATTGAGCTGAATAAGTATCTAGCTTTGCATAATATGATATAGTTTCTTCTTGTCTGGATTTGTCCATTTGTATCTCATCCGGATACAAAATGTTTGAGCATATTTTATTGTAACCACTCAAACTGTAATTTTTTAAGATTTTCAGGTTGAATATGCTATAGTGCAGGTTGATCTGTGCTGTATTGTTACCTTCTCTGTTCTCAAAACTAGATTCCACAGATTTATAAATGTATCATTATCATTATACTTTCTTTTGACTTAGCTAAATTGTTATGCTGAATTTTCTACAGGGACATGGACTGATTGAAATGCCAGTTCCTTCTCCGGAGAACTTGATATTTGAGCCTTTTATTGAGACAGATGAAATCGTTGTTTCATCCCAATCAAATTCTGGGAATGCAGACAATCTTCTTTGGGAAGGAAACAGCCGATGGGTGGAAATTACAGTTGGTGTTCTAGGAAAACGTGGTTCAATGCGATCATTGACTCCCAGCATTACTGTGAAAGAATCCGGAGATATATTATCACTTGAGGAGAAATTTCAAGGTATCCATACTCCTAATCAGGTTTCATATTTGTCTTTTTTGGGCTTCTGTACATATGTATAAGTGAATTTGTTTATTTCTCCTGACGCAACAAATCAATAATATACGGGACAATTTACTTCATCGATAATGATTATCTGATGCAATTGGTTTTTCATCTTCTGTCAGGTGGAACTGGAATCAACTTGACTCCACCTCCTCCCTCTATTATAAGGTTTGCATTGGCCTTTTCCTTCAGTAGTTCTTAAGATATTGGATACTGCCTCTTCATGAAAAAATTCACAACTCCTTAGTTACTTTTTCAGTACTTGAATTGTTTCCTTCACCATCTATCATTTCACTTAATCTAAACTATTCACAAACATTATATATATATGATTTAAGGTGGCATTGTCCATGGAGAACCCACGGCAAAAAACAAATGGCTCACATCCGAATTAGTTTAGCTCGCTACCATGTTCTCTAGATTCATCTATCTTTCACATGGCATCTCAGCTGACATGACTTTTTTCTTTTAACTGCAGTACTGATGCACTAAATAACTGTAAGAAACGTATAGAACTCATAGCAAACACTCTGCAGTTGGAGGGATTTTCGCGTATTGATGCATTTGTCAATGTGGACAGTGGCGAGGTAAGTTGAAACCTAAGTTTACTCAAAGCAGATATACTAAATTGTACAATGCTTCAATTGTTTGCATCTCTGAGCCCTGTTGCAGGTGCTGATCATTGAGGTGAACACCGTTCCTGGGATGACACCTTCTACCGTCCTCATTCACCAGGTGATTATTACAACATTCTAATTCTCATTTTCATGCGGGTAAATCTACAGGCCAACATGCATAAGCTAGTCTTCATATGATTCAATTTGTAGATGAAATTGGTTCTATTTTTGGCCTGAATATCTAGTGATGCATAACATATGTTTTTCCATAGTTCTTTTGTCTTTAAATTTTGGTTAGAAGTACTCTTTCGTAGTTTTTTTTTTTCTAACCATTTGTAGCTGCTCCTCTTGTTTAGGCTCTTGCCGAAGATCCTCCCATGTATCCTCACCAATTCTTCCGCAAACTGCTTGATTTGGCATCCGAATGAGCCGCGTAAAGGTTTGCCTTTTGAACTTCTACTTTTGTGCCTTCGAAACAATTTACTGTCTTCCCTTACATTATCATATCATCTGCTGCTCTTCCTAACAAAATTTGACATGAAAAAGTGTGTATTGGGAAAGGAATTTCAATCCTCACTTGGCATGAAAATTTCCCAGTTTCTTCTTCTTACATGTTATGTTTCATTGTTAGGAAGTAGGAACTAAACTCATAGCAGCTTGCAATACACGAAAAGAAATTGTTAAGACAACCTGGATTTTAAGAATAGTCGATAAATAGGATGATGTTGATTGGAAAGATGAGCTCAAAAGATTGAATTGAATAATCACTGCAACTAGTCTGCCTCGTGATACTTACAGTGTGTGTATATATATATGCTGCATTTTTTAATTGCCTGGCTTGAGAACTTCGACCCTATTTTTTCCCAACTACTTGATTACATATAAAAATCAGTCAAATCTCACCATTATTTAAAACTAGCTACCAATTGACAGGTTCAAAAAAGGTAGAGAGGTTGACAGATACATATCAATATACGTTATGTTTTTTTTATTTGGTAAAATCCTTTGGATTAAATTAAAATTTGTCCAAAACAGCTCTTAGTCCAAAGACTAATCTGATAGAAAGAAAAAGGTAATATATTAATTATTTTTTTTAATTACATAAATAAATAATTTATTCATCTTTCATTTTATCATTTTTTAAGATAAATTTTAGAGAAAATATTATTTCTTATCGCATTCAATATCATAATTATCAATTTTGGTCTCATTAAAATTTTTTTATCCATTTTCGTCTCACTGAAATGAAAATTTATCAATTTAGTTCCAAAATGGTTGACTGGACTGAACACCGTGATGTTGGTTTGAACACGAGTCCCCAACACGGCCATATTTATTACCTTGTACTTCTGAACACGGCCGTGTTCCTGCCCGTGTTATCAACGTTGCCATGTTCACAGCCATATTTTACGACCATGTTTTACGACCATGTTTCAATATAAGTATTGTAGGTGATGTTTATTATTATTTTCACTTGTTAGTTACAATTATTATATATATAATATATATTTATAATTCATAAAAAATATTTTTTACAATTATTTTATAATATAAAAATAATTAATTTTTAATATTTTAAAAAAATAATTGCAAAAATAATAATAATATATTAATAAGTAAAAATTATAAATTATAAATTATAAATATATATATCAAATAATTTTAACTAATAATAAGTAAAAATAATAATAAACATGACCTACAATATGATTATATTGAAAACATGGTGGCCTAGAACGGTTGTGTTCAAAATACGGGTAGGAACACGGCCGTGTTCAGAAGTGCAGAGTAATCAACACGCCGTGTTGGCTGCTTGGGAAGCTCAGTCACCTTATGAATCATCGACACGGCCTTGTTCAATCACAGTTAATTATTTTAGGACTAAAATTGATAAATTTTTATTTGAGTGAGACCAAAAAAAATTTGAATTGAACCAAAAATGATTTTTTCTGTGATTTTTATAAAAATTATAAAAATTAATCAATTATTTATTTATAAATTTTATTAAAAAAATATTTAAAATATTTTACTGTTAAACATCAATTTTAGATGTTTTATGCAAATTTTAGTTAAAATTTCACACAATAAATAAAAAAAATAAAATATAAGAAAATAGTTATACAATTTATCTATATATACATATCATAATTTATGTATACAAGAATCTCTACAGTAATTGGCATGGATGATGTCATCATGGATCCCACCATTGGATCCTTCTCCAAAGGCAATATATAAAATATAAAGATCCCATTTTTATTACCATGAATTCAAGAAAGTAAGTTCCCTGAAATTGCCAACAATTTCGGCTCCATACACGTAGAAGTTTGAGAATTTTTTTAAAATAATAAAAAGTTAGTGATTAGATTTTGAACCTTCAACCCTATCTATGGTGCTCAATGTGGTTTGTGCAATGCACATAGGTCAGACGGGATGACTCGTTAAAGTCTAAATGTATCAAGAAGTGGGGGGATAAATGTTAATAAGAATTTTCCTAGTAACATTGAGCGACCAATTTGAGAATATAGGAAAAGAAACTTACAAAAAATTCTTTAAGTGTCCATTTAAAGAGAGCAACCTTTCTTCTATTTAACCTCAACAAGAAACATTGATACAACTTTCACTAGAGAATAATAATAAAACCACAAACAACTTCTTCCCCTATACGGAAATGAAATGGACCCAAAGATTTAAATATATATTAATTAGTTATACGTACAGACCTGATCTACAGCCCCACACAATTCTGCGCCGCCGTAACGCCGCCGTCCACCACCAGATTGTGGCCGCTTATATATTTGGATTCATCGCTGGCCAGGAACACCGCCGCCTCCGCTATGTCCTTCGCCCTCAGCGTCTCCCCTTTTAGGTTCCCCATCCTCCTCACCATTTCTTCCACCCTCTCCACCTCCTCCGCGCCGCCGTCCTCCTCCCCCTCCCCTCGCCACGCCGCCACCAGCATCCTCGTCGCCACTCCGAACGGCGATATGCAGTTCACTCGAATTCCGTACTTCCCCAATTCGCACGCCGCGTTCTTCGTTAACCCTACGACGGCGTGCTTCGACGCCGTGTAGGCGTGTGGCCCCAGCCCCCCCATCACCCCCGCCACGCTCGCAGTCGATATTATGCATCCGCCGCGGCGGATCATCGCGCCGGCGGCGTGCTTCATCCCCAGCGCCGCGCCTCGGACGTTGACTCTCATGACCTCGTCGAACTCGTCGGCGTCGAAATCGAGGATGCTCTTGTGCCTCGCCTGGTCGCCGAGGATTCCGGCGTTGCTAAAGTAGATGTCGAGGCCGCCGTGATCGGTAACCGCCGCGGTTATCAGATTCCTGATGTCAACCTCCGACGCGACGTCGCAGTGGACGTAGGTCACGTGAGGAGCGAGTGACTCCGCCACTGAAATCCCCAATTTGTCCTCCACATCAGCTATAATTACCTTCGCACCATGAGCTGCGAACAGCCTCACCGTCGCCTCCCCAATCCCCCTCGCGCCGCCGGTGACGATGGCCACCTTCCCCTCCAACCTGCTCACATTTCCGATTACCAAAACAAACATTCACCAGAATTAAACACTCAACAATGCTCGAGCTACAAAAAATCCAGAAATGAAAGAGAAGCATGTTACCTTTTGTAGAACGGAGAAGCTCCGTCCCTTCCATGGCCTCCGCCGAAGGAAATCTCAGGCATCAACTGCGCCGGCATTGCTTCTCAATCTCGATAAGATTCCCCGAAGCGAATTCACGGTGAGAAATTAGGGCACACACTGTCACAGACGCGTAAATATATAAGGAGTACGTACTCACACACACACAATTTTCTTCCTTTTTAGTTTAACCAATTAATTATATTGATTACCATTTCTAATCATTTCAGCTTCCAGCTTTATAGGAAATTATTATCCATTTTATATGCAAAGAATTCCTTCAAATTGCCACATAATTTTGGTATGTGATTAAAAAAGGTTGTTGGTATAGTTAGTTTTGAATAAATATATTTAATTAATAGTGTCATATAACAACAAAAATACTTGCAAGTAATAGTTTATATGTTCATGAGAAGGTATATATATTAACACGTAACAACGGGTTTGATAAATATGTATAATATTATAAATAAGTATATATATATATAGAAAGAAGAGCAGACCAGATACGTTATGCACACCACGTTACTCACGCCCAACCTTAATCTATCTCCATATACTAATTACTAATAACTCTGTCTACATATAAACATTTTATATATCATTTTTGTCATTTCAGGTGTCGATATATTTTATAAAACATATATAAATAAATTATACACAATCGATTGGAAAGTATAATCAAGTAGGAAATACGAAAATTTAGACTAATGTAAAAATAATAAAAAAATAAATACTTAATTTTAAATATTAGATTCGATGTGCGTGTTACATGTTCTTTTTAAATAAGAAATTGTATATGTTTTTTAGAAAGTTTATAAACAATATTATAAAGATCATTTTTAAAATATGTAAAGAATGAAAGTAAATTTATTGCCAATCAAACTAATAAAAATTTAGGATTTTTTTTTTTATTTTTGGTATTTTATTAATCTTAAAGCAAATAAAATCCAATTGTTGATCTTACCGAGTCAAAGCTTGAAAGTCAACGTGCATAGCTGTTGATTTGAATTTTGTAAAATTAAAAATTAGCCAATAAGAATATTTAGAAAGATTTGGAAAGATGCACTCACACTATGTCATAACTTTTATTTTATTTAAATAATATTAGTATTTGATTTCAGATCCTTATTTTAGGGGAAGTCAGAGGCTGTAGGATACTCGTGTTTTTTTTAAATAATAAAATTTGCCTCCTTTGTTTAAACTATCTGATTTTTGTTGCACCATGAATATATATTTTGGAATCATATAATATTTTTTTTAATGGTTTGAAATTTTGCAATAATTGAAAAATAAAAAAAATATTTGATATGATATTTAATTAATACACTGTTTCCGTTTCAAAATAAAAGAGTTGTGAATAGAAACAAAGAGAAGAGAGAGAAAAGAGAATCGGTAGTCAAAGAAATTTTCTATATTTTTTATTTTAAAAAAATAAATATTGTCAAAATCGAAAAAACGGTGTTGTCTAAACAAATATATATGTATTTATTTTGCTATTTAATTTATTTATTCCATTTTTTTTTTTTTTTTTAGTAATTATACTTTTCATTTAAACAAAAAAAATACTATTATATTTTATACAATATTACAAAATATCATTAAAAAACAATTGAGTGTAAGATTAAAATATACTTCCTCCATCCCAAAAGAGACGTGTTATTAGATGTTGGCAACGGAATTAAGAAATAATAGTAGTTAATTGAAAGTGAGTATAAAGTAAAATGTAAAAGACCAAAATACTTTTACTTTTTTAAGGATTTTTAAAAGTAGATTAGAGTAATAATTAGAAGTAGTTTGAAAAAATATTGAATAATTTTGTTATAAAGTAGATACCACAATTATTAAATAAAGAAACGAGATAATTGTTTTGAAACGGATGAAAATAAAAAAACAAGACAATTCTTTTGGACGGGAAGGGAAGAGCGGTATTATTTATCATTTCATTGTACTAATAGTACTTTACACCTATAAAATATTAATATTTTAAAATATACATATAAAAGTAAACGAATACATTTACGGCCGGAGGAAATATAATATATTAGTTATATGTAAACAACAAATTTTTGTATAAATAGGTGTATCGTTTAAAAATTCAATTGAATTTTAGTTCGTTGGAATCGAAGTCAAAGTTACTTTGCGGAGTGGTTAAAGAATTTAATAACATAAAAATATATTCTCTCCGTTTCAATAAAATAGTTATATTTACTATTTTTGTCCATCTAATTTTTATAAATAACTATAGTTCTGAAAGGAACGAGGGATTATATATTTTTTTAACGCAATCAATCAGCATAAAAATATTGGCAGTAAGAATTGTTCAAATCTGAGTTCTCCAACTATAAAAAATAAAATAAAAGAAGTATAGTCTTGCCTCTATATTTTGAAAATAAATCAGAGGAAAATCAAAAGAAAAGAAATGTTGGGAATTTTGAATCACCCACCATCAGGCCTCTCGATTATTTCTGGGCCAGTGGGCCTTCACTTGGGCTTTTGCTTCATGTAACGCTCAGACTTTAATTTTTTATTTTTGCCAATTATTAAAAGGTCCTATTATTTTATATTTTATTTTATTTTTTTCTTCTTAATGCACTTTAAGTAAATTACGATCAAATCTAAATATGGGTTTAGTACATAAAAAATAAGAGTAGATAGATATAATTATTTTGTTATTCATTCATTTCATTTCTCTTTGAGTACATATGAAATAAAATAAAATTATAAGAAATATGGAGTGTGTTTATTTGTAATTTTTTTTATTTATTTTTGACAATTTTCTTTAAAATTAGTCTATTCGAATTTTACCAAAATCATATCTAGTTTATTATCAAACAAAAGAAGAAAAAAAAAAAAAACAAATATCACCAACATTATTTATCAATATATTCTCACTCACTAAAATTATTTTTCTTTTATATCCGAATTCACAATTTCTTCAATTCATTCAGATCGTTTCATTCTTTTATAACCATCAATTGAATTTTTTGTCTTATTGGACAGAGTAACCAATTATTATTTTCTATTAAATTCATTTTATCTATTATTCATTTACCTATGCCCAATGGTTTGAATGGCTGCATTAAAATAATCTTAACTAAGTCTTTTTTATATATTATATATTTAGTTTAAATTTACCATCATTTAATAATTTATAATACTATATCAATTAAAATATTTCAAAATCAGAACCAAAACAAATCCCTTGCCTACTTAAATTTAATACTTATTTACATAAAATTTAAAATTATTTATATATAGAGAATTGTACTAGTAATATAAAAAATAATATTTATATTAAATTATTAATTTTTTAAATATATATTGTATATTGTATTTATATTATATTTTTTTAATAATATTTATGATGAATAGTTCAAATAAGTGATCAAACAGGATATATTTGCATTATCCAAACCAAAATTCAAGTTAAATGTGCATAATATTCAAACTAAAATCCAAAATCCGAGTAAGTTAAATATCAAACATATACGATCTACCATAATTTGATCTAACTTTTGTATAATTTGTACAAACATTTGTATATTGTTAGCATTGTTACCATTTTTGTAAACTAAAGACATTCGAATGCCAATAATTGATAATTGAATTTGGATAATAATTAAGTAATTGTACCAAATACTTACCACAATAATTTGACTACGTATATATTAATTAACTATATAATATAGCAAATATTGTTCAATAATACAGTGGTAGGTGTCCTAGGGTAAGCGTGACACCCATAACCTATTATTATTATTATTATTATATTTCGTAAGATTATTTTGACTTTTATGTAATAAATGTTTGATTTTAATTTTTTTTTTATTATATGTAAATTTTATATAAAAAAATATATTATCGAATCAGGACCTAACTCTCAGGATATGTCACCCCTTGATCACTTATAAGTTAACATTTAACTTTATATACTTATAAGACATACGTGGAAAAGTTTTGAAAGTAAAAAAATAAAATAAAATAAAATAAAATAGTTATACTCTCTTTATGCTAGTGAAATATATAAATATAATAAATTTAAAATAATAATATTTTATTAATTAGTGAGAATGTGTAAAATAATTTTGATATTTTTGTTTTTAAAAATAAAAAAAAAAAATATATTTTTAAAAATAATAGGTACTTTGATATTTATATATAATTACTTTTACTATAAACCAAAATAAATATTTTTAAATGAAAATGACAACAAATTGGAGTGACAAGAGTATTAGTATTGAACAAGATAATTCACAACATTTATTCCAAAATATTATATCAAATTATTATTATTTTTCATACAAATACGATGTTAAACATTTATTTTAGTGTGTGTATATATAACACCCAATTTCGGGGGGAACATTGATGGCATGACCTAACTCGCCTCAATGATATTTTATTTTCAATTACTTTGCCTATTTTTGTGTTATTAGTTTTAAATTTATATGTTTCTTTGATAGATTTGGTAAAATTTTGGTTTGAGTTTGGTATTAAAATAATATTTGATATGATGTTTTGTGAGAAGAAATTTTTTTTTTTTTTTTCGGAAAATCGCAGAGTCCAAATAGTAAGTAAATTTTTTTCTAAAAATATGAAATCATTTTTTTTAAAATTATTATTATACTAAAAGCTAAAATACATTTTAAAATAGTATTACATTATATTTATTGATATAACATCAAATAGTATTATTTTAATTCAAATTTTTAGTTAATTTAAAAACACAAAATCAATTCCAAAACCAACAAAAAAAAAATAATAATACAATTCATACATAATATTTTGTCAAATACATATATCTTTTGTTTGTTTGTATAATTTTTTTTTATTTATAAAATATCAAATTAAATAATTTTTTTATATATTATATTACACTTAAAATTGATGTTATATTTAAAAATTACACCAATAACAATTTATATAATATCAAATAATTATTTAAATTTAAAATATTATTATTAAAAAACAACACTGCTGAAATATTATTATTATTTTATGTTGATAAAATCACATATAACAGTACATTGATTCGTGCTATTATTATTTGAATTTATAATATTAAGACAATAAACTTATGTGAAGCACTAATATAATATTATAAATTTATACGTGGGGCGATGTTAGTTACTAAAATAAAAGGTTTCAATAAATTGGTGCTGGTATAAATTATTTATTTATTTATTTAAATGAATTGCATAGGAGAATATCCTATAGAATTGAATTGATGACCATTAAATACATAATAAATTCAATGTCCTTTTTTTTTGTTTGTTTTTTTTGTTGGGACATTCAATAATAAATAATACCCCTTCCTTCATATTTTAAAAGTATGTTATGGGTGTGTTTTTTTATTAAAAATATTATTATATTTGTATATTTTTTTTTTTCACAAATGTTGTATTATAAATCACTAATAGAAAGAATTTTGTATTTTTTCCTTTATTTATACTTACGTTTTGATATAATAATTAATTTTTAAAATGGACGGAGATAGTATATTTATTAAAACATTCGACTAAAATTAGTATATATATTTTTTGTTGTAAGATTTAATCTAAATTTTTATTGTTCATATTTTTTTTTAAAAAAAATAGCTCCATTTATAAAGAAATTATCGAAATTTTGGAGTTTTGTAATAATATAGATCATAAACATGATATTTTTATTTAAAAGGTTTATTATGAATAAATAATATTAAAACTTTAAAATGCGTCAACATAAATATTTTTATTTTTAATATAAAAATATAAATTAAATTATATATAAATATCATATTAAATAAATATTTAATTTTAAAAATTCACTATTTAAAACTCAATAGTCAATTTCCAAACCCACAACACAAACGTACCAAAACTAAATACGGATTTTTTAAATAAATATCCTAAGTCAGACTTGATTTGAAAATAGTTCTCAAAACTATTTAATTTTGACAAATTAAAGAGTTACCGTAAATTTAAGGAGTTCTGAAAACTCCTTTTTGTAGTACATTATTTAATAATTTCTAACAACATTTTAAGGAGTTCTCAGAACTTTTTAAATTTAGGACAAATGAGTTTTGAGAACTTCTTTTTAACTATGAGTGTGTTTGTTTGATAGTTTGAATTTTGAGTTGAGATTTGAATAGTAAAAATTTTGAGTTGGAATAATTGTATGATGTGGTATAAATATGTATTGATATGATGTTTTAAATATAAATTTAATTTATAGTATAATATAAAAAATATGTATTTATTTGCTATTTTTGGAGAAAAAAATTTAATAAATAGTAAATTTGGGGTATAATCTCATAACTGAACACACCATATACATATTAATTTATTTATTTTTTCTTATTTTTTAATAAAAATTTTCTTTTGTTCCCCATTTTCGTCCACTCAATAAGTTGACATTTATTTTTTGTATATTAATTATTATATTAAGAAGTAGTACTACATTATTATATTCAAAAGTAGTACAAATCAAGATAAAAAAAAAACAAAATATTTATTCTATAAAACAAATATAATGATATTTGTATAATAAAAATTATTATTATATAAAAATATTTTTAACATTAAGCACAATAACATCACAGATAAATATAAATTTATTAAATGGACAAATAGAGTAATTTTTATTTAAAAGTTAGTCATAATAAAAATTATTAGTAAAATTATATTTTATCTTACATTATTTCTACTTTGTAGTAATAAAAAAAATATAAAAGAGTCATTATTATATCTATACAAATATTATGTTAGTATATATATATAAAAGATATATGATCTGCAATATTATTACTATTATATTTTTATTTTATGTTTTTGAAATTTTGAATTTTTTCTATTTAGCTTAAAACTCTATGATATATTTATATTTATAATTTTTATGGTTAAAAATAATATGAGATAAAATATAATTTTGTAAATTTTTTTATTATGGTTTTCTTTTATAAAAATTATTAAAAAATAGAAATAAAAAAATAATTAATTATTAATATTATATTCATTAAAGAACACACAAAATTTTTTTAAAACTAAAAAATTTATAAAATCTACATTAAAACTATCAATATAATCCAAAAATTTTAAAAAATAAAAAATCAAAATTGTTATAAATGTGTAAAATATTTTTTAATATAGCAATAAAATATCAACAAATATAAAATTATGTTTTAGATTAAAAAATAAAAAAAAATAAAGAAAAGAAAAGAAACGTATCTTAAATTACATTAGGAAGAAGATAATGAACAAAAGAAAAGTTATACTACTTCCATCTTGCTCCAAAGGTCCAATTTATTTTTTATTTTTTATTTTTTTTTGTGTATATTTGAATATTAATTATTATATCAAAATATAGTACAAATTTAAAAAAAAATGCAAAAATACTTTAATTAATGTTTTCTAATGCCAATAAAATGACAATTGTACTGAAAAATTATACAAATATAAGAATATTTTTAATATTAAATATAACAACAAAAAAAGTAAATATAAAAGAAAATATTATAATATATATAATTAAAAAAAGTTCTTAAAATTCTTTTGTTCGTAAATTTAAGGAGTTTTCAAAACTTCTTATAATGTTTTTAAAAATTATTAAATAATTTATTACAAAAAAAAGTTCTCATAACTCTTTAAATCTACAACCAAAGAGTTATGGAAACTCCTCAATTTATCAAAATTAAATAGTTTTGAAAATTACTTTAAGATCTATTTTTTAAAAAAAACTCTTACTTAGCACATTTATTTAAAAAACCTAAAAAATACAGCCTAGATTTTGACACTTTGGCCCAATAATGAATGGTGTATTTGCTGGAAACATAAAAATTTACTTTTAAAGAATGATACTTATTTTTTCATATTTTTGCCTGTCAAGTAATAATCACTATTTGTATTTTGATAAAATTTATTAAATTAAAATATATTTAATAAATATAAATTAATTTAATTAAAAACTCATTTATTTTTATTTTTTTTTAAAAAAATAAATTAATTATTAATATTTAAAATTATACATCATTTATAAAATTAATTATATTAACTATAAATAAATAAATAATTTTTTTTGTTATTTATAAAAATCTTATTTTATATATAATGATACTTATATTATATATATTTAAAATATTTAAATATATATTTTAATTTTCTAATTGTATATATATTTTTATTTAAAATTATTAATATTATTAATTACATATAAAAATTATAAAGTAATTCGAAAAAAAAAAGTATAATAAAAATATTAAATTTAAATTTTATTAGTATATAAATTACAAAATATAAATAAATAAAACGAGAAGGAAACAAATCCAATGTTAAACCCCTATTATTGGCATTATTAACACACTTAAAAAAGAACAGTAAAATTGAGAGTTCATACATTTCAAAGGATATCGACCCACAATTGACTCCTTTTCTCGTCTTCTCGAGTCGTTCTCAATCTGCTCACCCATTTCCATGACCTTGCTGATCATCGAGGAAATTTTCACTTCACAACGTCTGCTTGTGGTGATTTTGCAGTGATACGGCCGAAATCGTTCGAAGAAATAGCGGTGTGGCAGCCAATTGATAATCGGAATATTCAGTTCCGACCAAACTGAATGTTGTTGTAAAAATTGCCTCAAAGTGTAGATCCGGTGTTATGTGATACTTTTGCTTCATTACCTCCACCACTTTGGGCATATCCAGCGGGGTTTCCGTTTTCTCCAGTGCTTTAAGCTCAGTTGTTTTTGGGTGCTTTGCTTGGAAATTAATGAATTTCGGCTAGGGTTCATTTGGGTGGACTAGAAAAGAATGCCGATGATGCGATACCAGATAAGGAACGAGTATAGTTTAGCCGATCCGGAACTGTATCGAGCTGCCGATAAGGATGATCCAGAGGCTTTGCTTGAAGGCGTGGCCATGGCTGGCTTAGTTGGAGTACTTCGCCAGCTTGGAGACCTCGCCGAGTGAGTTTTTAGTTTTGAATTCTCTTTTTTACTTTTTGGTTGATTTTTGAAGTTTTTGTGTTTGGATGAATTGTGGGGAAGAACTGGCTATTCTGGAATTGAGCGCTTGAACGTTTTAGTTAAATATTTGATGTGATAATTGATAATTGGACACCGCCAGAGTTAGATATTTGTTGAATTTTCCATCCTTAATTGGTGATATTGTTTTCTGGTTGTTTATTATATAATCTCAAGTTCATCACTGAATTTTGAGGAAATTAGGTTTTTTTAATTTTTAATTTTTTTATTGATGTTAAAGGTACAACGATTAAGCAGAACTGCACCTTTCAATTTGTTACAATGTATTGTACTCTTGATTATAATTTAACTTTGGGAGAGCAGTGCTTTGAGGGATTGTCATACTGATGTTTGTACTACTTGTTTTCCATCTTGAGAAGCTTTTGGGTTGAGCATTTTAGCCATTTTTTATAGCTTGAAGTAGTTCTTTCATTTTGTTTCACCCCTGTAAGTTTAACCTGGAGAAATGTAATTACCTTTTGTTGTCCCGATGAGTAGATTCTATTCTGGAAAATTTTCAGCAATTCATGCATGATTCGGTGATGATGAATTTTCATGGTCAAAACATGTGATTTGAATTAACTAAATGTTTCTTCCATGCCATTGTCTTGGCATTCGTACAAGGATATTTTCTGCTTCCACGAGATGCACATGCTCATGCATGCTTATATTGAGGTGATAACTGTATATATTAGTGATGCTCTTAAGATGTAGCGCACTAGTTTAAATGCAATTGAATATACTTGAGTTATGTTCCTTCTCTTTTCTCGTCATTACTGGACACTATATATTGGTATTTATCGTTCCATCCACTTGATCAACTCGGAGAAACTCTATGAAGGTTTAATGTTTCTTTTGTGCTATTGTCTGGCTGGTGCATTGCCACTGAAGTCGTGTAACTTCCAACACCCAATAATGTTTGAGAAAATTTTCCTCTTAATTTCTTCTGAAATAATTAATTCAACTAACTTTGTAGAGTGCTTATATACATATAAATACTGAAGGTTTGCTGGGGAGATATTTCATAATTTACATGAGGAGGTGATGTCAACTGCTGCAAGAGGGCATAGCTTAATGGTTCGGGTTCAACAGCTTGAGACGGATGTTCCTTCCATAGAGAGGGCATTTTTATCCCAGAGAGATCATTCCTCTTTTTTCTACAATGACGGTTAGGCCTGCTTATCTTTTAATTGCATTATTTAGCAATCACTGGACCTTTCATTCTGTAAGTAACATGAATTTTCATTTGGCTGAAGCTTGAGTCAGATATGCAAGAAGCTGCCTGTAAGATCTTGTTATAATCTTGATGAAACTTTGTGTTACAGGTATTGATTGGCGTTCTAATCTACGGGTGGATGAGAATCTTGTCACACAGGGAGATTTACCTCGATTTGTAATGGATTCCTATGAAGAATGCAGGGCTCCCCCTCGGTTATTCCTTCTAGACAAGTATGATCTGATTTTCTCATTTTGGTCAACCTGTCCATCTTGCTCTGAATTCGTATCTGAAATAGTCTTCAATTTAGGTTTGATGTTGCAGGCGCTGGAGCATGTCTAAAACGCTATACAGATCCTTCATTTTTCAAGGTAGACATATCTAGAATGTCTAGCTCTGATGTCCAGAGGGAAAAGAAGATTCTTAGACGAAAGGTATTTCTCTTTAGTCAATTAAGTTTTTGGGCATAGCAAGAGAGCAGTGTCTTTATGTGTTTCATTACAAAATCGGAATGTCACATATAAGATATCATGCCTACTCTACCTCTCAATAGTGTGACATTTATATTCTTCAAATAGTTTTTCTTACTTAAATGAATGCATCAGCTGTTAATTTCATCACTTGTCTTATAAACAATGTCTAATCCTTGTTTTAGTGGCCATGTCATGTTTAGGCTTCATTTTCCAATTGAACAATCAGAAATCTATCTTCATTTCTATGATAATTATCATCTTTTTGGTAGCCACTTGATCTTCCAATTAATTCGTTCCTGCCCTGGCATCTCATCTTTTATTCTGTATTCACAGAAGAAAGGGTCACGCTGGAGAAACGGCGAAACCCCTGAAACTATACCAGCATCTAGTACCAAGTGAGACATCTATTATATATCTGGCATACATTCTCTTTTCAGTTATCTTGAAGATGAAAATTGTTTATTTAATAACACTTATATCCATTACAGACTCCATGAGCTTTTGTCAGTGGAGCGTGCTGAATCTGGTGTTAGCAACACTTCACGTCGTGTGAAATTAAAGAGGAAGCTGAATGGATTTCCTTTTGACTCAAAAACTGGCAAAAGCTACATGGAAAAGTTACTCAAGACTTCTTCCCCAGATCATGATTTACTCCATGAAGTCAATGAAAATGCATTGCCATCTCTAATGCTGGCTAGGAATATTCAGGATGGATCTGGGCTTGACGCCCTTGAGGTCAGAACATTAAATACTGACAGAGATGCTGATGGAAGAAAAATAAGCCTCCCATCTCCAGATAGAGAGGAAATTGGGATGACTCTTTCCATCTATGATCGCAGTGAGGTTTCTGCTGATGATGGAATTTCAAGTAATGGCATCTCCTCATCCATTCTTGATAAGGTGCCTAGTGAAAAAGTTATAGCTGTAGATGCAGAAAGCCGTAGGGAACACAAGGTTACTGGATATGAATCTGATGGCCTTTCCAGCGATGCAGAAAATTTTGTGGATGCTCCTTTAACTATTGAGTCTGATATGGATACTGAACCAAAGCTGAGAATAAACAGTGATTTTGTCTCTCCGCCTATAAGAGGTCATCAGCAGCTTTCTGATGCAAATAAAGCAGTTATTACTTATAGGTCATCAGATTCTCGATCTACTGGAGATTCAATGATGTCTGATGAGAGAAAAGAAATCTCTAGTTTCTCTTGTTCTGATTCTCCGAGTACATCTGCTGAAGATTCACACCTGGAAAAATCTTCCAAAGGATTCCCATCTGCTGATAATCCTGAGATTGAGATAGGCAGTGCATCTTCTTTACACAAAGGTGCCAGTGAAGTTCCAATGGATCATTATTTACAGCCAGTGGTTTCCAATAGTACACACACAAGAACAAATTCAACCAACAGCCGAGCATCTGACTCAGAGCAGGCATCTTCTAGGTTGTGCAGGAACGAATCGATATCATCTTCATCTTATTCTGATCCTGGAGTTGTGACAAAACATATGTTACGGCAACCTGGGACAGCCCTTTCCTTGGATGATAATGATAAGGAGCCAAATATGGTCATAGATGTACCGTGCCATCCCTATGTTTCCGATTCTGAAGTAAATCATGAGGATGAATCAGATAACAAGGATGCGAATTTGGTAGATAAGAGGGCTTCCAGGCCAAATAAGTTCAAAGATCGTTCTCGGCGCACTGTTGGCAGCCGGCAATTTGGGTCTTCTAAAAACCTAATTACAAGTACATCAAATGATGAGTTTTCAAGATTGCATGAGGATTTTTCGTCTGTTTATCCAGATACAGCACATGATATTAATAACACGATGCCAGTGGTTTCCCTAAAAGAAAATGTAACCTACAAGCAAGGTATGGAGGATTCAAATGTTCCTGTTGATGCTTATGATTATTTATCTGGTAATGTGGTGGCATCTCCTGAGAAGACATCTGATGAAACATCATCACTCCATGCTCAAATGTCAGATGCTGAAGAAAATGTCTCTGCTACGTCCACCAAGAATCAGACTAGCTCCGAATCTTTGATATTGCCGCACTTGGAGATAACCCCTGATTGCTTGCAGCTGCGCCATGATGATTCCACTGGGGAAGATATTATTCCTGAGCATCAGAAAACAGTGCCTGAAAATCTTGTAATCCCCAACCACAAAGAAACTCGGGTAAATTCATATCATATGCTTGAAAATTTTGAAGAACCTGCAGGAGAATCAGACCCCTTAGTAGTGGACGACATCATATTGCTCACAAGTTCAGTGGGCAAGGAAGTTGCCGAACTATGTGACTCTGTGGACAAGAAATCGCTAAATGCAGATCTTGTAGAGTTTGGTGGGTCTCATTCAGAGGGAGAGAAATCAAATATTATAGATTGGGCTTCTACCGAGCAAGTTTCAAAAAATCCTGTAGCAGGTGATCCCCCTTTAAGTGACGGTCTTCAAGAATTGGTAGAAGAGCATATTCATTGTCTCGAGAACTCAGGTCTGAATGAACTTGACAAGAAAAATAACAGTCTTACAGGATTACATGGGAAAGATGAAGGTCACAAAGGATCCAATGTTTCTGCCTTACCATCTTCATTAGGTCCAAATTCAGATTCAAAGCCTCATATACCAAGCATTAGTGGCATTACTGTATCTGAATACCCTGATGATTCTTGTGATTCCAACTTAACTCCAGATAGCACATTATGTGAAGCAATTCAGGTTAATCTGGCTGACTCACCTCCCTTGCCACCTCTTCCTCCAATGCAGTGGAGGACCGGAAAACTTGAACACACGATGTCTTCTACAGAGGTTGAGCTGAAGAAAGTTGAGTTATTGCCAGAATTTACCTCTCTGTTGATTGCATCCACTGATGATGTTAGTACTAAATCACGGTTGACATGTGGTGATGTTGGCTCTTCACATGAAGCAAGTCAACTCTCTTCAGTTGAAACTGTAACCAAGGCTGCACCAGAAAATGAGGGGGGTGAGAATAGCTGTTCTAATTTAGAATCAGAAGATGATTGTGAGACAAGTGACCTCCCGTTAAATATAGAAAGCAAGCCGCTGCTTGTTATGCCTAATCGTGAGAGTGAGCCGTCGCCACTGGTGGATGAAGATGGAGTTTTACCTCACAGTTCCACAGAGGAAGTGCCTCATCCTCACCATCCCCTTGTTGAAGATGTTACTGCTCTTGATAAGAGTGAAGTAAGTATCATCAGTTCCTCATTTAATGTATGTGCAATTAGTGCCCTGGTTTGTTTGTTATTGACAAATTTATACCACTCTGCAGCAGCAGGAAGTTACCGATCAAGATAGGCCTCAGTTGCAGGCTATTGATGAACGAGATCTGCTCTTGGAGCCAATGAGGCGCAATGATGTGCATGAGGAAATTGACCTTTCACCAAAGATCGAAGGCAAGCAGGAGCAGTTTGTTATGCCAACTGTAGAGAGTGAATCTATTTCTCAGTCTGAAGATGGGGTTGCATATGGAAGACATGCAGAGAAGCTGACCCAACCTGGTGCTGCTCCTGTTGAAGATACTACCCTTGATGAGAAACCGACCCAACCTGGTACTGCCCTTGTTGAAGATGTTAAACTTGATGAGAGCCTTATGGAGGAACTGACCCAATCCGATACTACCGTTGTTGAAGATGCTGCTCGTGATGAGAATCATATGGAGAAACTAGCCCAACCTGGTGCTGCTCTTATTGAAGATGCTACTCTTGATGAGACTGTTATGGAGAAACTGTCCCCACCTGGTGCTGCTCTTATTGAAGATGCTACTCTTGATGAGACTGTTATGGAGAAACTGTCCCCACCTGGTGCTGCTCTTATTGAAGATGCTACTCTTGATGAGACTGTTATGGAGAAACTGTCCCCACCTGGTGCTGCCCTTGTTGATGATGTTACTCATGATGAGAGTTGTATGGCGAACCTGGCCCAACCTGGTGCTGCCATTGTTGAAGACGCTTCTTGTGATAAGATTCATATGGAGGAAGTGGCCCAACCTAGTGCTGCCCTTGTTGAAGATGCTACTCGTCATGAGAATCATACGGAAAAACTTGCCCTACCCGCTACCCATGTTGAAGATGCTACTCAGGATGAGTCTCATACAGAGAAACTGGCACAACCTGGTGTTGCTCTTGTTGAAGATGCTACTTTTGATGAGGTTCATATTAAAGAACTGGCCCAGCCTGGTGCCACTCTTGTTGAAGATTCTACTCTTGATGACAGCCAAGTAAGTATCATTGATCATGACAATGAATACCTTCACTGGGCTGTTAACTATACATAATCTTACACCATTATGCAGCCAAAGAATGTTCCGAATGAGGGTGCTTCTCAAGTAGAGGAAGAGCAAACAAGGAGTGGAGATAAGAAGATAACACTTGATCATCCGCCATTGACAAACAGCACACAGCTGCAGCTTGTTATGCTGACTCCAGAGAATGAATATATGCCACCAGCAGAAGATGTAGCTATTGAGAGTCATGCAGAGAAACTACCCCATACTTCTAATCCTTCCATCAAAGATGCTGCTGCTATTGATAAGATTCACGTTTGTCTTTTGTTCCTTGATTTGAAAATTCAAGGCATTGCTAACATTTCGTGTCATATAATTTGCACTGTTTTTTACTCATCTGCTGCTACAGGAAGTTGCGGCAAAAGAGACTCAACTACTTAACAGAGATGAAAACCCAATCTCGGAGCAAATTAGGACCAATGGTACGCCCGAAAGCACTGATCTTACACCAAAGATGGAAGAAAAGCAGCATGGTGTTATGCCGACTCCAGCAAGTGAATCCATGCCTGAATCCGAGGAAAATGAAGCAGCAAATGTCAGCCGTAGAGTGAAACAGCTCCTTCCCCACAATCCACTTGTTGAAGACAAATCTGTTCTCGATAAGAGTAAAGTAAGTATCTATGGCCACTCCCTTTTAGAGATGGTACCAATATCCTGAAATGCTGAACCCACCATTTAATACTGCTCTGCAGCTAAGGAAAGTTGGAGATCGAGTCATCCCTGAGGTACCCAAGCTAGATGACCAAAATTCATTCCTCGAGCAAATTAGGACCAAGGTAAGATTTTTTCCAGATATAGATTTGTTATATGCATACACACTACTTTTGTCAAACTCACAAGCATTTCCACTTTGTCAGTCATTCAACCTGAAACGAACAACGACATCATCAAGACCTAGCATTCTAAATCGTGCTCCTGCAGCCAATCTTAATGTTGCTGCGATTTTGGAGAAAGCAAACGCTATGCGCCAGGTCACAATTTTTTTTCCGTAAAGGGCTTTCGCAACCTTACCATGTATGTTTTCCATCACTCGGATCAAATGTAATTATGGAACTGGTGTTTATTGCAGGCAATTGCTGGCAGCGACGAAGATGATGATGATAGTTGGAGTGATTCATAGGAAATATTAGATGGTTATATATTGCTCTACAGTTCTGCCACAGGCGCTAGCCGGGAGTCTGCAACAAAATGTAAGCATGTATAATCTTCGATTCCGGGACGAGTAAAGCTGGTGGAGCTATATATATATATCAATATACTTTTAACGTTGTGTGTAAATGTTTTGATGGTATATATATACATGAATCTCTATATATATTGCAGCTGATTCTACAAATTATACATGTACAAACATACTCTGTTGGCTTTGTTATTGGAGTATACTTTGCATTTTCCATGTATCTTCGTATGATGTATTTTTAGACAGTGGGAAGACACAATTCATTGAAAGTGAACATTTCCATATGTTATCAATTGATTTATTTATCCAATTTTATTATTTTTTTTATTTAAATAATTTTAAAAAATTTATTGCGGGCCTGATCTGGATATCCCAATTGGGCTGACCAAGAAGCCCAATTTGGCCCAAATTTGAATCCGTGGTATTCAAAAACGGCTGCTACGATACGACGTCGTCTATGTCACCATTGACAATTGACAGCCTGATACAACTGGAGAGCAATTCCTGTTTCAGTTTCAGAAACCCTACCAAAATCTCCCAATTTGATTATTTATTTTTGATGCGAAATTTACACGTCCCTGCAGCTACTGATAAGCTCCACGAAAAGAAAGGAAGTATAATTATTTAACCAGGAGCTGCGGTATGGGAAGAAAGAGGCGGGAGTTGAAGGATAACGACAGCGATAATACTAACAAAGCGAAGAGGAAGAAGGCGACGGCGCAGGCGGAGGAAGCCGGAGATATGGCGGAGCAGCAGCGGAGAGTGCCTCTTTCGGCGGTGGTTTTGGATTGCTCGGAGCGGTGGTTTCAGGACACGCTCAAGGAGGCGAAAGCTGGTGACGTCAACATGCAGGTGCTTGTGGGCCAGATGTACTATAGCGGGTATGGTGTTCCCAAAGACGCTGACAAGGTCCATTCAATTTCTCTCTGGGATTTAGTCTTCTTTTTAGATTCTCGATGGGTGGATTAATGTCTTTCATCGATCGCTGCTTGATTTAGTTGGAAAGTTCCTGTGATTTTGTTATTAAATTGCCTGATAGCTTTTGCCAATTTCTGAAGTTACTGTTGGCTTTGAGAATCTAGGGAAAATTATGGATTTCAAGGGCTTCGAGGATGAGGTCTTCATCTTGGAAAGTTAGCCATAAACGTCCAGGTGAGCGCTCGGTTCCTTTTTTACTTGCCTTACACAGCTGTTCGTTGTTTCAGATCGCTCATTTAATTTGTGACTGTTGTAGGTTACAATGCGAGTGATTCGGATACGGATGAGATTGTCAGTGATTCTTGATAATTTTTTTCGCAAAGAGGTGGGCTGAATTTCCTAATTGTTGTTTACATAGTCTTTTTGTTAGCTTTTGTGCTTTATAAATTTATGTTCACTTCACATGTTAGTGTTGATGTGTAGATCCATTCTTTGTTGAATCTCAGAATATATTAGCTTCTTGATTCAGTTATCAAATCATCCCATAGTCATTTTAATTGATTGTTTATGTGCTTCTTCTTGTTGATGTCTACAGATTTTGCTTTAGGTTGAATCAGGTTGTTTTGATTCTTATAGATAGAGTTGTATACTAAGAACCCCTGTTCAACACCCAACCCCTTATTTTTTTTGCTGCCACTAATAGTGAAAGCAGTTCAATTGGAGAATTGGGGAGTAAAACTGCAAGCCCTCCATTATCCTAGATAATGCATTGATATTACTGTCCTACTAGTGTTTGAATGTAAAAAGAAGCATGAATGTTAATCATTGAATTTGAATTTATAAATTGTCGAATCCTTCAAGTTTTTAATTCTACCCAGCTCTAGTCTCTAGTGAAAAGGAATTTAAGTGCCCCTTTTGTTAAACTTCTCAACAGGAATGTTTTATGCTTTAAGCTGTTACAACTTACAAAAGAATGAGTACTGCCATAATGGCACACATTTTTTATCATGTAATTTTCTGAGTATCCGCTCAATTATTGAACTTCAAACAGTATAGTACACTTCACTTGTGTTGTTTAATACCACTCCCTGACCTCACACACTTCCTATGATTCCCACTGTTCCATCGATACAATTTTTCAGCATTGCATCAGCTTGAGTAGGAAATATCTAGTTGAGCCTGCCTCAATATGAGCTATGAATTTCACATTTGTTAATCCTGCTTGTATGTCAATTTCATTTATTTAATGAGTAGGTGATTTATAAGGAAGTCTTGGACCAGGCAGTTTTGATCTTGAACCTTTGAAGGGAATGGATAGTGACAGAGTTGTGAGCATCATTTTCTTGCATAGTTTGAATTAAAGCATGGAACAAGCTGGTCGCTTTTTCTAATTCAAGATGCTAGCCGAATGTCGGCTTTACTGTCCCTTTTCAGTATCACCACTAAAGGTATATGTTTTGCAGGATTCCAAAGCCGGATGTGAAGATTATGTGTATCTGTAAACCAAAAACTCCCAATTCATTGCTGCCGTGCTTGAAGATTTTCTGTGCCATGTAAGGAAAGTCTTTTAGTGCACCCCCTCCCTTTCCCAATGTGGGTTCATGTGTATGTTCTTGATTGAATTGAAACAGTTTTGTTGGGGGAATTCGAATTGCTGATTGTTCTTTGGGTGGTGATGAAAAGGCGTTTATAATCAATCTGAAGGTATATAGATATATATTGTATTACATGTTAACTTTCCTATTGAATACACAATCAAAGAATCCATAGTTGTTGTCAGTACGGGTGGTTCAAATCAGTGCTTGACTAGTGTACTTTATTGCTGGTGTAGGCAGGTACCAATTAGTCTAATCTCCTCCATTAAACAAGTGTTCATTTAGTCTTCAATGGTGGCCTGCCCTCACTTTCTGTGAATGTTTATGGCGTGGACTGACTGATATATATATATATTCTTATGTCATCTGTAGTGTAGAGTCTTCTATGACTATGGTGGTGGTACTATATAGTACTACTTCAAAATCCCTATTAAGGTCAAACCTCTCTCTCTCTCTCTCTCTCTCTCTCTCTCTCTGTCAGGTCATTCTTATCCAAAAGGTGGGTTTATGATCAAAAATCAAATCTTTGATTGGAAATTGATTATAGTATTAAATTTATAGCAATACAGAAGCACAGAAAGTGAAAGCCGAGTTGGGAATAATTGATTGTATAGTTCCGTAGCGCAAACGCGACGTGTACGGAATAATTGATTTATTTTGACAATAGGATTAAAATAAGTCTGTAAGGTGCACCACCCAAGTTGCTAAATTCGCCAGCTCTGCTCATGTAGGTGCTATAATAGAGGTATAAAATCTGGTATAATGTTAATAGGGCCACACTATTAGCATATGACTCCCTCCGTCTGTGATTGCCACACTGTAGACAATTAGTAGATAATTAATAGATAATTAAAAATATATTAGTGAAAATAATTATTTTATAATATAAATAATTATAAATTAAAATTAAGATAACTAATTAGTTTAATTAAAATTAAAAAATTAAAAAATTTAAAATAAAATTAAAGTGTGTAATTATTTTTCAAAAAAGTGACATAGAGTATTACTTTTATAAATAAAATAAGAATAATTATTTTTTTTACATTATTTTTAACTATTCTTCTTATATCCTTTAATACTGTATTTTTTTTTATTTTGATACGCATTATATATATATGCTGTAATATTTTTAAAATAAAAATAATTAATTGTATTTTATTAAATCACATCACTTAAATATAAAATAAATATACGTTTATTTATCACCACATCACATCATTTTTATTTTATTTTACTCATCTAAATTTTCCCGTTGAAATTAAAATAATACACTTTATTTGGGGCGAAAGAGTATTATTTTTTAATTTTTGCATAAAAAATAAATAAATAAATTTTAAAATTTAATAAAAATATATATATATATGTGATTTAGATTAATATAATATAAATAAAACACGTAAATTAACACAAAACATTTCTTAAAAACATATTATTGATTTCACTTTAGTAAATATATCATATATTCATATATTATATGGGTGTGTTTGTCTGGAGAATTGGATTTTAAATCCACTATTCTATCTTTTTTTTTTCTCAAAAAATATTAAATTAAACACCTGCTTTTTATTTTTTATATTATACTAAAAAATCAATTTTACATTCAAAATATCAAATCAACACCTATTTATATACTATGATATAACTATTTAAATTCAAAATTTTTACTAATAAAATCCCAACTCAAAAATCCAAACCCCCAAACAAACACACCTCAATATATAACACAAGACACTTCAATTGGTGCACTCTCGTAATTTTGAATTTTTTTTTAAAAAATAATTTTACTTTTTTTTTTTGTGGATAAATTTGAAATTTTATGTTATTTTTAAACTAATTTTACTTTTTCTTTTGATTATTTGCAAATTATATTTCTAAAATTAACAAAATAGCTGAACACATGGATATAATTAAAAATTTCACATATATTCTAGGGAATGATAACAAACTCATCAAATAATATCTCATGAATATTTTTAAATCATAACTAATCAAATCAATTTACCAATCACATTCTATATAATTGTATATATAATGTGCATATCTATGTATATAATTATCCTAACCTCTTTTTTTTGTATATTTTTGTTATTAAAATTCAATCATTATATATATATAATTACATATACATATATTTTATTAATATTCGGTATAATTTTCAATTATTATATTGTCTTCAACTTTGAGCATTACGCTAATTTAGACGGGGAAATTCAACATCATAATTTGTGAGATTACAAAAAAAAGTAAAAAAGTATGTGAATACAAAATAATTTTGTTAAATTTATGAAAAATCATAGAAATTATAGTTTAAAGGGAGTTAAAGATTTTTCATATAAAAAAATATTATTATCTCTTTTATAAACTATTATTTATGCATATAATTTATTATCCTTCTTTATATAGTGAAAATTTTGTAGTAAATTTATTTTTTTCGACTTATCAATTTAAACTTTATTATATGAAAATTTTTACTAATTAATTTTTTTTATCCATACTATAATGCAAAAAAAAAGTCTAAAAAAAAGAGAAAGAAAGAATGAGAAAAAAAAATACAAGAGAAAAAAGAGAAGTAGAAAGATTATTTATTTTATTTTATTATATATAATAATATTATTAAATTAATTTTAATTTTCTACTAATCGATTATTATTATTATTATTATATTTATTTACAAATTTATTTAGTTTCGAAAATAATTTCTAATACTTCATTGTTATTGTATATGTATTTTTTAAAATTATTATATTATATTATTCTTATTTTTTACTAATATAATTTCTTTTTTCATTCTTATTATGTATGTATTTATTATTTTATTTAATTTTTAATGTTCTAATACTCCATTATTATTGTACATGTTATTCTTATTTTCACTAATAAAATATTTTTCAATCTTATTTAATTACAGTAATTTTTATTTATAGTTTATTATTTATATAAATTTATTTTTATTATCTTCATACAAATTTATTATTTAAAATATAAAATTAAATTAATATCACAATTTTTATAATTAATAATATACTAGTGTATTATATATATATATATATATATGCACTTGACACATTTACAAATATGAAAATTATATAGATAAATATGTGTTGTCTTATCTATTTTATATATGCTAACTAAACATTAGGCCGTCAACATTGGAACCTTTACATTTTTAATTTCTTTTAATAAATTAATATATAATTTTTAAGTTTGTTTAGTTTTAATTTAAAATTGAAATGATAATTTAAATATTTTAATTTAATATTTTATAAAATAATAATAATAATTGTTAACTACAAATAATAATAATAATAATAATAATAATAATAATAATAATAATGTATTGAACTTATAAATTAGATTGATGTATAGTCCAAAGGGCCTTGTACGGAGGTCGCACAAGATGAGGTCGGGCGAAGAAAGATGAGATGGCAGACACGGAGGTCGGACATGATAAAGTCGGGCAAAGAAGAAGTATCGGCAGACACGGAGGTCGGACGGGATAAAGTCGGACAAAGAAGAAGTATCGACAGACACGGAGGTCGGACATGATAAAGTCGGACAAAGAAGAAGTATCGGCAGACACGGAGGTCGGACAGGATAAGGGCGGGCAAAGAAAGTATCGGCAGACATGGAGGTCGGAAAGGATAAGGTCGGGCAAAGAAAAAGTATCGGCATACACGAAGGTTGGACAGGATAAGATCGGGCAAAGAAAAAGGATGAGACGGCCGATACGGAGGTCGGTCAAAAGAGGAAGTCGGGCGAAGAAGGATAAGACGGCCGATACTGAGGTTAGTTAAAAGAGGAAGTCGGATGAAAAAGGATAAGACGGTCGATGCGGAGATTGGTCAAAAAGAGGTCGGACGAAATGAAAGGTTTGTTAATTGGTCGCTTAACTAAGCGACGTGATTAATCGCTTAGTCGATTGGCTGGTCATTTGGTCAAACAGTAGTTCAGTCGCTTGAAAGGGCGTCGGTTGGTTGCTTGGTTGGGCGACCAGTGAATCATCTGGACGAATGGCTATTCAGCTGTTTTGAAGGGACTGAATGGTGGTCGCTCGAGTGGGCAACTGATAGTCGTTTGGTCTAGCGACCAGTTAGTATCTGGATTGGTCGGTTGGTCAATCGTTGGATTATTCGGTAAGTTCAGTCGGTGGATGGGCCAAACGATTTCTTAGTCGGATGGTGATGTATGATCCGTCAGAAAAAGGGACTAAGAGGAGATGTGGGCCCGTCGTTAGATCCATTAGTTGATTAAGGGTTTCTCAAGGCAGTCGGTCGGTCTGCAATCCGTCTAAAATTTGCTGGGCGTTTGAGTGGTCGTTTGAGACCAGCCGTCCATTTAAGGAGGTAAGGTGCCAGGAGGCGGTCGGTCGAAACAATTAGGTTTTGTAACTGATGGGAACGGTTGGTGAAACACGTAAAACATGCGTCAAGGAATTAGCGGGCAGTTGACGGCAGTTGCTGTAACCGAACAGACGACGGTTCCAAAACGTTTATTTAGGGAATATTTGAAGAGGGGGTTCGCAACGGGAAAAATCATCTTCAATCGACATTAAATTCACTGGAATTTCTTTTGAGGATCATCATTTACTTTTTCAGTTTGTAGTATTTATTTTTCTAATTTATTTATGTATTGTTTAGAGATTATTAATCTTAGACATTTATTTTATTAAATTCGCACATAATTTCTATTTTTAAATTTTATTTTTTATAGTTGAAAAATTTAATCAACAATAATAAATAATATATATATATATATATAACACACTCTTTGCGTATATATATACATACAGATGTATGTAGTTATTGTGGGGTGGTGGGAGGTGGGTGGAGGTGAGTGTAGGAATGGACGTGGGAGTTCTTATCAGGGTAAGGTGTGTACTGATTATATCTTCGCTGGCCGGTCCTAATAAGTACGGCCCTATCTTCACTATCCACTACTCTCTCTCTCTCTAATAAATATATATATATGATATTAAGAAAAAAAAGAAGGCATCTTTTTCGTCTGATTTTTGATTTGTAAGAGAAAAAACCAACGAGAATATGATATTAATAAAAAAGTTGTGTTTGTACTTGAGAGAGAGAATATGTCCTTCCTCAAATGTTTCTCCCCCGAGTGAATCCAGTCTTGCTTATCGACCCACCCCCCCACCCCCTCTTCCTCTTTTACCCTTTTGCCCTCCTCTCTCTCTTCCCCCATCCTTTTCTGTCCTTTTCCGTACCCCTTCTCTCTCATGTAGGGAGATGGCCTAACTTGTGGGGGTGGAGATGATTCGACGAGGGCTTTCTTGTAATTTCACATGCGCTGTATCTTCCTCAACTGCTCAGAATCGTCGACAGTGCTTTTCTGTTGACGGGTATTTCTATATCTTGCAAAACAACCTTCTCAACTTTCTCTCTCTATATATATATGTATGTATTTAAGGGCATCTTCATTTCCTCTGCACCTTCCCCACCTGCCTCCAGCTTTTCTCCCAGCTCACGATTTTAATGTGGCTACGAAAATTAGGGTTCAATGTGAAGCTCGCTTTGATTTGAATCAGGATTTGTGGATTCAGCTGCGAAGATCTGAGGTATAGTTGCAAATTGCAATGAAGCAGCAGAAATCGGACGGTGAATCCGACCGAGGTTTCAGCCGCTTCGATCTTCTCTCGGAGGAGATAGTTTTCATAATCCTCGATTTCTTAAACGAGAATCCTCTGGATAAAAAATCCTTCTCCCTCGTTTGCAAATCCTTCCACTCTCACGAGTCTCGTCACAGGAAGTTCCTGAAACCTCTGCGCTCGGAGCACTTGAAGAAAGTTCTCACCAGATATCCGTATGTCTCGAATCTCGATCTCTCGCTGTGCCCGCGAATCACCGACGCTTCGCTCGGCATTATCTCGAGCGGCTGCGGCGGAGCCTTGCAGTCGATTAATCTATCGAGGTCTAAGTTTTTCACTCATTCGGGGCTGTCGAATCTGGTGATGAACTGCGGCAATTTGGTGGAGATTGATCTGTCGAACGCTACGGATCTTAGGGATTTGGCAGCGGCAGCCGTGGGCGAGGCTAAGAACTTGGAGAGGCTGCGGCTGGTGAGGTGTAAATCGATTACAGACATTGGGATAGGTCGAATCGCTGTGGGGTGTAGGAAGCTGAGATTGCTTAGCTTGAAATGGTGTTTGGGTGTCGGCGATTTGGGGGTTGGCTTAATCGCTGTTAAATGCAAGGAGCTTCGATCTCTGGATCTCTCTTATCTGCCTGTAAGAAAATCTAAATCTTCTCCTCTGGATTAGATTCTTCATCCTTCTGCATTTGTTTGTGATTTGTTTTTGTTCTTATGTTTCTTCAATTCTTGCTGGTTTAGTTGATGATCTGATGGCTTTGTTTGATCGTGTCTTTTTGCTTAAGAAATGCTCAAGAGCTGGAACATGTCTGGCAATAATTACAGGCTTTTGTTTGTTAGGGAGTAATGACATGAGTTAATGAAGATTTGTGGATTGTAAGAGAAGCATTAATTTCTGAAAGATGCATTGTTTGCTTTTTTATAGATTGATTTAGTGTTATTAGCATATTCTGCATACTGCTAGTTCATGCCTTCGATTCGACGTGCTCGATTGATTTTCGACTGTCCGTTCGTGCTTGTATTGAGGAGCGTGGAACCTCAATAAGTTGTCTGATTTATGATGTTTTTAATGTTAGAATGATGGTTTCCGAAGTAGCTTCGACAATATATATATTGATGTGCATGAATCTAGTATGCCATTTCGTTGAGCTTTCATGGGGTCTCGCTGCCCAGTCAGCGAGTTGGGGGGTCAAGGGGGTCCGGGGGCACAGAATGCCCCCCCGGTCCAATTGTACGCAGTATTTGACTTTTGGATTCGTATTGAATAAATTTTTTCTCCATTTCTGTCTGTGGATATAGCCAACCGGTTGCTGGTGAACCACATAAATTTGTGTATTTTTATATTTTCTGTTTATTATTCGATCATTAATCCTAATCCGTCACAATAATATATATAATATTGTGTAGTTTCTTTCCTTTGCGTTTAGTATCTTTCGATGTCGTCTATTCTCATTGTTTTGTGTTGTTCAGATAACCAATAAATGCATATCACAAATCTTGGAGCTACAATGCCTTGAAGATTTGGTTCTGGAAGGGTGTTTTGGTATCGATGACGACGGCCTTGCTGCTCTCAATCCGGGATGCAAATCCTTGGAGGTTCTAATTTTTTTCTTCTTCAAAAAAAAATTGCTTGTTTGGATTTATATGCGTTAGAGTTTAATCGTTTATTACATCGAGGTTACAAAATGTTTGGTGTCATTTTTCAGACACTTGATATGTCGAGCTGTCAGAATGTAAGTCATGTGGGCTTGTCTTCCCTAACCGGTGCAGTGCGATGCCTCCGGAAAATCATTTTATCATACGGTGCTCGTGTAAGTCTCTGCGACTTATCCTCATCCTCTAGCAATTATATTTTCCATTCTAAATAATTTGTCTTGCAAATTTCAGGTGGATCTTGCCCTTGTCGACAGTCTGCGAAAGCTCTCCATGTTAAGATCGATCAAACTAGACGACTGTCAGGTCACTTGTTCGGGCCTGAAAGCAATCGGAAACTGGTGCGTATCGTTAAACGAACTGAGCTTAAGCAAGTGTATCGGCGTGACCGACGAAGGACTCTCTTCCATTGTTACGAAACACAAAGACTTGAGAAAACTCGACATCACTTGCTGCCGCAAAATCACACACGTTTCGCTTGCCCATATTACGAATTCTTGTACCTTCCTGACATCCCTCAAGATGGAGCTGTGCACCTCAATTGTTGCCGAAGCGTTTGTGTTGATCGGGCAGCGATGCGAGTTTCTCGAGGAGCTCGACCTTACCGATAATGAAGTCGACGACGAAGGTGAATTGTTGAATTTTGTTTACGGCGGAGAAATGATCGTTATTCTTATGTAATTTATATACAGGCCTGAAATCTATCTCGAGGTGCTCAAAACTCTCGATCTTGAAGCTGGGAATCTGCTTGAACATAACCGACGAGGGACTTGCCCATATCGGCGCAGGCTGTTCGAAGCTCAAGGAAGTGGACTTGTACAGGTTAGAAAAATCGCGATTCTTGTTCTCATCGGTCGTATCGTTACGTAGAATATAATCCGTCGTTTCTTTCAGATCGGCGGGGATTACCGACGAAAGTATTTTAGCCATCGCTACGGGCTGCCCGGGCCTTGAAATGATCAACATAGCCTATTGTAAACTGATATCCGATCGTTCGATGATGTCGCTGTCGAAATGCTCAAAATTGAACACGCTGGAGAGTCGAGGATGTAGTATGATTACATCGTTGGGCATAACAGCTATCGCTGTCGGATGCAAGCAACTTTCGAAGCTGGACATAAAAAAATGTCTCAATATCGATGATACCGGAATGATCCCGCTAGCTCATTTTTGTCAGAATCTCAAGCAGGTATTGTTCGCTGGTTATTCGTCAAAACGGGGAAAAACAAAACGATATGACGTATTCTTATTTACCGATGCAGATTAATTTGTCCTACACGTCGGTGACGGACGTCGGGCTTTTGTCACTCGCAAGTATCGGGTGCCTACAGAGCCTGACAGTCCTCCACCTCAACGGGTTGTCTCCTGGCGGGCTGGCGGCTGCACTTCTGGCGTGCGGTGGACTGACGAAAGTGAAGCTTCACGCATCGTTTAAGTCGTTATTACCGCAGCTTCTGTTCAGACATTTGGATGCGCGAGGCTGCGCTTTCCAGTGGAGAGACAAAGTCTTTCAGGTAGTTCCGGGGTTCGCCAAACTTGTTATTACGCTCGCTGTTCTTTGTCTGAAGAATTCGCGTCGTTCTTTTCTGTCGACAGGCTGATTCCGACGATCCCAAGTGCTGGAAATTACAGGTTGCGGACGCGGAATGAAAGCGAAACTGGTACTAATCCTGAAAACCATAATCTCTACGGGGCTCGTCGAATTCGTGGCTTTGTTACCTGTCTTGGTATAGTCTGTTTTTTATTTCAACAATTATTGCCTTGTGCCTAGTTCTTGTTAGTTTTAATTACAGTTGTTTTGATCGAATTGCCGAATGTCTTTGGCTCAGAAGACTGAAAAGTTTACATCTTTAGAAATTGTTTGTCGGATTAAGGGTTTGTTAGAATCCTGTTTAATCCTAACTCATAATTAATAGCAGCTGATTCGCTTTTAACCTCAAATTTTACAGCTGAATCAGTCTTACACTATTTATTGTTCAGTATTTGTGTTGTATAAGAGTATGTCACATGCTAAACTTAATTGTTGTGTGTTGTATATTATTATTAATATGTGCTGTCAGAAGTAATATAGTGTGAATTTAAAATTTAACACCATAGCCGCCACCAGCTGCCGCCCCCGCGCGCGCGTGTGTATATATATATATATATATATGTATGGATGCATACTGTGCTGAGTCAATAATAATTGTTTCGGACTGGTTCTTCAACAACGTTGCTGTCTCGTTGTATGTTTGTAATATCAATTAACATAATCCCAATTTTGGGTTTAGCTTGATTTTGGATTTTGGTCATACTCATATCAAACTCCTGAAGGGGTCAAAGTCATTATTTACAATTTACTCTCTATGTATAATCGATCACTAACCTAAATCTGCATTGGTTGATAGTGAATTCAACCTCAGATGAATCTACAAAAAAAAAATTAATAAATAAAAGACATATTTTTTTTTTTAAAGTTGATGGTTTTCAGTTATGTCCCGTGAGAAACGACACAAAAAGAAGATTTTTCATGGTAGGGTTGCGTGGGGTTTGATAAAAGGTTGTCAAGAAAGTGCCACGTCATCAGCCAATCACAAATTAGTGCTGCTGAGCTGTTCCAATGATCACCGTCGGATCTAATCTCAGAGATTACAGCGCAGGTGAACCGTCCGCACGCAATCACAGCTCCTCTTGTCAGATTCAGCCGCCGGGAATCGGTCAGACACACGAGCTTTGACCAAAAGCCCTAATTTTCTTCAGTCAAAATTCCTGTTTCTTCTCAGAACAAGAACAACCTCTGCATATACGAATACATACACCCACACATATACATACATACATATATATATAACTCCTTCGACGTCTTTAAAAAAATCCCAGTATTGCATTCAAGTCAGAGGAAGAATTGAAGATGCAATACCAATACATGACTAATTTCAGCGATCTTGCGACGATTATTACAGAAGGAGAAGAAAGTTCGATTAATGAAGGAAGAAGATCTTCGATCAGCAATCCATTCATGTCCCCCAATTCTTGTCCCTATCCTTCTTCATTTCTTGCCTTTCCTCCTCCTCTCAGCCCTTCTGTTTTCCTCGATTCTCCTTCCCTTCTCCCACCTTCCACTGTAAGTTTTTTATTTTTTTCTGAAAGTTTAAGCTTTGTTCTGTAATTATTAATTAACTAACGTTTGTATTGATTAGGTTGCTCCGTCGCAGACCACCGAGCTGTTCTCGTTTCAGTCCCACGCCTCTTCTGCAACGGTATGTTCTTTTTTTCATTTCATCCATCAACACGGCCGTGTTTACTTACAGGCCTTATGAAAACGGAGGCCGTGTTAGTTACTCCATGAGTATTTTTTATTACGTTCAGGATTCATTCAGACAGCAGATGCAAGAAGGGATGAAATCTGAATCAAACATGAGGGAAATGCAGTATGTTCCGCCATCAAATTACATTAGGTATCAGAAGAAATCCGACGATGGCTACAACTGGAGGAAATATGGACAGAAACAGGTGAAGGGCAGTGAGAATCCTCGTAGTTATTACAAATGCACTTATCCAAGCTGTCCTACAAAGAAGAAAGTCGAGCGAAATTTCGACGGATACGTCACCGAAATCGTCTACAAAGGCAGCCACAATCATCCCAAGCCGCAGTCGAATCGGAGATCGTCGACTTACGCCAACTTGGCCATCTCAATTTCGAATCAAAATCAAATTCCAAATCAAAATCCAATCGAATCAATGCTCGACAATTCTCAAATCGAACCCGCCGAGATTTCGACAGCTTCGTTTGCGGACTATGATGTCGATCAAGAACAGGGCTCTTCAATTAGCAACGACAACGAATTCGACCCCGAAGCCAAGAGATGGTTAGCTTTTGTAATAACTGATAAGATTCAAACAATGTTAGAAATCAGATAACAGCCTTAATGTTAAAAATCTTGTCTTTTTCAGGAAAAGGACTTTAGAGAACGATGGTCCGGAAGCTTCTGGAAGCCGAATGGTTAGAGAGCCACGAATTGTTGTCCAGACCACCAGCGACATCGACATACTTGACGATGGCTACCGATGGAGAAAATATGGACAGAAAGTCGTAAAGGGCAATCCGAATCCTCGGTACTACAGATATAAACAACACATGAAACTTAAAGCAATAAAACTAACCTTAACTAATCCAAAACTGTCTCATTTTCCAGGAGTTACTACAAATGCACATTCAACAGCTGCTCTGTAAGAAAACACGTCGAACGAGCGTGCCACGACTCAAGGGCCGTAATCACAACTTACGAAGGAAAGCACAATCACGACGTCCCTGCAGCGCGAGGAAGCAGCAGTTCTTACACCACCATAAATAGCCACTCCATCGGAATGTCTTATCCTCAGACGGCGCAATATTCTTACACACTTTCCGGAAGCTTCCGAAACCCCACAGGTTCTTACATCAACCAACAGATTCGACACACACAGAATTCTTCGCTGACCGTCGCCAAGGATGAGCCCAAAGATGCCTCATTTTTCGACACATTTCTCGCCTGAACAAAGCCTCCGAAAACACATTCATAAATAACTATTATATACTGTATGATCATATTTCAAAATGTAGAAAGAATCTCTTGTATACATGTTCAAATTTTTCGAGGTAAGAAATATACAATTGCATTGTAAAGAAGAAACAACATTATTTATAGCAAAAAGAACCGTGAATTTGATTCGATCAAACATAGGATTGTTTATTAAGTTTATGACCGGAAACAACGGCGGATATCGCCATTGCGAAGAAGGCGAAAAACTGCATCGCGATCGCAGCCGACGATGCATCGGTGAAGATGCTGTCTGCACCTTCTCTCATCCTGTCTGTCAATGGCACAGCTGATGAAGCTGATGATATCAACAAATATGCGACAATCTGCGGTAGGTTCCATGAAAATCCAATCCTGTCTGAGTTCTTACAAAGAAAATTAAATAACAACGTAGGAAGAACATAGCTACAAATCAAACCTGATCACTTAAGAAATCCGCCATTGGTAAATGCTTCCAGGAGAAAAGAGGTCTGTTCTTAGAAAGTTCTCTGTATTGCCTGAAAACTTGAAATCCTGTGTAGAGTGTTGACAGGATCGCGATTCCTACGAGGTACCTGATAAAAAACAAGAGCATATTTAAACATCGGAGAAAGTAAACAACGTTAATTTGAGATAGGGTTAAGAATTGGGGATTAATTAAGGATGCCTGTATTCTTCGTAATTGTCGAATTCTCTCCAATCGCCATGTTTATTTGTCGCCATGACAATGAAAGACAGAAGAGAGAAAACGAAGCCTAATCCACGCGACGCCAATGAGGTTTTCTTTAGGACATCTTCTCTTTTCCATCGTTCAACGATGCTAGCAACTCCGCCGTCGCCGTCGCCGTCGCCGGCGCCGCGCACCGCCGGAGGCGCAGGGCCGCCGGTCTCCAAATCCGGGGGCGGCGGTTGTGGATTTGACTTGTCCGGTTTGGAATCGGCGGGATTTTCCATGAAGTTTCTTGTGGATTGATGATTTGTTGTAGAAAGAATACGTTGTCAACTTCGAACTCTCCGACAACTCAGAAACGGTTGCTCTCCATTTGTCTTTTTTTTTTTCTCTTCTATGTAATTTACAGTTGGCTGGGAGCTCTATAATTCTTGGGGAGTCCACGGGCCATAGCTCCAGATTAATGATAGCCAATCGAGTGTTACTTATTTCACGCTACGGGTAGGTTGGTATTTATTTATTTATTTATTTTTTCAGCAAGTTTCGAGCCTTTGGGTTTGGGATTCGTTTATTTGAATATACTGATTTAAATTTACAAAGTGTTTCGTTCGTCGTATTTTGGTTTAAAGTTATGATTTTGAAAGATGATCAAATTAATTATAAATAAATAAATATATTTTAATTATATTATATAATCTTTAAAATATTTAAAATATCAATAATACTATTGATATAAACATAATAAAATAATATTATAATTTATTACTAATAATACATTACTTAAGCATAATATTGAAGAAAATAATAATACGCTATAATTTAGATGTTTTACAATGTTTGAATCCACTGATTATAGGAGATAGTAAACTGCCATTTTTATATATTGTCTATTTCTTGGAATTTATATTTATCATGTAATGTAACTTTATTTATTAAATACGTATATTTTGATTATATTAATATAGTTCATATAATTAATGTGTGCTGTTTAGGATTCTTACACGTGTTGTGTTGCGAGCATGTGGAAAGTTATAAAGTCAACTCATGACGTGAACTTTTTGTGATTTGACTATAAGATATAATTCAAGGCCCGGATTTTGTGGCCCAATTTTATATGGCCCAATAAGGGCGGAATTATTATTTAATGGACCCAATGAGATTTTGGCCATTAGACTTCCTTCCTTCTACCGGATAAACCCTAATCACAAACCCTAATTCCTACAGCAATAATCCCCAATTACAAGCACCATCGCTCTTCGTCTCTCTGCGTCTGCTCTAGTTCGTGAATAATCGAGATTTCAAGATGGTTCGGAGCTTGAAAAGACCTAAGAAATCTAAACAAAAGGATAAGGTACATAATGCCATATGATATACCGATTGTGGTTTTACCATCTTTCGAATTTTTTCGAGGTTGTTAGAAGCTTGATTTCGCTTTAGTTGAGGAATTTGATTGATTTGTATTTAAAATTGATAATATCAATAGAGTTCTAAGAAAGGGGAAGGATCGTCGTCAAATTCCCAACCTTCGGTGGCAGCAAAGGTGTGGCAACCGGGTGTAGACAAATTGGAGGAGGGGGAGGAGCTCCAGTGCGATCCTTCAGCTTACAACTCTCTTCATGCTTTTCACATTGGATGGCCTTGTTTGAGGTTATATTGATTGTCCATTAAATTGTGGAGTTTGTTGTTCTTTGCCTCTTTAAGTTTCTCTTCAAAATTGCACGTGAATTTTTATTTTATTCTAATTCTGTTTCGAATCAGTTTTGACGTAGTGAAGGATTCCCTAGGATTGGTGCGCACTGAGTTTCCACACACTGTTTATTGCGTTGCAGGAACACAGGTGAGTGCTAAACTTCTAGAATACGATAATTATGAGGGTTTATGTGTTATGGTCTTAAAATCCTTCTGTTATGATTGATGGCATTGAAATTGGAGTTCCCATCCTTTTTCCAGGATTTGTTATGTTCAACCGTGATGTGTTGATTCTTTTATTTCACCCAACCTTATGTAGGCAGAAAAAGCTTCCTGGAATTATATTGGAATATTTAAGGTGTTGAATATCTCTGGTAAGAAACGTGAATTAGTGCCAAAGAAGACAGATGATGATGATGGTTCGGACATGGATAGTGACGATAGTGACAGTGATGAGGAAGAGGAAGAGGAAGCCGGCTCTCGAACCCCAGTTTTGCAGGTTTGTTTGTACAAAGCTGTTATTACTGATATTGAAGTTTTTTCAGTTGTGTTATGTGGTTCATCTTTTCGTGATAAATCTACAGCTACGCAAAGTTTCTCACAATGGATGTGTCAACCGGATACGTGCTATGCGACAAAATCCTCATATTTGTGCTTCATGGGCTGATTCTGGCCATGTTCAGGTAGATTTTTTTGTCTCTATATATATTGTTTCAGTGTTGTGAATTGGATAAAAGGTTGAAACCAATATACTCCCGACAAGGGAATATTTATCATCATGGTTACTACATATCGTATGTGCCGTAGTTTGTTCTAATTGAATTGCAATGCAGTTGTGGGACTTCACCTCTCATTTAAATGCTTTGGGACAATCAGATACCGAATCTGTCAATGGAGCAACCACAGTGTCCAATCAAGCTCCTTTATATAAGTTTACTGGCCACAAGGATGAAGGCTATGCTATAGACTGGAGCCCTCTCGTTGCTGGAAGGCTAGTTTCAGGTATTGGCGCATCAGCTTTCATTTATTTCTGAATTACATCAGACTACATTACACAGTATACGTTACGGAATTTACATACCTGGTTTTTGCACTTCTATTCCATTTCTCCAGGGGATTGCAGGAACAATATTCATCTATGGGAGCCCACATCGGATTCAACATGGAATGTCGATCCAAAACCGTTTGTTGGACATTCTGCAAGTGTAGAAGATCTACAGGTATGCCTCTGTCACATTTATAGTTTAAGAATTGATCTATCCAAGATGCAATTTCCATTCCTAAAGTGACATAGAGTTTGTTTGTTCTTTTATGGTATGAATTTGGATTTGGATTTGCGGTTTTGGAAATAGTAAAAGTTTGAAGTGTAACATTATTTGATGTGCCTTCTATCTTGAAGTTAATTCATAAAGCTGATGATAAAATCCATGAACAATATAAATAGGTCATTGATATAATGTTTTGAATGAAATTTTTGTTTTTAGTAGTATAATAAATAAAAAGATAGATATTTGATTTGATAATCTTAATTGAATAAAACGTATGATTCTTTTTTCTGTATCTGCAGTGGAGTCCGACAGAACCCTTTGTCTTTGCATCATGCTCGGTTGATGGAAACGTTGCAATTTGGGACATCCGTTTGGGAAAGTCTCCGGCAGTTTTGATAAAAGCACACAAAGCAGACGTAAATGTAATTACATGGAACAGGTGATCAATTCATTCTCAATTAAAATTTACATTCCTCATCATACTTCTAAGTATATTAATTCATTTAACCATTGTTAATTCTCTAACTAGCCTTGCAAGCTGCATGCTCGCATCTGGCAGTGACGACGGGACATTTTCCATCCGAGATCTTCGACTTCTCAAGGTTAAATATCTCATTCTTTTTCTTCAAAAATATTTCTATATTTATCTTCACAGGTGATAGAAACTCGAAGATAACTCAAGTGTAATTTCCATGGAACAGGAAGAAGACTCTGTTGTGGCACATTTTGACTACCATAAGCATCCAATCACGTCGATCGAGTGGAGCCCACATGAGGCCTCCACGTTAGCGGTTTCTTCGTCAGACAATCAGCTAACGTTAGAACACCAACCAAACCTCGATTTCCTGTGCATTGTCATTATTCTCTAATGACGATCTTCTTATTGACAGGATTTGGGATCTTTCTCTGGAGAGGGACGAAGAAGAAGAGGCCGAGTTCAAAGCCAGCACAAAAGAGCAAGTGAACGCCCCCAACGACCTGCCACCGCAGCTTCTGTTTGTTCATCAGGTGACGACAATGGCGACAACTTTTAGCTTCGAAAATCGATTCTTTTTGGGCATAATATCGATAGATTGCTGAATGGTATATGAGTTTTGCAGGGTCAAAAGGACTTGAAAGAGATCCATTGGCATTCACAAATTCCAGGCATGCTCATGTCCACAGCTGCAGATGGCTTCAACATACTAATGCCTTCAAATATTGAAAACTCCCTCCCTCCTGCCAACAGTGCATAATCATAATCTACTCAATTTCCCTGCTTTATAGATTATATATAGATTAGAGAGAGAGAGAGAGAGAGAGAGAGAGAGAGAGAGAGAGGTCCCAGTTGTTTCAGTGTGATGATTCTGTTGTTTTAAGTAGTTGCGTTATGGAGATTGATGGCTTTTTTGCATTTATCTACTGTTTATTTATGTTTTTTAATTTATTCACGAAAATTTATATGTTTTTTAGCTTATTTTAATTTAAAATTAATTTAATAAAAATTTTATTTAAATGATTTAAATCGAAATTGAACTCATAATCAATTAATTTAATAAAAATTTTATATTTGCCACGTCATGAGATCCAGAATATAGGTGGGAGAGGGAGTATATGATTAAATCTATTATTTTTAAATAAATTCAAAAATTAGAAAATATATATTTAAATGCAAATTGGATGCCCCTCAACCCAAATAAAGAGAATAAATGTTATTCTCCCGTAGTCCACAAGTAAAGAATCTTCAATCATTTTCATGCCCCATCACACACAATTAATTTACTATTATTATTATTATTAACTTGGTTTATTTAAAAAAATATATAAATTATTGGAATCCCCATATCCTCCTTATAACGAAAGTGAACGAAATTAACGGATCCATTCACTCACGGGTGGGGGTGCAGTAAAAAGGCAAATACTAATAAAGCTGAAATGGAAAAAAGCCGTTACTGATGCATGGAATCCCGGGGATTCCAGTTCCTATGCCCGTCACGTGACTTCCGCGTGACTCCACTCCTCAATTAATTATTAAATTTAAATATATTTATCCTATTAACTTGCCCCTAACGGCAAATTAAATCCCCAAAAGGATTAAACATTAAATACGGAATAGTATCCATCAGTAATTGATAACGGCCGCCCAAACCAAGTCAACCTCCCCGTCGTCTTCTCCAAAACCCCTCTCGCCTCGCCGTTACCGTTACACGTACGGTGAGAGATACAGCCGTCTCGTCGATATATATATATTTTTTCAGTTTCAACGCCGATCATTTATTGCGGCTCCTAATTTTAGCACCTCAACCCTAATTTCGTCGTCCCTAATTTGCAGATCAACGCCATAACTGTACTATGATAACTTCCTTTCACCCTCCCATGGCGTCCCTTTCTTCCCCATTTTCATATCCCTCCGCCGCCTCCTCCCTCGTCGGCGCCAATCACACCTCCGCTCGATTCTGCTCCCGCTAGTGCCGAATTCGTTGGATTCGGATTGCAATTTTGCAGTTCCTTGAAATTCTTTTGATGGGGACGCCGGCGGTCGGGAAGGCTGGATTTCTGAGGAATATTCCGGTGCGTTTGATTCTCTTCTCGGTGTTTTTAATCGCAATTCGATCTGCTTACGTCGTTATAATCCGCGGAAAATCATGCGACGTCGGCGATTTCTGTTTCGTCTCCTTGCCGGAAAGTTTCGCCGCCGTGAGCGGCGGAAATCTGAGGAAATCGGCGTCTGCGGCGGTCGTGACAAGTTCCGGCGAAACTGCTCCGTCGACGCCGAAGAAAATCCCCAAATTGTGGGCGACAGAGGGTTTCCAAACGGCGGTTGAATTCTACTCGTCAATTTTTCAGGATCTGATCGGCGAATCCATTCTCCGCCCTAATTTCAAAGCTCTCTGCGTCGATACAGCCGCCGGCGCCGACGTTTTCGCGCTGAGGGAGATCGGAGTGGAGGATTCCGTCGGCGTTGCGAAGAAGGATTTCAAACCGATGGTGGTTGCAGGGAAGGGCTCCAATCTGCCGTTCATCAACAACACCTTTGATTTCGTGTTCTGCGCCGCCGGCACGGCGGCCAATTCAGCATCTCCGGCGACTTTCGCGGCGGAGATTGACCGGACTTTGAAACCCGAAGGGTTTCTCATCGTCCACACAAGAACAAATGACACTTACAGTTTCCATTCCTTACTCAATCTCTTCAGTTTCTGTAAATTCCTCAGGACCAAAAACATTGCAGGATTTGATCCCCAAACGCCATTTCTACAACAAATTGTTCTGCAGAAGCTTCTAGAAGAAACCAGGAAGAAAACTCCATTACCAAAGAAGAAGAAGAACAAATGCTCTGTTCCAACCTACAAACAGAGTTTGGCAAATCAAGCAGAGCCATTAATAGCCAAAGAGCCAAAGAAGCCATGGATAACACTTAAGAGGAATTTACAGAACATGAAATATCTGCCATCAATGGTCGATATAAGCTTCAAGACGAGGTACATATACATCGATGTCGGCGCAAGAAGCTATGGATCGAGCATCGTAAGCTGGTTCAAGAAGCAGTATCCAAAACAGAACAAAACATTCGAGATATTCGCAGTCGAGGCCGACAGGGCATTTCATGATCAGTACAGAGGGAAGAAGGGAGTGACATTGTTGCCGTACGCGGCGTGGGTGAGGAACGAGACCTTGTTCTTCGACATCAATGGTGAACCCGGTAAAGGGATGGGCCGGATTAGGCCCGCGCAATCATCGGCGCCGCCGGACGGTGATCGGATTGAGGGGTTTGATTTTGGGGAATGGTTGAAGAGGACAGTGTCCGAAAGGGATTATGTGGTGATGAAGATGGATGTCGAGGGGACTGAATTCGATTTGATTCCGAAGTTGTTTGAAAATGGAGGGATTTGTTTGATTGATGAACTGTTTCTCGAGTGTCATTACAATCGATGGCAGAAATGCTGCCCTGGTAAGAGATCGACAAAGTATCAGAAGACGTACGGTCAGTGTTTGGAATTGTTTACTTCTCTTAGAGAGACTGGAGTTTTGGTTCATCAATGGTGGTGAGTTTGTAAAGATAATTTTTCTATTTTTTTTTTTTCGTGTAAAGAAATGATCTTTCTTAAAAGGGTTTCGTACAAGAAAATGCATGAATTATGAAATCCTTCCATTATTTGAATTGCAATTAATCTTGATGCGTAATTCAATTAGGGTTTTGTCCTCCAATTGTCTTTAGTTCCATTAACAAGATTTTTAGTACTGATCTAATTTTTGTCTTGCAATTAAACAAATATATATATACTATATATACATACATGGTTTGTGCCTAAAGATTGATAATGTGTTTCTTATTATATACTATCTCAGGAAAAAAAAAAAAAAACCCTAAATTGACAGTAAAATTCCCAAACTATGAATTAAATCAATCTTCATGATCCCAAACATCTGCTACACTTTTGAGAGGTCCATCATTCTTGTTCACAAACAAGGCCTCCCCATCCAACACACGTTTCTGCACCTCACACAAATAAATACATACATATATATATGTCCAGTTTAGCCATGGCTGTTTAAATAAATATTTTAATTATAATAATAATATGATGAGAATTGAAATGGACCTGATCTGGGATGTTGCAGAGAGCTTCAAAGTCCTGCTGAGGAATCTCCCAATTAAAAACATGAATATTCTCGAGGATCCTGTCGGGAGAATTGGATTTAGGAATTGTACTCGTCCCCCTCTGTAGTGCCCACCTCACCAGCACCTGCCCAGGGCTCTTGTTCAGCTTTCTTGCTATCTTCTCCACCGTCGGATCATGGATCAGATCGCGGCCCCCCTCCTGAGACCCCAAAGGCGAATACGCCTGCCCAACCCAACCCAACCCATTAATTAATTAATCAGTCATTGTAATGGATTATGTCGTCTTCTTAATTGAGATTTACTTACAGTGACGTGGACGCCATTTTTGTTGCAGAAATGGAGCATCTTGTCGTTCCTCCATCCAGGGTGCATCTCCATCTGGCAAACAGAAGGTTTGATCTCTGCAAAGCTCAGGAGATGGCTCAGTTTCTTGATGGTGAAATTGCAGACACCAATGCTTCTTACAAGGTTGTCTTTAACAAGCTTCTCCATCTCCCTCCACACCCCTTCCATGTCCATATCCAACACATCCCCTGCCTTGTCCGATCCCTCCCGCAGCCGGAACGGCCAGTGGATCTTCAATTAATTCAATAGATTAATTCCAAATTCACTTATAAAATGAAAAAAAAAAAAAAAAGAAACAGAAAGTTAGTAGTACGAGATAGAGATCAAGATAATCGAGGCCCATTTCTTTCAATGTCTTCTGCAACGCAGGGCGTACTCTTTCAGGGCTCAAATCAGTGCACCTGTAAATGTAAATCAAATAATAATTAATGAATATGGTGGTGTGCTGTGTTGTCCCAGTCAGGAATTTAATCGAACACCTTGAAGACAAGTAAAAGTACCAAATCTTGGATGTAACAAATAGGGCAGTTCTTTCGATTCCGGCGTGGATTGCTGCCCTGATTCCGGTTCCGACCTCGTGCTCGACTCCATATTTGGCGGCTGTATCCACGTGCCTGTACCCACCCTGCATCCCAAATTTAAAAACTCTTACTCTTGCAGCAGAATCGAGCAATTAATGGAGAGCGTAGTTGATTATTGTGTGTACTGTACCTCAATTAGTGCTTTCTGAACGCAGTCGCGGGGGGATTGAGATTTCCAGGTGCCGACGCCAATGGAAGGTATGAGATGGCCGCTGGGTAATCTGTAAGATTCTATTTGTCCGGCCTGAGGTGAGATCGTCGCCTGCGCCATTGTTGCTGGAGCTTGGATGGATGGATGTATTACTACTGCTGCTGCTACTACTAGTAGTAGTTTTGTGATCGAATCGATTCGATTCGGTTGTCGGCATTTAATTGTATAGGAAGAGGGGTGATGGATGTGTTGGAGGTGCAAGGAAATGCCACGTACAAGGATGTCCACTTCTTGCGCCTTCTGCATGCCACAGCCTTTCTCCATGGAATTGGATGCTGAGTGTCATCATTATTCATTCATTATGGAATTTTTTGTTTAATCTAATTGTTCGGTGAAGGATGTGTTTGTTTGTTTTAATTTTTGGGTTTGAATTTTTAATAATAAAAATTAAATTTAAATAATTATTTGATATTGTATAAATAAATTTTTATAATATTTTTAAGGAAGAAAAAGTCTAAATAATAAAAATTTGTCGTAAAATTTATAAAAAAATACAACCTTTCTGTTTGTTTGGGGTTTGGATTTTTAATTCGAAATTTAAATAATAAAAATTTTAAATTATAATATAAATAGACATTGATATTATATGATATTTTGAATATAAAATTAATTTTAAATATAATATAAAAAATATATAAAGAATTTGTATATTTAATTTAATATTTAAAAAAAATGAATAATAAAATTTCGCATAAAACCTATAAACGAACACACACTAAATTTTTTAAGTTGCCGAACTTTAGTACAATTGAAATACAGTAGTATAATTTTTTCATTAAAAATAAAATAAAAATATTTTCATTTTTTTATTCTTATTTTTATTGAGTAATTTATTTTACCAGACACGGACTACAAACAAAGATAAAATATCTTTAACCGAAAACCGAATAGAATTCCAAACAAATTTGAAGGCGACGCTTTTATTCTATATATTTTTATGTTCTTGTAAATACTCGAGGAACCAAATCGAACCCAGACAGGGCCCGCAAGGATATAACTATAATCAGGCAAGGCAAGGCAAGGCAGGGCCCGGACCCAATCTTTCTTCTTGCTTCCAGGACCTTCCCAATTCCAACAAAACCATATTCAGAGAGAAAGGGAGGACCACCCCCCATCCTACCCTGCAAACAATGCTCCAAAAGTCCAAACTCTCTGTGCCCCACTGCTCAGTATTTCACTGCTACACTACATATCACATGTATCTTTCAAATTTCAAGCGTCAACAACAAGCACATATATATATATATATATATAATTCTACTACAATACATAATCACCATCCTCATGACATTACACTAAACACCACTTTAAAACACACCATCCAAACATAATTAATTAATTAATGCAAACAAAACTCATTTCAGATTTCTTCTTCTTCTTACCTCCCTCACATTTGCAGCACAACACCTTTGGACGATCTGCAGACACTGTAACGGTAAGCCCCCACTTTCCTCTTCCGGGACCCCGAGTTGTCCACCGACACCACCAGCTTCCCCGCTCCTCCGGCGGTGTACGAGCTGTGCACAGCCTCCTCCTCCGCCGACATCCGCCGCGGCTTCGCCACCGCGATGGTGTAGCTACCTTCAGCAGTCGGTATGAATTCCACACTGTATTCCAATTCCCACCCTCCCACCACAATTTCCCATGTCACTGTTGCACCCCCCTGTCGGAAATTCATTTAGGTAATAAGAATTTGGGAGCAAATCTATGATTTTTTTTTTCTATTAATATTATTATTTTCACCTCGATACCCTCGAGTTGAATGTTCACTTTCTCTTCGCCTTTGATGGTGAACTCAGACGCCGGTTGAGGGGGAACGTCGAGGGCGTCGCCCGGCCGGTTCAGGCCGCCGTAGTGAACCGGGATGTGCTCAGGCCTGATGAATCTGGTTAATGACAGACAAGGCAGAATCTTATTCCCTTAAATGGTAAAACATATATGAACACGAAAACCCAGACAGCATTAAAGATTAGCCCATCAAGAATCTATCGACAACATTTTAAACACATACTTGTAGAGAGTATCTGCAGTATTCCCTTCCTTGGAGAGCACAAACTTGCTCTTACTTCTTTGGGTCAGAAATGGACTAAACATTGAATACATCAGGCTGAAATACCAAGGCACATTTACAAAGATCTGAAACAAAAATTCAACTTGAGAAAAAAGAAGGATGTTGAAAGCAAGAAGAAAAAATAATGGTGGAAGACAGAGAGGGAGAAGAACACACACCTTTCTGGCAACCATTTCAGGGTAGTTGTCCTGGAACAGGGAGAGGATGTGTTTGGATGCTGTCCTGAGCTCCCTCTTAGGCATGTCCTTAAGATCAGTGACCTGAATGATGGAATTGACTCCTCCAGGTTTGAATTCCAGCAGCTTAATTCCTCTCTCAAGAATCTGCACTCGCCACCTCAAGAACTTGTTCAGCTTCTCGTCATCTCCGAAAACCCTCTCATACATTTCTCTGTCTTTGAAAACCCCATACTCATTGTAGCAGACAGGGTGCCCTTCCCTGTCAAACCCCTGCATATAAGCAACAATTCCTTCCAGCTCTTTGAACCCTAACTCCTCCCCCAAAATTGCGTCCGCACCGAATTCCTTCCTCCAAGCCAAGCAGTTGAGGAGCATGGTGAGGGAATCCTCCACTTTGAAGTCCCTAGCCCGGAGGAACTTGAGCAAGATGACGTCAGCACGGTCGTCAGCATTTTCAGACAATGGTATTCCCCACATAGAGATGGGGCCATCGGTGGATGCCGCCAGCCTCTCCTTGAGCTCTCCCAGGGCTTTCTTCTCGGATTTTTTGAGGTGGGAAATCTGATATGTGTCTTCTCTGAAGGAAGGAGATCGGAATACTCCGGCAATCAACCTATTCTTGAATGGCTTTGGGGAGGATTGCGGGCTCTGATTCTTCTCCAGGGCTTGCTGGATTGAGAGGGGCGAAGTAGCTTCCATGTCTATGTGTGAAAACGGGAATGGGGAGTGTGAGAAAGTGAAAAAGAGAGAAGCTCGTGGACTGGACGGAAAACTGGAAAAGAAAGTAAGGGGGCAGTCATGTCATACATACGTGAATTTAAGCGGTGGTTGTGATGGGATTCTTGGGAGGTCCAGGGATCTCAACACCTGATAAAATTCATGGGGTCCACATCCATCTTCTTAGAGAGTCCTCGGAGCTCCTCTGAAATGAATCTGCACATGTTTGTTTGTTGAGGCTATGACATAATAAGGGTGATGTGTGCTGTGTCAGGAACAGTTCCGTATATTTGAATGCATTATATCAAAGTGCAAATTATCGGCTTTTGCCCACATAGTTGTCAATTGTTAAAATGCGATTTCAAATAATGACCAAAATGGAAGACTCAAAAGAGGATCTTCACTGGGGGCAGTAATCCAACATATATTAAAGTTGTGTTCACATTGTAATGGAATTTAAAATGGGGGCTTCCAACCAAGATAACCATGTGGAGAGTTTGATTAATTGCCAGTAAACCAAAGAGTACAATTGCACTTTCTGTAGAGTTGGCATGACAGACAAAAAATTTACTTCTTGGCAGATAGATATTTCTAATTATTCCTTGTGCAGTCAAGTCAAGCAAATGCATAGTAGAATATGAATGACACCCCACAAACACATGAAACCACCTGCTCATACAACCAGATGCAAATCAATCCTTCATTTTATAAAAAAGAAAAACAGACATGATCCTACTTGTTGAAGTTTGATTAGTTGCACATTACATGGGTATAAATTAAGTCAAAGCAAAGAACCACACTTAGAGAAAACCAACCTTCTAAAGAATATTATGAATCTGCAGCAACCTTGTATGTAAGTTTTCCATTTTCCAGAATAACAGAGAACTGCTGGGATCTGTTTGAATAGGATAAAAATAAAACATTAGAAAGGTGTTATTGTCCAACTGTTCTGAAATATATAAGTTACAATCACATGAAAAAGTAAACATTTTACACAATGTACATGAATGAAATTTGTAGCAGAAAATCCATTACCTCACAATTTTCTTGTAGCTTACAACAAAGCTTGAGAGGATGAAGAAAAACTCGTCGACCAACACTGATGAGTGACCAAACCATCACCAAGTATTCATCAAGAGACCTTGCAACTGGCCTGCGCGTGTAGATGCCTCACGCTCATGTAGCAAGTGTCACATTGCCACACAAATAATCCACCCAAATAACACAGAATACTCTCCATCACTTAACAGTCATAGACAGATGAACTTCTTTTCCTTTGCATAGGTGAATAAGCTCATGTTTTGGCTTATTACTATGCCCGGAGTAATGATCCTCAAACAAGCATTCCATAGCAACAGAAACCTTCAATGAGAAGTGCTTTACTTTAGGTGTCCTATAGAAAGGAGCAACAAGTGTAAGCTTCCTTAATTTATTGCACCCTTCGAACTCATCCAAATCCATGAACACAAACTGAGTACATTTTTCTCCAAGATTAATAACAAGCCAAAACCTGCTTCCATTAGAAATGTTGGACAATGTGATGTCTAGTGGGATTCCAACAGGCATTCCCGGAATAAATGGGTAAGGATTTTGGAAATCGTTGTCGGAGATATCCAATTTGACATCCAAGTACTTCAGTTCTTTGGCCAGCACCATATGTTTCAGGGTGAAGAGGCTGAGAGACTTCTTGAGCAAGGATAACCGGTGAGTGTTCCCATCTTTGAAGTTGTCAACTTCACCTGATACAACTTTCTGAAGCTCAATTACAAAATCAGAAAGTTCAACAGATCCTTCTTTTTGAAGACATTCCACATGGAAAAGCACGCGGTTCAACTTTTTCATACAATCATCAAAACAGCAGATCCCTCCACAATATGCTTTCAAGGTATATGTAACAAGCATTAGCTCAAGGATGTGCAATTTTTCTTGTCCCCCTAGACCCACGAACCTGTATAGAATTTCTTTGAGTCTTTTTTCCATTTTACCAAACAGGGCATCATAGACCCTCATCTCTCTGAAATGAAGACTTGTCTCGCACCAGATCTTTGCAAGCAATTTTATAACATGTAAGTACTTCAATACGAAAGTCATGACACCAGAAAGTTGGCATGATCCACAAGAAAAAAACTTCAGCTCTTCTTTCCAGCTCCTGCACATGCATACCTTGAAACACATTAGCCATGCAAACATAGAACAAGAAAACATTTGCAGAGACAGCTCATGCAAAAGAAAAACAGCTAAAGGTGGATTGCAAGTGCCATAAAATTGAACTGCAGAAATGAGAATTATAGAGGTCATGAACTATATATCACAAAACATGCAAAACTTTCCTTCATCAAAACCAGTTCAAAAGCTCCTAGAACCATTACTTCAAGAGAACCTTTTTCAAAAACCTTATATATTCGATCAATCTCAGCTAGAAAACATATAGAAATGTATCATTAGAGAAGAAAATCATTCAAGTAACATATTCAAAGGAAATATGATCTGATAAGGAAAAAGTTACGCATTTAAACAGCGATATTCTCCTTCCAATCAATATATTACAAACCCTAAGGACATTCAGGGATATGTTGAGTTGCAAAATAAAGCAACTTCATTAGAACTTCCATCAAATGAGAACCAATCCCAAAATAGCTATTACTGAAATGTCAACTTAAATTCTAAAAGCACCACCACATTTACCTCAATGTTTGAAGTACTTCATTCATGCATCCAAGTTGCACCAGCGACCACAAATCTACAGTTTTTTGCATGACAATCTCCAAGCAGTTTGATACCTTGAGATTCAGCAATCCCGCTGACTCAAGAGAAAGGGGAGAACATTCCGCATCCTTCCTCAAAAACTGGACATGATTTGAATGAAAACCCTGCACTTCACCTTCTAAACTTTCTGAAGAAGAGGCAATAGTGAATCGGCTGCAACGAGTCAGATGTGATAAAAGGGTGCTTTGATCTGTGAAATCAACAAGACCACAGGATACTCTGCCCAATAGTGTAACTGCACAAGAATATATCTGTGGAGGAATGCTGCATATCTGCCGTTCAAGTGACACTGGAGCTGAGATAGCCAGTACTAGTAAAGCGGCTGTTCTTGCTTTGTTGGAATCCAACTTTCCATCAAAAGAAGGTTCTAACTGGGATATGTATATTGATAACATTCAAACAAAAAGAAAATCAATTGGTAGGAATTTTAACTAAAAACTATACAGAGCAAAGATATTTTTCCAGCATGCATTTATACACTTTAAAGATTCAAACCAAGGAAGGTTTTCATGATGCCATTCCAAAGTTATCCAGGATCTTCTAATCAAATCAGCTAGATTTACCACTTAAAAGTTGCTTGGAGAAATCTGAAAATTTTCATTTGTAATCACCGATGCGAATGATGACATATCAATTATCATACAATTTTTGTTCTGAAAGTGGGCATCAAAGGAAAATCTACTAGAAAATGTTAAATATGTACTCACCTCTTCAGAAAGTCCATTTATGATGGTGGTCACGTATTTTCCATGAGTTCGACCAATTTTGTATAAAACATTAAAAATATCAGCCTCATCCTGCAATATTTTGTCAAGAAAGATTAACTGAAGAATGAAAAGTTACAAATAAAAAATTCATTTATGCTCATTTTGACTGCTTACAGCAAATTTCCAAAAATTATTCAACCAAGAATGTGGTAACACAGAAAGGTGGAGAATTTCTACGCTTTCCATGCCCAAAACAATGTAAACAATAGTCCTGAACACTAATTTGGTAGCATAACACATATATGTTCAATTTTCAAAGAACAACTTTTGTGAGCAAACAAACCTCTGGATACAGTTCCATGTTCTTGATAAGACTATCTATGCATGATTTAAACATCGCCAACTTCTGCAACTTAATTAACTGGAGACTCTTCCTTGCAGCAGACCTTATCAAGGCATTATTATCAATCAAAGTGCCCAAGAACTGCAATGAACTAAAAAATATCAAAATATACCCGAACCAAGTAATGCTTAACAAATTCATTGGACTACTGGTTAAAAAATGGGAAAGTAGAGATATTTTATTTGATAAAGAAGTTTAGACATGCAAAAAATTAGGAAGTGGTAGATGAATATCAATTTCCAAGCTAGACCAAGTGAAACAAGTAGAAAAATTCAGAAAGAACACTATAATCAGTAGTTATACCTCAAACAACACAATGAAAAAGAACAAGACACAAAGAAAATAATGGAATCATCAGCCAATCACACGAAACCCAAGAATATTCATTATACTGTACTACAGAACTTCCTCAAGTTTGCACCAGAGATAGATAGCTAGCACCTGCTCGAGCAGGGGCATTAAGGGCCCACACTGGGGGACCAGAATCTTAAAAATTATATATGTATACATATATGTGTGGTGTTAAATACATTATTAAGCTTATTTGCAAGATGAGATTAAAAATATATAGAGATTTTTCAGTAAATAGAGTATGTTGCACTAATCTTTTTCCAAATAAAAAAAAAAAAAAATGTACATTTTTTTAATTAGAGATTTTGCAGATGATTTTACCAAGTATTATGGCAATATTGATATTATTATAAATAAATTTTATATTTCAAGATGCTCAAGTGAAAAATATACTCCATCTTAATCATTTAAATATATTTATTTGTGTATTTCTGTATGTCAAAAAGTACATAATTATAAAGGTCTTTACTTCAGTTTTGGCCCGGCCCTTATAAAGGTCAGGAACGGCCTGTCCAACTCTATGTCCAAAAACAGTTGACTGAATATATTCATATACCCACAATGAAAGGAAAGCAACAGCCCAACATATAAAAGCAGAAGCAGTGAAGCTCAAGCTCAATCAAAGGTTGACACATTGTAACAGAAGCAACGTAAGAACTCCATAAAGTTCTCCAAAACATGCATAATCCTCAAAATAAATGACAATATACTTCACACAACTTAATTAGAAGCAGGTAATTGAATGGAATTTCCAGATGGATCAACAATTTCCTATTTGTCAAAGAATAGGACAAATAAATTCCATACAAACCATACTGCAGTTTCAAGTAAACCAAGAAAAACTAACACATAAAATCGAATAAAAAAAAAAATCACAGCAACAACTTTGTTAACATAAAAAATAGGCTTATACCATTTGTAATTGAGATGCTTCCACTGTGAAATGGCCATTCATAGCAATATGATGTAGAGTGATCAAAGCTTGTAATCTTACAACAACTGCATCATCATTCAGCATATCCATCATTCTATCTACCACTCCACCAGAAAATTTAGCAGAAAGAACAGCCAGCTTTTGCAGGGCACAACAAGCCGATCTTCTGACCTTCACAAAGAAAAGAAAATGATAATTAAAAGTAGCAGCATAGTCAATGAGAGGGGGGGTACAGATGGAATTATGTTGAATTGACATCCGACATAAGACAATAAAGCATAAGGCAGCACTTTTAAATGCGTTTATACGAAGTAGGTGTTCAGGGCAAACATACTACCTGATAAAATTCATCTTCTAATCCATGTATGAAAGAAAAAGCAGCAGCAGTAGCTGGGATTTTAAACAGTTTAGCAGTGTACTGTCCTCGGTAATTTTTATCTTTGGTTGCGGCCAAAGGTTTTTTAGACAGTGTCTGCAGCAGGATATCCTCAGAAACGTTTTGAATAGTTCCAAGCGCTTCAAAAGCTGCAACCCTTATCTCCATATCCGTGTCTCTTACCATTATACAGAGCTTTATGAATATCGGCAACCAAATAATTAATCAAATGGAATAATAAATAAATAAAGACAGAAAACTTATACTGGACACAAATATGATGCCAAAAATGTAAAACAAGATCTTTACTTAATTAAGGGTTTGCCGGTTTGAGTTTTTTTTCTTCTTTTTCCTATTCAGTCTCTCAATTTTCCTCTTACAACAAGGTTGTAGTTTTCATACAGAACATCACATCAAACAATTTTTCCACCTAAAAAGAGAACACATCCTAACTGCCTTCCACAATAGCAAAATTATCGATTGCATGAACATAGAACTATTATATATAGGCTGTTTATGAGGTTGTGTGAGAGCAAACATTTCCCAAAGAACCATTATAATCCTACGAATAACTGACAGATTCAACTGCAACACATAGACGATGGATCAGACTACTTACCATGTGTTTTTTCATTCAAAATTACACAATCTGCAACCTCATTTTTTCATCGCATCTACAATTATGCTAAGCAGTGAAACTCTCTTGTTAGATATCTTCAACAAGTATGCTTACATTCTTTACTAAAACATGTATCCAGAACACAAAGCCAATCCTCATTATCTTGCAATACATGCAACTGTATTTTTATTAACACTCATACTGTAAACGATACCAGGAAGGATGAAAAACAAACCTGTACAAACAATGCATCGGACCAATCTCCATGAGTTGTATCAGGATTCATTGCTTGAATCAACCGTCCCCACTTACTGACCTGAAACCAAGGGGGAAAAAATGGAAAAAAATCAAAGAGCGCTGAATTTTGCTATCTGATTGCACAAATGATTGATGATAGTTAAGTTCATCTGATATGGTTCATACTAAAGTATCAAAGCAATAATGGTTAGCAATGGCAATAGCATACCACACGAACAGCAGCACCTCTGACAGAGGTATCTGCATCAAAAAGAAGCTCTGCAGCACGAAAATAACAGCCTTCGATCAAACTCCGATCATCCACCACAACACTATTACATAACATCACCAAGCCATCCAACGCAGCTTCCTTAATATATGGATACGGATCTTTAGTTAACCCCAAAAGAACCATAAGCAACAGCGACGGCCTCAATCGATAATCGCTCACGTTTCTCAGCATCCATCTTCTTGTCTTCACGCAGTTCCAGAAGCACAGAGAAAGAAATAGAGACTCGTCCGCAAATGGGGCTATCGGGGCAGAATGACCAGGCTCGATAAGAGATATAGCGTGAGGAAGAGATGAAGTTGGAGTCGACGGCAAGTATATAAATGACTGGGACGCGGCGGCAATGCGGAGGCGCAGGCGGGGGTGGTGACGAGAAATTGCGTAGAGTAGAGAGAGTATTTTGCGGTGATCGGAATCAGCATCCTGGAGTTGGAGAATTAGGCTTTCTGAAATGGAAAACAGCGTCTGATCAGAAGTGTATGGATTGGTGATGAGAGAGAGAGCAGCGTCGGTCCACTTCGGGGATAAATTAGGGTTCCGGCCGACGTCGGCCAGGAGGCGCTGCTCCATCGCCGATCGGAAAAAGATGGTTAAGGGGAATAGTGGCGATTTCGTAATTTTTAATATTAAATCAGACCTTTATTTGCAGTTGCAATATAATCCAAAATTTTGAGTGAGTTTGTTTTGTACAAAAATAAATAAATAAACATATTCCCTCCCAACTTATTTGTCCATTTTAATTAGGAGAAAGAATTTTTAAATATTACTTTCTCCTTTCCATTATTTTAGTTTGTTCATAATAAAATATTTATTTATTTATTTTTTTAGTAAGTATTATATACCTAACATTATAAATATTTTTACAATTTATAATATATTACTGTTACTGATAACGTTATTTTAATCATTTCTACTTTATTCCTACTACATTCCATATAATACTAATATTTCTAAAACTCCATAAAAAAACAAATTGATAACTAGTTATGGGACGTATGGAGTATATAATTAGTAAATAATTAAGAAATATATCACGAAAAAATAAACAAATTATATTGGATGAGAAGAGTATTTTTTAAAAATATATATATTAAATATATTTTTTATTTTTATACTCCCTCCCTCCCACATACAGTGTCTGTTATACTGTAAACACGGTATTTTATGAGGGGTGTAATTAGTAGATAATTAATAATGTATTAGTGAAAATAATTATCATATAATATAAATAAGTTAAGAATAACTAATTAGTTTAATTAAAATTAAAAATATATATATAATTTAAAAGTTTAAAATGAGATTACAGTGTATAATCATTTTCCAAAAAATAAAGTAACATGAAATGTGGGACGGACATAAACCGATATGATATGTGGGATGGAGAAAGTATTATCTATAGAATTTTTTTTATATTATATTAAAAAAAATAATTTTTTAAACAATTTCATGAATCACAAGAAAACAAATTTTATATTTCTATTAATTAAATATAACGATAGTAATAATGGTATTAAGAGTGTCTTCCATCCAAAAATATAGAGTAGAAAATTCAAATATAAGAGTAATTATTTTCTTATTTAATTGAGTAGAGGATAATTTAAATTTATGAAATAAATCTTTTTTATTCATTACGTTCATTCCTCTTCTACATAAAATATGTAATATATATGATAAATTTATCAAATTTTTCTCACATATTTTCATAACTATAAGTAATACTCCTAAATACAACAAAATTAAAAACAAAAATTTATCCATCATACTTACTAATAAAATATATATTTTTTTTAATCTAAAAAACAAATGTATAATTTCAATAATATATTTAATATAATTTTTTATAAAATATTAATATTATATTTTTTTATAAAATGATATACTACTATATAGTAAAAAAACAAGAAAAAATGTCAAAGCAAACAAATGCCACATATGTATATTTTTGTATTTTTAAAATTTTCTTGATTGTAGTTTAAAACTAATTCAAAGTTAAATAGTTTTTGAATTTTTATTTTAATAATATTTATGATAGTAAATAGTATATTTTATTATAAATTGTATATAGTTATATATAGTACTAATTTCAATGTAAAATTACAATCAAACACACGTGTTCTTTTTTTCCTTTTCTTTTTAGATTATGATTTTAATTTTTTATTTACATAGTAATTTTAAATGTAATTTTTTGTAATGAACTTCTGTATGTTTTTATAGAAAAATAAATATAAATCATTTCAAAGTTATTGTTAATCAAACTAAAATTTCATTTTAGCAATTTTAAAGTAAAACAATTATTAGATTATTAGATATATATATATATTCTAATCTATTGATAAAATAAACATTGGATATAATATTAACAAAAAAAACATATTTATAGGAATGGGTTTGATTATTAGCAATATATATATATATATACACAAAATTTAAATTATATATTGTAAGATAAATAATATTATCTTTGTCCAAATAAAGGTGTTTATTTTGTTAATTTTATTTGTCTAGTAAAATATATATATAAATACATTTTTAGTAAAAATACTTTTTGTCATTATTTTTTAATAATACTAATATAAATGATTAAAAAAGAACTTACACTAATATATCAAAATTTACGTTCAAAAGTCAAATAAATATATTTACTTTGATGGATGAAGTATCTTTCTGAAATATCTGTAGTTGGGATTTGTCGTGTCGTCGTGGCATCAAGAATTATATATTTTCTCTCTCCACCGTCAATCTATCAATTTTGTCATTTTAACATGTCCATCGCAAATGTATCTATTTCATTTTTCAGTAAATGTATCTTCTATTAAAATATAAAATTATCCCATCATTTATATAATATTATACAAATATCATCAAATAATACAACTTAATACCATAAATGTTAAAGGATATAATACTTTTTATGTATATTAATTGTACCACATATTAAAATAATATTAAAATACGTACAAAAAGTAAACAGATAAATAAGTGGCTGAAGGAAAGAGTATAAAAGTTGCAAGTAAAGATAAATAGCAGTATCTAGTAGTATGATATTATGACAAAATTTATTATTTTGTATGAGACATGAGTTTATTTAATGAATTAAATTTTTTTGATAAAAGCATAAATAAAATATACTTATGTCTAGGCTCGGTAGAAAGTCAGATTGAATTTATGGCTACGGTCTAATATAAGGAGGCCGGAAGCCTATAAAAAGTATATTTTCTAAGCTAATTTTTTTTTATCTCATTTAATTTGTTCAATTATTTTTTTTAAATATAATTATATATTTTAATTATATTTAAAAATTTATATTTTATAATTTTTTTTATTTAAGTTAAATTATTTAGTTATTATAATTTAATTATATAATTATTTTTTATTAATATATTTATTAATTATATATTTCTTCCGTCTTAAAACTATAGTCTGATGTTTGATGCGGAATTCAAAAAATATTAATATTATATTGATAGTGAATAAAAAGTATATGTAAAATACTTTTTTGTCCTTGTAAGTGTATTAGTGTAAAAAATAGTAATAACTGTGTAATAATAATAAAAAGATAAAAGTAATTTTATAATGATATAATTATTTATTTAATGAAACTATTATTTTAGAACAAATAAAAATGGTAAATAATACTATTGTATTGTGTGACCGAGGAAGTAATATTTAAAACTATCTAAATTAATAGGACAAAATAGAAAATAGTACCTATTGAAATAATATTATAAAACAATAAAATAATAAGATGGAAATTATAGCGGCACGTCCTTCCAAGTGAAATGAATTTTATGGATTAATTATTCATTTCAGTAGTCTGTCGGTTTCATTGTCAATTTTGTACTTTCGTTTATTTTATATAATTTATTATTTTTTTAAAAAAAATATATGATTTTAAATTTTATAATTTATATTTTTTAAATTTTAATTTATAATTATTTTACTATATAATAATTATTTTTACTAATATATTTTTAATTATTTATAAATTATATTTTATTTAATTTTTTTAATCAAATTATTTAGAATAGTGGGAGTATTATTTTATTTTTTACAAATTTAATTTATTTAAATAATGCAAAAGTGGCGCACGATCGACGCCACTATATATAAATGCAATTGGATGAGATGAGATGAGATAGAGATGAGATGAGAGAGGCTACGAAGACCACAACGGCAGCAAAGGCCAATCAATCAGTCAATCATTCAGTTTCAGACAAGCACGCGATTAGAATGCCGTGTCTCGACATCTCCACCAACGTTAATCTCGACGCCGTCGACACCGATCCTCTCTTCTCCGACCTCACCCAAGCAGTTTCTCGCATCGTCGGAGTCTCCGAAAATGTACGTATCTGAATCTCATCTCAATTTCTATTTAATTATTACGCTCGTTCGATGACGATGACGACGAGCTTGAGGTTCAATTAATGTTTTTGAGCGGATCGCCATAGCATCATCGGTAACCGCTCGGTCTGTGTTTGTGGCCAAACCCTAGGCTAGGTTTGTCGTTGATAGTCTTCCTGTTTTGTAAGAATTCTTCCTCAGATTTTCCTTTTTGTGTTGAGCCAATTATTATAGCTGTTGTTTATATTTTGGGTGCGTTTATCCGTGAATTTTAGTTTTGAGTTTTGATTTTAAATAATAAAATTTTAAATTAAAATAATTGTTTGATATGATATAAATATATATTTGATATTTTTGACACTAAAATTAAATTTTAGTATAATAAAATAAATAAAAATTGAGTATTTAATTTGATGTTTTTTAGAAAAAAAAATTAAAATAGTAAAATCAGGTGTACCTAACACAGATTTTTTTTACTTAAATTATAAAAAAATTGTTTAAATAATATTAAAATGACAGTAATATATTATTTTTAAAAAAATTCTTAAAAAAAAAAACTCTTCCTTCCTTTTTTTTGTAAAAAAAATTAATATATCATTAATATTTTGAATATTAATATAATTGTCATATTTTTTTATTTATTTAGTAACTGTAATCTCCACTTTATAATAATATTATTTTCTCAGCTTTTTCAAAATTACTTTGACTCATTTTTAAACCCTCCAAAAAGCAAAAAAAGAGGGTATTTTACACATTTATATTTTATTTTTTATCTCATTTTAATTAAATACTATTATTTCTTAATATTATTTAGAAGTTTTTGCAATAATTTATTTGTAATATTTTTTTAAAAATATATTATATATATTTGAAAAATATATTTTCAGTATTTTATTTATTATTATTACTCCCTTTCGTCCCTCGATGCAAGGTTGTCGTTTGCTGGTACAGACAAAAATAGTAATTACATTTGTATAATATATGATAAATTAAAAAAAATATTTATTATGTTACAGTTACTAAATTTAAAGATAATCTTATCTTGGAATGCACAAAAATAAAAACGAAAGGAATATTATTTTTTCAAAATACGGAATTTTTTATATAAAAGTACACTAAAACTGGTAATAGCGGGACCAGACAGCATTGCATCAGTGCCTTCACAAGGTGCCGATAAGCCGCACGTTATCCACGCCGTATAATAGATAAAATATATATATATATATAATATTAAAATAATAATATAAAATTATTTTTGTGTATTTATATATTTATGCAAAAAAAATTATCTTGATGAAATTAAATTTTAATTATTTAAAAATTGATAACATTTAAAATTTTAAATAATCTATTAAATTTTTTGAATAACGTGTATATTTCAAATTTTCAAATAAAATTATAAAAATACTGATATTTTTAGAGGTACCACAAAAAAATTTGAAATAAAATTACTAATAACACTTAGCACCACCCATCACATGTGTATTCGCCCGTGCATACGGTGTGTCAATTTATGTGTGCATATTTGTTCTTTCTATTTTTTTACCATGCATTTTTCTAAAAATAAATAAATTAATACATTGCATATATTCATTATTTTTATATTCTCTATATCCGGTATTAAAAAAAATAAAATAAAATTCTATTCCAAAGATCTTATAAAACAAACACACACAAACATTAATTATATAAAATTTATGACATGGTGGCCTACCATTTTTTAATCTTTTAATGTGTATTTCTTTTGGGTCTAAATTCAGTTTATAAGCTTAAATTTTTTTATTAAAATCATATATATATATATATATTTAGAAAGGCATAGTAAAAATGTGAATAAACCCTAATGATTTGATTTTATGTACAATTAATTACAACAGTTGGTGATGATACTAATAAAGGGTTCGGTTGGCCTAACATTTGGAGGGACAAAGGAGGCAGCAGCATTTGCAGAAATAGCATCAATGGCCGACATAAATACAAACATCAAGAGACAACTAATTTCAACAATTGGTTCGATTTTAGAGACTAAATTATGTATTCCCAAGACAAGATTTGTCCTTAAAGTCTTCAATATAACTTCCTCCTCTAATTCCAAATTGTAATCACCACTTTTATTTTCATTTCAAATACTTCTTTGTCCATCCCACATTAAGTGTCCCTAATTTTTATATCATCTCCAACTCACTACAAAATGCCATTTTTACAGATATGCACAGTGTTACTCTAAAAATGGAGTAGCACTGTTACTCCACTCCATTTTTGGAGTGGAGTTTTTGTGGTGTTTTTTTATATTTTTGGTATTTTTTTTGGATATATTGTGTAATTTTAATTTTTTAGTAAATAATATATAATTTTATATTTTAAAAAGTTGTATGTAATTTTTTTTTTTTTTGAAAAATAATGTATAATTTTATATTTTTCAAAGTGATATAATTTTAATTTTTGAAAAGTAATATAATTTTATTTTCTTAAAAAATAATGTATAACTTTATTTTCTAAATTGATATATAATTCTACTGTTGAAAAGTAATATAAATTATGTGTATGAATCTAATGTAAAAATAAATTAAAGTTGGGGTGTAATTTATAAATATGAAAAGTTATATAAAATAATATAAAAGAGGAATATACAGAGAATATACTTTTTAGAGTGAAAATTGAAGTTTATGGTTGGCGTAAAATTACTGCAGATCAACTGTATTTTTACTGTAGCAACTGCAAAAATAGAGTGGAGGGTTGGAGATGGCCTTATTTTCGTTCGTCATACATAATTTGTCTTTTTGCTTTTTGAAAATATGATTATACACGTAAATTTTATAATTTATAATTTTGTTAATCTTAATTGAACTATTTAATTATCTTAATTTTTGTCTACAATAATTTTTATCATATAATAGTAATTATTTTTACCAATATATTTTTAAATTATTTACTAATTATATTTTATTTAAATTTTCGTACCTAACAGACGGAACAGTAATAAACATGTATTGATTTTTTCAAATAGCACTAATTACTAGTCAAAATAACATACAATTCATATTGATGTAATACAGTATAGCAAAAACGAAGAATACATGAGATATTTTTATAGGATACATAGTTGTAATGATTTTTTCAAATAATATTGATTCAGTCCATAAAACACCAATTAAAAATCCAAAAAAATAACACGTTTTAAAATATTGATTTCATGCAATATAATTATATAAATAAATATTTGGTCTAGGACTTCAAACATAAATACTTTTGTAATTTTTTACTTTTTAAATTTAAATTATAAGAATTTAAGTTCAACTTGTAGTTGTAGGTAATCAAGTAGAACAAGGAAGCCTCAAATTGACTAGTTGTTTAATTGTATTTATGCTGTTTTATTTTGAAAATCAATAAAAATTTGTTTTAAAATAATTATTTTGATGTAATATTAACAATTGTTTAAAGATAACTAAAAATTGAAAAAAGTTTATATAACAAAATAATTTTTTTATTTTTTTATACAACACTTTTGAACCATACTCCCTCTCACTAGAAGCATCAATTATATTATTTTTTTTATCATTCAGATACAATAATACAGTGATTTTTTAATATGAATTAATTGTATATTACAAATATACTCAGATTTATATTTATTTATATGAATTTTATTTTATTAAATTTAAAGTAAGTTATTAAAATAGCGTCTAAGTGAAAAAAAAAAAAAAAAAACATGCAATAGTCATCAAATCCCAAATAAAAGATAAGCCAATATTTTATTTTATAAATTTAAACCCATGATTCGTTATTGTTACTATGTCCACTTTTCTATTTTCGTTTATCACATTTATTCTATTATTTATTTTTTTTCAAAAAATAATTATATATTTACATTTTATTTATAAATTATATTTCCTATATAATGATATTTATATTAAATATATTTTATTGAAATATAATATTTAAACTATTTAAATATATATTTTAAAATTTTATTTTAATAATATACAGGAGTAATTTTTATTTTAAATCTATAATAATATTACTCATATATATAATAATAAAATAAATATTTTAATTCAATATTATTAACTAATTAAATTTTATTATTTTAAATATTATGTTATTAATTAAATGAATTAAGAAAGATTACTTTATATCAAAACATAAAATCAAATTATTTTTAATTTTTAACTTTATTAAAACGAACGCTTGATAGATTTATATGTTGTATTACGATTATCCTATATGACTGCTATTAAATTAACATAGCACATGATTTCTCCGGGCATGCTTTGACCGGTAAAATTTAGGTAAAATAGCTTATAACTCCCATGTGGTTTCAAAATTCAGCGTAAAATCTCTTTGTACTTTAAAAATTGCATGGTATCTCTTTATACTTTAAAAAACGTTGCATGAAACCCCACCAACATGAAACTTTCCTCGTGTGATAAGAAGATGATTTCCTATCTATATGTTTTGCATGGCAGAGGGGGTTTTATGCAATATTTTTGAAAGTATAAGTGAGCGTCATGCAATTTTTTAAAGTAAAATGGGGATTTATGCTGAGTTTCGAAACTACAAAGTGGTTTTATGCAACATTTTTTAAAGTATAAGGAGACGTCATGCAATTTTTAAAGTAGAGGGGAATTTACGCTGAGTTTCGAAACCACTAGAGAGTTATGGACAATTTTGCCTAAAATTTAATTACTACTATTTCCAGGATAATATATATTCATTATTTTTATACTCACTCCGTCTAATATCTATATATTCATTTGTTTTTTACATAAAGTTTTAAAAATATTAGTATTATATTAAGATAAAGTAGAAATAAAGGTAAAAAGATTAAATTAACCCTATTAGTATTGTATGATATAAATGTAGTGACATTTGTGTAATATATTGCAAATTGGAATGATATTTGTAATGTTAGGTAGATAGTAAAATTACTAAAAAAAATAAAAAAAAATGAATATTTGTTATGTGACAGACTAAAATAAAAAAAATGGATAAATTGTTAAGTGACAGAAGAAGTATTATATACATAATTATATATATCTTACATAAAAATATATATATATATATATTTGATATTGTTGAAAGTTTATTTTGTAAACAAAGTCAATTAATTTTAATTTTTCATTCCCTAATAAAATTAGCTCATTTGGTTTGACAAAAAAAATTTTAAAAATATATTTATTTTATAAAAGATAATAAATGAAAAAATATTAATTTTGTCAAAATTAATAATAAAATAAATTTAATTAAGATACTAAAAAGAGGAAAGTTGAAATTAAGTGGGAGAGTAGGATAGTAAGTGTAATGAATGAATGCGACTTTGATGAAGTAGGCAGGACAAGGGCAAACATGTCATTTAACACACCCTGGTTTCTCCTTTTTATTGGAGGAAATCTGAGGCTGAATTGAAGAGCGGAGAATCGAGAGAAGCAAAAAGGTTTTCGCGAGAACGATGCCGTGCTTGAACCTGTCGACCAACGTGAATCTGGAGGGAGTGGACACCTCCGCAATCCTCTCCGAAGCTTCGTCTTCTGTAGCTAAGATCATCGGAAAGCCGGAGGCTGTACGCGCCTTTTTATACTGCTTTCTTTATTTGTTTATCTATTACTTTCGTCGTTGCTGCTGTAATTGTTGGATGATATCGGATTTGTGTTTGCGTTGCTGATTTTGACACAATTATTTGTCTCATACGGCAGTTGGATTGGTTATTTTGAAAGCTTTTGAGTCTGCTTTTGTACATCCAATTTTGCGGTGTTCTTTTGATGTTTTCGGTGTCAATATCGTGCTGTTGAGTGATAAAAGGTAGTTCGTTGGAATGGTGGGAACAGTTGCTGGATTTTTCGCCTTTTAATTTGATAGGCGCCTGCAGGCGAAGTATTCAGCGGTTTGAGTGGATTTGGTTTTCCGATGTGAGAACTGCTCCAAAATTAGGAGGATGAGCAAGTTTATTTGTGCCTGAATACTCGTTTGTGTGCATACAGTGGATATATGTGGATTCTGACATGGATTTTTAGTTTTTGTGCTAAGGTTTTGGAATCAATCAACCCTCGATTGAATCCTCAATTGAACACTCAATTGTTCTTCATTTCGTCTGTATACTTGACTAATGTTATCTTTTGATTAGGAAAACAGCTATAACTGTTATTCCACTGGTGGATTGAAGTGGCTCTGATATCATGTTTTTTTTATCTGTTTGGTTGTAGTATGTGATGGTTTTGTTGAAAGGATCTGTGCCAATGGCGTTTGGAGGGACAGAGGAGCCTGCTGCATACGGAGAGCTTCTCTCAATTGGTGGTCTGACTCCTGATGTGAACAAGAAGCTGAGTGCTGCTATTGCCGAAATACTCGAGACAAAGCTATCTGTTTTGAAAAAGCGATTCTACCTCAAATTCTATGATACCAAAGTAAGCTATGCCTTAAATTCTTGTAATTATCCGGTAAAAGGGTCACAGCACGCGCTAGTATATTCTCATTGCATTCTTCTGCTTGTTTAGGCCGGTCAGAGCCAAGAATATGCACAATGTCTACATGCTTTACACCAGCATTAAATCATGTAAAGGAACTTTCACTATTTAGGGTAGAGGTTCTTCATTTTTGCTATTAAACATTGAAGTCCCTTTTCTCCACCTTGTAATTGGCATCTCATAGCTTCTTTGCTGTCTTTGAATTTTCGGGCTCGAGGATTCTATCGTATTTATGACCTTATCTTTTTTCCTTTTTGTAGGGTTCCATGGTTGGATGGAATGGATCGACCTTCTAGAGCTATGCACTCTTTATCTGATATATTTACTGCCTGTTTCGACAAATTTATGCACTGCAGAAGTTTCCCTGTATTTCAGGTGATGTATTTGGCATTCTGACTGACAATGGACATGTTATATATTGTCAATGCTCTTTAATTTAGTGTGTTTTTAACAATTCTATGCTCTTACTTTACTTGCAACAATGCGAATGAGTGAGATAAAGTATGAATTAGACTTCGATCTTTCATTCCAAGTTCATATTGATCATTGAAACTATTTTTACGATGAATTTCGAGCTATATTTACAAAATTCAATTACAATAAATTCGGCCGGGTAACACCCCCACTCTGCCTTGTCACCCTCTCTTTGCAAGCTGGCGAGCATGTTATATGATTATAGACTAGCATAACGTGAGAAGTTTAAAATACTATTCGGGTGTGTTCGTTTGATGGATTTGGATTAAATTCCACTATTCATCTAAAATTTTTCCCCAAAAAATATCAAATCAAAAATATCAAATCAAATCAATTTTTGGAGCCTTTGGAAAGTATATGTGAAGTACTTCTATAATCATGGCTTTGTACTTTTATACTTTAAAATTGATTTGAAATGGATTGTTTGATTTGAAATTATGTTTTAATAGTATTTTGATATAATATTTTATGATATAAAATAGTGTATTTTTATTGAAAATTGGGTGGTGTGAATAATATTAATTTTGATTTGAAATGATAAAAGAATGCAACATGCCGAATGATTTATGTTGTGAAGCCAATCTATAATCATATTCTCTTAGTCCCAAATCTTTAACTATTTGAAATTTTACCCAAAACTTTGCAAGTTTTTCTTTCTTGATACTTTTTCTTTCTCTTTTTCGATTTTAAAAACAATTTATTACATCATACTATAAGAGCAAAAAATAAAAGACTTTGATATATCTGGGGTGTAATATCGGGGTGGGCTTGTTGTACATGATTAAATGCTAAGAAATTAAATTTTTGATATTAGTGAAGAGAATTTAATCAAATTTGTAAATATAAACTCTCTATTTATATTTAAATAAAAAAATCTGATCGAAATGTTTGTCAAGTTTTTAACTATAGCATAAATAATTATAATTAATTGTGGAATATTTTTGGAGTAACAATTAATAATATAAAAGAAAAAGAGGTATCGTTGAAATCGGAGCATCCAGAGGCAGGCAATCCACCAGTCACCGTAGCCAAAATGCTCCCTATTTATACGTACAACCTATACAACCTACCGCTGTTATCCACTAGCACAAAGTACAAACTGCATTCACCGGAGGAAAACCTAACCGCACCCAATGGCATCCATTCCCTCCCCGCCCCCCGCCGTCCTGCCGCTCTCCACCCCTCAAGCCACCACCGCCACCGCCACCGCCCAACAAACCTCCGCAATCCGTACTTTCTTCACCGGCGTCTCCGAAACCGTGCGCACCGGCTTCGCCAACCGCCGCCCCTGGCCGGAGGTTCTCGACCGCTCCGCCTTCTCCAAACCTGAATCCATGTCCGACGCGACGCACCGAATCCGGAAGAATTACAACTACTTCCGCGTTAATTACCTCACCGTAATCACCTCCGTGCTCGCAATTTCGCTTCTGACGAATCCTCTCTCCCTCGTCCTCCTCGCCGCTCTCCTCGCCGCCTGGCTGTTCCTCTACTTCTTCCGCCAGTCCTCCGATCCGATTACGCTGTTCGGTCGCCAATTTTCCGAGCGCGAGACGCTGTTCTTCCTCCTCATCTCCACCGTCGTCGTCATCTTCCTCACCAGCGTCGGAACCGTCCTCGTCTCCGCGCTCATGGTCGGCGTTGCTATTGTATGTACGCACGGTGCGTTTAGGCTTCCGGAAGATCTCTTTCTCGACGAGCCAGAGCCTCAGAACGGAGCCTTTGGTTTCCTCTCGTTCCTTGCCGGCGGTCCAACAACCGCTTCGCAGCCGGCGGTCGCCGTTCCAGCTAGGGCATGAGGTATTTCACCATTTATTTAGGTAATTGATTAGCCAATTTTTACCTAATTTTTTTTCAACAGAATTAGGTCTCCGGTAAAAGAAATTTTTATGCACACAATACTAGTTGCCTTTTGTTGTACTATTTGTTCCTTCTCCTATGAATTGAATTGAGTGAATACACAATTCTTTGCTTATCATTCGTCTATGCCTTTTCGTTATGTCATCGAAAATTCACAAAGAATCTATTCTGATTTTCATATATTCTCTAATAGTGCATCTCTTTGATCAAGAAAAACAAACAGAATTGAATGGTATGAATGGCTTTGTATTACGAGGCAATTCTGTTCTTATAGTCCTCCATACTTTAGTGGATTCATAGCTTTGATTTTCTGCTGATTTCTGTTGTAAAATTTGTATTAGCATTGCATTTATATATATGGATTCTATATATGCATGATTTGATTTCTTATTGATACCTTATTATAGTATAATTTGTGCCCCTTTTGCTTTTTTTAAGTAAATTTTTTAATATTAGAATTATATTGGATTGTAATAATAATAATAAAAAAAAAAGAAAATAAAAATACCTATTAGTATAGTGTAATATAAAAATAATGATATTTGTATAATATATTGTAAATTAGAAAGGTATTTATTCCATTAGGTAAGTAGAACAATTACCAAATTAGAACAGTATAAAATTTTATATTTGAACAAATAAAAGTAACGGTGTATATGACTTTGGGTTTGTTTGCTCAATTTGTTTTCCACATGCTCAATATATATATATTTTATCTTTTCAACCAATACAATTAAAATCAGTCTGCTAAATTTTATATTAATCTATGTATATATATATTTGTATATTTTTAATGATATTTATAAAAAAATGTTCCATTAAAAAAAAGTAAACCGACAGAATATTTTATATATATAAAAAAAATCAAAACACTAACCGTTGTTTACATAATACTGTTAAAATTTTGATACATTATTTATTTACTTTTTTAAAAAATTATGTCAAATATTATTTTAAAATAATTTAAAAACTATATGAGCCCATATTTTTGTAGTGGCAGGAAGTAAAGGTAATAGTATAAAAATAAAATTAAAAAGAGTTAAAAGGTGGATGATTAGCAGTGGCATGTTGTCAGATAGATAAGAAGACAGGTTACATATAATGATTGATTGGGCATAAAGTTTCATATCTAAAATAAAATAAGGTTGAAGCAGTTATAGATTTAACTGAGAATATAGCAATGATTGGGCATAAAGTTGTAGGAGTAAACGCTCACGGTCCATTTAGATACAGAGGTTTATTTCTTTTCACTTTTTATCCAAATTTTATATACTCTTATTTCATTTTCTGTTGATTAAATGTGTTCTTTTCTTTTTATTTATTTATAAGTAAATTTAAAATTTATTAGTTAGTAAAAAATATAAAATAATTTATATATTTTTATTTTTGTAAGTATAAAAGAAAGCTATAATTTTATTTTATTTTTTTAAAAAAATAAAGAGTATTTTTAAAATTTGTTTGATTGTGATTTGAAATTAAATATTGATTTAAATTTGTATTTAAATAGTATGTTAATATAATAATCTATGAAAAAAAATAATACATTTTTTATTAAAAATTTTCTATAATGAATAATATTGATTTTGATTTTAAATGCTAAAATATACTCCTTCTGTCTCATATTTATATATTCAATTGTTTTTTACACAGAGTTTTAGAAATATTAGTATTATATTAGGATGAAGTAGAAATAAAAATAAAAAGACTAAATAAGATAATGACATTTATGTAATATATTATAAATTGGAAGAGTATTTGTAATATTAGATATAGATAGTACAATTACTTAAAAAAAAAATAGATACTTTGTCATGGACAGATAAAAATGAAAAAAACTATATTTGTCATGCAAATATGTGTGCTTAAATTTTGAGTATAAAATTTAATAAACTAAGTAATAATTTTTTTATTTATTTTTTATAATAAGAGATACAAAAAAATAACATAAATTTTTACTTTATGACAAAAGCAAGAGCATTGGTTTGGATAAGGAAGTTTGTTTTTAAAAAATATATAAAAATGTCACATTAAATGTTATTTTAATCAGAATTTTCTAATGCGTAAATTCAATTCAAATAAGAAACACGACAGTTTTGAAAATAAAACTGGAAATATTTTGTATAAAAATATGTTTAAAGTGACACTTTATTATTATTATTTTTAAATACTGCAAATAAATATAGCATAAAAAAATTTAAAAAGTTACATGTAAAAATAGAACGCCTCCCTCGTCGTATTTTTTCAATATATTTACATAATACACTTTCACTCATATGCTAACACTATTTATTTTTCAAAAAATATAATATAAATACATTTTTTCTATGATAAAATATAAAATCAAATACTAATTTTTTAGTTTTATTTTTTCAAATTTTCAAATTTTTAAAAATCTCAATAAATAAATAAATAAAAACCTGTATAAACAAACCCTATAATTTTCAATGAACTCCCAATTAATGATTGTTCACATCATTATTATTCATTTTTTCCATCTATTAATTACCACCCTTAGTTTGGTAAAAGTCAAAGACAGAAAACGGGACTATACTGACACCCCCCTGACCACCCCCCCAAAAAAACTAGCCGTTAGGGTTCGTCCAGCGGCGCACACGAGCTATTCACAGAAAGAAACTAGCCGTTGAGCCTGTCGAACTTAACCGTTGCTCCATCTGCCCTAATTTGTCCCCATTTTCTTCTTACATGGACCCCCCACCCCCCACCCCTTCTCCCTCCCATATATCTTCTCCCACATCACAAATCCGCCATTAATACACTCACTTCACTTCATCAATAATCTTCTTCTTTTTCTTCTTCTTCTTCACCTCAAATTAATCCAACACAAAAACCCTAATTTCCTTCCTTACCAGGCTGTTCATGGATTCTTCGCCCTGTCGGGTCGAAAATTTCCATGTCCTAATAATCTCAGTTCTCTTCCTCATTACAAGAACTGTCTTCTGCAACAATCATTGGGATGGAATCATCGTCACAGAATCAGACTACCAATCTCTCCAGGCCCTAAAGCACGAATTCGTCGATCTCCGGGGAGTTCTAACAACCTGGAACACCACAAACCCCGCCGGCGCCTGCTCCGGCTGGGCCGGTATCAAATGCGCCGGCGGCCAAGTCATCGCCATTACTCTCCCCTGGAAAGGCCTCGCCGGAAAAATCTCCTCCAAAATCGGACAGCTCCAATCCCTCCGCCGCCTCAGCCTCCACGACAACTCACTTTCCGGCGACATTCCGGCGACCCTCGGCTTCCTTCCCAATCTCCGAGGACTCTACCTTTTTAACAACAAACTTTCAGGCAATGTCCCTCCATCACTAGGTAACTGTCTTCTTCTCCAAACCCTCGATTTAAGCAATAATATTCTCACCGGAATTGTTCCTCCCAATCTTTCGAATTCGACGAAGCTTTTCAGGCTTAATTTGAGCTTCAATTCCCTGTCGGGATCCATCCCTGTCGCCCTGACACGATCCCATTCCCTCTTTTTTCTTGCACTTCAGAATAATAATTTGTCTGGCCCTGTCCCTGATTCCTGGGAATCTCCGAATCTCCATTTGAACACTTCCTACAACCTTCGATCCATCGTTTTGGATCATAATCTCCTGTCGGGGGAGATTCCATCTTCTTTAACCAAGCTCGCCATGCTTGAGGAACTAAGGTTAAGCCATAACCAGATGACAGGGAAGATCCCTGATGAGATTGGTACTCTTTCCAGGTTGAATTCTCTCGATTTGTCGAACAATAAATTCTCCGGCCGGATTCCGGACACCGTCGGAAATCTTACAAGAATCACCTCACTCGATCTGTCGGAAAACAATCTCACCGGAGGAATTCCCGATTCTCTTACAACTCTCAAGAACCTAACTTTTCTCGACGTTTCTTACAATAACTTGTCCGGCGCCGTCCCCCCTGTTCTTGCCAAGAAATTCAATTCGTCATCGTTCGCCGGAAATCTCGACCTTTGTGGATTCAACGGGTCGTCTCCTTGTCCTTCTCCACCTCCGGTGCCGGAAAACCAGCCGTCAGAGGAACCGAACCGTAATCGTCGAAAACTGAGTTTAAAGGACATAATTCTCATTACAGCAGGTGTTCTTTTAGTTATTCTATTAGTCCTATGTTGTGTGCTTCTCTGCTGTCTGATCAGAAAAAGATCGGCGGGCTCAAAAGCCAGGAACGGCGGGAAGGCGACAGGTGGCGCCACAGTGGTTTCAGACAGGGGCGCGAAGCCGAGTCCGGGGGCTGAGGTGGAATCCGGCGGTGGTGACGCCGGCGGGAAGTTAGTACATTTCGACGGCCCATTCGTTTTCACCGCCGACGATCTTCTTTGCGCGACGGCGGAGATTATGGGGAAGAGCAGTTACGGAACGGCGTATAAGGCGACGCTCGAGGACAACGACAACCAAGTTCTTGTCAAGAGACTTCGGGAAAAGATTACAAAGGGACAGAAAGAATTCGAGTCCGAGGTTGCGCGCCTCGGCAAGATTCGACACCCAAACATCCTTGCGCTTCGCGCTTATTACCTCGGCCCAAAGGGCGAGAAGCTTCTCGTCTACGATCATATGCCGAATGGAAGCCTAGCTTCCTTCTTACATGGTACTCTCTCTCTCTCTCTCCCTCTCTCTCTCTCTCTCTCTCTCTCTCTCTCTCTCTCTCTCTCTCTCTCTCTCTCTCTCTCTCTCTCTCTCTCTCTCTCTCTCTCTCTCTCTCTCTCTCTCTCTCTCTCTCTCTCTCTCTCTCTCTCTCTCTCTCTCTCTCTCTCTCTCTCTCTCTCTCTCTCTCTCTCTCTCGTTATTCAAAATTATTACAGAAAAAGTAAAAAAAAATTATTTTTATTTGTTTTTCATTATTACAGAAAAAGTAAAAAGATTTATTTTTATTTGTTTTTCTTAAAATTCGTCTATTTTAGATGATACTATCTCTTTCATTAAATTTATTATCTGAAAAATAAAAATTTTTATTCATATTTGTTTTTCTTAAAATTAGTGGTCGATGAAGCTATCTTATATATTACTACCTTGGTTGTTTAAATTTATTACCTAAAAAATAAAAATTTATATTTTTATCTGTCTGAAGCTATCTAACATAGTATTACTACCTATGTCATTCAAATAATTTTTATTTTTATCAGTTTTTTAAAACTCGTGTACAATCAAACGAGCGGCTACTTGGATGACGAATGAAGTATTAAAGATCTAGTGAATATTTTCTTATCTCATCTCATCTTGTTTTAACTAATGTTGTCTTGAAATCAGCTCGAGGGCCGGAGACAGTAGTCCCGTGGGCGACGAGAATGAGCATCGCGGTCGGGATAACGCGGGGACTATGTTATCTACACGATGAGGAGAAAATGTGTCACGGAAATCTTACGTCGAGCAGCGTGATGCTCGACGAGCAAAACTGTCCGAAGGTGGCGGACGTCGGGCTATCGAGGCTGATGACGAGCGCGGCGAACACGGACGCGGTTGCGACCGCGGGGACGACGGGGTACCGGGCCCCGGAGCTTTCGAAGATGAAGAACGCGAGCAGCAAGAGCGACGTGTACAGCTTGGGGGTGATCATGTTGGAGCTTCTGACGGGGAAATCGCCTAGCGAGGCGATCGACGGCCACGATTTGCCGGAGTGGGTGGCGTCGATCGTGAAGGAGGAGTGGACTAATGAAGTTTTCGATGTCGAGGTGATGAAGGATGCTTCGGAGATCGGAGATGAAGCTCTTGGTGCATTGAAATTGGCTCTGCATTGTGTGGATCCGTCGCCGGCGGCGAGGCCGGAGGCTCGGCAGGTGTTGAGTAAGTTGGAGGAGATTATGCCTGATTTGGTTCGTGCGCCGGCGCCGGCGCCTGATGATGGTTCTTTCGCCGAGATTCCGGCGAGGAGTGAGTGAGAGAGGAAGAGTTTATAGAAGGAGAAGCATATATATATATATAGAGAGAGAGATAGAGATTTGTATTTATTTATTCATTCATTCATTTATGGTTTGTTCTTGATTCAAGTTTATAAAATAAAGCATAAATTGTATAATACCAAATATATCTATTTTTGTGTGTCTGATTAAAATTTGAATAATAAAAATTTTAAATTAAAATAATAGTATGATTTCATAATTCCAACCAAATCTCCCAAACGAACATTCTCATTTATCACTTTTTTTTCCTCTCTTTTTTTTTGCGTTTAATTAAAGTATACACATGCCCCTATATTATTATGGGTGTGTTTATTTGAAGGATTTGTGTGAATTTATATTATTTACATAAATTTTTTTCTCTAAAAATATCAAATCAAACATATATTTTTTATTTTTTATATTATACTAAAAATCAATTTTACATTCAAAACATCACATTAATACATATTTATATCACATCATACAATTATTCAAATTCAAATTTTTTACTATTCAAATCCCAATCCAAAATCAAACCCCTAAACAAACACGCTCTATATATATTTATTATTTTTATATTATCATATAAATTTTTATATTTATTTTTTTAAAAAATATTAAATTAAATACTTATTTTATTATTTTATATTAAAAATTATATAAATATCTATTTAATCGCATAATACACAGTTATTTCAATTTAAAATTTTTATTATTTTAATTCAAAAATTTTATTATTTTAATCTCTAACTCAAAATTCAAACTTCTAAATAAACAATAGGAGATAACTCATTTATAAAAATTATAAAATAAAATATTGATCAGTTATTTATTTATTTTGTTAAAAAATAAAATACTATTTCATTTGTTTGTATAATAATTACATAGTTAAATTAGTAGTATTTATTATTCAATTTATCACAAAATGATATGCACATTTATAATAAAAAGAGGATTATACAATTGATCAAATCTATATAATTCGATGAAGATATTGGATTAAAGTTTAGGCCCAATTTCGGCCCAATTTACTTTATTGATTTTGTTTTGCAAATTTGGGAATTTCAGTCACAGAAACTGAATCGGAGGCAGAAATGGACGGTTTTCCGACGGACAAGATCCAGATTTCTGGGGCTACTTTAGCCTCGCTGCTCCACCGCTCCTCCGCCGCCGCCGGCGACCTCCATGGCTACCTCTACGGCCACGTTTCCCTCTCCACAACCACTCCCCTTTCCGACCACCCGACCACAACCGCCGTCGCATCTCTCCTCCTCACAACTATCACTTCCTTCATCTCCCTCCCCTCTCACCTCCCGCTTCCTCCGGCGGCTCCCGCGGTCGAATCCGCCGTGTTCCTCGGCTGGTTTTCCGCCCGCCGTAGAACTCCTCCGCGTCCGTCGTTGAAGGACTCCACCACGGCCGTTTCCCTGAGCTCCTCCACCTCCCTCGCCTACATCCCCCAAAATTCAACCCTAACCCTAACCCCGTCGCTGTTCCTCCTCATTACGACGCCGTTTCAGGATCAGCAAATCCACACTCATGAGTACAAAGCTTTCCAGTACAAGGGCGGCGTGTTCGAGCCGAAGAGCTTGAACATCGTCAACATTGGCCCGTCTTTCCGGTCTCAGTACGAATCGTTCAGCCCCAATGTGCCGTTCCCGATGATGGATTGTGAATTGAGGGCTTCGAACGCCATGGTTGAGGACGAGAGAGAGGAGAGTTTGGCCGATAAGAAGAGGAATCTGAAGGATCAAAATCAGCTTGATTCGAGCGCTGAGGGTTTTGAAATTGCGAGGCTGAGCAAAATGATGGGATCCGAGGCAGCTTACACCAATGAGCTTGAAGAATTGTATGACAAAATGCTGTCCAAGATTGATGGATTATCTAGATCGGTGGAGCAGACCAATGCTCAAGTTCTTGAGCAGGTGAGAATGCTCAATCAAGTTCTTGAGGTTTAATGTCACTAATTTGAGATCCTTTTCGCCCTTTTCGAAATTGTTAACTTAATTGTGTTTGCTGTGTATGCTGCAGGAGAATCACAATATGAGGTTAAGGTGCAGAGTTGCTGGTTTGGAATAACTTTTTAGGTCATCCTTTTGGTGTTTAAGGTAACATTGTGTGATAAAATTTTCGATTAGATTTATTTCTTAGTTTGTTGTGTGTGCTGTCATAGTAAGACATTGTTTTCGAAAGATTAGAACACTCTATGGCACAAGGAATTCACATGTTTGGCTAGTAATGGCTACACATGCCTTGTTGAAGCCTTTTCGGCACAAATTTGTGCATTTATAGTGTTTTAGCCTTGTTATTTTGGGTTTCCTTTTATATTCATTTCAACTTTAGTGTTCTAATGTGTCGTTTATAGTGTCTTTAGACATGTTATTTCAGCTTTCCTTGTCTGTAAATTGAATATGCCGTTTCTTGGACTAATTATTGGTCGTATTGAGGGGACACAAGCTTTGAGTTTCACAATCAAAACATGTCTAGTCGTGCATTTGATTCTAGATTTGGCTTCGCTGTATCCTATGATATCCGATTCTTTTGTTATGTATAAAGTGTATTGTATATTCATGTGTTGCAGCTCTACAATGCGGCGACTTGAGGACGCGACTATCCTACAAATAGTAATTGCTACGAGCTACTTGTGAATTTTTGATGAAATGGAACTGTACAATGATGCTGTTATCAGTATGATTTTGAATGTTTTGGCACATCGAATTTGTAGATTCCGGTGATGGGTTATGGCAAACTTTGCTTTTCGTGCTATACCACGACACAAAACTCACGACCTAATGCACGAATTCGTATCCTTCATTCCAAATTCGATATCTTTTAGAATGACTATGTTCATAAAATGCCTTGTGTTGTGTACATATTACTGTAAACAGATTGTCATCTCCAACTCTGCACGAATCAGCAGCTGGAACTACACGTGCGATTAATGTCCAGGAATCGACCCTTATGTGCATTTGACATCCTTGTTACCGTGTTTATGATCAATCGTCGCCCCTGAATCAGGCGAGCTTCTGCGCAGCCAACGTCGCCAGATCGCGCAAATGCAGAGCTTATGTGTTGTCCTTTCCAGGTTCAGGCTGGAGGAAACTCCATGGTCCAGTTCTTGTGCTTAGTCTGAATATAACAAGAACTTAGCTACGCCGTATATCGGGTAAGAAGTCTATCGGGTATGTACAGTGTTACCTCAAGATTCCGGCTACGACTCGCAGGGTCATTAGGAGAAACAGGCCGCCCCACACTCCGGCGAGACCAAACAACGGCGCTGTTACTAATAGGAACACCGAAGATATCAGTCCGACGATAACCTGCCCATTGACACGGCTACATTTGTTCATGTCCGAAGAAGTGAGAAATCAGATCGAATTAAACATAACTTACCATGGAATATGCAGCAAAGCCAAAGTCCGAAACACCGTAATATAACCCGTCAAGAACAAAGGCTATCGCATTCATCGGCTGTGATCCAGCGACAAACTTCGGCATAAATACATCAAAACAACGAACATCAGATGGATGTCGGGATTACGGCGGCAAAATTGTTTATAATCCACCCGTAGTTTAAGAAATTTTGCAAGAACCTCACGTATTTTCTCGAAAATATTAAAGAGTTTGCTAAAAACTTCATAACAAATAATTGTGCAAAATTTTCAAACTACTGAGTAATTTTGCTTCGAAATTACTAATGTAGTATCGATGTTCTAACCAAGGTTCCAGCTCTCGCCACCTCCAAAACCTCCGAATCAGCGCTGAACAAGCCGGAGAGCGTTTCGAACCCGCAGAACAGAATAACAGCTAGAGCTACTCCCATTGCTACTCCAATCTGATTTTTTTTCATTCTCATTGATTGATCAAATGTAGATATAATTTCCGAAAATCTGCGAAAAATTGGGTTACAAACCTGTAGAACTTTGTATGTCACCCGACGGGCGAGATCATAGTTCCCTTGAGAGTACTCGCTTGCGAGGAGAGCCTGTTAAAAGTAGTCGTTAATTGGAACAATTCAAGAGACTCGACATGTAGCTCAAATAGCAAATGTGTAAAGAATTGCAAAACATTGTGTGTAAACTTGGTTATTTACCTGGCCGGCAAGCGCTAAAGCGTCGTTTAGCAACGATAAAACCAACCAGACTTGGAAACAAATTTGATGGCCTGCCATTTGTACGGTGCCCTGTCTCGCTGCCACGGACGTAGCTAGTGTTGTGGTTGCAAGAACTGCGACGGTTCTTCCTGTAAGAAGGGCGCCTGAGGAATGAAATATAGAAGTTAGTTCGACAAATTTCAGCCCAGCAACTTCTTGTAAACACTTACTAGTAGCAGAATGGCAAATAAAAATCAAAACAAGCCGTTACATTACATGAATCTGTGACATTTTATAGACATTTACCAGATTGAAGATACTGAACAACTCTCGGAACATTAAAACTTGGTTCAACAAGCAATACTTTGTCATTCAACTTCCATAGAAGAATTAGTGCAGACAAATACCTGATAAGATATACACAGAAGTTTACGGAAACTAAGGAAAGACAAGTCGTATCGTATCTAATGCAACTAAAGTATGAGTTTTACCACATAAACAACGTACTCAGAAATCACAGTAGCAATGGCTGCTCCGCCAACGCCCAATCCAAGGAAAAATATTAATATTGGATCGAGAATCACATTAAGTAAGTTGCCAGCTCCTGTAACCAAACGAGATATAGGTTGTGATCGAAAAAACAAAATTACCCGTGGAACTCGAACAGAAGCATAAACAAAAAATTGAAAGTTTAATTACTAATTCATGACTACATTCAGGTAAACATCAGTAGAGATACTTAATTTCCAGCTTTAGCTGCAAACAAATTCATAAAAGTGCTTGTCGAATCCTTGATAACAGAAAACGGTAGTCATTGTGAGCAATTCATATGAATTTTAGTAAACTCCATGGATTTGAATCAGAATAAGTCATTTACGAGATAAATGTAGAACATTAAACCAAAGTTTAGCTCTTCATAGAAATAAATCTTTTATCCATATTTGTCCAATAATTATCAAATCGGAATAATATCCTACTTTCCGAGTGTTCGCTAGTTACTAATCTAGCAAGATAAGTAGCTGAAGTGTTTCACAAATAAACAGGATCAAAATACTTGCCGACAGCATACAAAGGTGTTTTCGTATCCTTGAATCCACGGAAACTTCCTTGCGCAGCAAGTGCAACCACAATTGCCGGGGCACCAAATGCCCTCAGTTTAAGAAATTCCTCAGCTGGCCCGTACATTGGCGAATCCTAAATTGATTGAATACAAATTAAGAAGCGCCGCTAGACAAAGTTGTCGAATAATGGAAATTTCAGCATTATAAGTAGCAAAAAGAGACAACCTATAAACGGAAAATTCTCCTAAGAATGCATATGCAACAATTCAATCATGCTACTTTCGCGAAAAAGATATTCGTCAAAGTAAACTAAATGCAAAAATTACATTGAATAGGCTCACTGAATAGCTAAAAAAGACATACAACAGGTATACCCATCGAATTCATCAAAAGATCGGAGCCAACTGTAAGAGCAGCAGCTTCGAAGATGCCAAGGGCTGCAGCGAGCATTAGAGCATTCGATATCGATGGAAGATGAACCTTGCCTTGTTCACCTGTCAGGCAAATACAACTTCATAAACAATCTTTAACATAAACAAGAAAAACGATGAAGTTAGACAGCAATAAGGATGATAAGGTTAACGAACACCTGCAGAAGCTTTACCATAGCCATCAATGGCCTTTGCAAGAGACGCCTGCTCTTCAGCAACAAACGATGTAGTAACATTGAGCAAAGGAACATTAAATAATTTCGAAACCAGATTGAAAACAGCACCGGACACACCGACTCCCGCCAGTTCGACAGATCCTAAACAGCACGACACAAAAATTTGAATCCATGGAAGCTTCACAGAACATTTTCATGTCCAATCAAGACGATGAAGGAGTGAAAAATACCTAAATGGCCAATAAACCCCGAATCAATGAGCGAAGCAATCGGATCAGCTGCGAGAGCCAAAGCCGCCGGCAATGCAATCGACAAAATCTCCATTCCAAGTCCATCGAATTCCAATTCCTCCCTACAAAATTACCATAGCAATAAATGTCCACCACAAACAAACTCATAGCTGTGAAGAACCCTCCCAAAATACCGAAGTCGACGCAGCATCGCGGCTACTGGACTCGGGTTCGGGCCTGGATCCGGATCCGGACCATTAACCTCATCCTCCGCGACCCGGGTGCTGTTGGGAAGTTCGTTATCAGACGATTTAGGGATGATAGCTCGGAATCGCGTTGAATTGCAACCACGAACACTTTTCCTTACAAATTGAGAATTCGAAACGCTGAAATTGAGCGACGATGAATAACAGCCGAAGCAGCAATGCGCCTGAACAGCAAAGGTATAACGACAACAGTGCTGGCGCAGAGCACCTCCCGCCATTACCATACCTCAATTACCGTACTGACGAAGAATTCAGACGTAAAAGAAGCCAGATAATCAAACATCAATTCAAATTTTCCTAGGATCAGCTCAAAATCTAGTCGGGAGACGAGCAATCGAGATATCTCCACGTTTCTCGGAGCCTTTTAAAGATAAGATTTTTATGAACATTCAAGCTGAGTAAGCCCAAAATGGGCTTTAAACTGTGGGCCCAATTAAATATTGGGCCAACTTTTTGGGCCCAATATTTAGGTGAGAAAAAAAAATTAATTAATTAATTATTCAATTGTACAATTGCCACTGCAACAAACTAACCCAAAAAAATAACATATGCTTATTTTTCAAATTTCCCTTTTAAGCTTCATTTAGCATCTACAAGAGGAAATTGAAAAATTGAAATATATATATATACACAAAGCAATAATGGCAAGAATGGACACAATACACTGAATTTTTTTAATTTTTTTTAAAAAAAAAAAAAAGAAGAAGAAAGAAAAAGAAAAATATAAACCTAACATAGCTAAGAAATGGAAAGCTATGAATGGTGTGGTGTGGCAAGAAAAGACTGATCTGAGAGTCATTTGGGTATGAGTATAAATCAGTCAATTCTCCACTACTTTGATTCTACAATAAAGCAGATGCTTTGTACCTTCCCTTCCCTTCCCTTCCTTCCCCACTTGATATCTGATATAAGTATTTTTCATTCATTTACATATTTAAATATGATTTTCTTTTAATTCTTCATAAATGGATGATGATCACATGCATCTATATATATAGTTAATGTTGTGAATGATTGAATTAAAATATAGTCAATCAGAGATGGAATTTTTGTGTGTGTGTTTTTTATTTGATTTGGGATGTGAGTGTTAGGTCGTTTGGGTCCATACCATTTTGGAATGTTATTATTAGTTATGGAACAATAATATGAATATCTAGTCATGTAAAAGATATACTAATTAATTATATATTCATTCAATCTTTTATTTAATTTTTTCTAGATTTTTCTGTCCACTGAAAAATGCTAAAACAATTGCAAATTAAATTAAATTAAATGAAAGAAACAGCACACATTCAATTTGTGGGGTTGTTGTCAAGTGGGACGACTGCAATATTTATTTAATAACATTCAATACCTAATGTGGATTAATTTAATTTATTCAAATAATATTATATATATGTATATGTGTGTGTTTGTGACTGAGTGAGTGAGTGATTAATTAAAAATTAGTACGTAGTACAAGGACTAATTGATAAATTAAAAACGAACGTAGATAATTAAAAATGCACGTCATCTTGCCAAACCCTAATTTCACACTCTCCCCCAAAACGACGACGTTTTTGACCGTCCGTCCGTCCGCCGGCGTCAGTATTCAAAGAAGCCGTGAAACTCAGGATGGATAGCGCTATAGAATAAACCGGCCGGTCCGCCGCCTTTCGCCGCCGCGGCCGCGGCGGCGTAGAGGCGTAATCGACGATCCCATGGTGCTATCCCTCCTGAGCTTTACGGATTCTCCATACTTAGCAGAAAACAATTTCCGCAATGCAGACACCCCAAAACCCTAATTTCTTGAAAACGAAAGAGACGAAGAAGATGAAACAACAAAATCGAAGAGATTAAATAAAAATTGATATGGGAATAAAATTATGGTGAAAATGGAGGGGTATATTTATAGGATCAAAGTAACGTGGGGAATGGCAGAACAACGTCAGCAAATTTACATACAGGTCCCTCACTGTCAGAAATCTTTGACTAAGTTTTGTAGCATGTGTAGTAGAAGAGCGTTTCTTGAGAGTTCCTGGGAGTTCAACTCTTGATTAGATCGTGACCGTTGATCTCGCCGACCCCGCGCCTGAATTGGCGCAGGCGTTCGGCTCCTGGGTGCTTGGAGTATTTGGGAAGGGGTATGAATTTGTGAAATATTATTGTAAATATATATGTATATATGTAATAAGTGAAATAGGTATTTAGTGTAGATGATAATAATAATAATATTATAATTATGATAATAATTATAATTATTATTATAATAATAATAAAAAGAGTATTGTATTGTATTCATGTATTGTATTGTAATAAGGGCCCCTTGCCGACTACGTTACTCTATTGTCAATATTTTTCATGGAGAAGTGGACCTAAGTACGTAGCAAATTATTTTGCCATTTGAATTTTGTGGTAAAGGTAAATCAACAAAATGGTACTCCTATATCAATAATAATTATTAAAAGAAAAAAAAAACTTAAAATAAAATTCGTTTATTTGTGTTTTATTTTCGTTTTTTTTTTATTTATTTTTAAAAATATTATATTTAATACTTTTCATAGTAATAATAAGAATAAAAATAAAATGCAAGTAATTCTTTTATAAAAATATATATATATTTACTATATATTTCTTTTATAAAAGAATATATTTTTATCTTAGAAATATTATAGTTCATCTTTATTTAAATAAAAATAAACACAAATACAAAACAAACGCATCCCTAAAGTTGTGTTTGTCTAAAAACATTAAAAATACTACGTCTACTTACAAAAATTGTTTGACTCAATTTTGGTATTATTGATCACACATTTTTTGAAACATATTATTAATAATTTATTTTATGTACAAAATATCATATACAATACTTACATTATAGAAAGTGGGCACTGGATAAATCCTGTAAACCAGGCCCAACAGAAAATCACACTAGGAGAACCATGTATGACAGGTGACCTGAGAGGGGGGGGTTTTGAACTATGACCTCAAGGTCACATGTCCAACTTCTGCACCGTCAGATCATCCCTTACGGTTTATATGAATTTTAATATATATATTTTTATAAAATTACATTAGATCAAAATTCAACTCTGATTTAGAAAATAAAAAATAAATAAATCAACTAAAATAATCCAAATTTTAGATCAAAACCAATCAAACCGATAGTTTGATTTAATATGTTGTTAGGTACAATAATACTTTTATTATTTTTGTTTGTTATACTCAAAAAAATTATTCCCTATTATGTAATAAATATAATTGATTATACAATTATACCAAAATATTTTAAATTTTTACATAAATTATAAATACATATATATATACTACTATTATATATACAATTAATTTATACACAAAAAATATTAAAATTATTTTACACACTTCTATCAACTAATAAATTATCATTACTTCTTAGAGTTATTATATGTATTTTCATTTTAAGACATGGAAATGCATATTTTGTTACATAACCATATGTTGAAATAATGCAACATTGTTAGTAGACGAGTATATTAATATTATTATTATTATTTATTTTTTGGGTGTGGTAAGTACTATATATTGAGTGAAATAATATTTGAAAATAATAATATGATAGTCAATTAAAATAGCTATTCATGTCATTAATTAGAATGTACGATTTTTTAAAGAAAATAACTTTAGAACTAATAATTCACTAAATAATATTTTTCTGATAATATTTTATTGAATTGACAAGCTTATTGATTTTTACATAATTATATTTTGAAAAAAGTAAATAATATTTACAAAATGTCATATTATAAAATTTAGGATAATTTGTATCCATATTCTTATAATTTAAAATATAATATATCATCTCATTTTAATCATATAATCCTTTCCTTTGTATACAAAATAAGGATTGTGTATATATTTATTACCTCAAACAATATTGTATAATAAAATTTTTATATAATGCAAATATACTCCAATCAATCAAAAAAAAAAAAAAAAAACGGACAAACGATTCTCCATAAATATAATTTTAAAAATATAATATACATAATATAATATATATTTCATTTAATAAAAAAAAATCAACAATTTAATATAAAATATTTTTTTACAATTCTTTATATTTGAAAAAAAAAAATAAACAAATCATCTAAAAACACAGAATATTTCTTATATTTTAACATTTTTCAGCGGCTTACCAACCATATTTAAATAATTCCAATAGTCATGATTATTTAACTTCATACGAACAAACACACCATTCAGTTTCTGGTGTGATTTGAATTTTGATATAAATGTAAAAGTGAAAAAAAAATAAATTAATTAAATTAAATTAAAAGGGAAGGGAAAAAAATTGCAACCTTGGAATAATATAATATATTTATTTATTTTAATTGTCTTGTTGCTTCATGATTACTGAGAGAAGACTCTCTCCTTCTTTCATGCAATAATCTGTGGATTGATTAATATTTAATGATGGCCACAAAATCACCAAAATGAGGTCTTTTCTTTGATCTGACTTCAATTTAATTTAATTTCATACATTTTTATATCTATAATTTTTTATTTATAAAAAAAATAAATTAATATAATTTAATTTAATTTATGGGGTGGCGAGTGATGTCCACTTTAATAGTACTGTAATATAACAGTGGAGGAATTTAATCGCCACGTCACCATCTTCTTCTTCAATAGCTTTAGCACTGTTGAGTGGCATTTATGTAAATTTGGGGAGAATTAGGGGCTAAGATGTGCATAATCATGGGATTTCCCACATTCCTTCATGGGAGGGGGTAGGGTGGGGTGGTGGGTGGATGGGGGTACGGTGTGGGGGTTTAGATAGGTAGCTGCATCGGGAATTGTACTCTGAAGCTCTGACTCTCACAAAAGCTAGCAATAAATAAATTAAATTAAATAATTAATTAATTAATAATTGTTGCAGAAGTTGGAGAAAGAAAGGGCCAGAAAGAAGACCAGAATTCCAGGCCTGGTTCATCGTCTTCGAGGGGACTGCCATTAATGGGTCATTTTCAAGCTCTTTAATGGTTCTTGGGAGGTCCCGGGCTCTCAGCGCCCGATAGGCCAATCTATGGTGGGGATTCGGTTGGCGCTCGGGTCCCAGGAGCGGCCAAGAATTGGGGTTTTGAAATTTTCTGATTTTTTTTTTTGGATTAATTTTATTGAATTGATATATTAATATTACTGAGTTATTTGCAGATCCCTTTTCATTAATGGTGAATTTATGGAAAAAGGGAAAGGGAGAGAGAAGGGTACGAAATGCATTCATTGTGAAAATGAATTGAACCAAACAAACTTGACAGGTGGACCAATGTATCCATTTGGAAAGTTCATCATTGCAATTTTTGCATCTATTTTATTTTCAATTTATTGTTTTCTTCATTATTTTTCAATTTTATTGGATAGGGCCATTGCCCTTTTTTAAATTTCTTGGGTATTCTTGTTTATATATATATATATATATATATATTAGATAATAAAAAATAATAAAATTGGCTTTTTACTTATCACTCTTTAGGCCTAATGTTATTCAATTACCTTTGTTTAGATGTTGTTTGAGTTCTTGCTTTCCTAATGGTACAAAAAGGTCACTTATTATTTATTAACAAGACCTTTTCTTGCTTACTCTTTGACTTTAAAAAACTTAATAAAAAATAGCACATAGAGGGATCATTTTTAAGGTTTAATAAAATTAATATTTAATGTAATATATTAAATTAAAATAATTTATTTAATTTAAAAACTTTGATTAAAAAAAAAAGAAAAAAAGATGTGAATAGTACAATACTTAAATTAGAGTTAAAAGAAACAGATGCTACAAAGCTCCCAAACATGGATTTGATCAGTGACGTGGCAAAATCAGAGCCCTTCAGCGGCGAACACATCGAAAGGTTGGGCTTATTTTGAGATGAGCCCAAAGTTAGAGTAGGCCGAACATCTTATACAACGGCCCAAATTCGACGTCGGAGATTTTATTTCTATACCGTACGGTGGACAAACAGCAATTGCCCCTACGTCGACACGTGTCATACCTTGGTGATACCGTACCTTGATGTACTCGTCCGATTTCTTACACTGCGGAATATCTCCCTTTCTCGAAAGCAAAAATTTGCATCTCTGAAGAGAAAAATACAAACGGGTTAGGAAATGTACAAATATATAGTAACTGCAAATAATATTTTTAAAATAATATATTTTATTTCTTATATTACTGAAATAAAATAATTAATATAAATTTCTTTTTCGTCGCATTATCAAATTTGCAAATTATCATAGGTAATAATATCCATATAAATTATCGTATCGAAAATTAAGTGTACCTTATATGTGAGATGTAGAGAGTAATACTCTCTTCGTCCACAAGACTAATAAATAAAAATATTTAATATTCAACAGCGATTGCGGATTCTTATATCATTAAAAAAAAAAAAAAAAAATACTTGACGTAATTGTATAGGTGAATTGAAGATTTACCGAAAACGCATTGAATCGTGCATTAAACTAAATAATTATAAAAGTATTACTCTTTCTATTTCGGTGCAAAGTTGTCATTTTACTTTAATATTAAAAATATCATTATATTTGAATAATTTACTTCACAAGTATCATTATAAAAGACTAGTAAATTTATTTGGTTCTTTTTATCTTGATTTGTGTAGATATAATAATTAATATTCAAATATCAATAAAAATGAACTAATAATAATAATAATATGTCTTGCATGCAGCGATCGAAGCATTTCTCCATAGAAGAAGACAGACATCCTCAGATCGATCAAAAACCTCATTCAGCACTACAAGCATGTCTCCACATATACATACATACACATACATACAGATTTTCCCAGGGAATAATATCACACACAACCCACAGTACTACTACCTAGTACGCACATCCTGTCTATATATATATATATACACCAAAGAAAATTCTTGTAATGGAGCAGAAAAGAAATGGCAGTGTTCTTAGAGGCTGCATAAAGGCCGGAAAAGGTCCGTGGCTGGTTCGCCGGCCGACCAAAGACGGCGCCGTTGTGACCAAATTCCGTTTTCCGTCGGAGCGGGAACGGTCCAACAATAAGCAACGGGAACGGCGCCGCCGCGCCGTTGCTCATAAGATCTTCGCCGGACTTAGGGCTCACGGGAACTATAATCTCCCCAAACATGCTGACTCCAACGACCTTCTCAGAGCTCTTTGCGACGAGGCCGGCTGGCATGTCGACGACGACGGCACAATTTACCGTAAGGCAAATGTTGTAGACGGCAATGGTGGCGGCGTCAAAGGATGTCCGGAGATTGGACATGAAGAGATGTGTATATGTGGTAATATTGTAGGTTCGAGCAAAGCCGAGCCGAACACGAACCTCACGCTCTAATTTACTGTCCAAAAACATGTTGTAGTATGCAAATTTATATCGAAACAATAAAAAAAAATTAATATTATATTATCAGAACTCTAGGTCTAGGTCTTGAGTTCGAGTTTCACCATCACCATTTCGCAGATGCATGTACAAATTTCATATATTTCTCTTTACACTTGCGGAGACGTGTTGAAAACTCCCTTTTGTGGTAAATAAATTAATGGTACACTTTTCTAATAGTTTGAGCTTTTTAGGTAAGACGGTTATTCTGCGCATCCGATATATGCAGTATGCAAGTTTCTATCGAAACAATAAAAAAGTAAATAAATAATATGTTATCAGAGTCCTCGATCTCGAGTTCGAGTTTCACTGTTCCCATTTCGGCACCTAAGGAGAAATGTTGGAGACTCTCGTTTGCGAGTAAATAAATTAATGATACATTTTTCTAATAGTTTGAACTTTTAAGTAAGTCAGTCATTATGCGCATTCGACAATTTAATATACAACAAGAACGATCGAGCTTTTGAATTTCAATCGATCAATTTCTAACCAGCATTTCTTTGACGGTTTGTAATATTCTTACAAAAACTGGAACAACAACTCGTTCCATACATCGGGTACGCCCGGCAAACACCAATGTATGCAATCGGAATAACTAGCCGGGTCGGCTAACTTCTCCGGCCCCAATGTCTCCCAGAACTTCCGGTAAATCGTGGGGTGTCCGTCCTTCCTGTATTCGGACAGCTGCGTAATGTTCAGGACAGTAACCTTGGACCCCAACTGGCGCAAAACCTCGCCCACCATCCGCATCGTGGGCATGTCCGAATCCCTTCCCCAATATCCTTCATCCTCTATCGGCTCCTTCTCGCCGTAGCAGTTCCCTCGACTTCCCGGCTCCCACTCGTCCTTCCTGTTCAACATCGAGATAAGACACCGCGATAGTTTGCACTTAAACAAATCCTTTTTAAGGTTGTTAGGACGTACGACATATGCGTCGGCGACATGGTGACAAAGAACACTTTCTTCTTTGAAGGATCCACGTTTCCAGCGACCCAATCTGCCCACACTTCCATCGCTAACTCCATGCCACCCTGACCGCCTATTTCTTCGCAAACTCCATTCTGTTCGTCACTCCATCTACAAATACAGACGAGGATAAATCCAGTTGTTTCATTACATAAATACACACACAGACAGAGCATACTTACAAGAGCTTCACAGGGCCCTGTCTCCACCAGAGATACGAATTAAAGACGAGGATGTCTGCGTGCTGCCACCGCGACGAGTGCCTGCGCACTGCATCCGGGTGCAGTATTCTTTCGCTTAGGCGGTGATCGACGGGATCGTCGCTGTTCGATTCGACAAGAAGAGGCGCCCAAAGGAATTCCACCGTAGCATTATAATTCTGAACCAAACGACATTCGAATTAAAAAACGCACCATATATAGGCGGCAGTTATTTTTTATCGACTATAATTAGTCAGTACAATATTAAAACAATATATACTCCCTCCGTTCCAATTAAAAGTACTCTTTTTACTATATTCGTATGTCTTTAAAGTATTCCTTACTATTTTAGAAAAAAGTAATCATAAAAATATTTTAACTTTTATTTAAATTACAAATATACAATTATTTTATAAATAAAATAAAATATATCAAAAACTATTAATCAATAAAATACTATTATCAGTATTAATTTACTACAAAACTCCAAAAGGCTCCATTGAATTGAGATTGAGAGAGTATACATTAATATAATATACATACAACTTATAAACTGATAGCACATGACAATAGTCAGCACAACACATACTACGATTGATATAGCAAATGTTGTATTAATTCAAGTTATGCATTGACCTATGTATGTGTATATGTACACACCTCTGCTCTGAAAATGGTTAATTCCGAATTCGGCGTAATCGAACGTTGGTCGGAAGGAATCGCAGCCTGCAACAAACACAGCATCGAAATCCATTGCCCTCGATTCAACGAATCCCCGACAAACATCAATCTTTTACCCCTCAATTTCTCCCACATTTCGACTGAATTCCATCTATGGAAAGCATAATCCACCAACCACAAATCATTAAATGCTCCAATCTAAGAAATTAATTCAAACAAATGTCGATGTAAGAACTAACTACCTCTTCAAATTGCAGCCATGGGGTTGCCATTTCCAGAATTGGTACCCCAAATCATGTCTTCCATGCTTATGGCAAGCCAATTGATCAGACATGTACGGACACTGAGATTCCTCGTACAGCGGATGCGATTTGTTGTCGAAAATCCACTTCCCAGAAAATAAATCACACTTCCGATCCGGCGGCCGGACGCCGGATTCCGCCGCGCGTCGTACCGCCGGAAAAGCTCTCCGGCCACTGTATTTCACCGTGGAATTGCATATAGCATGTTTATCCAAACGCACTAGAACAAAACTGAATCAAATCACAAACCCTAGAAATTTCAAAAAAAATCCCCAAATCAGAAATGACCTAATTGAAGAAATTAGAAGCAACCTGGAGGGTTCCTAACAGAGCCGAAGCTCTGGGGAGGCGTGGGACTGAAGAAATCGCCGCCGTGGAAGGTGGATCGTGGCCGGACTTCGCCGCCGTCGACGCCGCTGGGGGGAGAATTGCGGTGGTGAATCCCTGGGATGTTCGATTCGTTGTAGAGAATAGTGAAGGCTACGAAGATGAACAAGAGGATTGCAATTAGGGGTAACTGGCTTTTCCTCTTCTGCCATCGCTGATGCATTATGAACGAGCAAATCTATGGCGTCGTCTCTGTTGCAGAGAGGTTCGAATTCGATCGATGATTTCGAGGTTTTTGGCGACCGACAGCGACTAATGGCGGAAACATTCAGCTTAGTGTGAGTAAAGCTGAAAACATTTGTTAATGATTCTTAGATTTACCCCATTTTTCGAGATAAGCAGAGTTTAATGTTTGAACGACATCTACGTTAGATGTGAGCCCTCCAAAAAAGTTGAGAGTTTTTTAATGGCGGACTGTCAGTGTGGAGTGACTCTGGACCTCCGGTCCTGGATCCCCCAATTAGTCTGTTGTACAAGAATGAATTTTGGTAGGCCCAAGAAATGAATAATGGATTTGTGGTAATTTTTGGGCTATATAGAGAATTGGGCACTTGGGCTTTAAATTCTTTTCGAAATAATTTCATATAAAATACTGGTAGAAAAATGAAAAATATTTATACTCCTACATGTCTTGAACAGGTGTTTTTGTTGCGTGCGATAATTTGAATGCATATTTTTTTTATTTTTTTTTTAAATATAAAAATTATGTAAAAAATATAAAAATAATAAATGTATTTTATATATTAATATTTTTTGAAATATATGTGTATTTTTTTGTTATAAGAATATACTAAAAAAACTGTATATATTTTTATTAGAAATTACGGGTGTATTTGATTTTGATTTCAGTTTAATATTGAGATTGAGATTTTGAATTAAGATTTAATTTAAATAATATTTTTATAAGAAAAAATATATTTTTATAGACTACAGTACAGTACAAATTAAATAATGTAAATTTGATTTTGATATTAAAAACAAACAAACCCTAAGCAAAAAATAGTGATATGCACATAATTTAATGCAATCTTACATTGATACTATATATATATATATATGTATTATAAAAAACTTTTCTACCATTAAAATAATAAGTAAAGTTAAAGGGGTCCTTGAACTACACAGTATATTTGTTAGTATTATATATATACTATTCATATAAAATACAAGAAATCATATTATTAATAAAAATAATATTTTATATTGAATTATTAATTTTGTGAAAAATAATATAATATAAATATTGACAATTGTATCAGTAAAAATACTCCATTTGTTCCGGTGCAAGGTTGTCGTTTACTTTTTGCACGTAAATTTTTTAATATTAGTATTATAATAAGTTATAGTGAAAAGGACGAAAATGCTCCTGTTAGTATTGTGCAATATAACAGTAATGATATTTGTATAATACAGTGTAAATTAAAAGAATATTTATTATGTTAGTTAAGTAGTACAATTACTAAATTAGAAAATAGTAATTTTGTTTTGAAACGGACGAAAATAAAAAATGACAACTTTTCAATAGGACATAAGGAATATTAGTTATATAAACAGACCTTATATTTTTAACACATTTTTTTAGAAGGCGGTCTTGCTTAGATAACTATATTTTAGTGATTGGTCATTGTCTGTGGAAAACAAATTGAAATTAACATATGTTTTTCCACGATTAATTTACAATTAAAGAAAAAACCAAAAAACAAAAAACGCTCTAAATATTGTTTCCAAGGCCTAAACTCTCATTCAATTTTATTTATTTATTTATTTTCATTGAAATAAAATAATACCAAATCCTAATACAAGTAAACACAACGACCAACAGACTTTTATAAATAAAATAAAATAAAATAATAGAACAAACTTCCAAAGGAATCATACAGACCGTACATGCATGCATACATATAGATACATGTATATATATATATACACACACATGTTTGTGTGCGTATAACGTGAAGGCATTGAACTTCGGTAGGCAATAAAGAAAATAAAAAATTTAATTTATTAATATATATATATATATAATAACCACTTGTGCCCACTTGCTCTCCAACTTGCACCTCTACTAAACCCACCCTTTATTTATTTCGTTGTTTCCTTCAACTTGCATGCAATAAATATGTACTACCTCTCTCTATGTAATATGAGTGTATTATTGTAGATGAGAATTTATGTAAAGTATAATTAGTAAGTAATTAAAAAAATATATTAGTAAAAATAATTATAGATTAAAATAAGTAAATAGTTTAATTAAAATTATAAAATTTAAAATTTAAAATGCGATTAAATGCATAATTATATCTCTAAAAATAGAAAGAACAAGTTATGTGAGACGAACAAAAATAAAAAATAGAGACAAATTATGTGGGACGGAGAAAGTATTTTATTATTTCAAAAAATAAAATATTATTTTTTATATTAGCGAACACACCGTATATATAGGTGGTATATATTGTATACTGAATGTTATAATCTAGCAAAATGGAATTTATGTTAATATAACAAATGAACTGATATCATAATATGACATTTTGTGTGTATAATTAACACATAATATTAGTATTAATTTCTTATAAAAATATTCATACAACATTAAAAATAATAAATATGGATAATATAGTAATCTTTTTAAAAAATGTGTATAAAAAAAAAAAAAAAAAAACACAACTGTGTTTACACATATTTTTTATAAAAAAGTTTAATATATTTATTATTTTTATATTACTTATATCATTTTATATATTTTATTTCAAAATAAACATACCCTGTTTTTTTATTTGTATTTTTTTATTTTTATATGCATATGTATGTATTTATGCTTTAACGACTACTTGCTTGGTCGGTTTGTGAAGAAAGCCGCCAGCTTTAATTTGCTGTGTATTTTGTAATTTTGCCCTCATAATAGATATGGAACAAAACCCTAATTTTGAAAGTATACTTTAATTTGCAGTGAGTTGTAAATTAGGGTTTTATATTTTGGCGAAGAAGTACTGAAACTTAATTAATTAATTAATTAAGACAGCTTGTTTTGTTTTGTTTTTTTTGGAAATATCAATGGTGGCCACATCGTACTTAGAATAATTGTTGGTGATTAATTAATTAATTAATAATTGCATACGTTAATTAATTGATAAATCTCTTACTTAATAATGCATTCAAGCTTAGCTTGCATTATCAATAAAAAATTTATTTTATGTCTGTTCGTTCTTATCTCCCCGGATTATTTAATGATTTTATTTTTATTTTTTGTTTTTGTTTTTTCATTGATTGCTGCTTCTTCTGCAAATTCGATGACTTTAGATATGCTCGAAATCTAAAGAGAAATGGAATGAATTTCTTGGACGAATGAAACGACGTCGTACAGTGATGAATACAAGCAATATTAATTTCAATCACATATATATGTTTATTGTTCCACGAACTGAAATTTAATTTAATTTAATTTAATTTCTGGTGATCTAAATCTGCACTTCTATGGCCAATTTTAATTATATATATACATATATATATCCTTGATTACTGCTTCTTCTGCAAATTCTTGAAATATACAGAAAAATGGAATGAATTTCTTGAACGAATGAAACGACGTCGTACAGTGATGAATACAAGCAATATATATATATATATGTTTTTTTTTCCACGACAACAAATTAAACGAAAAATGTCGAATCTTGGATGAAATTAAATTTAATTTCTGGTGATCTAAATCTGCATTAATTCCTAATTCGAATTTAATTTAATTTAATTTATATATATATATATATGTAGCTATGGAGGTGAGCTACCTGTCTCGGCGATCTGAGCTAAGGATTGAAGATTACATTTGACAATGGTGTCGACGAAGACGAAGGTTTCTTCTTTAGTGTTTCCGGCAGGGATGTCGACGACGTACGATTCGACGACGACGGTGCCGGCGCCGGCGCCGGCGGCGTGGAGAGTGGTGATGGATCGGTAATTGGCGAGGCGGTGGTCGCCGCCGACGACGCTGAAGCTGATGACGTGGCGCTCGTCGTCGAGAATTTCGAGGCGTTCGGTGCTGCTGACGGCGGGGAGGCCGGAGACGACGCGGACCTCCCGGAGGGTGCCGACGTCGCCGTCGCCGACGATGACGTGGCAGCTCTTGACGAAGTGTTTGTAGGCCTGCGGGTTGTCGAAGCGGCGGACGACGGCCCAGACGGTGGAGACAGGGGCGGCGATGTGCTTAGTGACGGCGGAGCAGCACTGGTTGGGGCCGACGGCGTGGGCGTGGTAACGGGCGACTTGGTCCGGGACCTGGGCCTGAACCTGGACCTGGACCTGGACCGGCGGTGATGAGTGGCGGAAGGATTGCTTGAACGCCGCCGCGCTGGCGGCGGCGTGCGGCGGCGGATCGTTCATTCTTTGGATTAGAAGGGAGGATTGGGGCTGATTGGAAGGCATTTTCATCGATTTGATCGAGAAAATGGAATCCGTACGGTTGGTTTTTTTGTTCTTACAAATCTGCTGTGCCTTCTGCGGGTATGGGTTTGTGGGCTTATATATGTGTGTAGGAATATGGAGACTGATTTTGAAGGTTCTTACCAATGACGGAAATGTAAGAGAGAGAGAGAGTTGGATTTTGGAGAGAGAGAGAAGGGCGACGATGATTCATGTGAGGGTAATAAAAATAAACAAATAGTCTACTTGCTCGTACGCTAATTTACCAATATACCCTTACACTGCAACTCGTATACATTTTTTATAATTTTTTTTTTTGTAATATTAAATTTATGGTATTATTAATTTTGACAAATTCAATATATCAATATTTAATTATTAATTTCTATTCATTAATTTAGAATAAATATCATTAATTCTATTATATTATTTCTTTTTATTTATTTTAATTTTTAAATAAATTTCTAAATATGCCCCAACTTGTCTATTATTTTTAATGTCTATGTCATATCAAGTGAACTAATTTTAGTTGAGGAATGGTGCACCTTCTAATTTCTAAAATATTTTCAAAAATTCTCAAAAACTTCAATTAAAAACCTTTATCTACTATCCATTTCATTTTTATTTTTCTTAATACACAGTTTTATCTCATACAATATTAAATTAATATATTATTTAAATAAAAAAATTTAAATCTAAACAAGCCCAATAATATAGTACAATAATTTTGAAAAGAAATACATCTATTATTAATTATACGCTATAAAATAAAATAAAAATAACAGGAAATCAACTCTAATATTTTTCAAAGTCTTAAATAGAATTTATACATACTATCAGTCAATATCAAACAAATAAACAATTTGACTGTTCCTCATGTTTAACATCATATCATACAAACTTGAACCTTGTATATATCGATAAGTAGTGACAATTTATTTGATTTAATCATTGAGGCTATTTAAAATAACATAATTTCAGTTTAAACGTAATTGCTCCAAAATATGGTAACATAATTTTTAACTAGATACTTTAATGGGCGGATTTTTATTTTTATTTTTAATTTTATTTTAAATTGAATTTAATATTATTAATTGTTTTAAAAAAAAATATTAATTATATTTTTTAAAAAAAATCACATTAAATATTATTTAAATAAAAATTCAAATCAATATTTTATTTCAAATCAAATTCAAATAACACTCAAACAAACCATGTAGTCATCATCTTTTTCTTAAAAATTTTACTGTAAAATATTTTAACATGTATTTCAAATATATATTTAATAAAATTATATTATATTATATTATATTCCATTATTTATATAAGCACCATCCCGTATTAATCGAGATTTTTTTATTTTCTTTTTTTTTTTTAGAAAAACAATAGTAAGAATAAAACCCTTCAAAACATAATTCGAAACCAATAAAAAAAACATAAGTGTGTGTTTGGTTGCATTTATGTGTGTTGGTTTTTATATTGAAATAAAATAATATATTTTAATAAAATTATAAATAACTATGGAACATTGCGGTTCGGGCCGGACCCAAATCTAAATTCGGGTCAGGATAGTAGATGTTCTAGAAAACTCTAGAACTTTTTACTGCTATCAACTTGTACGTACGACAGTGTTTAAATTGGCCTGCCTTGCATTTTATTTTTTAAAAATTAATATATATATAATATTTTTCTGGTAAAGACTAAAGAAAGGACCCAAGTGGGCACAAGTTGAATAAAGTACCAGCAAGGCCAAATTGGCTCAAGTGTCGAAATGGACGGTCCGCGATCAACTTGGGCAGTTATGATGAGATCTCAGCCGTAGGATAAGATTATGTTGTCTGGTCTGGTGGTCTGCCCCTCGACAACTTGGCCAAATTCAATTTGAACATCTTTTTCCTGTTTGTTTTGTTTTTTTTGTTTTTCCCTTTATCTTTTCTCATGTGTCATGCCTCTCCACTTGCACTATCTATTTAGTTATTTATATATATATATTAATGAGTTTCAAGGTAGTTTAATTTGGGCTGGCAATTATTTTGGGATATTATAAAGTTGTGTACCATCATCATCAACCCTTGCTAAGTTGCTTGGCTGTCACATTATTTTAATTTATTGATTTTAAATTTTAATATTGTTTGACATTTCAATGTTCAATGAATTGATTCTGACATGACATCTAATGACAGTTTCTTTTATAAGATAAATGTTTTTATTTTATTTTTTTATTTCTATTTTGTGTATTAATTATGCTTTCAATTCCAATAAAAAAAAATTTCGGCTTCACACGTTCCTAATAAAAAAGGTAGTTTTTATTTTTTGTTGGTCAAAATTGAGAAATTGTCAACTTTGCTAGCTTACGAAATATCTCAACATTGGAAATCAATTTCTGTTAATGTAGAAATTTTAAAAAATATTATTTATTTTTGGAAATTTAAATTCACAACATTTATCAATAAAATTAAAAATTATATTTTATCTCTACTATTATCATTTTTCTTTCAAAACTACAAAAGCCTCCCATAGGATTTCCTTTGAAGAGATTTTATCTTGAATTTTTATATAGTCCAAACCCAATCTAGCCTAGGTCCAATTGAAGCTATGTACAATTAAATTCCATTTTTGTTTTTTTAAGGTGCAAATATGTTTTTATATACTACTTATAATACTAATAGAAAAATATAATAAAAATATTATATAAATATAAAAATATTATAATGACACAAAAAAATAAATGCATTAAACATAAATATAATACTCATTTCGTCCCTTAACAATTTATTTATTTTTTTATTTTGGTACGTCTTATAACAAAGTATCTATTTCAATTTTTTTTTAGTAATTGTACTAGCTATCTAACGTTACAAATACCCTTCTAATTTACAATATATTACACAAATACCATTACTTTTATATCATACAATACTTAATTTAATCTTTTTATCTTTATTAATACTTTATCCCAATATAATACTAATATTTTTAAAACTCAGTGCAAAAAGCAAATATGGGACGGAAAGAGTATATATTTATTTATTTAAAAAAATTAATAATTTAATATAAAATATTAATAATGTATTATTTTTAATATTACTTATATAATATTTCACATTAATTGTTTTTGATTGTTTTGTTTTGTTTTTTTGTTTTTTTCAGAAATTTATTGTGGCAACCAATTTGTTCACACTTCACACGGAAAAGAATTTTCGGTTTATTATTATTATTAAAAAATTAGGTAGACTTAGTTGCGAAGAAAGAAAAGACTGCAAAGCCCCGAAGGTTCGCGGAGATCCCTCTTCTCTAGGGCTCTCGTTGTCGGCGTTGTGGCTTCACTGGGTGAGATCGAAGAACAGGCGAGATCTAGCTGATAATCTGTGAATTTATTCCGTAAATGGATCAGATATTGAACAAGGTGGGATCGTACTGGATTGGTCAGAAGGCCAACAAGGAATTGAACTCCGTCGGCGACGATATCAGTGTAAGGCTCGAGATCTGTCCTTTTTGTTTTCGGGAATTGATCCTTTGGAATTTGAAGTTTCTGGGTTTGTTTATTGGAAATTCGCGCCGGATTATGTCGATTTGCGGATTTGGTTGTGTTTTTAGCGGTTTTCGATGTGTAAAATTGTTAGCCAGTAGATTTGATATATGCAATACTTTCCATATCCGCATCTCAAACTGCTTTTAAAATTCATTTACTTGGATTTTGAATTTGTTGGCTTCTATGTGATGTGAAGATACTCGATTTGGGCGGTCGATTCGGAATCAGTTATTTACATTCTGATGTAGTCTGCGATCATCAGAGGGTGTTTTTTTTTAAATGTATGCTTTGTGTTTCTTATTGTTTCATTTTTGCCAAAAGCCTAGTTGGAAGCTTGTGATTGGGAATTTATCATGTTATCCTTTTAGGCGTCTGCTCGGACATTTGTATTGGTGAGGATTATGGTAATGTGACATATTGTGATTTTTAGAGCAACGCTAAGTATCGGAAGTCATTCTCTTATTCACATTTGTTGTGAACTCATGTTCTGTTCAATGATGAAATTTTGACATGGTATGAGTTCATGAGCAGTGGTAGTATATTCAGGCTTGACTAAACTTGCTGTGATCTTTATATGCTATTCAGTGACAAGAATTAGGTTATGGACATATTGTACATGGTACTTATTTTGAACAAAACAAAAACCTTTATTTTGAGTTTTTGCCAAAGCTTTCCATAAGATAACAAGCTTTTTTGTTTTGATTTTTTTATTATATGGAGTATTTTTTTAAAAAATTTCAAAATCTTTGACGGGCAGCTTCTTGATTGCTTCAATTTTACTGGAGTGTCCCATGTCTAAGAATTTATTTGTCTTAAAGGCTCTGTTTCTTTAAAATGTGGTTTTGGTCTCACACTATTCATAAGTTCCCCCCCTCCCAAAACTATTGAATTAAACACCTAATTTTCATTTGATATATTGCACAAAAAAAATTAATTCCACTAAAAATATGACGTCAAAAACATTTTATATCACATAACATACTATTTCAACTTAAACTTCTACCATTCGCGAACCCCAAACCCAAATTCAAAGCTTACACAAGAACACAGTCCAAATGATTTTTTTAAGCTATTGTGGTGTGGACACTTGCTTTGAGTTAGCATTAATCTAGAGAGCAAGGATATCACCTGATACACCCTGAACATTTTGTCTTACAAGTTTTTGTTTGTTGTTTGTGGATTTGATTGGATATTAAGCTGTGTAGAGAAAGAAAATCTGAAATGGAAGTTATAAACTTATAATCTATTGCATTTGCCCATCTTTTTTATACTAATTATCATTTGTTTCTTTCCTCTTTCCATCTTGTGTGTTAGTCATTATCCAACAGTATTGAAGGAGGAGCCAAATGGTTGGTTAACAAGTTGAAAGGTTAGTATTTTTTTCTAGTCTGGTCTATGTGAAGTACTTTTTTCTTTTTTTTTTTAAATTATTCCATGCGGAAAATAAAATTCCTTTTATTCTACTTTATAATTAGCTGAAATTCGGATTTCAGGTGCCAAGGAAAATTCTTTGTATAGTGAGGGGAAACATTCTCATTTTTATTGATTGTCTTAAACTTCAGATGTCGTAAACTTCATATACGGCATTCCTTAATACTCAAGTTTCTATCATATTGGAAAATCTTGAGAGCATTTAGACACTGTTCCTTTGATCAATTGACAACAACTTCGAAATGATTGCAATTCTCTCTAGCATCACTTATTTTAACTGAAGAATTTGAGGTCCCGAAAGTGGAGACACTGCTGTCCACCTTATTGTTCATATTTCACACGTTTTGTGGTTTGTTGATGGCTACGGGTAAACCTGGTTCTTTTTGTTTCTCATTTTGTTGGGGTTCTAAATTTAACACAAAAACTTACTCGTTTCAGGAAAAATGCAAAAGCCATTGCCTGATCTCCTGAAGGAGTACGACCTGGCAATCGGGATTTTCCCACGCGACGCCACCAATTACGAGTTCAACGAGGAGACAGGAAAGCTCATCGTGTACATCCCATCAATTTGTGAAGTGGGATACAGAGACTCATCCATACTGAGGTTTTCCACCACCGTAACCGGTTATCTCGAGAAAGGCAAGCTGGCCGACATAGACGGAATCAAGACAAAGGTGATTGTTTGGGCTAAGGTCACATGCATCACTTCAGATAAATCGAAGATTCATTTCACTGCTGGGATGAAAAAATCCCGAAACAGAGACGCTTACGAGGTTCTCCGAGGTGGGATTGCCGTAGAAAAATTCTAAGACTAGAATACTCCTATATGTCTTAATACAATGCCCTTCAACCATACTACTACTCCCTACTGCCTTTCTATCAGATGTTGATAAATCATGAATCTTGGTGTATAAAAGTTTCCTCTCAACACTTGAGGTATTTGGTTTTTGAATCAAGAATTGTATTTTATTACCTCATGGGATAGGCTTGAGGTGGCAAAAAATAGACACCATCCGATCTAAATTTGGCACAAAAAAAACTCAGTGTCTAGGCTTCCAAAAATAGGCTCGATTGTTTAGGTTGTGTTCAAGCCTATGAAGGTTGGGTTGTGCTTGGTCTGACGTATTTTTTTTAAATTAATATTTAATATATTTATATATATATATATTAATTAATGAAATAGTAACAAAATTTTAGAATGGTAAAGTCTTTAAATTATTTATAATTGGCTCTAAATCAGGTCGTGTTCGGACCTAGTTATTTAGTTCCGGTTTAAAACCGAGCCGCCCATTTTGAAATCGCGTCGGGCAGGCTGACACAAAAAAATTTGGGCCGTGAAGGCCAAGAATTGATTGTACCAAAAAAAAAGGAAAAATTGAAATGCACCAGCCGGGAATCGAACCCGGGTCTGTACCGTGGCAGGGTACTATTCTACCACTAGACCACTGGTGCTACATGCCTTGATAACTGGAAATAAAAACTAAAAACAAATAGATCATAGTGTGAACATGCTGGAAGGAGTAAGATACCATTTGAATGCTGACAAGGTTAGGATTGAGATATTTGGATGAGATCCACGGGTCTGCCACACGCCCCTGTCCCTATGGCCCATGTTTCTGCTGCCAGGTGTTGCCATTTCAATGGCAGCCTCACCAGCCACGTAAAATGCTACTCCATTATTAATCTCTCTCTCTCTCTCTATATAATTCAATTTCAATCCAATCCCATTTACTCACTCCCTTAATTTCTCATCTTCTTTTCTTCTTCTTCTTCTTCTTGTTTTGCATTTGCAGATTGTAATAACATGTTTTCGGCTGCTGCTGCTGCTCTGAATGGCTCTGGTGCGAGTCTTGGGGCATTGTCGAATTTAGGGAATTCTTGTACTAGTAAATTGGTCCATTCTGCTTCTTCTTCTTCTTCGTTTTCTGGGCTTGTTTCTGCGAACAGGCGTGACAATGGATTCGCAGCGGGGGCGTCGAACGAGACGCTGACGGGGGTGGTGTTTCAGCCATTCGAGGAAGTTAAGAAAGATGAGGTTATGGTCCCTATTACGCTTGACCAGTCGCTTGCGAGACAGAGGTTTGCGCCTGACTGTGAGGCCGCCATTAATGAGCAGATCAAGTAAGTTTCGTTTTCCTTTTTTTTTTGTCGACCCTTTCTGGTGAATGATGGTTTGAACTGATTGGGTTTTGATGAAAGAAGTAATATTAGATGGGGTTTTGGGTGTTTTAGGGTTTGTTTAGATATCACTTTTTTTTAGATAGAAATTTTTGGAAATTTGAAAAAAAAAAAAAAAAAAAAAGTAAAAATTAATATTTGATTTGAAATTTTGTGGTAGAATATAATATTTTTAAAAAAATAAATAAATAGCATCAGTGAAAATATACTGTGTAAATATATGATTGTATATTTGCTTGATTTAGGAACTACAATTAGGTGAAATGTTTTATGGTCTTCGTTGACCATTGAAAATACAAGTAAACGTAGACGTCCGAACTCTGAACTCTACTAGTGTAAGCGATGAATTCGACTGTTAGGTTCAACTAGAGATTTTAGTATTTGGGTTTGAACTTTTTATTAGTAAAAAATTGAATTTGAATAATTGTTTGATTTAATATAAATAGAGATTGATTTGATGTTTTAAATGTTAATTAAACTTGTAGTATAATATAAAATAAAAAAATAATTGTTTAATATGATATTTTTTAAGGGAAAGAAAAATCTAAATAGTAAAAAATTTTAATCTATTTGGTCGCAGCGTGGAGTATTGTGTATCGTATGCATACCATTCCATGTACTCCTACTTCGACAGGGACAATGTTGCTCTGAAAGGCCTTGCCAAGTGAGTTTTATTGTCAAGACACTTGATTGAAACTTTGTGTAATTTTCTTGTTTCTATTTCCGCATGCTCTTAAACTCGTATTCGTGTCGTTTGGACAGGTTTTTCAAGGCGGCGAGCCAAGAAGAAAGAGAACATGCTGAAATGCTTATGGAATACCAGGTAAACTCTAAGGGCGCGATTGGATTGTTGGTCGGTTTTAGTTTTTGAGTTTGGATTTTTGAATAGTAAAAAATTGAATTTAACCGTTGTTTGATACGACATAAATAGAGGTTGACGATGTTGATATTTGAATATTAATTATTACATCAAAATGTAGTACAAATTAAGGAAAAATAACAAAAATATTTATATTAGCGTCTTATAACAATAATATAATAACATTTGTACAAAATATTATACAAACATAAAGATACTTTTAACATTAGAAATGCCAAATGTGAATGAAAGTTTAGTCTTGAACAGAGTAATGTAAAAAAAAAAAAATAAAAAATAATAATTGTTTGATTGATATATTTAGAGGAAAAAAAAAAAAATCTCAACGTAAAAACCGTAAATTTCACAAAAGAACACAGGCTAAGGTTTTATTTTTTGTGAATTTTACACCAATTTTTAATAGTCAGATTCTTTTCTCTCCAAGATACAACACAATACAAATTTATTTTATATTAATCAAAACAAAAAAAACCAAACCAACAAACAAAATCCATCTTATTTGTTTGCTTTGATTCTGATTTCGTTTAGAGTTTTAAATCGAACAAGGTTAATGCTTTGTTTGTTTTTCGATTTTCCGATAATGATAGGAGAAGCGTGGAGGGAAGGTGAAGCTACAGAGTTTACAAGCACCGCCTTCAGAGTTCGATCATGTCGACAAAGGAGATGCTCTGTATGGTAAGTTGGTCGTAATTCTCAACAATAACATCCGTTGATCGTGATCGTTTGAACTGAATATATCTCGACTCAGCAATGGAGCTCGCGTTGAGTTTGGAGAAGTTAACCAACGAAAAACTTTTGAAACTTCACGCGGTAATAATGCCTATCAAACCTGCCTTTATATAGTTAGTTTATACATATTCTTGTGTAGTTAATGGCTACTTGTGTCGATGATGCAACAGGTTGCTGACGAAAACAACGATCCTCAGCTTGCAGACTTCGTCGAAAGCGAATTCTTGGGAGAACAGGTAAAAAAACACAAACCAAAAATAGCGAAAAAAGCATTGAACAAGAATTAACCCATCATTCTTTCTTTTCAGGTCGACGCCATCAAGAAGATATCGGAGTACGTTTCTCAGCTTAGGAGGGTTGGAAAGGGACATGGTATATGATAACACACATTTGTTCTGTTCGAAAGAAAGTTTCGGCAATAAATATGCTTACTCTAAACTTGTCGAAAATGCAGGAGTTTGGCACTTTGATCAGATGCTTCTTCAAGAAATCGATGCTGCTGCTGCTGCGGCTGCTGTGTAACAAATGATTGAATTTATGAATGCATCTGCATCCTATTCAGACACTGCTAGATTGAATTCGCGCTTTCGAACTCAGGAAATAAAAGTAGTTATCGACTCTTTCCATCAGCATTTCGACACATATGATTCTGAGAATATATTCCAATAACTTGCATTAGTGTTGCAAGGGACATCCATGTTCAAAAGTTACACCAATTTGCATAATCATTTCATCAAATAATCGAATACTAATATGCTCAAAGCAGTTCCATAATTTAGTGTTATGCAAATGACTTACACTTGATTCGGGCTGGAAAGCTATATGGATGGGGTCATGGTCACAAGTTTATCATCTTCCATATGTTGTTGCAAGTATCGAAGGGTGTAGACTTTGACGGGTCGAACTCAAATCTCTCAACAACTTTCTTATTCCTGTCGACAATGTCTAAAGATGTATAGGTTAAAGAAATACAGACTAACCAGCGAACCAGTTCGAATGAAAATACATGAGATAAGCTTTGAGTAAGGCGAGAGAACAATGAAGGATACGGCCTGATATTGTCGATTGATCATCCAGGTTTGGAATTATATTTGTGACGGAGGCATACATCGAAAGCTTCATCCTACAAGATATGAATCAAGAAAATGTCATGGTAATATCATCTTCTTCAGCATCGGTGTAAGTAAAGGAAACATTAGAAACACGAGCAATTGGAAAACAAATTAGCCGTATCTATGGATATGATAGAAACTCCTTTTACTGAGTCGAACATATATCAGGGCAAGGTGAGCAAGACTACAGGAACATCAGATATCAAAGTGTAAATGGTGTCGAAACCTAGAAAATCAAGCAAGTAAGTACAAGTCTAGCTCTATCATTTCTTTTATGCATAGCGCAACTACTAACAAGAGTAACATTTTTGTCGAGGACCAAGTAACATTTTTTCCTGATGTCGAAACCAGCGAAGATCAACGCATTATTGAGATCTTGCAGCGTGCTCAGTCCATAACATCAAGAGCAGTTCATACATTAATATAATGCCTGTAAAATGATTGGAGAAGGAAAAGTACTCGAATTTGAATGTAACTTACTGAGCCCTCTTTTCGTCGCGTTCAAACTTCTTCATACTTTGTATTTGTTCTTCAGCTGCAACCCTTTGTTGCTCTAGATCATCGATTTCCCTGATAATTTCTGTGTTGATTATAACATACAAATAGTTTGACACATGTTAGATGAAATGGATTTACAATCATGAAACAAACCATTAACATATATACCAAACCACTTATCTAAGCTCTTCCTTAAGCATCCATTCTAGTTTCTGTTCCTCCTCCAACTGTTTCTGTAATGTATCTAACTCTGTATCTGCAGCACTCTCAGATTCTGCAGCTGCTGCTTTCTGCTTGCAGGCCTCAATCCTCTTTTCATAATCTGGAGCATAAACACACTCTCAATAAACCTAAATTACCTTTTGCTACGAGTTAATTCTAAAATCAAGTCAGTCGAAGAGCAAATTAAGATGAATCTACCCTCAAAGGCAGGTTAAATCTGAATGTAAAACAAAAAAATTGAAGACAACAGAGAGGAGTTCGCGGAATCTGAAAAACGAATACAAATCTTGAGTTGGAGAACTCACCTTCAATGGAGTTATGAACTTCATCGTAATCTTTGATACATTGGGACTGGAGAGCCTCCGATTGGCGCAGAAAATGCTTCAGACTAACAGCATCCTTATCTTCCTTCAAAATCTCGATCAGATTATCGCCGTAACTCATCAGCTCTCCCATATCCATTCTTCTCAACTTCTCGTCCATCTTTCCACTCCAATTCTTCACATAAAATTCAGATCGGATACTGCAGACTCCGATTGCGAGGCAATCCGAAAATTTTCGAAATTCAAAACCCCAAATGTTTCCAGGTAAACAAAGGTACAAATTAAATATTGAAATTCCAACCGATTATCAACAGCGTCGATATGTCCGAGTGGTTAAGGAGACAGACTCGAAATCTGTTGGGCTTTGCCTGCGCAGGTTCGAATCCTGCTGTCGACGTTTTTTGCCATCGCCATTTTCAAAGCTCTGCCGAACTTGGCTTGTCCGTCACGCTATTTCCAATTCCACCCCTCCGTCATTCCTTGAATTTCCAATTCTACCCCTCCGTGGCTATATATAAATAGGTATAAATCTCTCCCGTGCCTGTCAGAATTTAGTTCTGCGCAGTCCTCCGGACCTCAAAAATATCACCCGAAACTGTTCCTCTCTCCCAAACCCTCCGCAAACCCTAATCTCCACTTAACACGCAACACATAACTTCCCTAAAGGGTATGTGCTCTCTCTCTCTTTTATCTTCTCTCTACTTTTCCATTTCTCTTCTCTTTTTGTGGTTTTGTTTTGCATCGCAGTACGATTTGTCGATTTCCATTTCCATTTTCCATTTCCCGTGCTTTGCGTATCGATATTGTTGCGGTTGATTGATTTAATTTAATCGGTGAGTCGAAATTATGGTGAATTCAAACAGTTCACTGGACTTTATGCTTCCTGTGAAGAGAACAACAGCTGGAGCGGAGCTAGGAGTTGTTGATTCCGAGTTGACCAAGAAACAGTGCACGAATTTCTCGTCGTCTGCGGCGGCGGCGGCGGCGGCGGCGGCGGCGGCATCGTCTGCGGTTGGTATGGCAGGAGGGCATAGTGGAAGCGATGGCGTCAGTAACGGCAAGGCGCCGATCGGTGGCGGTCAGCCTGCGGAGATCGATGAGGATCTACACAGTCGGCAGCTCGCCGTCTACGGACGCGAGACTATGCGCCGATTGTTCGCTTCGAATGTTCTCATTTCTGGCATGCAAGGCCTCGGCGCCGAAATAGGTAAGGACGCCTTGTGTCTGTGTGTCTATACAGCTCCGTCCTTCTGTTAATGTAGGTGCTTCGCCATTTATGCTAGATCCATCTTTTGTATCGAAATGGATCATGCTTTTTTAGAATCTCTGAGCATATGGCGTGATGCAGATGGATGCTTGCAATGGATATGTGATTTAGGATGAATCCTCGCATTTTTGCGCATAAGTTTGCTTCATAGTTTTAAATTTAACTGTGTCTGTGTGTGATTGTGTATGATACAAATTGATGGATGCTTTAAATTTTATGTTGTTTAACACTGATACATTTAGATCTGAAGGTTGTGACGAGATTATTTAACACACATTCATTTCGTATATTCTGGAAAGGTTACTGATTACTGGATGCAAGACTTAATTTTGAAATAAATGTGTGTGTCCATTTGATTGCCTTTTCTGTTTTTGTGCTTATCAATCCTTCCCTTGCTGATTGAGTGAAACCTATGTTTGGGGGCAATTCAGAGTTCCGAGATATTTTGACTATAATGCTACTCATATGTTGTTATAAGTAATCGGTCTTATGCAGATTGGTGGTGGATTCTATTTCATTCTGTTTAGTATGTTTAGATATTTAGATATTAAATATGTGAAATGTATAGTATTCATTCTGCATACAAACTGCATACATACTGGTGTTAGGTGCTCAAGTGTCATTTGTATTAGATTTCCTTTCTATGTAATTGCTTATGCATGCGAATATGGGAAGCCATTGTGTAATGTGCTACTTTTTGTTCACAGCAAAGAACCTTATTCTGGCTGGTGTTAAATCTGTTACCCTGCATGATGAGGGTGCTGTGGAGTTATGGGATTTGTCCAGCGGTTTCATTTTTTCTGAAGAAGATTTGGGGAAGAATAGGGCTGTTGTGGCTGTCCCAAAATTGCAAGAACTCAACAATGCTGTCATTATTTCTACATTAACTAGTGAGCTGACAAAAGAGCAGTTATCTAATTTTCAGGTACAAAAATTGAGTTTCATTTTGCCTGCGGAGTGCCGCCTTTTATTCTATTATCTTGGTTCCTTGTGTTGTAATTAGCTCATTCTGTAGCTTGACTGCCTGTTATCATTGCGGTAGTGATAATTAGCTTGTTTCTTGTTAGTGTTTCAGTTTTTCACCTTGTTTGAATAATAGTTCCAAAGAGCTCCTTTTAGGTCAACGACCAGAGGTGGTTTTTTATTCTTCAATTAGCTCAGTTGTTTGCTGTAGCTTTTTATTTCCATTGTTGCCTATGTTAGTGTATTGAGTCGTTGCACGGATTACTGGTATAATTTCTACTTACACTGCAAAATTTGTCTATTCTGTGCCAGCAGTTTGATGCTTGCTCATGAGTAACTCTTCTGTTCTTTTTTGTGTTTCCAGGCTGTTGTTTTTACTGATATCAGCTTAGACAAAGCTATTGAATTTGATGATTATTGTCACCAACATCAACCCCCAATTGCTTTCATCAAATCTGAAGTTCGGGGTCTTTTCGGCCATGTATTTTGTGACTTTGGTCCTGCGTTTACAGTTTTTGATGTTGATGGTGAAGATCCCCACACAGGCATTATTGCCTCTATCAGCAATGACAACCCTCCCCTTGTAGCTTGTGTTGATGATGAGAGGCTGGAGTTTCAGGATGGGGATCTAGTTGTGTTTTCTGAAGTGAAAGGTATGGAGGAACTGAATGATGGGAAGCCAAGAAAAGTAAAGCAGGCTAGGCCATATTCTTTCACTATTGAAGAGGACACCACAAACTATTCTGTGTATGAGAGAGGTGGCATTGTTACACAAGTGAAAGAACCCAAGGTGCTGAACTTCAAACCACTTCGACAGGCACTTAAGGATCCTGGTGATTTTCTCTTGAGTGACTTCTCCAAATTCGACCGTCCACAACTCCTTCACTTGGCATTCCAAGCATTGGATAAATTCAGAGGGGAGGTGGGACGTTTCCCACTTGCTGGGTCAGAAGAAGATGCCCAGAAGTTGATAGCCATTCTTTCTGATATTAATAGGAACCTTTCTGATGATAGTGTGGAAGGAATTGACCAAAAACTCCTTAAGACCTTTGCTTTTGGTGCTAGAGCCGTGTTAAACCCTATGGCTGCCATGTTTGGTGGTATTGTTGGACAGGAAGTTGTCAAGGCTTGCTCTGGGAAGTTCCATCCACTCTTTCAGGTCAGTTACATGAATGAGTCCACTTTAGGGTATGAAGCGAATTGTGGCTGTCTCTGCACCTGTGTTTTCAATTCCAGTTTTAAATTAGAAAATCATAAGTGCCTTTTTTTTCCATCTAAAAAACATCGTACTATTTCGCATTTAAAGTATCATTATCAACACCTATTTTCACTTCTAAATTTTCGTAATATAAAACTCCAAAACACAAGCAAACACTAAACCTGATGCATGAAGATAAGATAATGTTCCATATTTAGTGCACTAGTTTTTATTTTGTTTCTTTCCTTGTGCAACATGGCATTCTGAATGGCCATACTGTACATTATTGATTCATTGATTTTGTCATTTAACAGTTTTTCTACTTCGACTCTGTTGAATCTCTTCCGTCTGAACCATTGGATCCCAATGACTTGAGGCCTTTGAATTCCCGTTATGATGCTCAAATATCTGTGTTTGGATCAAAGCTACAAAAGAAACTTGAGGATGCCAAAATTTTCATGGTGGGGTCTGGTGCTCTTGGATGTGAATTTCTGAAAAATCTTGCTCTGATGGGAGTTTGTTGCGGTGATGGAGGAAAGCTGACTGTTACAGACGATGATGTCATTGAGAAGAGTAACCTTAGCCGGCAGTTTTTGTTCCGTGATTGGAACATAGGTCAGGCAAAATCAACTTGTGCTGCTGCGGCAGCCTCTTTGATCAATCCCCGGCTTCATGTTGAAGCTTTGCAAAACCGTGCTAGCCCTGAGACTGAAAATGTCTTTGATGACACATTTTGGGAGAATTTGAGTGTTGTCATTAATGCACTAGATAACGTTACTGCTAGACTCTACATTGATCAGAGGTGTTTGTACTTCCAAAAAGCTCTCCTAGAGTCCGGCACATTGGGTGCAAAGTGCAATACACAAATGGTAATTCCTCACCTAACTGAAAACTATGGTGCATCAAGGGATCCTCCTGAAAAGCAAGCGCCTATGTGCACAGTGCACTCATTCCCTCATAATATTGATCATTGCTTAACATGGGCCAGATCAGAATTCGAAGGCTTGCTTGAAAAAACACCTACTGAGGTTAATGCGTATCTAAGTAATCCAAGTGAATATGTTTCTGCTATGAAAAATGCTGGTGATGCACAGGCCCGAGACACACTGGAACGGGTTCTTGAATGCCTTGACAGGGACAGATGTGAAACATTTCAGGACTGCATTACCTGGGCTCGCTTGAAGTATATTAGTTTTCTTGCTTTATCCTTCGCTTAACCAGATTAGATTTCCCCGTGGTGTTGCTAATATATTTCTTGGTTACATCAGGTTTGAGGACTACTTTTCCAACCGGGTTAAGCAGCTAACATACACATTCCCTGAGGATGCTGTAACAAGCAGTGGGGCTCCATTTTGGTCTGCACCAAAACGATTTCCTCGCCCGTTGGAGTTTAGTTGTGAAGATATGAGCCATCTCAACTTTGTCTTGTCAGGAGCTATATTACGAGCAGAAACATTTGGCATCCCCATTCCAGAGTGGGTGAAGTCCTCAGAAAAGTTGGCTAATGCTATTGATAAAGTGATCGTCCCAGACTTCCTTCCAAGGGAAGATGTGAAAATTGTGACAGATGAGAAAGCTACTAGTCTCTCTACTGCATCTATCGATGATGCTGCTGTCATCAATGAGTTGATCGCAAAGTTAGGGACATGCCTGAAAAATCTTCCACCAGGTTACAAGATGAATCCCATTCAGTTTGAAAAGGTTTGTCTTGTTGCCTTTCATTGCAATTTACATGCCAGTTTGTGTGCTTTGCTTTCGTATTGATTATAAGGAATGCCTTTTCACATGATATTATTCTTCGTAGAACTTGTCAAGCAGAATAGATGGAACCAAGTTTAGGTGGGCTTTGAAAGTATTTATTTGGGTTTTGGATTGGAAATATTTTGTTTGAGTTTTGTATTTAAATAATGTTTAAAGTGATATCTGTGAGAGGAAAAATGTATGTATATATATATATATTTTTGAGAAATGCGGATTTCAAATAGTAAAAAAATAGGAAGAAAAGCCAAAGAAACACACCTTTGTGTTTTTGGTAATAGTAAAAATATGAATGGAAATTCAATGTAGGATGTGACATTTTTAATGGAAAATAAGTGTTGGATATGAAATTAACCTCAAGATAAGTTATTTAAGATTTTAGATGAAAACTAGCTGTTTGATATGATTTGTTTTATTTAGAGGGATTAATATATAGATATATATATACACGAATTGTGAGAAAATATTGTTGAAAACTAAAGTAAACATAGCAAAAATATTTCTCTTTCGAAATAGGAGGAATGCAGTTTTGGTTGAAATGAAAATTTTGAATGGATATTTGTAGGGCGTGTAGGTCTGGAGTTGTTTTGTAATATATTATAACGTACTACAATGGAATCGGGTTTCTCAAAGTGTGGCTTCTCTAGATACATGTTCTACTCACTTTAGTCGTAACAAGCAAGTTGTTGATTACAGGATGACGATACCAACTATCACATGGACCTCATAGCCGGCCTTGCCAATATGAGGGCTAGAAACTACAGCATCCCGGAAGTTGACAAGCTCAAGGCCAAATTCATCGCAGGTAGGATAATCCCTGCAATCGCAACCTCTACTGCTTTGGCCACAGGTCTCGTCTGCCTCGAGCTTTACAAAGCTCTCGACGGCCAGCACAAGGTGGAAGACTATCGCAACACCTTTGCAAACCTTGCGCTTCCCCTTTTCTCCATGGCCGAGCCTGTGCCGCCCAAAGTCATTAAGCACCAGGACATGAGCTGGACCGTTTGGGACCGTTGGATCCTCAAAGGCAACCCAACCCTTAGAGATCTCCTTCAGTGGCTTAAGGATAAAGGCCTCAACGCCTACAGCATATCGTTCGGAAGCTGCTTGTTGTACAATAGTATGTTCCCTAGGCACAAGGATCGCATGGATAAAAAGCTCGTGGATTTAGTCAAAGACGTCGCCAAGTTTGAACTTCCTCCGTACCGGAACCATTTTGATGTGGTCGTTGCTTGTGAGGATGACGAGGACAATGACATTGATATTCCTCAGGTTTCCGTATACTTCAAATAGGGAGCAGGAGCGGGAGCTTGTTCGTGTTTCACAAAGTAATGCCCTGATTTCCGACAACCGAAATGAAGCTCCTCCATCGTCTGTAAGATGAACTTCTTGAATCTCCCTCCCTATAGTTTTCATATTTGCACCTTTCCTTTGTCATTTGTTTTTCTTTATTGGATATGATGACAAAAAAAAAAAAAAAAAAAAGAACCCTTTTTGGGTGTAGAAGCTCAAATTTGGAATTTACCAATTCCTCTTGATGCTTTAATATTATTCTATGGTCTAACTTTTAATTTTATGCTCTATATTGATAACTAGCTAAATGACCATTTTGATTTATGCCTGTTTTGTTAGATGTATTTATTTTTATGCATGACTTGGCTTGGCCTTTGGTTTAAATTTATTTACATTATGTGTTGTGGTGATTTTTATATTGTGTTCTCGGTTTATATTTTTTAGAGGTGTGTTGTTTGGTTATAGTATATATTGTATGGTCTATTTTATTAGCCCCAAAAAGCAAATGTATTATTTGTTTTTTTTTTTTAGAGCATATTTTGTGCTTTATGTTGTATATTGTAGTGTTAGTTTCTCAGAGTATCAATTCAAGAGTCGAGAAAATATGAATTTTAAATATGATATATGCTATCTAGAGTTTTGATTGGTAGTATCTGAAATTTTGCATGGTGCTTTTTGGAGATTTGAACAACGTTGTTGGAGAAAATTAGCAATGTTTATATAGTTTATATTGCGAGAAAATAGGTTTATTTAGTTAGCGTTGAATTCCAATGTTCATTTGTGAGATTTTGGTTTTAAGTTTTAGTTTTGAATAGTAAAAGTGAGATAAATATGTTCTAGTATAATATTTTTAATATAAAATCAAACTTTAAGTGATAATAAATAAAAAAATAATTATTTGATTTGATATATTATGGCAAAAGTAATTGTTAAAATAGTAAAACCAAAAATCAAAGTAACACACCCTATAGTTGTTTGTACATTGTCTACATATACACATTGACATCCTTGGTAGGTTCATAGGTCATATAACTATGAAGACAGGGACCCATGTAGACACTTTAACTAGTGTAGTCTCCTTCCATTGCAATACAACCTCATGTTCTCTAACTCCAACCCTAACCTTGTACTCACCCCCACCCCCACCCCCTCCTTCACCCACCACCCTCCTCGCTGCCGCCACATTTTCTCCGGTCAGCCGCCGCCCCTCCAACTGCCCACCGACACCACACCCCTCACCCCTCTCCTCCCAATCCCGAAACCAATCCACCGGCCTCATCAACGGTGATAAAAAAAGACTTTCGATCACAGTCCTCGCTTCCACAAGATGATCCGGAAAACTCCCCTCCAACGACTCAAATATCGCCTCGTAATATCTCAAAACTTCCTCAAAATATAAACCATAACTATCTCCGCCCTCACCCCCTCCCCCTTCGCCTCGAACCAACATCCCTAGTCGATTCGTTAATACCATCTCGGCTACCTTTAAAAACTCGAAAACCCGTCTCCTCGGTCGCCTCCTTCCCATGTGCGGAAGCCCGACCATACAATTGAACACTACAAAATCTCGTTCTGTCGACCTATTCACCACTTCATTGTAAAGCTCGTCGATTCCCTTCTCCTCGACTTGCATCTTTACGCCGTATTCCCTCCCTTCGGCCATTAGCCGTTTCTTTGTATCTTCAAAGCTCCACCACGAAGAAACCGCGCATTCTTCCTCGGGCTTCACCATTACAAACTTAACTTGCTTTCGTTTTCCTCTCACGGCATTGATCAACGGCGGCCATTGAATCCCCTCCCCGACGTCGAAGTCGACCACCCATACTGTCCCCGCATCATCTGGCACCGCTTCGAGAATCGCCGTCGTAGCGGTGAAATGAGCGAACCGAGTGTTCGGGAGGCTTTGGTTTAACACCTTGAACGCCGGGACAAAGTTCTTGCTCGATTCTTGTCGTATATACTCTCCTTGATCGTCCCCGGACATGAACATGTTGTACGCAACTCGCTCCGCGGTTGTCCCTGTCGGATTGCTTTTCTTGTTTATCGACTTTTCGATCACGCCCGCTAGCTCCGACTGTCCGTTCTCCGTCGCCTCGCCGTAAACCTTCAATAAATGAAGAAGACTCACTCCACTATCGACTTCTTTACCGTATCCCGGAAGCTCCAACAACATTGGACATGCAATCGAGCCGTGGCTAGATTCTACGGAAAGACAAGGACTCCCTTCGACGGCTTCTACGGTAACCGGAGACTCGGAATTCCCGATGACGTCGCTCCCGTGTATCCATTCGCAGAAATTTTCAATTTCTTCGCTCGAAATAGCCTCCAACCCTTCGAATGGCGAAGAAGGCGCGATGAATTCATCGCTCCAATCGTCAAGATTCAGAAACTCGTCGACGAGCATGGCAGGGGCATACGAATTCGATGAAACCGCAGGGGACTCTTCGAATAAACACGAATAGAGACGATCATCGACGTGGTCGGAACAATCCATTTCTTGATCGAATAGCAAATCGAAGTTCTGATAGGAAGGAAGAACCATCTCCGATTGCATCATCATCATCTTCTTCTTCTTCTTCTTGTCGAAAGATTCTATTTTGGGTTAGACAAAGAGTACGTTTTTTCTCTGCTCACCGGAGCTACATTTCAACATCGTATATGTATTATGTATATATATAGATATAGATATAGAGGTGTATAGATACAGATGTAAGGTTCTGGGAACAGATGTGGACATAAAAGAAGATATATTAGAAGAAAGACTAATGTATTGGTGGTTTGTTTGCTATAAAATGGTATTTTATTTTATTTTTAATGGTAAAGTTCCCCGACAAGTCTTCTTACCTTCTTACAAATGCAGCATTTTTGGATGTTAGTCGTTTACCGACGGGGAGGAGGTTTAGGCAGGCAAAACAGATTCTTTTAATAATAATAATAACAATTAAATAATAATAATAAACAATACTACGTTTTCACTAATCTTGTCTGTTTATGGCTTTTCCCCATCTATGGCTTGTGATTAGCAGTCCATTTTGGGCCCCACCAGTAATCTTCTTCGTGGCAATCAAATATATATATCATATATTATATTATATAGTGTACATATCACATCTTCATCTATTCGATGGGAACATTCTTTTGAATTCATTCTTTCTTTATTGTAGATTGATGTGAATCTCTTGCAGTATTTATTTCTTTCATGTAGAATATTTCAGACTCCTACTTGCGTTTATTTTTATTTTGTGAAATTGTTTAATTAAAAATATGTAAATATATTAATTTTTTTGTAAAACTAAACTTTTTTTCGCTTAAATATTTATTTTAAAAAATAATATTACTTTAAAATACTGTTATTATATTAAAAGTTAATTTTATATTAAAAAAATATCAAACTATTTTATTTTTTTACTATTTTCAATATCAAACCTCCTACAGTGTTTATTTAGATAGTTTTGAAGGAAAAAAAAAAGTTTATTTGATATAATACGATAATCCAAAGATAGGATGAGTTTGTGACAAATTGCTTGTAACAAAAGAATTACCTTATCATATCTATTATTTTTAAGAATTAGTATCTTCTCATGAAGAGATTGAAGGGGTGTGGGAGTCATTTTGCAAAAATACAAGAGCAGATTGAAATATGATTCCTTCTTATCATCATCACCTAATCATCTTAACACTATTGTAAGATTTTAACATATATATATATATATAGAGAGAGAGAGAGAGAGATAATGTATCCATGTACACAATTTGATCTATTATTATTATTATTATTATTTATTATAAGGTTTTTGTGACCTACAAACTACCTACACATATACATATACATAACTTACCAAAAAATTTCATCAACATATAAATAAATAAATAAGGTGATCTGCCTTCTACTTCCAATAGTAGAGAGGACAGATTTCTATTCATATCATTTTGACTCTTGTTATGGTTATTTTCTTGAATCCATTTCTGGGATTGGAATGGCCAGAAATAAGGATCTACGGATTGAATAACATATCTACAATTCTTAAATCTATGGTAACAATTTATAAATTTATAATTAGCAGCAGATATATTGATTGATCGATAGATAGATCAATGAAAAAGAATTTTCATTGTTTCTAAGTTTTTCACCATCTGCACTTCGACAAGCAAGCAAGAAGACACGACGGAAGAAATCGAAAGTAGTAAAAGAATACCCGACTTTAGCTATTCACGGATAAAAACGCACGTTGAATCATACCTTGAGTCCACGTCGCAGTTTCTTTAAGCTCTTCATCTCCAGATTCGAGGCATTCGCCTAACAACTCCGTGCAGAACTTGCAATCTTGGAACATGGTGTTTATGTTCGATCCGAGTGCATCTGCTAAGTCGCCGAGCACTGCCACTGCTGCCTTCGTTACGCTCTCATCCCTGATCAAACATCCAACAGTAAAAATACACATTAGAATTACAAACATGTCGATATATATATATATATGTGTGTGTGTGTCGAAAAAAAGTAACCTCTGCTGATCCTTTGCGACCAATTCGATGAAATGGAGGAGATGACGTGCATGGGGCAGCATGACGCCAGGTTTACGATTCTTGAATCCCTGAAGAATTCCCGAGTACGCCTCAAAGATACTGCGACGAAGCTGGTTACCATAGTCCACCATCTCTTCGTCGGTGTTGTCAATCTGAGCGCACATTTCCGCAGCACTTTGCATCATGGGCAACGCGTAGCCGATGTATTTCTCGAAGTGTTCTCCGATCGCAAGAGCGATGTCTCCGAAGCACGAGAAGATCGGAGGCTTAACCGATCTATGGAGTTCGCTGCTTTGAAGGTCCTTGAGGAGAAGAGCCATAATCCCATCGCAATACGGCAGCACCTTCTCGTCCAAAGCGCGGCAGATGTCGCCAACGACGCCTACGGAGATGGAACAGACTTGGTACTCTTCGAAATTCTGCAACCCCATCTCAAGATATTTGTAGAACTCTGGCATATACTTGCCAAACTCGGGTCCTATGGCATAAGCCACTGCACCGACAGCGAGCATAGCCTCTTCGTGAACAGTGCAGCTACGGCAGGCGAAGACATTCAGCAAAAGCAGCATGATCTTGTCGACGACCTGCAGAATAACGGGCTTCGTCTCATCAATGCTGCTCAGTTTTTGAATGAGAACTTGAAGCGCGCCGCAAAGTGAGGCTTGCAGATCTCCTTGCTTTTCCTTGTCATCAGACGATACGATTTGTAAAGCTAATGTTTGTTCCAACTTTGACATGATAGCAGGGAGAAGTTTCGAAATTATTTGAGCCGTCTCCGAGAGATTCGAGCACCTAACAACCTCATTCAAGGTTTCATAAGCAGAAGATCGAAGCTTCGAGTCACAACTGTCTTTGCGTTCAGCTGTGGCAACCAAACTGGTCAAGATATCTGGAAGGTAAGGCGTGAGCAGAGAGGAGCTCGGCCCAGCATCTTCATATCCCTGAGCAAGGAAATAAATAGCTCCACAAACTTTCTCTGCAACATTTGGAGCATCCTTTATGCTCTCTAACATGACCCCCAAAATCCTCTGGAGATTGGCGGGAGTTATCACAGAGAAGCCGGTGGCTGGTGAGTGAAGTAGCTCGAAGATTCGACTAAGAGTCCACGCAGTAGTGTCTTTGACATGGTTATTTTCATCTTTCATGGCATTGAGCAGAAAATCCAAGCCAGCGGTTACAGAAGACGATAACTTCTCAATGGTTGGCCCTTCAAGAATCGAGCCAAAAGCATATGTAGCTGCCTCCCGGGACCGCCAGTCAGCTTTTGAGATGTTGCCCTCAACAAAAGGCATTACAAGAGGAACAACAGCATCCCCGACAGTCCTGGAAACGAGGCCAAGACAAGTGCCACCAGCCATGGCCAGATTCCAAATTCCATCCTCCTGGTCTTGTTCTTCGTCCTGTTTTAGAAGAGTCTCTAACAGCATTGGCACTAAAGTAGGTAGAGCCTTTAGAATGAAGTGAGAGTGTGGGGGAGGAACACCGGCCCCAGTTTCGGGGACCTCGTAGTCCTGAATCTCCAATTCTTCGTCGCAGATAGAGCTCCAAAACTCAACTGCTTGGAGGGCAACAGCTTCAACATCAGATTTGACAGCATTTGATGTAAGTTCGAAGATCTTCTGCATGTACGGTTCAAGGACCTCATAGTATGTTGATGCAATGGAAACTAGACATTCGAATGCAGCCTGCCTTATTTCTACATCTTTTGCCAAGGCAGCATTACAGATCACCTCCATTATGTAGTTCCTCTCCATCTCATTCTCGAAGTTGGTCCGAGCAAAATCAAGGGCATTGTTGAGAGCCTTAGTTGCAGCAAGTCTAACTTGCAAATCTTGTTCGGAGACATTCATTCCTTGAACAACAGCTGTTAAAACAGCATTTACTTCATCTTGCTCAAAATCTTCATTGGATATCTCTTCACATACATAACCCAATGTTTCTACGGTAGCCTGTTTCAGGGATGCAGGCTTATCCAGCTGAGTCATGTTGGAAAGCAACACTCCTACAAGCTCCGGCCATTGCTTTCTAGGAATTTCAGTTGAAGCTATCTTAGCAACAACCTGTGCAGATGTATGGCTTACTTCTCGAACAGACGAACCAAGGGTGTTGAGAAGAGAATTTTTTATCTGAGATCTAAAGGAACTATCAATGGCCAGCCATTGCTGAACAAGATTATCCTTTCTTGCAGTTTCTTTAGCATCCAAAGAGTTCTTAAGGATAAGACCAGCCAGCCGACGAGACTCAACTGGCTTGCTATCATTAGAAAGTTCAGCGGATAAGGATAGCAGAAATCCTGGTAAGTTCTGGTCACGGAACTGACCAAGGGTAGTCTCTGCATCATTTCGAACTTTTGCATCTGGTGATTGAGCAGATAATAGAAATTGGGTAATCTCCAATGCCATTTTCCCTACAGAAATGAACCAATAGATACTCAAACTATTAAAAATGAGAATGAATCCCTAATTGCACTGCAAATAAGAGGGAAATTCTGGAAGAATCTAAAAAAGAAATAGCTAAGGAAAATGCCAGATAAAAGCTGATAGCTCAATCCACAGCAAAATAGCGTAGCCTAACAACAGCCGATTTTACAAAAATCATCATACAAGAATGACTTCCAAAAGTTTCCTAATTGCACTGCAAATAAGAGGGGAATTCCGAAAGAATCTAAGACGAAAAACAGCTAATTAAAAATGTAAAAGCTGATAGCACAATCCACAGCAAAATAGTGTAGCCCTAACAAAGTCGTTCCTAATAAAATCATCATACAAGAATGACTTCCAACTAAATAGATTATATCTCCATCGCAGCAACACGTTCGCAAGAAAAACATCAAAAACCAAATATATATAAATCAAACTTTCAAATAAACGCACGAACATCACAACTACCGATAGATCCAAACTTTAATTCCATAGAAACAAAGAAAAAGGAAACTACCAAGATGGAAACCGACAAAAAATGTGAAGCAAAAGCCCTTTGGGATTTCAGTTCAAGAAAGTAGGAAACGATGCTGGCACCTCACTGCTCCACCTATCTGGCACTGAATCCCGACGAACTTGATCAAAACTGAGAATCGATTCTCGCCTTTTTCTACTTCTGATTTATAGAAATTGAAAAAACCCTAAAAAAATCGGCCCAAGTACAATGCACGTTGATTGAGAGAGGAATTTGAAAATGCAGAGAAATGGGAGGCGGGATCAGAAGGATATGAACCCATTCAAAACTAACGGGTGGCTGCCCGGCTGCCCTCTCCGCAAACCCTAGGTCTCCGCACGCGCGAAAATGCGCTGCAGTTGCCCGTGAGGCTGCCCGAAACTGCAAACCCTAAACTGTCACGTGCCGGGTAATGGGCCTACTATATTTAAATAAGAGGCTCAACTTACAATATTGAACCTAATAATGGGCCCGGCCCAATTAGGATTCCAACCGTCGGATTCTTGTGAATTGATCCGAACCACACATTCGTCAAGGAATCGGAGTTTTAGAATGATCAATCATAAATGGTTTCGTGGAGAGTAGCAATGTCAATTGGGGCGGGACCACCATACTATCTACGTTTGGTTTGGTTTATTTGTTTGTTTTTTTTTTTTTTTTTTAATTTAAATAATTATTTAATACCATATAAATTAATATTGATATAATATTTTATATTTAAAAGATTTACTTCATTTGTCACTAAATTTATAGCAAAGGATATGAGTTTAGTTGAGCAACGGCAACTATAGAGACGTTTGATACAAACAATGAAATTATAATTAGGGATGAAAGAAATTTACAGTACATACCGAAATATCGATTTATCGTACTATAATCTTGTAAAAATAATCGTGTCATCTCTAATTGTAATAAATGATTAATGTAAAAGTAAAAAAAATTAACTGAGTGAGAATCCATAGACGATTATTTTTACATGATTTTTTTTATTTAAATAATAAATTAAATATGATATTTAAATTATTTTAGTATAATTTTTTTTAATTAAAATTAAATTATTTGAATAATAAAGTTAACTTGATATTTTATAAAATTGAAACAATATAATTTAATAGAAAAAAAATTGAATAATACTACAAAAAAACAAAATAAAATTACTACATCAATATACAATTTTATGAAATTAGAGAATATTTAACTCTCAATTTTCTTGCCAACCCAAAAATGAGATTGTTTCTATTTCTTGGATTCATTTATATGTACAAATAACAATCGAGCTTAATTTGCACAATGAATCACTATAGGAACTTTGTGTATATATTTACAAGATATTGTTCATTGGATTTCCATACATATATACATACATACATACATTGTACATACATCTCTCGATTAGATTGGTTATACGAATAGCCATAGCCATAGCAAATATATAATGTAAGCTTCACAAACACTAGTTCAAACTCGCAAGAACAACTTATCTTTCCATATTTCTTACACTGCCCGCTGCTGCTGTAATTCCTCCGATTTTTCTTTCACCCGCCGATAAAGCTCGAGCGTATGAACATGGTCGGGATCCAGACAAAGCGCTGCCTCGCAGTCTCGGATCGCCGCCGTGTATTCGCCCATCGAATCGCGGAAAGCCGCCCGCAGATGCAGCAGCTGTAGGTCGAGTTTGAACGCTACGGCTCTCGACACTTCTTCAATCGCCGCGGCTTCCTTACGATCGTCCATTAGAACTGAAACACGTAAAAAACATCGTTTCAAACACAAGTACGATGTTGTCAACGATATGACAGTTCGAAGAAGACGACTTACCGGCTGCACGGTACCTGTACGGATACGGCCTTAGGGGATCGAGCCGGGTCGCCGTCCGGAGGTCGTTTTCAGCCAATTCTCGATCGCAATACTCGGAACGCTTCTCGTAAGCCGACGCGTTGTGGCTCGCCTTCTCGATGAATTTCGTCATCTCCTCGTATGCAGCTTTCCGCTGGTTTCGGAGATGGTAGACGCGCGCGAGGCCTTGATGGGCTCGGGTATGCTTAATGTCGAGCGCATTCATGTAGCAATCGACGGCCAGGTCGAGCTTATCGACGTCGATGTAGATGCTCGCCAAATTGTTCAACGCCTGGCGATTAACAAACAATTCAGCGACGATGCGCGATTTTAATATATACGAACGAAAAATCCGACTCACTTGTCCTTTTCGGAGACCGTCGGACGGGCAGCGGAGAGCTTCCTCGAGAAGCTGGACGACATAGAACGACGATTCCGTGTCCGTTGTGGTTTCGGACAGGATGTACGCCTTTAGGAAGTACGCTTCGAACGATCGATGAATCGAGATCGATTTCTCTGCTTTCGACAGCGCGGTTTCCTGATACCCGGTGTCGTACAAAATCCAGCCTTCGTAGACAAGTCGTTCGTGGTCCGACGGAGCGTGATTCCGAGCCATTCGCAGGCTTCGCATTGCGGGATTGTAGCAATTCAATCTGTACCGACATATATAAGTAAGATAGTGATCGAATCGTCGTAAACCGTACAAATCAATAAACGGGGATTACCGGAGAAGGAGCAAAGATTGTCGAAACCAAAGAAGGCTCTTTCGCGGGTCATTACTCAACATATGGTGGACAACGGCGAGAGAGCCGACATCGTCGACCGACGACCATCGATCGTAGAGCTGCATCCAGCAATCCGCCTGACTGTAGTTCTTGACATGCCGAGATAGAAGCTCGACTAACTTTTCGCTGCGCAACATACCGTGAAACATCATATAGTGAGGATCCAACATAAGAATTGCGCGGGTATCTCTTAAAGCTCCTTCGTAATCCTCGAGCGCAATCAAGAACCAACATCGTAGCTCGAGGCAGTCGGCGGAGATCTTGAAACCAATTAATTTGTCAATTTCGGAGATTGCAGCGCCGACCCTGCCGTCCTCCAACAACGAAACTGCCCTATACTTGTAAGGATACGAAAGAGTCGGGTCCATTTCAGTAGCCGTGTTCAGATCCATCCTTTTGTCATCACCACTTTCGTAAAGAGATCGTTCTTGGTACATCCACCCGGCCGGCGCGTGGTCGGAGATGAGCGTGTTCATCAATTTATACGCCTTGTACTTGTGGCCGCGCTTGTATTTCGCTCTTGCGACTCCCGCCGACGAATAAATATGCCCCGCGTTGACGGCTGCCTCGAACCATCTTTCCGCATCCTTGTATTCCTTTCTTTCGAGCATCACGCAGCCCAATTGATGGAACACAAGCTGTTTCTGCCAATTCTCGACGGCGCATTCAACCGTTCTTTCCAACAGCATAACCGTCGTATTCGATGTCATATTTTCTTCCATGGCAGCCATGCTCAAGAAACTGTATAACAAGAAAGAGGCATGCCCGACTACCGCTAATCGCTCTCTAAATTCTGCACTGCAAAAGAATCGATTCACATTCGGATTGCGCATCGAACTAGGGATTTCTCGCAGAAATACCTGCAGGCAAGCGGCAACCAACAGATACGCGGACTCCTCGAGCCCGTATTCAAAGAGCAGCACCGCCGAATCCATGTCATCGATCAAAGATGCTAAATACGCATCGCACGCAGATTTCAGTTCGTCGCAGCAGAATCTGTCGGACAACACCAGAAGTTCTAAAACAATATGTGGATCGAAAGAATCCACTCTCTTCGTCCTGCTGAAAATTTCGGCAGCTCTCATTGCCGCGACCGATATTCCATTCTGCGTAAAGTATATCCTCTCCCTCCGCGATTCCATGAAACTACCGTTCAACATTGCTTTAAACGGTCGGGAAAGAGAGGCGATCTTAAATCTGTTAAACTTAACCTCCTCACCGCCAATGCAGAACCATATGTCATAGTCATCTTCATCGATATCGTCCCCATGACTAACAGAAGTCGAGCAGCGCTGATCTTCTTCTACCTCCGACTCCTTTGAGCATGGACAAGGATCATTTGTCGACTCAGGATTATAACCGGAAACCAGAGAGCATTTAGGGCACTCAGAGCTCAATCCACTACAATCCATGGCAGATACTCCAAGAAACTCATCTTCCCTTCTTTCGAACCTCAACCAAGCCGAAAGGACGACCTTAGAATGCGCATCGACAGCATGTTTCCTAGCTAATTTCAAACTTCTCCTCGATAATCTAGGATCATTCAATCCACTAAAAATCGCTCGTTGCTCCAGATACAGCCCCGACCTCTCGAATTGAGCACAATTCTCAAGTCTATCATAAAGACCAGCTAAGGAACTAACAATATCGACAAGCTTTAAGCAAAGGTCTATCTGAGGTTCAATGGCATCCGATTGAGGAAGCCCTGTGATCGTTGTGCCCTCGGGTAGAACACTTGAAGTCACATTGTTAATCAATGACAAACTCTGGCTCCGATGATGCGACGGCGTGATTGAATTTAGCTTTAAATAATCCTGCAAAGTTTGCAAGAATTTATCCCCTGCACCGCCGGTGGCGGCGCCACCGCCACCGCCACCGGCGGTGGAATTAACGGGGTACAGCTGGGGGCTCTTGCACCCAACCGTCATAGTCACGCTGCGCATTGCATTCAATAAATGCTGCGACATTTCTCAATCGAATAACACCCCCAAAAATATGAACAATTTCGAAGAACTAACAACAATCGATCGCAAGTCCAATCGACGACGATGAATTACAAAAAATAGTTTCACCTGCAAACGGCGACGTTGACGTTGATTGAGAGAGGCGAAGTCGGCGGGGAATCGGAATTTTCCTTTTCCCCAAACGCAGATACAAAAAAGGTACCTAAAATTGGTTTCGTCGTTTTTTCTTCTTCTCCAATTAGGTTAGATGAAGCTTAGCGAAGGCAATGAGGATGGCGCTGGACAGTTACAGAGCCATTCTACCTTCCTCTACATCAATTCGTGATGTATATCACATTCCATTGTCGCGAATCAAGCAAAAATCATAGAAAAAACTCCGGCCTCCTCGAATTTTCTGGATTTTCTTGCCGCTTTCCTCCGCATAGAGGATAATGCGATCGCAGCTTCAGAATCCGTCAGAAATGGAGAGCCTCTGAAGGAAAGAGCTGCGAGGGTTCTTCTCTCCCGCTAATTTTGGAAGAAGAGGAATTCCACATGAGTTTTCCATTTGGAATTTTGAGGTGGTTTTGAGCAATTGATCGATGATAAGCGCCTCAGCAAGAAAGATGCTTTCCGTGCTCAGGGACGAGGACACGTGTCGCTTCGGCCAATACGACGTCGTATTAATGAAGAAGATAATTTATATGGGCTTGCATGGGAACTGCCTCTTCCACTTTGGGCTTGGGCTTGGGCTTACCTTAAAAAAAGTCCGAAACTCAGTTTGGATAGATTTTGATTTCATTTGAAATAAAAATATTTATTTAAATAATATATTGATTGACATTTTAGTAAATAAAATAATATCATAGTTTTATAAAACATTATGGGTATGTTTTTTTACACAATTTTTTCTCAAATTTTACTATTTGGATTCTGCTTTTCTAAAAAAAATATATTTTTTTTTTCTCACAAAACACCCCATCAAACATTATTTTAATATCAAACTTAAACCAAATTTTAGATTCAACAAAAAAGAAAAGCACCCATTTATTAATTTGTGTTCGAAACACCCTTAATTATTTTGGCAACTAAGAGTTGTTTAGTTGCTAGTTTAAAATTGATTTAAAATTAAATATTAATTTATTTTTTTATTTAAATAGTATTTTAATGCAATTTTTTTTTTCTTTCTAAAGTGTATTTTTATTAATAGTCTACAAAATAAATAATGATGGTTTTAAATTAAAATTACAAACCCTAAATATAGCATATAAATATATATAATTATATAAAACCCTTGATTTAATTTCATACACACGCATACACACATATTGTTAATTAATTTCTATATATTCCCTCCGTCCCAAAATATTTGTCTTATTTTTTCATTTTCGTTTGTTCCAAAATAATTGTCTTGCTTTTCTATTTAGTAGCCGTGGTCCCCACTTTATAACAAAATTATTCATATTTTTTCATATTACCCATAATTATTACTCTAACATACTCTTTAAAATCATTAAAAAATCAAGAGCATTTTAGTCATTTATATTCTACTTTATATCCATTTTCAATCAAATACTATTATTCATTAATTCTCGTGTCAATTCTCAATAAGACACTTCTTTTGGGACGGAGGGAGTATGTACGAACTAAGTATAGCATATTAAAATAAATTTAAAAACACGCATAGCTTAATTAATACTCCTTCTACTGTCCTACTTTCCTATTTGAGACATACTAAAATTATTGTCATATTTATTTTTTAAACACAAATTTTATATTTTTATCCTTCATTCATTTATTACTTTTAATCTCTATCATACAATTAATAAAAAATTTGTTAATTCATAACAAAAAGACAATCACGTGGAAAATCGAGGTAGTAGTAATTAAAATTTGAATGATGAAAATGATGACCCTTCTTATTTGTCCATGCATGAAGGTTAATTATTTAATCAATTAATTGTTTGCTATCATGAATACGTGTGGAATAATAATAATAATAATAATAAGCAGAAGGGAATCGTAAGAGAACGGACAGACATGCTCATTCCCAAACGATGCTGGATCCATATTATACGTTATACATTTACATACATAGATAAAATAATTTTTTTTGTTATTTAAATGCATATTCTTTTTTCTTTCATGAAAAAAATATTACTAATTTTCTGTTTAGTAAAAAATTATAATTATATTTTTATAACTTTGAATATAAAATATAAAATTAAAGTAAAAGAATAAAATACTCACATTAATGCATGTACCCAAAAGTTTGAACAGATGAAATATATTTCTTTTTTTTAATTACAAAAGTTAAATAGTACTATAATTTTTTTTAAAAAAAAAAATCATCAAAAGAACAAATTCATGTAAATTAGTATATTTTTTCAACTTGGTGAATTAGACAACACATGTATTTGTTTAAAAGTTATGGGTGTGATTGGATTGTTTTACTGGGTGAGTTTTTGGTATTTTGATTTTAATATTGAATTAGATATGATACTTTATGATAAAAATAATGTACTTTTATTTTTTAAAAAATAAAAAATAAAAAATCATGAGATTGCATATATAGTTTATAACCATGGAGATGATTCTTGGAATGTTCACAAAAAATGGATGACAAGCTCAGCAATGGAGAAGGGATTTTATAATCCAATTCTTGAAAGGATCTTCAAAAGCCCTTTAATCAGATCAGCAAAACAGACTGATCTTTGCTCAAATATTATAACTTTGAGGGAAGAATCGACTTGAAAACCCGACTGGATTTCAAAAGAACTACATAGATATGTGGATATGCAAGAATCAATCACCATATTTCAATCTTCACAAAACCCTAATATATTTGCTGGATCAAAAAGAGAAACCCGGGATTACAAACTCGACTTGAATCCATCACTCGGGCTCGAATCAAGAAAATTGATGGCGGCAAAAAGTTTCGATAATTCAAGAGTGATGAATGCTCTGGATCTGGCTCTATGAATTGGAAGAAAAAAAAAAAAAAAAAATTCTAAGTGAGATCTTGAGGTACTTATTTGCTGAAAATGGTTTTGCATTATTTTTTTATTTTTTTCATTTTTGTTTTTGTAGCATGGAAGATGATTAAATTTAATTAGGTCATCCCATCGACAATGTAGCAATGTTGTTTTGTTTGTATCTTTTACATTAGCCTACCATTTGCTGCATGTAAGGTTTAACTTAATTTTTTCTTGGTTCATCCAAAAGACAAATGATATAACAGAGGGTAGATGAATTATTAAAAAAAGAAGAAGAAGAAAGTTTCAATTTTGTCAAATGATCGATGTAGTAATTAATTAATGATGTAGATAAACATTATACATATCATATGAATTCTAAAGCTAGTAAATATTGATATTGTTTCAAGACAAGCAATTTTGAATAAGGTCATCTGAAATTGAATAGACTACTTTATACATACTTTTTTTTAGAACTCTACTGAAATTTTTTTAGAATTATTGTCTTTGCTCCGCACTATTCAAATTCATTGTTATTCCTAAAAAATTACCCTTAAAAACATGACCAGTCTTATCATCTATGGACTAAGCACATCTTTTTTTCCTATAAAATTTCACTCAATCCATGAAAGCAATAGTCTTTCTTCTTCATTGCAAAGAAATTAAATGAATCTGTAAGAAAAAGGGCATATGAAGAATAGAAGAAAGCAGAGACTGAATTAAAAATAGCTGTCCTAAGCTATCAAGTAGGGAGTATCAATAAGGAAACAACGGTAATAAGCTGGCAATAAAATCCATAAAGAAATAAAAACACAAATAATTTTTCACAGTAGTTGCATAGGTAATCAATATATATATATATATATCATCAGTGTCACAATTAAACAATACATCATTATTGGATTCACATAAATGTATATTGGGGCTAAGTATGCATAGCATAGCCAACAGCCAGAGCATATTCAAATTAATTCCAACAAGTAGTGAAACCTAATGAAGCAGACTGCTAGGTTCTTACTTCTTTTTCAAAAATTCTTTTTCAAAAATTTCAATTCTTAGAATGTGGTAATAATCTTGAGCATGAGAGGATGAAGCTTTATATAAATTGAAGAGAATCAGATCCATTGAGTAAGCATACACATACCATTAAAGTTGCAGAATATAGCATATTCTGAAGCAAAAGATTTCCCACCCCCACCTGTTTCTTGAAATTGAAATTCCCTGCATTGTGATCCAGAATCATGCCTTGATATGGAAAGCCCCATTAACTCACTTCTGTAAACAGTAGAGAGAGAAAGAAAGAGAGAGAGAGAGGTTGGAGTTCATACCTATGGATAATTGTGGAAGTGTGTATCAGGAAGTTCTTCAGGGACTTCTTCAGGATAAGCTTTCGATAGACAGCCCGGGTGATCAGGGCGAAGTCAATTCGATTCCCCTGATCCTATCGAATAACACGACACAAACAAACCTGCCTGTTTCATCCAGAGAGAATAGAGCTGCAGTTCTGATATGCATTTTCTGCGGACAGGATGGTGAGCTCCGAGTAATTCTCAACAGGAGATCCATGAAACTGTCGTCTCATCCAGGTACCTGAATCCCCTTTTCAAGAATATGTTTATAAAATGTTAGAATAATAACACAACAGACCTTTCAAAATAGGTGATGTGGCTTTGCCTGGTGGGAAGATGGATGAAGGCGATGCTGATGACACTGCAACAGCTCTAAGAGAAGCAATGGAGGAAATTGGACTAGAACCAAGTCTTGTCCGGGTCGTGGCCAACTTAGAACCATTTATTTCATCGGTAACACACAAACACAAAACATATATATATATATATCCATTTACTTCCACATGGTAGCATACTAAAGATAGTTTTAGTGCAGAATTTACTGAGGGTAGTACCAGTGATAGCCATATTACCCAGAGTTGACGACTTCAAGCCTGTACTCAATGAAGATGAAGTCGATGCCATCTTTGACGCCCCATTGGCCATGTTCCTCGAGGTCCAAAATCTTCTTTGCATTACAATAACAAACAATTACAGCATCAAGAAATATAGAGATTCACATCGAATACTAATATCTATCTACTTCAATGTTTCCACAGGAAGATGGAAGATATAGATGCATAGAAAAAGAGTGGGGAGGATGGAAATATGCATGCCATATATTCGACATTGAAACAGAGCAAGGGAATTTCATGGTGGGAGGATTAACAGCTAGCATTCTAATTCAAGCAGCTACCATCATCTACAAAAGGTCTCCATCGTTTGACCAGACCCTACGGGACTTCAGTCAGTTACAATGGGCTTTATCTACTGTCAAATAACTAGCAATAATGTAAACCAACAAGGGAAAGCTATGTGCTTGCTCCCTAGTATGAAGTGTGATTTCTGATTCAAAGTGTAATGTCACATTTTTTTCCTGAAAGCACTGCGAAAGATACACATGATGAATAAAAATGGCAGAAGCATATATTTCCAAAGTAAAATAGAAAATTTCAACCATCTGTCTTGAAATAAGAAATAGGTTAACATAGTTGATTTTGATGCACACGGCTGATACAGCAATTGAGTCAAGGTGCCTTTTTCCTCCAACAAAAAATACCCGTGATCTTTTTTACAATCAGTTAGCGGACTAGTCGAATTGTTCCCAATCTTGGGTTACCTTTGTAGCAGAAGAAGGCATAGGAGAAGAAAATTGTGTTTTGGCAGTGGAGGAAGAAGACATTGAAGGAGTAGAAGATGGCACAGTGACAGGGATAGAAGATGGTGTAGAATGAGAAGGAAATTCCATTGGAGTAGGAGTAGCAGACGGCATTGTTGTAGAAATGGAAGATGGCTCTGGCGAGGGAAATCTCATCGGAGTAGGAGTAGCAGATGGGATTGGCATAGGGTAGGAAGATGGCTCCGGCGTAGGCATGGAAGATGGAATCTGTGAGTCGGCAGTTACACCTCCATCACCAGCTTCAAATGTTTCCCACTGAGTAGTTACAGACACATTATTATTCGCGTCACTCGAGTGATTTGTATTTCTTAACTTGAGGATGTCCATAGTTTCCACCAAGCTTTGGATTCGACGCACCTGAAAAGGATAAAGGTAACAAAACCATAGTTGTCAATCTGAGCTAGTATTACATAACGATTGACCCCTAATTGCTATTTAAAAATTTATGGATATACATATAAAAATTATCATATATACAAAAATATAATATAAATGCATTAAAAAATCTATAAAATGTTCTAATGATTATCATTCAAACTAATAAGATTGCAAAAACAATTAGAACATAAGTACTTCGATAAATAGATAATCAAAGTTAACCCGTTCAAAAATTGATAAATAATTGTCTTCCTCATTTTCATAATCCTCGGTGCTATAAGTTTGTCACATTGCACAATATAATAGTATAAAACCTATATTTACCAAATAATAAAAATGATATTATATTGTAAAATCTAAAGCTACTTATAATAAAGATTATAATATACTTACCAAATTAAAAGGAATGTGCTATTCACAACTATGAACAAAATTATATGAAACTTAAACTTACGAAGAAGTAAATGTAAATAAGCAGTTTCATCAGCTAGTTTTAGTTTTTTGTTTCCACATTTTAAGCACAACCAACAAACACACAATCAGGCTCATCTATGTTTTGCATCATGAATAAGATGAAGCTTATAGAAATGCGATACGAACCTCCATCTTCCTCCACACTCTCCCTTCTCCTTCGGCATCAATACCATCCAGTTTGAGCAACTGCCTCATAAGCATCTCTGTCAAATACAAAATATCTTTATCATCAACCTTGGTTCCACCCTCCACAACAGCTTGCAGCGCAGAAACCTAAAGTCAAATTTCAAAAGAGATTAAACATAGGTCAATATCAAAACTCAAGAGGAAAGGGGGAAAAAGAAACAACTTAAAATGGATCATATATCAACCTGTTCCGAGAGCAAATCAACCTCTTCTCTAACTTCGGCAACTGCTTCACCTCCTCGGGAGACCGTGCTAGTTTCCTTAACTTCTTCAGCATTTTCCTGCTTGCATGTTGTATCTTCTACAATTAACACCTTGGAATTGTCCTTAACACCAGCCATTTGGAGATCATCCCCGTCTTCTTTTTCTTTACCTCTGAACAAGAGCTTATGGGTCTTGGGTTTTAAACCAATTTTCTGAGCAATAACTGCTTTCAGATCACCTTCACCCATTAAGAAAAACATTAAACCATTGTTAGAAACACGAAAAATGTGTAACCTTTACCCACCTATGATGCAAAATATTATATATCTTCAATTCCATAGTCCATGTGAGCCAAAGTTCTAAAACCTACGTAGTAAGTAAACTGCCTGTGAGCACATATAAACATAATCGACAAAGAATGGAGAAAACAAGATATATCACAAGAAGCCTGCAACTTAAGGCAAACATACAGCTCTACAAGCAGTTAAATCCATTTTTATCAATCAATCCATTGGGAGAAACTGCTTCCCCTAAATAGGAAAAAGCCATTTGCACATAAAAACACTACACTTCAATTTATTACCAAATTGATTCAACGAATCGCAATCACAAACACTAATAATACGAAAAAAAATAAAAATAAAAATCATTGATTCAGCCACGTATCCAGAAACAGTCATCAAAGCATAAGATCATTATTGCTAGACATACCAAAACTTGAGTTAGAGGGAACCGCAACTTCATGCTCGCTACTCCCATGAGTAACCTTGATGTTGAAGATGGACGAGTCACGATCAGGCTTCGATCCCGCCTCCATTCCTCCGCACTTGTCCCCGTTTTCCTGGACTGGATTTGAACCAATCACCTGCCAAATCTGTAGAATTCAATTGTGCGAACCAATACCTAGCCTATGATATTTATGCCGAGGGTTTTAAAAATTTTGCTTCTGAATTAGGGTCCGAAGACTTATTGCGGAACCCAAAGTCGCGTTTCTTATCTAACGCTTTTAGGTATAATTAACACCCCTTTACATACCACGCAACGCTTTTTCAGTACTGCTCTAATAATAGTATGGGTTAAGATATAGAGTATTGAAAATTATTATAATACTCCTTCCGTCCAATTGGAAAGGTGATATTTGTTATTTACACGTATATTTTTTAGTATTAGTATTATATTGAATAGTATAGTATGGTGTAATATAAAAGTAATAACATTTGTGTAATATATTGTAAGTTGAAATTGTATTTATTATGTTAGATAGTTAGTACAATTACTAAATTAGAAAATGGCAATGTACTAACGAAAATAAAAAATGACAACGACGAGAGAGTATACTATTTTATATTTTGGTCAGTCATTTCATAATTATATTATTTATCTAATATAATTAATAGTAGTATTTATGATTTTCATGGAATTGAGGTAGTATATATATATATATATATTTTATTTTTTTTTGACTTATTTAAAAGAGCTTTAAGATTTTTCGTTTATTCAAATAATATTTATACTACTATATGTATATATATATATATGTTACATTGGGATAAAGAAATTTATTTTTATATTCCAATAATATAAAAATAATTTGAATAAATCTACATAATTTTGAGTAATGTACTTATATAATACTCTTTCTTTCTGTCCCGAGTCTCATTTTCATAAATAATTATATCATTATAAACTATTTTTTTCATTATTACTACTTTGACACTAATACACTCGTAAATAAAAGCAAAAAAGTAATTTACACATACTTTTACCTAGTATACCCTAGTTATGAGAGATGGAGCAGTTAAATATTGATTAAATAATATGTTTGCAGTGAAATTTCTTATTACTTGCCTTTTTATTTTATCGTACTTAATTTGTTGACATTAATTGAATTATGGTTCAGCATCTGGCGTGCGTTAAGAATCATACAGAACGATCATATCATAGGAGAAGAAGACAAAGAGCAACTATGATTGAATTCCCAACACTTGCAACATCCTTAAAATTCAGACATTCTTCTTCTTGACATTGCTCTTTCTTTTACCATTCCTCGCCGGCGCCGTCCGGCCGCCGGCCGCCGCGAAGAACAAATCTATCGACAGCCCTGTTGTAGGCCTTCCTCCATCTTCTCGAAACAGCAAGAGACAGAACAACAATGGCTACACCCACAAAGTACCCAAATGCAGCACTTGCATACAATCCTACATCTCTCCTTTCACCATCATCTTCTTCCTCCGGCAACAACGGCGACAACGAAGACGACGGCGAACGCGTCGTAACATCTCCGCAGCTTTTATTCAAAGGAAACCCACACAGCCCCTCGTTCCCAACGAACGAGCTCTCCGAAAACGTCGACATTTGTCGCCCATGCGGAATCCTCCCGACGAGACGATTAAACGATAGATTCATTGACGAAAGGAACGTTAAGTCCGCAATCCGACTCGGGATTTCCCCTCCGAGATCGTTCGACGAGAGGTCTAACGATCCGAGGTTCTTCAGATTCCCGATCGATCCCGGGATGTCGCCGGAGAGAGAATTCTTCGAAAAGTTAAGAACATAAAGATTCTCAAGGTCGCCGATCATCTCCGGGATTCTTCCCTCGAAACGGTTGCTCGAGAAGTCGATCGACGTCAATATGTCGAGGATCTTTCGATACTCGACTTCGCTTCCTTTGAGAGTTAACGTCACCGAATCCTGATAGTAAATATCGCTCGCCGTGCCGTGAACGAAGTACAAATGATCGAGCGCGCCGTCAGCATTAACAATCAAAGCGTTCATACCAGAAAAGAATCTCGCCGGAAGAACACCATCGAAGCGATTCGAGGCGACGTCGATGATCTGAAGATTCGACAGCTCGTTTCCATCGTTCAAACAGGTGACGTTCCCGTGGAACTTATTCGATCGCAGCACGAGTACGCGCAATTTCGGCAAGTTCTTGAGCCAACACGGAAACGTTCCGTCGAACGCATTGTTGCCGAGGTCTAAAACCTCGAGCTCGACGCATCGTTCCAACGTCTTCGGAACCTCTCCCCGGAAGAAATTCCGGTTGAGATCGAGCGTTTCGAGAGCACATTCAACCCGAAATGTATCCGGAATGACACCCCTAAGGTTGTTTCTTCTCAAGTTCAAGACTTTGAGGTTTAGCTCCGATAAACAAACCGGTATCTCGCCATGCAACGACATGTTCGACAAGTCGAGTATCTGAAGATTCGTCGCATTGCACAATGAGATAGGGATCGCGCCGCCGATTCTGTTATTCGCCAACGAGACAAATAACGCTCGCTTAATCGAATTCCCAATATCGACAGGGACGGACGAGAATTCATTATTCGACAAGTCCAAGTAATATACCGACGCCGGCGGGATCGGGACCTGTCCGCCGAGCAAATTCGAGTGTAAATTCAAGTAATCGAGGTACACGTTGCGTAGACTATAAGGCTGTTGTAGATGAGTGAAATAGTTGTTCGATAAATTCAGATGACGAAGAAGTCCGTCGCTAACTTCCCACAACCAATTCGGGATTTCGCCGTGTATCTGATTGTCCGAAAGATCGAGCATCATCAACGAAGACTGGTTCTTCAGAAGAGGAAACTTCTGCACCTTGCAAGAAGCCAACATCAGATATCCGAGCTTTGGAAACATCGAAGAAATTGAAACATTTCCATCTACAAACACAGACAGGCTGTTGTAGGAAAGATCGAGGTCGACGAGGCCTTTCAGCTTCCGAAAATTGAACAGATTCACAGAGCCATTGAACTTGTTCTGAGAAAGGGACAGAGTGGAGAGGTTCTTTAAATCAAACAAGAACTCAGGAACTGAACCATGGAACTTGTTGATGCTTAATTCAAGAACTTCCAGAGAAGACGACGGACCTGTTTTCGCATCCCCGATCAAACTGGAGAAGCTGTTGTTCGAAAGATCCAAGATTTTGAGAGATGGAAGATCAAACAGAGACGCCGGAACTTCTCCATGTAATGAATTCACACTCAAGTCAAGAAATTCCAAACTTTCCAGGCCTTTCCAGATTGCATCGGGAATTCGACCTGTCAAGCTGTTGCCGCGAAGATTGATCGTCGTAAGCTTCTTTCGAAAAGCAAATGATGGAACAGAACCAACAAACTGATTCAAAGACAGGTCCAAATACTGAAGATGAGTAAGTTTTTCGATCGAACCTGGAATTGTACCCGAAAACAAGCAAGCTCTTAGATCAAGAAACTCCAACATACCAAGCCTGGATACAGAATCTGTTAGATTCCCCGAAAATCTTGTGTATTGAAGCTGCAAAGTTCGAAGGGATCCATTCGATGGAAATTCAGGTAAAGAGCCCTCGAGGTCTCGATTATTATTCAAATCGATCTTTTCCAGGCTCTTGATTTGGAATAGTTTTGCAGGAACCACACCAGACAGGCCACAAGAACTCAGAATCAAAACCTGCAGCTTAGCAAAATCAGCCAAGAATTCGGGGAATCCAGCAGAGAAAATGTTGCCATCAAGACGAATAATCGAAAGGGATTGAAGTTTCAGCAACGAAGAATCGAAAGGGCCTGTCAGGTAAGCATTAGGCATGCTCAAAACTCGCAAATTCGGTACATATAATGATAGAGCATTGCACCACTGAGAACCTATAGCAGAAGCATTCACCCCTTCAAGATAAAGTTCTTGCAGCCTATTAAGTTTCTGAATCAATCTTTCGAGATTCGGATTCTCAAGGTTAACTGGTGTGTATGCTGAAGAAAGATCCAGCACAACTAACCTTGTCAAATTTGAGATTCCAGGAGGAATCTGGCCTGTAAATCCTGAGTTGCTGAGATTCAGGTACCTCAATTCTGTAAGTTCTTCAAATCCCGACGGAAACTCAACAGAATCAAAGGTGTTTCCAGCTAAATTGAGGCTCTGAAGAAACCTGAGCCTGAAAAGATTGCTGCTTGCATCATGTATCCCATTTGAAATCGACTCGTTGCTTAGATCAAGCCCGGAGACACGGCCTTTCGTGTCACATTTCACCCCGGCCCATCGACAGCAGTCGATGGAATCATTCCATTGCACAAGCTTGGTTGAAAGTGAAGAATCATATGTAAGGTTGTTTCTTAATTCCAATAGCAAGTCTTTCTGATCTTCAACACACTGTCCTGCAGCAAATGTGATGATGATTCCAATACCAAAATCTGAGATTAATAGCAAGAAATGAATCAAGAAAGTACTTGAAAGCATCAGACACTTCATTCTCAGCTGTAACATAAATTGAAAGGAATCAATATATTCATTACATGAGTTCTTTTATGGGGTGGGCACCAAGCAGCATAGGTTTTTATATATATTAATGTTGGAGTGAAGATAAGGTTTCAGACTAAAAATTTGAATTATGTTCTTGAATGTTGAGTACCTTCAAGATATTGAGATCTAAGAATATAATATAAAATACACTACAGACAAAGCTATTTGATGAAAATGATAGTATATAAAAGACCTTTGTCCCATTCCTATATGTGTTCATTAAGAATTCTTTGTTTCACATGTGTGTGAATGCATATCTTGATTAGCGTCGACTCCAATCGTTTCTGGATTCTTTTGGCAGGTAAAAAGGGATTTTGTAATATTATCTAATGGTTGGTACAAAAATTGCATAGAACTTGTTTGGGTTCAATGGAAGTTTCTTGAGTTCATATATATGCCAATTCTTCAAGATTTGATAAAGGTTTTAGAAGTTAAAAGACATTAAAGAAGACTTGTACTCAAATATAACAATGATCAGAGTATCTTAACTTCAAAAGCATATTTCTATTAATTTCAATTTGAAGTTATAAAAAATCCATGAATACCATAACTACATAATAACTTCTACAACATGTAGAAATCATTGGTTTGTTTGGAATCTAGACTTCTTGCCATTCATTTACATAATTACACCATACCTTTGTGTTCTATTGTCAATTTTGCAGGCTATGCAATCATCACAACTCCATATAAAAAAAACAATACTAATACAAATCATCACATCCAAACAACTGTTCAACCAAAATAACACACTTCTGTTTTTCATTTAAAATATCTCATCCAAAAAAGGGTCAAGTGAATTCTCCTAATTTGTTGGCCCATAGAAATACAATGATGTTACAACAATAATTCAGCAAAAACCAGTTCAAACTCATTCTCATGGATTGTCAATATTGAATGAAATGGTAATCCAATCTTCCACAGCATTCTAAAACAGATTAATGCAGTAAAATGAAAGAACTGTTCACAAGCTCAACAAGAGTTCCACTTTAAAGAGGCCAAACAAAACCATGGCTTGGACAAATTTTCTTCATAGGACAGAAATCAAAAAAGCTTACAGCTGCTTTGCCTAAAACAAATCCCTAAACTAGTTAATCCACTGTCACAGGCTACACCTGAATCACTACCATTACACAATACAATCTAATTCATAACAGAATTAGGTCCATATATCAAGCCATCACCAAGATTATAACTAGATGGTTGAAAAAATACATCAAAAATGCATCCTTGAAAAGGAAATTAAAACCAGCTATGCAAAATCGTGGGATACATGAATCAGAATTACAAGTATCCTACAGTAATGCACGTAATTCTACAAGTCCACAAAGAACCCAAAGAGTATCTACCAAGAAAGTGCTATCATCTTCCAAATGATCAAAACGGAATTTTGATCCGACCATGCAATAATCTCAATATTCCCTCATTTGTAAAGGCATATGCACTTTCACCTGTGCAGAATTAACTCAGAGGATAATGGAAGATATAATTAAATGGCAAATATATATAAAAATATCGCTGGCATCGAAAAAAACTTCAATCGACATAGCAGATCCCCCAAATCCAGTATCAAAGAGTAGCAGGTCACCATTACATCAAAAAACTCATGAACCGAAATGTTAAAAGCGAAATCCTAAAGATCCCTCAACGACGGGATCAGAAAACAGGAACAAAACCGACAATCTACTTCGATCTCTGCCTCATCTTTCTGCGCTTCCTCTTCAACCTCCTCATACGCTTCTTCTTCCACTGTCACTCAAAAGATAAATAAATAAATAAATAAATAAATAAAATTATCATAACGTAAGGAAGGGAACAACAAAGCTAAAACTAACGCCGAACAAAGTATATTCATCTTGATCTTACCTTGGCTCTCATGGTAAAAGATCAAACCTTGATAAAAAAAACTCAAATCGCCGCCTTCGTTCTTCACCGATCCGGATGCGGAAATTGAAAAACCCTAGCGCCTCATGAGGTATTTATAGGAAGCCATAGAACGTCGCTAAATGGGCCCGATAAAATTGATATCTATTGGTCTCAGTAAATGGGCCCATATATAAATTGGGCCTATTATTTGGTATTTTAAATTTATTATAATATCAGCACCTAAATGCTTAATAAATCAACTCCTAAAAAAAATAAAAAATAAAATAAAATCGTGCAAATCATTAAAAATGGTCCATATTTATTTAAAGGATTAATTTACAATTACATAAAAAACTTAAATGATTTTGGAAGAACATTATTTTTGACAATGTAACAAATGTAGAAAATGGCAACATTAAGCAGATGTTTCATCAATCCACACACAATCTACAAGGATTAGGGGAGCGGCTGTTGGCTGCGGACACCCGGGACCCCCACTCCAGGAGCTCCTTGCTCGTATCATCCTTATGAACTATCACTTCTATTAAACACAAACATTCTTTCTTTGCCCCTTCAGCTGTGGCAATGGCTGCCACCAATTCTTCCTCACAGCGAACCTACGAGCCGAACAACGAATTAAAAATATTATTGATATATTTTAGATATTTAATTTTAATAAATTTAATTTTAGATTTGATTACTTAGATTTATTTAATCTATTTTATTTTAAATTACAATATAAATTTTTTATTTTGATGATCAATGTGCTCACCTTGGTAGTCCAGGAATTGCCTTCGCGGTTGTCGATGGCGTCGACAAGGGCCGTGTAGTTCCAATTCTTGATCACGTTATATGGCCCGTCATGGATCTCGACCTCTATGGTGTATCCGCCGTTGTTGATGAGGAAAATGATCGGGTTTTGGCGACAACGTAGCATTGTCGAAATGTCCTGCGCCGTCACCTGAAAACTCCCGTCTCCAATGCACGCGATCACGCGCTTCTCCGGGACGGCCTGTGCGTATCCGAGAGTCGCACCGACCGACCATCCGATTGATCCGTAATGCATTTGGAATTCGTACCTAAAAAGCAGCCAACATGAGGAGATGTCATCAAAAAAATATTTTTATTTTATTTTTTAGCTAAAAAGTACATCATTTTTTTTTATTACTTCTATTAAAACTTTTTTTCAACTATTTGAACACAGATTTACATAATGAAAAGAATAGTGAAAAAAAAATGCGAAATTTTCAAACAAAATATAACATATAATATATTGAAAATATTGAAAATTTTGTTTCATGTCAAATATTTCAGTATATATGATAACTATATGTAATTTGATATTTTCATATGTACCAACATACTAGTATACTATTATGATATTTTAATGTCCTATATATCTGTATATAGTAATACCTCGATATATTCATATTAAAATTATTATTTAAATTTTAGTATTTTGAGATATACCTATTGCGTATGAACAATTTGATATACCAAACTGTATAAGCACCGTAATATATACTTGTCATACCAAATCTTTGATTTGGTATACCAATATCAATATAGTAAAATATCATATCAAAAATTTCAGCATGATATACGACATAGTTAAATTTCGTTATGATATACTGAACCACTTCTATGCAAAATTATATAATACTCTTTCAGTGCCGTTAAAAAATAGATTCTTTTGTTCCGTATAAAATTTTTTAAAAAATAAAAGTATAAGTATAATTGATGATATTTTAAAAAATTTAATTATTTTATATATATATATATATATATATATATATACTATAATTAATAATGCATTACTCTACTAGTATAAGTTTTTAGATAATCGAGCGGCGGTTACTCACCCGCATCCCGGCGGCAATTTCAACTTCTGGCAATTAAACCACGAGTCGCCGGTCTCCGCGATCACCGCCGTCTCGCCGGAGAGCATCTTCTGAATATGCTGAAACAGAACATTCACTCTCAACGCCTCATAAGGATCGCACTTCAGGGGAACACCTTCCGGTATATAAATCCTCCGGTAATTCTCGAACGCCGTCGTGTTCCGGTCGAGCCGTCCGGCGAGGGCCGTCAAGAAATCCCTCATTAAAACGCATCCGAACGCCGGACCATTTCCGATCACGACGCGATCCGGCTGCACGACGATCGATTTATCCTTCTTGAAAAGGAGAGAGTATCCGACGGAGCTGTAGTCGTTAAAAACCGGTCCGGCAAAGATGTAGGCGTCGGCCGAGTCGACGATCTCGGCGCAGAACGCCGTGCTGACGGCGCCCCAATACGTGCCGAGGAAATGCGGGTGGTGCTCGGGAACTAGGCCTTTCGCCGACGGCATAACGGCGACCGCGTAGCCGCAAGCGTCGGCTAATTGGATGAAGGCTTTTCCGGCGGCGGCGACGCGGAGCTTTGGTCCGGCGACCATCACCGGCTTTACGGCCTTGGTTAGGAACTCCGCCGCCGCCTCCACGGCCGCGTGCAACGACATTTGATTACTCAATCTGTGGAGGAAGATCGACTAAAGCTGATGTAAATGAATTAAATAATTTTATTTGATTCAAAATTTGATATTCGTATTTAAATTTTATAATTCGAATAAAATATTAGATTCATATAAATAGTATAAAATATAACATACATATAGATGTATTTCCCAATAGAAAAAAATTAAACTAAATTTATTAATAATAATACTTTTAAATGTTATATAAATATAATATAATATAATATAATATAATTAAAATTATACTTATATAATGATATTTATATTTATATTAGAGAAAAAGTCTTTCTTGTAAATATGAAAAAATAATAAATAATAAATAAGTACATTTTCTTTGTCAATATAAATAAATAATAAATATATACATTTTTTATAAGTTTCTTTATAATAATATTATTAAAAAATTTAATTAATAGAAGTTCTAATCAAATAATTTTGAATCCAAGGAAATCGGATAAAATAAAAATAATCAAATATTTGTATAATATTGAAAACGAATCGAATACAATTTTAATATTCAAATGAATTGAATAGTTGAATTTTTATTTTTTTTAAAATCGAAACAAATACTGCAGTATTCGACTTGATTCGATTCATTTACAACCCTATCTATTACCTCGGAGAGAGAGCAATTGGAACAGGATCGCGACTGAAAGTCGGGTGAGGAATTGCCGGCAAGTTGCAGCTCACGCTGATGTAAACTGGCTTGCTTTCCTTCAACGCCGTTGAAATCGCTGTGTCGATTAATTCGTATGCGTCGTCGAGATGATTTACCACAGCCTGAAATTGAAGAGAGATTGAGAATTGTTTACAGATTTGATTATATTCAAAATTATATATTACTAATAATGAAATCAGATTTCAAATAAATTCGATAAATTCAATAATAATAACATACGGTATGTTAAAATAACATAAATTCATTTTATGCTAACGAGATCTAAGTTTACTAGGGCTGTGTTTGTTTGGATGTTTGAATTTTGAGTTGGGATTTGAATAGTTGTATGATGTGATATAAATAGGTGTTGATGTGATGTTTTGAATGTAAAATTGATTTTTAGTATAATATAAAAAATAAAAAATAAGTGTTTGATTTGATATTTTTTTGAAAAAAAAATTGGATGACTAGTAAAAAAAATCCATTCCCTCACTACAGAAAAAAATTGGATGAATAGTAAAAATAGTACTCAACTGAATTAAATAGAAAATAATACTCTCACTACAAAAATTTCAATAATTGTTACTTTTTTTTCTTTAATAGTAAAAAAATAAATAAATAAATTTAATGATTTTTTACTTAAAAATAAAATAAAAATATATATTTTTACGATAATTCAAAAAAATAAATAAATATAAATTTGAACAATGAACGAAGGACTACTTATACAAGTTAGAGATGAAAATATGTTCACAATAAAAATAAATAAATAAATAAAAATTTAAATCATAAATCAAACATCTTAAAATATATCTAAACCGTTAGTACGGACCATATATTAATGGGTGTGTTTGTTTGGGGATTGGATTGGATTTATACTATTTATCCAATTTTTTTTTCAAAAATATCAAATCAAACACTTATTTTTTTATTTTTTATATTATATTAAAAATCAATTTTACATTCAAAACATCACATCAACACCTGTTTATATCACATCATATAACTATTCAAATTCAAAATTTTTACTATTCAAATCTCATTTCAAAATACAAACCCCCCCCAAACAAACACACCATAGTAATATAAATATACAAAAACGAAGAAACGCGTCATATATTCCTATAAAAAATACAGTAATAAATTCACAAAATGTAATTCAAGAGTTAAAAAATCACACATTTTAAATATCTAAAATAGATTTTTTGAGCAGATTGGATATGGCGAGAAATTATATACCTGAAAGCAAGTGACGGTCTGGAAGCACCGGAGCTCCTGGGTGAAGTCCGGCAGGCAAATGGTGTGGTGAAGAATCCGATTACTGCCGTAGTCGTTCGAATTAGGGCCGCCGACGATGCAGATCACCGGAAGATTCTCGCTGTACGCGCCGGCGATGGCGTTGAGGACGCTCAGTCCTCCGACCGTGAAAGTCACGGCACACGCGCCGACGCCACGCGCCCTAGCGTAGCCGTCGGCAGCGTAGCCGGCGTTGAGCTCATTGCAACAGCCGATCAAATTAAGCTCCGGCTCGGCTAACAGATGATCGAGCAGCGTCAGGTTAAAATCGCCGGGAACGGAGAATACGTCGGTGACGCCAATCTGGACGAGCCGGCGCGCCAGATGGCGCCCGAGCGTCGGTTTAAACGGAACGGAGGACGGCTGGAGAGTCGAAACGACGCCGTTTGGAGGGAGGCGGCTAACGCCGTTCTCCAGCGAGGTAAATCTAATTTTGGCCTCCATTAAAGGACAAGAAAAAATAAAATTAATGAGTTGAAATTAAATTGAAATAGAGCTGAAGCGAAGAAATGAATTTATAGGAACTAGGGGAGCTTTCTAAATCTATAAATAATTAATAAATAAATTATTGCAGATAATTATAAATTAATTAATTTTGGCCTCCGTTCCGTTCGGGTTTGCATGGCGCAGCAGAAGGCGGAGAAGAATGGAAATAATTAAGAAGTAAATTATTTCATATAAGGTGTGATTAGGGTTAATTAATTGTTATAAAAAATATATATTCTTAAAATTATTACTATTATTTTTTAAACAAAGGGGTGATTTTTTTTTTCATGAACAAAAAAAAAATAATTATTTTTATTAAAATATACGCATCCAACTATTTGGGCACAAACTTACATGAGAGAGTACATATTAAATACTTCATGCGTGTCCTATTTTCCTATTTGGAAAGTTCAACAATTATTGTCCTCTTTTTATTTTTATACACAAAATTTACTATTTTATTTTTATACACAAAATTTATTCTTTTACCCTTAGTTTATTTACTCTTTCATTTTCTATACACAAGATTAAGGACAAATTTGTCATTTTATAACCAAAACCTTAATTGCCTAAAAATATGTGTAAATATCAAATAGGACATTAGAAAATGGACGGATGAAGTAGATAAACAAGGTAGTTCAATTAATAAATTTTATGTTATAAGGTTTATGAAAAACATACAAGTTTTATAAGTTGTATATCAATATTTAGGGTGTGTTTGTTCGATTTGAATTTTTGGTTGGGATTTAAATAGTAAAAATTTTGAATTTGAATACTTGTATGATGTGATATAAATAAAAATTGATGCGATGTTTTGAATGTAAAATTAATTTTTAGTATAATATAAAAAATAAAAAATAAATGTTTGATTCGATATTTTTGGAGAAATTTTTTTTGGTGGAAATAGTAGAAATCCCACAATTGAATGTAATAAAATTAATAATTTTTTTTTTCTTTTCAAGACCATACACATGCACACCCCCGAGTGAAAGATGTCTTACTGCTTGATCTACAAGGGTTTGACAATTGTCCAGTCTGGATGGTAGTAAAAACAATTAAGTTTTCAAATTTGAAATATATTGAAATATGTGAGCAATATACCTAATATACATATATTATCATTTTTCTATATTATTTATATATAAGTGATCGATATAGCTCTCGTTACGCATATATATATATATATATATATTCTTATTTTAATATAAATAATTTAAAGAGTATTAATTATTCGTAATTAATAATGCATAACTAACATATTATATGTATAAGGCTTTGTTGTATATGGATTTTCAATCAGAAAATTATTAAAAATTGGTTAAATTGCACAAAAATCATATGTGATTTCATGAAATTGCACCAAATTTTTTATATTTTTAAAATTACGTCAAACTCTTTTATGATTTTATAAACTCTGTGTCTAACTCCCTCGGCGGTCTTTATTTAACGGTAATTGACCTAAATGCGCCCAAATTACGAATAAATTTTAGAATCTCAATTTCTAAACCTCTAAAATTACACATATATTTATTTTTCTTATATTTAGCTCCAAAAAAGAGTAAAAATAAACTTTTAAAATCTGAAAAAAATAATTATTTTTAAATATATTTACTATTTCTGAGACTAAATATAAGAAAAATAAATATTTTTATAATTTTATGGGTTTAAAAATTGAGATTCTAAAATTTATTCGCAATTTGAACGCATTTAAGTCAAATATCGTTAACTAAGGACCGACGAGGGGGTTAGATACGGAGTTTATGAAACCAATAGAGAGTTTGACACAATTTTAGAAATACAAGGGATTTAACGCAATTTGATGAAAACACAGATATGTTTTGTGCAATTTAGCTTTAAAATTTTTTAAAATATCAAATGAAATATTTATTTTTATATTATATTTAAAATTATTTTTTTATTAAAAATATTAAATAACATCCAATCATGTCATATTAAATAATAATTTTAATTCAAAATTATATTATTCTAAATTTGGGGTGGCTGTCTATATATATATATTTCATTTTGTTAATTTTAATAGATTTGACTTATATTAATTATGCATAGCACTGAATTATATGAGTACTTTTTTATATTTTTTTGTACGGAAAGAGTAATGTAATTGGAGGGTGCTTTATTTTAATTTCAAAATAAAATTATTATTATTCAATTTCTACTGTTTCAATAGAAAAATAGTAATAATTTTGATTACAAAATGTTATATATATATGTATATTATTATAGTTAATTTAAGGGACGCTTAAAATTTAATAACACAATACACTTTCACTCATTTGATACTATTCATTTTTAAAAAATTATCACATTAAATACATTTTTTTTCTTACAAAATATTAAATAACAAACAACTTGAGCCAAGTCCAGAGTAATTGTGACAGTATTCTTACTTTATTTTTTATTTGTATTTATATTTATATTAAAATATTATTTTTCTTTTAATTTTTGTGTTTAAACAAAAATGATATAATTAATTCTATTTCATATATAGGAGTATATTCAATAAATTACTTATTATTATTGTACTAATATAAATGTGCTTGATTTTTATTCAAAATTAAAATCATCACAAATGTTTAATCAAGGAGATTTTTAATAAAAATATACTCCTTTCGTCTCATAATTATGTATCAATTTGCTTTTTCCACAGAGTTTTAGAAATATTAGTATTATATTGAGATGTAGTAGGAATTAAGTGGAAATGACTAAAATATCTTATTAGTATTTTGTTATATAAAAGTAATTACATTTGTGTAATATATTGTAAGCTGTAAAGGTATTTTTAATGTTACGTAGATAGTACAATTACTAAAAAAAATTGATACTTTGTTATCAGACGAACTAAAATGGAAAAATAGATACTTTATTATGGAATGGAGGAAATATTATATTAATATTTGTCAAATATTGTATCACAATAATAGTTAAAATTATAATTCAAGTTAAAAATAAAACAAATCCTTGATTATGAAACGAAAACATTTAATTTGAACTAAAGTAGATATAACTTATTCCAAAACTAATAATTAAATATTTGAAATTAAATTTATATGAATTGTCGTTAGAATTGTACACCAAGACATTCATATAAAAATAAACAAATTTTCATATTTTAATTATATGGAATCAATTATATCAATTTAAAATTATGTCACAAATAACAATGATCAATCTTTTAATATCCATATACATATCTAGGAAATCAATGTGGGTCCAGCATTTTTTTTTTTTTTAATTTATCAATTTTCTATATAAATAAATATAAGTGATTGGGTCACATTATCTGTATTTCGTTTTCTCTCATTAATTAATAATGATAATTAATTATGCATAAGTAACACATTAAATATATTTATACAAGAGGTCAATGTAGGTCCCATTTCTATATATATTTTAAATTATTGTTAGAAATTAATTTATCTTAATTATTCATAATTATAAATGATATTAATTGTGCACATGTAAGTTATAATTTAGCAGTAGTTTGAAATTAATATGAAATGAAATTTTGATTTTAATTTTTATACTACTTTTACCTACCTACTCCTATTTACGTTCGAAGGTAGAATGACGAATAATAATCGCGAAAAAAATTCAAAATGGTAATGAGAGAATTACTGATGATCGAAATTGATTACAGCAAATTTTTTATGTGATTTTTTTTTAAAAAAAAATTATATTTTCTCTTCGAGGTCATTATTTAATTTTTTAATTATACGTTTAAAATATGAATTCTAACAAAATGCAAGTATAACATAGCGTTAGGGTGTTCTTTTACTAAACAACAATTTTTCAAAATCATGTTTCTTTCAAAAAATATTACTTCCTCCGTCCCACATACCGTGTCTGCTACACTGTAGACACGGTATTTTAGGAATGGTATAATTAGTAGATAATTAAAAATGTATTAGTGAAAATAATTATCATATAATATAAATAATTATAAATTAAGATTAAAATAACTAATTAGTTTAATTAAAATTTAAAAAAAATAAATTAAAAAATTTAAAATAAGATTAAAGTGTATAATCATTTTCTAAAAAAATAAAGTAATATATTATACACTCATTATTTTTATATTACTTATACAATACTTCACATAAAATAAAATAAAAAATAACTCTTTAAATTCTTTCACTAAACAAACACCCTTGCTCTTCTAAAAAAACAAATTCAAAAAGGAATTTGTTTTGTCAAAAAAACCAAATATATTTTCCTCAAAAAATTAATACTCCTATATTATACATCTACATTATTCTTATATTTTTATTTTACTTAATACCCCTATTATCACTAACACCAATTTTCATACCTCTAATTTTAAATATATATATACATTTAAAAAAATAAAAAATTCTCAAATATCAAATCAAATAATGCCCTCCTCTAAACAAAAATTGAGCACTTCTTCAACACACATTCTTCTAGTGAAGAAAGTGTGTTTGAATTGCATCTATATTCAAATAATAGTTTGAATATAAAATTTTGTAAGAAGAAATAAAATAGAAAATTGTATATTAAAAAGAAATTTTTCAAAAACATTTATATATATATACACATTTTACTATTGATGTTAATTCAACTTAGCTTAGGCTTTTGGCGCGCTTTCGAAAATTGCGCGTCGCCGTTAAGAACCGAACTCACAAACATCTCGACGCCGGTTTCGGTTGCCTCACTGCCCTGAGAAGCAGCTGCATACGTTCCCCTCTTCGCCTTGTACGCGACGAGGATGACCTTATCCGATGTCTTAAAGCTCGACCGGTCCAAGGATGTTAGAAAAGATTGCTGTTTAGAAGCATCGAGGAGGGCGTATGTTGCAGTGTCCCTCGAGCTTTGTTGCCTCAAAAACGACTTCTGAGATACCTGGAATCATAAAGTAAACGATATTAAATTATCATCTCACCTAAAAATTCAAATTTAAAAAAATGTGTGTGATCACTTACAGATTGGAAGATCTTTTGGAGTTTTTCCTTCGCAGTTATAGACCGGAAGACGCCAACGAAGCAAACGGGGACTTTGTCGCTGCAAATGTCGTTGAAATTTGAAGCTGTAAGTAACGGTATGTTTTTGTGTCCTGATTCGGATTCGTCCTTCTTGGAAGAACCCGCGAATTTCTTGTTCTTTTTCTCGAAACTGTTGAGCGAGCTGCTAAGTTCTTCGATTCCAGATTTCAGATCTTTTACTGAAACCCCGGATTTGATTATTTGTTTCTCACCATTCGACAGCCAGCCAACGATCGCTGGAAGTGAATCCACGTCTAATTTTCTCACCGATGGATCCGAGGCGTCGCGAACCTAACGCCAAACACAGAAATGTCAGCACGATAATCGCCAAAACGAATAATTACGAACAAATTTGTGCATAATTGGAGAAGTCTACGCGCTCTACGTACCTCCGCATCGTAGAATATGAAGCGCTTGCGGTATAAGCCGCTGAGTGCGCGCCAAATGACGGGAGTATTTTTCTTGGTCGACAAAAGTAAGACCTTCGGCAGCTTTGAAGCCTCGGAAGCAGCATTCAAACCGTCTAAGGTTAATCTTTTCGAAAATCTTGGTAAATGGTCTTGACAAAAACTTTTCAACGATTTGGCGTCTACATCGCTGTTGTACTCGACCAAAGAACCTTTTTCGCTCGACGTATACGAGTAAACAAAGAGCTTTGGATTTCTTCGAGGATGTACGCCAAGTTCCTTGCACAACAATGCTTCGGAATCGCAATTTATAGCTCCAACCTGCATAGAGAAGTGTCAATCACCATATAATGCACAAACAATCCATAATAAAAATAAAAATAAAAATGCACGACATATAGAGTACCTTTAACGCGCCTTGAAGTGGGACGGCGACTTCCTCTAACAAAGATTCGTATTGTTGGATTCCTTGTAGATTCGATGTGTAGACAAGTAAGAGCCAAGTGATCCCACCGTCGACTATTTCTTTCCTATACAATTGACTGTTAACAGAGGTTATGCTCGGGGCAGAACGTCTACTTTTGTGCTGGGACCTGCCCGAGCTACCGAACCCACCAGACTGCCCGCCCCCGCCCCCTCCCCCAATGCCACCACCGAAGAAACTGGAGAATATGTCATCGATGCCAAACCCTTGAGAGCTTTGCTGGCCGAATCCGGGACCCCCGAAAGAAAATGAAAACGATTTAGATCCTCCATGTCCGCCCATATTTTGCCAGTCATCTGGCCTAAAATTGAACCCTCCCTGTCCGGGTCCGCTGGTGAAAGTGTATCCACCGTGATCTCCCGAGCTACCTGTGTCAAAGCCAGGGCTGCCTCTTTCATCTCCATAGAGATCATAGTTCTTCCTCTTCTGTTCATCGGATAGTATTTCATATGCTGCAATGAATAATGAAACATTAGAATATTCACTTTGCAATAAGTTTATAGATCAAGTAACCAATTGAGCAATAGAAAGAAATTTTGTAGAATTGATCTTTTTACCCAAGTCTCATGTGGAAGGAAGAAAAATTGGCCCAACAAATATCATTAAATTTCAAAGTTCCTCAATTTGAAGGTGTAATCACTAAGAACATTACAAATTCTGATCGAAATAGTAGATGACAGGTAAGTGGCATAATGAGACAGGAAACATAGAAGAATGGAAACTTTTTTCCATTCGATATGGTCATCCTATGAACAAATTTGGTTATATCCAGTTCATTAAATGCTGTAAGATTAAAGGGGCTGAACCTCTTGATAAGAATCGCGAACCTCGTCATTGAAAACTGACTGGATTTACAATGTACATATACATTTATCTTGTTCAGAATGAAATTTCAAGAATGCAGAATTTCTTCAATTCTCTAACAAGTTTCACCGATCTCATAGATAATTTCCATTACACAATCACTATCGAACAATACAAATTATTTACATGCTTACCATTATTTATCTCTTCAAACTTTTGTTGGGAACCCTTGTTCTTATTTTTATCAGGGTGATACTTTAGAGACAGCCTGAAAAGTTGAAGAGAAACATAAGCACCCAAGTTAATAACACAAATCAGTAACTATCAGAAATGGCCAATCCAAAGACTTACTTGTGGAAGGCCTTTTGTATATCTCGTTGACTTGCATCTTTATCAACCCCAAGGACCTGACAAAAGAACTTCTCGTCAGAAGCTAATCATTAATGGCGGAAAATACCACGAAACAAACATCAGCAGGTTCTTGAGTAAACAGAAGACAAAATCAAACAACAATGGCGGCAATTATTTGCAGAGAAACATTGCATAAAAAATTAAGAGAACTCCCAATTAGTAAGACTTATTGTGTAAAACTAATCAGAAATCATGAAATATCTTCTTCCCCATGAGTACAAACAAAATAAGCTTCCCTCTGTATTCCTCTACCTAAAATAAATTTCTTACCCAACCACCTTCCAAAAACTAATTTGTGGTTAAGAAGAACTAGCTAGTATTGATATGATAAGCGCATCGAAAGGATAGCTTTTACGTCAGAAAGAACTATTTTAAACAATAACCAAAGAATATGAAGTTTGAATTACAGCATCTCTCTCATTTCCTATTCAAGCATTTCCATGGCTGAAATGATCGATCTCATTAGAATACTGACAAATAATTCATCACGCAGTACCAAAAATTATTCTCTTACCATCAAATCTTCTCCAACGAAATTAAAGAAGCCAAAAATCAAAATCACCGCGATGAAAAACCAAACCTCAATCAAAAACCATAATTCCTTTTCCGCAATAAATTGAAAACGAAAACTAACCACAGCTTCAAAATGCACAAAAGCAAGGATGATTATTACCTTGTAGGGGTCTAGTTTCTTGGATTCTACAAGGAGAAGGAACATCAATCCGACGGCAATCAACGAACATACGAATCTAAACTTCATAATTCCTCTCAACCCAATCCTTTCAGCAACTCGTTTCGATTGTGTTCGAAATCGCGGGGCAAAAATCGACAAATATGCGAACGGGGGGTGGGGTTGGTTATTAATAGATTTCGCGGGAGGGTTTGATGAAACTTCCAGAGTGTTCAGGCCGTTTGGCTGACGTGGCGCTTGTTAAGATCGCCACGGGCTTCTGGCCAATAGGATTTGAGAATTCCTCCTTCTACTGCATAGCTTGACATCATTACTCAACACAATTTTAACTTATGAGTCATACAGTCATTATATTTATACTAATGGATTGGGCCGAACAGTCCTCCATTTTTAAATTGGGCCATTATTACGAGCCCAAAATAGATTAGCATGTACTTTGACGGACCGTTAAATTGTACTTGTTTGACGGATTATGAAAATTAAGAATTTTTATTTATTATTTTTTTTCCTTGATGTACTATTTTTATTATTTTCAAATGTTAAAACAAACTTATACACTTTGTTAATTAATAAAATATTATACATTATATTAATTTAAAAGTTATGTAGAGTTTGTTTAGTTATAGTTTGGAATTGAGGATTAATTTGAATTTTATATGATATTTTGTTATAAACATAATAAATTTTATTGAATATTATTAAATTAGATAATATAAATTTGTATTTGAAATCATAAACAAATAAATTTATATTTTTTTAAAAAATATATATATATACTAAAAATTGTATTTAACCGGAAGACCATCTCCAACCCATCAACTTCATTTATCCAATTTTATTTTCAAATATGCAATTGTTAAGTAATTTTACTCAAATCATAATTCTATTTTTCCCTATTATTCTTCAAATATTCAATTTTTTCTATTATTTTAAACAACTTACAGTGCTATAGTGTTGCAATTGGCGCTGGATTGGAGACCGGCGACACCATAAATGCAGTTGAAATGTCAAAATTGACGTGTGGTTAGAGATGCACTTTAGGGTGTGTTTGTTTGGGGATTGGATTTACATTATTCATTCAATTTTTTTCCCCAAAAACATCAAATCAAACACCTATTTTCCATTTTTTATATTATATTAAAAATCAATTTTACATTCAAACCATCGCATCAACACGTATATATATCACATCATACAACCATTCAAAATTTTTCAAAATCTAAAGCCCCAAACAAACACACCCTAATGAATAATGTGATATTATTTTAATATCAAATACAAACTAAAATTTTCAAACTCCAAAATACACATTTATTTATATAAATAGTTTTAGTTTAACAATAGCTAAAAAAAAAAATTACATCAAATATATATATATATATATTCTTACAAAATATTACACCAACTCAGTTTTTACAATTTATAATTTTTTCAAATTTATTAAAACTTTCATTCAAAGGAATGACTATTATATAATTTCTAAGTATTAAAAAAAATATGTAACAATTATTAAACAATACAATCACTATATGCAATTTTTTAAACAAATTCATCACAGTTACAACAAATTTTACCTCTATTTTCTTACATTTCTCTTTTATTTTTTACCATTCAATTGTCATTACTCGATAAAATACATTATCCTTTTATGAAAAAAAATAAAAAATAAAAAATGCCATTCAAATTATCTTTCAAATAAAAAATAAGAATCAAACGCCCAAATTACATGGTCTTCGAGTTTGATTATTGTCCGCTCTTTAAATTTGTAATTTTATAAAATAACAACAAAACTAGCGAAGAAAAGATGGCAAGGCAGGCAGAACACATTTTGTTAGGGTTTTACAAAGAGTAGTATTTCATAAGTTTAAAAAACAAAAAAAGAATATTCAGAGAAAATACAAAAAAGGAACAAAAACTGACTCATTCTTTAGAAGCTGCTGTGGCATCATCGTCCATGGCCTCTGTATCCTCGTCTTTCTCCCCTTTTTTGCCTGAACATACAATGCAAAACATTACACACTTGTAAGAAAAAAAAAATACCGAATCGAGTCGTCGATACAATGTGTTTCGAATCGGAGCCTAACCTTTCTTCTTCTTGCCTCCGCCTTTCTTTTTGGTCTTGGTGGGCAGAGCAAGCCATGCTTTGATGTAAGGATCGTCGATTGTCTTCGCCGGCTGCAGTTCCTGCAGAGGATGGGCCGTGATCCGATCCGAGCCGTTGGGCATTAAAAGAACGGTGAACTTGATGTGGGCTACGAGGTCGCCTGCAGTTTGCGCAAATGAGTTAAGATGGGAAGTGAGAGGAATTAGGTGTTGTAATTTTAAAAAATATACCAAATTCTTCAGTATTTTAAAAAATATTGCACAAAATCTATTTTCAAGTAGCTCGCAAGCTAAGCTCGACTCGGCTCACATCAAAAAATATATAAAATATGTATAAAATTTAAGTTGAACTCGAGTTCGAGTTTTAGGGTTTAGGGAGCTTGAATTTGAACCTAATGAGCCGAGATCAAACAACTATTTTAGTTCGAAGTCTTAATGAGCCGAGCTGAACCTATACCGTTAACAAGTTCGAGTAAAGCTCGAGCAAGTTCGATCGGCTTGTTTAACAGCTCTAAATACAATGCAAGACTTCCTAAACTATATGCAAGTTATAAGCAAGAGAAACAATTTAGAGATGGATCATCGTGTACCGGGTTTCTCATGAAGCACCGGGTACTGCTGTAAAAGGTCGTGATTAACGCACTCTGCGAGGCCAAGACGAGCTCGTTTCTCGTCCAAAGACCTGTAATGAAGATTCACTGCTCAATGTACCCAATCAAAGTGTCGATTTTCACAAAAGTTTTGCCGTATAAATGAACCTCGCGGAAAATGGCATGATTGGGAACTTCTGGCTAATCTCGCTGAATATGAATCGGGATGATTTCATTTTCAGGAGATAGTTTTTGTCTACAGCTCTTTTGTAAATCGTCGTCTGTTTCTCGTCCAACAATTTTGGCTGCAAATTTACACCCGAGAAAATGTATGAAGCACTAGAACTTAACTCAGAAGATGCAAATGTTGATAATCGAGTCGGGGGATATAATTACCTTGCCATCGCCGGTAGTGGTGACAATGTCGATGGAATAAACTTCATTTTCCTCAAATTCTGCTTCGTCGACTCGGGTATCTGGGGAAGTGACACTCAACACGACCTTGTTTCCGTCGATTACAAACTGCTTCATTTGGTGACTTAGTACGCCTTCGACGATCTTGCAATCATAAGCAGCAGCAACTTTCTGAATTGCCTCGGTGACATCTTTGTTCTACAGTTGACAAAAAGGAAAAGAAGGATCAAAGAAATGCACAATATCCACAAAACCAAAAGACTAAGCTCAAAGTGTTTGAATACCAAAGAAAGGTATTTGACAGCAGTAAACAACCAGGGTCAATTTAAGATTAATCGCATTAATTTCCTGTTTCGGCTAAGCAATACGACAATTCTGTAAGAATAGAAACATGTCCAACAGAAAATGTGCCATATGCAGCCTGTAACAATATAGGCAACAGGGAAAAGAGGAAACCAAACCAAAATTGGCGACCTCGGCAAAGTTGCCTTTGTAATTGAAACTTGGTAAAATTTAAATTACGTGGAAGTGCTAGACGAAAAAAAACACAAGATAAAGATTTCAGATGCTACGATCGACACACACAGCAAGAAACAAGTGAAGATTTCTAAATCATAAGAAACTGATCTACTACATATACCCGACAGAAAATCTTTAGATTGATATCTGCAACTATAGAATATCAGCAACAAAAATCATTGAAGAACTGCACTACTTGCAAAATAAAAATGCGTACCAAGATGCGTGAGCTACACGAAGACAACAGCTGAATTCAAAAAGAAAATATACCAAAGGGAAAGAAAACATGACGTCTCTGTCAGAGTAACTATGACTATGAAGAACTTCACCGGATAGATCCGTCACTTCTGATAATATCATCACATAGAGATCATGTTTTCCTATATATTAATGAGATCGACTCATTTCTACATTAAGTTTTTCTTTTTAAAAAAACAGTGCTTTCGTTATTTACAGTATCCGCAAACTAGAATGGCTATGTTCAATCTAGCATAAACATCACGGGGGAAAAGAAGATTAAAAATATAAAGAATTCCCCTATCAGAGTAACTATGACAAAATGAAAGCAGCATTTGGGTTCTCACCCATAGCCAACACAAAATGTTCATCATTTAGGGGACCCTTGATTCGACACAATTAACTAAACGCAGGCAAAACAAAACAAGTCGAATCTCAAAACAAAAAGATCAGCATCCTCAAATTTTAATCAGACAGAAACATATAGTAATGCACTGCAACTTGTAAATCAATATCATATCAAGTTGCATAGACAATGAATTAGATGCATACATAGCCTCAAATTCGATAACAATAAGGGAAAGCGATAAGATTTACCTTCTTCCCCGGCCGCACAAGCCGCAAAGCAACCTCAGCAGCAGTATTTGCTGCAGTAATAACATCAGCAGCCCTGCCGGTGACCGCCCCTTGCTGAAGAACATGAGTGTGGGCAACTACAGCAATGAATCCATCTATATGACACCCCATGTCACTGCAATCAAAACCCTAATTTCAAAAGGTATGACAGCAAGCCAACACCATGGCAGATCGAAATGCAAATTCATCATAGAAAATCATGGATAAAAATCACACATTTTCACAATATCACCATCTTCAAGCACAGTCTCGTCACTGGCTAATGGTGAGTAATGGCAGACGATATTGTTCACTGATATGCAGGTTGGGAATGCAACTCCGCGCTCTATCTTCTTCTTCTTATACAAATTTCCAGATTGCCTAATCCAAAACAAGTAATTACAGAGCAGTAATTACAGAAAAAAACTTTATAAAGTTGTGCGAAATCAAGCAAAAACTCACTCTCTGATGAACTTGTCTCCTTTCTCGCAAAGGTCGACAATCTTTGCCTTCGGTTTGCATTCGGATAAAACTAACTGCAGCGCCTCTGCAGTTGTTCAATCAAATAAATCAACATAGAACAGTAAAATCGAACGGAAAAACCTTCGAATTCCTCAAAAACTCCACACAAAAATGAAGGAAAAAAAAAACCTAACTGTTAACAATTTCTGCAGCTGATTTGTATTTGGTGACAACTTCAGGCGAGGAGAGATCCAACTCCTTCTCTTCCCTTTCCTCGTCCGACATATTCGCAACCTTCAAAAACAAAAGTCCCCCAAAACAACCATCAACACCAATCCACGAAGAACAACCCTAAACCAAAAAATGCGCAAAATCGCGAACAAAATCAAATCAAACGAAGCACACACCAGCTGAAGTCGGCAGAAATCCGATAGCAGAGGCAGATGAAAGAGCTAGCTAGGGTTTGCCGTCGGCAGTGGAGAGCAAAAATGTGCCCCTGTGCTTTATATAACGATTTCTTGGCGGGCCTGTGTGTTTGGGGTAGGGTTTTGCACGTGACTCCCACGCGCTTCCACCATACCCTCTTTTCATTCTTCGCCGCAATGCTTCCGCCCTATAAATACAACAAAAGAATCCGAAGCAAATTGGACACCAAATTCCGCCATTAATTATGCAGATTTCTTCAATCGAACAATAAAGGGAAGTTTTATTACAACACGGATTTGGATAAATTGATAATCTCCCTTCACTACAACATCAAATATGCGAACAATATTCGATTCCAAGTGTCGGGAACTCCAGGCAAGCACCAGTGCACACAATCGGCATAATGCAATGGATCCTCCTTCTGTTCATCCGTCAGCAGCTTCCCTCCGAGCTCTGTGTAGATCGACGTGTGGGCATCGATTCTGTATTCCGACAATTGGGTGATGTTTATCAACGTTACAGGGACCTTCATCTTCCTTACAACATCGGCCACAACGGACATAATCTCTTTGTTCGATCCGCTCCCCCAATGCCCTCTCTTCTCCACCGGCTTCGTCTCCTTATAGCATTTCGTCCCATTCACATTCCCCCAATCTGCACTCCTGCACTTCAAGACGCCATTTTTAAATTCGATTCTGCGAGTAAGAACGATCGATGGAGGATTGGACGATGAATTAATTACCTGTGGTGGATTGGGGACAGTGTGGTGAAGAACACTCGAGTCCTGTCGGGATCGACGTTAGAATCGACCCAATTGGCCCATGTCTTGAGTCCTATCCTGTAGGCAACACGTGTCTCCAATTCCTCGTACCCTTGCTCGCCATTGGCGAAAGAACCCCATCTGCAAGGCGTGGTTACAGGGATCAAGAAATTGTGTGTATACAAGTGTATGATCAAGAAGAGTTAAGGAGGGAAATTTGGTTTTTAATTTATTACAAAGACTTGGTCTTGAGGCCACTCATCCACCAAACGTAGGTGTTGAACACAAAAATGTCTACTCCTTTCCAATTCTTGGCATGGTTTTCAATTGAATCAACTCTCATTATTCTCTTGGTTGGATCCATCACTATCTTTTCATCCGAATTCGACTCGATCAAGAACGGAGCCCAATAGAATTCGATCGTGGCGTCAAACTTCTGAACAATGAAGCCATGATCGTAGTTTTGTTTAAATATAAGTTATGAAATTTTGAAAGTTTCGACAATAGAAAAAAATTGAGGACATGATCTAATGTTACGAGGGGAAAATGTATTTGTTAAGTTATTGTTGTGCAAATAATTTCAAATGTGTCTATACAAGCATAGTCTTCTTTTAGTAATTTTGGAAGTTTCGAAAAAAGAAGAATTTTGGAAGTTTCGAAAATAAGAAAAATATAGAGGATATAACGTTTATGTTATGCGAAAAAAAATAAATTTTGCCCACATGAATTGTCTTATTTACGGTAGATTTCTTTATAAAATATAAAGTCTAAAATCCTATAGTTATTTTACGAAAAATGAAATAAACAATTACACAAGACAGACGGAGGGACTATATCTACTATGATCATTTTTTTTAGTTATCGCTAGCGAAGAAATATGCAAAAAATAATATCAAAAATATCTACTTAGACATTATCTTTTGATAATTTGAAAAGTTTAGCGAACAAATAAAAATACTCTCTCAGTCTCATTATGTGTCCATCTATGTCATTTTATTAAAAAAAATAAAATTATAAACTATAATCTTATTTTAAACTTTTTAATTTATAATTTTTTTAATTTTAATTAAACTAATTAGTTTTATTATACCATAATTATTTTCAATAATATATTTTTAATTATTTAGTAATTATACTCCTCGTAAGAATGTGATGTTGTAGTACTGAGACGAATTTTTTTTTTTTTTTTTGATGTTTTTAAAAATATTTTAAAAGTACCTACGTAAACAAAGGCTTTTGATAATCGAAATGCATATAATCAATCACCTTGGCTTTGAAGACACTATGCATTCGGCCACGTTGCATCGACTTTTGTTTTTCGGGTATTACATGTTCGACAAGACAAACGAAGGATTGCCATTGCTCTCTCTGCAACGAGTCCCCGACGAACATCAGCCTCTTACCTCTAAGCTTCTGCAGCACTGCCGGAGCATCAAATTCCGGCAAGGCGCATTCGTCGGGCTGCCATTGCCAGTGCCTGTAATCGGAGTCCGGCCTCCCATTCTTGACACACGACACTTGCCTGTCCAGATACGGACATGTCCTGTCCGAATACAATGGCTTGATAGAACGATCGAACACCCATTTTCCGTGCACTAGGCTGCACTCATCGGGATCAAATCCAACCCGATCAGCTTCGTCGACTACGCCTGTTGAATAGTAAAAAGTAAATAACAAATTGCATGCACGTTGCTCGTGCTCAACTTTTATTTCTCTTAATTTCTTAAAGATAAACGAAAATAGAAAGAATGACGACGTTCCATTTGTCAATTTAAATTCTCCCACCAATACAAATTAAAAAAAAAAATCACGATATTTTTATTTCTCTATTCTAATTTTCTAACAAAAACACATCTCTACATACCTGAAATTGAAATCCTTCTGGCGCAGGACTTCTTGAGCCCGAAAATGGCGCCCGAGGTGACGGAACTTATGCTTTCGCCGAAGAGGATGACGACGACGACGGCGAATGTGAAGACAACTGTGGTTATTGCTGACAAGGGGATCTTCAGTCTGGTCGGATTTGGAGCCATTGAAAGAAAGACAATGGGAGAGCAGATTGGGATTAGGACATGTTTTTTTCACTTGGGAAACAAGTTTTTTTGTAAGAGGCTGATGTAGGAGTGAAGCTAAAGGGACATGTGGAAATTGTTCTACAAGCATTCATTTTTTTATTATTATTATTATTTAATTTAATTTAATTTTTTTATTGCAGTTGGAGAATTTAATTAATATAGAGAATTGGTGAGGTTTAGTTTCATTGGTTCAAAATCATGAAATCGAATAGAAATGGAAGTTGATGGATGGGAACTAATGAGCAGAAAATTAGGGACTTACATCATCACTTGCTGGCTGTTGATGTGTTAAAAGAATAATAAGTGAAAATAGTTGGTGTGTTTGGTTCTTAATTATTATTATTATTATTATTATTATTATTACTCGCATTCGTACAAAAAGAGTTCGTCTTATTTTTTTATTTTTGTCCGTCCATCTTATTTTTGTATTTAGTAATTGTGATTTCTATTTGACAACAAAATTATTTTTATTTTTTAACATTCTATTTTATACTAATTTTTAATTAAATATTATTATTTTTTAATTATCGTGTCCTCTCAATAAGACATTTTTTATGGACTATTATTTTTTGGTATGTTTGGTTCTTAATTCATTATGTGTTGTGTTTGTTGAAGAGTGATTGAATTAAATGTTTTTTGGCCCATGAGATCTTTTTAAGTTTTGAGATGGTTCTTAATTTATCACGTGTTATATGATTGTAATGTTTTCTTATGATATTTTTTTTATTTCAATTTTGTTAAAAAAATTAAAATGTATCTAATGATAAAAAAATATCTTTATAAAATAAAATTTATAAAAATTAGACAAATAATTCATCCTATGGGTTCACGTATAATTTCATTAATTTTAGAGTAAGTTCAAAAATAAATTGGTGTAATCTTGTCCAAAATAGATAATATTATTAGTGTTAAAAGTTGACTCTTGTATTGGACTGAGTTAATAGTCTCAACCTTATTCAAATCTACTTATCATGGTGCTGAATTCATATTGATTCAATATTCAAACTCAATTATTTCGCAAGTTAGTTTTTATCAACAATATATATTTAATTTATTTTTTCAAAAAAAATACTTTTAATAAAATATATAATCTTAAATATTCAAGACAAAACACAAACATTATCAAGCAGATAGATCATGAGCTTAATGTGAGATTTTTTGGTTTTGTTTAGATAGAGGTTTTTGAAATTTTAGAAGTTTGAAAAAAAAAAAAAGTTAATATTTAATTTGATATTTTATGGAAAAGAAATATTTAATGTCATATTTTTAAAAAAATAAATAATACTAAATGAGTGAAAATATGTTGGATAAATAAAGCCTATGTCTCTTTTCTACAGTTGATTTTAGTCTATTACCAAGGGATCACAAATCATAATAATCAACCACGCTAATCATGGATTAAACCCTATTCACCGTCGCATCTCAGATCCAACGGCAATCCGAAGTCCACGTGGACCCCACGTTACCTAGAAAATTCTACCGTCGATATAGCCTTCCATCAACGGCTGAAAATAGACGAACGCAATCAACACGGACCCATTCCTTCCACCGTCGATTAACACTTGAAATCCAACGGTCAAAAATCACCCACCCAACACACCTAACCATATATATATAAACACAGTCTTCCCACACCATTCTGAACTAAGTTCAGAATTCTTCCCCAAATAGCAGTCGCAGCTCCAAATTAGGGTTTAACAGAATGTCGGGAAGAGGCAAGGGCGGCAAAGGACTGGGGAAGGGCGGTGCGAAGCGCCACCGCAAGGTGCTAAGAGATAACATCCAGGGGATAACGAAGCCGGCGATTCGGCGGCTGGCGCGCCGTGGCGGAGTAAAGCGGATAAGCGGTCTGATCTACGAGGAGACTCGCGGCGTGCTGAAGATTTTCCTGGAGAACGTCATCCGTGACGCCGTTACCTACACTGAGCACGCTCGCCGGAAGACTGTGACGGCGATGGACGTCGTCTATGCTCTGAAAAGGCAAGGCCGAACTCTTTATGGCTTTGGCGGTTAAGCTTGTGTTTTACAGTAGACCTAGGGGCACTGTAATTTTTGCTTTAACGAGTTGAATCATATTTGAAAGACAGTAGATTTTAGCTTCGTTGATGAATTGGAATCAATTTTTGGATTTTGTGAAAACGGCAGCTGGAATGCAATTGTGTTGCAAATACACACCATCGTACTATCGTGTAACTTAAATCAACTGTATTTTTAGGATACATGACCAATGTAAATTAAATCAATTGTGTTTTTAGGATACATGAACATGACCAGAAATGGGCTACGTCTACATTATTAATTTTTATTTATTTCGTATTATTCATTTTTTTTCAAGGAAAAAGCCTTAGATCAAAAATATTTATATATATATATATAATTAAATCAAATACTAGTATAAGTAAAATTTTCCTTGGTCAGCTAATTTGTCCCATCAAAGTTTTAAATATTATATAATTAATAAAAATATTAATAAAAATAATTATAAATTAAAATTAAAATAATTAAGTAATTTAATTAAAATAATAAATTTTAATATATATAATTACATTTAAAAAAAATGAGACAAATTATATAAATAAGATGAAAATGTACTGAAGTGGGATCAAAGAAATATATTTATATAATATTCATATATTTAAATTATATGCAAAAAAAAATACTTTTCATTAGAACAAAAATATTTTTAAATTAAAAAAATAAGTAATAAAATTATGCTCAAATATTTATTTTAGATCTTTATTCAAAATTAAACATCAATTTGGACAAGATGATATTTGATGCAAATTTTACATTAATACAAAATATAATAAATAAAATACATAATATTTTGTATATTTGTATTAAAAACAAGTGATATATATATATATTTTTGTAATTTTTTGCTTTGGGTATAGATGTATAGCTCCCTACTATTTTTGGTGCTGAGCTCTTACACAAGAATTTGCCATCTCTTTCCCCTCATCACCCACCCCATTCCAATATCCTACTTATATATAAAAGATTAATAGATCAAATCAAATACCATCGTCAACCAACACATTTTATTTTACATATTAAACCTATTCAGATGGAGTATAGTATAATAATAATTTTAATAAAAGCTTTTATTTGGTGAATTACGCGATGAAGGGATAGTAAATAAATAAATCACAGATTTGATTTGAAATAGGTATACGATAAGATCACTCACATTACATACGGCTTCGCCTAGTTGATGCTGCAGCAGGCTTGAAACTCGCAATTCCAGTTACCTCTCTTCCAGTAATCAATGTGTTGATGTCGTACGTCCCTTCGTATGTGTATATTGGTTCCAAGTCACAAAATGCCTGACCACACATAACCAATTTAAGAAAAGAATCGACGACGACGACAACGATAAATGCAAAGATAATGGAGGTGAAGGGATGAGGTGTACCTTTGCGACAAGGAAGTCGGATAGGATTCCATTGCCTCCGAGCAATTCACGTCCGAGAGAAACTGTGTCCCTGGCCTTTGAGGTAATCCATGACTGAAATTGGGTCGAGTCGAGTTGAGTTGAGCAGTTTGGGGGTGAATTAACGAGTTGAATTATGTTATGTTATGTTACCTTGCCGAGGCTAGCCTGGCCGGGAGTCATTTTGCCGCTTTCGTAGAGCTTGCAGAGACGCCAGCCGACGAGGAACATTGCTTGAATGTTGCCCAACATTTGAACTAGTTTCTGTTGGTTCAGCTGGAATGCTGCCAATGGGGCGCCGAATTGTTTCCGCTCTTGCAGGTACCTTAACCATAAGAAAAGAGATTATTAGTACTATTGCTTCTGATCAAGACACCATTTTAATTACAAGGGCAAAATAATTTTTATGTACAATCATCGACTAATACCAAAATATATATATATATATATCGAAAAAAATAATAATATCAGTAAACATAATGAGCTACATTGCACTCCCTCACCTTGCCTCTAGGCATGAAAAGGGTAGCCTAAAGTATTTTAACTTTTAATTTTGTTTTTTATATATATACATCATACTCTCTTCGTTCCAATATAATAGTCTTGTTTACCGTTTTTGTCCGTCTCCAAACAATGGTTTCATTTCCATAACTAACTATATAATTATAAAATTACCCCTACCCACAACTAATAACTATAGTTCTGGAAACGGAGGGAGTATTTTTCTTAATATTTAGTTTAGAGTAATTTTGTGTGTTCATTCATGATTTTAAAGATACACTATTCCAAAAATGTTCAAACACTAAACAAAATCAAAGAAAATATCATTCCTTTCAATATTTTCACAATTCTACCGTCTCACCGTGAAATATCTAAAACTATAAACACTAAACAAACATACTCATTTCTCCTAAAAACTTCAAAATTCCGGACATCAAAACATGAAATGGCACCATAAATTACCTGTGACACATATCGTAGACTCCCATTACTATGCCGATAGGTTGCCATGCCACCATGACCCTTGAAACAGCAAGAACCTACTTCCACATAAATATGCAAAATTGATTACAAATCAAAAAACTTAAGAGGGGAATTAAAGTACATAGACAAACAACCAAACCACCATCCAAAATGTGCAGAAGTTATTTAGTACCCCGAGTTCTTACCTTGCTCGTATCTTGAAAAGAATTAACTCCAGTGAGCCTGTCCTCATCAGGGATGAAGACATTCTTCATTACAATATCACCATTTTGAACCATTCTTAGGCCAATCTTGTTATCTATTTTAGTGACTTGTAATCCTGGTGTGTTCTTCTTAACTATGAACCTGTAGTGTGTAGATATACAAAGCATGTTACACAAAATCCAATGCAGTACTACTATAAATGTTTTTGCTATAAAATGATAATAGTAAAAAACGAGTGAAACTAAACATGATGTGTACATATGTGGACACGGGACCAGGCAGGAACATAAGGGCTGAGAGTTTAAGATCGGCCGACACATATGACATTATAATCAAGATGTAATATTATTACTGCTTACCCATTTATTTGATTTGTTGTAGTATTTCTAGCAAAAACAACTAGAACATCAGCAAACGTACTGTTTCCAATCCAGCGTTTTTGGCCATCAAGTATCCAACCTCCTTCAACCTGAATAGTTTCTGTAAGTTACATCAATCTAGGATAGAACAAAAGCATCATCACAAATACAGGGAAAATCCATACGCTGTGTTTGTTCGTGTTTTCAATCTGTTTTCATATCATTCAATCTAAACTAGAATATTTTCCTCATCTAAAAACATCAAAATCCAACACCTATTTCCCATTACCTATTGTGCATTCAAGATATTTCAAATCCAAAACATAAAGAACACAAACCAAACCCAAGAATAACACCTGAATAAATCTCTCAATATGGTACAACCAAGAAAATAAATTTTACTACTACATATACTTGAACTAGGTGTAGTAGATAGTAAAGGTTGTCATACAGACCTTCCTTGCAGTTGTCCTCACAGAACTTGCGTCGCTACCGTAATCAGGTTCTGTCAAAGCCTATATTCAGTCAAACAAACACTTTAGCTATTAAAAGATGGATTAAGCAGGTGGTGTTATATATTGAGAAAGATCTCTTACCCAACATGCTACTGTCTTGAACTGAGCCAAAGAAGGCAAATACTTTTGCTTTTGAGCTTCTGATCCACATAGTGCTATCCATGACAAACCAAATAATAAGTTCTCTATATATAACAAGCAATAAGTTTCATCGAGTACATACAGCAAACCTAGATTTTAAAAACAAAATTGCAACCAGAAATCAACAATAAACAGCATAGCTTACCTATAGTTAACATTGCCAACGAAGAATGTACCAAAATGAAAGTAGAGCAACTAGCATCAACTCTTGCAACTTCTGCACAAGCAATTGCATTTGCAGTGACAGAAAGGTCAGGGCAGCCATAACCCTGACATAAATATACAATAAAGTCATGTAAAAACTTCACAACCATCATGATAACGAACTTTAAAAGATGAACACTTTAAGTACCTTGATACTGCCACCAGCTACGCCCAGCGCACCAAGCTTTGGAATCACTTCAAATGGAAATTCTGCCTTCTCCCAATACTAAAAGGACATGTAAAATTCAATCCTTGTGTCAAACCAAATTACAGACAAAACATATGATCAAAAAACCTTCTCCTATTAAAAAAAAAAAAAAAAAAAAAAAGAAAAGAAAAGAAAAGAAAAACCTTTTGAGATCTTTGACATATATAATTAGATGGAAAAAGAACAGAAACCTAAACATATGAAAGCTTAATTTTCATGGTATGATGAGAGCTTAAGATTTGAACACAAATGGGGTAACACCTTCGCCATTATTGGAGCTACTTCTTTTTCCATGCACTCTCGTACTCTCTTCCTGAGAGCTTGCTCCTCAGGAGTCAACAGATCATCGAACTGATAATAGTCTGACACTGCAAGTTCCAACGATTCAAATTTCACATATACAGATGAAGCAAACAAAATTAAATCACCCAAAACTAAAACATTTCTTCAATAGCATCTATGAAGAAAATGACAAACAATTCCTCCACTAGGAAAAAAAAAAAAAAAAAAAAAAAAAAAAAACTCAATTAACTGAAACACAATCAAATATAACAACAACAACAACAACAAGCCTCTCACCACAAGGAGGGAAAATCGAAGCTGGAGTTGCTTGCGGAAACGCAACGGAAAGATCCAACGACGGCAAGTGGAAATACGAAGTCCTTGCCTCTTCCTCTACATCATCAATCAAAGCCAAAACCTCAAATCAAGTAAATCAACACCACTAAAGCAGCAACCAAAGCTTAGAAATTCCACAAACCTTGCGCTCTGGAAGCCGGAACTTTCATGGCGACGGATTGAAACGCAGGATCTTCCAAAATCAAAACAACAGCAGGGGATAGCGACGGGAAATCAATCAATGGGGAGGTTGCGAACGCCAACTAATACAGAAATATTACAGCCGACTTCATATCTATATCTATACATCAGCTGCCGGATGAAAATGGGCACGTATTTCTATATTCGATCCGGTGACTCCATAAATTTATTTTAAAATTAAATTAGGATATTATAGCAGCATAAAAAAAATAAACAAATAAAAATTATAGATGTCAAATACCCAAAAAAACAATTATTTTTATGTTCCAATAATGGGTTGGTAATTGTACTGGGTCCACGTAAGCGGGCTTGCTGAAATGAGCCCATTAAAAAAACTATACACGTAAAAACTGAAAAAAATGGAGATGCGGGGTATCGATCCCCGTACCTCTCGCATGCTAAGCGAGCGCTCTACCATCTGAGATACATCCCCGAATTTATTTATTAATTAATTTAATAAATATATAAATAATATTTTTAACTATCTATATTATTATGTACTCCCTCCGTCCAGATACCGTGTCTGCTACACTGTAGACATGGTATTTTAGAAGAAGTGTAATTAGTAGATAATTAAAAATGTATTAGTGAAAATAATTATTCTATAATATAAATAATTATAAATTAAGATTAAGATAACTAATTAGTTTAATTAAAATTAAAAAAAATAAAATTTAAAAATTTAAAACAAGATTAAAGTGTATAATCATTTTCCAAAAAAAAAAAAAGATGATATGTGAGACGGACAGAAACGGCAACGTGGACATGATATCTGGGACGGAGTGAGTATTATTTTTAACTAAAGAAAAACACACCCAGTGTATATAGTTTTAGTTGTTTTATAATATGATACAGAAATTTATAAAAATATTATTGAAAAAGATATTTAATTTATTTCTGTTAACTTTGATTTGTTATGTATTAAATATGTTGTAGCTTTTAGATAATATTTTTGTGGAATAGTGTAATTTATAAAAAATAAATAAACACAATGTAGTGTACTTACACTAAAACATAACTTTCTATGTTAAATATCAAGGAAATAATTTTAATTCTTTGTTTAAATAATATTTTGATTTGATATTTTGTGAATAAAAATAATATATTTATTAAATATTGTATTAAGTAATTAGTGTTAATTTGATTTAAAAGGATAAAAGAATAAAGCTTATAATTCATTTATAAGAATATTCAACAAGTTTGATAATTAATAGTGTGAATCTATTTATTTTGATTTACACATATATAAGTTGTATAGTAATTATCAGCACATTTTAATATGTAAATTATAGTGACTTATTGGTAAAAAGATATGCATCACTTCAATTCCAATGTGATTTTTTTTTTTAAAAATAAAATAAAATAAAATTAAATTTTGGGGTAGCTAGTGTCCTTGGTTTGTATTTGTATTTATATTTTACATTTAAATAGCTCGTATATGTATTTTTTTAAAAAAGAAAAAATGTTTTTTCAAGAAAATATATGAGAATTAATTAGTAGAAAAAAAAAGAAGAAAAAACGTCTAAAACAAAACATAATCAAATTTAATTCCAATTACATAAAATATATGCCTTATAACTCATATGGAATTATCAATAATGACATGATTAAGCATGATAGCACCCAAAATAAATTACACAATAATTATAATTGGAAGTCATATTCAAATCTATAATATAATTCGATAATATCCATTAACAGATTAATTATCTCAATTATTTTGTACTCCATAAAAAAATAATTAGGGGTTAGTGATGGAAATTATATATGAGTATTTTACATGCATGAAAGGGGTTAATGATCATACTAAAAACCCTACAAACAAAAAAACCATATAAACATTAATTGAGGATGTATTAAAATGTTACCTCGTATTTTTGTTAAATTATTTGTTACGTAATTTGATTTTGTAAACTTAAATATACAGTGACTTAATTAGAACTAAAGTATAAATTACATATATACAACATTAAAAGAAGTATGTCACTTAAGAATTGCGTAATAAAGAAGTCGAATATACAAATAATATATGAATTAGGGATTGTTCTTTTGTGTACCAATTTTATTAAAATTTATGATTCAATATATTATTAATTTTTTACAACAATATTCAATATTAACTTTTTCTTTAATATATCAGATTCAATTACTATTTTTACATTAAAAGTATTAAAAATAGAGAGTATAAAAGAAAATAAAAGTACAAAAGAATATGATATATATATATATTCGAAATTCCATTATATACACACTTCTACACAGAATTTTCTAATTAGCTTTAATTAAACATTTATATTTTCAGCTTCTATGATATTATATATATATATATATATTCAATTTTAGTTATATTATCAATTCATCTAGCTATAATATTCCGCGAACATACACAACTACAAAAAAATTACTATACTTATTTCATAACAAATTTATACTTATAGATATTTTAGAATACTTTTGTAGTAAGTTTCATTACTACCCTGTTGTTCTTCTTTTCACAAAATATTAAGTGAAAAGAGAATTAGAAAAAGCAACAAAAAGACTTTCCAATAAATTCATATATATTTATATATATATTTTTTTTTAAAAAAAGAAAACAATGCATCCATTTTTGGCACCCATACACATTATGATGAAATTTTCTGTATTTTTTTTGTGTTTATACTCCTTTTGTATAATTTTAATATATATATACTTTTTTTTTATCATTACATTTCGAGATGACCCAAATTTAAAATAATAGAAAATATATTTTTTCAGATTGGTACTCAAATATCAAAAAATTATGATGAATTAATGGGTAATTAGTGAACAACTTGTCTTCCAAGAATCGAAATTTCAAAGCTTCTTCTCAACCTTAAACTAAGCAAATTATTACAAAATCCTTAAACTTTTGTATATATATATATACTACACAAAAAAAAAAATAGCATTTTTCTAACAAAGACTTTTCGTCCTTAAATCCATTTTATTTGTTACTAATGATATTAGAGACGAAATTAAAGATATATATAATGTTAACTATATGAACTTTAGGGACAAAATTTTTGTTACATATTATTTTTTGTTAGTGATATATATATAGAGAGAGAGAGATTTATATGTATATGTATATATATAATTAATGAAGCTAAGAGAAGGAGAATTAACAAACCTTGGTCAGTGGCTAAAACCCTCATCTTTAAGAATACAGTCATTAATGGAATTGTTTGTTTTCGTTTTTTCAGGCATGTTGATGATGATCTTCGCTTCTCAATTTGTTCAGCAGCGCCGTCACGAGTGCGTCCCTCCTCTCCGCACGTGACTCCTCACGTGCCCGCCGCTGCTCCTCCCTCTCCCTCCACCGGCGCTCCATCATCATCCTCTCCTCCTCCAGCGCCGCCATCCTCCGCCGCCACTCCGCCTCTCTCTCCCGCCGCTCCGCCTCCCTCGCGTCGTACGCCTTCATCCACTCCATCTCCATCTGCATTTGCCGCCGGCTAAATTCCTCCATCGTTTCCCGTATCCCCGCCACGATCGCCGCCGCCGCCGTAGTATTCCCTCCTCCTCCGCCCCCGCCGGAAAATTGCCCCACCGCCGCCGTCTTCAATTTCCGCCTCTTCCTAACATTCTTTTCCCCGCCTTCGCGATCGCTCTCCTCGTTCTCGTCTTCCTCGTCGGAGGAGAATGGCTGCGCCGCCGATTTCTTTCTCGAGCTGGCGGCGGCGCCGCCACCGCCGCCTTCCGCCTCCAGCCACAACATCCTCTGCATCCTCGCGGCGAAGATTGCCTGAAGCTCGTTGTAGAATGGAAACTGCTGTCTCATCCCTTCTACTTCCATCGTTTCGTATCCCTAATTCGATCGACAAATTTAAAAACACGCTTTTAGCTTTACAACACTAAAGTCGCGTTTCCACATAAACACGATTTTTATTCACGTAACTGCACAGATGTCTGAAATCTATCAATCCGATAATAGGGCAAAACATCAAAACCCATTTCTTCAAATTCCTCTATCCATCAATCCATCTATACATACAGATACATATATACATATAGATATAAAAATATCTGTATCTATACCTTGTATCGAGTTACGAGGTTTTTCCACTTGCACTTGCACTGTTCGCCGCTTCTATTATATCCCTTTTCTTTCATCCTCGTAGAGATCACTTCCCACAGAAGCTTATTACGTTTTGTCTCCATGAAAGTTGGATCAAGCTCTGCCCGAATCATCAAGAAATCCTTCGTTTCTTGATGACTCCATTGGGGTAACCTATCGGCGGCGCCGCCGCCGCCGCCGGGATCGATGCCGGCGGTGCCCGCCGAGTATTGGTGATGGAGCTGCCCTGGATCCATATATATATGTGCGTATATATATACAAAGGTTTGATCAGATGTGAGGAATTTGGTGGAAAGGAAAACTTGAGAAAAAGGGTTTGGTAGTGTTATTATATGCGAAAGGGTCGTGTGAAAATATGGTGTGAAATTGAATTTTATAAAAGGGTTTTTTTTTTAAAAAAAAAAATTAATTAAATTTAATATTTTTGTCCTAGGGACTAGAATGATTTTCAGTTGGGGATGTTTGGTAGTAACGCCCAGGACTTCAGCACCCGGTACGATATGTTTCGGCGGTGATTCGATCAGGAGTTGAGATCCTGGAGCGGGATTGAATGGTTTATCATTCTATTGCTTCTCTTGTACATTTTGATCTGTTTCTCATCTCATCTCCCTACGCGGAAACTGATATATTTATATTTATTTTTATATATTTGTATTTATTTTTAATTAATTATTTAGTTGCTTCGAAGCCTTTAATAAATAAATTAACAATAATGTTTAGTAATTATTTCATTTTTCCAACTGTAAGAAGATGCACCACATCAAAGCATCCACATTTGTTCACATTGCGTATGGATGACGTCACGATGACGTGTCATTTATAATGGGCCCGCCAAGAAAGCCCTCCGTTTGCTCTTGTGGGCCTTCACATATTTTGCGCCATGTAATTCAATCGTGTTATTATATTTTTATTACGTTTATATTTCCTTCTGATTTTCATAATTGATATAAATTTATTATTATAATAGTATTATTATGAAATTAAATTACATTATTCTGGTAATTAAAATTTTAAATATTGTCGGCATCTGTACATGCTTTGTTTTTTCTGGTAATTAAATAATTACTTCAACTGTACACAAGCAAGCCGAACAGTGGTGCCCCGACGGCTGCTGGAGCTCCGTGGACTTCGACGCCCGGTTAGTCCCAGCCGTTGGATCTAATTGATTGCAAACCGTGTGCCAGATTGTTCGTTGCAAACTTGCAATATTGCAATGATGGGATTGTGTTGAGTTATAATATTGTTGTAATTTTAAATGTAGAAAAATAAATAATAAATCATTGTGTTTATATATATATATATTTTAATGTTCTATATTATCAGGAATTTTTTAAATACTATAGATTATTTTTGTTTACACACGAAGTCTATATATATTTTTATTTTAAATTGTCTAATTACAAAATAATTATTTAAAAAAATATATATATTTTTACAAATACTCGTACTTTATAATCATATCATTATTTTATATTAAAAAAATTATTTTTACACTACTTTTAACTATCTATTACAATTAAAATACGATTAATTCTTAAAATTTGCATCAAAAGTAAATATATAACTACAAATTGGACGAATTAATTATTAAATTATTTAAATTTTTATATTATTTTCTCGTCTACGAAAAATATATTTAAAGTTAACATATATTTTAATTAATATAATATCATATAATTTATATTAATTGATTGTAATATAAAATACGATTTTTTTTAAATATATAAATAAGTTAATAAAATAGTATTTTTTTAATATACAAATAAAATGTATATATATGTTGGTACATAAATCTAAATACTAAAATAAGTATAATATTGAATTATATAAATTAAAAAGTATGTAAAAGATTCTATATATAAAATAATTATTTTTTATAGATAAATAGAAAACTAAATATAAATTTGATGGACAAAAGAATTATATTTTTAGAAAATAATATTTTCAAAACTTTTAAAATTCTTATTGAAAGTAACCATAAGCTATGTTTACTTACATTTTGTAACTTTGTTAGATAATACTAAGAACAAATAATAAAAAAATTAATAAAAATTCTAAATTTATTTTTTATTTAAGATATTATATTAGAAAACATATTTATTCAAAACTCACATTCAATATGTAATACAACATGAAACTTTAAAATTTATTTATTTGTGATATGAATTGTTTTTAATATATATATATATATTTTTATTGTCTTGTGTTTAATTGTTCAAATAAAGATAATATTCAATGTAATGTTAAATCAAAATTCATTATATACTTATTTTAATTTCAACATATTTTCTATTATTTAAATTTGGAATGTTCAAAAATACATATTTTTTGCTTTATTACAAGCATATTTTTTCCTTCACCTCGATTTATAAATTATTCTATACTAAAAGTAAGAATAAATAATAAAGTCTTGTAAAATATCTTTTGACTATCATTTAAATTAAAAATTAACATTACCATATAGACAATATATATACACATAAATAAAACAACATACAAAACTCATTAATAATATTTTTATAAATTTTCATACATAGTAACAAAAATATTTTCAATAATAAATACTATTTGTTTCTGTCCAATGTATTTATTCATTATATGTATATAATGAATTAAGAATTAGTAGTATTTTATTGACTAGTGAAAATATGTAAAATAATTTTGTTATTGAAAGTACAAATGAAAATAATATTTTCGTAAAATTTTAAGTATTTTGATATTGATATATAATTATTTTTTACTATGATTAAAATAAATACTTTTAAATGAAACGAACGAAAATAATAAAAATAATATAATAAGTTGAAGCGGAAAGAGTACTAAATAGACACAATCTTATATACTACTTTATCCGTCCAAGTTAATCTGTCTACTTTAGTTGGAGCACAAAATTTTAGTTATTATGTAATTAGTGAGTAATTAAAAAAATATATTACTAAAAATAATTATAGATTAAGATTAATATTACTAGTAGTTTAATTCAAATAAAAAATTTTACATTATAAATTTTAAAATGTGATTAACGTGTAATTATATTTCAAAAAATAAACGAAAAATTATGTGAAACAAACCAAAATGCAATGACTGAACAAATTATGTGAAAGAGCGAGAATATAATGTAAAAAGATTTTTAAAATACCTTTTATTTATTTTTAAACTTTTTACGATTACAATTATCACTATTTACCCTTGTAAAACACTATATTAAACAATTATTCATAAAATACAAACAAAATAAACTTAGTAATTTGTTAAATTTGTCCAAGTTACTTTTTTTTCTTTTTTCTTTTTCTTTTTTGTCTAAATTGCTTTTAATGAACGAATCCAAAATTTGGTTGTTTGTTTAGAGGTTTTTGGTCTTGAATTTTATTATTTATAGAAATATATCATAATAAAAATATAAAATTAAAATTTTGGATTTAAAAAAAAAAAATTACTAATTTCTTTTACAAATATATTCACAATAAAAGAATTCTTAGACAAAACATTTAAAAAAACAATAAGAATGAATATTTTAACATATTTTACAATTTTTAATATTTAATAATAAAAAATTTAAATTATTATAATAATATAAAAGAATGCAATTTTTATTTTATATATTAGAAAAAAATTCAAAATATTATATTAATATCCATTTATATCACATTAAATTAAAATATATTTATATATATATTCACAATATCAAACCCTAACTCCTAAACTTGCAATCAAATATTTATTTTTATTTAATAAATATAAAATAATATTTTAAATTTTGTTATATTTCCATTCTAACTTTAAACGAACACATTTGGGTTATATATGTGGTATTTCTTTTTCTTATTTATTCATTAGTCTCGAAAAAGTGTCCAAATTATCATAGATACATTGAAATTTAGAAATATTATAATTATTAATTAATTAAAAAATATTTTAGTAAAAATAATATAATATATATAATTATAAATTATTATTAAAAATTTTAAAAATTATAAATTATAAAATATTTATATAATTAAAATATATAATCATATCCTTTTAAAAAATAAAAATAAAACAAATTATATGTAACGATTCCAAATAAAATAACTAGACGGACACTTTAAATGAACGGGAAGAATTAACCAGGTTCCTTTTAGTTCAGTCTGATCACATCCGCGGCATGCTGTCATGCTCCACGTGCGATCGCCTACCACGTGCTTCCACGTGGCATGCATGCAGGATTTCTGTGGGCCCCATCTGCTTTCGCTGTTCTCATTCACGCCCGCGTCTTTTGCTTTGACTTCTTTCTCCTAATAATCGAATTTAAATAAAAAAAAAAATTAATTCATTTAGGGACTAGTATTTTTTTAGATTTTTTTCCACCAAAATTATTTTTCATTTTTTTTATATTATTTCCAATATACTTTCTTGGTCCAATATAATTTGTTTACACTTTTTATTTCAATTCGACTGATATAATTTATTTTTTAAAAGAAATATATATATAATTATACAATTTAATCATAGCTTAAAATTCATAATTTATATATATATTATTTTAATTAAATTATTTTAATATTAATCTATAATTATTTTTATTATATCAGAATTAATTTTACTAATATACTTATTAAATACTTACTAATTACATAATATCTAAAACTCAGTACCCAACTAAAGTGGACAAAATTACTTTACATAAAAGTCAACATTCAATATAAAATATTAATTTTTATATTACTAACATAATTTTATTTGTATGTCACATAAAAAAAAAAATCAAATTAAAAACACTAAACAAACGAATCCTTTTTTTGCCATTTTTATTTTTTTATCTTCAAAATATATGTATCTTATCGTATCATAAAAGTCAATATTTAATATAAAATATTAAATTTTATATTACTGACACGATTCTCTATATGGCACATAACAAAATTTAAATTAAAACATTATTGATGTGTTTATTTGGAGGTTTGAACTTTTGAATAATAAAATTTTTTAATTGGAATAATCGTATGATATGGTATTTTGAATGTAAAATTAATTTTAGTATAATATAAAAAAATAAAAACAAATGTTTGGTTGATATTTTCTGAAATAAAAAAAAATTTAATAAATAACTAAATTATTATAAAATTCCTCGGAAGAACACATCATCAACGAACAAGTGTTTTTTAAAATAGACATATTTACGGTTTAGATTGATTTGGTTCCAGCCGAAAATTACAGCTAAATTCTCTTAAATAAAATAAAAATTAATAATAAAACTATTTTTAAAGAGGTTTTTTTTTTAATCATTTAATAAATATCATAACCTCTCCTATAAATTGTAAAAACCAATATAAAATAGATGAATAAAAATTTGTATATAAGATGATAATTTGTATATCAATTAAAACGATGTGTTTGAAACGATCTGGGAAAAATTGATTTAAGTTTGATATTAAATTAATATTTGATGGAATATTTTGTGAGAAAAAAATATATATTGTTTTTTAAAAAACACAGAGTCCAAATAGTAAAATTTAAAAAATTTTAGCTAAAAAAAATAGATCCTAATATTTTGAAAAAATATATCAACTATTTATAAGTATTATAAGACAGAATCTAACCTACATGGCCAAAAAATTGTACGGAGACACCCAAAATTTTTAATCTAATTTATAAATTTTCATTTCTATATTTTAAAAATAAATAAATAAATTTATAGACACTTAATTTTTTTTTATAAAATAATTTAATCAAGTATATAAATTTATTTGTTCAATTTATAAGATTCATCTATAAAATGATATTTATATTAGATATAAATTTTAAAAATACTTGAAACATATTTTAAATTTATTTTAATAAAATATATATTAAATCATAATCTATTTCATATTTTAAAGAGTTTCTCATATTTTAAAGTACTAGATGATGATGATAATAATAATAATAATAATAATAATAATAATAAAATAGTTTTGAATTAAATTTGGTGCATGAAGTACATAATATGACGTGATTATTGACATTATGTTCGATTTATAACCAGAAATTCAAGTACATGGTTTGAATTTGGGCAGCACTGAAGTTAAAAAAGTACCACATTTGACTTATTACATGCCCTGACCACGAATATTTTTGATAATTCCACATGAAACATTTTATTTTTTTATTAATTTAGAATTTGTTTGTTTGTTTAATTTTTTTAATAAAAACTAATATTTCTTTAAAACTAATATTTCTTTCGTCAGTTTCTAAGTGTTATATTTATTTTTTATATTTTTATATTGTATATTTCTTTTTTGTAAAAATATTATTATATTAATATTATAAGATATTAATAAATATATTTTTGTATTTTTATTTTAATTTTTATTATATTTTAATATAATAATTAGTGCTTAAAGATCAACAATAATAAAATAAATGTAACATTTAAAGCATAACGAAAGTAGTAGTATATTGTAAATGTTGACTCTATGAGAGGATAATAAAAATATATATTATTAAAAGTTGTGTCAAAATAAAAAAATTTGAAAGATCAAACCAAAAAATTTGAAAGATCAAACTTTTAGATATATTTTAAAAATATTTTGAAATTTTGAATCCGCTATAAATAGTAAAAAAAATTTAAATATAAAATATTTAATAAAATAATTGATAAAAATATGGATACTAATTGTTATATGTGTGTTGCATTAATATATAATATATACTAAAATCGATAAGTGTGATTATTGTCATATGTTATTTATTTAAATATTATATTGTCATAAATGATTATGTATTATCCTACTTTATTTTAAATATTATCAACATTATATTGAACTGATCACAACTACGAATTATCAAATATAAAATAAATTTAATTTAAAAATGCTTGCAAACATATGCTCAATAGACCAATTGGGCTCCATTAAAGAAAACCATAACCTTGCTTGGGCCTTATGAAATGAAACGCTACTAGGCTTAATTCTATCAATTATACAATGAACGTTAGTTAATCTAATTTTAATTCAAATATTATAATTATTAACACTATAAGAATTATAATTTTATCCTTTATAAAAAATACAAAAATAATACTTTAAATTACTGATTTTTTTTTTTAAAAAAATAAATTTTATATTCAATAATTTGGAAAGCATACCAAAACAAAAAGAAAAGAAAACCATATACTACATATTTTTTCATATAACAAAAGCGTAATATTAAATATTCATATTTTTACTATTTTAAAAAATTGTATAGGAGGATTTGTTTCTTTGCTTTCAAATTTTAGAACTCAGTTGTTAGTAAAAAAATTTTTTGTGTTAGATACTTGAATATTAATTATTATATGAAAATGTAGTCAAATTAAAGAAAAATGACAAAAATAATGTTTTTTAATATGACATTTGTGAAAAAAATTATATAAATATAATGATATTTTTAATGTTAGTACAACGACGTAAAAGATAAATGAGACTCTTTGAGCCGGATGAACGAAATATTTTCTATTTTAAAACTTCTTCTACTAAGCAAAAAAATGAAACTTAAATTATTAATTTAATTGTTTGTGTTTTTATTATTTTAGAAGTAGTAAACCATTTTCAAAGGACGTCCAAACAAAGCCGAGCTGTGGTTTACAGAAAGCAGGGCAAGCCATGATGGGGTTTCATAGCAGTTTAGCACACAACACAGTTCATGCCAATACTTTTAGCAACACCAAAAAAAATTTTGGCTGCCAAACAAAAAGTAAAGCAGAACCAATCACAGCTTCTTTTGACTGGATTCAATGCTCACCATAATCATGAAATGGATTTGTATAGAGCAAAGCAAAGTGATACAGACAAGATCATCCCTACCTGCAGATAAAAGAGACAACCCATGGCATCTCATCTCCTGTTAATGAATCAATCATTTCTTTTTATTAAGGTTTTTAAGCACAATAATTAATTAAATCGACTCTTTTCCTTGTTTACTGATTCTTGTGGCTGAATGCTCTAATGGAGGATTGCCTGTCTGTTACAGACAAGGCTTTGACTGATTTGACTGTTTTTGTAGTATAAAAATCTGCCTTTTGAACGGATGTAGTTTCGGTGGGTCAGTATTATTGCTTGTTATTTGGACCCTTCTTTTTTTTTTTTTTTTTTGGTTTTAAAATGTTTTTTAATATTGGTTTTTGTTTCGTCATCAGTTTGATGATTCTTGATTGTTAATCTTGTCGAATCTATGGCGGATTGTGTTTTTTAGTGTGGTTTTAAGAGAAGCGATTTTAGTTGAAAAAAGAGGTTACCGCAGAGAGGCGAACTGTAGAGGACGGATCGATCGAGCAACCGCTTGCCGACTTCCGTCCCGTTCGATTAAACCGACAACAACTGAATGCACAAATTCCGGAATTTTTATGGAAATTTGAAAAAGATCTGTCGTCGTCTGCAAAGGCGTCTGAGAGTGCCCATTCCGACTTGCAGAAGAGTTACGGATCAGTTACTTGCTGAATTCACCTCCAATTTGTTGAAGAATTGCTGGCATTGGCGTCCCCGAGCTTCATCCTGCTGAATTCTCCCCAATTGTGGCGTTTTGAAGCTCAATTATGTGGATGAACACTTGGGGTTAGATTTAGGGTTAGGGTTAGGGTTAGGGATTTTGCTTGAATTGGGGAATTTTGTTGTGGAGTTTGAATGGGGAATTGCTGTAGATCTCCGGCGGCGGTTGCTAGAGAAGATGTCAAATCGTCGAATTACTCCGGCAACGATCACGGCCGGAAGGACAAATCGAGCGGCGGATTTAAGAAAAAAGCGGTTACTGTTCTTCCGGACGTGAAGAAGGAGAACATCGAGGAGAAGTACATGGTGGATCGCGAGCTCGGGCGTGGAGAATTTGGGGTTACTTACCTGTGCATCGAGCGTGGATCGAGTGCGCTGTTGGCTTGCAAGTCGATATCGAAGCGGAAGCTCCGGACGGCGGTGGATGTGGAGGATGTCCGGCGAGAGGTGGCGATAATGAAGCATTTGCCGCAGAATTCGAGCATCGTGAGGTTGAAGGAGGCATGCGAGGATGAAAGCGCCGTGCATCTAGTGATGGAGCTCTGCGAGGGTGGGGAGCTGTTCGATAGGATCGTTGCTCGCGGCCATTACACAGAGCGAGCTGCGGCGGCGGTGATGAGGACGATAATGGAGGTTGTGGAGCTCTGCCATAACCATGGAGTTATCCACAGGGACTTGAAGCCTGAGAATTTTTTGTTTGCGAACAAGAAGGAGAATTCTCCGCTTAAAGCCATTGATTTCGGATTGTCGATTTTCTTCAAGCCAGGTGACCTAATTTGCCCAATTTTCTCATTGGTTTGATGATTTGGTTACTTCTGATTTCGTCGAAAGTTATCGAGCTTTTAGTGTTCTTGATCGTTTAGTTGCAACTCTAGATGGTTGAAAGTAATCAAGTTCTTAGTGTTCTTGATTGTTTAGTTGCAAATCTAGATCGTTGGTTAAGAAAATTTTCGTCGAATGTTTTTAGTGTTCCTGATTGCTTAGTTGCAAATCTAGATCGTTGGTTAAGAAAATATTCGTCGAATGTTTTTAGTGTTCTTGATTGATTAGTTGCAAATCTAGATCGTTTGGTTAAGAAAATATTTGTCGAATGTTTTTAGTGTTCTTGATTGATTAGTTGCAAATCTAGATGGTTGGTTTCTTGTCGAGTTGTGCGAGAAAAAGACACGTCGAATGTTATTGGCCTCATAGGTTATCCGTTTCGAAATGTTGTAATAGAATGTTTGCATGGAAATTAAGGAGAAACAGACAACTCTGCAAGAATAGGTAGTTGAATAGGACAGAAAATTACTTTTACTCGAATGATTTCGAATGTTAGCGCTGTATAATATGGCATCTATGCACCCGTGTGGCATTTTTTGGGGCCTTCCGGAATCCCTTATTACATCAGCTATTCTGTAATATGGATTTGTTAATGAGATTTAAGGTTTCCTTTTTAGATCTATTAAATTGAAAGATCGATCAGTAAGCTGATCCATGTATCCGTATATAGGTTTTAAAGATATTTAATGCTCGTATAATCATTTGAGGATTATTGGATTACAGGCGAGCGATTCTCGGAAATTGTGGGAAGCCCTTATTACATGGCGCCGGAGGTGCTCAGGCGAAATTACGGACCAGAAATAGATATATGGAGCGCCGGGGTGATCCTATATATCTTGCTATGTGGAGTTCCTCCTTTTTGGGCTGGTAATGTAAATTAACTCATTTATTGTTTACGTTATTTTATCGTATACTATTCCTGTTTACGCTATTGAATATTTTGTTTAGAACAATATGTGAACTAAATGAAATGGTTTGAAACAACGATTTTCCTTTCCTTTCGTTTGTCTATTATTGCAGAATCCGAGCAAGGTGTCGCCCAGGCGATAATACGCGGTAAAATCGACTTCGAGCGGGAACCTTGGCCGAGTATTTCGGAGAGTGCAAAGAACCTTGTGAAGCAGATGCTCGAGCCCGATGTTAAGGTTCGACTCACGGCAAAGCAAGTTCTTGGTACGTTAATAATACAAGATTAGAAATTAGCGATTTTTTTTTTTTTTTTCAAGAAATTTGTCGATGTAAAATTACGAAACGAGCGTTATATTGTTGCAGAACATTCATGGCTCCAGAATGCAAAGAAGGCACCGAATGTCCCGCTCGGCGATGTTGTCAAGTCGAGACTAAAGCAATTTTCATTGATGAATCGATTCAAACGGAAGGCACTCAGGGTTAGTCGAAGGCGAAATCTTCATCAAGCTCGTTTTTATTTTTTATTTTTTTAAGGTCGTTTTGTGATTTTCTTTCATGGTTAGGTGATCGCGGAATTCTTATCTAACGAAGAAGTTGAAGGCATCAAAGAGAAGTTCGCGCAGATAGACACTGATAGAGACGGTATCGTTTCTGTCGACGAGCTAAAGGCTGGACTGCAGAAGTTCAGTTCCGTAATTGCACAGTCCGAAATACAGATGCTCGCCGAAGCTGTAATTGCTCATAATTTATCTATATAAAAGATCTTCGATTGAAATTGCAGGAAGACATTTTGTCGACGTTACGCATATTTTTAATCAGGTTTCGATTTTATTTTCACGCTAATTTATCGTTCTCTAACAGGTCGATGCGAACGGAAAAGGAACGATGGATTATGGAGAATTCCTGGCAATGTTTCTCCATCTCCAGCGAATGGCGAACGATGAACACCTTCACCGAGCATTCTCTTACTTCGACAAAGATGGAAACGGATACATCGAGCCGGGCGAGCTCTGCGAAGCCTTGGTGGAAGACGGAGCCGACGACGACGGAAAAGACGTCGCAAACGACATTTTCCAGGAAGTCGATACGGATAAGGTAAGGGGCACAAACCGCCGTCATGATTTCGTCGATGATATAGAGCCTACTTTTATTGCACGTCGAAATTGAACTTTTGCAGGACGGGCGCATTAGCTACGATGAATTTGCGGCGATGATGAAAACGGGGACGGATTGGCGAAAGGCTTCGCGGCATTACTCGAGAGGGAGATTGAACAGCCTCAGCTTAAAGCTGATGAAGGATGGCTCCATCAAAATGGATGGGTGAGTAAATATTACATGACATACATATATATATACATCTATCTACCTATATATCGATTGCTTATCCATGAATGTGTATGTATTTAAACTACCTGTCTTGATTTGTTTGTTTGTTTGAAGTGTTGGTTTAGTAAAATGCACAATGTGTCTTTATGTTCATGCTAGTAATTCTAATTATTTGGGCTTTGTTTGGTTGGTTTTTGGAATTATTTTTCTTAGATTTTGGAGGTTTTTTTAGGGGTGGATTGATTTGATATGAATTGAGAACCCTATAGATAGGTTTTGGATATCGTATAGTATACTCTCTCTGTCCGCTCGATACTTTTGATACATAATTTAATGAACGTGTTTTAATAGTTACTTCAGTTACGGTACTGACCCCTTAGACGTCAATACTGTGTTGATTTTTCAAAAAATACGGAAAATATTATACAGAGAACATCAATACTTATTACATATAGCATTGCGCTCTTGAAATAAAAACTATATATCATCTGTTTGTTTTTTAAATTGATGCTTTAGAAATGTCTAGTGTTATAGTGCTCTATGCACGAGTATGTCTGGTGTTTTATAGAGTATATATCTGGTGCAATTTAGGCGTTTAATTGATGTTACCAGAATAATTGACGAAATGCTTTAAGGGTGTGTGTTTGTTTGAAGGATTTTGGTAAATTTTCCTATTCATCCAATTTTTTTTCCCCAAAAAAATCAAATCAAACACCTATTTTTCATTTTTTATATTATACTAAAAATCAATTTTACATTCAAAACATCACATCAAACCCTATTTATATCACATCATACAATTATTCAAATTCAAAATTTTTACTATTCAAATCCCAATTCAAAATCCAAACCCCCAAACAAACACACCCTTAAAGAGAAAATTAGTACAGTAACCCGCCTAATAGTAGCTGGAGTACTTTGTATGTTGTGTGTAAAGAATATTTTGCTATTTGTGTTTTATTATGTAAACAATTGGAGATTTGAGGATATTGATAATGTGTAGTAAAATTCATATTTAATTAAGAAAATTATTTTAGACATTAGGAATTCATATTTATTTAAAACATAATTATTATTTTAGTATGAATTCATACTAAGGGTGCATTTCACATTAGCAATGTCCAATACAAAAAGAGTGTACAACTCTGTGAAATTCATATACTTAGACAAACTCATAAGTCATAACCCAATGTTGGTAATACCCTTTTTTTATTATTTATTTTACATTAGGACATTACTTAGACCCTCAAAGGTAAATTACTCACTTCCATTACCAACCTTATGTGATGTAATCAAATCCTTCCTTTGGGGACCCTTTTTGAGGGCTTTAGACATGTACATCCCAAACGGCGTCGCCGGAAACATCTCCGGCCGGTCCGCCGTCAGGAGCTCCACCGCCGCCGGAAAAGGACTGTAGAAGAAGGCCATCGAAAGCCTCGCCTTGTCTGAATTCACCGTCACCCGATGCTCCGCGCTCTTATAAATGCCGTTAGTGACAGATCTCCATCTGATCCCCCAAACTAATAATAAACGACCCGGGAACCGGCTCAATAATCACCCATTCGTTGAGATCTTGGTAGCGAATTTGCAAACCCGAAACGGCGTAGTCGGGGTGGAGTAGAGTGATGCCGCCGATGTCGGCATGCGGCGTGAAACCCACCGTGAGATCGGGTTGCGGACATTACGGGTAGAAGTTTGACCTCAATGTACCCCGTAAAACGCCGCCTAAAGCCTCCTTAAGTAACCTTCTTTTAGACCGAGATTGGTCGACAAAACGGCTAATAACTTGTCCCCGAGCGCGGCCACCTGATCGCTGTACTAGAGGACCAGTTCTCTACAAATATAAAATACAAAATTAATAATGAAGAATAATATTTTTTTTTTTTGTCTTAAAATAATGATATTATTTTTTAATTTAGTAATTGTTTTATCTACTTAACATAATTAATCTCGCAATTTCGAATATATTACACAAATATTAAAAAAATTTACGTGGTTTTTTTTTTAGAATTGAGGTAGTATTATATATTATTTTTGAATAGTGCTAAGTTTAAAATGTAGAAGTATGATTATTTAATTTATCTTTAAAATTTTTATTATTTCGACTCTACGTATTTTAAAATAAATAAATAAATAAATAAATAAATAAAAGGTAAAAAATTACTTTAATGTGGGAGGGCGGGTGGGCCACCGGTGAAAATTCCGAGCCAACGGCGGATGAGCGTAGATAAAGAAATAATCGTTCCAATCCAAGAGCAACCCTTTCTCGATGCCGTTACGGCTGCCGTAGCCCTCGACGGTGGCGGGGTTGTTGGCGTACTTTTCCTTCTCGTTGAGCGGGAGGTGGAAGAACTCCCACCACGTGTCCCGAGTCCGCCGCATCAGCTCGGAGTTAATACCATGGTTCACCACCTGGAAGAATCCCCATCGCGGCACGCGCCATCGACGGTCGCCGTCGCTTTTGTTCGCAATTCCGGATCGTCGGAGAACAGATCCGCCATGTCTACCACCGGGACTTCTTTGTCGACGACCTTGCCCAGATTTGGCCGCTCCGACGGCGGTCTAACGTAAATTTCCGGGAGCTCTTGAATTCCACTTTCCGAGAAGTGTTGGACCCGGACCACCGGCTCCGGCCAGGATGGGACTGTGGTCGCCATTGTTGAGTGCTGTTGGAAGCTCTGTTGGTTAGTGAGTGATTGACTTGGGCAAGATGATATATATATACATACACACATCTGTATGTATATGTTAATGTAAAGTGTGTTAATTTGTAATTGAATAAAGGAGATTATAATTAGTATGATATTATATGGTTGTTACAATTTATAATAGTATTGTTGTTGTAATATGAGATGATATGCAGCTTGTGTCTATATTATATTGTTGTGACCAGAGAAATGTTTAATATATTGTATTTATTTATTATATTGTTACAATATTATGTTACTTTAGATGGTGTGTAACAATATTGCAAAATATCAAAGTGTGATTATATGTTATGGGCTTCAAAGTACTTTCATTATAAGATAAGATTTGCCTATGAGGAAAGAAATTGATTATGGAAATTGATTTCAAAATTGATTTGTTTGAAAAGATCAGATATTTTCTTTTTTTAGATTACATAATCATTTTTCAGTAAAAATATATTTACTTTTTGTAAATTTATAAAATATTATTTAAATTAAAACAAAATATACAATTCATAACCATCTAATTACTGCGGATTTTAACGTTACTAAAAAAAAAATAAAAATAGAAAAACATTGTAAATATGCTTTTGTTGAGAATGATTATAAAAGAAAAGACTAGAGTGCTGATTTCCATAATATATGAAAAATAGTTTGAATCAATACAACTTATTGTGTAAGATTATATTATGTACTCTCTATTCATATTTTACTTGCTAAAATCAATTAAAATTATTCATACTCTCTATCTATGTCATATTAACATATAAAAGTAATTTATATTTCGTATTAACATATCCGACAAATTTAATACCAAATTTACACTCGTATAATTTGTATGATGATGTAGGTTTACACACAATAGCCACCTATTTTGTCCTTTGATCCCATCCATCCAACAACAATAAGAATTGTAAGTAACAACATATCCCTAAATTGAAATCACATATCCATCAACTATTGTAATTAACAGATGGATAAAATCACCCCTCACATAATATACACGGTTTGTTCATCAACTGCCTTTCCATAACAAAGAGACATATGCACAACAAGAAAAGCCCAGTCGAACCAACAGAGCGAAAACTCGAACATTTAAGGAAACCAATCTTTTCCAACTCATGTAAAAACACATCTTAGGATCAGACAGCATGAAAGAAAGAAAGAACAAGGTGAATCGATTTCCACAACTATCCCGGCAGACAAACTTAGGCATTTTTTTTTCTTTTTTTCACACACAGGATTTGCAACAAGAGACAGACAGCATGAAATAAATTCAATACATTGCCACAAGCGAATATTCGAAATGAAATGGGGATCAAAACATCCTTTTTTTTTATATCAATCCGCCGCATAAAAGGGACAAGAAAAGAAAAGAAAAGAAAATAATATCACAAGCTTACAGTAAGGTATAGCAGAGGGCGCGCAACGCCACTGATTTTCATGAGGACATCAGTAATCGTTTGATTCCACTTTTCTGATCAGAAGTAAGCCTGCTCGGGAACTTAATGTTGAACTTGATTCGTAAGTTCCCCTTTTTGCCAGGCTCTTTCGGAATGGGCATTCCTTCGCCTTTGACAACTTCTTCATAGGTGGGACTAATGACATTGGTAATCGGGACTGTTAGACTCCGGCCATCAAGAGTGGTCACTTGTGCAGTATAACCGGTGAGAGCTTCAACCAAAGATAGCTTCTGGGTGACAATAAGGTCGTTTCCGTCTCTCTTGAACATGGTATGAGGCTTTTCATCGATGATGAAGACCAGGTCGGAGGGTATGACGCCTCGCTGTTCGTTTCCTTTCTCTGGGAAAGTTATTTTTGTTCCTTTCTTCCACCCGGGCTTAATTTCAATAGTAAGAATTTCCTCCATTGTAGAGGGCCTCCTGCCAAAAAAAAAAAGAATCGAAAAAAGTACATAAATTGTAGACTTCAGCTCGATGAAAGCATGGACAGTTAAAATGGATGCAAATATAATCTTTATGTATAGTGGCGGTGCTTGAGAAAAGATTTCACTGGATAAATTATCTACCCAAATAGCTTGTTCCTTTTAAATGCCATAAAACTACAGTAAAAGGAATAACAGGTACAAAATACAACAACAATTTTTATATGTAATGTCCAAAGACTAACTCATGGGATGAAAAATAATACTCCTTCCATCCGGAAAATTTAGACATACAAAGAAATGAGACTAAATTCCCGGACAGAGGGAGTATCCATTAATGAAGTGAACATGGTCTGTCAATGAAAAACCTTGGAACATGTTCCAAGAAAATGGATCCATCCACATTTTTAGAAATAATGGCATGAAAAGAAGGGCATCACAAATCTAAATGTCAAGCATTTGGAACATGAGCCAAGATAAAGTGGGAGCACTTGTTCACACAAAGACTTGTATCGACCCCTAAGATTTGGGTACTTATTGCAGTAATATAACTTTTCATGAAAAACATGGAAATGAGTAATAAATGGTTGATCCCTTTAGTTTTCACATAGCATGGAGAGATTTCATACTCTTGTATGTATGCTCGGCATTAATTGACAGACCCACACGTATCTTGGTATAATAACTACCTCAATGATTAGCAAACCAATGATATTATCCCTTCAAGAATAACAACAATCATGAGAACAAATACAAAAAACACATGAATGAAATATGGCCCAATCGACTTCTTCATCAACATCGATTTCCGAAAAGAGGTTAACACCACCAAAGTCAACATAAATTCCTCCATGGACCTATAACATATTCTAGCAGTGCTACATAGGTAACAGATACTAATTGACGTGAGATTCAAGGCTACCAAACAAAACTAGTTATATGCATAAATTGATCAACACGAGAATCACAGAGCACAGTAAAATCAAGAAAAGACACCTGCAACCATCATCATCATCATCATCAAATATGTCGGGAAACATGTTCACATTGTTCTCCAGCAGCAACTAACAAATGAAGTTTACACGTGTCGCATAACATGAAACCCTAGCCTTTGGTATTTTAGTTCATAAATAGCAGCTTTCGCCAAAGTTGCGGAACCGAAAATACTGAAATGAAAATATTTGGCAAAAGGATAAAGCGACAAGAAAGAATATTCTATCTGTCTGTTTGTTGTTTTCTTTGTTAGATACATTGGATAATAACATCCAAATGATTCGAAAGATGTGAGATTTGGAGACGTGGCTGAAGAAAAGCAACAAAGAAGATTCGAAAATCAATTAAGCAATTAAATTCGAAAAATACAGGACTGTGCAACAGAATCTACTAAGTTATTATGCCGTACAGGAATCAGAATTTATTTATCTTTTGGCTCTATTCTCTAGCCTTAGATGCAACTAACTCAGAGACCGAACAAGTTGTCCTCTTTTTTAGTTACTTTTTATCAAACACCGATCATCTACGTCAATCAATGTCGAATTTTAATGAGATCCACAAAGGAAAAAATTCAGCAAGATCCACCAGAAATTTAACAAAAAACCCTCAAAATATCTTAAGACACAACTCAAAGGTTGCATAACTAAGAGAACAGTCAATCAATAGCCCTACAGCACCTGAATTTATATAGCACAAAAGATTAACAAAAAAAAAAGATTATCCAAGAACAGATTCCTCATCCTAAAAGTTAACTAACAAACACACAATTAAACACCATGGCACAATGTAAGCAACAATTAACACACATATAGTAAAGCTTGCTACGATTCAAATGATCAAAATTATAAAAGCTGTAAGCAATGGTTAAAGAGATGAAGACTTTACCCACTAGGATCCATCACATCCCTAGAAATCTTCATCTTCTTAGTAGTCCCCTTGTACAGATCCTCCAAACTACACGGCAACATTCGCTCAATGGCGGCAGCCTTCCTAGGGATACCACCGGATCCCCCTTCCCCAGCGCCGGCTGAATTCCTAAAAGAAGCAAAAATGTCATCCCCAAACATAGTCCTATGGAATCCAGACGCGCCTGCCCTCGAACCACCGCCCATATCACCCATTCCTCCGAAAGGACTCGTAAACCCAAAAAACTCCGAGAAAATATCATCGGCGCTGCGCGGATTGAACCGGAAAGTGGTGGAACCGCCGCCTCCATCCATCCCTCCGCCGAATCCGCCGGCGCCAGGCGGCGGAACCTGCCCCTTCAACCCTTCCTCCCCATACTGATCGTATACCGCCCGCTTTTGCGGATCACTCAATACCTAAAAACGAAGGAACAAACAAACAAGCAAACAAACGCCTCAATTTGAAAACAAAATTCAAGCAGAGGAGTAAATGATTTGAGCAGTGAATTGCGTAATTACGTCGTAGGCCTCTGAGATTTGCTTGAATTTCGCTTCGGCTTCTTTTTTGCTGTTAGGGTTTTTGTCAGGGTGCCACTTCATGGCCAGTTTACGGTAGGCTTTCTTGAGGTCATCGTCCTTAGCGCTCCGGTCTACCTGAAGAACCTTATAGTAATCCACACCCATGCTTTTCCTCTCACCTTAATTGTCTCTCTTGCTCATCCACACCTCGCCTCGCCGGTTTTCTGGTTTCCTCCTTCCCGAGGATTTCTCCGTCAAATCGATGGATGGATTTCTGTTTCAGTTCCTTCTCGAAGCTCCCTCTCCCATAAACCTTCAATAAATCCATTTCCTATTGGGCCGGATGAAAGCTTTCTTGGGCCCTTGTATATTATTGTTGGCCCAAATTGGGCCGACTTTTTCTTTTTTACATATTTAATAGACCCGTTTCATTTTATGTATAATATGTAAATGATTCTTCGTCTAAATAATTATTTTACTAATATGATTTTCAATATATTTAATATTTAATGTATATTTTATTATCTTATTAAAATAAAATATTATTTTTTAATTTTCTATCTATTTTAAATTAAAATACTAACAAATATATCCTTAATTATTATTGCTGTGAGAATTATAACCGCAAAATTTTGAATTGTTTGTTTAATATTTTGTGTATGGAGTGTTATTTTGTATTAAATTATTATTATTATTATTATTATTATTATTATTATTATTATTTTCTCAATGAGTGAAATATATATTGTATGTGTATACATTATCCAATATATATTAATAAGAAAATGCGGATATATTTGTGTTATTTTATTTTATTTTATTCTTGTAAATTTGACCTGCAAACGTCTCACTTTGAAATATCAACCATTTTTACTATATCTTCAATCTACTTAAATCTTAACAAATTAATGTCAATAAAAACGTAAATAAAATTCTGATTGTGAAAATTCAAATGTAGAAATGGTTTTGGCAATCACTCATATTTAATACATTTATATTATTACTTCCATGAAAATTATAAATTGATAAGAATAAAAGGAAATAAAATACCCTCTCCTTCCCGCAACAAGAATGGCGTTTGTTTTTTGTACGAAAATTTTTGAATAGAAGTATTATACTGAATTGTAGTAAAAAAAGACAAAAATACTCAGTATGGTGTAATATAAAAGTAATGACATTTGTGTAATATATTATAAGTTGAAAAGATATTTATTATATGAAATAAAAAATAGAAAATTATAACCTTGTGGGACGGACGAAAATGAAAAATAGTAACCTTTCAATGGAACGGGGAATAGTAGAACAGTTTGAGATATCTCAAAATAGAAATAAAGCAAACAAATTTGAAACACGTTGAATCTTTTTCTTTTTGTTATGTCCAATTTCGATTCAATATCATATTTAAATAATACTCCCTCCCTAATCCTGTCACATTTATCTTTTTGTTATTATATTTGACCTTAAAAATATTCTTATAGTAGTAAATGTTTTTGTAATGAAAATATTTTTGCAATTTTTTTAAAAAAAATTTGACCTCCGTTTTGATATAATAATTAATATTCAAAGATTAACACAAAAAATAAATGAGACCTGTAGAATCGGACGGGAGTAGTATTTAATAGTATATTGTTTTATAAGAGAACTTATAATTATTTTCACATAGTAATAATTGGAAAATCCAAACTCAAGCCAAGTAAAGACATAAAATGAAGATATAAGTGTGAGCTGAAATACATGGAAGTTAAAGAAGTTGCAAATAACCATTTGTATTGAACATAAGTACTATTATTTATACACTGACTTGAATATAGCTTCATAATTCTGTTTGAATATCTTCAATGGAAGCTAGTGTAGTCTCACTCACTCGAACAATAGGGAGCGAATTCGTACCTGTCGAGGGAGTTTAAATACAGAATATCTCTAAGCATTGCAACTCGCCCATTCGCAGCTTGTCTAGCAAAGAAAACAGAACCATTGACAGTTCTCTTCCGGGGGTCTGAGGAAGTAAATAAATTAGCATACAATACCTTTTCAAGCAAGTTTCAACTGGTTGTTGCGCCGGATTCCTTCGATTTTTCTGTCTCTACTTCCTTTTCCTTTTCTAAATTGCCTGTCCCTTCTGTCTGAGTCTGGGTCGGTTGTGTTTGTGTTGTAGAAGAATCTTGGGACTCCGACACAAGGCCAAGAATAGATAATGTAGACCTGTACGGTAAAGTTTAATTCGCTAGCTTACAGGGATGAATATGGTTAATAAAATGCGGTATTACGCTTTTAAACCTTGGAAGCGATGATCTTATGTGAGCTTGGCTCGCATGAGCTACCAAAGGAGCCTTGAGAGCCGGAGTTCTATTCAGTGCATTTTCAAGCTGCGCCGATGGTAGCTGAAAGATTATAGAAGAGACCAAGAATCTTAAAATTAATTCACTAGCTCATTTCCAGCATAATTTTGCATTTAGGAGTCCATTTTTCCATTGTAATGCACGAAAAACCTATTAGTGATTCCCTAAGGTTGTGTTCTTTTGTGTTTTACCATATATTTTTACTATTTAGATTCTTTTTTCTCTTAAAAAATAATATAAAATTAAACAATTATTTTTTTTTCTTTTACATTATATGAAAAATCTATTTTGCATTCAAAATATCGTATTAACATCTATTTATATAACATCAAACAACTATTAAACTTCGAATTTTTACTATTCAAAAATCCAAATCCAAAAATCCAAACCCACAAACAAACACACCCTAAGTGACCTAGACAGAGACGCAATCGAAACAAACGATTATCAATTCGGGTGTAGCGTTCATACCTTAAGGAGGATGCCGAATGATTGTGGTTTTGTAAGAAGGACGCATTTCATGAAGCCAACCCACAGTTTTGGATATTTCCATATCTGCATTTCATAAATATTTTTACATTATTAATGTTACGAGAAAACGAGAAAGAAAACAAATAAAGAACACAGAGCTTTTACGTGGTTCGGTGAGTGTGTGTCAACCTACGTCTACGGTCAGGAACCGGAGAGATTTTATTATACTGATTCTGAGAGTTACAATCATGTCGTATGACTAGGAACCATAACTATCTATTTATAAGTACCCCAAAACACCCTAAACCCTAAGCCTATTTGTTATTAATTATGATAAGTCTTTTCGCTTTGGTTTCGGGTTGGGTAGACCGCTGGATCCAAGTCACGTTTTAACAATTAATTATATGAAGTTTTTTTTTTTTTTATCTTGCTTTCCCTTTCCATGTCGAAAGAGTCTAATTCCGGTGGGTAATAGTCAGTCCTAGAGAAAACAAGCATAACAATTATGTCATACCTGCTTGCCAACAAGACGAGATAGAATTTCCATGATAAATTCCACCTGAAAAAAGGTTGCTTAGGAAAGTCACCAATTGCCTAAAAGGGCTTATCCGCAACGATAATGCAATAGGGACAACTATTAATGGAAAAGATAAGTGTAAAACTTGACAGTTAGAGAAGATTTCAGCAACAAAGCATACCATCTTTAAGAGGATGTACGGAAAGTAATATTCCAACAGTGGAAAGAATGTAAGCATCAATTATGTAGGAACTGATATTCACTAGATTCTGGGACGCAAGGAAAGCAGATGCCTACAAGGACCATAAAATAATCGGGATAGTAATTGCTTACCAGAGAAGGAAAAGCACCTATTGCCTGCAATACAGTCCGCATAAATAGCATGGGGAGAGGAATTTGCTCGACCTGTAAATATTTTGTGTCAAGACGTCAAACTCAAAAGAAACAGGACAGTAATGATGCTGAACGTTTTTCTTACCAGTTGATTCAAGACCTTGGCCAGAACCTGCTGTGTAAATATATTTCGCTGCTCAAAACATGCATTGCAGGCATCCGTTACCTGCTGACATAAAATTCATTTAGCAAACAAGCAACTCCACAATTCATATGTTACCAAGGAAGTATAAAACTTGCCTTCTTCAGCGGGATCCCATCTCTATCGGGATCAATCCCGTGTATTGCAATCAATGCTTCAGCTGCGGCAAGCACAGGTGTGGAATTATTAAACCCCTGAAAATGGAACATTGAGAGAGAGATTGTTAGGTGGCTTAAAGAGACATGAACCTTGTGGTACTTGATTAAAAAACTTTATTTGAATTAATCACCCTCATGGTGACAGAGAATCATATTTAAATGCCAACTACATAAAATTCTAACATTTAGAGGGTAAAAAAAAAAAGACAAAAAAAAAAAAAACAAGGGAACTAACGGGCATCTAGCACATCGCATCAGCACATATTTAGACAAAGAATGTGATGATTTTACATTCAACAAACTTCTCTTCCATTTAGGAAGATAGATCAAAAGCCTCACTTTATAGGGTAGACAAAATCGATAAATAGATAAATGCAATCACACTTGTGTGGGTGTGAATATTCAAATCCATATGGTCGAATTGCATAAATATCACATATTTGATTAGAATCAACTGGAATTGGATATGGAATAAATCAAGACAAAGCAAAGGCACATTCAAGACCAAAATACCTGTAGAACACGTGAAAGCACAATTTGGAACTTATCCATCGGTACATTCACAAGATGTGGAAAAAGTCGTAAAACCTGGAAACAGAATACAGTTATATTAGTTATAAACAACGGTAGATTACCTTAAGTTCTCTATCAGTATCAATACTGTGTAAGGCAATCAATGCTTCAACTGAAGCAAGCATGGGTGTGGAATTATTAAATCCCTGAGAAAGAAAACATTAAGAGAGCGAGAGAAAAACAGAGCCATGAAAAATTTTCGACTCAAATACTTCAAATTAGTATAATCTAATTCCCACAAGTTAGAACATCTTACTAGAACACAACTGAAACTAATTGCTCTAAGACAAAATTTGTAGCATAACTATACCAAAACATGGTGAAGTATACAATGTAAATATCATTTTTCTACATTGAATGATTGAATTGACACAGTCACAACTCTCCGTAGTTCCTTAAGCACTTAGGTTCATATGCATGGGCTTACATTTTGGTCTCCAGAAGGGGAATCCATACAAACATATTGAAATGTCAAAGATAAACAACAATGATTTTCAGATACATAAATAGATTCCTTTGCAGAAACATGGTGCACAATGACACAGAATCTCAAAATCATATGAAAATGTTTCTCAGTAACACGATTATGTGAAAGCCATGGAGAGTGCCCAGTGGCTACTGAAAAGGAGAATTTGTTAATAAAGATATAACTAAATGCCTTGACATGAGTGGCTCTCACCTCATCTTTGGGGAGGAACGGTAAAATTGGAATCAGAATATCTATGTCCTGTTAAGGAAATAAGCAAAAGTTAGCATACCCAAATGTCAGTAATATGAACTGGACAGTTTCAGTTAAAACAATTCGTTGTTACATTGGTCATATCTGGCAGGTAACAAGTTAATGATAAAACTAGATGTCATTATTGTTTCATCCACAGTTAATTAATGATATATGTCCTGCCAGTGCATATGGTATGGATTAGGAGAAATTTCAACAGATGATCTACCATTACCTTTAGTTTTGTAGCATATAACCTGTGAATGGTAGATACTAACTCTGGAGAAGGAACTGTTCCATCTGTTAGTGTACGAACAACCTGCAGTAGCAAATGCAATCGTGAGTAAACACAATTAAGATAAAAGTATCATAAAAGAAAATACCTGAGTAACAAGCTCTTCTGTTCCAGTTGGTGGATTAGATATTATATCAAGGAGATCATGGGATGACCCAATAGTTCGAACAAGTAACGGGATCTGATGGTGAACTGCCTAAAACAGAATATTGCTGGTCAAAACACATGGCTATCAACAAAATTTTGATAATCTATAGTTTCACATGCATGAAGCTTAAAGTAATTGCATCAAACCTGCTTGACCACCTTGGGTGCACCCTTATAAGCATCAAAGATTTTCCGGAAAAGCGAATGTTTCTGTTGATCAAACATAAGAACATAAGTCTTCAGCAATATCTGGTGGCACATGTAAACCACCAATTCTCGGAAGAAATTATATCAGCGGTACCTTTGTACATAATGCAAAATATAGAGATGTGCACCGCTGCACCTCAGCCACAGTAGATGACAAGTTGCTTTCAGATGGGGTCAATTGATGACTGCCCGACTGATTGTCACTTGAAATATTTTCATCCTACATCAAGGGTGTGTTCTTATATCAAACTTTACAAAATTTCTACAATTCGTAAAAATATTTCCCCCAAAAACATCAAAACAAACACCTATTTTTTTACTTTTTATAGTATACTAAAAATCAATTTTACATTCAAAACATCACATCAGCACCTATTTATATCACATCGTACAACCATTTAAATTCAAATCTTTTACTATTCAAATCCCAAACCAAAATCCAAACCCCCAAACAAACACACCCCAAAAGGATATCAGAATATCAAAAAGTATCTTCTGCATTGTCAAAATAAGAAGGGTAACATAAAAAGTAATTCAATTGTATCAAAATTAAGTACTAACACCCAAGTGAAAGTAGCACTTCGGAGACATTCAACGGAACAAGTTTGCTCCCATTCATCTTCCACGGCCTACTTGGGAAGGAGGAATTTAATTCAAGTACAACATGCTATTCCACGGATTTTGAAAGGCAAAAGTAATCTAACATAAATGAGTGCATCTGAAAGTGTTGAGCTCAGAGACATCACATGACTCGACTTCACTCTCCAAGAGTCTAGATTGAGCTGTTATTTCGAATTTGGAATCCAGGTTTTTAATACAACAAACAATGTGATGACATTTAATGTAAGTACACTTTCAATAACTTGGGGTTTGTTTGCTAGTACTATTCTCAACTATATTTATGCACTATTTATAAAGAGAAAAAAAAAAAAAAAAATTGCCCTAAGAAAAAGTTACATCCAACATCTATTTTTCATTTAAAATACTATAATAAAAAATATTTTTTATTCAAAACATCAAATCCAACCTTAACTTTTCATTTAAATGTCATATACAAAACCCATTTTCCATTCAAATTTTTACTATTTACACAACAATCCGAAAACACCAAAATAGTTCAAAAACACAACTAAACAAAGCCTTATTCTTGGCATATAATGTACTTTTAATTGTTACCTTCTCTCGTTCAACCTCAGTTCCATCAGCCTCCTTTCTTGATGCACTTTCATCATTAATAACAACTGAAAGCAACATTTCCTTTGCAAAATCTTCGATTTTTTCAGATAAGTTTGGTAATGGGTAGAGTTTATTAGCCACCTAGAAAGTCAAAATAAAACATGTTTATTTGCCACCTAGAAAGTCAAAATAAAACATCACAGACTATAAAATCTAAGTTCATCTCTTAGATATGCACGGAAATTGTGACAGCAATTTGAGCGAAAATACCAGACGTATTGCCTTCATTCGTACTTCTTCCAAGTGATGAACTGAACTCTGTTGGAAAATTCAAGACATTGTTATCAGATTAAATATAATAGAAGGAAAAGGCAAACATAAGACAAACAATTTAATCACACAATTCTAATTCACAATGAATTGATAAACAAATTACTGCTTAAAATCATAAAAGAAGTTGTAAATGAACTTACAATAAGGAAAATACATTTATCTGGACTGAGTGATTGCTATGTCAATCATTGTCCTCAAATAATAAAATACTTGATGAAATTTTCAATATAAATTCTTAGGAGCAAAAAAATGTCATTTAGCAGCCATTGGCTCTGGAACATGGCACAAACATGGTGCAACTACCCCTTTCATCAAAGGACATTTATTTCATGTGGTTATAAAGGGCACAAACCTTCAACGCAATTTTAAGGCAAGCATCTCGGATTGTAGGTCTCAGCAAAATTAGGCTCCAAACAGTACTGAGCCCCTGAGTAACTCGATCTCCACCATGCAATTCCTTATCATCATTCTTACTACTACCAGGGCAGCATAAGCACTCTAACAATGTAAATATAGAATTTGGCAGATACGGGACTTCACCAAGCAATTTACTCAATGATTTATCAGATGCTGGAAAGGAATCCCGTAAGGTATTGGCCTGCATTGCAGAAAGAAAAACAAAAAAAATGAAAATAATGTTTACCATTATACATTATTACATTATATTCAAGAGAATGCAGGGTTGAAACAATGTGCATACCACAAGGAGAAGAAAATTTTCATACACAGATGTAGCAGTTGTTGACGTGAAAAAGTCACGGTCTTCTTCTGCCTCACCATATAACCTGTATAGTACTTGTAATGTTAACTCGTGCCCCTGAAGACATCATACATAAATCATCAACATTAAAGATAATCATCAAAATTCAAAAGATCATGCACATGAACAAACTGTGGAAGAAATAAAAAGGATTGATGAGTTCCTGAAGAATATACATAATCTAAAATGAAAATGTATTCATTGGTGGAGAGGAAAGGGCCAGTATAATAGCAACAATTTTACGGGCAAAAAGAAATCTGTGGCAGCAAATCAAAAGAATGTAATATTGGTTTCCTTGATAGAGTCCCTGAACTTCTCCTGACCAAATTTCTGATGTGAACGAACAGAAAACAGCATTTGAAGCATTATTTTAGAAGCATATATTCCTAAAGATCTTACACCCAAGAAAACATAAAAGCAAGATTCTTTACCTCATTATTTACATAATCCGACAGTATATGTTCTGTTAGTAACTTCCACGGGTCCAGCTCAGATGGAAACTACATAAAACAAACACATCAAAGAACTCAAGTAAAATACTTGTACAGCATCAGGTACAAGCTCAAATGTGTGAGGATGCCTACCTCCATTCCAGAATGGGTAAGAATAGAAAAGCGGACTTGAGATCCTCCAGCAACAGTAACTTGTTTATAAGCACTAATTATGCGCATAAAGGCTACTTGTTGTAACTTATCTTTATGCTCATCGGAAAGGGGAATGACAGGGGCAGATATCTTTGGCAGAATCAACTGTAAAGAAAACCCAGAAGAAGTTGCGGTTGAAGAGCTAATGTTAGTTGTGTCTGTAAGTGATGCTCTAGGGCTAAGCTCTTCAGACCTATCAGTAGACAATGATTGAACTATTTCGGTAGGTGTTATATCTAATTCTATTGGTGTACTATTTAAACTAGTCATCATCTCTTTATTGGTATCATCTGGAGCAGTGAGATCCACATTCCCCAAATCAGATGAGCCCTTCGAAAAATCAACTGCATTTTCAAGCAATTCAACCTCTTGAGTAGACAAACCAAGTCCAGGAATTTCACTTGACACACCCTCAATATCATTTACTGGATAGGTGATCCCTGCAAAATTAGTCTCCATAGCAGCTGGAATGTCTTCAGGGGAAACAGACTCGCTGACAGAGACTGGTGCATTTTCACAATCTTTGTCCATGCCATCAGAGGCAATATTATCATCAGCCACAGTCAAGCATGGTTCCTGTTCTTCAGTATTCTGCAAATCCAATCAATTTGCACCAAATAAACAACCAATGGAAGCCACCAGACAACTTCATAGTAATGAGAAAAATAAGAGGATACTATATAGTATATAATATATCATAAGATATAGAAATGTAATGAACGTGCCTCAAACTCCCTAGATGCTCCAAGAAGAGGATCTTTGATCCCAGCTTCCTTCTCCGGACAAGAGCTGGGGTCTGAAAGTATGTTCGTCAGCAACAAAGACAATTGTTTCATGTGGGTATCATTTCCAGTCACATCAGGATGAGCAACCATGTTTACAAGAGGCTCTTCATCTTCAGGGCTTTTTGGAGGAAGATTGCATATGTTAGCCATAACTACTTCAGCTAATAGATCAGCAGATATGCTAGAGATGAGAATGTCCAAGGAAGCTGCAGCTTTCTCACCCTGAGCCACCAACACACCAAACATCGCTACAAGCTGCTGCACAGGTCCATTATCAGTGTCTGATCTGGATGGAGTAGGTCCAGTCGATGAGAGCTTGTCCTGCTTTCCTCTAATTTCATATTCGGGTTCCTCTGAGTTTTCAGGTGTTGATCTTGAACGCTTTGCAGAGTTATCATCTTCAGAAGCCTCTGATGTACCTGGTACTCCAATTCTTTTTCTACTAGCATTAGTGTGTTCAGACCTTAAATCTGCAGAAGGTTTTTCATCCTGAAAGAAATTTCTCTAAACAATTTGTAAATAGATCTCCATTAAAGAAATGTCCTAAACCACAATCAACTGAAAAAAAATTACCACGTGAATTTGGTCTGCGGATGAATCAGCTGCCGTCTTTGTTCTTCCATTGTTGTCAGACATTTCCATTACAGGCTGTACAGTTGTTTTTCCAACTTCAAGTTCATTCAATGCATTCATCAGACGAGCGCTCCACTGCGAAGCAAAACATTCAGAGAAGAAAGTACTATAGGTCAATTAAAGGCTAAAAAAGTGTTGGCTTGAAATTACTCAAATACCAATAGTTTTTATAAAGATCCAGAGCAACAATGACAATCAAAGATTGTTACAACAAAAAACTTAACTGCCACAGTAAGAAAGAATGCAATATATACATGCCATATCCAAATGGGATAATTAACAGTAGCAAACACGGTGAAGGTTGTGATCAAACAGCAAACAGCCAAACTGAGCTTATTATAATAACCAAATACATTGCTTATAACCAACTATCAAATGAGAACAGTGTGAAATATGTGTATATACCGGCGCAGCACCAGGGTGTGTACAATTCAAACAAGACTCAAAAGCAATCCTTAAAGAATGATACACCCCTGCAAGATGTACGCCTCCACTGGCAGAGCATGAAGGATCCAAGCCAAGTAAAACTGGAAGTATTCGACCATAAAAGGCAGGTCTCTTCCTAGCAATTGTCGACAAACTGAAAAATAAACAAAAACCAATTAGAGGGTGTTTCGGTCAAGAGATACGTGTGTTTAATCTGAAGAAGCACATACATTTTAATTAGCACAATTATCACCAAATAACTATGCGACTTGAAAGATGGGAATCTGAGCTGATCAAGCAGCAAACCCAAACTTCGACTTGCTTCAGCTGACAAATCTCTAATGCTGAGTATAGGGTGTCCACCACGAAGCCATGAGATATTGAATTCGTCAAACTTCCCTGGAAGAGTAAGCAAATCATATATCATGCATATGATACAAATCCTAAGAATGACACTTAGCATGTGTTTGATGTGGTCTCTAAATATCATTAAATAGTTCTACAAGCAACTCCAGATCGTCCATCCACAGAAGTATAAAATTCCACAAAATGAAGAAAACTATTTACCTTCAGAAATTTGATCCGAAGGTGGCTCCAACAAACCATTAGGGTCAGGAGTATAAAGTAAAACAACCGATTCAATAAACTTCAATGCAGATAATCTTCTCCCATCACTTCCCACCTTAAAACATCATAATTGGTCAAACAATGCCCGATAACAATGTAAATTTTATGACTAAGTCGTTCATACCTTAAAGGCCATTGCGTATATTTCATCTTTAAACTTCAGAATACATGCCCATGATAATTTCAGGGAGTCACTGAACTCACTTGAATGACAACCCTGTCAGAAAATATATACAATTAGACAGCAGCAACAATGCTTCTTCATTGCTATAATGCAAATATGACATGACACTAATAGAAAGAATGAATTTTGATACCACAACCAAATAACAAATGAATGAGGATTCATACTCAATCAGATTGTCATCCATTTAAATAACATACGCAGCAATTTCCACACATCCCAAAGGATCATGAAATTAAATGGACCAGGCTAAAGATAAGCATTACAACATCTACGGATTAAAAATAAAAAATAAAAAAATCAATCAAACAAGTCAATGTAACTTATAGCTAAAAAAGGTTTCAATACTGAAGACCCAATTCAACGTTGGCTTAGAATGCATGTTTACATTTGTGAAAGACATATTCAGTTCTTAGGTTTCTCGAGTGGGCTAAGGACTTTATTAACTGTTACAGGGAATCGATAAATATTAAAGTGTTGAGAAGCTCCATGAATAACCAGTTGATAACTGAATCAAATAAACCCTATATGTACAGTTTAGACAAACAACAGGATTTAAAGGCAACAGCAAAGCTTCCAGAATCTTAAGCTATTACAATGTAGCACCAAATCAAAATCATAGTACAAAATTCTCATTGCACCAACCTGGACGGAAACTTTAACCAGAAAACAGCGAAATATGTCAATACCACACTTTATGGCCTGTCGAGCGACAGCTGGCGCATCATCCTTCAAAATATCTACAAGTGCTGGTATGATTTCAGTTAACAACTCCAAGTGCTTTAAACCAATTTCGCCAACAATTCTACAGCAATGGAGAGCAGTGTCAAGGTCTTATGAACTAGATGAAAACACATGATAAAGCTCAACAAAACTATGTTTCGAAGTATAATGTGTAGCAAAGTAGAACACCAACACATCAAGACACATAGGAAAGAAATGAAAAGCATTGAATTACAAGGCTCACAAACTCAATTCGTGTGAATTTTTTCCAATTAAAAAAATAAAAACAAAAATGGCGGGCGAAAATGGTAAAAGTTTTCAAATTTTCACAGACATGGAATACGACACGCATACACACAATTTATGCTTCAGACGCGCTTACTGAGTGACGAATTTGCGTGCGGGGCTCAAACGGTCCGAGAGAAGGCCAATAATGGAGGGAAGAAACTCCTCGAGCAGCACAGAATCCGCGGCCCAGAGCTCGTCGCGGAGCCGCCTCAAATGATCGAGCTTTGAAGCAACGTCTTCACCGCTGTACTTTATCGAGTTAATTCGACTCCCAACTTTCTCCCGAGTAATCGCCGCCATCATCCCCACCATTTCCTCACACAGCAAAACGGCAAATTCGAAAAACTAACAAACAAACAAAAAAACCCTAGGTTTCCATACGAACAAAAACAGATTCCATGGAGAGGTAAATGACGATCATCCCTTGCAAACAACTGAACGCGAATTGAAATCAAAGTCCAGTTGCCCTAATGCCGTCTCGTCGCAGAGCATCTCGTCGGAAAACTCTCCGGTACAGTACGACGACACTCGGTTAACTCCGATTATATGACAAAACGTACTTCGCCCATAAGGCCCAAAGTACTTATAACGGACCGGCCCATTAACCAGAAAAGCATTTAGAATTTTTATTTTTATTTTTTAAAAGTAATTTTATTAAAATAAATAGTATATGATTTAATGTTTTGTAAGAAGATGTATACTTTCATTTATTTTGTAAAATTTAAATACTATCTTCGTTTTGAATGAAAAACATCATTTATTTTTACATCTAGATTTTTAAATATTAGTTATAATGAAAAGGAAAAAAAATATATTTATTAAATTATGTGATATAAAAATAATGATAAGATAATATTAATTATGTCAGATTGAAATACAATAACTAAATTAAGAAAATACTATTCTTGTTTTGGAACTAAATGATATATTTTTTATGAGATCGAGAGAGTAATAAAATTATTTAATTCGATGCCGATTTTTTTTTCTTTTCTTTACTTAAAAATTTTAAATTTTTATTAAATAAAATAATATTTTAATGTAATATCACTCTAATCCAATAATAAAATTTTCCCCTATATTTAATATTAATTATTATATATTTATATTAGTCTCTTATATAATAATACAAATAATATTTATGGAGTAAATTATACAAATATAAAGATCTAAAAATAAATTTTTATTTTTTTATTTTATTATTATTATTTTTATGGGAGGGTGGTAGTATTTAAATTCTTAACAGCATAAAACTTTTTTATGAGCTAACGACAAAAAATGAAAAACCTTTTTAAAAGATAAGGAAATGGACGATGCCCAGAGAGATCAAAGATATTAAAATGGCAGAAGCTCAACTGAAGCACCACCAATTCCACCACCACACAACCACCGTAAGCGGCGGAGCGCCACCGCGGCGGTCCGCAAGAGTGAGAGCAGTAATGGGAGGCGGCAGGGCGGCGGAGCTGATAAAATCAGGAGCGGTGAGTGCAATAGCCCCAAAAGAAGCGGCGTCGGCAATGGCGTCGGAGGGATACAGGCTGCTGGACGTCAGGCCGGAGTGGGAGTGGGAGAAGGCACGTGTCTCGGGGTCTCTGCACGTGCCGCTGTTCGTGGAGGATAAAGACAAGGGAGCCATAACGTTGTTAAAGAAGTGGGTTCATTTTGGGTACATTGGGCTTTGGACAGGGCAGCAGTTCACGATGATGAACCCTGCCTTTGTGGACGAGGTTGCAAGAATGGCTCCTGATAAGGATTCCAAGCTGCTGCTCGCCTGTGGGGAAGGCCTCAGGTAATTAAGAGATTATTATAAATAGGCAACATTCCATAAAATTCACTATGTTATAAAATTGCCTTAAATAATGATGGCGGTTCTTATTTATAGGTGTTTAAGGTACAAGCACTTGAATGATGTGTTCGTTTGTAGAATTTTGATAAAATTTTGTTATTCATCCTAAATTTTCTCTCCAAAAATATCAAATCAAACATTTATTTTTCATTTTTTATATTATATTAAAAATCAATTTTACATTCAAAATATCACATCCACATTTATTTATATCACATCATACAACTATTCAAATTCAAAATTTTTACTATTCAAATTATAAATATTTGTTCCCTTCTAAAAAAAGATATATTTTTTATTTTTTGTTCATCCAAGATTACTATTTTATAATTTGATAATTGTACTACTTAATTAAAATAATAAATACCCTTACTACTAATAATATATTAGATAGATGTCTTTAGTAAAGGTATTTTTATTTTTTCTACTTATTAATCAATATAATATTAATATTAAAAAATCTGTTTACTTTAAAACAAATGTTATTTTTTATACGGAACGAGGTTGTATAACTATTCTTCGGTAGTGTAACTATTCTTCTTATATTTAGTCTCAATAAATATTAGAAAAAAAGTATTAGAACGAAAAAAATATATATATATTTATGAATATATTTTAACTGTTTCTTAAACTTAAATATAAAAAAAATAAATATATTTGTAACGTCAAATATTTAGAAATAAAAATTGTAAAATTTATTTACAGTTTAGATGTGCAGATCAAACATTGTCAAATAAGAACAGTAACATAAATATAAAAATATGAGAATTTTGCGCAAATTTGTGAAACTATATCTTGGTTTTGTGCAATTCTGTCTTAATATTATTTAAATTCATTTAAAATTGATTTTTTATTTTATTTTTTATTTATTGTGGGAATGAATTAAGGTCATTGGTGGGGGTGGCGAAGCTGTACGAGGTTGGGTACAGGAAGCTGGGGTGGTTGGCGGGAGGGTTTGGGAGGGCAAGTGATGGCGATTTTGGTGGTGCTGTTGAAGGGACTGAGAAATTGCAGTATGCTACTGTTGGAGGCGCGTCTTATTACATGCTTAAATTGCTCCTTCTCTTGCGAGTTGTGGGCGACAAATCTTAGAATCTTGTTCAACATTCAGACACTTCAATTTTATGAACTAATCGCACATGTAAACACACCTGCCTATAAATATATTTCACACAACATTGCTTTGTCAGTGATATATGATTGTTCTACGTGTTAGATTCGAAAAATCAATTTAATGTTGTTTTACATGTATTGATTGAAAAAAATAGATGCTAACAGTCTATATTTTGTGCACAATTATTATTAATTTATATCTAAAGGCTATGTTGTAACGCTTGCTTATATTTTCATACTATTTTTAAACGTCCAAACATACAAAAGAGTGTGTTCGTTTGAAGAATTCTGACAAAATCCTACTATTCATCCAAAATTTTCTCCCTAAAAATATCAAATCAAACATCTATTTTTCATTTTTTATATTATAAAAAAAATTAATTTTACATTCGAAACATCACATCAATAACACATGTTTATTTCAAATCATACAACTATTACAATTCAAAATTTTTACTATTCACCCCAGACAAACACACCCTAAGAAATCAAAACTACAGTAATAAATATTGTATCAACACTTAACCCAATCAATACATACATACATACATACATATACATATACACACAACATCAGCTGTTTTGTTCAAGGGGCAATTTTCCTGAACTGAATACAACCAAACATATAAACAAACAACATCTGTTAGTTCCTACCTATTTGTACGTTTTCCGGCAAGAGGATGTAAGAGCGAATGAACAACAACAAATACTATATTCAACTCGACTCGACTCAAACCGTGATAATCTTTCTTACCTTCTTTATGCGCCGCCGGCATATAGGGCAAGATCCGGAGGCTTCTAGAACCCTGCAATAATCAACAAATGTCTCGGCAATTCAATCTCATAAAATCAGGCGTAAAAAAAAAAAGAAACTATTCAATGTGCGTAAAACCATACTTCGTCGCGCATCCATGACAAGACACGCAGTGACCACAAGGAAGGAAGAAACAATCCTTAGGATCCTCGAAGCAAATCGCACAAAGCCGCCGGCTGTCTTCCTCGTCTCTACCCGGCTTATCGGCGCCCGGTTTTGCATCTTCGAGAAAACCTTCACCCTCTGAAGCAGAGTCGAAAGAAGAACTTCTGCTCGAGTGCTTATCGCTTTCGTTCGAAATCAAGGGGTTTCTCTCGGCTCGGCTTTCTCCGCTCTGATTGTCTCTCGTCCTATGCCGCCGAGTCCGTTGAAAATGATTCAGAAAGTAATTAATGAGTACCAGAAGAGAAATCATAGCGCCTGCACGTAAAGTTATTACTTGCATTGCAGATACCCCGTGAACTCGACTCCGGTTTCCGGCAAGTTACTTATAAATCATATATCTATACGTATAGATATAGATATAGAAATAACGTACCTGTTCCAAGCACGTATGTCATCCAGCGAGCTCCGTACGAAAGTTTGACACGCCAATTAACCTTCGACGTACCCTACAGAATGCGTAAAAGGACCCAGCCGGCGGATCAACAATACATGATTTTAGTAACGAAAGAGTTCCTCCATAAGCTCTTCACTCCAGGTTAGATAAATTTGCATAATAGCCGATTGTATTTTATTATAAATGTACAAAATACCTAATATTTCATTTATTACGTAAATTTCTCTTGTATTTTTCATATTTTCCAGTTTCATGTTCTCTGACTTTGGTGATGGTTTCGTGTTTTCCAGTTCAATGTTTTCCGACTCTGATACTATGTTAAAATATTTTATAAAACTTAAAAAAATGCATTGTATTGATCATCAAAATAAATAGCATATTTATAAGCTACATAAAACAAACTCAAAAATTAAAATATGCACACCCTTTTCCAAAAGTGATTTTGGTCGTAAAATGTCTAATTATACAAATATTATACTAATAAAAGAGATAAAATATCTTAAATAGCTTTATTTGAATAAAATACATAAATAAAAGAAATAAAATATCTTAAATAAATTTTTGGAGACGGGCGTGACATACTTTTAAAAACAACTACAAAATAGGATTGTATAATGCTTGCATGATTAGGCGCAGGAAAAAATATTTTGTACATTTATAATAAAATATAAAAAAGGTAATATGCAATTTACCTAAATTTGCATGAAATAAAAAAATTACCGGTAATAGACGGGGCGAAGTGAGAACAGCAGCATTTCCGCCTAGCCAGAACAGTTTGAAATTGCATTCACCGTATGCAGGCCGACAAGTGTAGTACGGTCCAGTTGTGTTATATAGTAAAGCCTTTATTCGGCTACTCAGGTCCACCTGCTTCATACAAATTTCAAGTCTGGGGGTATTGTCAGATAGACAAGTCTTTAACAAAACTATATGTTACTTTTCATTTTTTGCATTTCAACAACTTGCCTTGATGGCTTCATCATTTAAGTTACCGACTGCGATATAGTAGGATGTAGATTTAGTTATGTCCTTTTGAATCAAGCCATTTCCTGCAGATAAGAAAAGTAATTCGGTTACAATCAAAGATAGAAGAAAAAAAACAATAGTTCGCGCTTTACCTCACCATAGATTATATTCCATGACGAGGCCGTATTCGGATTTGATGGATCCTCAAGCCACTTAGCAAGACCTTCTTCGCCTGGTAGCATGTAGAGAGATCTTAGGGTATTGTTAAATTTTGTAAAATTTCGGAGTTGTATATATTATTAATGATGAAATCAAGGGCCTATAAATAAGTGTGTAGACGGGATAAACTTGAATAATAAATACTCAATCTAACTAATATAACCGAATAATAACAATTTAATCTAGATAATAGAAATCGAATCTAAACCATAAACTAAATATCTAAAATATGTCTAAGTATCTCAAAAAGTATCAAAATAGCCACACGCCAATGGAAACTGCCAGTGACGACAACAAAATTTTCGTATTTAGATGCATTTCTAAGGACCAAAGACCAATTTTATTGAAAAAAGGCACACAACCGACATAGAAAACAACACGACCCCAACCAACGAATGTAGAGAGCATTATACAAACTAGACCAGAATCGGTTCCCACAGAAATTAAAAGTACAAATCATGAACAACTGTTTCAACTCATAGTCCAAAGAATTATCCATAATTATTTTTCTATCCATATGATCAAAGAATACATCTCGAGTTTAAACTAAGGATGAAAATTTAAACATGAGCTTGGCAACTTAAATTTACCTTCGAGAATTGCAAGAACAAGCGAAGAAAGGGATTCCACCGTATAGTTTATACTTAATTGTGATCCTTCATTCAAATAATAAACCCATTCCTGCAATTAAAAGTGAAAACAGATTTTTAACTTCACATATTTTTACAGTCTCAAAATCAAACTAGTTTATTACAAATTCAAGAAATGACGAAAGGAGGTTTAAAACTATGGTTTTGAACCTGGTATAGAAATAAAATCTTCTATATGTTGCTCACCTTGTGAAAATTAGATGGAAGCGTTACCGTGTGATCCTCGGACCACACATCCATAACATCAAGACGTGGAGTTTTATAAAATCCGTATAGCACTGGTCCTTCGGCTACGTCAAGTTCTGCTACCTGATGCAAGCATTATAACTTTAGGGGGAAAAAAACATAGGCATTTTTGTAAGCATAAACGAAAATCACTCTACCTGTGTACCCATCACCCCCTATCCCCATACCCCAGAAAACTTATAACTACAGGGAAAAAGAAATCATCCTAACACCAATTTGGCTAAGGGTGTCCATGTTGTCTTTTTCTTATTTTGCACTATGAAATTTACAGTAATATGTAGTACTCCTTCTGTCGTTCAAAAAATATGCTAATTTTTCTCTTTCGGCTGTCATCAAAAGTATTCTCATTTCTTTTTTTTTTTTAAGGAAAAAACCATATCTACTCATTGTCCTTTTTTTGTGTGTGTATATATATATATATTTATTTACTATAAAATACAAAAGGTACCAATTATTACTCATCAACTTAAACCATGTGTTTGAAAGTATGAGCAAACTTTTTTGTCCACGGACGAAGAATTTTTTTCTTCTAAAAGTCATAACATCCAACACCTTATTACATTTCAAACCATTACTTCATTCAAAACATTAGATCGAAAACCTATTTTACTTCCAAACAATTGTATTCGCTGCTTATTTTTCATTTAACACTTAAAAAAATAAAATCAAATAAAAAATCAAATCTCAAACTTCCAAAACTCTTCGAGGAAAATAAAAATCTAAAAAAGAACCGAGCCCTGAAGACACAAACATATACACCCAATATTATTGTCAGGCATAAAAGAGTGGGTGGCAGTCTCGGGGGCTACTCGACATATATGTGTGAATCAAGAACCCTTTTGCTCCTCCTATACACACATTGAAGGTGATGAAGAGGTAATCTAATTCCGCAACTCTCGAACTAACATAACCTCTCCAAAATCGAATGGCGAAATTACTAATTCAGCAACTCTCGAACTAACATACCCTCTCCAAAATCGAATATCAAAATTACAAACAGAGCAAAATGCAACATTAACATGAAAATACCTTTATAGAGTCCACAAATAGATGGTTCGGATTTATCAAGGCTGAGGTGTTAGATCCGAGCTTGAGAGTTTCCGATCCGTACAGCCCAAATGCAAGGCATATAGATACTGAAATCAAGAGCAATGAATAAAACAAGCAATATTCAAAACTGAAGATTACTGCAACAATTCTTCACAATTGAATTGACATGATGAAAATTGAACAAATAAATTTAATTATTGGCAAATAACCACATGTATTTTATTAGAAATGCATAAAATACTTTATGTTTTACTTATTGCATGAAATATCCTTGTATTATATTAAAGCACATGCAAAAACAGGGAATATTGCAAAAAATATCCCACTTTTTTTCTGGCAAAATATATCCCACATGTTTGCAAAAGTGGTTATTTCTATCCTTTGGCCGAGCGTGATTGTGCGTAACCGCGCGTGGTGTGAATGTCACGCGCGGGCAAAAGATATAAATAGCTGACTTTTGTAAATATGTGAGATATATTTTGCCAGCGACATAAATACAGGACAAAGTGATAATGGGGTATAATATATTTTGCAAGTTTCTCGGCAAACTATAAATTAATTGTAAAAATTAAATTATCATCATTATTTTACAAACTATATAATTGATCAAATTCTTATTTATTTATTTTATTCAAACAATGATATGTATAACATTTCACCATCTTTATTTGCATAACACTAGCATAAATAAACAAGAATTTACATTCATTTTGGTTATGCGTTGATTACATCGATTCAAAAGTCCAAAAAATACACATTTTAAATAAAATAGCACATGCTTTTATTTCCCATGTTCTGCCTATGACTCAAATAGAACCGTAATATATCAAAATGAATTTAGCACAATAAATAAAACATTTATTATAGTAAAACACAAGGTTATTATGCAATTTAACCTTAATTATTTCATGTGACAAAAATTCTCGAGAAATAAAATAAAAAAAATAAAAAAAAATTACCGAAAAAGGAGAACGCCGTGGAGACGACGAAGCAGGACTTGACATCATCTGTGCTCGCGGCGGAGCCATGGCGGTTGTTGCTCGTCAATAAGCCCTCGTTATTTGTCGCCTGGAACCGATCCTCGCGGTAAAAATCGGGGCTATAATCCGGAAACCTACGGGGAGGAAAAGGCAACGGCGGCGACTCCGAGTAACCCTCCCACGACGCCGATCCAGATGCGCCGCCGGAGAATTGTCCTCCGGTGGACCGATCCTCCATTCTATCCTAAAAAGGGGGCGGAGATTTCAGAGGGGCGACAATGGAGAACAATCGGGAAGAATTCAATCGAATTCTAGGCTTGTGAAAAGCAAAATTGAAGATGCAAAGATCCAAATTGGCGTTTGAATTTTTGGGAGGTCGATTGTCGTCGTCAGACCGGTGGTTGTCACGCGGCGGCGGTTAGGTTCGTACGGATTTTTATTAGACCTTTGTTTCGCCTTGTGCATTTTATCCCGAAATTTTAAGTCAATCACCCAGGCTGTGTTTTTTTTTTTTTTTTTAATAAATAATAATAATAATAATAAGAATAATAATAGATAATTTAACAGTATAATATTTAATAAAAAAGAAAAAAAATTGATAATAAATAATGCAAAATTTAATAATGTATGTAAATAGAGCCAACAATCATTGTAATACGTATTAATTCGTTTGTCTTATTGTACCACGTATTAATTGATTTGTGTGTTTTGATGCATTCTCGAAATTTCTCGGACTTTGTGTCAACAAATTTGAAGTATTATTCCACAAAAATTCTTGTTATAAACATGAAGTATTATTCCACAAAAAAAAAAAAAAAATTCAAAATTGTCAAATATGTATATATATATTGTTTGTATACTTTTAGGAACAAAATTATAACTTCTATAAGATACTTTTTGAATCGAAATTTTATCTTATGAAAAATAAAATTTTAAAAATATAAAAAAATTGTTTCTTTATTTTTTCAGAAACAAATTTATAAGTTCTATAAGGTATCTTTTGATAAAATATGGTGAATATAAAAAAATATATATATATGAAGTGACAATAATATAAATAGGCAGCAAATAGTTTATAGAAATTTTAAAAATACACTAAAAGGGTGTGTTATTTTGTCATACTTTCCCTAGTTTTTATTATTCATTCAATTTTTTCATCTAAAAAATCAAATCAAATATCTATTTTTTATTTTTTATATTATATTAAAAATTATTTTTTACATTTAAAATATAACAGAAACACATATTTATCACCGTACAACTATTCAAATTTAGAATTTTTACTATTCAAATTCCAACTTAAAATTCAAATCTCCAAACAAATACACAATATAGTAAAACAAATGAGCATAATTTTCGTGGAACAACCATCCATCGCGAGCTTCACTTAATTTTAGCTAGGGAGGCAAAGCAATGCACCGGTTGACGATATCAACTCTTCGCGCTCCTTGTCATCCAACCATTCCAATTTCCATCGGTAAATTACAGTAGTTTTGCCGTCGCGACCCACCGGATATAACGGTGGGAACTCAGGAAAATCCATTTCCATCGACGTCCAATATAGGTTTGGCTTCCATTTCGCGTCTCTAATGACCCGAAGTATTTCCTTTGCTACAATCTTGCTTCCTTCCGAAGTTAAATGGATTCCATCGCTAGTTCAAAAGTATTCGTAAGGATACAAATGTCAAAAGAATCGCGAAAAAGAAGGTTAGGCTCGACCGCAGCAATGTAATAACATAAACGACAAGCTGAAAATGAAAAAACTTACGATAAGTATGAGTTAGCCCAATCGGACCTATCTTGCAATGCTTCCCAAAGATTAATGACTTCAATGTTTAATTCTCTTCCCAAGTCTACCAAGGCTTCGGAATACACACGGCAAGATTCGTTCGTGCGTTCTTGTTGATCGAAAAAATTGCTAATGTGGAGAGAGATAAATATAAGACTGATAAACTTCGTACATAAACAACATTGTTGTATGTAAACTTAAGTGACTTGGGCATTACCCAAAATATTGACGGATCATTGCCTTGTCGACAGGAGGGCTTGTAAGAAAAATTATCCTCGTTTGTTGCGAAATACTCTGTCAAAAATGGAAAAATCGATAGTCAGGACAAAGGTACATTCTAGAGATGCAAAAGCGTGTTCGGGAGGTTGGTTATGGTGCTGACCGTGGTTGATTCAATCAGCACATTGTAATAATATACACAACACATGATTGCTGTTGAAACTGACATGTGCTGTCAATTAGACATTATATGTTGGGATGTGTTAACATGTAATATGCGTATAAATAAATTGCAATATGTATTGTCTAAACTATTATTATGTACTATCAGTTCATATGTTTAAGTATATTATATTAACATAACTTGTGTGTTATTTCTATACTTTGTGTCCTTATCAGTTTACATGTTGCATTTGTAAGACCATATAGTAGAATGTTAAGTGATATTTGTTATGTCCCACTTTAATTGTCTGATTTTTTTAAGATATGAAACAATAATATACTTAGTAAATAATTACTAAATATATTAGTATAAATAATCATTGTATAATACACAAAATTATAGATTAAAATAACTAATTAATTTAATTAAAATTTTAAAAGTTATTCCCTTAGTCCCCTAAAAGCATTCACATTATTGTAAATATGGAAATTTAAAAAATATATTAATAAAAAAAATTATAATATAATATAAATAAATATAGATTAAGATTAATATAATTAAATAATTTAATTAAAATTAATAAAATAATAAAATAAAATTGTGATTAAAGTGTATAATTATTTTTTAAAAATTAAAAGAGACAAATTAAGTGGGATGACAATGAAAATTAACACTTTATGTGGGACAGATGAAGTATAAATTATAAAATTTTAAATGCGATTAACATATATAATTATTCTTTTTAAAAGAAAAAATAGACAAATTATATGAAACGGAAAAAAATAAAAATATTGACAAATTATGTGGGACGAATAGAGTATCATTCAGCACCATAACAATTGTCGCCTACTCAGGGTTGAATTTGTTATTACCTGGATATGAAGAGCAATCTTTTTCATGTTTTCGACGTATTCGGGAAGAGGAACGTGAGGTCCCATGCCGGTCGGGTGAGGTAGCATCGAGTCGTTGCCGCCGTAATAGACTATTACCAGAGAAGGAGGATTAGCATCATCCTGGAATCAATTAAATTCAATCGTCAAGAAAGAACAATATGCAAAATAAGATCATATAACTAACAAGATGATCAATTAATGTAATAAAGATAAACACACCTTTGGGAAAATTTGATCGATGAACTGAAGAGCCAGCCTTGAATTCCATCCGGTATATCCTCGAAAGATTATGTCTGCCTATCGAAGAAATCAACCTTCCTCGAAATCTCATGGTAAATGTGTTTTTTTAGTTTCTATATAGTTTTCTTTTTCTGTTTTTTTTTTTTTTTTTCGAAAATATATTTTCGTCTCATAAAACATCATATTTAATAGTATTATTTAAATAAGAAACTTAAACCTTCAAACTCAATTTAAAATGAAAACAAACAAACGTAAGCCTTGGAGACTACTACTAAATCATACTTTTTGTGAACTTTATTTATTTGTCAATTATTTTTATTATTTAAAATTTACAATTTATTTTAAAATATGTTATTTATATAATCATATTCAAATTACTATTTAAATTGAAAAAAAAAATTACAAGGAGTTACTCTTTTAAAAAATTTTCAACACATTTCCTCAAAAAAAAATAATAAATAAATAAAATTATAAACTACACATACTCATTATTTTTATATTATCTATACCTCACAAAAATTAAAAGACAAAAAAATCAAACCAAAATACAAAACAAAGGCACCCCTAAACATAAGTATTCCTAAATTTTTAAGGCTCTAGGCTAAATGTTAGTCTAATTTTCCATATCCATTCCACCAACCACCGTTAATTTCTGACTATATGTATAATAAATAACACTACGTTAATAAATACATTCAAAAATAAAAAAATAAAAAGTTGACACAATTCTATCAATATATATATATATATATTTAAGAAATATCTTATCAAATAATTATTTCCTCTAGTAGTTTATCCAAATTAAATACTTTTTTTAAAAAAAAAAAAAATTCAAAATTCCTAAAATTTCCAAACAAGCCTTAATAAATTGGAAAGAGTTCTGGGATTGATACAACTACTTATGCGAACTCTTTTTTCTAACAGCCAGTTATAACAATTTGACATACAACATGGGAATGCATAAAATAAAAAAGCCATTTTTATTCCATATTGTAAACAAAATAGTAAGTCTATAATTTATTTATTGGATCTAATAACTTATGGTTAACTCTAAACTCTTAATAATTAATTACTCTCTAATAATTTGCATCCATAAATATCCACCAACTACTATATGTGCATTGGCCAAAGGGAAGTAAATGAACTTTTGTGGATTTTTTAATGAGTTTTTACTATTCAATTCTTATTTTTATTTTTTCTAAAAATATTAAATTAAACAATTATTTTACTATTCAATTCTTCCTCAAAAATTATGTTTTGTGAAATAATTTGAAAAGATATTTTTAATTTGAAATATAGAGAATTATGTAGATAATATAAATTAATGAATGTGTGTAATATGTTCAGTTTGTTCGCCCAGCATCTCTCAATAGAACATTTTTCCATAAATATTTATTAAAAAATACAAACATACACACCTTAATATAAAATATATATTATCAACTCATAAAAAGTCAATCATAACACAAACTATTATTTTTTATATTATCAATACAGTACATCATATTATATAAAAAAATAAAATCAATTCATCTAAAAACAATGCTGAGTGAACGAACTTATTAATTTTTTTTTTGAAAAAAATGCTATAGGATAAAAAATCAAAGAGAACACACCTGAAGCTTTCTATATTATACTAAAATTTAATTTTATATTCAAAATATCACATTAAATAATTATTCAAATTCAAATATTTACTATTAAAAAATCCAAATCCAAATCAAAAAATAAAAGCCACAAACAAACACACAATTAACATTTTTTGTAATTTAACTTCCACTTTTTTATTAAGATTTTTATTTATTTATTTATTTATTTATTTTTTTTATAAAACCTTGTATTCACAACTAACAAGATCATATAACTAATGTTCAAGCTACTGATTATACTTGTAGTCAACTTAGAAGAAAACAATGTTCAAGCTACTGATTAGCTAATACGAATGGATATCAATTGTTCAGGCAGAGACCAAAATTAAATCAACCAGAATCAACAATCTCAGAGCATCTATTGCAATCAAAACCTAATTCCTCGAAAGCAAATTAAACGCAAGCGCACCAAAGACCGAATAGAATCAAATAAGCTTCGATTGATGCAACAATGGCTCCAGTAAATCAACACGATAATAAAGCCTCTACGCAACGAAGGAAATTAGTAGAGGATACCTTTCGATTGTAGAGATCGGCGAGGATAGATCCCCAGCCTCCGGCCTTGACAGCCATCTGCACGATGGACGAACCGAACAGCACAAACTGCGGCCGATTTGGTCCTACCATTGCTCCTTAGCTCCACCGCGCGCGATCTCTGGTCTGCAAGCTCGCAGAATGGCGATGGTGTCGCCGCCCTCCTTCGGAAAGAAGAACAATGAATGAATGATAGTGTACGGTATGGCAATTTACATCCACACGCCTTCAATCCATTAAAATGGAAGTGAACAAAAATAAATATGTTATTAAAAAAAATATGATATATTTAAAATTTAGTTAAAAATTTAAAATATAAAAAAATAAAAAAATAAAAAAAATAATTAGTATTTGTTGTAAATAATATTAAATAAAAAATAACAGAAAATATTTACTTATTGATTTTATCAAAATTAATAATAAATAAATTTTAAAAAATAAAAATAAAAAAGAAATTTGAAGAAAGAGAAATTATATAATACACGAAGGTCTAATCAACATATGTTATACTCCATCCGTCTCAATACAATAGTGTTGTTTATCATTATTGTCTGGTTCAAAATAATAGTTTTATTTTCATAAATAATCACATCCCTATAAAACTACTTTTATTTTTTTATTATTATTACACAATTACTACTATTTTTTACACTAATACTCACAAGGGCAAAAAAATCTTTTACTATATTTTTTTACTCACTACCAGTATAATATTAATATTTTTTAAATGTCGTGCCAAATACAATACAGACTACAATTTTGAGACGGAGGGAATATGACATATGATTAAAAAATTTATACTCCCTCCGTCCCATATAGTATGTCCATGTTGCCGTTTTTGTCTGTCTCATATACCATGTCACTTTCCTTTTTTAGAAAATGATTCTCCTTTTAAACTTTTTAATTTAATTTTTTTTAAAATTTTAATTAAACTAATTAATATCTTAATCTTAATTTATAATTATTTATATTATTAATAATTATTTTCATTAATACATTTTTAATTATCTACTAGCAGACAAGTACGTGGAACAGAGGGAGGGAGTATTATTTATTTTTATAATATACGCTGATCAAGACATCATGATCCACGCCCAATACATACGACAAATTAATGCACCAATAATTACTTGCCATTTCAGAGGCGCTTGGGTTTCAGCAAACATTTTAAAAATCATTTTATTTATTGTGGTCTCGGTTTCTTTCAAATTTTCTCTTATTTTCCTTGGATTTTTTATTTAAAATTAAATTTTTTAATTTAAATAATTTTAATTTGCATTAAACTATTTAATTATTTTAATTTTAGTTTATAATTATTTTTATTATACTACTAATTAATTAATATAATTAAAATTTTAAAATAAATAAATTTAAAATTGTAAAATTTAATTAAAATATATAATTATTTTTAAAAATAAAAAATAACTGAAACAACAAAAATAAGAACTGTGATATACTATGTTAAATGTGCTATGGACTATGGAGTAATGAGGAAAAGATTCGTAAACAAGCCCTCACGACTCAGGTACGTTTTTTTGTATTTTCATTTTCATTCTTTATCATCACTAAGCCTCGTGTATCGTATCATATCGTATCATTCCAAAAGATAAAACCCAAATCAAAGCCTTGAAACAATGGCTTCTTTTGTGAACTCGGTTTTCCAACCAGAAATATCGTTAGAACAGTTGCTAGGGGTTTTACCATCACGACGTACCATGTAGTAGGGCGAATCTTCGTCGAATTCTGCCGGCATTGACATCCAATGCAGACTTGGTTTCCAGTCAGCCTCTTGTATCACCTTCAGTATCTCCTTCGCCACAATGTTGCTCCCTTCTGGCGAAAAATGGATGCCGTCGCTGCACCATTTTACATCATAATTTTATTTCACTTAGTCATCTAAATTTATACTTTTTTTTTATGTTCGTAAAACATATATAAAAAAAAAAAAAAAAATTCTAATTTATCTCTCTAATAAAAGGTCATACTTCCTATGTCGGCCAAAATTATGCTAGGATTGTCTACTAAACTTACATAATCTATTTATAATAAACAATTTTATCTCCTCGTAATTTTATTATCCATACTTTTAATAAATATTCCATCCGTCTCACTTAATTTGTCTACTTTAGCTTAATACTGAGTTTTAGGTCCTGATTTAATAAAAATAATAATATATTAAAATTAACATAATTAAATAGTTTAATTAAAATAAAAAAATATAAATTATGAATTTTAAAATTCGATTAAAATGTATAATTATATGTAAAAAAATGAAAGAGCAAATTATGTGAAAATGACGAGTTGACAAATTATATAAAACGGACCGAAATAGAAAAAATGGACAAATTTAAAGTGTAACGGACAGAGTAATAATCAATTTGACACTAATTTTTTTAATTATCCACTATATTTTTATTAATTCTTTAATAAATTTTACATAATACCCTAATTTATTTTTTTTTTAAGCCGTATTCTACTTTTATGTTAAAATATAGTTCTCCCTTCTAAAGTCACATTTACTTTTTGCGTCATTGTACTTAAAAATATTTTTATATTTGTATAATTTTTTTTTGTACAAATGTAATATGATAAGACACTGATGAAAATATTTTTGCAATTTTTTTTTTTAATTTGTACTATGTTTTCATATAATAATTAATATTCAAATATAAAGCGCAAAAGGTAAATGAGATCCTTAGAGCCTAACAAAGGTATTATTTTTTAGTCTCCTTACCCGAACAAGAATGCATAATTTTAGGGTGTATTTGTTTGGGGATTGGTTAAATCCACTGTTCATCCCATTTTTGCCACCCAAAAATATCAAATCAATCACATATTTTTCATTTTTTACGTTATACTAAAAATCAATTTTACATCGCATCAACACCTATTTATATCACATCATACAACTATTCAAATTCAAAATTTTTACTATTCAAATCCCTACTTAAAATCCAAACTCCTAAACAAACACACCCTAAGTGGACATATGAAGTTCTAATCATTAACCGTTATTTAGTGCTATATAAAAGACAAAAAGTAATAAAAAATACACACCGCGTCATAATTTTTGCCCAAAAATTAGAGGACAGATTTGGACGACAAATGGAGCATTAAGACCAATCAAGGTGTTTATAAGTCGAGGAACAAAATGAATGAGCTGAATTAAGGAATGCACTGACCTGAAGCAAGCCGTTGGCCAATCTTTTCTTTGCTGAATTGCTGTACAAAGATTGACAACCTTAACATTCAGCTGTCTGCCCAGCCTTACCAAAGCTTCGGCGTATGCCCGGCAGGATTCATTCGTGCGCTGTTGGTTATCGAACAAGTTACTGAATTCGCAAGCCAGAGAAATGTGGCATCAGATTTGTGTGATCATCGAACATTAACACAGCAAGAAGTAAATGGAAATGTTTGGTTTAGATTACCCAAAATGCGCTCGAATCATTTCCTCGTTTACAGGCGGAGAAGTAAGAAAAATTATCCGTGTCTTCTCAGAAAGACTCTGCAAATAATTACCAGAATCCACAGCAATAATGATGTTTGAAAGCAGTAACTACAACTTTGTTATCGAACAACTAAATGTTTCTGCTTAGTAATCTAAGGGTGAGGTTTGGTACAGGAAAATAGAGATACATATATGCAAATATTTCTCGTTTGTTTGAGTAAGAGAAATCAAAATTGAAAAATAAATGATTTTTCATTCTCTTTTTTTTTTTTTTTTTTTTTATCATATAGAGAAAAACAAAAATTCGAGAATGAAGAATATATTCATTCGGTACTACTTTTTGTCTTTTTACTATTCAATTTTCACAAATATGTAAAACCTCTCATAAAACATTACCTTCAAATTGCTATTTAAATGAAAAATCAAAACCAAAACCAAAATAAAAAATAAAAAATAAAAATCACAAACTAAATACACAACATTTCTCCGCAAATTTTGACTTCGACTTCAGTAAAACTCTACCCTGTACATCGTCTCCTCCCACTCTATTCAGCTTCTTTTTTTCACTACACTACAACACAATATTTCGTCTACTCCAAATTGATTCATCCATATTGATATTTTTGATGCATTTTTAAGCTACATCTATCAATTGAATTATATGTTTTACTAAATATAAGGAGTAATAAATTTTTATTCTCAGTTACATTTATTAATAGAATTTTCTGTTTTACTAAAGATAATAATCAATTCTCATTCTATTTATATTTCCTGCATTTTATTTATATATTTATTTTTGCTATGATTTCTCTAACATTCAGTTCCATTCACACCCTAAGTCTATAGAAAGTTCATTATAGTAAGGTGACTATGCCCAAATCACTCAGTAGAACTATGTTCAAGCAATTCCCAAGAATGTTAAAGAATAAATTAACATCGAATGTCAGTAACACTGCGAACCACAATTTTCCGACACTGGTGCAGGTAATCAAGAGCCTGAAATCCCCAAACATGTTAAATGTTTTAAGTTAAGCCCATTAGTTAGCCTACTTTGATGCAAGAGTACGAGGTTGGCTTCTAATTTCGCTCTCACGTTAATTGAAGATGCATACAATAAACATCTCATATGTATCTAGAAGATCCAATACATGACAAATACATAAACAACACAACAAATTTTGTTATCATTGGATATGTATTTTAATCGGATCTCCACACTTGAGAAACAGAAAAAGGAGGATTCTGTTACCTTGATATGAAGATAAATCTTTTTCATGTTTTCAAGATATTCAGGAAGAGGAACATGAGAACCTAGGCCACTTGGATGAGGGTGCATGGCATCATTGCCCCCAAAATATACGATGACGAGAGATGGCTGAACTTCCGCTTCCTGAAGATCAAACAAATTACCAGATAAATTATGTTTCGCTATACATAGAAGATCCAACAAATTTCAAACAATATATACATATTAGTCCATCCTATGGATTGTTTTCAATCAGATATACCTTTGGAAAAATTTTGTGCAAGTATTGCAGAGCAAGCCGTGAATTCCACCCAGAATAGCCTCTCAAGAATATATCTGCCTGTGTATGGTGAAGAAAACAAAACTTTCAACTCAAATTTCTACCACAGATTGGTTAATCACCAAACAATGAATAAAAAAGATATAGCTCTTTCCACTTCCACACAAGCCTTACGGTAATGAATCTGTGTCGTCTACCACATACAATTGATTCTCAATTTCTCGCTCTTCGTTGTCAGACCTTTCAGATAAACTAATTCCTGAAGATTTCCATTCACCAAATCCGAAAAGGAACAAAGAAAAATCTCTTGTATTCGACAATTGAGAACTTACCCACAATAAAACAAGCAAAAATAAGACTTCCTACTCGGTGATTTGATGAATGATTAAAACCTTATCTGTAAAACTAACTGATTATAACGAACAAATACTGGTTCTGTTTTACTTGCATAACGTCATCACTTTTGCAGATCCATTTAATTTTCAACAATTTCTTCTCACCAAATCCTAAGAGAGTCAATCAAAAGACCACATATGGACAAACAGAATAGGCGTTTGATCAAGCACCTTGCGATCGTAGAGATCAGCAAGAACAGCTCCCCATCCTCCAACCTTGAAACTCTGCTGAACGATGGAAGATCCGAACAGCACGATCCTAGGTCGGCGCGGCCCAACCATCTCTCTTCTCGATCGCTCTGCTTCGGCGGGGTTCTTCTCCCCAGCAACTCTACCGTTGCTCTTCGGTGCTCAAGCAACTGAACTGCTCTCAACCACGAACATTTAACACATCCTTTCCAAGCTTTATATGGACTGTGCGGGTTGGTTTACTTAACATTTTTTATTCAACTAATACCCATAATTATTATTAAAAATATAAAAAAGAAAAAAATATATATACATTAAAACAATAAACTATATATTATATCCAATCATACAAAATTAACAACTCAATTTAAATTATTATTTTTATATTACTAGCATTTAATTTTAATATTACATTCATAATGAAAAAAAAAAAACATACAATGAGAAAGAGTATAATTTTTCATCTTCATAAATTATACTCAATTTTAATTTATTTTTACAATAAACCTTAAAAATATATAATTCATATTTTATTGGAAATTACATAAATTTAAAAATTAACATTTACAACTAGTAAGTATTACATATATTAATGTAACTTGCTTTTCTAATTTAGGGTATGTTTGTTTGGGGATTGGATTAGATTTTTACTATTTATCTAATTTTTTTTTTCAAAACTATTAAATCAAATACTTATTTTTCATTTTTTATATTATACTAAAAATCAATTTTACATTTAAAACATAGCATCAACACCTATTTATATCACATCATACAACTATTCAAATTCCAACTCAAAATTCAAACCCCAAACAAATACACCCTAAGTGTATTTTAAATATTTTATATAAATTTTATTTTATCAATGTAATTTGTCTTTTATGCATCCTATTTTAATGTAATTTGTATTTTATCGATATTTTATTCAAAATTATATACAAAAGAATATGAATAATTTATTTTTTATACATTTTGTTTTAATTTACTGTTTATTTTAGTATTTTATGTAATTTATATAAAATAATATATATCAATATAATATTTTATATAATATGTTTTTTCACTGTGATTTTATTTTTTTTATTTTATTACTTTAAATAGTTATATAATGTATATTAATACTCCCTCCGTCCCTCGTCTCAATATACCGATTTTATCATACAAATATTTATGATATAATTATTCGGAATCACATCGGATTTTTGATGAGTTATCATGCCACCGCTAGTTTTTATTATGTAGTTTACTTATTTAATATAAAAACATACAATTTAAAGTCAAAGAATATTACATTCAAAGTATTATTTATAACAATATATCAAGCAGAAACACTTTAGGGTGTAAGAAATGGTCTAAGAATTGTTCTTTCTATAATTTCTTTTTATACATTTTTTTTTCAAAACAAAAAAATACAAGTATATGCATTCATTATTTTTTATATATTTTATATACAATTTTTTGTACTTCACATAAAAAAATAAAATAAAAAAATTATGTTTAACAATTTCATTAAACAAACACATCCACAGTGATTGATATTTAATTATAAATTAAATTATGATACTATAATATATTTGATTAAAAAAATATAGAAAGAAATTATATATACAAAAAGTATATGTGTATATACACATGATTGATATGGACCACTTAATAAAAATAGAATTATATAAAATATATATTTACTTAATATGGACCACTTAATTTATGTGTTGTAGGTATAAATTATAGGTTTAATTCTTTCATTCAACATATAAAATTTATTAAATTAAGAAAGCACAAAACTAAGGTATGTTTAGTTGACATCTCGCAGCCGATTAGCACCATACTCTCAATTTTCTTTTTACGAGAAGTATTCAAAATCTATTCAAAATTTTTTATTTATATCTCTTTTCTAAAAGCAAACCCCTTCTTTATTATAAAATTATTTTAATTATAAATTTATTTATTTAATTGTATAATATGCAAATTTTTTTTTTATAAAATAATATTCATATTATATATATTTTACTTAAATACATATTTTAATTTTTTTAATTATATATACATTAAATCATAAATTAAATATTAATTAAGTAAATGACTTCCGACCCAAATTTCAAATAAAGAACTCAATCCATAATCAAACATCCTAATTTAAAAAAATAAAATAAAATAAATTAAAATGGGGCAAACGGTATGATTTGAAATCTCCGACCTGAGCCGTGCTTGTCTGGCCCAAATATGGTCGGGTCGGACCGGCCCAACATGAAAAAACCTGGCGGGCCGATTTCTCACCCCTAATAGAAACAAAAATGCCATGTATACAATAGTACTATAATGCAAACAAACGACGAAGCTTCGCGGAAGCTTCTGGATAACCGTATACGTTGAAATGTACGGCGAGGGATATTATGGATATATGAATTACACAGCGTACCAATTTATTTATTATTTTTTATTGCACCTTTGCTGGGTGAAGAAATGAAGAATACAGTACTACTACACGCAGTACATGCAGGGAGTTGGGAGTGCGCTGTGAAGTAATGAGTTCAAAAATATCCCAACGGAAATTGGTCACAAGACCATTATTTCTCCTCCATCACTTTTCTAACGGATATATATTGATGCTTTTGCTCTTGTTATTGCGATTCCCCAGACTCACATACACACCGACGCTTTTCGATTTGAACTAGCTCGATCGGCATATAGATGGCGTCGTCGGAGGCGTGGATTGCGGAGAACGGTATTTCGGTTGTGGTGAGCAAGGATAGCGTCAGCAATGGCGGCGGAATTAGGAGCACGCTGCTGCCGTCTTCTTCCTCGCGCTGCAGGAAATCGGATTCCGGCGATAGGTTGGGGTGTTTGAGAGGATTTTTTAAGGATCTGCGGGAGGTGTTGCTGGGGACGAAGCTTTGTGCGTTGTTCGTCGCTATTCCGTTCGCGATTTTTGCGCAGTATCGTGGTTTTGGAAGTGTGAGTGCTTTGATTATTGGTTTGGTCGTTTTGTGTGCTTAAATTAGGGTTTCTGTTTGGGAAATGTGTTGACGGTTGGGTTGGTGTTCTTCGAAGTAGTGCAATGCAGTTCCGGAATTTTGTTTAATTGATTGAATTAAATCCGGATTAATTGATCAGTGCGTTGCTTTCGTGATTGTGTTACTGGCAGCCATGGGTGTTTGCTTTCAGCTTACTTGGATTGGCTCCACTTGCAGAACGGCTCAGTTTCTTGACAGAGTAAGGGTGTGTTCGTTTGTAAGATTTGTGCAAAATTTTACTGTTCATCCAATTTTTTTCCCTCAAAAATATCAAATCAAACATCTATTTTTCATTTTTATATTATACTAAAAATCAATTTTACATTCAAAACATAACATCAACACCTATTTACAACTATTCAAATTCAAAATTTTTACTATTCAAATCCTAACTCAAAATCCAATTCCGGCAACACAAACACACCGTTAAGAAGAACTGACTATAACCACAATATATTGAATATATAATTGCAAATAATACAATTTTTAGCATACAGTACTTAATCTTATTATCTCTCTCTCTGTGTATATATATATATATATATTTTTTTTTAATTCACCTCTCTCTATATTTAATGCAGAAAGATTGCTCTCTACACTGGCCCAACAGGTAATTAATTTCTTCATATGGTCTCTTATTGGTTCAATTTCATTTTCGTCATCGTCTGATAGATTGAAAATATATTGACTGAATTCATTTATGTCGAACAACTTATTAAATTATTTTATTGTGGTATACAGTCATCGCCATTATTTAAATATTGATAAGAACCCATGGCGTGTGTTTGTTTGGGAGATTTTTCCCAAAATATACTATTCATTCAATTTTATTTCTTTTAAAATATCAAATTAAACATCTATTTTTTTTTATAGTATATTAAAAATTAATTTTACATTCAAAACATCATATTATCATTTATTTATATTACATTATACAATTATTCAAATTCAAAATTTTTACTATTAAAATGACAACTCAAAATCCCAACCCGAAACAAAGAATTTGTTTGTCTTCTCCATCAATTTGTCTTCTCCATCAATCTATTACTAGGTAGCCGTGCCTTCCTGCAGTAAACAACAAATTCAGATGTGAGATTTTTTTATATAAAGATATTATAGGGCTGTGTGCAGTGAGAATTTTGTGGTGTGTTTGTGTTTTGTGACCACATTAGCTCAATTATCTTCCAATTTTTTAAAAAAAATTTCTTTTCTTATATAGTTTTATGGTAAAATATCTATTTCCTTAGTGCACTCACAATATAAACATGTGTGTTTTTTTTTTTTATATACAAAGATTAAATAATATAATATTTACAAAGTAGTTAGTAATACTTTTTTGTCCTTGTGTTTTAATTTGATGTAGTAATATTTGATATAAATAAAAATAAGTTTAAAAATAAGTTTATAATATTTAGTGTGATCAAATTTACTAAAATAAATGAAATATATCCTTTGTTACAAGTGAATCGGTGAAAATGAAAAAGAAAAAAAAAATTATATACCTTGTTAAAGATGGAAAAGGTATTTATTATATATATACACACAAAATATTACATTAAATAATTATTTTACATACAAATAAAACAAACAAACAAACATAAAACAAACAAACAAACATAAAAAAAAATTACAAATCCTCACCGTTTTTTATTATTTAATTTGAAGTATTGTCTTTTATTTTTTTGGAAATATGATTACACACTTTAATTATATTTTAAATTTTATAATTTTTTTAATTTTAGTTAAATTATTTAGTTATTTTAATATTAATATATAATTATTTTTACTGTATAATAATTACTTTTATTAATACATTTCTTTAATTACTTACTAATTATATTTTACCTAAATTCTAGTATCTACGGTAATAAACCTATAATATATGGTACAGAGGGAGTATAAAATAGTGGTTGGATATAAAGTCTTGTACAGTGTAAATGTTGAATATGAGGTTTTGCTGATGGATTTTTGTTTATTTATTTTTAAGTACTTCAAATTGCAGAAAGCATTCCAATCCTAACTTTAATTGTGATTCTTGGCCACCATTCTCCCCCTTTTTTGCATCTTAACTTATTGAATTTGTGGGCTTTTGTAGTTGGGGGACTTCTAAATGCAACATGTGGAAATGTGACAGAGCTGATCATAGCCATACTTGCCCTTGTTAAGAACAACGTAGAACTTGTGAAATATTCTCTACTCGGCTCCATTCTCTCCAACTTACTCCTTGTCCTTGGCTCCTCTCTTTTCTGTGGTGGCATTGCTAATCTATCCAAAGAACAAAAATTCAACAGAGTATGTCAAGTTTTTTAATCAATTAAGCAGTACTATCAATGGATGCCATTGTAACTACTCTGATCCATGCAGAAACAAGCCGATGCAAATTCAATGCTTCTGCTTCTCGGATTAATTTGCAATGTGCTGCCTTTGATGTGTAAACTTGCTGCAAAATCTCCTGAATCGACAGCAGCCATGGCGCTGCAGTTGTCGCGGGTGAACTCTGTTATCTTGCTTATGGCCTATGCTGCTTATCTCATCTTCCAGCTGCGGACTCATAAACAGTCCTTCGAACCACAGAAGGTGAACAATTTTATTTCATTTTTTCAATTTTCTTTTATGTTAAAAGTTTATGCTGGTATAAAAGTTAAATACTATCTCCTAAAAGATCTACAAAATTACCCATAACTCCTTTGTGGTTTCAAAATTTAGAGTAAATCATCTTTTACTTTAAAAATTATATGTCGCTCCTTATACTTTAAAAAATAATGCACGAAACTCGTATGTGGTTTCGAAACTCAGCATAAAATCTTCCTATATTTTAAAAATTACATGGCGTCCCTTTATATTTTAAAAAATGTTGCATGAAATCCCCCCGCTATGCAAAAAAAATTTACATAGAAAATCACGGTGGTGGGGTTTCATTTAACGTTTTTTAAAGTATTAAGGGGCGCAAGATATTTTAGGCTGAATTTCAAAAACAATTTTACCTAAAAGATTGAACTTATAGAAAAATGCGTAAGTAATTTTGTAGAAAAGAATTTAATTATGCTCTAAATTTCAGAATGGCGAAGACCAAGACGAGGATGAGAGCTTGTCAGGGGATGAATCACCAGTGATCGGGTTTTGGAGCGCATTCATCTGGCTAGTACTAATGACTGCTGTAGTGGCACTATTGTCTGAGTACCTCGTTGCCACAATTGAGGTAAGTTATACTCAACACGCCTCGATCATCACAAGTTTGTCTGAAGATCACTCGATCCAGTTTTAGTTAAGAATGTAATAATAATAAACCGAGCAGGCTGTATCGGATTCGTGGGGCTTATCTGTCAGCTTCATAAGTGTTGTTCTGCTCCCAATCTCCGGAAATGCAACAGAACACGCCGCAGCTATTATTTTCGCATTCAAGAACAAATTGGTAAGCAGTTCATATACTATATTTGTATTATGTTAACATAAAGTCGTGTCTTTGTCGATGAATCATACATACCTTGTACACTATTTAATTATGTAATGATATTTTGCAGGATATAACTCTGGGTGTTGCCTTAGGTTCAGCAACTCAAATTTCCATGTTAGTGGTAATTAAATAAGACAGCATCCTCAGTTAGTATTTCGATTCCATTATAATAAATTAATGACCTGATCAAGAACACATATTGTGGGAATCATGGATAAATGCAGATGCCATTGACTGTACTAATTTCATGGATGATTGGCGTCAGAATGGGGATGGATCTCAGCATCCTCGAAACAAGTGTTCTTGGATTATCCATAGTCTTGACAACATTCACTCTGCAGGTAAGGCTGAACATTGGTCGGTTCAAATATTTTATTTTTATTTTTATTTTCGATTTGTATAGATCAGTTTGGTCTGTTCGATTTAAAATCGAATTTATAAATTTGGGTTTCGGTTCGATTATGATTTTCAATTTTTAAACTGGAAAAATCTAAAGAAATCGAATTTTATATAAAATAAATTTTATATTTCATATATATTATAATTTTGATCTTTTAAATATTTATGTTCCAGTATTTGATTCATTTTTAAGTTACTTGAAACATGTTACTTGGGTGGATAAATTTGCATGAAAAATTGAATTGAACAAATAAGTTGGAGCATTATCATAAAAATTTCAAAAAAATTGGTTCGGTTTTGTAGATTTTGGTTAGGTTTTGCTTCGAATCGAACCGACCAACTGCTCACCCCTACAAACTACAACTGCTTCGTACCAATCCAGTTATTCATGTGAAATTACAAAGAACTACTTCTTACAGGATGGAACTTCTCATTACTTAAAGGGCGTGGTTCTTATGCTGTGCTACATTGCAATCGGAACATGCTTTTTCTTTTTCACACCACCACAACGTAAGAAGCATCTATCCTTAATTTCCCCAAACATGTAATTACCATATGCTACTTGTGGTTCATTTCGGTCAGAATTTGGCTTTAAAATCTGTAATTTTCATTTAAATAATATTTAATATAGAATCTTAAATGAAACACACAAAATCTGTAATTTTCATTTAAATAATATTTAATATAGAATCTTAAATGAAACACACAAAATCTGTAATTTTCATTTAAATAATATTTAATATAAAATCTTAAATGAAACACACACTAAGTTGTGGACTCAATAATTTTCTTGTATTTTTTGGTGGCAGACTCAAATGACCTTCACTTGGAGGCCTGAACAACATCACAGATTGAAGGTGTGAAATTACAAATTTGACCCTGATTTGATCTGGGAAATTAAACAAATTCAGCCTATTAGATACAGGAATCCTGAAATAAGACAACTTTATGTGTTTTGGTTGTTAGATATTTATTACTCCCTCAGGTCATCCCATTTACCGCTTCTGTTATACTGTAGACACGGTATTTTAGGAGGGATGCAGTCAGTATTGTAGACACTGTATTTTAGGAGGGATGTAATTAGTAGATAATCAAGAATGTATTAGTGAAAATAATTATCATATAATATAAATAATTATAAATTAAGATTAACACAACTAATTAGTTTAATTAAAATTTAAAAAATAATTTAAAAAATTTAAAATGAGATTAAAATGCGTAAATATTTTCCAAAAAAGAAAAATGACATCAAATGTAGAACGAACAGAAACGACAATATGGACATAGTACGTGGGACGAAAGAAGTATTTATTTACAAACCAATAAGGCAATAACCTTAATCAATCAACACACATCTTCAAGGGTAAGGGAATAAAAGTTACTAAACAAAACTTTTTCGTGACCTCTTATAATAAATTTGAAAACAAAATAATATTTAAGAAAAATAAATATTTTATTAAAAAGTGATAAATGGTTGAGGGTATTTTTAAAAATTTAGTTATAAATTAAAGTAAATGAAGAAAAAAAATGTAATAAAGTTAGCTGTATTTGTTGTAAATAAGGGTTGAATGGAGAATAATACTTAAATGTTGATTTTATTAACTTTTGCAAAAATTAGTAATAAGATATATTTAACTGACAGACTAAAAAGAAAAGTGAGAATAAATTTGACGGTGGCAGTAATAAATATTCCAACAATAAAGTGTGGTATGGGTTGTAAATAATCTTCATATAAAGTTTATTAGTATATATGTCATTGCATTTCTTACATATGTTTATTCTATATTTAAATAATTGAATTAAATATAAAATGAGTGATACCTAAAAATCGAGGAATACAGAAAATTATTATACTATGCTCAATTTAATTAATGGCTCCAGTTCATATTAGTCTGGACCGGGTAGATTTTGAATCGGGTCGGTTAACGTGCATCCGGTACCGTCTTATTTATAAAACGAGGAAAGCTAAGGAGATACCGTTTGAAAATCGATGAAGCAAAGTCGTCCATCTGTAAGCTAGAAGAAATAAAAATGGCGTGTGCTTTGCGATTCTCCGGCCAGAGCTTCCGCTTTGACTCATGGCGATGCTCGGTTTCGATTTCTGCTAGAGCTGAACGATTTCAGATTCGCTGTAATTCGTTGCAACATGGCGATGGAGGTGAAGATTGCTCGTCTTTGGAGTAAGTACAGTTATTCGCCTCCAGATTATTGTTATAAACTGCTGTTTTCGATCACAGTTCCATTGTAAATGTTTGCTCTGCTTATTGATGGAAGGGATGGAAACGATGCGCATGTCGTTTTAGTTGAAAAATACGGGAATGGCACTTCCAAACGGTAAGCACTGAGTAGAAGATTTACTGAGCTTGTGTTATTTTTTTTACTGTTTACGTTTAGCTTGGCTTTAGCATTAAATTTGTGTGTACTGTTAGAAGTTAGATCTTTTATATTGCGGATTGCTTGTGTAGAAGATGGACTCTGCTTTCCTTTTTGTTTTTTGGTTGTCTTTGTGTGATATTAAGGATTTAATGATAATGATGTATGAGTTCATAACACATCTTCGATTTATTTCATCCAGTTATGTTATAGAAAGTGACTCACAAGTTAGGACAATCCTTGAGGAACGTTTGCCTGAGACTGGCTTGTTGCAAGAGTTGCGTCCTGTTGCAAATGAATCGGACATGTCATGGCTTCCTAATGTTATCAAAGATTTTTTCCTTCCTGCAGGCTTCCCTGGTGAATATCTTGCTTATTCAATTGTTTTTATTTGATTTTGAAAATGAAGTGTTTTGATGTTTATGGTATACTAAGCTTTCACTCATTTCGATGTTCTTTGCATTAATCTTCCAATTTCAATGCAGATTCAGTTTCGGAAGATTACCTGGAGTACATATTGCTTCAGTTCCCAACTAATGTTACAGGGTGGATATGTCACACGTTGGTTACTTCTAGTCTTTTAAAGGCATGTGAATCCGACTCAGGACATTGATTGATTTAGCTACGTTACATTCTATCTGTATATTTAGATATCTATTTTCATTTCTCTCTGAAATTGATAACAGTGTCAATTTTTTCATTCTGCCTGTTTTTTTTTTTTTTTCCAATCTCAAGGCCCCCTAACATGAAGGTTTGTAAAAGTGGACATATCTTTGCTATTTGTTCCAAACACTTCCTGTTAAATTGAATAAATATGTGATTTTCGGTCTGGAAGCTGGCATAAATTTTTTGACTGTTTTCAAGTTTTGCTGAAATAATCAGTTTGTGCAATCCAAAACCACATTTAAGTAGCCGAGAATGGTTTCTGAATCTTGAAAACTGATTCTAGGCTGTAGGGATAGGGTCGTTTTCTGGATCTACAGCTGCAGCCTCTGCTGCTGCCATCAGGTGATGCTTACAACATTGTTCATTGTAGTTATCTTACCCTTTTACATAATTCTCTCCGGAATTGCTTGTGCTTGTTTAATTATGTAATGGAGAACAAGAAGTTAATTCCATCTTTTTAAAAGTTCGTATATCAATAATAAGGATCACATTATTCGTTTGCAGATGGGTGTCGAAGGATGGCATTGGTGCGGTTGGGCGCTTATTCATTGGTATGGTCATCCAATACGATAGGGACCCTATTATAGGAATGTCAAGTAATGGTTGTTCACTTAACTCCAGGTGGAAAATTTAGTGCTCTTTTTGATGATGATCCTAAACAATGGCGACTGTATGCAGATTTCATTGGCAGCACAGGAAGGTTTGTCTTTTATGCTCTTTACTCACATGATGCAGTTGGTGTATTTTGTGACTGTTAAAATATATTTAGAAGCAATATATTATATTTATGATAATTATCTTATTTAAGACATTTATAGGATTTTTGCCTTTATTTAGATGATTTGTATATCATTATAAATATGTACGTATTGTTATGATAGAAATAGAACATTTCAGTTTATTATATTCTAACAGTGACGATGTTTTATGTATGTATTACCTTTTATTGTAGCATCTTTGATCTCAGTACCCAATTATATCCGGCTAATTTCTTGCTATTGGCATCACTCGGAAATCTGGCTAAGGTAAGGCCATTATATAGATTGTCCTTCTAATTAATACTAAACTCATTGCATTTCTGTTCTATAACTAATAAAATACTTGCTGTATTTTTCATCTGTTTTTTATGCATGGGTTAATTTTGTTTATGTTTATTGCACGAAACCTGTTTCTCCATCATGGACTATAAAATTAACTTGGAATTAAGATCACTGAAACAGACTTAAAGGAAATCCTAGAAATATATTGCCTTTTGTTTAGTGTTTAGTAGAGTATTACTGAAGTCTGCAATATTTTAAGAATAAAAGTATCGATTGAAACGTTTTCTCCTATGGCTGTTAATGTCTTGTTTGTGCAGGCAGTGGGGAGAGGTCTAAGAGATCCTTCATTTCGTGTGATTCAAAATCATTTTGCAATCTCTGGAAACCTGGGAGAGGTATCAGCCAAGGTTGGTGGCATTAGTATTTTCTTCTTAGGGTGTGTTTGTTTGGGAGTTTAAATTTTGAATTGAAATAGTTGTATGATGTGATATAAATAGGTGTTTGATGTGATGTTTTGAATATAAAATTAATTTTAAATATAATATAAAAAGCGAAAAATAAGTGTTTGATTTGATGTTAGTAGATATTTCGGAAAATCCCATAAACGACCACACCCTTAAAAGAATCACTTACAAATGTGCATCAATGGTAAATATCCTAAAGATTACCGTAAGATCATACCTCCTGAAAACAATTTTTTAAAAATACGAAACTGAAAATCACTGTTCCTTTCATTCTGTTCTGATGAGGACTAGAAAAAATAATTCTCGAGCTTTGGATATTCCCCAGCTCCGAGTTCTTTTTTCTTTTCAAACTCTTATGATCAAGAATCTGTTACCATAGATGCTATGATTAATGAATTTTTGTTACCATGGAAGGCAGGAGGAAGTTTGGGAAGTAGCTGCCGAATTGGTTGGCCTTGGGTTGGGCATACTTGCTCTGGTATTTAGAGTATTATAACTCTTTTTTCAGTTTTATCATGATATAAACCACCATTCATCGCCACTACTTTTTTCTAGCTTAATCGGAATCAAAATTTAGGATACACCGGGTATTTCAACTTCATATCCTACATTGGCATCAACATGGCTGGTCATAAGGTTGCTTCATCTCTATTTTCGCTATCTGTCCCTCTCCGTTCTTCGTTTCAACACGGTAATATGTTAATATTCTGCATAAATGAAAATTCTTCTCTTGTACTGTATTCCTTCAGTGCCATAAAAAGGAATGCTACCTTTCATTTGGTTGACAGATAAATCTGAAGCGTGCTCGTGTACTGATTAACTCGCACCTTTTGTATCAAAAGCTTCCTGGTAAGTGTGTAATGTTTAGTCGATTTATATTTTTTGTTTAGATGAAAATAATGACATGTTTAGATTAGGAATCAGTGATTGCAACAGGATGGAAAATATATTGGTGTGGGAAAGATTTCTTAGACCAAGAATTATCTTCGGGGTGCCCTTGGCAGAGATGATTACCGGCAAGAGATGTGGCTCTGAGGTATGTGATCCTCTTTCTCTCTTGTTTTGTTTCTCCATTCAGCTATGGCGTAATCGGAACTTTTTTAGAAATTAAGCGGGCTTGGACGAAAGTAAATAACACTAAGATACGTGACCTCTAGAAAATTTTACTGCGGTGACAAAAATTTAATTAAAAAAAAATGAAAAAGAAAAAAAGTGGCAATAGGGTTGTTGGTTAGGGTGCTTAATGATATCATTCAGCATTCTATTGACAACACATTGTATAGCACATTCATATTAATATAATTCAAACATATGAACTAATATATGATAATAGTCTACACAATACATGACAATATAGACATATAACACCCTTTTTATGTTAATAATATAATACTTCCTTTGTCCAATTTTTATTGTTCTAAAGTATATTTACACGGTTTTTTAGGTGATTGTCTTTTTGTTATGAATTGACAAATTTGCCTTTAATTGTATGGTAGAGATTAAAAGTAATAAATGAATGAAATGTAAAAATATAAAATTTATGTTTAAAAAAAGGAAATATGACAATAGTTGTTGAACGTTCCAAATAGGAAAATAGGACATTAGTTTGTGGACGGAGGGAGTAGTATGATATGAAAACTATATAATACTCCCTCCGTCCCACTTACTATATTTATATTTTCATTTTCGTTCGTCCCACTTATTTTGTCATTTTTTCTTTTCTGAAAAAGAATTATACACTTTAATCTTATTTTAATTTTTTAAATTTTAATTAAACTAATTAGTTATCATAATCTATAATTATTTTTATTATATACATTCTTAATTATTTATAAATTATACATCTCTTAAATCTCTGTGTCTATAGTAAAATTTACATAATAGTCGGGACAGAGGGAGTATATTATATGAACAAATAGCACATGTTATAACTGATCTCAACATATATCACATATTAACACAAGATAATATAATATATATATAGTGACAACACATGCTAATTATATCATTTGGGGTTAATCAGTATGGTGCCATAACCAGTCCTGTGCACATTGACTTATCTTGAAAAGAAATTTGCCAACCAAATGAAGTGATTACTGAAAGGGAGAATTATGGCATTATCTTTCCTGTCATCTAAATTACAAAACTAACAATACCTATTTGAAACAGCTGAAGAAGCTTCTCAAGCTATACATGGAGGAGAAACATTTCCTAATTGTGAGCCAACAAGAAGCAGAAATCGAAATTTTCGTGTCTTTCAAGGTATGAACTGTGCATATAAATTAGCATACTGAGGATATAACACCCCCCCACCCCCACCCTCCCCAACCCATGAAACCTTTTAACCACCACAGGATGGAGCTACAAGCACATCAGTTTTACGAAGCGTATGGCAATCCTGCTGGCTCTATAATAACTGGCACAAATCCGATGATATGTTCAAGCAACTCCAGCAAAGTTTGATTGAATTGAAGGAAAGATTTGGCGATTTTTGGGAACAAGTAGAAGAGGCTGGTTGGGACACTAATCAGATAAATCTAAAGGTGCCAACGGAAATCTCCATTTGGGAACATGAAGCCCCGTGAGGAGAACAGTTTTTTCAGTTATTTCCGGGGGGGAGGGGGGGGACCTGAGAACATACAAGGTAACCTTAGCCTGTTTTTGATCGTTCCCATGGTTTAAGATTTTAACAAAGTTGTTTATTAGACATGTTAGTTTTGTTACTTCTGCTGCACAATTTTGCAATGCTATTCTCTATATGAGCATGCCGATTTTGTAGGGGCAGGTTCTTGGGCTGTGTTTGTATTAGAGCGGTTAAACGAGCCGAGCGGCTCGAATATCAGTTGTTCGAGCTCGACTCGAACTTGTTAACGATATAGATTCAGTTCGACTTGTTAAGAATTCAAACCAAAATAATTGCTCGAATTCAGCTCATTAGGTTCAAATTCAAGCTCACCTTAAGTTTTATACACATTTTATATTCCCTCTGTCCCTCGACAAATTATTCATTTTTCCATTATAGTCCGTCCTATAACAAAGTATGCATTTCCTTTTTTAGTAACTATACTATATTCTATCACACAAAAATCATTACTTTTATATCACAGAATACTTTTAATCATTTCAATTTTATTCCTATTATATTAAATGAATACTTTTAGTCATAGTCATTTCTTCTTTATTTCTATTAATTAACTTATGGGAGTATATTTTTTAATATATAATAAAATATACAACTTTTAATAATAAAAGTAAATTTAAATTTTAATATAAAAAGTTGTATATATTATATAAATATATTATTAAAATAAACATATTATTTTTATTTTTATATTATAGTAAAAATTATTTTTCAAAATAATACATAAATATTTATTTATATCATACCGTTTTTTTTTTATGAACTGTTTATTTTATGTGGTTTGGCAGATTCTGGTTTTTTATTTACAAAATAATTTATTTTTATGTATTTGTATTTGTATTTATAATTAGGGTATGAGAGGAATTAACATAAATGAATAAGCAATATTCTCGAACTTGCACAATAATGTCATTTGCTTAGGCACTAAATACATCGAGGAAACCCAAAGATGATCCATTAGGAAACTTCACAATAATACATAAACGCACGCCATGCTCTGTATTTCATAATAATAACAAAATGTAGATAGATAGACTAAAAAAGCTTTCTTAACTTAACGTACATAATAGCTTTCATCTTTCACATAGAGTTCAGCCAAAAGTTTCAACTTGGATCTCTTTGTTACTCGTCATCATCATCCTCATCGTCGTCATCGTCTCCCTCCTGTAGAGTACAATTTAGATACAAAATTATGAGAAAAAGAATGATATTTGGCATTGTTTACACAAACAATTTTTAAAAATTTTTGGCACGATTCATTAGAAAATTTCCCAAAAAAATCACATCATATATATATATTCCCAAAATATAACATCAACTACGAATGTTTTACTATTCTAAAAAAACTTCAAAACTCCTATTAAAACATAAACTTTGTTGGGGGTTTTTAGTCACGATTTTACAATTTATCAAAAAAATAAAAATAAAAAACCCAAAAACATCAAATTAAATATCTATTTTTTATTTTCTATATTATACTAAAAATCGACTTTATATTCAAAACGCATCAACATCTATTTATATCCCATCATATATCTATTCCAATTTAAAATTTTTGTTATTCAAATCCAAACCCACAAAATAACACACAAATAAGGTTTGGAAAATTTGGGGTTTTGGAAAAATTACAAATAGTACTCCTGTTAATAAAATTATGTGATTTTGCTTTGGAGACGAGATTAAAAAATAATATTTAATGTAAAAGTAAAAGTAAAAAAAAAAAATAAAGTGAAAGTTCTATGAAAATTTCATTTATAAAGTGAAAATTAGAGTAAATAGTGAAAAATAATAGAGTTAAGAAAAAAAAATAGGAAAAAATAATTATTATTTATTAAGGTAATGATAATAAAATTATTAGTTTGGTGACACCAAAAAACAGAAGAAGGTAAAACTAACATAATTGACATAATAAGAGAAAATATTAGATATTTGTAAGAAAAATAAATTAATGTGATATCTTAAAAAAAAAAAAATGTCTATGTAGGTGGACAAATCTCTGAAATTTAGCTAATTGCACTGTACTTAAGGTACTTTAACAGATGACTGTACCTGTACACTCTCCTCCTCGTCATCATGAACTTCTGATGTCGACTTCTCGGACCCTTCGTCACCATCATCAGCGGAGCTCTCCTGTGAAATTACATGATGGATAAAACTTATTCTTATCGAATACATATTTTAAGAAAGGTTTCCAAAATCATTTGCCGAAATGGAAAGAAAATGTTACCTGCTTCTTGTTGTAGGCATTCATTAGTTTTTCATACTCGACTTTCTTCTTCGCCGCTTTAGCTTCGTATGGAGCCTTTTCCTGCCGCACAGATAGTAGACTTGTTAAAATGGGTGGATATATAATATCATGTTAGAATTTCGAAATCTCTGATGGCACAACATGAGAGATATACATGAACTGGTGCAGAGAGTATAGATACATATATATATATATATAAAGTGGGAATTGCATCAATTTCTACATTCAGTAGGAGTGTGTTCACTTAGTTTTTTCAATGAACACATTCTCCAAAAATATTAACTAAGAAATACAATATAATCTCCCCGTTCATCTGAAATGTATACAATTTGCTATTTTCATTAGTCCAAACACAATAAATGCATTTCCTTTTTTTATAAGTTTGATAACTTTACACGTTAAAAATATCCTTAGACTTAAAATCATTACATCAAAAACTAAAACAAAGGCAATAAAAGTCTCTACATACAAAAATACTACCAAATATCTCACTTTAATATGACTCCTTCCGTCATCCAATTGTATGCTCATTTGACCAGGCACAAGTTTTAAAAAGAATAGATAAAAATAAAAACTTTACTTTCTAGGATAAAGAAAAAATAAAAAAAAAAAGTGATTTTTTACTAAAAAAGGAAGTGAGAATAAATTTAATTAATTTTTTAGTCTCCGCACAAAAAAGAAATGTATACCTATTGCCATAATATCCAATATATACACACATAACAATAAAAGTCAACGAGAAGACAAAAAACATTATTTTCTATAATACTTCATACGTCAAACAAAAACACTTAAAACTATAAATACCAAACAAACACATCCTAAAAAACAAAAAGGTGGTTTTTTAGACTTACAGCATCAGACATCGATTTCCACTTGGCTCCGCCAGCTTTGCCAACCTACAAGTGATGCATATGAAATTATAACTACTTGAATCTACACAAAAGCATGAACCATTAGCAATAGTAGAGGAATAAGTTCCATACAGCTGAGACAGCCTTGACATTAGGATTTTCCTTCTTGAAAGTCTTCCGGAACTCCTCACTACAACAAAACCACGCGTAAGTACGATGAATCAAATCAAACGCCATTTCTAAGTTGTGAGGAATAAATGATCACACACAGGAACACAAAGAAGGCACTGGGAGGCCTTTTCGGCTTGTTCGGGTCTTTCTTGGTAATCTTTTCCTTCTTCGCATTCCTCCTGTCTGCAGTAGGGGCAACCTTCCTTTTCCCAACTTTCCTGAAGAAATAATCGAACAAAGATACAAAAATAAAATATACAGAAAAGCTGTATTGACCCTCTCTAGATCTTTACTGTATATATAGGGAATTCAGAGTATATTCATGATAACATTCGATTAAGCACAGGTTACCGGTCGTCGACTGGCTTCAATGCTTCTTTAGTCTCCTTTTTTCCGGCCCCTTTATTCCTGCCATCAGTCTTCATATCTACCAGCCATTAGAGGCAGAGATGTATGCATCAGAAGCACAGTCCATGAAAACTATATAGTTATGTAAAAATAACTACATAGTTTAATAAATGTGCGAAGTCTTTTAGATATGATCAAACTGTATCGTATCATTCAGATTAGAGAACTGCAAACACAAATGTATGAGAAAACTCTTTGTAAGAAGCAGAACAAAGTGATTTAAGTAATAGAAAAGCAAACTACTCTCTCTTTCTCTCTCACACACACAGACCACACAGGTTTGAAAAACTGGAAATATATTAAAGAAATTTACACACAGAAACAACCAAAACACGAAACACAAATCCGCAGTGTGTGTGTATATATATACATCACTGATCCTCTCTCTGTCTGCAGACACAGACTGCTTCACATATCAAGCCAAAGTTAAGAATATCAACGTCTGTGCACAAAACCTAAACAAAATTACAGTATCTCTCACTAAAATTAACTCAGAGTTTAGCTAGCAGATGAAGAATGGATATAAATCTCTGTGATCCTCTCTCTGCTTGCAAACACTCACAAATCAGCCAAAATTAAGAATATCAACGTCTGTGTCACAAAATCTAAACAAAATTAGAGTATCTCTCACTAAAATTAACTCAGAGTTTAGCTAGCAGATTAAGAGTGTATATAAATATATCTGATCCTCTCTCTGTCTGCAAACACTCACAAATCAGCCAAAAATTAAGAATATCAACGTCTATGCACAAAACCTAAACAAAAAATTACCGTACCTCACTAAAATGAACACAAAGTTGAGCTAGCAGATTAAATAATATTAACAAATCCAAACACTAAAAATCACACATACACACACACACAACACATGATCGAGGACAAGCATGCGCAGAAGGAATTGGAGAAGAAAATTTACAAAAATCCAATATCTAACCAGCAGTTTAGAGCAGCAAATTAACACGAGCAGGAATCCAAAAACGTAAAAAAAAAAAAAAAAAAAAGAAAAAAAAGAAAAAAAAAAAAAGAAGCACAATTAAGATTACAAGCAAACCTAGAAGAAGACGAGCGATCGATGATCAGTCAACGGCGGAGGAATGGCTGAAGAAGTAAGTGGAGGAGAGAATATAAAGGGTAAAGAAAAATCAGTAGGAACCAACAATTGGAATAGCACGCGTCCTTCGCTGGAGCCACCGGCCCAACCGGTAAGTGCCACATCAGCTTTCAGCTACAAATGATTCCCATCAGAGAATCCTATCCGGTTCCCGGTTCGAGCTTTCCGATCTGGTTTTACATTACGTGGCACAGATCCGGAGGCGCAACGTGGCGCCTTAAATATGGACCGTCGATTAGTTGGGCCCTTTTATTTGGGCCTAGTTATAGCCTTGTTTTAATTGGGCTTAGCCCCAGTTAGACAAACAATTGGGCCAAATGTAATTGGGCTGTTACCTGCAGGCTTGTATTGTCTTTCGACCGTTGGATCAAAATGATTGATGATTGATTGGATGTTGTAAAAATTGGTCATGGAATTCATGTGTTAACGCTTAAAAGTTTAGGTTTTGTTTATAAAATATTTTTGGAATTTTGGTATTATTCATTTTTTAAAAAAAATATATATTAAATATTTTTTCCTCATGAAATATACATCAAATAATAACTTTTTACCATTATTAAATTTTTCAAAACTCAAAAACTTTTAAAAGTCTATTATCTAAACCGAGCTTTAGTCATTGAGTCGGTTCGAAAGTTGGATATCGCAACCTAAAACATCAAGCCTATTTTGTGGGTTTTGATTCCCAACTTTACTGCTTCCTCCGTCCCATATTTATATATCTATTTGTTTTTTTGCACGAAATTTTATAAATATTAGTACTATATTGAGATAAAGTATAAATAAAGGTAAAAAGACTAAATTAATCATATTAGTATAGTATGATATAAAAGTAATGACATTTGTGTAATATATTGTAAATTGGAAGGGTATTTGTAATGTTAGGCAGATAATACAATTACTAAAAAAAAATTAATACTTTGTTATGAGACGAACCAAAATAAAAAAATGAATAAATTGCTAAGGAAATGATAAACTATTTACTAAGTCTTTTTCTTAAAATATCAAATTAAAATTTTATTTTTTATATTTATTAAAAATTAAATTTACATTTAAAATATGGTATTAATAATTACTTATATTACATTATATAATTATTTCAATTTAAAATTTTACTAGTAAAATTCCATACCCAATAAACAATCACACCCTTCAAGTGGAGTTGAAATTTAAGGCAAAGTGAAAATTTTTAGGAAATCCAAATAGTAACCTAACCAATCGAATTGAAGTATGAAAGAAAATTAAAATCCTTTAACAAATGAAGGACTTGAATATGTTCTTCCTACTCTTTAAATAATAATTTAATTTAATATTTTGTAAAAAAATTATTATATTATTCTATTTATGAGGCAATGAAAGTTGAAAAATACTGTAAAATAATAATAATAATAATTGTTTACAACATCTACGAGAAAAATAGATGTATTATAAAAATAATAAAAATGTAATGAGATAAGTAGAAAATGAGTAATAATTGATTTTTATTTTGTTAAAATAAAAGTAATATAATTATAGATAAATAAAATTATCTATAGCATACAAAATAAAAAAATTGACATAATTATAGCGGACACATAAAATATTATTTACTTTCTTAAAACATCATTTTAACATACTATTTAAATTAAATTTCAAGGACTTCACACTCAAATGTGAATTTGGTATTTATCTATATGTTTTATATTTGAAGTTTTTAAGTGAAATATTATAAATATAAAGATTATATTTAATGAAAAGTAATTATTAAACATAGTATAAATAAGATGAAATACATATTATAAAAATAAAAACAAATATAGAAGCCAAGACATGAAATTTTAACTTTGACTATTTCTAGATGATGAGAGAGGATTTCGAATCTAACTTCTTTGTCGTGTTGTTTGCCCCATCCAAATCACGACAACTTCCACTTCACATAAATATTGATTTGATCAAACTATATGTAATCCAAATATAATAAGTATATATATATATATATACAACGACGGAACCAACAGTAAAAGTTCGAATGGCAAAATCGATCTTTTTATTTTTATCGATTCAATATGGTTTTTTTATTCACAATACATCTTGACAAAAAAAAAAATTGAAAATTTTAAATATTTTAGAAAAAATTTCAACAAAATTACGTAGATTTAATATTTTTTTACTATAAAAAATAAAATTTAAAGATTAAAAGTATAATTTATAATTTTTTACATTATAAAATAAAAAATTTAGATGAACAAATTACTATAAAATACATAATTTTATTATTTTTTACATACAAAAAATACATATATTTTGAATACTGAGAGTCAATTGACCCCCTCCCCTAGCTTCCACCCCTGTATATATATATATATTAATGTTGGTCATTTTTGTCTGTATTCTTCTGATCTGTGTATGATTTCTTGAAAAGAGATTTATAATTCACATAAATATATATATATATATATATATCGTATATTCAATATTTATTTTTAATTTAAGACATTTTATCAAAATGTAAATACAAACTTATCATAAATCTTATTAAAATTAATCCAAAATACACAAATCTTTTTGGTGCAATCTTTAATGTAACAATGGGCTTTATGTAATAACCTTAAAGGTCTGTCTATTCACTTAATTTTTTGTACATAGATTAAGAAATATCAATATTCTACTTCCCCTGTTCCAAAAGTATAGTCTTAGTGTGTTGGACACAAGATTTAAAAAATATTTATATTATATTGGTAGTCGGTAAAAAGTAAAGATAAATTACTTGTTTGGCCTTGTGAATATATTAGTGTACAAAATAGTGTCAATAGTGTAATAATAATGAAAAAATAGAGATAGTTTTATAGTGATATGATTATTTATGAAATGAGACTATTATATTAGGACGAAAAGAGTATATATTATGCAAAGAACAGTATGTAAAAATATATTGATTAAAACATTGAAAGTAATTTTAAATAAAATGTAAAAATATTTTATTAATGCATGTGTATAGATCACAATTATTAAATTTGAAAATAAACACTTTGACGGACGAAAGACACATAAAATAGTACATCCTACCTTTTTTAATACATGTATATACACACACGTACCAGTTAATATATTAATTATGGTTACAATAAGTACATTATTTATATTAATATAATACAAAAACAATACATCATATATTCTATAGAACGTATAATATACTTTTATAAAATACATGTTTTAAATATAAACACATAGTACATATTTTTAATCTACATAGTATACACTAAATTGTGTTTGGTACAGATAAATGAGCCAGATAAATTAAAATTGTCTCATTTTTCTTGTTTGTTTGAATCAAACAAATAGAACTTGAGAAATAAACTATTTATATTTCTCTGTTTTTATTTCTCACACACATATGCAAAGAATAGAGAGAAATGATGTTGTAGTATATTTTTTATTTTTCAAATTTTTTTTTCTATACTATTTAATTTTTATAATTTTTTTAAAATTATATTATTTCAATTTTACAAAAATCGAATTTAACTTATTGTTAAAGTATTTAATTTTTAAGATTTTTTAAAAAATTGTACTAAAAAATAATTTTCAAAAATATCGTATATAATTTATAATTTTTTTTAAAAAAAATTCATCAAAAATATTTTTATTAATTCTCATTCGTTAAAACTTTTTTTTTATCTGGTTAATCATTAATTATTTATTCTTGTTTGATCATACATATAGCTGCATTTTTTATATATATATTTTTCAACTGAATTATCTATTTTACCAATTAATTCTCATTCTCTATTAATTTCATTTCTCTTCAATTCCATTATCTACTCTTAATTCTGCTGCAATTTCATTCTCTATACCAAACGCCCCATAAGAATAAATATTATCTAGACTTTTAATTTATACGGGTTTTTTTGGAAAATCGACAAAATGCTGATTTTTCAGCATCCAAGGCTATATATATATATATATATGTTGGAAGAATACCGGAAGAAGGCCAAAATGCAAACTAAAATTAGATTCGACGTACTCCTTAAGCGAGGTCATGCCCAAGCAGTGTGTTCAAACTGTTCCACCAAAACCTTTGCTTTCAATCAATTATTTTTTCTACCAAAAGAAGATGAATGACAACCACCAATAAAAATGGAAATAACAATACGAGACACCGAAACTTTTAACGTGGAAAACACTTTCAAAGTGAAGGATAAAAACCACGAGGCCTATCACCCGACCCAAGGCAAAAATCCACTATCTCAAAAGGTTCGTACAATCAAAAGATAACCACAATCAAAAGGGCTATCAACCTACACATCCAAATACAAGAATTGAACCCCAATCACAGTAGATCTCTCAACTACAAACAACTCATTCCAATCCCCAACCAATAAGATTCAAAATCGAATCCAAACAAATAAGGAGAAATCAACGATACCAAAAGGAACATCCGAAAATGACAAGACCGTTGATCGGAACCGAGTTGAAATTATCTCTTACTTGCCGATTCTCTTACGTGCGTGGATAACAATTGTCTCTCTCAATCTCTACCAATCTCTACACCAAATTGACCCCTCCCAACTAAGACGGCTATGGCAACAATTGACAAAAGTGGGCTTTTAATTCTTCTTGTGCTAACTTGAATTGTTGGACCTCCTACACATATAAGGAACCCAAACCCAACAATATATATAACACTGTAAAAATAATTCATTAAAGTATTTTTCTGGAAATCAAAATTGAAAAGAAAAATAATAATAACAAATAACGTGTTACAAATAACTTTCATAATAATAATAATGTCAATATATATTTGGCATTTCAGTTCAAATCAATTTATACACGGTTTTTTGAAATCTTTGATTCTGCTGACATTTCTTCTTATTCCTCATGGAATGACTGTCCAAAAAATTTAATGGTGACTTGGTATTAGCGTTACAAATAAAATTATTTCAACTCCAAAACATTGATGCTTTTAGGAGACCCTTTTCAGAGTTGAACCAGTTTCTGGTCAATTTTTTGGGGTGAAAATTAAATAAATTGGATTATTATTATTATTCAACTCTTTACCAAAATAAAAATGACCTTTTTATTTCTGTTGACTTGGCCAATTAAAAGGGGGTCAAATCGACTATTTGATACACGTATTTGGGAAAGTCAAGTCAACTATCAGCCACTTTCTTACCTATGTTAAAATGGAATTTTTAATTATTTTATTTTATTTTTTTACATATCGGCAAATATATTTTATATGTATTAGTTAATTTATATAGAAAGGTTAGATTATTATATATAATAAATATGGGTACATAAATAGACCACATGCAACATGTGTTTCTTAAATTCAGCAATTATTATTATTATTATTATTAGGGTTTTTTATTTTTATTTTTATGAATAACTACTTTATATAATGCTTTTTTAAATAGTACTAGATATTTATAAAAAATCACAAAAAATATAATTTTGTTGTTATAAAAAATATTTTTCAATAGAGTATTTGTATGTGAAAAGACAAACCCTACACTTATATCTGTACTTTAAAGTTGGTGGAATTAAATGAAATAAAGAAGGTTTTTTTTTTTTTTTGAATGAAATAAAGAAGTTACGGTTGCAGCATTAATTTCTTTTTCATTTTAAAAATTAGAAGAAAACGTGTAGCAATTGCAACTTCATATTTTTACTCGTTCAAAAAATTTATACATTCTTTAATATATATACACACACTACAAATAAATTTTTTGTATACCTATTTTAATTAGAATTACTAGTTAATATATATATATATTTTAAGAAAAAATATTCAATAAACTAACAATAATTAATAAACAAATAATTAGTAGTATATGGTAATTTTATTATACTATTATATATTATCACTTATTTTATTTTATATTTAATTGATTTATTATTCTTTATGAAAATAATCATTTTTATCTCGAAATTCAACTCAATATTTAAATATAAAAAATACTAAAAATAAATCACCCAATAAACACATCAATTTATAATATATTGAAACCCATTTTAAAAATTAATAATAGTAATAATTGCCTTGCCTCAAAGAAACATTATTGGCTTCATGTCGCCTCCAGACAACACACCACCCAAAGAAAGTATTCCAGCTCGAACTGGACGAAACCTGAGGACCATGAACCGGAGACAAATAAATAGCAGTATATGTATATCTATCAATCTTTATGTATGACCGTACTGTCTGTTACCTGTAGGGGACGTTGAAATGTAACGTCATCATCGCGATTCATGACATCTATGGTCCTAAAAAACCATATCAAACAAAACCCACACATAAAACCCACACATTAATTGATAAAATATATTTAGAATCAATATATTATATTTATGATAGTTGTCTTGTTGTTTAAGAGATTCGTACAATTTTTGTATTATTTAGACGATTTGTATATCACTATAAATATGTACGTATTCTTACTGTTGATATAAAGAATTTCAATTTCATATTCTAATATGATGTTAGAGCCAAATTTTTTTCGGGTACCTTCATGACCCATTATATCTCGTATATTTTTTTATATTTTATTGATGTATTTGTTTCTATTCACGATGGTGTTGTCATTTTCATGTCGTCTCCGTTTCTACTATTTCGATGTCTATTGACAGAGTTCTATTTTCAACTCTAACTTCGTTGAGAATCCTATTTTCGACTCTAACTCTATTGAGAGTGAGTGAGTCTTGTTTCCGACTCTAGCTCTGTTGTGAGCGAGCGAGTCATGTTTCCTACTCTAGTTCCGTTGTGAACGAGTGAGTCCTGTTTCCAACTTTAACGGTGTTGAATTCTAATTTCGACTCCAATCCAATAGACGGCTACACCACTTTCAGTCAATGGCAAATTCAAGTTCGTTCTTAGAAGATCTCAGCTATATCTTTTTTCAGTCACTTCTCACAAACTTGAGTTTGAAGAGAGGTGATAAAATATAGTATTTAGAAATAATATATTATATTTATGGTAGTTGTATTGTTTAAAAAATTCGTAGAATTCTTGCATTATTTAGACGATTTATATATATTATTATTGATATAAAGAATTTCAATTTAATATTCTCAAAAACAAAAGCATACGACACACGACAATTTGATACGAATCCGATACAAAATAATTGTGTTTGAGTAAGAGAAATCATATATACGAGTTGACACGAAGCCGAAACAATAATAAACAGATCGAGTTAAAGTTGAATTATTTAATTCATTTAAAGTATTCAATCCTGCGAACTAAACACAAATTGACCAATTAATTAATAGCTCTAAAAATTATATATATTTCATTTGTCTCAAAACAATAATTTTTTTACAAAATTATCTTCACATTTTCACAATAATAACATAAAATAGAAATATTTTTATTTTATAGAAACACTTTTACATTTATGGTTAATATAATACTGTTATTCTTAAGGTGTGTTTGTTTGAAAAATTCTCTAAAATTTTCACTATTCATCAATTTTTTTCAATTAAAAAATATCAATATCTATTTATATCATATTATAAAAAATTTATTCCAATTCAACGACTCAAATACATCTCAAAATCTAAACCCACCCTAATTCTTATGTCTATCCCAAATGTCTCCCGGGAAAATCTACATAGGGTGTGTTTGTTTAGGGATTTGAAATTTGAATAGTAAAATTTGAATTTGTATGATGTGATATAAATAAATATGAATGTGATGTTTTAAATATAAAATTGATCTTTATTATAATATAAAAAATAAAAAATAGGAATTTGATTTGATATTTTTGAAGGAAAAAAATAGAATGACTAGCAAAAAAATTAATCCAATCCCCCAAACAAACACACCCATTATAACCATAAAGATAGTGTGAACTGTGTTACAGCTGGCGGAGGAGAGATTAGAACACAGCAGCAGCAATCAGTCAGCCACTAAACAGAAAACAAACCTGCCGCCCTAAACGTCAACATCGCCCCTAAATTTCTCCCCATTTTCTCACTCCTCAATTTTATCAATTGTCAAAATGCCACACCAAGTCAGAGTCGAAGCTCATCCATTAGATAGTAGATACATACATATATATGTATATATATATGCTGCAATTCATGAACCTCCCCTGCACACCATCGTCACAGCCCACTAATTAAATCTGGCTATCTCAATCATTTATCATTATGCTATTGTTAGGTGCATAAGCACACCTGCAATTCTTTATTATTTATAATAAATTCTTGTAATATATATATATATATATACCTCAACCTCATAAAAAAGGCAGGTGGTGCTTCTTCTTCTTCTTGGAATTCTGGTGTTGCAGATGGGCACGTGATTCTAGTTTAAATAAGGTGATGATGATGGGGTTCTTCAGTTGTTTTGGTGCCTGTAAAGAAAGTGCTGAGGCAGAAGCAGAAGGTGATTGATGATATGGATTATATCATTATCCTAATTATATATATATATGCACAAATTACAAATATTGCAATTTTATTGTATTAATAATTTAACTGTATGATTTCATGGACAGGAATTGGCACAAATAATGTGAGGCTATTTTCATACCTGTCTTTGAGATCAGCCACAGGGCATTTTATTGCTTCAAACAGAATTGGGAGAGGTGGCTTTGGTGTAGTCTACAAGGTTAGATTTGATTGAATTTGAGCCCCCAAAACTTTCGATTTGATTTGATTTGATCCTCAGAAATGAAATTCTCCATTGATTGTAACAGGGGGTGTTGAGAGATGGAACTGAGGTTGCTGTCAAGGCTCTATCTGCAGAATCCAAGCAAGGGACAAGTGAATTCTTGACAGAGATAAACATGATTTCTAACATCAGGCACCCAAATCTTGTCCAATTGATTGGCTGTTGTATCGAAGGGAATAACAGACTGTTAGTGTATGAGTATATGAAGAACAACAGTCTAGCCAATGCCTTACTTGGTAATAACTAAATAAATAATAACGTCACCTCAATATTCTTGCATCTGTTTTGATGCTGAATTCTTGAAATGCTTCAAACAGGGTCAAACAGCAGCAACCGTTCAGAGCTTAATTGGTCCAAACGGACTGCAATATGCATCGGGACAGCTTCCGGCATCGCATTTCTACACGATGCCGAGCCAAGCATAGTCCATCGTGATATAAAAGCTAGCAATGTGCTTCTTGATGAGAATTTCCTGCCCAAGATTGGAGATTTTGGATTAGCAAAACTATTTCCTGACAATGTCACACATGTTAGCACAAGAGTAGCAGGAACAGTGTAAGAATATAAACATTTTCGAACTTTTGATACTATTAATCAAAAAAGCACCTAAATAGAGTCCTATTGATTGTACATTCTTATCAGTTCATCTAATTTATTCACTGCAGAGGATATTTAGCACCAGAATATGCATTATTGGGACAGCTAACTAAGAAAGCAGATGTGTATAGTTTTGGGGTGCTTTTGTTAGAAATAATCAGCGGAAAAAGTAGCAGTAAAGCAGGTTTTGGAGATGATTTCTTACTTCTTCTCGAATGGGTTTGTCTCTGCCTCTGCCTGTCTCATAATGTTATATACCATGAAGATCTGACCTGACAACATTGTTGCAGACATGGGAGCTGTTCAAGCAAGGCAAGCTCGAAGAGATTGTTGATCCAGAACTGTCGGACTCTCCTGCAGAGGAAATAATTCGATACGCAAAAGTTGCATTATTCTGCACACAAGCAGCATCACACCAAAGACCAGAAATGAATCAAGTAGTGAAGATGCTGTCTACAGATGTTATTCTTAATGAGGAATTACTATCGGAGCCTGGAATGTATCGGCCACAAAGTTCACGTAAATCACGAGGTGGAAGTTTCCGGATGGACACTTCCGATAGAGGCAAGAAATCAGCTAATGCTATTGTCACTACCACACCATCTGATAATGATCACACTGTTACACAGATGGTTCCCAGATGAAACTAGACGTATCTATTTGACTATAGTATGACCAAAGTCATCAATTTCCCATTATTCTTGTTCATTCTTTTAGCACATTTGTAACTTCATACTCATAGATAATGTAGATTGAGTACTTAGATAGGGAAGATGATTGTGTTAATGGCATTTGAGTTTTAAGGTATCCCTTTTGCAAGAACGAAGAAATATCTCCAAAGATCACATTCACTAAACCGATTACAGAGTTCTTTCTAAAAACATAAATGATCAAAGTTAAACAAACTCCTAAAGCAACAATTCAAGTGCTGGATAGAAGCTTTCTACCCAATAACCAAGATTAATCAATCATTCAAGCTATAAAATAAGGCATGTTCATATTAGCAACACAACAGTTTCATTTATCAATTGAAGTCAAGTGTTCTTTTTCCACTAAGAAGAAGCAGACTCAAGCAATGTAACATAGGAAACATAATCTTGAATTCATAAATGTCAATGAAGAAAATCATCAAATTCAATGACTACATAAACTATACAAATTTATACTTTTGGGAAGTTTGGGCACAGAAATTTCACTTTTCAATAGCTGCTCAACTACTATCAAATGTGGTAGCCAGAGGCTTACCAGGCAATGAAGCCGGGGCAGCAGAAGTACTGTCCCAAGTATCGTCATCCTTTCCAGGTTCACTTCCAGAAGCCAGCAAGTGATCAGGTGATCTGTGCTTCAGTTTCACAAGAATTTGGTGCATCCGAGATAGATCAGTTGGCTTCCCTGGCTTCGGGCCATGAATGATCACAATCGAAGGCTTTTTCACCATATCCTTCCTCCACTTCTTTTCTATAGTTGAAATTTCTTGAGGTACAAGCTCAGAAATTGCCTTCCAGTAATTTTTACCAGCCTCAATGTGAAATTTATCCGTACTTTCCAGAAACAACTGCAACCCACATTTGAAACAAATAACTATATGATCTATGGTCAATGATCATAAAGCATAAAGAATTACTTGCGAGCCCTACACATGGAAATCGAAACACTGAATTTTACTTGTTTCTCAAATCCACTTTGAATCAAATTTATTTATTGAAAGCTGACCTTCTCCTTTTCCCTGTTCACAGATCTGTAATTATCACACCTAAGCTTCCATTTCTTGTAGTACTCTGCTTTGTATTCATCTGCTTGGTCAATAATTTCTTTCAAAAGTTCCTTCTCCCTCCTCTCCTTCTCCTCCAGCCGAATTGCATTCTCTCTGAAACATTTTAACCTCATACTGTTTACATATCAAATGTTGCAAGTTCCAAGCAGTGTAAATTGTATTCTATTTATTACAAATGCACAACACAAAATTTCAGAAACAGGATCATCATCTCCAGAGTAGCTGGTTGTAAATTGTACGGTCAAAAGATATTCCCAAATTCGTTTCATAAAATCGAGAAAAACACATCGCAAGTAAAATTCTAGTTAAAAACACTACTCGTCTCGTTGCAGGAAAAACAGGTACGCAGGCACACAATCGTTGCCTCAAACCCTAATTTCCAAGCGCAAACGCAGAGCATCCAACTCATACAACGATTGATATGCGAAGAAGGTTTTTCCAACTGACCTTTTCCACTCTCGTAGAGCTAAACCTTCCTCCGGCGGAGGCAGCAATATAGGTCCGTGACCGGAGCGCTCACCGTTTGCGAAATCCGCCTCAATCGAAGCCCGAGGCGCATCATCTGCACCACCGTAAGCCGACAGATGGTCAAACTCTCGCTCCATCTTCGACTCGCTTTCAGCGTAGTAATCGAGAAACGACTCGAAACGCGCCGGCTCAAACCGCTGCGAGGAGAGCCGCAGCCGCCGCGAATCATCGATATACGACCTGGCAAAATCTGACGACATGGTTCCCCGTTGATTCAATATCTCGAAGACTCAGCTTGGACTGTCTCGTCTCTCTCTCTCTGTTGAAAAAAGCCCTCAAGAGCGCTGAAACTTCACACAATCTCAGCCAATAATTATATGACACGTCATAGCTCATAGGTACAACTTGCACGCGCAGCACAGGAATCTCGCCAAGTGGAATTTGGTTGCATGCATGCATGCTGACGTGTAAGACTGCAGCCTTAATATTTATTACTCTCCCTTCATTCCACCCGTACTCTCTCGTAAATATGGTATATAAGTAAATAATTAAAAAGTATATTAATAAAAATAATTATTATATAATTAAATAATTTAATAATTTAATTAAAATTAAAAAATAATTATAAAAAATTTAAAATTTAAAATATGATTAAAGTTTATAATTATATTTAAAAAAAGAGAACAAATTATGTGGAACGTACGAAAATAGAAAATATGGACAAATTATGTAGGACTGAAGGGGTATTATGTAACAATGTCATATTTTTGTTTGTATCACATTAATTTATTTTTTTTAAAAAAATAAGGATCATATATTTTTTAAAAATTTATAATTAATTTTATTAACAAACTTTTAATATTTATTAATTATATTATTCGTAATTTTTCGTGTTTGCAATAATATTATATATTAGAGGAAGGACTATTTCATGTCGAAATTTAAGTTCATTTATGTCGTAAAAAAGTAAATTTCTTATTTATTTTTAAATTAAAAATATATTATCTAATATATTCTTTTAATATTAAAAAAAACATATTTTTATATTAAAATATATTTATAGAAGTATGAATAAATAATTGGACGATCGATGAAGTAATTTGAGTCTACTTCTAAAATTTGATTTTATTATGAATGTGTTCAACAATTACACAATTTCATATTAATATTATAAAAATGCAATATATACTAATATGTATTTTATACTATATTCAACAATTTAATATAAAATACTAGTATAATTTTTATATTACGGGCACACTTTTCCATATCGTAAAAAATATTCCAAACTCAAAATAAAAAACAAACACACCCTATATTTTGATTTAAATATAAATTAAATATAGTATTTTATTAAAAAGATAATATATTTTTAATGTAGGTAGTTCTTCAAAAATATTATTCAAAAAATCAATAAACATATAATAAATACACTCTTAACAATGTATAGTAAAAATTTGAAATTAAAGAGAGATTAATATAATTATATTTTTTAAAAATACTTCAGTATATTTTATATTTAATATTAGTTAATAGAATATAGATTTAAATATGATATATATAGACTTAATACGAAAATCATTACGAAATTATAGACTTTTTAATGTGTAACTTGCTATGTATTAAATTATGTAGTTTGGCTGGGTTCAGCTACTCTTCATTTTTTTAACTTTGAATGTCAAATACACATACCATACCCATATATACATATATAACTGTTTCTTAATAAAAATATAAAAAATAAAATACATAAATTATAACGAGTTGTTATTTAAATTTTGTCTAAAAAATTAGAACTTACACATAAGTTGGAAAGTCATCATCATAATAGGCTTGTGATTATTATTTTTGGACAAAATTAATATTGTATGCAAATTTTATGTTACCATAATAAGATTTTAGGAAATAAATTACAACAATGATATCGACTCGTAACTAATTTTTTCATTAAAGCATATCAAATAATTAGTTGACTTAAAAAAGGCTATGGTAAACATTAAACACAGCCCCAGATTTAGAGAAGCCATTGAACAATACAACAAAATGTTCATCCCAAAAAAGCTCTAGTAACCATTTTTGCAACCTCTACAAAAGAACACATAAACATCAGTCGGATTCTAACCTGGAAATGTACTGATCATAGTATTTGGCAGCTCGTTCCAGATCACTGAGCTCCGTGTAACAGTCGGCTATGGCGCCATAAGCTTCGGTATTTCCCGACTCCTCTCCTTCCCGCTGCGAAATTTCAAGAACCATTGTATGGTACTTGATCGCCTCCCGATACTTGCCTTGCCTTTGCAGCGACGCTCCTGAAGAACGAAACCGAGATTATTCCATCTTATCGAAGAAAAAACTAGTAGCACTGATATAATATATATATATATATATATCTACAAACTTAAATTTTTAAACGAGATGACCATTTAATATAATACGAGGGCTGGACATCCCTTATTCGAGTTCCACTGTCCTTCTTTGTATATTGCAAAATGTTTTTATGGTTCACTAAACTTATGTAGAGTCTACTTATAATAAATGATTTTATCAACTTATATTTTATTACCCTTATTTCAATAAATAATAACTAATTTATCATTATTTTTCAATTTACTCCACTGCCTTTTAATTAACTTTTTAAGGAGAAATTAATTATAATCCACACATGGTTTGGAAAGTTTATTACCACACCCTCCCATGATTTAGAAATTTCACGGGGCTCTCTCCTATTTTAAAAAATATTGCACAAAATTTTCTAAAAATTACATAAGACTCCCTTATATTTTTTAAAATATTACATAGAATCCCCTAAAAAGGAATTTTGTTCAATATTTGGAAAACACAAGAAAATCTAATACAATTTCTAAATCATAAGGGAGGATAAATGCAAGACATTACAAACCATAAATGGATCATAAGTAATTTTGCCACTTTATAATAAATTCCTCATAATAAGTCTAGTTTACTTTTTAACAATTCTACTTTTATATTAAAATACTACTTTTTTATTCCGCCAAATTTACAAATGTAACTAAACTTGACGGACCTGCCTGTCAAATTTAGGCTTAAGTAATATTATGTTTTAGTTTTCGAGCCTAAGTAAAATAGCATAAAAAACCCGGACAGAGGGAGTATGTACTTATTGATGCATAATTTTACGAGCTTAAACTTTTAAATGAAATGGTTATTTAATATTACCTAAGCCTCTGGCGGCCTTCTTTTGTTCGATCGGATCATTTAGGCTTTGGGCGAGGTCGAGCGCTGCCTTGAATTCAGAATAAGCCCTCTCGAGATCCTGATTGCGTAGGAAATTCTTCCCGTTTTTCAGGCGAGAAATCAAATCTTGCTTTTTCGGGTCAACGATCACTTCATTCTCCGAGATACGTCCGCCGACGGGAGTGTAACTCAGGCTCGGCGCATAAGATTCGATCTTCGCTTGCCTTCTCAGCGCGGTGTTGATCTGACGTAGCTGCTCGTTTAGTCTCTGTAGCTCTCCCCTTCTTTGCCGCGCGAGGAGTCCTACATCCATTGTTATTACAAAACCGGAACATAAAGACATGGGAACAATGTAGGATTTTGTAATAAGGTATAGTTTTCACACCTCCGACGGTGGCGCCTATGAGGGCGACGAAGAGCAGCAACGGCATGTTCATGTTGAAAATGTTGTCGTCGGCTACTTGGCAGGTTTCGGCGGCAGCTTGTAATGGCTGAGCATAGATTAAGGCATTGATAGCTAAGACAACTCCTGCTGGAAGTCTTGAAATGAATCTTTCCTGCCAGAAGAAAGACAAACAACATTCTACTGACTTAATAATTCTTTTATAGTTTTTTTTTAAGGTCTTTTGACCTTACATTCAATTAATTTTCAATAAAAGTATACTCTTGATCTTCTAATATAGCTGTCATATCAAACAATTGTTTTACCTAAAAAAACCACAAAAAAAAAGAAAACAAACACATCCTACAACTTCCAAATCCTATATATATATATATATATAGATATAGATATAGCGGCGATAAGTGTATTGATTAGCCCTATAAATTAACATATCGTAACAGTTCACACCATACATGCTATGATCGACTTCAGTATAAAGAGAATGTTCACATAAGCAAATGTAGGGTAAGAAGTAACAGCCTAACAGCGGATTGTAATAGTCCACACAACGTTAACACAACAAAAAAATACGTATAATATGAACTAACATCACATAGTATACTAATTTACTTTAAACAAGTAGTTACTAGTGCGCCCTATATACAAACAACACACAATTTATACTATTTAATATAATTCAAATGTGACACAATAGTCCACAAAACACATTTCATCATTGATCTCAAATATGTCAGCATGGCACAGACACATCAGAGTTTATGTTAATATAACACAACGCAACATATGAATCGAACAATATATAATACACATAACTCAACAACACGTGCTAGTTCCTATGGAGTCTGTATATATATATATATATATATATATATAAGTGTGTGTTTGTGGGGTGCATTTTGCTACATTATCCACAGACATTGGCCGACGAGCATTCTCACACAGCTTCAATTATCACAAAGCCCAAGATTATGCTAAATCATTACAACTAAGAACATTTGCATATCTTCATCAGCTAGGGTTTATCCATCAATTTAATCACAGCAGAACGACCAAAACTCGCCTAATTTTGCACAATCGGTGGGAATCAATCTACAAACCCTAAAGATCAAAATTCAAATAACAAAGTACAATAAAAACTAAGAGCAGTACCTGGAAATCGATGCCCGAGAGTAATTTGAGCTGAAATTCTTCACTGCCGACGCCGCGGGAGTCTCCGCCATTAATGGCGGCAAATATTCTGAGCAACGAGCTCGGCTTGAGGGATTTTGGCGATTTGAGAGATGATGGCGAAAATTTTGGGAAAATTTTAGTGCTCGCATTTGGACACCGCGATAGAAACCCTTGTTGTATCACCATCGTCATATTTGCTCTGTTATCTTCTTCCTCCCAGCCGTCTTTCTCGATTCACTCTACCGAATGATTTTCCTTTTCTCCTTACCTTTCTCACATGATCTGTTTCCCTGTCCTTCGGCCCTTCTTTTACAATTGGGTTTGGATAATATACAGCAGCTCACACCACTCTCTCACCAATTTATGCAATTGGGATTTAGTTAGAAATGGCATTTGGGGCTGTTTTTTGTCCCGGCCCGTTGTTAGCATAGCGAGTTTGAATCCAAAATTTTACATAAGGATACGGTATGTGTTTTTTTTTTTTAATTCAAAATTCTTAAATTTTATTATTTAAATTTTGTGATCATTAAATATATTTTAATATAAAATTAATTCAAAAGCTTCAGTATTTATATATAAAAAATAATTAACTATATTATACCATTCAAATAATTAAAATAAAAATATAATTCATATCACTTAGGTTGCACTTTATTCTATCCACTTAACTTTTAGTGTCAAATTAAAATATGACATCTTTACTTAGACAGTGAAATATTTTATTTTATGGCTTTATTCTTTCTATTATTTTTTTGTATAATTTTTTTAAAAAAAATTAATACTCTACACACATTTATAATTTTTATACTTTTTATATAATTTTTTAAAAATAAGTTGTCGCTATTCTTCTAAAGACATTGAAATTTGAGTTTAGGTAATTACATACGCTGTGGTTAGTATTTTATTTTATTTTACTTTTTTGTGGTTAGTATTTTTTTTATTTTTTATTTGTTTGATTTCTTTATTTATATTTTAATATTACTCCAATTTATGGTAAAAATGTTAATAAAAAAGAAGCCCCATTTACAAAAAGGGATATAAATATCTATATTCAGGCTTGGCCTGTGAAAACGGAAGTGGCAAAACGCCGTCGTTTAGGGTGGCTGCTGCAATTTTTTTTCACGATACGTATTCCATAAATTCTAGATCGTTCTCCAAACCGGCCATGGTCTCCGGCGACAGGACCACCTCCAGATCGACGCTCCCGTTCCCTTCCGCCCCCGGAAACGCCGATATCTTCCCGTCGAATTTGTTCGCGCCGCCGCTTCTGACGGCGATCGGCCGCCCCCACCCAAAATCGTTGTCGTACATCGGAAAACGCGGCGAGCTCCCCATGGTTAGCATCGCGCCGTCGAAATTTCCCAACGGAAACAGCCTCGGCTCACTTTCCCAGACCTTCACGCCGCGCCGCACCGTGGCGTCGCCGTGCGCCGCCACGTTCGTGTGCAGGAGGGCGGCGCTCCAGCTCAAGCCGTTGGATAGCAGCTCGCCGGCGGCGGCGGTGGTCGGAATGCTCTGAATTGCGTTTCCGAAGTACGTCGGCTCGAGCCGCGGCAACAGCCGGCTCCGGCAATTCACCGCCATTCGAAACGTCGTCGTTTTCCCCGGCTTTAGGTCCCTCGCACGTGTCACGGATCTCCACAGGTGTGCGGATAATGACTGGAATGATGAGATCTCAACCGTCGGATGTTTCTCCGTAACGGACGTTACCTCGCCGTAAGTTTTGCTACGGTTATTTCCCCAACCGTCGTTGCTCCGTTTACCCACCGTCTCGTAATCCGGGTAGGGTTTGGGCTTTCGGGTCGGGCTATTCGCCCTCAATTTCAGTTTCAAAACTGCTTCTCTGCTGAAATGGAAGATTTTCTCGCGTAAAGGCTCCTCGCCGGAGAATGTCGCCGACGGACCTCCCGGCGGGAAAACCAGCACCGCCGGCGAATCGAAAGCAGTATCGCGGCGAAAGTTCGGCGACTTCGAAATCCTCTTCACTCCCCGCGCCATTTCCGCGAAGGTATTGAAGAAATTCCAAAACGATGTTCCATCAACAACCGCGTGATTCACAGAGCAGCCGACGAAAACGGCGTCGTTTAGCTCAGTCACCTGCACAGCCACGAGCGGTTTCTCATGTCCAGAGTAACTGAGCATCTTATCACACTGGAAGAACCTCCGGTACGCCGCCGGAATATCCCGATCCTTCTCCGGAAGCAGCGCGGTGGCGGAGAGATGCGCCGCCTTCGCGTGGTAAAAATCCACGCCGGAATCGTCGCACACGATGTACACGCAGCCGTCGGCGTCGGTGCGCAGTCGACCGGCGAGAGCGGGGAAGTGCGAGAGCGTTTTCGAGAGCGAAATTCTGAGGAGAGAGAGGAGGTCCTCAGAGGAGAGCGGCGGCGGCGGCAGAAGAACGCCTTTCTGAATGTATTGGCAGGAGAGCATAGGCAGGTCGGAGACGGAGAGCCTTAGGGTTTCCGCGGCGGCGCTACGGTGGCAGCGAACGGTGGATTTGGAGACGATAACGACCGAAGAAGACGGCATCGTTTTTAAATAGAAATGAAAATAAAATAAAATAATTACTAAGTACTGATTTAATTTTTGTAGTGAAAAATGGGTGGAGCAGTAAAGCGGGTATATATATAGGGGCGGCAGATAACGACGGGTTCATGCACATTGGTGGTTCTAAGGACAAAGACAACGGCGATGCATTTAATTAATACAAATACAATACATTACAATTGTGGACTTCAATTTTATTTTTTGTTGCAATCAATCACTATTTTTATGTATATATTTTAAAATCATTCGTTTGTTATTATTTATTTAAAGTATATATTTAATTTTTTTATAAATGGAGTAGGGTCTGATTAGATATGATTTTCAAAAGTTTTTTTGTCTAATCTTTTAATATTTAAACAAATATATATATATATATATATGTACTATTAATTGAAAATTATAAAAATATTACTCCCTTTTGTATATTTAAAATAATTTGGGTTGAAATTAAAAATAATAAGAATAATTTATTTTCAAAATGATAAAAATAAAATATAATTAAATAATTAAATGTATTTTGAAAATTTAGTTATAAATTAAATAAAATGATGAAAAAAAATATAAATATTTGTTGTAAATAAATGTATAAAGGATAATTAAGTTAAATGATAATTTATTAACTTTGTTAAAATTAATAATAAAATATATTTAGTGGATAGATTAAAAAGAAAAAAAATAAATTAAATTTTACGGTTAGAAGGAATATTAAAATATTTATTTATTTATTGATTTATTTATATTTTATAAAAAATATATATTCTTATTAAAACCTATTTTGTATTGAAAATTATATAAATCGTTTTTTAGTGTTTATTGATGATAATAGATATTGTGTGTTAGAGTTTAAGTATAATACCTTTTTTTGTTGTAAAATAATTGACCATTTTCATTAGAAGCATAAAATTTAAACTAATAATTTTAAATTAGTTAATAATAGTAAGTTATGAAATTATTTATTATTTTTTATGTAATTAATAATATTGATAAAAATTTTAAAATAAATTTAATAAATATAATTAAAAAATTAGAATATGTATTTTAAATATTTTAAAAAATATATTGCAATAGAAAATATATAATATTGATATTATTTTGTAGATAATAAAATATTGTATAATGCAAGTAAATAAAAAATATATATTTATTTATTTATAATTAATATAAAGTAATTTTATAAAAGATGTAAAATTTTAAATGTATATAAAAATATTTAAATTTTTTATTAGAGAAATATAAATAAAAAAATTTTGAGTGGGTCTCACAATATTATATGTTACATAGTTAATTAAATTAATTTATATTTGTTAAATATATTTTGATTTAATAAAAAAATTAAAATAAAAATATATCAATTATTATAAGATAGACAAAAATAAAAAATATACTATAAGATTAAAATATGCCGAAAGTACATGGCATTGTCAATATATATTAATTGTGATTTAACATTGGCTGATTATTTTATACTCCCTTTCCGCCACAGATCATCTCATTTCCTTTTTTGGTACGTCCCACAAAAGATGATTCATTTTCATTTTTGCAAGTTTATCAATCTTAAACATAATTAACAAATATAAATCAATTTAATTAAATTTCTAACATCTTACCCGTATGATTCACTTAAAACTCCTTTATTTGTATCTCTTTCCTCAATTAAGAAATATTTTTATCTATTTTTAAAAGTCTTCATTTTTTATAAAACTAACTTATGATAATGATAAATAAATAAATATATTTTTTTACTCATTTGTATTATATAAAATTTTATTATCTACAAAATAATATTCATATTGTATATATTTTATTGAGATATAATTTAAAATACCAACAACACTATACATATAAAAACATAATAAAATATTTTCATAATTTATTATTAATAACTTAATAGCCTACGCTACCTAAAATACCGTATCCCTAACAAAAAAGTTAAATCTTTCGCGAAAACGGAGGGAATACTTAATTGGCACAGGTTAGGAGTGTATATTAATTGAAAGTTAACTGAGTTTTTTCAAAAATGGGAAGTAATATGATTGATGGTTTATTTGATTGTGTTTTTTATTCTTACTTTTACTTTTCAGATATAATATTCCCTCCATCCTACGTATTGTGTAGCACAGTAGACACAATATTTTAAGAGTGATGTAATTAGTAGATAATTAAGAATATATTAGTGAAAATAATTATTCGATAATATAAATAATTATAAATTAAGATTAAGATAACTAATTAGTTTAATTAAAATTTTAAAAAAATAATAAAATTAAAAAGTTTAAAATGAGATTAAAGTGTGTAATCATTTTCCAAAAAAGAAATGTAACATGATATATAGGACGGATAGAAACGGCAACATGGACATGATATGTGGGAAATGAGTGAGTAATTTTTTATTTTTTATTTAAAAGATCGTATCATAACTTATTTCTCAATTAATATATTATATATATAAATATATATATATTTAAAATATCAAATCATAATTATTACAATTCAATTTTTTTATTAATATGAAAATATTAAAACACAAGCCCCAAAAAATTAATGTAATATTTTGTAAATAAAAATATGTATTTAACTTTTACATATTTTTATACTAGTGTATAAAAATTAGTTTTAAATATAAAATTTGAATACATCTAATCAGACAGAGTACGACGAATTCTCCATCCATGCACTCTAAATAAAAGGAAATAAATAATAATAATAATAATAATAATAATAATAAATAAAAACAAATGAACAAAAGTTAAAGAAAAACAAATGTGTTTGTTTTATTTTGAATATGATATCAAGGCTTCGTTCACACGTCATGGATTGATTTTTGTATTCGATACGAGAATTGTATCCAAAAATCTAAATATATTTTTTTAAATTGAATATTCGATTTTTTTTTTAAAAGTATTTTAGATTTTTTTTTTTAAAGAATAGTGTTAATTGAAAAAATAATGTTGAAAGAACATAACGCAAATTTCCCATAATTTATATCATTTTACCTAATATTTATTTAATTTTTGTTTAAATAATTTTTTGATAAAATATTTTGTAAACAATAACATATTTTATTAAAATAAAATAAAATAAATAATATTAATTTGAATTTAAAATTACAAAAGAACAAATCAAAAATTTGTCCAGCAATTTTATGTACATTTTCTTTGTATTAAGGAAATAGTAAGCCTATTAATAAATTATATATATAATTACATTTTCACTATTAATGATAATATATACTTTATCCATTCTATTAAAAAGGTACTATTTTTTATTTTCGTCTGTCTCAAAACAAAGTTACTATTTCCTAATTTATTAATTGTACTACCTACCTAACATAATAAATATTCTTTCAACTTACACTATATTACACAAATGTCATTACTTTTATATTATACAATACTAGTAGGGTATTTTTGTCTTTTTCACTACAATCCATTATAATACTAATATTCAAAAATTTACGTACAAAAAGTAAACGACAACCTTACACCGGGACGGATGAAATATATTTTTTAAAAAAGTTAGTATATCAAACGTACTTGTTATTTTACAAAATATTATATTAAAACACTTAAAATTTTATTCAATATGATAAAATTATATAATATTAAAAAAATGACAATATTTTAAAAAATAAATTATTACTCTCTATAATAATAAATGAATAGATTAAGTGGGGCAAGTTTGACCCAAAATTGAGAGACGCGGACAGCACAACACAACACAATAGCACAACCCGGTTGAATAAAAACACGCTTTTAAAAAATAAATAAAAATCGTGTTCACTGAATCTAACTATCTAAGCAACCATCGAATGCGACTTTACTGAGGGCCGATATTTGTTTTGTGTGACCACCACAATGCTCAAACAACTCCTTCTTCATCTCCATGTGTTCATGCACCTCATTTAAATTTAATTTAATAGGCTTTTCTTTAGTTCATCGAACCTCGTATTCAATCTTTTTTTTTTATTTTTTTTTATTTTTATAACATGGTAATCCGCAGTCACTATCCGAAAGTGCACATTGGGTACACTCTTAGTCGAACCTAATACCCTACAGACTAGACTCGACAAGATAAATTACAATAAACAAACCATCTGTGACAGATGAACCTAGAAGCGTCAGGGTTTGAACTCATGACATTTACGGTCACAAATTCATTTTTCTTTTCTTTTCTTTTTCTTTTTTTTCTAATATAACATATGGTATCAAAAATTTATTATTAAAAAAAAAATCATATAAAAAATTATAGAATTTTAGAACTTTAAACCACAACTCAACAAAATTCTAAAGACTAGAGATGAAATTAGTAGCGAGCTAGGGGGACATTTGACCCCAAGCCCCAAAAATATAAGAATTTTTTTTTCTTTTTTTTTTTTATGAAAAAACAATAAACTTATGTTATTATTATTATTATTATTAATTTATCCTTTGAAATATTTATTTTTTAGTGTAAAAGTGATTTTTTTTTTCTAAATATTTAATCGTTGTCCGATTTTTTATTCTTCTTTCTTTATCATACCATGTTGGAACCGTTCTATAATTATATGCTTTATTTGTTTAACTGTTTTGGTATTCTTTCTAATTTGGAATTATTTTAACCATTTGATTATATAGTATTTGAAATTAATTTAAAATAAAATGTTGTTTTAGTTTAAATTTTAATAATATTTTATTTGATATTTTGTACGAAAAAATAGTACTTGCTCTATTTTAGAACTATAGTATGAGTTGTGTTTGGCACGAGATTTAAATAATATTGATATTATATTGATAGTGGGTAAAAAGTACGAGTAAAAGACTTTTTTGCCCTTGTGAGTGTATTAATGTAAAAAGTAGTAGCAATTGTGTAATAATAATGAAAAAATAAATGTATTTTTATAGTGACATGATTATTTATGAAAATGAGACTATTGTTTTGGGACGAACAAAAATGATAAATAAGACTATTGTATTGAAACGGAAGAAGTATATTTTTATTATTAATCATGCAAAGGTGAATAGTCACAACTACATAGAATTTTTTTTCAATTTTTTTTTGTATCGATATATTATACTATTTT